TATAAAGGACCCTAACGAGACTAAAATAATCTAGAACGTATGCCCTATTATAGTAATATATATCTTCCGGAAGATCTTCGAGAGTTATATCTTAGAGCGCTTAACTATACTTCTAGGTCTCTATCTCTACTTAGTATAGGCGGGATTTCGAGCTAACTACTCGATATTAACTCTAGCTATACTTATCTATACTATACTATAGTAAGAGTTATATGCTAGCGTAGTATTTCTCGACTTTACTATAGCGTTTAATATAGTCGACTATTACTTTCTCTATAAGGCCTTATATAAATAGAGGTACCTAGAGGACTTAATATATCTACTCGATATATTATAATAGGATACCCGCTTATAAGTATTAGCGAATAGAGGCATATCTTAGTAGTTCCTATATATAAGGGGCGTCCTATAGGGATTACTACTATTACCTTTTCTATAGAACGTCCTTATCGACGACCTACTCTAGGACCTAAATATAGATATAATATATCTACCTAGTAGGGTCTTCTATACGGATAACGGAGCGCTACTATATAGCGACTAAATAAATATCCCGATTATACTAGGTAAGGTCGAGATATAGTATATACGGAATAGGATCTAGGTTAATATCTCTAAATACGGCTATATCTCGGGTACTACTATAATCTAGCTAGTTAATTAGCGTAAGTAGATAATCCTATATATATCTAAGTATCGATATCTAGGCTTTCTAATAATACTATATAGTATTAATTTCGAAGTACTCCTCGCCTTATAACTAGATCGCGTAACTGCCCGAGTAGGATTTATAGTAAGGCACTCTAGAACTTAGAGGGTTACGAACCGACTATAAGCGTTCTATAAATATCTCGCGCCGATTCTAGAGTATAGAGTACTACTAGTATAGGCTTAGGCGGTCTCGGATACTTTATAATAGGAGGGAGCTAGAGCGAAGTAAAAGGAGCTAATATAGTAGGTAGTAAGTAGTAAGTATAGCTAGCGACTAGTATAGAATCTCCTCGGCCTCTCTATACTTAAGTACCGATTTAAAATACTATATATAACTTTTTTGTTCGATCTATAGTACGCCGATCCCGCTAATTCTCTCTATTAGCTACTTTTTCGCCTAGCGCTAGATAGTAGTAGATTCCGAAGGGGCTTATAAGAGAGTAAATTGCTTGCTTTATAGAAGGCTAAGACCGAAGTAAACGTACTAAATAGGATCTCTCTATACCGCTTCTAGTAGAAATACCTTACTACTAGACTAGTACGCTACGCCTAATAGACCCTATTAGCCTCCTATATACTATAGAAAAGCCGGATTAGGAAAGGTATAGCTAATACGGACTATATACTATAGATACCGGCCTATATATAGGATATATTCTTCTAGTATCGACGAGGAGTCTAGTATTTCTACTTAAGCTATAAGTATACTACTATATCTCGTTCTTTCCGCTAGGGAGACGAAGAGTATAGATACTATAGTTTAGTTCGCCGGCTGTCTTAGTAGGACCGAGCTCGTAAATAGATATAGTAAAAGGCGCTCGGTATTTAAGGCTTATTTATAGATATAGACTTCTTATTAAACGATAAGTAGTAGGGTCGTACTTATAACGTACTTCGATATATATAGGCTAATCTAGCTATAGTCTAGAGTAATAAGTATATAGATAGTAATATTTCCGATAAGTAATTAGCTATAGTTCCTATTCCTATATTCGCTCTTAATCTCTATTTCTAAGCTTAGTCCGAGAAGACTATAAACTAGACTCTTCGCTACGATATATATACTCGTCGGCCTCTTCTCGTTATAAGACTACCGGCTACGAAGCCTTATATCTACTATAGTTATAGACTCTCCGCTATAATATATATACTTGTCGGCCTCCTCTCGTTATAAGACTACCGGCTACGAAGCCTTATATCTACTATAGTTATAGACCCTCCGCTATAATATATATACTTATCGGCCTCCTCTCGTTATAAGACTAACTACTACGAAGCCTTATATCTACTATAGCTACTATACTATAAAGTACTTAGCTTAGCTATAAAGTTTAAACTTACTACTCTTAATACGAGTTACTACTACGAAGTATTATATTAATATATATCTCTAAGACTAGCTACGAAGCCTTATATCTATATCCTAAAAACGAGGCTAAATCTTATATCTATAGCCGGAAGGATATACTAAATATATCGAATTTACTAGATAGTAAACTCGACTATCTACTACTATAGAGTAATATATCTATATAGTATAATATAGAATAGTAACTCTATATATATATCTAGTAAAGACTCTAGGAGGCCTATAGCGAGAGTATAATACGACTCCCTTCTAGTAGACTTTAAGTCCTCTAATATAGCAAATAGCTACAAAAATATATAAAACTCTACGATCCCTTAAGGAAGTTTAATATAGCGACTATAAGTATATTATAATAGTAGATAGAGAACTTAGTAATCCCGTAGAGTAGTAGTAAGTAAATATACTCTTATAAAGACTAAGGCTATATAGTAACTCTAGATCTCTTAGGCGGACTTATAAGGGTATATCTTTAAGAGCTATACTCTAAACGAGGGATAATATATATCCGAGTATAAGCTGTCTACTAACCGGTATATATATTAGAGTTAGGAAGGTCTGCCGGAGACGAGTAGAATATTCGAGAGGGTTAAGTAGTATTTCGATACGTCCCGAATAGCTCTATAATAACCTATTACTCTCTTTTAGGTAGGTCGTAAATTCCTTTATTATAGGAACGAGATAAGCCTCGCTTATTACTAATATAGAAACCCTAACCTCTAACTCTATCTTCTAGTAGTAAGACTACTAGGAAGCGATAGTTATATATATATAGGCTTACTCTAGGTCGACTAAGTAGCGGCCTACTCGACTACGTCCTCGGAAGGCTAAGATAATCTATAGATATATAGTCGAAGTATTAGTTTCTATATTTATTAGAGAGAGGGAGCCTAACGGCGACTATTAATACGAGAACCCCTAACCCTAACCTCTAAAAACTATTAGAACTTTAATAAAAACTTCTAGTCTTAAATTAAAACTCTATTTCTATTAAAAGATCTACTTATTAAGTTTTCTATTAAGCTATAAGGTTTCTATTAACTAGCTATAGGTTTTCTAATATTCTTTAGTATAAAAAGAATCTCTTAAAACTATTAGAATATTAATAAAAACTTCTAGTCTTAAATTAAAACTTAAATTCTATTAAAAAATCTACTTATTAAGTTTTCTATTAAGCTATAAGGTTTCTATTAACTAGCTATAGGTTTTCTAATATTCTTTAGTATAGAAAGAATCTCTAAAAACTATTAGAATTATAGTAGAAACTTCTATACTATAATTAAAACTTAATTTCTCTTAAAAATCCTACTTATTTAGTTTTCTACTAAGCTATAAAGTTTCTATTAATTAGCTATAGGTTTTCTAATACTCTTTAGTTTATATAGAATCTATAAAAACTATTAATTCTTTAGTAAAAACTTCTAGCCTTAAATTAAAACTACTTTTCTATTTAAAGATCTATTTATTTAATATTTTTTTACCTTATATAGACTTATATTAAATGTATTTATTAATATTAGCTTTCTCTTCTATTTAATCATTTTTTTATAGCTTTAGATTATAATATATATAAATTATAAACTTATTTTTAATTTTCTTAATCTATTTAGTTAGATTTAGTTTTTTAAGCTTTATATAAGTTTTTATAATATAAGCTATAGTTTTCCTAAGCTTTTTATAGGGTATAAAGTCTATATAAACTATAAGACTATTAATAAAAACTTTAAGTTACTAATTAAAATTTAATAAAGTTTCTTATTTTTTATTTTTTATTTTTATTTTTAGTAGTTCTAATAATTTATTATATTTTTTAGTTTTTCTATACTTTATTCTAGTAGAAGAGCTTATAAAAACTATTACTAACTTTATTTAGACTAAATCTAAGCTTTTTAAACCTAAAAACGACTTTTCTTAGTTCTAGATAGTATAACTTAGTTATACCTTTAAATAATTATAGTAGATACTTTTACTTGCCGGATATAGCTATTACGGGTCTATAGCGTAAAGAGTCTAATCTTCCTATCGATCTAAGTCTATAGAAGTTGTTATAGTAGGTATAAACAAGCTATTAGAGTACAATCGAACTTGCGCTAAGAGATATAATTAGGAGAGACCTTCGTGTGCTATATAAATCTTGCGTGATGTCAGAACACAAATCTTGAGAACACCCTGCTCGAACCAAATACGCGAATATAGTTACTTAAGCCGCGCACGAAAGTGCTAAGGTGCGAACAGTTCTTGCGTGCTTGTTGACTATGTAGCTGCAGCCGGACCATCAACGTTCCCGTCTACTCGAAATGCCTTGCGCGATTGTCCGGTGCTCACGTTTCGATTCTGTTCTCCATGCAAATTCGCCGACAAGGTCGGAGTTGCTACGCGGTGAGTTGGCGACTCCGATCTGTCACCCGGTAGAGGCATTGCATAGACGACCTCATCTTCGCTTGTCTACAACGTATCGTACAGCTTTGCACGACTCATGGATACTCCAGTACGCGCTGAGCTTGCAGAAATGGCAGTGCCTATCTGTTGAAGTTGCCGGAGCGAGGAGGCTTTCTGCGAATCGAGCTTGGCGGTGAACATCGCCGTGAGAATCTCCACTCTCGCTCACCCATAGTACGTCTCGCTGTACCGAAACTGTAAGGGGGACATGTTCAAAACCGCGGAAGGTGGTATCACTGCTGCGTAGCACGTTGCCAACATGGGACAGTCGGACTTGTGTGCGGCCTAGCTAGCTCAGGCGCGAGGAAGCGGAACGCGTCGCGCTCCCGAACTGGTCGCGCGACATCTTACGGTTGTATGCTTCCTCATGCTCGAGGGCGCGAAAGCTGCTTCTAGACCTGCGGGCCATGTTGCTGACAAGCGAGGGTGAAACCTGTCTGCGGCCTACGTCATCGTAATATGGCAACTTTCGTTGGGCAGCAACATGCTGCGCGACACTGAAACTCTTCCAGAAGTATCCTTCGCTATGTTTGGATCCGCGAAGGGTGTTGACGGTGCTACGGACGAAGATGTTGACGTGCAAAGCTTGTACGCGACTGATGGAGACTGCACCAGCGTTAAATGGAACTTTCGCAGCCTTGCAACATACCACGCGGCTTTTCAATGCATACAGACGGACGCCGCGGTTCACGGAAGTCCGCGAAAGGTGTCATCAGCGCTGCAAAGAAAGCCGCCGGCATGGTGGTCTCTTCGCGACAGCCATTGCCGGTGTCGATCATGGTTGTAGCGAGGACAGGAACGCCACGGAGCTTGCCGTCTTCGATGTTTCTAGTGGGGCGCCAAGATACTGACCTGTAGTCGGCCTCCGGCTTCAGCTCTTGCTCAGCCCTTGTACGTTGCAAGGCTCTCTGGATCAGGTCTTTGATTAGGCGCTGCAGTATCTCCGGCGCATCTTGTAAGCTATGTCGTAAGTGTTGAGTTTCTGGGCGCTCGCAAAGAGCTACAGAGACAGCGACAGCAGACCAGCACCCGCGCTGGACACGCTAACAACTGCACCAGAAATGATAGCAACACCGGTGGAAGACTATCAGCAGAGATGGAGTGAAAGGAGAAAACGTGCAGAATGATGCAAGACCAAGGCTCACATTAACATCCGCTTGAGCGTCCATGTTCCGCGCCACGCCCAGTCTCCCTATACACATCGTACTGCCACGCAAGGCAAAAGCAAGGACGTTACAGCTTCTGTAATACCACCAATAGGTCGATCGCTCCGAATCTGCGGTTTCCCGACCTGGAACGTTGACGTGCAGCCCGCCGCCAACCTGTTCCAGGTCCCCTATAACCTATGATGCGTCTGTCTCTCAGCGGACCCCATACCACCCTAACGTCGTTGCACTCTCTCAGCACTGCTTGACCGTCCGGAATGCGAGGGATCGCGGCGTCTTCTACGCCGCCTCTCGCCCTCTGGGCTTTCTTTCTTGCCATCCCATGTGTTCTGCTTGCTGGCGTACTCATCGTCTACACCGTCGTCGTGGTATCGATGCCTACGCCTTCGATCGACCCCGTCGTCATCCTCCGCCTTGTCTCCGTTCGTCCTTCTCCGATGCCTCGACCGTCTGTCCTCATCCCCACCATCTGCGTCATCTCGTCTTGATCGATGGGGCCGGTGTTTGTGATGTCGCTCACCTTCAATCCGCCCCTTCTTCCGCTTCGCCACCGCTTGCAAAGCCTCCTCAACCTCGGCCTGCTTCTCCTTCACCAGATACGCCTTCATTGGGTCATCATCGTCCATTTCCTTCCTTAACTGCGCCAGCTCACGCTCCTCCTTCAACATCGGCGTCTCCTCCCCTCCGCTTTCACTTTCCGTCCTGCGCCGCTTCTTGCGACTCTCACTCTCACGCTCCGTCTCATCGCCTTCATCGGCCTCGTCTCCGAGACCTTCCACCTCCCCTTCCTTCTTCTTGTACCGCGTATGATCCACGCTGATGACTCGCCCCATGACTCCTGCGCCGCTGAGGTTATCAACAGCCAGGTCGCAACTCCGCTGGTCTTCGTACTTGAGGAAGGCGAAGCCTTTGCTTTTGCCAGTTTCCTTGTCTCGCACAAGGTTGATGTGGACTGGATTACCGTATTGGGAGAATATGGTCAAGACGTCGCCCTCCGAAAGTTCAAAGGGAAGGCCGCCAATATAAATGTAGGCAGTGTCACGATAATCTGTGTGCCATGATGCGTTTGGTGGCACACACTTTTCGAGCTCTACATCGTTAAGGCGTTGTACCTGGCGAATGGATTGCATGTTTATCACGGGGTGAAAGGGCGACAACTACCGTGCGAGCATTCTATCGATAGCCGAGGCAGTGATGGGGTTTGGAAGCGCGAGGGAGTTGCTCGTTGATATATGCATGACTCGTGCCCAGGAGCACGGGTCACTTCCGTGCAAACTATCCTTCTACGAAGCGGCCACCTTCTCCGTGCGCAACGGTCTGCCACACACATTCGCTCCCTTGATACAGTGAGACGACCTTCACGATGTCGTGGAGATCGAACCTTGGCCAGACTGGCGCTAACACCATCCCGCTGGGCAACCGCCGCCGCTTCGGAGGCGATGACGAGCCGGAGATGATGAACGGTGGCAGCAACGGCACACCCACCCCCGTCGACGCAAAGCGTGGCCGCAGCCCGGAGCGCAGCAAAGAGCCTGAGCTGAATCCCGATGGCACGAAGAAGCGTCGCAAGCGTAACCGTTGGGGTGAGGCATCGGAGAACAAGGCGGCGGGCTTGATGAACCTGCCCACTGCCATCACCGCGCCCATGACCGCCGAGCAACTCGACGCGTATGTCACTCACTTGCGCATTGAGGAAATTAGCCAGAAGCTCCGCATCAACGATGTGGTGCCAGCTGATGGTGATCGGTGAGTGACCGGCCGATATCTCTCGTGTGTCCACATACTAACGCATTCAAGCTCCCCCTCTCCGCCACCGCAATACGACAACTTCGGCCGGCGTGTTAACACGCGCGAGTACCGCTACCGCAAGCGGCTGGAAGATGAGCGGCACAAGCTCATCGAAAAGGCGATGAAGATCATCCCGAGCTACCACCCACCATCTGACTACCGCCGCCCAACCAAGACGCAGGAGAAGGTCTACGTGCCAGTTAACGACTACCCGGAGATTAACTTCAGTATGCTTGCTAACCCACTAACTTCCCTTTCCTGCCCACCTCTTCTACTGCCCCACCTGTTCACGGCGATCGAAAGCCGCTGTCTCCCCTCTCTGCTAACGCTCACACATTGCTTCACATGGTACACACACTAACACATAGCTTCTCTTACTAACAGTCGGCCTCTTGATCGGACCGCGTGGTAACACGCTGAAAAAGATGGAGAACGAATCGGGCGCCAAGATCGCCATTCGCGGCAAGGGCTCCGTCAAAGAAGGAAAGGGCAAATCGGATGCCGCTCACGCTAGCAACCAGGATGAAGACCTGCACTGCCTCATCATGGCCGACACCGAGGACAAGGTCAACAAGGCTAAGCGGCTGATTCATAACGTCATTGAGACGGTAAGTTCAAGCAGCGACTTCTCTAGACAGGATGTCGATGTTGACTTTCACTAGGCCGCCTCGATTCCTGAAGGCCAGAACGAGTTGAAGCGCAACCAACTGCGCGAACTCGCTGCGCTCAATGGTACACTCCGTGACGATGAAAACCAAGCTTGCCAGAACTGCGGCGAAATCGGCCACCGCAAGTACGACTGTCCTCAAGCTCGCAACTTTACCGCCAACATCATCTGCCGTGTTTGCGGCAATGCGGGTCACATGGCAAGAGATTGTCCGGATCGCCAGCGTGGTCAGCCTTGGGCGAATCTACCTGCTCGCAAGCCCATCGGCGGGCCCGAAGACGACTACGAGAAGCTCATGAACGAGCTCGGCGGTGGGACAAGCGGAGACCCGAGCAAGCAAATTGGTTGGGACGACCAAGTCAAAGCGGAGGAGGGCGCTGGAGACAGCGTCCCACCGTGGCAGAGGCAAGCAACCGGGGCTCCGGCGCCGTGGCAGAGGCAAGAGCCTTCTGGTGCTCCTGCTCCATGGGCGAACCGTGGCGGCCAAGACAACTACGGCGGTGGTCGCGACAACTACAACGGAGGAGGCGGTTACGGAGGCGGCTACAACTCTGCTCCAACTGGAGGAGCTCCCCCGTGGCAGCAGCAGAATCGCGCTTCTGGTGGACCGGCACCGTGGCAATCAGGCGGTACAAGCGGCAATGGAGGCGGGTACGGTGGAGGAGGATATGGTGGCGGAGGTGGGTATGGAGGTGGCTCGGGAAGTGCTCCGCCATGGCAACAGAACTCCGGTGGTGCTGCACCCTGGCAGCAGGCTCCGCCTCCCCCGCCGCCGCGCGATGATGTGCCTCCGCCTCCTCCGCCGCCGAGGAATGATGTACCGCCGCCTCCGCCGCCGGCGTAGGTGAAGACATGGGCTTGGTGGGTGGGAAAGCGTGGGTTGAGGAGTCCGGTAGTTTCAGGACGGGCGAGGTGGGCGGTGGCGAAACGTGGTACGGGCAGGAAGAGCCAAAGAGGTCTGCTACGTACTTCTTGATCGCCTGTGTCATAATGAAAACCTGCATCGTGCGCGGCGTTCTGTATTGGCACCTCCTTAGCTGATTGGTTCAGCAGTGTGACCTTAGAAGAAATTATACATCCCGACGCGTCCGAACCTCATACGATATCCTTCGTTAACCATCCGGGGAATGGTTCCCTCCACGCCTGGTATTTGCGCGATCATGAACTGCCGATTGCATGTGGCGCACCTGCCCATGTACGGCACAGATCATACCCCACAACTCCCACTTCTCTGCCCCACAAAGATCCTTGCTCCTGGCTCGCTTGCCTGAGAGCTACACCCCAGACTGACCGAGAGGGACCGTTCCGCGCACGCATTTGGGTTGTGATTGGGCGCGCGTGAGCATGCGACTGCGTCTGTCTTCATCAGACCACGCCTCGACCGATGTGTTGGAAGCGATGCCGAGATGCCTGCCAATGAGGCCTGGCTCGTTGGCTCATGCGCCGCGTGCCCCAATATCCTTGAATGCGGCCATGTGAGCAGCCTGGCGGCGTGTACCGTGCATGCATCATGCGTGCACTCAAAGCCCGGCTGTTGTTGAGATAAGTAGTCCCAGCTAGCCAGCCTTTCCTGAAGCCCCAGCGTCTCCTGCTTACCACGAAACTCTACCCTTGTCTCAACTGTTCTCTCTTCGCAGCAGGCCAGTCTGCAGGAATGGCCTCTACCAATCGAAGCCCAAGCAGTGATGCCGATATCGAGGCGCAGAACTTCGTCGTCGACATGGAGAAGTCGAACCCAGAGTACAAGCTCACGCACACGCAGACAGGGATGACAATTTCGCCGGAGCTCTTCGAGAAGCTATACCTGACGCCCAAAGTTCCGCATGCGGGTGATGCGATCAAGCGGTTTGCGAATCCTACAGCTATGGGTAAGCCTTTCAGCTAGAGACGAGGGCAACCTCGATTCACACAAGCGCTATGGATCGGGCAACCGCGATTGTCATGCTCTGAGGCGCATGTTGGACGGCAAAGAAGTTGTCGGAACGGCGCTGACGGTATGATCGTGATATAGGCTTCGTCGGATTCGTCATCTCCACCTTCACGTTTGCTATGGTGAGCATGGGCTGGGGCGGCGCGAATAGCCTCGCCGGTGTTGCGGGCATCTTCTTCTTCGTCGGACCAGTCTTGCTCATCCTCGGCACCATATTCGAATGGGTGGGTCAAGACAAAGGGTTTGATAACGCCGGCAATACTCGCTGACATTGCTGTCGCACGCAGATCATGGGCAACTTCTTCAGCATGATGGTTCAGTCTCTGTTTTCGGTCTTCTGGCTCTCTTTCGGCCTGCTTCAGCTTCCTAGTCTTGGAATTGCAGCTGCCTACTCGCCTACCGGAGATGCTGCAGAAGGCGCCATCAGCGTAGGGTATACTTCGACCGTCGGGCTGTATTTGATCGTTTGGGGATTTGCCCTTTTCACCTTCTGGATCTTCACGCTCAAGACCAACACCGTCTTCGCCGGTATCTTCTTGTTCGTGACAATAGCCGCATGGATACTGGCGGGAGCGTACTTTGAGCTTGGAAAGGGTCACTTTGAGATGGCGACGAAACTGCAAAAGGTTGGTTGGCATGCAAATACGATACATTGCCTCTGAACGACCACCTGCTGACGAGTTCCTCACAGACGGGCGGAGCCTTACTCTTCATAGTAGCAGCACTGGGGTGGTATATGACCTTTGTAATCATGGCGGCGGAGATGAGGCTAGGGATCAATTTTCCCGTTGGAGACCTAAGCCACTTCTGGCCGCGGACAGATGTTCCTTTGGCGGAGACGGAAAAGCAAGACTGAACATCCATCAAGGGCTAGGCCTCGAACAGAGCTGGAGAAGATGCACGTCCGCGAGATCAGGAATGGGCGTCGGTGAAGCTGCGTCTTGGCAGCAGCGACCACATCGCAGACCTTTCAGAGTGGATGGGTTGTGATCCACTGATGGGTGTTGCCACACCATGACATACACTGTTTTGTGCTGGGTGTCGCCAAGCATTAGGTCCCATATTCCATATACGCAGCGACTTCAAGTCAAGATTGGGAATGCTCATGCACGTGAAGAAAGCGTCAAACGGAGTCGATTGCGTGCCTACTCGCTTTGAAAGATCCCCAAGTTCCTGCACGATAGCCTGAACAGTATTTACCGAGGCGAGCCAGTAGCGCCGGCGTCTTCATCATATCCCCGACGCTCATCTGCGTCACTGTACGTTGGATCAGACCTCACGCGACCATAGAACTTGTTTTTGCGTGTGTGATTGCAAGCAGCGATACTCCGCCCGCCTAGTTGTTCTGCATCCTGTAGATCGATACTGAAAGGACTACTCCATCAACCAGCAAACCATCACATCATCACCGCACGACCACCTTATCGAAGGGCACGAGAGTCATCTGCAGGTGAACATGGCCTCACCTTCGACCCGCGCAGGGTTTGCTGGCTCGACGGGCGGTACTTCCTCCGCCGCCATCCTTCTGGGCAAGCAGTTCAAGCAGATGCAGACGGACAAGGACATACCGGGTATCAGCTGCGGCTTAGTTGGGGACAGCGTCTTCGAGTGGGAGATCATGCTGATGCTGGATGAGGAGCAGGACAGTCTGTACGGAGGCACGTAATGCGGCTTGCTCGAACAGTATTGTCACTAATGGCATCCATGCTAACGTTTGCTCCTACTAGGCGGTTGCTTTCGAGCGAGGATGACCTTCCCATCGGAATACCCTCACATGCCTCCTACACTCAGCTTTTCAACACCCCTCTTCCATCCTAACGTCTACTCTTCCGGCGAGGTCTGCATTAGCATTCTACATCCACCCGAGGACGACAAGTATGGATACGAGTCAGCTGCGGAACGATGGTCACCCGTGCAAACGCCCGAGACTATCCTGCTAAGTGTGATAAGTATGCTGGGTAGCCCGAATGATGAGAGCCCGGCCAACATCGAAGCGGGCAAGCTGTGGAGAGAAGATCGCAAGGAGTTTCGCAAGAGGGTGAGGAAATGCGTGAGGGAGAGCCAGGAAAGTGGGTGGGATTGAGTCTCATTGCGCGTTGACGCAGCCTCCACGAGACTCTACTGGCGTACTGGCAAACGTATAATGACATCCTATGGCCTGGAAGATGAACTGTATGGCGTTGACGTTTGCTGGGTCGAAGGCAGGGTGGTAGACGGAGAAGGTCCCAGTGGGGCGCACTACTTCCACCATTCCACGTGACTGGACCCACTCAAGAGCTCCATTCACCATCGCGAAACGTGCAAGCAACTTGCATTTTTTCGCAGCGATGTTCCAGTCACACAACTTCGCCATGTTTGCGCTGCTCATCTTTGTTCGTAGTATCTGCGGAGGGACATCCTGAACTTCCTTGTCCAGTTGGGATACATAAGAGACACTCTCGAATGCGCATGGCTGCTCAGCGATACGCATCGACCATGGCACCCAACACCCCGCCGGAGCTCGTCAAGACTTCCACGACCACACTCGGCCAACTCATCGAAGAGGCAGTTGGCCTCCGCTCCGCTTGGCTCAAGCAGGTGCGAACGGCGCTGAACGACGTGCAAGCGAAAGATTCGGCGGATCCTCACCCAGAACTGATGGTCATACTGGAAGATTGCGCAGCCCTGGTGTTCTACTACGACGTACGACACGCTTGTCTCAAAGCGGCAACGCAGGCCATCGACAGCCAGCTGCAAGGGACCGCGCAGCGCGCTATCGATCTAAGCGGCAAGGCGCTGAAGACGCAGATGATGGCAATGCGAAATGCCTATGCCAAGCGCTTGTTGAAGGCGCTCAAGCCTCTAGAAGCAGGGTATGTAGTGACAGCAGAGCAGGTACAGGAGATCTTCACGGCGGCTAGTCTCATGGGTCCAAGCGACCTGACAAATTCCGAGGATGCGCCCAAGACCGTCGGTAATGGTTTGCTTCTGCCTTTGATACAGAAAGTTGACAAGGCCACCCAAGAAGAGCGAATGGCTTTCAATCTCATGGCACAGATGTACGACTTGGATGTGCCGGAGGATGGCTGCTATGGAAGATACCTTGCTCTGGCGAAGGAGAAACTGCAGAATGAAGTCCTCAAGCAGATTCGGGTGATCAGGCGATTGATTGCGAGGGAGCCTAACGGCGCGTGGCCGGTTGAAGTGGCGGAGTTGAGACGCAGGGTTGTGGCGCTGAAGGATATGGATGCCATATTGGCGGCCGGACTTGATGAGGAGGAGGAGGAGGAGAAGGAGGGGGATGGAGAATCGAAGGTGGAGGCACTGTCGCTTGAGAGATAGCACTCTGGTTGGTCCGCAGACCAATCGGGACGTGGCAGGAATGGTATGTAATAGCCTGCGGATGCACAGACTGACGCGTGCCACTTGACCTGTGAACGCGCCAACGCGCCATAGCAACCATGCCCCTAATCAATACCCTCGTTGCTTGTGAGATGTGAGATGCCTGTCACGGAGAACAGGTCAGTGCCCGCAGATTTACTGTATAAAGCTGGATACCACTTATACATAAGGGCACCGTTTACAAGCCGTCCAATGCTCTTCCGTCCAGACATCATGTCCTCGACTCCCCTCATCCACCTGTCTTGCGCGAGGTGCCATAACGCACAAGCAGAAAGCAGAAAACTTTCAGCCTTTGAAGCGATGCTCAGCGTGTCCAGCGCTGCTGTATTGCTCACAGATATGCCAGAAAAAGCACTGCAGCAATCATAAGCCGGGGTGTCATCGCTTTCGAGCTGGCCTCACCACGCCTCATAATCATGCAACCATGCGTTTACAGATGAGCGGCCTCACAAGTCTAGGTGGTCAAGCCGATGATGCGACGAAAAGGCCCTATAGCACTGCTGCCGGCCCTGGAGACAACAATATCTACTATTTCGAAATCCCGGAGCGTCACCGCTACAGCATTCTCATTTGGGGTCCGTTTACCCGCTGCAAGCAGAAGTGCCGCAGGTCTTGCGGATTTGCGGTCTCGGACGCGAACCAGGCGGCAATACTTTTAAGAGCTCCTGGATGGCAACCAACTGAATTCATTCGAGCACATAGCTTGCGCAACCAATGGCGAGCCGAACACAGAAGGGCGGTTTCGCTTGTTGACCGAGCATAGCCCCATCATGGTGTGTGATCTGCTAGGCCCGGCGTATGCTGGCCTTGTTGGTGAAGTCGTGAGTCTTGCGCACAACAGTCGACCTGATAAGCGGGAAGACATTGGCATGTCACCTCGGAGCTTGCGCGTGCATGGTACCTTGAGGCGCGGTCGGCCGCTATGGACGCCGCACGCGCTGTTGTTCCGACGCTGGAGACTGGCGAGGGGGCACGTTTCGAGGAGATGTCCATTGTTGACGCAAACACGGTGTTTACGGCGGAGGGCTTCCATATGGTTGGTGGTAGAAATGTGATCTCTCACACGGTCACAGTCGACTTCGAACCGGGTACAGAGGTAGCTCATTAGGAACAAGTTGTGCAATGATCGCCGCTGAAAGGGAGGCGCTGGTTCAAGGTTACATTTTAGGTCCGGCGGGTGGAAGCTCCGTACGTAGGCTTAGTAGTCGATTTAGACGGCCGGCCTTTGGCAACCTTCCTTCTCACCTGCGCCCGCTTTGAGCTTTGGAGCAAGACCTGATCGTTCCGATTGCGCTGGCGGTCGTGACATCTCGTTTACAGAACTCAAGTCCACCAGAAGCTCACGGAGAAGCTCGTGGTTAAGCTTTCCACGTAATGCCACCAGCCCACGGGTATGTACATGCATTCACCGGGTGCCAGTACAGCCTCCACATACTTCGCCTTCTCGAACAAGGGAAATAGCTTGCGCAACCCTCCTTCAACATCGAGCTCACAGCTTTCGCTAAGGCTAGCTCGGAAAACCGATACGTCGACATGAGATGTGTTCTCCATGCTGATGCCGTTCTCATCGAGGCCGCGCGGATAGACGTTCGGTGTCTGACTTGGCGCGTACAGCCGGATGTACTTATAACCCACGACCTGGCAGAGAATGTTGTGATACGGATCGGTGTGAAGCGGCGTCTTGGTGCCCTTTGGACCGAGCCAAGCATTCAACAAAGGCTCATCGAGCGGCTCCGCGTTTCCTAGTCCAGATGTCCGAAGACTGTCTTCATCCAATTCCGTTGCAGCGTAGCAGTAGTCCGGCACAACGATGTCGTTCCGCAAGGCCGGAATCTGTGCGAAAAGATCGTATTGTGCGAGGTAGCCAACTTCCGCGGGTTCCGATGGAAGTAGGAACGCGCGCATGTACTCACGGATGGTCATCAAACGTTGACTCCAGCCTTCGGAGGTATAAGATTCTCCAATCTCGACTGGTACAAGACGGCGACCGCCTAATGTCCGTCGAAGAAGGTAATTCGGATCATGCCACAGCTGACTTGCAGGCCAGTGTCCCATCGCACCTGGCACGATGAGCGGGCCGGCGCCTTTGCCGAGCCACTTCTGGAAGCCTTCAAGATCAAGGACATGCACAGCCCGTGGAACAGCAGAACCACTATCGACAGCTCGTTGTGGTACTACATCGAATGTGGCTGGGATGTCATGACCCAGATCTGGTGTGACGAGCTGCTCAAGCTGCCCGAATATCCTACGGAAGACTGGTCCGCGGCCAGGTGCACCGGCAAGGATGATACCTGTATCGAGAATCCTAACAACAGCATCAAGCCAAACATCGCCGTCGAGCGTGGCTTCCACCACACTTTGAACGACCTTACTCCGCTTGTTATCGTTACCAGATTGCTGATGCTGAAGGTCGCCTCGTTCCCGTAACAGCTCACTTGCCCTGTACAGGCTCGCTTCTTCGTATAGTCTACGCCATTGCGACGGCACCTTAGAATAGGAAAAGCTGTGAAGCTTCTCGTAAGTGAGATCTAGGACGGTGCCGGGACAGTTTTCGATGACACGCAGGGGAGCCGGACCGCAGAGATGGATCGTTTCATTGAGAGCGGGCTGACTGAGAAGGTCAGTAATAAAGTCAGCCAGGCATCCTAGTCGTCCTCTGCCATGCTGCGCGTCGACCTCGACGTCAGCAACACCTCGTTTCATCGGTCAGTGCAGTCTGGTTCAGCGCGGCAGCGCAACCGTGCAACCGTGCTAGACTTGCGGCTCTTGCGAGCCTTGACAACCTACCTTCGCGAGACCGCAAAGCGCTGGATAGCCACTGAAGGTGCCGCTACACATCACAGTCTTACGATGCACGCGCCGGCTCAATAGTCTGTGATACCACAGCCAACAAGCCTCGGAGATTGAGACTGGTCAATCAACGGTTGAATGGTTGGGTTGATCGCGCGCAATCAGTCAAATGCTTCGTGATCAGAATCGCTGGTCCTGCAGTATATGCGTCCCTGAATCCTTGCAGAGCGCCACGCTGCTGCAGGTTCTTGGGTCAAATCCTGGTACGACCACACCGCTTCCACGTTGCATGCAGGCCGGAGTAGGGTTCAGCGGCTACTCGTAAAGGTAACAAGTGGCTGGCAAGAGACGTCATCCCGGTACGACAATCCTGTGGGCTATCGTGGTCGTTGTATGCCAAGAACAGGCACCACTATACTCGACGATTGACGGACTGAGCCTTCGAAGTGCACAGTCTCCGCGAACGTGAAGGAGCCGATGGCAAGTGGCGCCTAGACCCTTGATTTGTCTCGGGAACATCCGAGATATCGCAAAGCGTACGTTCATTCCGCTTCCTCAGCTACTCAACTCCTGCTACGAGTGCAAGCACGGCGTGGCTCCGGTATCTGACGCCGAGCAACCGAGCAGCTGTACTCTGACATTCACCAGTATCGCTGGACGATTCAGCAGACTTCAATGCGAAGGCTTCCCGCCTCCTATGTGCCCCGCCGAATAAGAACGCATGGTGGTTACACCAATTTTCACTCTCACACCATCAGTGAACTTAGCCCGCGGTGCCGAACGTAGCACGGCATCGCTGCACCCTATCTCATCGCAAGCATGATTTGCATGCCCGGAGGTGTGTGACGCTGCACCAAAAATCCCCAGATACGGTCCAGAATTGGTAAGGACATGGGCTTTTCGGCAGACGCGTTCGGTGCAGGTTAGTTGGTGTGTTTGTTCATCTTGTACTTGTAAACTGTTCGCCTTTATTCACACCGCTCTACATGCTCTTTCTCTATTCCATTGCACAGTAACGCTACACGACACGACGGACGGTGCTGCCCTTGCGCCAGCGCAGAGATAGCTCGCCAAATGTGACAAACATCCGCCTTAGTCAAGCAACCATGGGCACAAGGAGCTTTGCAGACGTGCCGCCGACAGCGGCAACAATCGCCTTGAATGCCTACATCTTCGGGTACGGAGGCCACTCTCTCGTCACACCTCACACGGCTCTCAAGCAGTTATGGTGGACAGACGAGCGCATCGAGCGCAAGGTCACCAGGTCCTTCGTAGTCTCCAAGTTGCGTGGCGAGGAGCGACAGTTTTTGGACAAACCGCTGGCCTTCGGAGAAGGTCTGACTGACGGCACGTATATGGACTGGATCCTTGAGCGGGCGAAGCGACTCTTCCTCATCTTGACCGTCATCGGAGTACCAGATCAGATCTTTGGCTGCATCGATGACTCTTGGGATGATGACGACCTTCCGTTGCCGTTGGGGAACGTGAAGTGTCTTGACCTATCATACGATCATGACGAGGCGCTGGACCGGAGATTCTACGATGTACAGTTTCTGTACCTACTGCGCGAGCTTCGCCCCGGCGCACACATTGAATATGGGACTAACGAACACATACCTATGGATCATGCCAACACTCTGCCGCCTGCAGTAAGCTTACAACGGTGGGATAGGGTGCACTTCCCCAGCAGGCCAGAAGAGGTTTACATGCGACGCAAGTACCTTTTAACGGACAAAGAGACTGGCTGCAGCTATGCTGAAGCCTTTGCTCGCGATATCCAACAGGCACGTGCTCTGCACCATGAGCACATTGCCAATGTCTGGGCGTCGTACACGTCGCAAGATGCAGGTTACGTGCTCTCTGATTTCGTTGGCGAACATACTTTGGGAACATTCATTGACCACAGAATGCCCATACAGTTCATGCATGTGAAGGAGAGCGACCGCCCGCGAGTGCTGTGTGAGTGGATGCACTGTCTTGCTGACGCACTCGCATGCCTTCATCATCGCGGTGTAGCGCATGCGGCGATCAGACCATCAAACATTCTGATCGACCACGATAACCACATCGCTTTCGCAGACGTTGGTACGATTCCAACATTCCAGCGAGGAAAGAAGCCGCACAAAAGCGAGACCTACGACTATGCCGCCCCCGAGTCACAATTCTCCAGGCTTCCGATTGTGGTCACGTCCAGCCCGCCACTAAGCAGCAATACAGCCTTTAGCAAGCTAGCCAAGACCAACTCTGGTAACAGCAGCTCGTCGGCATCGTCAGGCTGCAGTAGCACGAAATCCATCAACGTATGCACTACTGCTGCGACCAGCCCGACATCGACGCCATTGTCTATCGAGCGTTCAAGCCACATCAGTGCAGTCACCGCACTCTCCCCGCCGAGTCCGCCGCCTCGAAGCTCTTCGTACAGCTTCCGCAACTTCAGCCGCCATCTGGAGCTTGCGGGATGCCCGTCGCCGTCCATACCCACCTCACCGCGCAGTTTCAATAACCTGCCGCGACGTAGCTTCTTGGACCCCGAGGCTCTTTGCGACCTTCCAGAAGTCACACCGGAGATGTCGGACATCTACTCGCTTGGGTGCATCTTCCTTGATGTCGTCACGTTCATCCTCCGCGGCAAGCTTACCGACTTCGTCAAATTCCGGTCTACGCGCATGCAATCAGTACCGCTGAGCAGCAGCGTAGGTAAGGTCCGGACAGACCACAGCTTCCACGGCAACCCGGAGAAGGTTGACGTCTGGATTATGCTACTGAAAGAAGAAAGTGCAGTTGTCCGAGGCGAGATCTTCCGCGGTGTACCCGAGCTGCTAAAGCTAATACGGAGAATGCTGATGCAGAATGCTACGCTGCGACCCTCCGCAAGAACAGTTCGAGATAGATTGCAGGAGGTCTTGGTGGATCAATGTGGGATGAACACGCTATGTTGCGCCGGTCGCGAATGGATTGTACCTGCAGCGTCGGAGAGCTCAAAGCCGCCGCGGGAAGATTGTAGCACGCCGGTCAAGACTCCACGCTTATCAACGCGTAACGAATGGGACTGCGCTCGGGCTGGCGGCATGTATGGCGACAATATGAGTATCCGAAGCTGCGCGGTCTCTCACGTCTCGTCGGCGCATGCACATCGCAGACGGCGGAGCTCAGCAAGAGCAGCTACGATGAAGATCACCTCATGGCGTAAGGCGCTCATTCGCGCGGCCTGAGCGGGTGTAGCTTGACGGTTGGGTATGTGGTTAACCTGGTTTATTCAGCCGGAGACGTATCAGGTACTGTATACTATAGTGACTTATGCATGGTGGCGTTGAGCACATCGGGGTCATGTCGCCTTACCTGGGGCCGCCCAGCCTTTTCCGTCTTGGATGCGGCATGTCAAGCGTTGGGGATGAGGTAGCTGTAATGTTCTGTCATTGCTATTGAGTCTGCTTCGTACCCTTTCTATAGACCGTACCCTGTTGCACTGAGCTGCACTCAATCGCTCGCTTTTGCTATATACATGTAAATTCGCTGGAAGTCACGGTAGTTTAGTATCAGCGCTCGCTTTCTGTTTCCAGCAGACTACCCTTGCCTTACGGCCACGTTTAGCTACGCGGTGATGGTTGAGATTACGTCCGCAGGCTGCCATCCACGAACTTGAAGTGGCAAGTCGGAAGGGATGCTCTCGGCCACGAGGGCAGATATGGTAGTCACCAAGTAGCCTACCTGGGCAATATCCTCGAGCATTACTACTAGAGTGACGAGAAGGGGTCGGCAGCCCACTCTGCAATTGCCGCCTCCCACGTGCTCCCGTAACACACTGGCTACAGTAGTATAGACAGAGACAGCTTGCTGCGAGAGCATGTTTCTGCCCAGGTTTGGAGGCTCGGTCGCTCAAAGGCGTCAAGCTCTTTGGTGCAAAAGGAAAAAACAGAGAACGTAGAAACAAGCTAGTGTCGTTGTCACGAAGCTCAGACGGCGTCGAGCTTGCACTCCAACAAGCCCCCATTCCCTGTACTATAACCGGCAACCGGGCGCCAAGGTGTACGCTTGCGGTGGAGCCGAGGCGTACTCTCCACGTGAGACTCGACCTCAACCCGGTGGAGAGGCAGGTCTGGGCGCTGATCGGAATAGTGCGGAGAAGCTTTCCGGAGTGATGAGCAGGCGGAGTAGGGGTTGGAGTGGGTTGTTGACCATGACTCACGCGCTCCATTGCCTCCGTCTTGGCCGGACTGGGAATGGCTCGCTCAGGATCCGCAAGCACTGGATGCACCGATGCAACAATGCTACAAGGATCTTGAGCCCCGCCGTGGCCGCTCTGCCCTCCTTATGCGGCAGAGCTCTGGATGATGCCTCGGAATGGGGGTGTGCTATAAGATCGGTACGGCCTCCCACCCAGGCTCATGGTAGGCCGTTCCCTCTGGACTTGCATTACGTCTCGATCAGCGACGGTCGTCTCTATTTAGCTTACTAGTTCAAGATGGACGCCAGTCGCGAGAAGGAGTTCGTAACTGAAGAGGAAGACTTGAAGGATGTCGAGGGCGTGGTTGCCGAAAACGATTCTGCGCTCGACAGAAGAATTACAAGGAAGATTGACGTTCACATCCTCCCCTGGATCTTCGCCCTGTGGCTGCTGGCCTTCATTGATCGTTCAAACATCGGCAATGCTAAGCTGGATGGTCTGACCAAGGATCTCCACCTGACTGGCGATAAATACAACGTTGCTCTGACCGTCTTCTACATCCTCTACGTCCTCATCGATGTCCCAAGCAACTGGCTCCTCAAGATTGTCGGGGGCGGGCACTACCTCCCCATCCTGGCAGCATGCTGGGGCATAGTCGGCACATGCATGGGCGCCGTCAAAAGCTATGGTGCGCTGATCGCCTGCCGCATGCTGCTCGGAGCGTGTGAGGGAGGCATGTTCGGCGGCATCATCCTTTACCTGAGCATGTTCTACAGACGCCACCAGCTCATGTTCCGCCTGGGCGTCTTCTACTGCGCTGCTCCTCTGTCTGGCGCATTCGGTGGGCTCCTCGCCACCGGCTTGGCCGAGATCAAGTATCATGGCTACAATGGGTGGCCGTGGATCTTCTTCGTAAGTCGCACATTCTGCATCCACCACCAACCGTGTACTGACTTTATGGTAATGCAGGTGGAAGGCGCCATCACCGTCCTCGTAGCAGTAGCAGCCTACTTCTTCCTCCCTCACACGCCCAGCTCATGCCGCTTCCTCTCCACAGAAGAGCAATACCACGCCGCTCACCGCCTCCGCGTCGACCTCCACGGCGCCGCGAACGTCGAGCACGTCGAGGAGGAAGAGTTCAGCTGGGTCTCCGTGCGCATGGCCCTGTTCAACTTCAACACCATCGCCATGAGCCTGAACTTCTTCCTCATCCTGGTCCCAATCTACTCCTACAGCCTCTTCCTCCCCAGCATCATCAGCGGACTCGGATACAAAGCAGTGCACGCCCAGCTCCTCACCGTGCCGCCGAACTTCACGGCATTCCTGATGGTACTTCTGAGCTCGTACATCAGCGACAAGATCAAGATGCGTGGCCCGATGATCGTAATCGGCATGATACTCGCCGCCATTGGCTACATCATGCAGATCGCCGCACACAGGCCTGGGATCAAATACGCAGGCACCTTCTTCGTCGCCGCCGGCGCATTCCCTTGCTCGCCGCTCGTGCTGGCATGGCTGAGCAACAACCTCGCGCCCCACTACATCAAGGCCACTGGTCTGGGTCTCCAAGTCGCTATTGGCAACTGCGGAGCTTTCGTGGCTACGTTTACTTACCTCAGCCAAGACGCGCCCAAGTACCGTAAAGGCCATGCCATCAATCTCGGTGCCCTCGGACTCGGTTTGGTGTTGACGACGGTGACCATGGCTTACATTCGTTGGGAGAACGCTGCCAGGCGGAGCGGGAAGAGAGACCATCGGTTGACGCAGGCGAACAGTGTCGCGTTAGGGTACAAACACCCGCACTTTGAGTACACTCTGTGATCTTCTTGTTGTATATAGAGAACAGACAGAAACGTGTACACCATCCGTCTGGGCAGTGCTTGCAGACCATCAAGCGTCACCGTTGCCATTCATGTCGAGCTTCGGCACCATCATCCTCCCCTTCATCAACGTCCACGCCCAAATCAGATCCACAATTGCCACATCGAAGAAACTGAAAACCAAACTCCCGCCAAAGACAATGGAATGGTACTTCCAAGCATCGTCTACGGTAATACCAACCTGACTCACCACCACCGCCCACGGCAAAACCCAGCAAATACTGCTAACAAGCGACTGATACAAATACCACCTCGGCCGCGTGGCGAGCAAAATGGTGGCGAGCTGCGTGGCCAAAGCGTAGAAAATGTAGCACCAGTCAATGGTGCGCCACATCTTCTCGGTGATAAGGGAGACGGGGTTAGAGGCGGAGATGTAAAAGGCGAAGTGGCGGGCGCCGTAGAAGGAGAGGAAGAGGCAGAGGGGTACTTCGATGATCAGGGCGATGAGGCAGGAGGTTAGGGCCGGGCGGGTGATGTCTGCGCGGCTCTTAGTCGTGCTATGCATGCGCCAGGCTGGGAAAGGGTGGATGACTTACGTAGCAGCTGCGACTTGGTTGCGTGAGGTCGGCGTTCGTCCGAACCAATACTTCTACGCCAGGAACCCCAAGCGTGTCCGACGAAAGCTAGCGAGGTGGCCTCGAGCGACTGCACGGGTACCATGATCAGGCCCCATCGGATGGTGCTGAAGACACCCCACGCTGTGGCGTAGTCGGAGCCCATCGCTACAATGCCGCTGACGAGCCACAGATATAGGGCGTTGCGGACGGCAGACTCGGTGAAGGTGAAGAAGCCTGGCCTGGCTAAAGTTGACAGGCTGCCGAACGAGGGTCTGGCTTCACGAGGAACCTGATGTCCATCCACGGGCTTGATTCGACGGCGCTGCCTGGCTGTGATGCTGACGAAGTACGCAAGGCCTGCAAGAGAAGCAGTCATGTTGCAGGCGAGCTGCGTCGCGGCTTGAGTGTTCACTGACGGATGTATACCGCGGACATGGAACCTCGAGATCACAATCATGTCCAGTACAATATTAACGACGAACTTGATGGAGCTGATGAGCAACGGTACATCCGGCTGGTCCAGGGATCTGGTAGCCGACGCGACCGCTGTTTCAATGGCGGATGACAGAGCCGAGAATGCAGAGATCCGGACGTACGTAAGGGACGCTTCACGCACAACGGAGGGCACGAACGCGTCTGCGAATTGCCGTGCAGCGCCGAGAAAGCAGACGGACAAGATCAGGCCGAGTGCGCTTTGGAACAAGATCAGGGTGTATGATAAGCCATGGCGGTCGGCAAGTGAACGGTTCGACTTGTCTGCGATGATGTTCCAGGCAGCGCGCGGTAGACCTTCGTTGATCACCTCGGCGACGACGCCGATGTAGGTATAAGCATCGGTGGTGACTACGAAAGAAGCATCGATGTCGGCCACCCACAGCTTGCTCAGAGTGGCGTAGAGAGCGGGGAGGGTGAAGGCGGCGATGTTGAAGAGCAAAGTACCAAAGTACCTTTTCCTGCTCCATGGCTTGACAAGAGTGTCTGGCGGAGGACCGCCAGGCGCACGCACTCCAGCGTCGGTAGTGCCAATTATGGTATCGTCCTTTGAGAGCATCGTGTACGCATGGCGGAAGACCGAAGAAGACCTTGCGGTCCGCAGTAGGTGCCCGATCATATAAGGCGAAGCTCAAGCTACATCTTCCCGGTGGGGGTGGTATGTTTGGTGGGAGGTGTGCGTGCAGCATCTGCTGTGAAACGTAACATTGCAAGGCTGGGCATGGACAAGGCAATAAAGTCAACGAGGAAGCGACCCAATGGGATTTGCTGATATGCAATGACTCCAAGCGTGCCTAGATGAGATGACTAGAGGCGTGAAGCATCACCTCACCCTTGCTGACTCGCGCGGCGGTCGTTATTACAGTTGCATTGTATAATATTTGTTGTTCTAATTCATGTTGTCTTGTCTTGTTGGTGGAGATCGGAGGTTGTATCAACGGAGGACGGAGGTGAATTCCGCGGCAGAGAGGCGCCCGGTTCCCTCGCCGGCCCCAGCTTCGTTGCTTTAGCGTGGAGTTGCCAAAAAATGTTCGATAGGGACGATGGAAGACATGTGATCCAGACAAACGCATTACCTTCCGTCTCTTTTACTTCTCATACACTGTCTACTATCCTATACCATCCTGCCAAGAGTTCACGACGTGAGAATCATACTGGAGTCACTGCTATTGCCCGCCAACTGCAATGCGCAGAGCGCTACAGCGATGCTCGGCATCCATCCCTCGAACATTCGCCTCCACCAGCGGTAGCGTCTCCCACAACATATGCCTACAGTGCAATGTCTCGCGCATCGCATCACAAAGCGTTAGACCGACTCGGCGAGCGCTACATCAGACTTCGCTCCTCCGCCAACAAGCAGCCGCTGCAGCGGAAGCGCCATCATCAAACACCAATGCGCCGGCACCGATTACTCGCTTCGATGAGCTGGGCAGCCGGAACATCGTCCACCACAATGTCGTCCGCACGCTCACGCAAGACATGGGTCTGGAGACGATGACAGAGGTTCAACAAGCCACTATCAACGAGGCATTAAAGGGGACGGACATTATAGCGCAAGCAAAGACGGGTACCGGCAAGACGCTGGCCTTCTTACTCCCAATCCTGCAGAACATCATCAACGTCGACCCACAACTGGCCGAGCGCGGCTTCTCACGTCGCGGACCCAGAACAACGGCGGACGACATTCGCGCCTTGATCATCTCGCCAACACGTGAGCTGGCCGAGCAGATTGCGGAAGAAGCGAAGAAGGTGACGAGGCATACCGGCATTGTGGTGCAGACGGCTGTGGGTGGGACTCAGAAGTCGGCGGGTCTAAGAGCCATCCAGCACCAAGGCTGCCATCTCCTCGTCGGCACACCAGGCCGGCTCAAGGACATCCTGACCGACCCATACTCCCGCGTGCAAGCCCCCGACCTCAGCGCGTTGGTGTTTGATGAAGCCGACAGACTTCTCGATCAGGGCTTCTGGCCCGAGATCCAGGAGATCATGCGATTACTACCCACACCCGCGGAGCGAAACCGACAGACCATGATGTTCTCCGCGACCGTGCCGCGCGAAGTCGTGGATCTGGTTCGGAGCACGCTCAAGCCCGGCTTCCAATACGTCAAGACGGTGCGCGACGACGAAGAGCCCACCCACGCCAGAGTACCGCAGCGCGTCGTAACGGTCAACGGCTTCGAGAACAAGCTGCCTGCGCTAGTCGAATTAATCTCGAAAGCCGTCGAGGCGTCGAAACAACCCGGAGGTAGACCCTTCAAAGCCATTGTATACTATAACAGCACCGCCGAAGTCTCCCTCGCCGCCAGTGCCCTCCGCAACCTCAGCACCCCCGAATCATCATCCACCGACTCCTTCGGCGGCCGCCGCGGTACCCACCCCTGGCCCTCCACCAAAATCTTCGACATCCACGCCCGCCTCTCCCAATCCCAACGCACCGCCGCCGCCGACGCCTTCCGCCACTGCACAAGCGGCATCCTCCTCTCCTCCGACGTCACCGCCCGCGGCCTTGACTTCCCCAACGTAACCCACGTCATCCAAATGGCCATCCCGCCCTCGCGAGAACAATACATCCACCGCATCGGCCGCACCGCGCGAGCAGGAAAAGAAGGCGAAGGCTACCTCATCATCTCCCACCTGGAAACAGGCGAGGTCCGCTCACGCCTCCAAAAACTGCCCCTCCAACCCACCAACACCCTCACGACCGCCAGCCTAGACTTGACCCGCGAATCGCAAGTCCCCGCCGAAGCGGGCAAGATCCTCGAAATGGTCCGCGGAGCCGTGACGGGCGTGTCGATGTTGGATAAAGTCAAGGTCTACCAAGCACTACTAGGAGTGTACGGGTATATAGGGAATAAGCGACATTTGGTTGAAGCGATGAATAATCTGGCCCTGTTTGGGTGGGGGATGAGGGAGCCGCCGAGTATTGCGCCCGGGTTGGCGAGTCGGTTGCGGCTGGATCGCGTGCCGGGGGTGAGGATTGGGAGTGAGTTGCGGGAGTTGGAGCAGCGGGAGGGTGGTGGGGGTGGGGGTGGAAGGGGTGGTGGGTTTGGTGGGGGCGGCCGGAGAGGTGGGAGTGGGTATGGGGATAGGGATGGTGGGTTTGGTGGACGAGGTGGTGGTGGTGGTGGGTTTGGTGGAAGAGGTGGTGGTGGTGGTGAGAGAGGTGACTTTGGTGGTAGAGGTGGTGGTGGTGGACGGGGTGGCTTTGGTGGCACCCGAGGAGGCGGGTATGGAGGTGGTGGGGACAAGTATGGTGGAGGTGGAGACAGATATGGCGGCGGTGGCGGTGAAAGGTATGGCGGAGGTGGCGGTGATCGGTACGGAGGAGGCGGTTCTTCGCGCGACTATCCCTACTGAGCGATACAGTGAAGGCTGCTTCGGTTCGTATACGCATCAGGGGCGATGAAGCTCTGGCTGGGTGAAGCTCTGGCTAGGGGTGTTGGACGACCAATATTCGGTGGTTGGCGCGGCGCTGGAGTCGGTTGGTTTACCATTGCATCGTGGTGGCGTCTGCACTGCATGGCGCTCTACATGGAACAAAGCATGGCATTGGTGCATGCGAAGCGGTGGGTATGACTAGATCTGTATAGACAGTGTACCAATATGACTCTCCTCTGCCACGCCGCTCTTCGCCAAGATCGTATATGATCAGTAGTACGTTTCAGGTCACGGTACCAAAAGACTACGAGGCCTTCCCGTCTGCGCTGTTACCATTCGCTTTCTGCGCCGGAGGTTCGCCTTTCTTGGATTTCAAGCTCTCCATCGCCGAATCAACACCGCTCAGCCGTCGTACAAGCGTCTGTACTCCCGGCGGCAGAACATGCAAGAGGTCAATATACCGCGCATAAAGCGGCAGACTAATCTCACCACTCTGCCCACTGTCGACCATCCTCACAATCTCCCTCGCCAGCTCAACAGGCTCAACAACAGGTCCAAGGAATGAGTTAGGCGTCTCCAAGCCCTCAAACAAACTTGTTGACAGCTGTCCCGGCGTGACGAGAATCGTGCGTACGTTCTCCGCGCCCTTTGGCGCAGCCGATGAGGTTAGTTCGGCCCGCAACGAGGTGTGCATAGCGATCAGCGCGGCTTTCGACGCAGTATAATCGCTCAGATGGCTCGCCCCCAGTTTGCCGAGGACGGAGGAGATGGTTACGATCGTGCCGCCGTGCGCTGAGGCTAACATGCCTGGGAGGAAAGTGCGGAGGGCGTGGAAGTGGGAAAGGGTGTTTACGCTGAATGTCTTCTGGACTTCGGTTGGGGAGAGGGAGAGGAGGGGTTTGCCGTGGACGATGCCGGCGTTGTTGATGAGGATGGTTGGGACGCCGAGCTGTGGGAGGAAGAAAGAGACTTACCGTCAACCTTTGCGTGGAGGAGAGTGCGGGTGTTGAAGGTGGCTACCTACATCCTTCTCTATCTGTCCTCTCGCTCTTTCCACGGCGTCAGAGTTGCCGACGTCGCAGTGGTAGAACTCCACACCCGCGAGACCTTCACTCTCCTTCTCGAGTTGCTGGATATCGAGGATGGCGACGCTGGCGCCCCTCATGCCATAGATCTCGGCCAGGATCTTGCCCAACCCGCCGGCTCCACCCGTAATCACTACGACTTCTTCGTTCCAGTCCAGCTCTCGCGGCGGGCCGTTCGCTAACCGCTTATCCAAGTAGCTTAACACCCATAGCAGAGTGATTATCGAGGCATAGATGCAGGTGGCGTAGACATTGAAGCTGTGCGCTGGTGCGCCTACAGCGCGCTGGCATAAGGGTATCAACCACGCGATGAAGGGGTGGAAGATGCTGCGGTGGAGGATGTGGGCGAGTAGGTCGATGTTGACCTGGCTATACCATGACTTTGTGATGCCGGTTGTTATGTGATTGGACATGACTCTACTTGCCCGTGTTGTGCTGATCGAGGCGAGGTTCGGTGCCGATCGGGACAGAGAGACTGTCTCGTTTAGACAAGCGAGCGATGCACAGTCACCACGCCCAACCAATAGTGCAAGTGGTAGTCCGCACAATGAATAACACTGCTATGCAGGTTACGCTCGGGTGGTACGAGCGTGCATTCGTGTGCTTGGATTAGGGGGGGTTCGGAAACCGAATACAAGGAAGTCCACTTCTTAGCATGCGGATAGTCCCGCATCCACGACAACACGCTGACTGTTATAATCACGTAACAAAGCGCATCTTTGTAAGTAAAGCACTAGCTTTATATAACGGGTCTGAGGCTGCGACTTTTCCTGTCTCTATACCGTTGTGATGCTCGACGTCGCGATAGATCTCGCGCAGGCTGCTTCAGCTCGTTACCAGAATCATGACCGGTGCAAGAAAACCCTCGTGCCCTTTACAACCATCGAAACTAAGCCGTTGTATCGCTGGAATCTTCAAAGGGAAATCCGCTCAAAGCGTGTCAACAGGACGGGAAACCTACTCTGAATTAACTTCAGCGTGGCTTGCTGTCACCCACCGAAATGGCCATGTTCGAACGCGTCGTTCCGGCCGAGGCTTGCTCTAGATCGTGCTGGAGATCGAATCTGCCAATAGCTCAGTTTTTCAGCTCAGCCCCGACCGTGCACAAGACCTTGCTGCTTTGCATTGCTTGCGAAAAGCTTGTCTCGCAGCTCGCTTGTCCAAAGTCTATCACTCGCTTGGACAAGGTCATGTTCTCCAATAACTGCGCGAGCGGTGCCTAGGAGGGGTGCATCAGTCACTCATAAGTAGAATCATCCAAGTGAGTCAGTCACTCCCTATCCATCTCCATTGTGAATCCACCTAGGCACATTATTGCTGTTCGTGTCTCCGTTCACCATGTTGCTCGGCCTCTGCCTTGTCCTGTTATACGCATCCTGCTGTCATGCCGCATTGCTGGGATCTCACAAGGTCGACCGTGCCAATCGTGGCATTCCCGAGGTCCTCAAGGCTCGCAGTCCTCAAGGAAGACCAAGAGGAGGCAGCAACTCAGCACCCGGCCATGATCTTTGGCCAAATCAACCTCCTGCTTCCAAATATCTGCGGTCGACCTCGATTGTCGCGCAAAGTAAGCCCTCAAGCACCGGTCATATGATCATCCGGCCTTCTACACCACCTAAGTCGTGGAATGGAGACAGCATGCAAGCACTCATTCCATCTATGGACACTGAGCATTGGTACTCGTCCGATCATCAGTACGGTGCTATGAAAGCTCGCCTGGCTCTCAACCACCATTACCTCACTATTGCACTTGATCACTCGGCCTTTGTCGACAATGTCGTCTGCTCCGACAACTCGACTATCACTGGGTCTTTTACCGGTAGTGATGCTTTCACGCTAGCTGAACAGCACTGGACGGGCGATGACGATCTTGTGTTTATCACCAGTGCGCCGACTTGCTCGTCTGATGGCCAAAACGCGTTTTTCTTGGCATCAAGCGCCTCGTTCAATGCTGCCGGCCAGTCTTTCCGTATCATGGCTCAAAAGAAGTCTTTCCAAGATGTCTGCGCTGAAATGCACCTCGACTTCGGATACGAAGAGCCAGGTACTTCTACCAGCTACGCTGCATCAACACCGTCCGCTGCCGCAGCGACGTCTTTGTATGCGACCTCAACCACAAGCACTGGACTGTCCGCACCGACTACGAGTGCATCTCTATCGGAGACCACCAGTTCGCCATCTTCATCTGTCGGCAGTACGCCAACTTCGACGAACAGCAACGTACCGTCTTCGGCAGCAGCTAGCTCGTACTCGACGTTAGGAAGTTCCGTGCCATCCTCAACGACCGCATCCGCACCGGTGTCAATCGCGACTACCGGGCCTGCGTTCTCGTCCGGCACTGAAGCCGCGACATCACAAGGTACTTTGACAGGGCTTGGCGGCACATTAACGGTGGCATCAGGAAGTGATCAGAACGCAAGCGCGACTGCTATTGACAGTGCTCCTCCTGAAGCTACGATCGATGGCCTGCCGGCCATAGCACCTGGACCTGACTTTGATCAGAGACTGGATGATTTGCTTGGCTACTACTCCCAAGACGTATACGATGAGAACGTATGCATTCTCCGCCCGTACTTTCTGCGTCTGGAGAACAGATACTGACTGCGCATCCAGACTGTCCTTGCCGAAGCCTCTGGACTTGGTATTTCTGCCCGAGATCTCGCTAAGCGTGGATTCTTCGATTTCATCTCCAACGTCGTCAGCAATGTTGTCGACAACTTAAAGCAAGTGGTTTCGAACGTTGTCAGTGACATTCAAACGTTCGTCACGGTCGCTACAGACGCTGTCCAAGTCGCTTACAATACTGCCGTCGCTCTTGTCCAGGTCATTGCCACGGGCCAATACAGCGCCGAGATCGACCACAGTTTTTCTAGCGCGCCTGACGGGGAAGGCGACTGCGACTTCGGTTCGAACTGCTACCTGCTATATAGCACTATCGGAGCGACCGGAGACGAGGGCTTCGATTTGTACTGCGTCTCGTGCTCAGCGAGTGGCGACATAAAGCTTGTCGGCACGATTGCAGCGACCCTTTCGAGTGGCGTTACTCAGGCAAGCTTCTCAGCCACCGGTGATCTGGATGTTGAGCTTTTTCTGGGCCTGGACGCGTTCGCTACCTATGACTATTCGCAGGAGCGAGACCTGAAGGTCGTATCTTTGGGCGGTTGGGTAAGTGCAAGGCCTAACACAGTCAGACTCACGTCCATTCTACCTGACAGCGGCATGATCTCTGGACATGCAAAGACTTTGCTGACCTCCCTCTTAGAAAATTCCTGGAATTGTCGCTCTAGCTCCCGAGGCCGTGCTGTCGTCGTTAATTGCAGTCCATATCGCAGCGTCTGGGAGAATCTACTCCGGTGCTTCTCTAACGTGGCCCAACATCGTTGCAAGCGTCGACTTGGTGAACACGCAGAACTCGCAGTTCACCGGCTTCACGCCCAACGTCAGTCCTGTCTTTCAAGCCAGCGGACAGATTGAGGTCGACGTGACTCTTGCACTTCCTGTCACGCTGAGCTTCGCGCTTGAAATACTCCCTGGATCGAACTATCAGAAAATCTACAGTGTGAACCTTACGGATACGCCGGCAGTCGCAGCTAGCGCTCTGTACGACTCTACAGCTAGCGATGGCTGCAGCGGAGTCGCGTACGACGTGGTGAGCTGCCTTCATCACAGTTGCTATGCAGCGCTTTCGCTGACCATGCTGTGCTATTACAGGCCTTCCAAAACAATCTCGAGGTTGACACCTCTTTGTTCGGCGTCTATCAACTCAGCAACTACAACCAAGATCTCGGACAAGGTTGCTACACCATTGGGGCCAAGGAGCGACGCACGATCGGTCAGCGACAGAACGATGAAGACGCCGATGTTAACGGCACAGCGGCCTATCCAGTTGTTGCGGCCACTGTCGGAGATCCAAGCGGTCAGGTGACGATGCATCCGCACTATAACGGCAACTTGTTCCTCGCTCAACAAGGCCAAGCGAGCAACCTCACTCTCGTCACTGGCGACACGCAAATGATGGTTATGTCGCCTTCCGACCAACTCAACATCGTATACGGAGACAGCGCCGGCCGTATTATGCACTACTACCCCGACACGCTGGCAAGTCTCGGTGTCTCACGTCTCCGCTTGGCTACTTGGGACAACTTGCCGCACGGCTCACGCATCGTGACGTTGGCGCCAGTTGTGATCAATGGCACTGAGTTCCTGACAGGCGTGGACGCGCAAGGGCAGCAGTCGTGGCTGATGTGTTGCGGCATTGATGACCAGCCAAATAGGATGTTCCTAGCGAGCGATTGGCAAGCTGCCCCAGCGATCTTGCAGAGTCCGGGGATGCAATATATTGTCACCGGCGGTGTGGCGACGGATTGTATTCCGTTGGCATTCACGGCTACATCGTGATCAATTTAAGAGACGATTAGAAGCGTGTACTCAGATTGGAATATCAAACAAGTTGGAGATCCAGTCTATACCTACCTATGTATAGCTGATAATGCGTTGACTAGCTCTATCGGCTTATGCTGTGGTTAAAATGCTCCTTAATGATACTGATTAGCTAGCTATCAGTACTCTAGCTATAGTGTACTCGGGTGCATAACAGAGTGTATGTGTATATAGCTAACGTTGCTTTCCCCATTTACGCCATCGTCGACGCTCCCGACAGGAACGACAACGAACCCGAGTCAGTCTCGCATGTACATGCAAAGAAGCTATGCGGCGACCTTTACGCCATGGCTTTCCCTCGCTGGCTACCTAGGGTATCGGCTCAGCCACAGCGATGCGTCTCCGGCAAAGCAGACAACTATGTGATACATCGCATTGTCCTTCATTGACCCCTCCTCGTCGATGCAAGGACACGACAGTACTACAGGGGGTTTAAATAGCGTGGTGGGCAAGATATTGGAAAGCGTTGGAAGGTGCAGACCTCAGAGTGACCATTGTGACTTTTCCCTCGGTGGAGCCAAGCTTCGCCAAAGGGGCGATGATTAGCGTCTAATTAAGCACGCCTTATTCCGACTTCATGAGCACTACAAGCCAACCAGAATGGATGCAAGTACCGGGAAACCTTCATACGCAGAAGAAGCACGCACGCCTACACATTGAGATCGGCCTTCTGCATGAATAGTGCCATATCTGACCGAAGATCCATGTACTGGAAGACGCCGTCTCCCCGGACAGTTCTGTGTCGGTAACTGTTTCGAGGAGTGTTCGTCATCGTCGTCTTCCTGGTACGAGAACTTGTGGATTGAGATGGATGTGAAAAGTGTATTGACGATGGAAAGCACACCTACCATATCCAGTGCCAGTAGTCGACCACTGTAACAGGAAGACTGTGCGAGACTGAAGATTCTCCCTTCCTCAAGACACTGCAGGCAAGGTAAAAGCTGTGCCTACCTTTCGCTTTATGCCGTATTCCGGTGCCCCTGATCCTGTCACAGTGCCGATCGCAGCTGTCCTGGTTGCTGACACGAACTAGAGAGGACCGCGTGAGGAGCGCGGCTCCACTACTGCAGACGCATACGGTAGCGCTGTCGCTGTGCGTCCCCAAAGGAACCATGGTCACTGCATCCCATGAGCAGATCCTTCACAATGAGAGACTTGTCAACCAACGTGGACCTCAGTTATGCACTGCATCGCAGATCGACTGAATTGTAGCCTGCCATACACCGGATCAGCATCCTGCTCCACCGTGGCTTCAGACGATCATGATCGACAAGCAGCCCCTCAGGACCTGCTGCGCTCGACGAAGCGTCTGCTGCCCGAAAAGGCATATGGATGGATGCTTTGGCAACAGAGTTGTGACTAGTCTCATCTCATGAGGATATCATCAAGCACCGCAAGACGCCTTTGGGGCAGGGCACTATGGCGTGCTCTTGTCGGATTGACTGTACAGCTTCATTAGCTTGCGAAGAGCCTTCGCAGTCCATAATGGCGTGCTTCGACAAGAGACAGAGAGAGTATCATCCCTCAAGCCTTTGACAGGACATATCAGGACGGTCCTCTCCCTTTGACTCTTAGTTACATCTCCAACTCATAGCCTCTTCCACGATCCGAAGATGCATCTATCTACACTTTTGCTGGCTTATGCCTCCACAGCTGTGGCCTTCTGCCCTATGGCAGACTTGGTTCGCCGTGGCCTTGCTCCAGAAGAGCTCAAGGAGGCGTACCTGCAGCGGAAAGGACTGGGCGAGCCAAGCAAGAAACGACAGGACAACCCTCCGCCTGTCCTCGATCCTCTCTCCGGCTTACTCTCCCCTGCCGACCTTGGAAGCCTGACACCACGCGAGAAGAGGCAGGACAACCCTGACCCCATCCTTGATCCTCTGTCCGGCGTACTTTCGCCAATCGGACTTGGTAGCCTGGTACCACGATCGCCTCGATCAGAGGAGCACAGCCGTGCTATCGAAACGCACATCCGCTCTCGACTTGAAGAGCGCGATGAAGACGTCGACATCAATGCCAAGATCTTGACGCCAAAGGCCCACAAGCGTCATGTTGAGGAGCGCGGCCTGCTTGGCGGCATCCTTGCACCTCTGACCGGGGTGTTGGCGGCGCTGGACATTCCCACCCCTCAAGACTCCGGCCTCAAGGCTATTCCTGGTGACGTAAGTATATGTCAAACACACCGCTCATCGTCCATCAATCGTTGACATGTCTCAGGACCCAAGCCATCAATACATTGCACCCGGACCGACCGATGTTCGCGGTGATTGCCCAACCCTCAACACCCTGGCCAACCATGGATACTTGTCCCGCACCGGCATCACCACCTTCGCTGAGGCTGCTAACGCCATCCAAGAGGCCTACTCAATGTCATTTGACATTGCCGTCTTCCTCAGTGCTCTAGGTTTGCTGGCTGGAGGTGACATCCCCACCGGGATTTACTCCATAGGAGGCCAGGACTCCAGGGTTCCGGAGACGTTAGGCCAACCTGTCTATGGCATTGACCGGCATGGTCTTTTCGAGATCGATGCATCCATCTCGCGAGGTGACCGCTACTTTGGCGACAACCACTCCTTCAACATCACCCGTTGGAATGCGCTTGTCACAGATGCCAACACCTACGGAGACGGTCTTTTCAACACCGATGCCGTCAAGAACAACGCCGCCAACAGAGTTGAGGAATCCAGAGCCACTAATCCCGAGTTCACCATGGGTGGAAACTTCGCCGTCATCTATGCCACCCGTGCCCTCCTGACTCGTCCCTTGCCCAACGGCACTGCACCTAACACGCCCGACTTTGCGAACATAGCGCCTTTCTACCTTAACGAGACGTTTCCGGAAAACTGGTTCCGCATCCCCAACTCATACTCCCTTGTCGATCTGCTCGGCGACATTGGTGACTTCTTCCTGTACAAGCCTCAGCCACTCGGCAGGAACTATAACGGTGCCTTCGTCCCACTAAACATAACCATTCCCGAAGCTCCGGCTGACATTGGGTGTCTCGGCGCTTCACTACTGGCATCCGCCGCTCCGGATGAAGGGGAAGCGGTTGTGCAAGCCGCCAATGCCTTGAAGGACCAGATCCTCTCGGCGGTGCTGGGTTCTGCTTCCTGCAACATCGCCGACTACGAGGAAACGGGTGGCGATGCTTACTACGAAACCAGCGATGAAGATGTTGATGGAGGCAGTGGAAGTGGCATCACGCACTTTGGCGAGTGGGACTCACAATCTGAAAAGCCGACCGGGCTCTCCGCTGGTGAGCCCGTGCGCAGGAGGTCGAGGTCGAGGTCGGTCCGTGCGGCTAAGGTGAATGCGTAGGCTTCAGTAGGGTGAAGTGCCCGAACATCAGATTGTCAGAGGAGCTTGTTGACGCTGTCGACTCGGTTGGTCAGTGGTAGAAACGGTTTCTGTTGGCTTATTACAGCGTTGAATCTGAAGTTATGCTGACGAACAACGTCGTGGTATCCTTGTCAGTCTTTTCGCAGATAATTTGATAGCATTAACTCAGCGGTAAATGCATCATATTACACAACTGCAGCAGGGAGTCGTGCTCAAGACCGACTCCGACTGCGAAGGTGCTGGGATTGACCGCTTGTGGCGAGCCACGAGCTCCTGTGTCGAGCACTGCATCGAAATATTCTCGCAGCTCCAGTCCACTGTGGAGGATTTCCAAGATGGTAGCAGCAATCTAGCAGCAAGAACGGTCACAGCAATCAAGTCCAATATGAATGCTGCTGAGGTAGCAATTTGGAAAGGACGCATTGCATCTCACACCGTCGCTTTGCAGACCAATTTTCAGCTTATCAGCATCACCATCATGTACTTGATACCGCAGTGAAATTGTGGAATGTCTCAACTGGTGTTTATGTGAAGAGTTTCGAGTTTATGCCGATTACCGCAGCTTACGTGAACCATATCACCATATCTTCTAATGGCGAGCTAATGCCTGTGCGAACAGCATTGAGTAATGATGCTCCTGTTTACGAACTACAAAACGGGCAAACTTGCAAGCGCTTGACCGGCCATACAGACTACATCACAGAAGCAGCGTTCCAGCCTCGTTGTTCGAGTCGACAACTGCTAGTCTCAGCATCCCGCGATAAGACGGTAAGACTCTGGGATGGGAGGGATGGGACTCAGCTGAGAAAGTTCGAACACCCGGCATCCGCCGGGTCAGTTGCATTCTCGCCGACTTTACTAGCATCAGGAGACCGCCATGGAATGATCAAAGTCTGGGATGTGGAGACGGGGAAGGAAACAAGCAAGTTCAAGATAACACGCGGGAACCCATCCGGTCGTTGGCGCTCTCGCCTGTCCAGCCATTGTTGGCATCAGGTACGGACAAGAGCATCAGACTTTGGGACACAAGGAGCGGCTCTTCCGTTCATGAGATTATAGTTGGCAAAAAGGATCATATCAGTCTCGATTTTTCACCGTGCGGAACTCTGTTATCGTTCGGTGCTGGAACGGAAGGTGTCTGGGTCTGGGACATAAGAGCGAAAAAGAACTTGAAAGAGATCCTGTCAGGCAACGCATATGTCAACGCTGTAGCGTTCTCGCCTGATGGACGGCTTGTAGCGTCGGGATCGATTGTAGGCACCGTGAGACTTTGGGACTGGGCAGCAGTATAGACCTGCGCCCGTGGCGACGGTCTTTCGGCGAGATTTCCCACACAGAGAAGCAGACTTGGCGATTTGGATTCAGTCTACGTCCTACGGTGGTTGGGCAGTGCCGTGCGAAGTACTGGTGTGTTCCTCGGGAGCTGCAGTATACGACAACACGCTAGGGTTCTGGTGGTGGGGTCCAGTCTGAGCAGTGCTGGTTGGTATTGTGCACAGCTCCGACGGCATTGAGACCATGAAGTTAGGGTCGTCCTTGGAACCTCTGCGACATGACCACTGAGTATACCAAGCAGTTAATGAAATAAAGGGGGTGGGTCAGACCCTTGGGTACGTTGCGAATTTGTAGACGCGTCGCGAAAGATGAACAGTATACAGCACGCAGCGGAGACCTGAGTGCTGAAAACTACTGGAGCCGCTTTCACTGCGTCATAGAGTCGTTCCACGGTGGTGGAGCTATCTGCGTCGCCATAAAGACTGTAAGCCTGGACGACTGCATCACGCCATATGTCTGGGAGAATTGGTGATTCAGAATGAGTCCGTAGAGATTGCAGCCGATAGCTTCCACGGCTATAGTCATGCTCAAGCGCGTATTATTGCTGCGCAGCTGGATAGATATAGGCGCACACGAATGGCTTGCTCTAAGTAAGTGAAAGAAGGCTGAAGCTGAAGTGAGAAAGTGCGGCAAGATCCGCGCTGCCCGGGCCGCCCGAGTCTCCCGCTTGCCAAGCCAAGTTTCCGCCCACTTTTACGAATTGGCGTGTAAAGACTTTTGACCTTTGCATAGCAGCGATCTCAAGCACGCGCGAGACCGTCCACACTCTCTATTCTTCGCTCTTTGAGGAACTCTGACATTACTGCACCAGCCAACACACAAGCTGAACACAATGGTAAGTCACACCATCACCACACCCTCCCTCCACGGCAGTGGTAGTTGTAGTAGTAGGGAGGACTCGAAGCGTGCACGAGACCATCTCCAATGCGACACATGACCGCCATTGAAACCTACTTGTACCAAGCCACCATACTAACACATGCTAACACCACCTCCCATCACAGTCGGACGGAGAAGAGCCCACCACCACCGCCGCCGAGGGCGAAGAAGAGGTCGCGCCCGCGGACTCGGGCGAGGTCGAAGTAGCCGCCGATGAAGGCACCGGCAAGTCGGGCGGCATGTCCGTCCTCGACGCTCTCAAAGGCGTCCTCAAGATCGCCCTCATCCACGACGGGCTCGCCCGGGGCCTGCGCGAGGCCAGCAAAGCGCTCGATCGTCGGCAGGCACATATGTGCGTGCTGAATGAGGCGTGCGAGGAGGAGGCGTACAAGAAGTTGGTGGTGGCGTTGTGCGGGGAGCACAAGATTCCGTTGATTAAGGTGCCGGATGGGAAGCAGTTGGGCGAGTGGGCTGGGTTGTGTAAGTGATGTCTTCTTGTCTTTGTTTGGAGCACGTGACGGCTTACCGATTTGGTTGTAGGCCAGATCGACCGTGAAGGCAACGCCCGCAAGGTCGTCAACTGCTCCTGCGTCGTCGTCAAGGACTGGGGTGAGGAGTCGCAGGAGCGCTCCGTCCTCCTCAACTACTTCCAGACCGAGCAATAGACGCCGGCTCATGCCACGATGCGAACGGCAAGGACAGCAGGTGTTCAAGCGGCTTCCACTTCTGACCAAGCATACGTCTAGCGGGGCCATCTTCTAAAAGCGACCGGCCTCCTCTTCTTCGCAAAGGGATGGCAGTATTCGGTAGAGGCACGGCGCCCTTCTAAAAGGATGCCTCAAAATCTCTTTCGATCGGTGGAGGCGACGAGTGATTGTACAGTACCTTCGTTCGTCAGACGTGCAGACTGCTGCTGCATGACAGACGGCGCGTCGGATAGAAAAGCTGCGGTCAAGCATATCACACTCGGCGCAATAGACTGTTCCTTCTCACATTATCTTCTCATTCGGCCAGCCTACAAAAGTTGTCTCGTTGCACGACTCTTTCCACCATCCTGCGTTGTCCCGTTGTGTCCCTAACTGTCAGGTCTCAGTCCGACCCTCTTAACGTCAATCCAGCTACCTACCTAAACCCAAACGCCGGCCACCCACCCATCGTAGTAACACCCCCCAACCTCAACCGCTGCACCGGCGTACTTCCCGGATCGAAATACAACCCCTCCACCCTTCCATCCGCCCTGCGCAAACTAACATAATAGAACCCACTAATCGTCAACCCATGCCCACGATCCCGATCGCCACCCCTCTCCGCTTCAGTACAAGTATAGGACTCGTGCTTGGAGTGGACGAAACAGCGTTCCTTCCAGCGCATGAAGATGTACTGTTCGTTCAGATCGTGAAGGCGGGTGGGGGAGAGGAGGAGGGAGGCCATTTCTTCGTCGGAGGCGAGGAGGGAGAAGGGCGGGAGGGCGCGCCAGTTTGTTGCGTCGGTTGTGGGTGTTGCGGAGGGGAAGATGATTGTGTCTGTTGGTGTGGTCGGTGAGGTGGTGGGTTGTTGGTGGTCACTGCTCTTCGTGCTGCAGTGTGCTTCGGGGGTGAGGAAGGAGTGGGTGGTGAGGTCTATGATATGGCCTTCGAGGTAGGTGGTGATGGGGGCATGTCTCTTGCCGGCCTTGGGTCGCTCTTGCTCGTTAGTGCTTATGATGCTGCTGAGACTGACGCTACTCGTGGGATGATGTTGGGGCACATCGTAAGCCGCCATCGTGCCTTGAAGCGTCATTCGGTCCGTGTCGATGGCATGCAGAGTGACGCGTACGGGCCATTGATCGTGGTCTGACGAAGACGTATGTTTGGACAAAAGTGCGGTGGTTTGCAAAAGAGGCGGCGAGAACTGGTGGGACAGCCATGGCCGGCTGGCATCGAAGTGTGCGGGCGCCGGTGCCACTCGTGTAGAGCCGGGAGGATGATCGTAACTGGTGGCATTCGATACAGGACCAAACCGTGGATTGATCTGCTCTACGACGTGCGTCACTGTGCTATGTGCCGCAGCCCTCGTCGGCTGTTGCTGCACCACGCAGCAGCCGTTCATAGCATGCTGGTGGCCTGTAAACACCGTCCCGGGCTGCAGCCACGAAGACTGTGGTATAGATCCCACTGGTTGCAGATCCATGACGAAGTCGTCAAGATTCTTGTCAGCGAAGGACTCTTCGCCGGCTAAACCGTGCTCGACGGCTGTGACGAGAGCCTCCTCGTATCCTGAGCATGACCGCAACTCGCTGAGATACCTCAACGCGCGTTCCAAAACCGACGGAGGCGAAGGCGAGGTCGAAGGTACAGGAACGGATGCCGTCGGAGGAGCTGGTGGAGTGCTGATGCGCGGGAGTCGTGACGGTGGTACATTCTCGGCCAGGTAGCCTCGTCGAAACGCCTCGATGCGCTCCTGTCTCTCCCTCTCCCGTGCTTCTGCGGCGGGTGGTGGTGGTAGTGTTGTCCCACCCTCCCTCTCCCCACTACCAGATGCTGAAGTCCTCTGCTCGTCACCCTCAGTCCTGCCTGGGCTAGGCCTGAACCACCCACCTCCTCTCGCCCTCTCCTCCTCCTCACTCATCCCACTCCGCTCCCGCTCCATCACATATCTCAGCATGCGATCCGTCGCACTGGGCGAGAACTCCTGCCGTGACCGTTGAATTGCCGCCCGCGTGCGCAAGCTCACCCACTCCGATTCCCTCCTCCTCCGATCTCTCTCCCTCAGCCTATCGCGTCGCTCCGCCGCCTCCGCCGCAGTAGTAGGAGCGTTTGGGCCACCTGCTTCTGCTGCTGCTGCTGCTGCAGATGCGCCGTGGCCTTCTCTCTGCTCCTGCATCTGCACCGCGCGCCGATCATCCAACTGGCTCTGGCTTAGCACGCGCAGGATGTCCGGATGCGTGTCTGGCTGCTGCCGGCGCAATTCGCTCAAAATCGCATCGAGCTCACCCTCCTCGTGCGGCACCAGTGCGTTATGTTGCGGCGCCCAATCGTAGAGACGTTGCTGGCTCGGAGAAGGCGTGCGGTTGGTGTAGGCAGTTGTGGATGGGCCACTCGCTGTCTCGTGAAGTCGGTTCAGGCGGGACAATACGCGATGTAGTCTTTCGCGGCGAGATAGGTCCTCCGGGGTGTCTCGTCCGCTTGGTGTTGCTGCTGCTATTGTTGCTGCTGTTGGGCTTGTCCTTCGCGGGTCTCGCTGCGGATCGATGTGACTCTGCTGTGTACTCCGATGTCCTGGACCCGCGCCGGTAAAGTCCGGCGATGAGCGGAGGAAAGTGACATTCGCCTCATCCGCCTCGTCTGCTGCTTGGCTGTTGGTGCTGTATAGCGTCGCGGCGAGATCCGGAACGGGCTCAGACAGGTATTCGTAGGAGGGCAGTCGCTCCAGCGAACGATGTAAGACGGGCGATTGCGGGCTAATTGGGGTTCTCTACATCCATGCGATCAGTCAGCGTCCCGCGGTCTACTAAGCCGTATGAGAGCCTTTCTGGTAAGGCCCGCTCATTGCTTACCGGCGTGTTCGCGGGCGGCATGTTGCGCGGCGTGGCTTCCTATCGTTGCTGCATCACGGGAAGGTGGTGTTGGTGGCCTCTGGTGATTTGAAGAAGGGCAAGTTAAAGCTGCGGACGGGACGATATGAGAGTGAATGCGGCTTGTCACAAACAAAGGCGGGCGGCATGCACGTCGTTCCTCCCCTTCCGTCATACTCGGCAAGACCGAGCAGCCAGCGTCGATCACAGATTATATTCAACCATGACGCCGTGACACTTCTACACAGACTCGACAGTATTCGTACGCTTCACAGAGACGGCTCGAAGGAATGTAGTGGCATGTCGCGAGGTGAGCTTGTCATATTACTCGAGCCGCAGCACCAAGAGCCCGCCCTATGACTATGCAGGCCAGCTACAGGTCTAAAGTAAAAGGCTTGCGCCAGTATATCTTCGGTATCCAGCATCCATTTGCCTTCGCGCATCAAGCGCCGTCCAGGCTCTCCATTGCAAGATATCCAGCTTGCAAGGAACATAGTAGGATGGCCACAATGGTCCTGACACCCCCTTGCAGCCCACATTTGCCGTCGTCCGGCGGTAAAGACGCCGAGTCCGACCCATTCAAGGGCGACCCGTGCGATCCATGCCGAAAAGTGCAGCCGATCATCATCCCAATCGCAGATCCAACCCAGTTACTACCGAATAGAACCGACCACTCGAAGCGAGTCTACCTCCTCCCGTCTAGCGTTCGGAAACAAGCCTCGAGACCCTCTCGGCATCCATCACAGATGTAGCCAAGGTCCTTCTTCGTCAGAAGCATCAGATCACGGGTCGATTCAATTCGGTATGGATGTATGTGTGCTGAGATGATGTCGTGTAATGAGCGGGTAGGGTGTCATATTAGGTCGAGGAGGCGTAGTCCAGCCGCCACTCTAGTAAGTCATGTAATCGAGCTCTGCCTGTCAGCGACGGCTACTGTTGCTCAGTCCAGCCAGGGTCGCGAGTACTGAGAGCCGTCGCCGTACGCCCACCGTCATCACTGTTCCAACGCTACCATATCCGCTGTCTGTGCTGACTCGCCCCGTCGGAGCGGGTCAGACCCCAAGACCGGAGTGTATGGTCTCGTCGGGCAGTTTCCGGGCAGGCGTAAAGGCATAGTCAAAAACATCGGTTTAGTTTGTATGTCGACATGCCAGATGCCGGAGTGTAGTTGAATGAAAGTAAGAAATGCCCAGAGTAAGCCAGTCATGCATACGGTCCGCCCACGAAGCAGTGTTGCCGGAACCGCGAGGTCTAAGTCCTGTATTGCAGTGCATGCCGCCATCCCATGAGAGTCGATACGCGGAAACGATCCAAGAAGGAGATGCATCGCTTGCTGTACTTCCGGCTAACCGAAACACAAAAAAGGTCGCTAACAAAACGCCGTCCAGATGCCGTAGGATGTTCGCTTAATGGTGATAAGTGTAGGTGATGATCAACATCGGGTATCATGGTCACATCGCATCGCTTGACGTAGTACTTCTTCGTCGCATGTCGGGTGACTCTGTGCGCACCAGGGTCCCAAGTCTGCAGAAAGTGGCTGTCGTGTCTGGCCAGGACGACGACAGACGCTAGTGTCGATCAACGACGCGGCTGGAGGTTGCATCTCTGTGCGAATCTGCATTGCATCATGCGATGGTCGCATACTGCGGTGAGAAGGTGGTCTGCGTCCAGCCGAAGTCATTGAACCCACCCATGCCCATGCCGTAATCGATACCGCAGTGTGTTTGCAGCATACTTGGCAGCGGTGCTGGCATGGTGGTGAAACACTCAGGCGAGCTGTAGAACTGCTGTGAGGGCGCCGAGGTGTACACTGGCTGACTGTAGGACGGAGTCGGCGAGGGTAGTTGCACCGGGTTGAAGCTCATATCCTGCCAGAAACCGCTCGATTGGTTGTCGCTGCAACTTGTCGCAGTCGGTGAAGGCGTTGATGGCAACACCTTCCACGAGTCTACGGGCGCGGGATGAGGCGGCGCCAGTGAGTGCGGCTGCGGCCACCAGTTGCCAGCAAGCGTGGTGTGAGGGACATGAAGCATCGGAGCTGGGGCGATGACATCGACAATCCGTGGCGGCGGAGGAAGAAGAGGCATGAAAAGGTTCGTGATGGCGTTCTTCACGTCCTCGGAGCGGCCTTCCAGCAGCTCTCCTGCACCATCTTCCTCCAGACCCTCGAGCGCGCGAACACCGGTCCGGAAGACGAACTTGTTAGCGGCTTGCATGAAGTCTTCCTGCAGCTTCTTAACTTGAGTCTCCTTTTCCGGCCACGTCCAGGTGCTTGCTGAAGCATCGACGGAGTAGATGTCCTTGTGGTAATCGACAAGCGCCTCGATAGTGTCTGTGGTCAGCTTGAAGGCGACCTCGTGTTGCGATACCATGTCGACGTGAACTACGTAGGCTTCAAGGTGGATCATTTGGTAATTGTGGATCGCTTCCATGAGTGGGTTTGAGTCCTTGGTCAGCTCACTTTCCGGTGCTTTTGGTAGCATTAAGGATGCGAGCGTCCATATCGCATTCGCACCGCCGAGCGTCTCGGTCAAGCATCGGAAGTGTTGAGGTACGCTGTTTAGAGGGCGCTTAATCTTATTGATACGCTTCAGCGTCTGAGTTAACCATGGCTCAACCTTGGTGTTCAAGACGATGTTCGGTGCGGACCGGGGAGCGAAAGCCTGCGCTGATGCTGGTAGCAGTTGTAAGGGCATTGCGACGATGTGGTAAGAGTCCGATGAATTGCACCCGACGGCCGGATGAGGTAAGCGAAGTACGGTGGACGGACGGCGTCTGAAAGGGAGGAGAAAGTAAAGAAAGGACTAGCGACGTAATATGTCTCAGTTGCAACGATTGAATTAGTGCTTGTGCGCGCGCCCTTGTGTATGGGAGGAGAATGAGTGGCGTTCGATGGAGAAAGGGTCGGCGTTGTCGAGGGCAAATGCGACGGAAGCCGCGAAGCGGGGATTGCCCTTATAGAGCGAGTGGGAGGCTCAGCCACAACTCAAGCGGGCTTTCTTTTGTGGCCACCTGCAGCTGCACTGCATGCAGTAGTCCGATGGCCTGCATGAGTAGCTTCGTCAGTTCAGCATGCTACGTTCGGACTTACCCTTGGCCTGCGCAGTCGCTCGCGGCGAGCTGCAGCGTGGCTAGACTTGTGTCTTACGACATGATGTCTTGTGCCCAGAGCCGCTGTGCTATTGCCATTATTCAGGTGGAGATGAGCATGATCAGCTTCGCGCCTTTGCAACGTTACAAGACGCCTGGCCCCCATACTAGATAGAACTATAGCCGTAGTGTTCTCGTGGACGGAACGAACTTGGGCAGAACTGCCAGCCATCTAGAACAAGGTCGCACAGACACCTGTTCGTACTGTTTCGGGAGCTATCACGAACCCAAGTAAACCATATGCGTTGTCTGCAATAGTAGGGTTATTCGCCTATGCTGCTGTCGCAGAGCTGCGTGGGCCGCGGATCGACGGCCAGTCCTCTGCATCAGAGCTTGGGCTCGTTGTTCGAGAAGCCTGCCACGAGGAGGAATCCGAGGCCGAAAACTGTCGGGACGCTTTCTGTTTCAGGCCAGCGGGTCATTTCTGCAGGCGGATGGGTTCGCGGGTTGACTTATTCCGGGCGGTCGTGACGGTGAGCGACAGAGGCGTGAGTGGATGACAGTGAAAGTCGCCTGAATTTAGCGCGAGGAGGCATAACCAACCACCGGGCTTTGCCGACTCAAAAAGGCACGTGACTTGCAAGGTTCAGCTTCTACCGTTTTAAGTTGTCTCTGGGCTTGGGGAAGCTATCGAAAGGAGGGCGCCTACTTTGCGGTCGTTGCAATCCTCAATCTGTTGGAATGATAGCCTTGGACGCGCATCAACGTTCGGCAATGGCGACTTTTTTCGACGCTGAAGCTTTTGCGGAAGTCGACAACGCAGCCGACGGTGTGGCGCAGCTCGCCTCAATCCGAGATCGACGACTTCACGCTAATGCTCTTGCTTCATCACTATACACGTACCCTACTAATCTCGAAATGTCTCTTTTACAATGCCTAGCTTCGACGACGTACGTGTTCCGCAGCTCGAGAATAGTCCCAGTGATATTTGTGGGACGGTCACATACATAGAGTACTTGGACGACCGACAGTGCTTCGGAAGACATGGCGTACGGGTTGATTGCCCGAAGCAGCGCCTTGTGTTGATCCATACTGCCACCAATGTATCACTTGTTCTTCATCCCCTTCTTGCGTCCTATTACATCGATACTATAGGCGCTTGTACGACAGTATCAACCTATATGTGCCTGATGTGGTCACTCGTGAAAGCTCTTGGCCTCCTCGGGACACCGGCATGATGGGACAACGCACAGACTTGCGACGTGCATGGAGGCCGAAGCTGAGAATCCAGGAAGCTACGGACCCTGGACCCTGCGACGAATGGCCAAATGATTTGCCCAACCTCACTTCCATCCGACTTCTTCGACATTGTCCACACGACACAACGATTCGCATGATGTTGACGACTTAATGCTCCCCTCTGACCTCTATACGTAGCAAAGGATGCCGCATACTGACTCGCCACAGATATGCGCCACCTGGAGAGTCGCGATGTCTGCTGACGCAGTGTCTCAGACCTGCATGCCACCATTGAACTTGCGTATCAACCATATTCATGTGACTCATGGCCAAGCGCTGTACCCGCTCGTCATGAAGACCATTCGCTACGCACGAAAGCAAACTGCTTACACGCAATCGGTAGCAGTCCCAGGATGAGCGTGTTTTCGCAAGCTTGGCTTCCCCATATACATTCAGAGCTGGCCCAAGTTTATCTTGCGACGAACGCTGCTAAAATCATAATGACTTGCTCAGTATACGTGTGGGCGACGGAGTCCGCTGTCAGCTGATATTGCATTCACCACAAGCCTTGTCCGTGACTCGCAGTAATGTATCTCGAACGCCTTCTTCATCCGTCGCAATTGGACTGAGCATGACCGTCTAAGAGCTTCCTCATAGCTCGCCGGCAGCGGTTATGCACGATGGATGCCGATCGTGCACATACTCAAGCACGAAAGAACTCAAAGCTACGAGCTTACAATACTTGTCGGCGGCTAGGCCTTAGGAGCGCATGCGCAAGTCAATGAGACGCTTGGAAACTTCTCCGTCGTATGCAGATCGATTTGCAACTAGAACAAAGATGTTAGTACTCTGTCGAACGGTAACATCAATTTTATGGAATCTACTATCGCAATGGTGTAGTTGAAGTGCGCTTACCAAACTACTTCAGATGAAGCTTCAACAGCTCGATAACAGAGTAACACTGAAGTGCGGTTTTATAACAGCGTGGTAACCCTTCGCTACCTGTTCTACATGTGTCTAGCCACTAGAAGGCACTGCACTCTACATAAATCGACGGAGAGCAGGTCGCGGGTTACCCAGTCAGTAAGACGCCCCCTCTACTGCCCTAGCGGCAAGGTGCTATCTAGGCATTACAGAGCGCAGGACTGCCCCGTTTGTATAACCTTGACCGATCTCGACGGCGACGACGCTACCTCGAATGTGCTACTCTGCATAGCGGCGGTCGTTGTATTAGGGAGGAGTCGCGACAGCTACCGATCAATACTCATCTTCTCGACGAGAAGTCTATGGTGCTGCTCACTCTAATAGCTTCGCGCACCAACATCGAGACTAACTCCTCATCTAACGTCCATTCCACGCTAACGTTCAAATACACGCTTATGCGCTCAGTCAGCATGCAATCCCATACACTCGTTAGTACGATAAAGCATTGAGGTTTATCGCCCATCTCGTACCGCAGAAATAGACGGGTAGCTCTGGTATAACGAAATTGGACTGAAACCACCAGGAAAGACAGGCTGTCTTCAGTTCTTAACTTAAACCCTCAGGAGCACTCGCATCCGCGTCGGCCGATCTAGACTCCTAGAGACAGCGGATTTCTGTAATAAGGGAGCTGCCTTGATGTCTATCACGTGCCTACGCCTGCCGACAACAAGCAAGATATCACTAGGGCATCGTGTCGTGCTCGTTGATGTCTTCACTCTGCGTGTCAGTAGCTGGCAGCAGCGCTCTTGTTTGAAGCAGCCCAACCAGCAATAATTCTATCGACAATTCATTAATGTCGATATGCACTGTGTGCAGTACATAGAAGAGCCGTATTTGGGAAACAGGATAGAGTTACTCGGTGTCTTTTTCGACAGTACATACACGCCTAAGAAGGTAGACGCACACAAGTCGAGCCCGGGCAACGGGAACAACCAAGTCTGTCCACCAGGCTTACGCAAGACGCCTATCATCTTTCCACTACTGCAACCTGGTGGAGCCTAACTTAAGAGGACGAATAGTCTGCTCTCAATTACTTCAAGCGAACATTCCTCGACCCACATTTAATCCGACGCTGCAGTAGCGGAGCTGGTTCGGATCTTAGGGTCGGCGCGTAACTCCCTCAGGGTGTAGGACATTACGCAAGACCAGAGGGTGCGTTGAGAGCACCAGAGGCCTTAGGTCTGAGTCTGCGGTTTGCCCGCGCCTACTGTGAAGGTCTGTGCTGGGGAACAACTTGGCGATGGACAACCCGGCTCTTTGTCCGACAGAAACCTAGAACCTGTGATCAACGACAGGCGGCAATCTGCAAGCTTGAGCCCACGATTGTCCTGCGCGCTGCTGTGGCCTTGTATTCCCGTGGCGATCACGACCGTGGTGCACCAGCACTTATGCCAAGTAGAGCAGATCAGTCAAAGTTAGGCTTTTCCAAGGCCGCTCATTACCATTCAGAGAGCGCACGTTCATGTCTTCAACCTTCGACACAAGTGACGTGGCGTTATAGCCGGACCCCGACACTCTTCGAAGCTGGGTGTGCTGGCATGTTCGGTGAAGTCTCGGAAGGCTCGGCTCGTGAGGATGGATATCTGGGAGGAATTACCAGTTGGTGAGACTGATTGTGCGATTCGAAATGAGGCTGAATACGCTGCTGTACTGACGGCGATCCGATCGAGCAATGATAGGCAGTATTGTCGCTTACTCCATTTTGGGCTTGGCGTTGGCTCGCGTTAGCCTCTATGGGTACTAGGGCTGTCATGCCTCAATAAGGTCTAGGGGATCCGCAGTTCGAAAGGCACAAGATCCGTGAAGCTGCAGGCTGAGCAGACACCAATGCAACGCATTACAGGCATGATTCGCGCTCCAGCTGGCTTTGGTTGATCTGCAGACGCAACCGTCGCCATTGGTGGGAATACACGATGCTGGACTTCACTTTGTTCATCAAGCTTTGATGAGAAGCAGATTCAAACATGGCGCCTCTAGACACACCATCCGCACCGACAAAGTCGAGTGCGTCAGCGTATGCAGCAAAGTGGTCCACTCCGACCTTCGCCGCTGTTCCGCGCTACTGCCGTGCTATGTGCCTATCCTACGGCGGATGGGAAAAGTGACCGGACTTGTGGACTTGCGGTAATAGGTACTCGGGTGGTGTGTATAGATTCATGGAACATGCGTAGCTGTTTAGTACGCATTGTTGGCAGTTAGAATCGTTGGTTGCCCAAATCATTAGGTAAGGTTGATCGCGCCGTGCATGCGCACGCCTTCCGCGACCGTTTCAACGTCAACGGTTGTGCAGCTCGGCGAGGCATGCTTCGCCTATTAGCTTTCCACACACAAGCCATATGAAACGTGCGCTGTCGGCGTCCTCCGTGGAGGCTTTTGACGAACACTTTGTACCATTGGCAATAGTCTCTGGGCACCGCGCGCAGCTCAGCAGCTGTTCATGCGGGTCATAACTGAAGACCATTTCTGGACGGGCGACGTCATACTGAGTGTGGCACCAGTTGAGCCCTGTACACCCTGCTTACCATGCCTGCGGTCTTTGCCATGTTTTTCTGCTTCCCTGCTTCCCGCAGATTCGGGAGAAATGTATCGATAGGTGTCGGGGACTTCTATCTGCACAATGCCGTCACAGCGCCAGCATCGAGCTAAGCCTAGTCGTGATAGAGCTCCGTTCTGTTCGCATGGCTCACGAACTGTGAGTGGGTGACTATACATGGGTACCGTACTTCGTACCTCAAATTCAAATAGCATAAGCTGCTCAGACAGCTGCGGGAGGTAGGTGGATGCCGTGGGCACTTGCTTTCTTATGGACAATGCAGCGGCACTCCCGGCAATGACAGCGGAGCTTGTCACGAGCCGGCTGGTGTTCGCTGAAGCCACGTGAAACGTTAAACCGTCCAGCATAACGTGCAATGCAATGTCGACCATGTAGGATGTCTGCAAGAACTGGGCCGGCCACATAGGCTGGGGAGATATGAGCAGCGCCCGGGCACTTATCTCTGTGTCCTGCAGGGTATCCATTTCTCGAAACCTTAGGCTTTTCCCGCTAGCAATTTGCCCTGAGAGAATCCCGCCAGGTTGGGTACCAATCCTAGTCGCGCCGCTTTCAGTCGTTGCTACCCTTGGCAATCTTTTGGCTGTTCAAGCACGTCCCTCGAAGCTGTCGGCTCGTCTGCACTCTGCACCGAGACTTACATAGCCCGATGAGCATCGCGGACGCCTCTTTGTTGGAACCTTGCTGAGATCGGCGAGGAATGTCCCACCTATAGGAGCGGAAGCGTCCGAGCCCAATCCTACCAAGTCCTGTCTCATCCGGCAAGTCGTCACTTCTTGCCACCAGATTGCGGCGAATGTTATGCAGATCTTGCCAAAGGCTTAGCGGGATTGCTTTTGACTCCAGGTCAGTTTGGATCTCCATTTCCCATATGGCACCTTGGCAGCGCTATCCGGACCGCAGCCACGTTCATCATCATAGAACCATTGACGACAGGATCAACAACTAGCAGCATTACGGCCTGCTACCCGTGCGACCTCTTGGTGGTCGAATCAGCTTCGTCCTGTTGCTCGTGTGAGCCAGAATCTTCCCGTTGGCGCGAAAGTCGTTATACTCGACGTCTCCCGCACCGTTGAAACCGTTTGCAGCAATTGCGAACGTCTCTGGGAATCATCATCAACGGCGCAGGGTAGACTGCATGGTTGATGCCAATGAGTGCAGGGGATAGAGGCTCTGACTCGGGCCCAGCCAACCAGAGCAGCAATCGTCACCAACCACTTCTCATTGTCAACGAGCAAGGTCGACATACTGAAGAATCTCGACGCATCGTACGTGCACAAGCAGCACGCGCCAGTGCGGCGCAAAGCAGGCTCACTCGAGCTCGCAACAGAGGCGAGAGGGAGACGACGGCTCGCGATGACTCGCATGTAACTCCTGCGGCTCCTCCATCTTCACAGCCGGCCGCTGCAGCACAAGATCAACCCGCGGCTATCGGAACCTATGCGGCGCTTGAAACGCCACCCCTAGCGCTGTGGCTGCCATCGATAGTCGGTGGTGCTACTGGTGCCATTGCTCAGCAAGCGGTTGGAGCTGTGCAGACCTTCACGCCACAGCCTCCTCAACCTCAACAGCTCTTCTCTGCCGGATCGTTCGGATTCCGGAGTCCTGGCGCTGGTGAAGGACCTCAGTCTCCTTCTGAAGCAGGCAAAGTCCACTTGCCTCTTGCCTTACCCAGAGGCTTCGCAGCACTTCAGCAACGCATAACGGTATCTGACGCTCTCTTAGGACTGCTCAGCCGGACGGCTTGCATAGACTTTGCGAGTCCTGGGGTGGAGCAACGTCTCCATCAATTGCTTTTCGATCTTATTGCCAACATAGCCGGCTCAGCACTGGCCCTGCAGCCATGCCATCCGATACAAGCGCATCTGAGAGTCGCGTGCACCTGTCTTACCATCTTCCAAGGCCAACGAGCGAATGGACAGGTCTTCGCGCAAGACCGGAAGTATCAGTATGGGCTGGAGGCAGCGTGGTCCGAAGCGATACTGCTCGATCAACGAGCCCTTTCCGAGCCTAAGGCTGCTGAAGCCTCTTTGTGGGCCGTGTTCATGATCACTGTGACCACAGGCTCTACCGCAACATTCTTCCATCAACAGCTCTTCAATCTACTCCAGGACCTACAGCTGCAATACTGGGAGCAGGTGCGCAAGGTTTTGCTAGACTTTATCTACCCTGTGAGCTTCCTGGATGAGCCATGCAAGGTGTTCTACGACAGTCTGAGACAGGCAGCGGTTGCAGCGGGTTGAGCTTTGAGCGTAAAGTGGGAGGATTCACTCCTGCCGGATTCAGCAAGGCTCACCAGAAACCGGGCTGCCGACGCTTGCGGACGAGGTCTCCTCCATGACCAATGCAACTTTGGTTACCTGTTTCGACGCACATCTTCCAGCAATGCCGCACCGTTGCCGAAGCATAACAGCCTGGAAATCATCGAAGACTACGACGTGACGATAACGGCGCCGCACGCAATGAGGACTTCAAAAACGAAGACTCTTTGGCATTTTCGCTACAGCTTGGTAGCGCGTCTATAGAGCTGCTGGTTCGACTCAGCATTCCTAGATCCTCGAAAGCAAGATGAGCAGTGGCACTCAGTGCCCACTATGCCAAGATTTTAGATGGAGCGTCTTTTGCTATGGGACATTCATATGGTCTGCTAGACTGGCTTGTAATATCTGGGTGAGGGACATGAGCTGGACATGCGGTCTGAGCCATTCATTAAAGCGTATCCGAGCCGAAGTCAAATGGCTTCATCGAAGAAGCTTGCAAAGCCGAAAGTTTCAAGATCTCGTGGAGCTGCACGCTCACGAATCAAACTATACCAAACGGCAAAGCTGGCGACGATGGAGATTGTCATTGACGGATCGTGTACATCTGCTACCCAAGAGCAAAAGAGAGTCTGCCGGCTGCTTTCCGATCAGAAGCAAGAGGAGCAACACGCCTGCTGGAAGTGGGAGGGAGCCTGAATGCTATATCACACATGACCGCGAATTCGTTAGCAAAGATGTCTCAAGAGGTTGCAACGAACCTGAGCAGCTTATGCTGGAGCGCAGTTACCCGTATCGGATCCACTCCCGAACGACTGGGTCTATCTATTGGTGAAAGGGCGGGCCGTTGTATGACGCACTGACGGTGCGGACTCTGCTGACTCTGAAGTCCAATCCTCGGCGGCCAGTTGCTACCCAGCCTCAGCCATTTCACAGCTCGAATGATGTACATAGTCCTCTAAGACCTGTATAGACTGATACCCCAGCATCGAGTACAACGCCGCGCAACGCCGCGCATATTGCAGGTAGACAAGATGTTGTAGCACGAAGACTCTCGTGCCCTTGCTTGCCTCTTCCTAGTCCAACAAATCGTCTTTGCGCAGTACGCAGGTAAGCAGTCAGGTGGTCGTAGGGTTTAAGAGCATTGATGTTGGTCGGCATCCCATAGCCTTCTTCATGTTAGTGGGAAGCGGAGAGTGGGAGAGTGGGGCAGAATCACGGCTTGGATGAAGCCGGGCGAAAGACCGCAGCTAAGCGCGCCCCGTCTCGGCTCAAGCAGGCCTCGGAGAGGAGAAGAGAGGAGCGTCTGGCGATTGCTGATAATGCTCGAAGAGTGATAGGCCTCCTCACGGAGCGAACTGTTCGCGACGATACTACTCGGCTCTTTCGTTTTAGGTAGGAGCTTGCCTCGGACACTGTCAATCGTAAGCTGTTCGTTCTCGGTACCTGCTCGCTCTTTTCGTTCATCAACTTGGTGGCTCTCTTGGCCTCGTTGCCGCCGTACTCTGTCTCCGAGGTAGACACCTACATCGCAGGTTGATCAGACCTTCTCAAGCTGCACTACAGCAGTTTCTTAGGGAGTAACAACAACTGACGATATGGCAACGGTGCCACTTGGTCTTTATCTGTGGAAGCGGCTGAAGCAGATAGGCATCGACCATATCTTCGGCGTCCCTGGCGACTTCAATCTGGCAAGTCAATGAGATAGTCATGAAGCGTACTATCCACCCGCTGACACTGTCCTACAGAATCTGCTCGACTACATCTATGATGTTCCCGACCTGAAATGGGTCGGTAACACCAATGAGTGAGTTGACTCGGCACACGATATCGTGTCAATGCTGAACGTCCGCTAGGCTGAACGCTGCATATGCAGCCGATGGGTATGCCAGAGTAGCTGGAGCAGGATGCCTTGTCACTACTCATGGTGTCGGAGAGTTGTCAGCCATCAATGGCATTGCAGGTGCCATGACCGAGCAAGTCAAGGTCATCCACGTTGTCGGTCAGACGACACGCATGATGCAGCAGAAGCATCTCATGATACATCACAGCATCGGTTTCAACCCCGATCATCAGGTTTTCAACAAGGCATCGAAAGGCTTCCGAGTCGCGGCGGCCGAGCTTCAGAGCGAGGAAGGAGCAGCAGAAGAGATAGACCGTGCCCTTCGTGAAATGTTCCTCAAGTCCGGGCCAGTATATATCTTCGTGCCGATCGATCTGGTTGACAAGCCCATTCCTGCGGCGGCGCTGGAGAAGCCGCTGAACCTCGAACCTGAACCTGATACGAAAGCTGTTGAGGAGGCCGTCCGTGCTGCGTTAGACGCTTTGTACACAAGCAAACAGCCCGCCGTCTTCGTGGACTGCCTAGTGCAACGACATCAAGCAGTTGTAGAAGTCCGAAAACTGGTAGATACTCTATCCACTCCGACGTATACAAGTAACATGGGAAAGGGCATTATCGACGAGACTCACCCTCACTATGTTGGTTTGTACAATGGCGTATGTTCCGGACCTGGTGTACAGGAAGCATTCGAACAAGCCGACCGTGTTTTGATGATTGGCAACTTGCCGTCTGATACCAATTCAGGAGGCTTCACTCGCCGCATCGCTTCCGACAAGGCCCTATCTATCGACACACACAGCGTCACCGTCGGCGGGAAGACTTATGACAATGCTCCAATCAAGGCGGTCTTGCGCAAGATGCTGGATCTTGTTGCCACGGACAAGCTTCCGAAGACATTAATGCCGAAGCTGCCTGAGCGACCACTAGAAGACGATGCAGACTCGAAGATGATCACACAAAGTTGGGTGTGGCACCGCTTCGCCAAGTTCATGCAGCCGGGAGATGTCGTCCTTGGTGAGACTGGTACAGCTGCCTTCGGTTTGCCGGACACGACGTTTCCTGCCGAGATCATCTGGATCACACAGACGTACTATGGCAGCATCGGACATGCCACACCTGCCGCATTTGGGGTCGAAATGGCATTGAATAGCCTAGCCTCCAGGGGCACAGCTAGAGGCCGCACTATCCTTTGTACAGGCGACGGTAGCCTAATGTTGACTGTCCAGGAAGTTGGTAACATGATCAAGCATGGCGTGGCGCCTATCATCTTCATCATCAATAATGCAGGATACACCATCGAGCGCATCATTCACGGAGCGCGACAGAGCTACAACGACATCGTGCCGTTTGATTACAGCCACATGCTCCAGTTCTTCAACATGCCGGAAGCGGAGGCCAAAAAGAACTTCCATCGTGCGCATACGAAAGCGGAGTTGGAGGAGATCCTGTCCAAGGACAGCGTGAAGCAGCCTCAAGCTCTGCAAATCGTTGAGGTGATGATGGATATGATGGACGTGCCATGGCGACTGGCAACGCAGATTGCAACACGCGGGCCGGCTGCAGTCAAGGAGATGCAAGAGGCTGGCTTCAAAGTAAGGCAGTTGAATAAGCAGGAGGCCTTCTGGGGCTAATACTCCGAAGGCGCCGAGGTGGCCTCGTGAATTGCGATCCCTTGCACGACTCTGATAGACGATGTTTAAGGTACCAGGCTCCGGCGCTCAGGTTACACCTTTGCAGACCTTGCTTGGTTCTTTTCAGCATCTTCCTTCATGCCCTGTTGCACCCAAGCCCGGCTTTGCGCTGCATGCTTCTCCATCCGCTCCTTGTCCTGCAGCAGCTCCTTCATCTTGTCTGATATCAATGGGTGGAAGGGTCAGCCATATCTCAGACATTCGAGGGGATATCCGACATATCAGTCTGCTTACATGGATCAGGCACATTAGCACCCTTTTGCACAGCCGGCCTGCTCCACATGCGCTCTTCCCACGCCTTCAGGGCTGGGAAGTCGTCAATGTTGACTCCAGCCCAGCTACACGGAGACAGTCCGATCGTTAGCGTAGCTTCTAACGAACCAGAGCTTTGCCCGGCAGATACTTACCCGGCCGCGCTGATCCAGCCCCAATGAGCGATGTCAGCCTACATAGTGGAGTGTCCAGATGTTAGCCATATCCTCAACAACCGCGGGAGTTCTGTGCCTTTCTGCCACGCACTATGGTGCACTTATTGCCGACAAGATAGTCGACTTTGTTGTCAGAGAGATGCTTCTCTAGAACGCCATAGAGTCGTCTGGTCTCAGTTTGATAACGGTTGATGCCGTACTCGATTTGCTCTGGAGCGTATCGGGTGAAGTGGTTCGACTGTCCCTGCATTGGGCCTACGCCAGCATTCATGAAGAAGAGCCAACTGGTCATCTTTCGAAGCGTCAGTTGCGGCGACATGTGGAAGCGATGAAAGTTACCTCGATGAAGTCTCGGCTGCCTGGCGGGAAGCTGATCTTGTGGTCCTTGTCGTACCGTGCCACAAGGTACTGCATAATAGCGCCACTCTCGAACACGCGAATGGTCTTTCCATCAGTAAACTTGTCCGTGATTGCCGGTATGCGTCCGTTCGGATTGATTTCAAGGAACCACGGCTCCTATCCGGATTGCGTTGGGTGTCAGTGAAGTGTTTGCGATCTCCTAGAAGGAGAATGCTTGCCTTCTGAGTGTTCTTCGAGAACTCTATCTTGGTTGTTTGGTACGGCAGTCTTGGAAGACGGAGTTAGCGCTCCTTCCGACGGTGCAACGGTCGCCCACTGAAGCGTACCCCAGCTCCTCGAGAGTTATTGATATCCTACAATCGTTGGCTTAGCAATCTGTGTCTGCTTCTGACATGTTGTGGTTGGTTTACTTAATGCCATTCGGCGTTGAAGTGGTGTAGAGATGAATGTCGGAGTCGCCCATTGTAGCTTCTGGCTATCGCACGACTTGGTTGGCTTGAAGACTGGATCTGACTGCTGTTCGAATAATGGGACGGGCGAGTACTTAATACAGCAGCGCAGGACACCAACTCCCTCATCCTACGTGCTTTGAAAGCTTCAGCCCTACCCCACCTTCGCAGTCATCGGGACTACGAGCCACAGTGATTTATGGCCGATCGATCGTGTAACTTCTGCACCTGCATTGCACGCACACTCTCGTATCGTCTTGCCATTCTTGGGTAAGTACTGTTATGGCGCAACGCCTTGATCATGAGAACTATGCAAATCGTTCCTCGTCCGTAACCGGCACAATGTAATGGTCTCAACATAGTTGTAAGAGGAAGATAAACTAGACTAGATGGAAGCTACTATAGGGGCTTCCTGTTTATCTAACAGTAGCCCTCCGGTTCCCACTCATGGTCACTTATCGAACAGTCTGCTTGTCGTACGGTGGCATTGCGCTGCCGTTCTCACCTGATTACCTTCGTAAAGTTTCCGGCTAGTGCGCAAGGGAAGAGTATCAGTAACTGAAGAGAGAGCTAGGTACAAGCTACAGCAAGAACGTGGCCGTTGAGTATCAACGGCGAATCCGTTCTACAGATTTTCGGCCACGAGCATCGGTCTACCCATGCTTCACCGTTCCAGGAAGCTCGTGTATCATCTCATCATCGGCCCCGAGCATCTGTGGTTTCCGCTGGTCCTCCATTTCGTAAGCCGGCTGCCGTCGCGTTTGCTGCTTGCCTTGTCTAGGCGGCTTCGCGAGGGTTTCGCAAGCCGATGCTGGAGTGCTCGACACAAAGTGGGTTCCTTTTGACTGTCGTCGCCTCCGCAACCACATCCCGAGCCCTACTCCCATGGCAAGCAGAACAATCACAGGCACTACGACGCCAACAGCTGCTTCTGCGCCCACGCCGAGGCCGCCAGATCCGGCAGTCGCGGATTTGATGGCGGAGGCGGTTCCGTCAAGCGCAGTTGTAGAGGAGGTGCTCATGCTAGTTGTGCTGGTGGCGGTGACTATATCGTCCGAGGACTGCCACCTAATGTCGATTAGTGGTGCGAATACCGTGAACTCGGATGTTGTGACCGTCGACGTGAAGCTTGATGAGATGACTGTCGTCGTTCCACCAACGATGTAGGTGGAAAGGCCAGACGTGCTGAAGCTGCTGCACAGACCCATGGGAAAGCTCTGGCCTGTTGTCGCAGTCGAGATGCATGTTTGTGCCACTCCTGGGGCAGACTGGCACTCGTACCCGCTAGGGCAACATCCTATCTAAAGTCCACAGGCAGGAGGGTTAGTGAAAGAGTCAGACGCTCGAAAGTCTGTAGATTGAGGTAGGATTACTGCTGTCTCGCCGACAACTAGTGGGAATTGGGGCCCATAACCCCAATTCGAAAGCGCTCCAATACTCGCACTGCAAGCGACTGTGTACCCCACTGGACACGATGGAACGCCCGGACTGTAGAAGCCCCAACCCTTTAATGGCGGCGTGGGTATTGGCACTGTCGCTGAGGGCCAGCATCTAGAGATTGAAATTTGTCTTGTCAGTCGAGCATCTCAAAGAAAGCGAGACACTTATGCTTGAAAGGCGTGGCACACTGCATGTTATCCTCAATGCTGCCGCCCGCCGGGGCTGTAGGGACGCAGCTTTGGGCCTAAGATGGTGAAGATATGGTTAGTAGCTGTTCCACACTGCTTGAGCGCCGAGGGTCTCTCACCTGCCAGCCATAGTTACAACCCGTGCCTGAGCAAGCCTGTATTACCACCGAGCAACCCGCTGGAGGTGTGAACTGGCTTGAAAGCGGACCAAGTGCAGAACGCGAGGTCGACGGCGACGTGGTGCTGCTCATGGTGAAGTGGATCTCGAACTAGTTTTTGTGTGTATGATGGAGAGAAGAGCCTGCAATCATTGCAGGCCGACAAGAGACGGGCTCTATCAAAGCGGCTTTAAAACTCACACTACTGGCAATATATTGCTCGTCAAATGGTGAACCAAGGGATGCCGTCTCGCTCTCAGCCGCATGGATCTCTACTACCTGCACAGTCGGCAGTGGGCATGGGGCCAGTCGGGGTCACGATGGCTTTCTTCGCTTCTCTCGCGTAGAGCCCTGCAGCTTGTTCTCCAATCAAACCAACCACTCGCCGGGGTTAGAATTGGGGGCGACGTTCTACCTTTAAGTCTTGACTGGCTGCGAGCGCTTGGCTTTCTTAAGGCTATTTGACGGGCATGGGCAACAGACAACGAGGCCAGCCCTTGGAAGCTCGTAACCTCTGCTACATCGTGGCTGGCAGTCAGGCACACAGTCGTTCCTTGAAAGTGTGTATAGCGTGCCGGGAAGCTGTGCTGAAAGATCGATGAAAGCAGGGAGCAATATCGTAGAATCTAGAGAAATACGTGGACTGACAGACCAGACGACTCACATTTCGCTACGATGTGATATGTAAAGTCAATACTACATATAACGTAGATACGTGACGGTGGCGTTTGACGAGAATGCGTACCGTCAGGTCTTCGACGTCATGAGTTCCAACGGCTTGAGAGGCGTCTCGCTTCCGCCACGAGCACTACACGCGGTGCTGGCACAAACATACAGCACTCCAGTATTACTCACAGCGCATACTGTTCCGTAATGCAAGTTAACACGTAGGCGCTCGATGAATTCCGTATTGTCAACTGTGCGCCCGTTGCTGCGTCCACTACCACTCCTGGGCATCTCCACGGGTGGCCTTATACTCGTTACCACGTTATCATCCTCCGCAAAGCCAGCAATGATGTCTACATCTAGTGGACAATGGCCTGTCAAGTCGTATCAACCACGTCACACATCCTGGCCGTACAGCCCTTCAGACTTCACCAGACAAGACTCCACACCAGATACGGGCTTCTACAGCGCACCACGGTTCGTCACGCACATCGATGACGCTGCGATAGCAACGTTACGGGAGTATTATGACTCTGTCTTACCGCGCAAGGGGAGAGTACTAGACTTTTGCAGCAGTTGGATTTCCCACTATCCGGCGTCAGTTGAGACCGCTGCTGCGAGTGGCGACCTGAAAGTGACAGGACTCGGCATGAACAAGGCTGAACTAGACGCGAACAAGGTGCTCAACAACGGGAAACTGCTGGTCGACCTGAATGATAACCCGAACATTGCGCGTGCACTCCAGGATGCAAAGCTTGTTGGGCAAAGTGATGCCGAGAAGTTGGACGCTTCCACCAACGTAGTTAGCACGGACTACCTCACCCAACCCGTCGAAGTGCTCAAGAGTCTCCGCGAGGTCACCAGGACGGGCGGAAGCGTGCATCTCACCATCAGTAACCGCTGCTTCCCTACAAAAGCCATCAGTAGGTGGCTGCACGTAGATGAGGAGGAGCGGTTGCTAATGGTTGGTGACTTTTTGCATTTTGCTGGATGGAAGGGAATTGAGATTGTGGAGTTGAGTAATGGCAAGGTTGAGGAGAGCCAGCAGCAGCAGTCCGGTGCGTCGCAGACGGGCTTGCAGAGTCTGATGAGCTGGATGGGAATGAATCGTAGGGATCCGCTGTGGGTTGTGAGGGCGGTGAAGTAGTGAAGCCGTCATCGAGCCAATTACGGCACTCTACTGATAGTACAAGAGTGCCGGTCTGTCCACGGCACGACTATCAATACATCGAGCTGTGATCTCCGTAGTGGACTCGGAGAAGCTGCAAGGTATTATGAACTCCACCTGCTGCTAGCCTCATCATGACCATACTTATGCCTTCATAGTCTTCAAGAACCCATCGAGGTTGAACTCCTCCTCATACTGCTTGTCGTCCCAAAGCTCGCTGAGCTCGTCAAGGATGCCCTTCTTACCCTTCTCTTTCACATTCCCTTCGTCATCGACCGCGTTGGACTCATCGACCTTGTTTGCGTCACCTCCTTCACCAAGAGAAAGATTCGGATCCGTCTCGCCCAGGTTGAATAGATCCAGAATCTGATCGGTTTCCATCGTGCCCAAGCCGGCATTCTGCTGGTTGACTACCGTGGAAGCGACATCGATCTTGAAGCGCTGCAGACTCAGGATCTTCTCCTCAAGCGTGCCGCGAGTGATCAAGCGGTAGACGTTAACTACCTTCTTCTGACCAATGCGGTGGGCACGGTCCATAGCTTGCAGATCCTTTTGCGGGTTCCAGTCATGCTCCACGAAGATGACGGTATCGGCTCCTGTCAAATTGAGACCAAGCCCACCGACGCTGGTAGTCAGCAGGAGACAGTCAATCGATGGGTCGGAGTTAAAGCGGTTGACGGTGTCTTGACGCTTGGATGCTTCGATCGAGCCGTCAAGTCGAGCAAACGTGGCGGAAGGCAACATCTTCTTGAAGACCGTTGACTCCACCATATCCAGCATCTCCTTCATCTGACAGAATATGAGTGCCCGATGCTGAGAGACGGCCTGGTCGGCAGACGGTACACTAGTAGGATCCGCATCATCGACGCCAATCCCGCAATCGACGAGCAAATCACGGAGGGCTGTAAGCTTCGGCGCATGCTTCGGGTCCTTCAAACTGGAGCCAGACTTGGCCAGCATTGCTTGGACGTCGGCATACTGCTTGTGACCCTCCTTCATCACCATCGCAGGCGAATTGCACAGCTTGCGCATGTACTGCAAGGCCTGGAAGATGTGCTGTTTAGCTTCCTTGTCGCCACTACCAGCCATTTCCTGCAATGATTTGGACTCCTTGCGGGTGAAGTCCTCAAAGAGTCTCTTCTGCAAGTCGCTAAGGTCGCAATAGTAGTTTTGCAGGATCTTCGGGGGCAGGTCGTTCAAAACTTCTTCCTTTAGTCGGCGGAGTAAGAAAGGCAGCACCTGCTTGTGGAGAGACTCGATTGCGAGGGCACCGGCTTCCTGTTCCTTCGAGGACGACTTAGCAAACCTCGACGCTGCGATGGGCTTCGCGAAGCGGTCCTGGAAGACTTTCTCCGTGCCCAAGAAGCCTGGCATCAAGAAGTCGAACAGCGACCACAATTCAAGCACGTTATTCTGAATTGGCGTGCCGGAAAGAATGAGCCGGTGGTTGCTGGCAAGGCGCTTGACAGCCATCGTGATCTTCGCCTTTGGGTTCTTTATCAAGTGTCCCTCGTCCAGCACGCAGTAATTCCAGTTCTGCGCCACGAGGAACTCCACGTCGTTTCTCGCTATATCGTACGATGTGATGACGACATCTGCAGTATCGACAAGATGACGGACTCTGTTGCGTTCAGCGGGAGGACCGACGTAAGCAACCGCATTGAGAAACGGCGCATACGTCCGTATCTCTTGCTTCCAATGGCCGGTAAGAGTCGGGGGACAGACAATGAGCGACGGCATCCTACGAAAGTCCGGTGATTGCGCCTCCGCATACTTCTCCGCTCGGTTATGGTGGTCGCTCGCTACCATGCACAGTGTCTGAAGAGTCTTGCCAAGGCCCATATCGTCGCAAAGCACACCGTGCAGCTGATACCGATTGAGGAAGGCGAGCCAATTGACGCCCTCTTGCTGGTAGGAGCGTAATTCTGCCTTGATTGCAACGGGGATCTGGAACGGCTCAACCTTCTTCGGGTCCAGCATCTGCGCGATGAACTTGCGTTCGCGCTCACGACCCTTCAAAAGAGCTTCTGGCAAGCCGGGTGGGTCTGGTATGCCTGCTTCGAGTGGGACAAGCTTCACTAGTGTCGCGAAGGCCGTGGTTGCGAGCAGTCTCACGCCACTGTCGGAGTCGCTCATGCGGCCAAGCACCGGGACCAACAGAAGGATGACGTATGGTAGAATTTGGTCGCCCATGACCTGGATAAGGTGGTAGATGCACTCGATGGCGCCTTGGCGGTGCACCACTTCATGCGCGTTGTTGATGGGTGGTATAGCCCGCTCCACCAGCATTGTGAATCCCTGCACTGTGATCACGCTGCAGATACTGGCAAAGCACTTCGCCGCGATGTAGCGAAGGACGGCCAGTTTGCTCTGCAATGCCTTCCCAATCAACGGTAGCAAGTTCAACACCCATGCGTGCAATGCAGGGTCAAGCGTGGCAATGAGCGCTCTGAGAGTCGACATGGCGTCCACTACTTCTTGGCCTAACGGGCAGTCAGGATTTGAGATGTCCGCTGGCAGTTCATCGGTCGAGAAGCACTGGCGTATCGGACCTTCGATCACTGCCCGCAGTTTGGGCACTCGGTCAAACACTTGGGCACCGAACGTCTTGCAGAGCTGCTCCAGCGCGTCTTTAGCGCCACGCCGAGTAATACGCGCTTGCTTGAGTTCCCGTTCGTACGCCGCCGGATCAGGCCTGTCTTGGATATCCTCGTCTTTCTGCAGAGAAAGAATGCCAGCCTCCTTCGACGCATTCGGAAGGAACTCCGGCGTCTCACTGGTCTCCATGCAGCAGAATTTGACGAGGTTGCCAACCACTTTGTCCACAACCTTGTGCCGCTCCGTCGCGACAAGTTGAGAAACGAGGCTGGCAATGGCAGTAGCTGAGCGTCTCTGAAGGTCGGCATTGTCTTCCTCTTTAATGCTATCCATGATGCCCTTGATAGTCATCTGTGGCTTCTTCGGCAGGTCCTGGAAGGCAATCAATGCGCTGGCCGCTGTCGATCGAATGCGCAAATCGGCTTGCTTCCTCGCCACGTTCGCTTCCGCAATTGCGGCTTCAGCATCAAGCTTCGCTGTGGTTAGAGCTTCTGTGGCAGCGATCCTGTTTATGGCAGACAAGCTCTTCCGCAAGCGTTCGTAGTCGGCGCTCACAATCCTTTCGGCATCAGCCAAGGAGAAAGCGTTCTTGCCAGCTTCCGGCTCGCCTTGGCAAACGACGGCGATGGTAGGAAGCTTGCTGCCTGACACGCCTCCGCTCTCCACAAACGTGTTCAGGAGCTGCTGGCATTGAGCCCTCACCACGCGAAGGTAGTTCGTCAGGTCAGTATAGGCTGATGGCCGTTCGTCTTCGACCAGAGGTCGCAATTCGGCGATAGCTGTTGGCGTCAGTGGACCGCACTCCTGAGCAGCTGTAGCGAAACCTTCCAAAGCCATGGCTGCGAACATCTGGGTCGAGGCAAACGGTGACTTCAGACATGGGATAATCGTGGGTCCGAAGAAGCTGAGCTGACAGTCTGCCGGCCATAGTGCGATCGCCTTGCCCAGCGCGCGGGTTGCGGCAATCCTAGTTCTGATTATGACATCTGCACCAACAAGGTCTACGTCGCCTTGCATGATTGCCGCATCGATATTATGAGATGTAGTGGCAGGTGCCGGCGTGACCACAGGCTCCTTCTTGTCGGACTTTCTGCGCTTCTTGGCGGGTTCCATGCCGCCAGGGGAGGCAGTACGATGCGCGCTCGCCAATGGTCCGTACGTCTGACCCGAAGGCCTGATGAAGAGGGTGGCGTCTAACGGGAGTGGATGCCTGCTAATTCCCATGGGCGACAAGGTAAGCGTTATGAGAGGGTTGACATGAGCCTCAAATTCCTGTCTGAAAAATTCCTGACCTCTGCTCACCAAAGCATCTGCAAGCGCATTCCAGACTTCGAGCGACAGTTTCAGTACTCCGTCATTGCGTTCGACGAGCAGGTTCTGGTACACGAGACGGAGAGCTTTGCCATTGATCCAGCCTTTGGTGTCGGCGCCTTCGATGCTGACAAACGTGAGCAAAGCCCGCAAGACGGCCAGGCGAACGCCGGTGATAGTATGTCTTAGAAATGGGTACAGACGAGGCACCAGCTCCGTGAAAGATTGATCCGGGTCGAGATCTGCATTCCGCTTCATGGCTTCAAGCACTTCCGGGAAGCTGCAAAGCTTAGCGAGCAGGTCCATCACCGAACCAGTGCTGGCGCTCAGGTCGTCGCTCAGACTTGACAAGCACTCCCAAACCACGTTGACAAGATGGCCCAGCTCGTTCGACCTCACATTGACGAACTCTTTCGCCACGGGTATGAGCGTCGCAGCGCTGACTGAGCGGACATCGTCGTCTGCATCACCAAGACCTTTGATGACGCATTCGAGCACGCCGTCCATGAGCGAGCGGTCTTGGAAGAGCAGGTCGGTTCGGACAGCGACCAGATACCGCATCCCGATCATGCCACCATGACAAGCATGCCAGATACGCCTCGACACTTTCAGATCCTTCTGCATTACCAGCCGGTAGAGTATGCGGTTCACTTCGTGGACGGAAGTGGGAGGCAGATATTGCAGTACTGCACCGAGCACCTGGCCTGCAGTTTCTCGAATAGGCGCCACGGCGTTGTCGGAAACGTAATCGGCAAACCGATCGAGCATAAAGACGCAACATATGCGGCAAGCCAAGTCATCCAGCCAAGCGCCATTGAGTCGGTCATTCTCCGGTCGTGTCTTCTTAGCCCGGCGACCAGCGCCATTGCCATGCACACGGATGATCTCACGGAGACCCATAGCCGCACCGTGACGTATCTCCCATTGCGAGTCGAACAAATCGACGGTCAGAAACTCGCAGAGTCGCTCGTAAGGCCATTCATTGCCTTCCTCTTCGGCCTCAGTCAGTAGCGTCGACTTATCCTGCGCAGGCAGTCCCTTGAACTCAGAGACGACCTTCGAATCATCGTCAGTACCTTTCCGCTCCAGCGAGAAGTAGTCAGCGCGGCCGTTGGCGTTGAGCTCCTCCTTGATTTCTTGCTTGACATCGGGGTCGATGGGCGTTTGGGTACTATTCCTGCGTCCTGCAAAATCATACTTGAACTTCTTGTTGTCGCGTTTCAGCTCCTCTTTCCGACGTCGTTTCAGCATGTTGAGCTGGCGCTTGCTCATCTCACCCACTGCAGGCGTCTGCGGCATGTCTTCGGGCGACTTCATGAACATGTCGATGTCAGGGGCCTTCGTCACACTCGTTTCCAGTTTCGGTAAGCTGGGCACCTGGAATGAAGATGTCCTTATCGCAATGTCCTTTTCAGTGACAAGGTCCTCTTCGATATACTCGCCTCCGAGTCCAAGCCGAGCAGTCAACGTCTTCTTCTGGTGAGCAAGACGCTCCGCCGGATTGAGACCGGCAAGATTGAAGTCATATTGCTTTCCGGCGCTGCCAAGAAGCTCCTTGCCGTTCGTCAAAATCGACTCGACATCGAGAGTGGCGAGATGTAACTGATCCGGGTGGACGATTGCTTCGACGCCCTCCTGCTTGATGGCGATACCGTTCGATTCATCTTTGACATCATCCAAAGTCGCATTCGGGTCGTACAGCTCCGCATGCTCGACAATGCCGCCGATCGCTTTTGCAGCTGCCGTTCTTGTATCCCACGACGGCGATCGAAGGTAAGGCACGACCCGGGTCAGGAGATTGAACAGCTCATCCGGATGGTTCTTTTGGACGTCGGCAAGTTGTTGTGCAGCAGTGTTCCGGATGAGTTGCGTGCTTCCGGTTTCGAGTAGAGTGACCAATCGATCCAATCTATCGTCACGTGAGCCAAGACGCACTAAGAGAAGGCGCTGCAGAGTGAATGAAGCTTACCTCGAAGCTGCCATATTGTGTTGCTAATCGCCTCACTTTTGGAGTACGGGACATGCAACTTTGCATGCAGTCATCAAGCATTAGTCATGTATTTCCATAATGCACTATTCACTCATGGATGACCGCGTTGTCATACTGTCAATGCACGTTAAAGGAATCCGACCAATGAACGGCAGGCTTGGCGTAGTACTTCTTGATCGACCTTGAGGAACGAAGCTCCAGCCAGCTGCTGTGCGGAGGCGCGCGAAGGCCGCGCCCTTTTAATATTCAGTTTCGGTCGCGAGACTTCGCCAACCCGCGCTAGGTAGAGATGGGCATAGCGGGACATTAGCGCCACGCCACGCATCACAACAGTTCGTGAAAATTGTGGATGAACATTGAAGCTCATGAGCAGTGCTTCACTCAATCACAATTTCACATTAATATCAGTGTCCACACACGTGTCGTTTACTTCAATCTCAATACCAGTATACTAAACAGCAGCCATGTAAAATCCTGCCGCGGCGGTGATGGCTGTTGCCAAGCCTTGGACTTGACTCCTGAAGAGCAACGAGGCTGCAGGCAGGCAGTTACGACTTCGACATCATTACACTTCCAGACCGATCAGACACACTGAGTCAGTGCTATTCCGTGCAATAAGTGCGGTAGTTACTGGTTATTCGTACATCCATGGAGAGACGTCCTTCAATAGACGTGCCGAAGTCGCCTTGAAGCTCCTTGACCGCCGACAACACATATCTACATTTTTCCATCATCAGCTTAGCGCCACTCAATATTCCTACCAAGCGGCAGGCACTGTGTTCAAGCGTCATCTCTCTTTCCACCTTTCGCCCAGTCTCTTAGTATGTTCTTCCTCAATTTGCCCGTACTCGTCTTGGGAAGCTCCTGCAAGATCTCTATCTCCTTTGGCACCATGAACCGACTGATATCGCTTTTGTTCTTCGCCCACTCGATTATCTGCTCGCCCGTCACCGAGCCCTCTTTCCCCGACTTCACCGTCACAAATGCCTTTGGCGCTTCTCCCCATTTCTCATCCGCTATCCCCACGCAAGCCGCTTCCAGGACGTCTGGATGTGTCACCAGCATGGACTCCAACGCCAATGAGGAAATGTTTTCGCCGCCGGAGATGATGATGTCTTTCGCTCGATCCAGGATCTGAATTGCGCCGTCCGGATGCCACACTGCAAGATCTCCCGTATGCAGCACCCCGCCCTCGAAAAGCTTACGCGTGGCTTTGGCATCCTTGTAATACCCTCTTGCGCAGATGTTACCGGCGACGACGATCTCTCCGATCTCTTTACCGTCACGCTCAACGTCAACCACGCCATCTGACGACCACGCGCCGCTGTCGTCCTGCTTCGTTTTGATCACGCGAGCAGGCAGCGACGTAATGTGTCCGTGACCTTGACGAGCTTTCCGGGCGTACTGCTCTTTGAGCGGCAAATCGCTCCAAGCAGGCATCGTATACCCTTTGGTTATCGGACCGTAAGTCTCCGTTAAGCCATACACGTGCACGGGTTGGAGGTTGAGGTTGGTCATCTGCTCGAAGAGATGTGCCGTCGGTGGACTAGCGGCGACAGTCACGCGTACGGGTTCTGCAAACCATCAGCAAAGCACTCAAGCCGAGCGCACAGTCAATCGCTCAACATACCTGGCAGCTTCTCAGCGTTCGGATCAGCGCACAGGAGCGTATTCACCGTCGGCGCAGCGTTGTAGTGGCTGATCTTCTCCGTCTTCAGCAGCCGCCAAATCTCCGGATAGTCAATCTTCCGCAAGGTGTAATGCGTTCCTCGCACAGCAGTCACGGCCCACGGAAACGTCCAGCCAACCGCATGAAACATTGGCAGCGTCCAGAGGTAATGACACCTGTCGGCACCGCTCAGGTGCGTATTGAGGCCACTCTCAATGATATTGGCAACTGCCGCCATGTACCCACCACGATGCGTGTACTCTACGCCTTTCGGCCGCGATGTCGTGCCCGAAGTATACGGGATCGCGATGAGGGAGTCCTCTTCCACACATTGGGCTTCCAGACCTGCCCAGCCCTGGCCACCAGTTTCTTCATCATATCGGAGACCCTCTAAAACAGCTTGGTCATACTCACCGTCGTCCTGGTCCGTGTCCTTGTCGATAATGATTGGGATGTTAGGATGGCTCTTCCGGTACAAATCCAGCAAATGCACGAACTCCTCATCCGCGATAATACTGTCCACATCCGCATGATCGAAGATATACGCCAGATCGTCTGCTTTCAGCCGGTGGTTGATCGCGACATGTACGCCCCCCGCAGCGCCGATACCGAAGATGGCCTCCAAGAACGCGGGAGTATTCGTGCATAGTATGCCAACCCTCTTATACCCTTTCTTTCGCAGGAAGTACGCAAACCCCTTTGCGCGTTCAGACGTTTCCGCGTACGTGCGCTTCAGTATCGGGCCATTGACCGTCTTGTGGTAGACGGCCAGCGCATCGGGTTCTATTTGCGCGGCGCGCCATAGCCAGAACGTGGGAGAGAGTTGGTGGATGTGATGGTTGTGGTCGAAGTCGTGGGAGAGGTCGGTGCGTTTGGAGGGGGCGGATGGGACGGTAGGGGAGGATGAGGAGGGGACGAAGTGGTTGGCCAGGGAGGACAGGCGCTTTAGGGCGGTAGACATGGTTGTTGCTGGAGGCTTAGGGCTATGCTAGGGTATCGTACAGGAGGCGCGATAGAACGATGAGAGATGTGGAGAGGGAAGGATGCGACCTAACTTGCTGCTGCCGCTGCCGACGCTGCTGCGTGAGCCGCGCAGGAGCCCAAGCGGTGTCAGCGCACGATGCATGGGCTACGAAGTCTATTCCCGGGAGACTGGATGGAGCAACGGAAGCTTTCGAAAGCAGTGGAGAGAGAGTGTGGGGTGAGATCGACGGGGCATGAGCCGAGGCGGAGAAGATGGTGGTATGGCCGGAGAATAACCGACTTCGCCGTCATTTGGTGAGCTATGCATCCACGTTGTACTCGAACACTGATCTCACCACACCTGCAGGGTTTGAGTCGGCGCTATCACGTTCAACCTATTTGGATCACCTTATGTGATATATGTAACGGTAGGCGTTCGGATGAATTCAAGCTTAACAACAGGACTTGCCGCGGCAGTGTCGTACTGGGCAATTTTGACGAGCGTAATGTCGCTACAGCAGCTTTTGGCTTGTCATTTCCAACCCACGACATTTTCGCGCGTATGGGTGGTGCCATTCGAAGCAGGCTGGGAATCAAGCGTGACATTTGAGCCCATACAATCGTACCGAGAAGAAGTTCCGCAAGTGGATCCAGCGTCGAGCAATAGCTCGTAAAGGCCCCGGCCAGATCGCAATACCCATCGCCAGATTCCCTGTAAGTAAGAGACAGCCACCAACGCCTCGCTCACACGCTTGCAAAACCCCACCGTATGCTACTTGCTTCACTCCGCGACCGCGTAAATTCTTCTCATAATGCCGTCCCACTCCCCAGCACCTTCAACCCCCCCGGATCCCCCGCAAACGCGATCCAATACCGCGTCGGATGCCACGCAACATGCGTCGGACAATTCGTCGTGTCGAGCGTATGCACGACCTCACCCGTATCGACGTGGTAGATATTCAGTCCAGGTCCGCCGTCCTTGCCTTCGTTGATCCCCGCTCCCGCAATTAAGTACGAGCCGTCGAAGGAGAAGGATAGATCTCTTATGCTCGTCGTTTGGCTTGGAGCGGAGAGGGAGTGGGTGGAGAGCCAGGTGTGTGTGTCCCAGAGGCTTATGAGTCCGTCGGCGGAACCGACGGCAAGGTGAGTACCGGTGGGCGAGTGGGCGACGGCGTAGCAGTGGCCTGAATGGCCGGAGAGGGTGTGGAGGAGCCTCATAGAGGGGTAGTCGAGAATTTGGACCGTGCCGTCCGTGGTTGTGGCGAAGACTTCGCTGCCACCATTCGAGAAGGCCATGCCGTAGTAGGTCGTGCTGCCCTTTTCCATGAGGCGCTCAGGACTAAGCTCGTATTGTGGCGTGAGATCGGTACTGGTTATCCTCCGTACATCGACCGAATGTACGACGTCGTCTTTCCTCCCCACAAGCATCTCCGTCCCATTCGGCCCCCAGGTCAAGAAGACAGCTTCCCCACCAACCCTACAATCCGCCGCCGCCGTTCCTTTCCCCGCTGTAGCAGCATTGCCCGACGGCATCCTCACATCCCACAACCGCACCATACCGTCAAACCCACTACTCGCCAACACATTCTCCGTGGTCGGGGAGAAAGCGACCTTCTCCACCACATCCCCACTCACTCCCTGCGAACCAAACGCCACGCCGCCCTTGGGATGCGCGTTCTTCAGCTCAATGCTGGTTTTGACGTTCGGTCGGTCGGAGTGCCAGACGCGAATGCTGGAGGAAGTACATGTTGCGAGAAGGGATCCGGTGGGGGACCAGCTGATGGAACTGATCTTTTGCACCAAGGGTGAGGGGCGGGAGGTGGATTCGGAGAAGAGGACGGGTTTGAGTGGTTTGAGGAAAGTGGGCAGTTCGTTCTTCTTGAGCGTGCGTGAGCGGAGGGGGGGTGCCATTGGAAGAAAAGGCAGGCTGAAGAGGGAAGGGTGGGTGGGGGCTTAATCGTGTCTTTGATAGCGCCAAAGACTCGGGGCGGATATTGATTGAAGCTTACCGGATTATGGTTAATGGCATATGCGATAGCGTCACTCCCCGAATCTTCAACAGAATCCGCTAGATTCCCTTCATATCTGATACGAGGCCGCATGCAAGACGTACAGCATCATCCCATGTCCTTCAACATATCCGCCTTCATTCCCGCCGCCGCCAACTTCAGCTCAGCCATTGCGGCACTCGGCCACATCCTCTCCGCTTCCAACCCCATATCCTCCTCCACCACCTCCCCCTCCCACCCATTCAGCGGTGCGCAGACGGGACTTGAGCAAGCGGTTGCTGTTCTGACAGACTTCCTCGCCACCCGCACCGCGCTCGAAAATACCTCGATCCTCCTCGCCCTCTGCACCTTCGCCGTGCTCGGCATGAGCTGGTACTCCCGCTTCGGCAACATGACCGGCCGCTTCTCCCCCTTCACCCGCTCTCCGCCCCAAGGCTCCACGCGCGTCAGCGACGGCGACTTCAGCTACATCACCGCTGATGACTTGCGGAAACACGGCAGCGACACCACGCCCCACCACCACCCCCACCATCACGGCAGCCATGTGGACGAGAGTAGCGTGGACATGGGCCCGCCGCGCGAGACGGATTGTTTGATTCTAAGGAACAAGAAGAAAGATCATGTCGTGCATTTCCCGGCGTATAGTATCGCCAAGGGACAGCTGACGGTGGGCCAGGTGCGCGAGCACGCGGCGAAGAAGACCGGGACGGCGGATGCGCGGCGGGTGAAGTTGCTGTATCTGGGGAAGAATCTGTCGGATGATTCGCGCTCGTGCCGGGCGGAGGGGTTGCGGAATGAGTCGGAGCTGTTATGCACGATTGCCGAAGGTGTGCTGGACGACGAGGAGGACGAGGAGGATGATGGTGAAGGGGAGGAAGACGATGACGCGGGAGAGGCGGAGGGTGGTGTGGGTTTGGGAGGGGAGCAGCCGAGGCGGAAGAGGAACAGAGGGAAGAAGACGAAACGGCGGAATAAGCGAGACGCAACGCAACAACAAGCGAGTGGCACTTCTACACCCGCGGAACTCAACATCCCGCAGCCCTCGACAGCCGCGTCCTCGCAGCACTCCCGCGCGCCCTCTCCCAGACCCCCACCCGCGCCCATGACGCCCATGGACAAGCTGAACGCGCTGCGTGCTACCCTCGAGACATTCTTACCGCAAGTCCACGCGTTCAAAACCTCCCCTCCGGTCGACCAAGCGAAGCGGGAGTACGAGCATAAGAAGCTGACCGAGACGATTCTGGCGCAAGTCCTGCTCAAGCTGGATGCGGTGGAGACGGACGGGGATGCGGACGCGCGGGCGAGGCGGAAGGAGTTGGTGCGCGAGACGAACGGGGTGTTGCAGGATTTGGATGCGGTGGTTAAGGGGTGATGAAGGAAATGTTTGTGTAGTGACTGGGCTCTGCCGTCCGGCGGTAGGTGGGGGCGCTGTGATTTGCGGTGGCGGAAGGGTGAATACTGTTGGTCACGTCGTGAGGCTAGGGCGGCGATTGCGTGGTGGGTCATATGCCACGCCGTAACGAACCGCGGTCGACGAGCTTGGTCGTAGGAGTAATCGCTAATTGATGCTTGCATAGCGATGTTCGTTACCTCTTCTCCCGGCTTACCGTAGCTTGGCTTCTCTGACATACAATTTCGCTCAGCATTTCCGATCATGCTATTCGGTTCATACCCGCTTTGCACGTAAGGTCCTACCAGTCCGATAACTTTCTTCCTTCTGCGCCCGCTTACCTGCATATATCGTGGACTTCCAAATGGATGTCTGTCTAAGGTAGATTCCTCGTTCTGCATCGCAACCACAGCGAGGAGGGTTTGACTGCGGTAAGGCATGCAACCTGCAGGCTTCGGACGCAGTAGTAATAGCGCCGTAAAGAGTATGATGTGTCATTGACATCGACATAGAATAGAAATTGGAAAGGTGCTAGTCGTTCTGGGAGAGTGATGATACAGGGTTGCCTCACTGTAACAGCTTAGGCTCGGGTTGGGGCGGTGTCGTATGGCTAATAAGGCAAGTAACAGCGTTGCGAAACGCCAGTCAACACTGCCACATCGCGTGCTAGCTCTCCTCGACTCCCAACCAAGTCACAACAACGCTTCTCAATGCTCGGACACCGCTTCCTCAAGGACAGAATCAAGGACAGAACCAAAGTACTCTACCCGCCAAACGCACAGCCTCAGACAGGTCCACGTTTCCTCTTCCCACCCGCTCCTACCCTTGCAGTCACCAACCCCGGGAAAACAGCCTCCCTAACCTTCACGGGCGACTTGTTAACCCTCGCGTCCTGCTCCGAAAGCGGAGACATAGGCTCATGCGCCGCCGAAACATTCGAGACCTGACGCAACTTACTCGGAGTCTTGCTAGGCGTCTTGAAAGGCTTCGTGAGCTTATCCTTCGCCGCGGCGTCCTTGGCCGATACCGCCGACGCTTTCGATTGCGTGAAATGGTTTGTGACCTTGCCGGAAGCCTGGGGCTTGAGTTTGGTGACGCTGGTAACTTTGGTGGTGAGCTTCGAGAGTGCTTTCTTGACGTACTTCACGCTACTCTTCTTCGTCTTCGCCGCAATAGAAGGCTTGCCGCTCTTGACAACCGCTTTCTTCGTCTTGCCGTTGTCCTTGAGCATATCGGCGATGCTTTTGCGGGCCTTTGGCTGTTTGCTTTTGGTCGGGCTTGTCGGTGTTGTACGCCGGGACTTTGAAGGTGTGAGCAAGCCATTGGGGGAGACGGTGATGCTATCACTGTCGTAGGCCGACAGTTCGATGCTGGAAAGTACGGACGAGCCGCGGCTAGAGATCGGACTCCAGTCTCCGGGCCGTGGGCGGCGGCGTTCCAGATCTTCTTCGGCTGGGAAGGCGTTGGGTATATTTGGTGGGCGGAAGCTGTTGTTCAGATGCCAGTTTGATGTCAGCTCCGTAGCGATGGCCTCTGTCAGCTGACATCTTGGTATGAACACCTCGGCTTGCATCGCAGCAGCGCTGTCAGCCTGCCTCTCACTGACTTCTCTATAGTCGTCAGGAACAGCAGGTTCGTCCCATCTCGGCATAGCAGCGCGATTCGCCACCTCATCGCACGTTCCCTGCACAATGATATCAAACAAATCTCGAAAGCCTCCAGTAGTCGGTGGTAGCTCCGGATTGATCCAAATCGCGAGTCCACCATCCTTGCGGTCGCGGACAGTCTTGCACATCTCCATCACGATTCTCTGCAAACCCTTCACCTTAAGCGTAGTGCCAACCACAAGCACAGCATCCGGCTTCCGCTTCAGGTCCGCAGCCGTAACCGTTCCAATGGCAACGTTGTCTGGCCCGTCTTCGTGGTACAAGACCATTCGCGGCCGTAAGCGGCCGATACCGTGACTCCGCTTGCCCTCGAAAGAGGTGCGGATGCTGTTAACCTTCTCGCACTCGGAGCATAGTGGCGCGTCCGACGTGTCGAACAACTCCGGGTCCAAATCATAGATTTCGTGACACTTCGTGCAAACCATTTTGTCGAGTCCGCCGTGGAGCTGCAGCGTACGTGGCCACTTGCCGTTAGCATCTTTGGTAAGCGGTATGCGCGTCCGAAGCGGCTCCATGTTGGTTTCAAGACAATCGACGTTTTGCGAGTACAGCCGAAGTAGCCGTTCCTCTTTGGCAATAGTGGCAAGCATATGATGGAAAGGCGTTGGTTTCGCGTCTTTCACCAAACGCGACATTTGCGTGATCATCTGGTGAAACTGCTTGGTCGACGCGTCATCTTTGTATACTGACGCGTCGAAGAGGTGTTGCCCCGAGCCTTTGAGGTTATGTTCCTTCTTCAGGCTGCTGAAGAGCCCGTTTTTAGAGCGGAAGTCAGGTACTGCGCGTAGGTCAGTGTAAGGTCACGAGTAAAGTCCACGTGTTGTCGCCGCTTACTCCCTGCCGACTTGGACATGCCAGCACCGGCGATGACGACAATCTTCTGTCGCTTGTGCAGCACATTAAGAACACGGTCCAGATGCTCTTGCTGCTCGAACGATACCGCCCCAGACCGCAAGTCCAGATACTCGGTGGTGCGCTCTTTCGGATCTCTATATATACGCCGCCTCTTCTTCGGCGGCGGCCCATCGGTGTCTGTGTTGAGATTACTGTCCATACCGTCAGGCGTAGGCGACCCAGTCAACGAAGTTTGTTGCGATGCGGGCGGAGAAGGATAAGGCGGCTTGCTGTGTGCGCGCACCATGTTTGCCAGCCGGAGGAAGTCCGGCGGTTCGGGCGAGCTTACACATGAGCTGAGAGGCGACGAAGGTACACTGGAAGGCGGCGACGAGAGCGCGCTTGACACGTCGGAGATCGTGTCGTCCATGGCGGTGGGAAGGTGTGGGAACGCGAAGGAGCGGAAGGGGAGAGGGTGGGACTGCGGTGTGGGCGGACGGTGGATGCGGAAGGCGGGCGCGCACTTATGCACTTGGCGATAGCATCGTATTTTCCACCTCCAGTAAGCACGCGTGCACTTCGTGACTCGGGCGCGGAGGCGAGGGTTGGGCGTGAATCGAGATGCTTGGTGAAGTGATGATGGCTGGAACAGAAGCGAAGTCGCTATCCGCAAGCGCCAATGCTGGGCCGATCCGAAAGCCTCGATGTTTACATTGTCAACATTGCCAAGGCCGACCAACTCCTTTCCACCGGAATTGCTCTAACAAGCCATGATCGAGACATCAACCTGAGAGGGAGCGTACATGTATACTGTTCGTAAGACATGAAAGTCTCACGAGATATGACTTGGCTGCAGGCTGCATGTCCGTGAGCCGCACCCGTCCAGTCGTCAGCGTACAAAGCTCTGACCATCAGCCGGGATCGACTTGGCGCATGCATTGAACACCGCGAGTCAAACTTGCACACGGGTCGCTGATCCATGCGGGTGCCTCACGTGTATGCTTGCTGCTCCGTGATCTGCTCGAGCGCTTTCGGCGCCAGTCATGGAGTCCTCGTCTTCCAGCATGGCCCATCCAGAGGTGGCAGCCGATGCCCTTGAAGCCATCATGCCCAATGACCCGACAATGGCAGAGATCGACGCGCAGTTTGGAGACACCATGGACGAGCTCTTCAATGATGCCGCCGACGGATTAGCCCTGGACATGAACCCTCCCGCGCCTCCTGCAGCGCCGCCACCGGCAGCAGTCATCGAACGGATCGCAGATATGCATCGCATCGGCTGCTGCACGTGAGTCCAGCCGTTTCGGCCCTTAATGTAGAGACAGGTGGGTGACCGCTCAATAGGAGGCTGGCCTGGTCCAACACCGGCTGCATTGCCCGCATTTCCAGTACTGGTCCGGATAGGGTAGACTTTTACACAGTCCTTCGTAACGCGGTGGACGGTCGTTGGAGCTTGACGGGTCCATCCAAATGGCCCGTATATGCGTCGAAAGGACGGCACTTTGTGCATCTGCAGTTCAACGGGCTCGGGACGGATCTTGCAGCAGTAGACGATGTCGGCCATGTGCGGTTGTACCATCTTAGCGGCGTGTTGGGGAGACTGCAGGCCGCAGAGAGTGATTCCGTGATCGAGGAGAATCAAAGTAACCAACTGACAGCAGTCGTTGGCCTGTACTGGCTGTCGCACCCCACTGAGTTCAGAGTAAGCTACTGCAGCTGGGTGAAATGATGTCCACTAACATGTGAAGGGACCGTACTTCAGTCCGGCAATGAAGATTGGGGACCGCTGGATCGGGCAGGCCAAGAACGCGAATGAAGCCACACCAAGAACGCAACATCCTATCCAGGGTCGGCATGCGGTACTGTACGTTTCTCGCAACGGCACCTTGACCCTCGCGTACCAGAACGAGGCGGGTGCTTGGCACACAACCCTAACCAGTCTGAATGAATGGAGCTCCAGCGATGAACTCCTGACGTATGCTGCCATGGGAGATGAAGCCGGCTATCTTATGCTAGTCACCTATGACCAGCGATGCCGGTTTCGAATCTACGGAGTTACCATCAATTGGAACACTACGCAGCAGTCCAAGAACAACACTAATTTCGTCAGCATAGCGCCCGTCCTCGACATTCGGCATCTGACTATACTGGATGGAATCATGCCTCAGCAGGGCGATGCAAAGCTGTCGGTGCTCAAGGTGCTGCCAAAGGTGCCGGATTCTGTGCCCTCGGAGGTACCTATAGCCACGACTATCCTCGCGGTATTTACCTCGGCCACGCTTCATCAAGCAGCGTTCAGTGTGATCGCACGCTGGTACCCGGAAGCGGAGGTGCCGGTGCTGCATGAATGCTTCTCCAAGACGAAAGGGAACGCCGCGATATCTGTCGAGCAGCTCGTCGTGACTCGACTGAAGAGGCAAGAGGACATCCTGACCGCTCATCTCCCGATGACGTGCGAGCTCTACAACCATGCTACCACTATGATCTTTGGCAACAGTGATGGGACTGCAGAACTGAGAGAGCGCTCGACGTGGACTGCTGCCGCGGCATTCGGAGACACCAGCATGGCTTCCAGTCTTTCACAAAGTTCGCTGACGTTTGACAATGCCACCGCTGCCGCCAGTACACCCGACTGCGCGGTGAATGCTAATGGCGGCTTCATGATCTACGAGAAACCGAATGGCCAGCTGGATACCAGATACGTGACGCTGCGCTATGGGTGGCAAACGCTGCATGACGGCATCTCCGACACAAAAGCAGTGATAGAGGCAGCCATCATCTGCCTCGCCCGCGAGTTCGCGATCCTGTGCGGACAGAACGCAGCCAGCGACGAGATCCTCGCTTTGCTTCCGCCCGACATCTCGCCCGACCTTCGTGTACTTTTTCTGAAGCAGACTTTCAGAACAATGTGTCGAGTCTTGGACGTTTCCATGCTGGATCAAAGCAGACAGCAGTCAGTGGTGCTGCGTGAAAGTATCCATCTCCGGCCACTCAGTGCGCAGATGGTTCTCGGCACGAAGTCGAGCTCCCAAGGAAGCTGCGCAGAGCGTACCTTCGCCGGTCAGTTCGCTTATGTCTACCTTAATATGCGACTGATCAGTATGGCTTTTGCGCAATCTTTCCAGGCGAGCAATCGGACTGCGGAGCTGGTGCATTCACTTGCGGGCCTCGTTAGATGGACGAACGATCTGCAGTTCTACATGGTGGACACTTTGCTAGAGCTGCACCGGCTCGGTATTGAGACCGGCAGCGAGGATGTCACGACGAGGCTCAGCAGAACCATCTCCGAGACCGGCAATCCAACATTGCATCTTCTGCTGTGCGGCTTCCCGCGAGTCTTGCTTCGCATGCAAAGCGCAATCTTACCGACCTACTACAAATGGATACAGGTCACCCTACAACAATCTCGCGAATTGACCATCGCCCAGCGACAGGACCTGGAGGATCTGTTTCAGCGAGCGAAAGACATGCCTTTCCTCGTGAATCAATTCTCGGAGCTCGTCACTGACTTCGACGGCGCAGTACGAAACGCGTACCAGGAAGCGGGCACGAACAGCGAGAGGCGGACTGAGCTTGAGATCAGCATGATGACTGAAGGTACAATACCCGAAGAACTGCAGCCGGCGGTGTCGGCGCTGTTCCAGACTATCCTGCCGAAATTGCGCGAGAACACAGACGAAGGGAAACTATATTTCTGGGACACGGAATGGCTCGGCATCTCGACTGCGGTGCCTGAGAAGCAATACGACGCCATCCGGAAGGTACCGCTTACGAGAGGCATGAAGCTGCGAAGGTGTCGACGCTGTGGGGCTGAGATGGGGGATATTCCTGCGGATACGAACCGGCAAGGTCCGGATTGGTTGCGCAATACGCAGCGGCACTGCTTTTGTCAAGGGGCTTGGTGGCCTCTTGGATGATTACGGATCTGTCGAGTCGCCTCACAAGTATCTGCCACCCTCGCCTCACAGGTACAGCTGGCTGGTTGGAGAGGTACAATGGGGAGGTGGACTTCCGAATCCGGACTCCACCAGCCCAATGTCTCTGCTCAAAACAGCGATGCCAGTGGGTTCAACTTCCTGTCATCGCTCCGGTTGTACTGCCCGGTGATGAAAACGACCTGCGTGGCGTGTCAGCCTGCACTCACGTCATTGCGTACGCCATTGCCGTCCCACGACGTCTCTCGTACCTCGTCGACTTCGTCAACCCACTCCTGAAGCTGCGACATCGTATGCCGCAGCTTCACATAGAAGTGGCGCAGACCGTCCGCCGTCGATTGTGCCATCAATATTTCTCGCTTGGTGCTCCGGCTGATATCGTTGATCAGGGTCATGTTGCTCTGGACCTTCGTCCAGCCGTCTAAAATTCGCTGCCGTGAGCATTGCGGACGTGGAAGACAAGGATAGGGATGGTCTTACTTGTCATTACGTCCAGCTGCCGCAGCGTTCGGCTATCCCAGGGCTGGAAGAACCGCATGGCCCATTCGAAGACGAAAGGATTGCCAAGCTATGTCCGCCTCATTAGCCGCCGGACAGAAAACACTTTGCACAGGGACTGGTCTTACACGGCTCGTCCTGTCGCTCGGTGAAAGACCAGTGACGATGTTACTGATCTCAACGCCGCTAGTTCGAAGCGAACCGATCAGCTGTCCAACAGGAGGCTCAGTCAGCTTTGATTGGATTCCCGTATGACATCCGCCCAGTCGTGCTCACCGCGTTCATCCATTGCACCGCGCTCGCCAAATCCCTCTCGACCACACCCAGGCCACGCATTGTCGTGTCGATGGCCCCATCCATCTTTGCCAATGCGTCCTTAGCCTTGGCTACTGAGGCAGCGTCCGAACCGTCCTTCGCACCCGCCTCAACAGCAGCTAGCTGGTTTGCCGCGGTATTCAAGTCTGATACTACCGAAAGCCATTGAAAGTTGATCTTGCTGTCGACCATAGCGCATGTCCTGAAGACTCTGGCTTCCTGCTGGGATGTGGTAATACCTGGGATTGCGCGGCCCATGAATGCGTTGATGGCACACTTGGCTCGGACGAGCGCTTCTGCGAGCCGAAAGACCAATTTTTCACTGTCGTTGACGGCTGTCGGAAACTGGAGACTTAGGCTCTGACCATCGGGCGAAGGTTGGGTGGTGAGTCCTTGATTGTAGTACGGAAGGTGCTGAAGCAGGTCCCAATCCTTGTACGGGTCACCGTTGAGCGCCGACGAGAGCTTAGAGATGTTGTCTGTGTCACGCCAGTTGACTACATAACCCTTCTCTGCAGGCGACCAGTAGCCGAGAGAGTAGAGATGGCTCGTTAGGTGATATTGGCTTGGATCGGACATCGCTGGAGCTTGGCACAAGTCCAGTGAACGCGGTTTCGGAAGCCTCGGACAAAGGTCGGGGGACTGCTGCTGGAGGAGAATACAAGCACCAGTGCATGGGACAGGACGTTGGGAACAGCGGCATCTTATATCTGGCAGGAGGACTATCACGTGACGAAGCCGTCTCGTATGCAGTAGGTACTAGCTCATGCTACTGCCACCTTGCGGCTGGGCAGCCTACAATAATGATATCACCGCTTCGCTGGCATCACCATCGCCGCCGCTGCGACAGCCAATGCCAAACAGAAGCTGAGAGCGTACTTGCAACTCGAACCGCTTGAATGTAGTCTCTTCCCAAGATCTTGCTGCTATGTTGGCGGCTTTGCCTCGTTCGGGAGCTTCTCCAAATTACCCACACACTTTGGCTCCTTCTCACCCGAGATGGTCGGACTACTACTGTCCAGAAAGTCTCGTGCCAGTTTCTGAATCGTATGCCACTCCTTGATGCACTCGTCGAACTTGCCGAGAATCCGCTTACGAAGATTGTAGTCCTTGTTGAACTTGGACGTGACATCACCCAGCTCTGTCTGCACCATGTCGAAGCCGGATTTCTGCTGCTCGAACATGGTTTTGATCGAAGCCATGGCTTCTATGGCCTCGTTCATGGCTGTATCCAGCCCGTGGACAGTCTCGCCCATATGCGAAGTCCAGTTACTCAAGGTCATGAGAGCTCGCTCCTTCGCCACGTCTTTGCCGTAGTCACGCTCGGCGTCCTCCATTCGCTTTTTGGCTTGCTCGGCTTTGATCCCAAATGCCGTCGCAACGCCAATGGCGGCCAGTGTCCCGATGGGGAACCACCAAGCGTATGTTACGGAAGTGGCAGCGGCAGTAACATCGTCTTTCTGGAAGAGCATCAGTGGTCCATAGTCCATACTCTCTTCGGATTGGGGGTCATATGCTTACATATTCCTGTCGAGCAGACTGCTCCGTGCTGAGTTGTAATGCCTCGTCAGCACGAATCGTTGCCAAGTCCCCGTTGATGAGGTCAGTATAGCACTTCCTCGCCTTGCCTTCGTGGTCCGTTTTCGAATTGAAGCGATAGTCCAGGTCATCAACTTTCGTTTTGTCCGACATGGTGGTGTTCCTGAACTGGAGCCGTCATCGTCAGCACTCGTACGTCGATCGCAACACATGAGCTAGCCTTCAAGATTTACACGTACACTTTCAACCTTGTCGATGTGATGCTGACATTTAGTAGCGTAGCCGTCCGCCGAGCGTTTCAAGTCCGCACAAATATCCTGCAACACCTCCACGGCGTCCTTGTAAGTTTGGTCATGAGCCGGCTCTGGATCAGTCTCCGACTTCCGTCGATACTTGTCTCCAACCAACACGGCTAGGCTTTGGCTGAAGTTATCTGGGCCCTCCAGGTTAGATAACGCATACTTCACGTAAGTCAGGACATCGTTGGTCATTGAGGCTGCCATTGATCAGTTTGTGCGGGTCGGTGTATGCTCCGATGGCTTACTCCAAGTCGACATGCTCTCGTCGTTGAACGATTTGCAATGAGTATGGATGTTTACAATCGCGGTACGCATGTCCGTCCACGCACTCTGGTCATGCTTCTCCAAGGTCTGAAGGTTGCCTCGCGGAATGATCTCCTCGAAGCGATGGTCGTTCTCCGGATAAGCCAAGCCGGTCATCACGTAGAGCCACACAGCTATGAAGTGGTAAGACGGGCAACAAGCCTCATGGAGTGTCTAGCAGCTGCTCACTAACCATGGTAGGCGCCCTTCGTAAGCTTAAACGTCGTGGTGTCTTCCTTTTGAGGTGACTGAAAGTGAACAACATGCTTGGCCTTGTCAGGCCCCGAAGTCACATAAGCCCAGCCTTCAGGCAGCTCTGGCTCGCTGGAGGGTTGATTGTCAGGCATGATAAGGGAGCGTTGGGTGCCGACGGGCTTGAGTAGGAGACTGCTGAAGCAACAAAAGAGGAGAGCTTGTAGTACTTATGTCAGTGCATAGAGCGCTGTGCGACTATGGCGTCCGTAAAAGGTCACGCTCGGGTTTTAAGAGCTCGTCTCTGCTGTAGCATCGAAGCATGGCGCTCTCGGTGGCTACTCAACAGCAGGTTGAACCTTGAGCATTCGAGGCCAGGTTTATAGTCCTGTAATGGGTTTGGCTTGTCCGAATCAGCATGCCCACGCACTCGCGCCGGAGCTTGAAGAGTGATCTTAAAGGTTATTGAACCCTACCAGTAGCCCCAGAAGGCTGTGGTATGCAGGAACGTGGGCTGGGCTGCTCGTGGCTGGCTGGAATCTGGACTCTATCGCCAGCTATCGCCTTGTTGGCAAGAGTAGTTCACGTCTTGGCAAACGCCCAACTTTCGAGATGAGGCGGTGAAACGAGGGGCCTTCAGCCACTTCCGACCATCCGTCCCATGTCCTTCGCCATCTCACCACGCTCACTGTGGTTACACTTACACAAGACCGGGTGCACTAGTACACCTGAGGAACGTAGTGTTACCACGAGCATGTCCTTAAAGCGGCCCACAGGAAGCGCAGTCACGCAGGTCGAGCCTCCCACTGGCAGAGCTCTCAAGCTACGATATATTTCTTCGCTTGCTGCATGCAGGTGGACTTGTAGGCGCATACTAGCATCGTTAGACGGTACTGGCATGGGTCGCTCGAAGCATTCTGGTGCAGGCTGGACGCTTGGCACATCCGAGGGGAGCTGAAAGTCCCCGAGCTGTCGCTCTATCGAAACCTTGAGCCAATGGTCGATGCAAGGTGCATGGCGTCGCTGGCGTGGTGGTAAGGTGACATCGTCTGCAACTTCTACTGTCACTTGTCCTCTTGTGATAAACCTCTCGCACGGGAAGATGACATCTTTAATGCTGCAGTGCTTTCATGACTGCCATGGCACTCCCCAGGCTGCCGACACAGGCTCAAAGCGACTACGCTATCGTGAACAGTCGACTCCGCTTGATCGCAGACGAAGCCTACCCATACGAGGCATATGATGCCGACGGCCAGATCGGACATGCCAGAGCAGCGATTACCGACCTCGCTGCCGGTATCTCCCTGATTCCTAACCTTCCAAGTATCAGATTGATTGAAGTATACGCCGACACCTTGACAACGCAATCTCCAATAACGCTATCGCAGCGGGTGGATGAATTGTTGATCTTCGCAAGGCACATCGTGGTCGATTCTGCCATTTCGATCACAGTCTCTAGCGGTGTTCTGGTGAGGTTCTACTGCTCAAGCTCATGTTGTCCCTTCAATCTCAGAATCTCAACACCCAAGGGTCAACAGAACGTCACGGTCAATGCTCCAACCAACTGTCAAGCTGTGGACGTGGAGATTGATACAAAGGATTGGAGTGCTATCGTTAGCAACACTCCTGAGCCGCCAACTGACCGCTTCGACGTACCGAGTCTAGCGGATCGTATCCTCGACAAGACTCTGCAAAAGCCTCAATATGACGATAAGATGAATGAGTAAGCACGGTGATCGGCTGTTCGACTGTCGTTGCTGATGGCATACTGCAGACATCTCCCGCAGCTCCTGCGGTACCAACTACTACTAGCGGCAAGCTGGCAACGACAAGAGCCAGAGACGGCTTTTGACATTGGCACCTACGTGATGAAAATGACCCAACGCATTCCCAAAGCCATTGATCTGTACTCACGTGCTTTGACGTTTGCGGCGACGCCAGGTATGTATGCCGCTCGTAGAATGAGAGTCATACTACTTACCCAGTCCGTCAGTTATCATGAATCGCGATCAGCTGGCTGCACAGGCTGATTTAGTACCCGTATCCTCTACAAAAGCCATCCTTGAAGCTCACTTGATGGCCGCAAAGACGTTCGATGACGCTCTCCGCGACTTCAAAGGGCAGGAAGCCAATGCATCAAACAGCATTCTTACGGCCAAACTTGCTCTGCAGGCATCGGAAGATGCCGAAGCCAGCTACTCCTTCCTTGCCACCCAAGCCAAGGCTCGCTTTGATGGTGCTCAAGCGTCACTGAACACCGCGCAGAAGAATTTCCAAGACCTGGAGCTGCTGATCCCCGCTGCGCAGAAGGGGTTTCAGGACGGCATCGAGAAGTGGAAGATCAAACATATTGCGCAAGTTGTCGTGCAAGGCTTGGTGGCTGTGACCATGATTGTGGGCTCGATCGCGGCCGCATGCGTTGTACCACCGGCCGGTGTCGGTGCTGCTGCGGGTTTTGTTGAGCTTCCCGAAATCACTGCGGAGGCCGCCAACGGTATTGCGACTGTCGAGCATATGGTGACAGTAATGGATCGACTCAAGAGTCTGTACGATAAGATCAAGCCCGGCTTGGAGAAGATTGGCCAGCTTGTTGAGAGTATACAAGCGATCCTTGCCTTGCTCGTCAAGATGAAGCACGTAAACGAGGCAGATGGTGCTTCGCTGAAGGGCCTGAATGTCTCAGGTATGTGTTGGTGACGTTCGTTGGTCTTGAGTTCTCGCTAACACCTTGGCAGTGAAAGAAGGCGACGATTTGATCAACATGGCAGCCGACTGGGATTCGTTTGGAACGGAGATGGCGTTCTTGTATGACCCAGTAGGTTCTTCACCCCTGCATAGCTTTGCTCTAGCGTCCACTGACTGAATCTATAGATCAAATCAGAGAACATCGAGGGCGGCGAGTCGTTCTTCCTACTCGTTGCCAAGCTCGTGATTCGAGGCAAAGCAGTTCTTACAGCTCAACAAGCAGTGACAAGCACGGGAGACCAGTATGCTGCCGTCCTTGCTCAGCAGCTCATGGCGACAAGGTCAACATCACGCCTGCGCGCTGCATTGCCGCAGATCCAGGGTGACCCGGTAGCTCTCCACCTTTTGCGCCGAGATCTCTTCCAGAGACTGGTCGCCGTCCGGACGAGCATCGCGCTCGACTTCAAGCAATATCTTGACGGACTTGCATGGTATGCACTGGAAGTCGTGCAGACAAACATCAATCTCGACCCCCTCAAAGATATCGGCGAGTTTTACAATGACACTGCAACGCTGCAAGGCGCATTCGCAAGGGTGTCTGCGTACGTTAGAGTACAATCGCGCTCGTTCTGGCTCTCGACAGCTTCCGGGAGTCAGGGCATAGCGGCCAGTCAGGCGGATCCTGCACCGTTGATGGTGGCCAATGCTGGCTCACTAGCCAAAGATACCATGCAGAGCAAAACCATGACCTTCTCCATCGACCTGACTTTGCCATGCTTCACAGGCTTGGGACGCATTCGAATGAAGTCATTTTCGATCCTCCTCGACGGCGTTGCCGCCGACTACGTTTCACTGAGAGCGAGACTGGGAGAGCAGATGGCTGACCTCTCACTAAACTCTGCTCAGACAGACGGGGTCCAGACCGGCGTGGAGTTGCAGAGTGCGGCCAACCGAATTCTGCACTTCAACGCAGCCGCCTTGACGTTGGGCTTCGCTTACAGTGTCGATCGGCAGGGACAGCGTACGGACCTGCTGTCTGGGGATGTCGATCCCGCGGTTTCATGGCCGAGTCCCTTCAGAGACTGGACCATCACCATCGATGACAGAGTGGATTTGGCGGGACTCAAGTCTATGGTGTTGCGTGTCGACTGCGATGTCAGCTTGTGCCTCTAATACACCATCGAAACAAGATGTGTCGCCATCCGAAAGCAGTTTAAGAACCGGCGATGAACATGTGACTGCAATGTTGAGACGAATACAATTGCAAGACAGCGTAGTGTTGTCGTAGTTGAAGTGGCAAGGCTTAGCTGGTACGTCGCAATTACTGCCTCGTGCTCTGGGCACCCTCCTTCTCCATACCTTCACAACCCGTCACCTTCCCGGCCATCTCTTCCACCTTGCCGTAACCATCCTTTTGCGGGTCACGGTTTGCGCTCGCTTGTTTCATCGCGTCGATGCCGGCCTGCTTGTCACTTTCCGCGGACTTTTGCCAGGACTCGGCACCCGTTACACTGCCAACGACGCTCTATGTTTTCGGTTAGGGATGCGCTCAGACAACGATGGCCTGGGGCGTACTACCTCTGCTGCTCCTTTCACGTACTGGGCGTGGCCACCAATGAGCGTGGGGTTTTGCTCTGATGAAGACATTGCGACGGTAGGTTTTGATATCAATGTAGGTTGCTGCAAATACTACGAGTGTATGTTGGCCTCGCTCTTTGCCATTCATGAGACGAACGATCGATGATGTACGATGACGTGCGGGTACGTCCGAGCTGCGGCTCCTCCCGACGGAAGTCAATTCCTACCATGTGGCCAGATATCAGCTTCGCAGGGACCGAGGACTCTTGAATCCCACGTCTATCCTTTGCTACAATCGCATTTGCCTCGCCGTCGCTCTCTCCGCCTCGTTGTCGTCCCCGCCCCCGCCGCTCTACATCCCCCGTTACGTCCTATGTCGCGCTCGAGAAGCCTTATGCCTCATATGGAGCAGCTACGCTCCTGGCTAAGCAATGGCGCTTCCTACGAAGAGGTAGCCAAGCGGCTAGAAGTGGAGCACGGTGTCAAAGTATCCGCACGGACGATTCGTCGCACTGTTAAGGACGACGGTCTACAGTTACGACGCCAGAGCTGGATCGATACACCGGCACTTAGAGCGCGTGTAGTCCATCTGTTCCATACTGCAACTTTGACCGATAGAGAGACTATAGAGATCCTCCGTGCCGACGGTTTTATGATCGAGCAGCGGCGGCTACAGAGGCTACGTCTTGAGTTAGGGCTTCTGAAGGCAATACCGTCTGAGCGCCTTGAGGAGGTTGAAACGACGATGAACCAGCTTCTCAGCATGTATCATGACCCTAACCCTGGACATGCCTGCCCTCAGTCAACGTGAGCTGGCGGGAGAAGGGGAGCGGCCAACTGCAGGAAGCCTTCGACAAAAGTGTACGGTGCTGGATCACTCCTAGTGGCACCATCCTCCTGTCCCACCGTCAGAGTCATGTACTCAGTTGTTGGCTTGCCATCATCCGTGAATCTGGAGTATGGTTGCAGCCATCTCCATTGTCTGCAGACTCACTGTTAATGGGTGATGTCAAAGGAACGGCAAATTACAGACATACCCTTTAGTGCCGGCCACAGTAAGCTGTATGTCCGGCTTGCCCGCGTCCTTGATATCGGTCCCTTGCGACGATAACCATGAAGTCGGCGTTGCTTTCTTGGCCTGGTTCCACTTCTTCGGTACATCCTTTGTCATAAGCAAGGGACCCATGGAGAAGAAAGCGGTCATGTTCTTCGTGGGCTCAGAGAGTACCCATCCTGGCAATTGAAGTCGTTTGATGGGCAGGATGCCGCTGTAGAGATGGATTGGTGCATACGGGTCGATCAGTAGGGTCTTGATCATGAGATGCGAGGCGTGCGCGGTGAGAAAGTCGGTAGAATCGGCAACCGCTGCGTCGGGATCAAGGAAATAGGGCTGCAGCTTTGGAAAATTGTCGGGATCAATGAACGTTCGAGGGTACCCTGGGGTATCTGCTGGCTCTGGAGGCGTGCTGGGTCTGGGAAAGCAGTAGAAAGTGTCGAAGACGGTCGAGCCCGGACCGTGCCTATTGTCCAGAGCCTCTTGGTTCTGACTGTCCCAATACACTACGACACCATCGAAGGGACGATCTCGCTGTGCGTTCGGTCAGCCTCTGCATGCCTCCAGACAGACCAGACAATACTCACATCACCGATTTTCACCTTGAATCTGTATTTGCCCATCTCATCCGCAGCCTTCTGCCTCAGCGTCGCAAGGTCTGGCGGCTCATGGGGAGTATACTGTGGCCATAGAGGCGGCTGCGCCAGCTCAAGACTCCACCCAACGTTCACAAGAGCCAAAGGTTTGCCGACAATAGCGTTTGCGGTTGATGCATACGACGTCGGCGTCTGTGGCATGCTTTGAATCGCCGTTTCTATCGTGTTCCACAGCGCAAGCGTGTATTGTATGCCTGTGGTGGTCGGCTTTCCGATCGAATCCTGCATTGGCGTTCCGTCAACCAGCTTTGCGACAAGGTCGCGCAACTGATCTGACACCGAGGCGGTCGCACTAGGCGGTTCATCGAAAGGAAGCCATTTCTGACTTTGAATTAGACCGAACGGGCCTCCAAAGCGCACAGAGGTGTAGAATAGGCCCGCTGCGGTAAAGAACTGCAAAGCTGAATCGGCATAGTTTACAATGACCCAGCCAAAGATGGGATTTTCCCAGGTATTCGAAGGGCTCCACTTAAGGAACTTTCCATTGCCGTCACCATTCTTTTGAACAAAGCAAGCATTTGCTCGACAGTCTTGATTGATAGAGGGAGTTAGCTGGATGAAAGGGCTCATTGGGTACCCAGAGTGGGTCGGAGCGTCCGGCTGCACTTGTTGCGGGCTAAAGACAACATTGAGGGTCTTGTCAGGCATGACAGTTGGGAGAAGCCGATCGGATAGGCATGGGTGGATCGCCTCATGAAATACCGGCGCATCGTACGGTGTCCTCGCTGGCGGAGGAGCGGCGATTGCTTGGCCGAACTTGTCAACGATGGTGATGTTTGTGATGACTGCGGTTCCGCATTAAAGACCGGATGGCAAAACAGCATAACGGGGGAACGACTCACCAAACTGGCCATGCTGTACGGGCTTGAACACCTCATACTTGGGATCAGCTCCAAAGTCTGTGAGCGTGCCATAGGGAGTTTTTGCAGTCTGCGAGTCCATGAAAACAAAGTCCTCCTCCGTCATCCCGAGGTATCTTTGTCCAAAGTCAACAGCAGCTTTCATCGGAACCGGAAGCTGCCCGATGCTACGCAGATTTGGTTTCATATGCTGGCCGTTTGCAAGGGTGAGTAATGCGTCGCTCACGCCAGTCAATTGGCCGCTGACGAACCTGAGCTTCCCGCAGGCGGCCACAAACGCATCCTTGAGCGCTTTCGCCTTCTTCGGATCGGGATCCTTCAACTCGGCCGGGAGTTGATCGTCTGTTGCTGTACTGAGTACTTGGTTCACAACGGCTGCCAGTGCAAACGAGGGCTGGGGCAAGAGGAGAATGCGGCCCCACAGGTGCCGGCTGTCTTGCTGAGGATCCGTTGCATTGGTTGGGTTGGCCGGATCGTAAAGAGGGCTCGGATTAATGTAACGCAGTTGTTCGTGGTTGCTTTCGCTGGTCCCCGTGTAGTCCAAACCGATATCCCATTGACTGTCAAAGTCTCCAACGTGATAGTACACGCCCTCCCATTCGATGAATTGTGGCCGGAACGGCTGCTCTTGAGACCAAGCCAAATGGCCCAAAACATCTGCTGGCAAGCCGCCGGAGGCTTCTCGCAACACCTTTCCAATTGTGCTGGTAAGATCTGACGCAAGTGGCATCCTTTCGATGAGGTCCAATGTGGGCTGAACCATGCCTGCTAGTGCCGGGTTCTGGGGTGCACCGAAGGAGCTTGTCAGCCGAGTCGGTACATTCTCCATGTAGTTCACTGGCCACCCAGAGTCAAGGCCGGCAATGCATAGGGTTGGGTCATTCTTGCTGAAGAAGGACTCGTCTGCAAATCTCTGGACAGTGAGCTCCTTGCTCTTGTTAAAGATCTCTTCAGTAATCATATCGAGTTTGGACTTCAGGTTCCTGCCCTCGTCTCGTAATTGCTGAATGCGAGATGAATATATGCTCGTCCGAGACGTTCCGTCGTTATCACTCGCGAATTTGAAGAACTCTGCGAACAGCGAGAATTGTAGCAGCTGTAGCTTCGAGGTGCTGGCATCAGCAATTTTCTGCATGTTGTTCAGCCTTGCAAGATCTTCTGCCTCGACTGCGCCTGGGGTTGCGGGAGGATCTGCATCGACAATGGTTTGACCGTTCGCGTTGACGGAAGCCTTCTTCTTGTCGTATCGCCACACGAAGCGACCGCCCGACCGGGTGAAGTTGTGGTCGTACAACAGATCTGCTGCCTTGATGCGTTCGTCGTAGGTGTCTTCCGAAGCGTACAGTAGCTCGGTCATCGAGCGGAGGGTTCTCGCTGTGCTGGAGCCTACGTCATTCAACAACGAGCCTTCCCAGGCGGCATCTGATGGATCCTGGTGGGCTTCGAGAAAGGTTAGGATGGCGTCTAACGGAGATGTACCGATAGATACCGGCTCCATGTCTGTCGACGCAGTAAAGTTTTTTGCATAGGTATCGGAAGGCGTGCTTGGTTTCTCTGTCACATCATACTTGACGTTGTAGAGTGCACTGTAGCAGACGAGCCGTCTTCCATCCGGAGCATTGGCCGCATCATGAGAAACACCAGTCGGTAACTGACAGAACATCGCTTGTAGTCGCCCTCTCAAGCTCCGGTCGAGGCTGGACATCGCTGGTAGCTCGATCAACGGATCAGTAGGCGGCGGCGATGGGTTTCCAGGGCTCAAGACCGTCGAATGCCAACCTATAACTACATAGTCGCATGTAGCGCTGGTCAAGAACTGAGAGCCATCACCGTAGGCGAAGTTGTCGGAAGTGGAGAACACGTTAGGGTTGTGGATTGCGTAGTCGGCAAAGAGCGGATTGGACGAGTTCATCGTAGTCAACGGCACCCGACGTACCTTTTGATCCTCACTCCAACCCTGCAGCGGCGTCTTGTAGCCTATGTACATCTCAGCCTGGTTGTTGAGAAGGTCTGGGTTAGTCGTTGCATCATCGTTGTAGGCCACGAAGGGAGTGACTTCTGTCTCAAGATCCACGTCGGAACTGAGTTCGTCCAGCGTGCTTAGGCGATTTGACTCGATGATCCATGCTGTCACAGGCTCGATTTTGGCAGACTTTGGCTCGAAATTCCGAAGTATTCGAACAAGTAGCCATCGGTCCGGAACCTGCTTGAAGGTCGGTTGCGCAGCTTCTTTGGAAGCATTTTGTTGCGTTGCATCGTTCCGATCCGCCAGCGGTTGGTCTTTGGAAACACCGGTTCTATATCCACGAGGAACGGTCCAGTGAAGATACACCCCGAACCGGGACTGGTCGAGTCCAATGCTCGCCGGTTGCGGCGCAGGCACATCTGGTTGGAGGTTTTCAAACGGAGCGGAGTAGACCTTGGATACCCTAGGGTTCCCAGTCGCCGGCTTTGCGTTATGAAGGTCTATGGCGGGCAGGAGATCGTGCTGTTAGGATTCAGTGCCCAATACAAAAGAGCCGATAAAGCGCATAACAGACTTGCAAGACAGCAGCATCCAGCCTCAGTGACACATAGTCGGGTTGAGTTATAGGTGCGATGAGCGTCTCCCCTTCTTCAACTACCGGCTTGTTGAGGATGAAAGCATCGAGTTGCACAGGCAACGCAATGTTGTCCATGCCGTGAGCCCTTCTTGGTCCGTAGCATATACACGACGTCGGTGCCGGCGGTACCGTCCATGTCGAAGTTAGGTCTTGTTCCCTGAAGACGAGCAGGGAAGCCTATTCAGCTTACGGCGAATGCACGGCCCCCCCCTTATTGTATTGAAAGTATACACAACCGATGGCTGCGCTGGATCGAACGGCGCCCCCAGAATCAATGTGGCTTGGTCGGTATTAGCTGAGACGAAACGCTGCAGCTGAACTGCTGAACACCCCGCGTCCACCGTGCATCTCGGCTACAGTCTGGGCAACGCCAGAGAAACCCAGGCGTGCGTTCCGCAGCTGGGCTGTCTTCCACTGCATTAGCCCCTGCCTAGATAGCGTCCCTTCCGGTCTTGTTAGCGAACAGAATGTTACTGGGATATAATTGCTGAGTAGCATCCTCACTGTCCGTGTCCACCTGCGTGATGCTATTCAAATTTGACATTAACAGACGCTCGCAATGAGAAACCGCATCTTAGCCGCAACCGCCCTTGTCGTTAGCCTGTCCATCGTCAGCACCATCTTCTCGTTGTTAGCAGCAACGTCGAGGCGATGGGCCGTGCAGCATTATTTCCTCAACCAGACGGACCTCTCTACAGAACAAGCTCCTCTCTGCCAGTCTGAACGTTCGCCTTTCTACCGCTGCGGTATTCCACAGGTCAACATAGATGCGGGAATCTGCACCTTCAACGACACTTGCACCTTCTATCCGCCCAGCGGCAAGAATCGAACCAGCTGCCGGCTGGCATCAGAGGTGGGCACCGTTTTCGAGCAATCTGTCAAAGCGCAAGGCACCATTGGGACGAGCAGCGAATGCCAGTCGGGTATGCATTGTAGGCTAATCGCTTAATGACAGTCCAACTGACACCCGCTCACTAGTGCATTATGCTGGCGATCTTCAAATCGCTGCGACCGCCTTTACCGGCTTAGGGCTTATGATCGCTTTGGTCATGTGCGCGGTGAATGTAGTAGTGGCTTTGTCATACGGTCAGTCATATGAACATGAGTCAAGAAACACCTCAGCTGTAGATCGCAGTGGTGGGGAAGGAAAAGGCCCGCGCCAACATATTACCCACGCACACCACAGAGGCGACGAACGGCGCGCTAGAGTCACCCCATGTTTCACCGTCGCCCTCATTAGCACCTTGACCGTTGGTGCTGCGCTGCAGTTCTTAGCGCAGTTCTTTGGTGCCGTCGGTCTGATCGTCCAAACATCCGGAACAGCGGCGCTCATCGCAGGCGCAGCGATACCAGGCGAAGATAATTTCACCGCCAATGAGTGGACATTGGACGTCGGGCTGACACAATATGCAACAATTGCTTGGGTAAGCGCAATTGTTTGTGCATGTGTGGTGGGCGCCGCATTTCGAGGGCCGCATATCGGCAAGCTGCTTTGAGCCTTGGGCGAGAGGCGAATGTTGCGGAACTGTGCGCCAGCACGAAGTCCGTGACTGTACTGAATACGTAGCTATACCAGGTTCATCGATTCTCTTGTTTGTTAAGCGGTGACTGCAACAAAAGGCAATTCTGGCCACTGCCTGCCCAGGTCTGCTGCTAAACGTGCCGGGCTGAGTCCCAAAAGTATCCACTGAGCATCGAGGGCATCTGGATCGTCCACACTTGCACCGACTGGTCGTATATCCCATTCAAGAGTATCACTGATCTGACTCGCCAACGCTCCCCTGATCTGCGCAAGATTCAAGCGAGTGTCATTCTGTACTGCAGCCAAAGCGTTGCCGAAATCAATCCAGCGCGTCTCTAGTCTCGTCTCGGTTGGTTCGAAAAGGGCTGCAGCCAACGCCAGATCGTCCACTTCAAGAGCTACATCCTTCGTAGCGTGCAGAACGGCCACATTCGCGGACGATACATCGAATCGAACAATCTTGCTCCGCGCCCGCATTGGTTCAGGTGCGTACAGTCTCACGCCCAGCGCCAATGCAAGGGAGGCCGGAAGATTGCCGTCACGGACAGCTGCTGGTTGTGGGCCACCGGATACAGCAGCCCACAAAGGGTCATCGGCAGACGTCCAGGCGGTGTGTGACCATAGGGCTGGAGGCCCGGGTTTGAACACCAACTCGGCACGCCAATCCTTCTGGATTATGTTGTCTTTGGCGATGGTGATGGTGAGAACAGAATCAGCAGGCTGCTGCGAATGCATCGGCATCGCATAAACCCCGGAAACAGTCTTGTCCACGACAGCGATCAGGTCAGATGACGACCCGTCCAGACTTGTTGCGAACCGTGCTTCTGTCAGTGCAAAGTTCACGTCTACCCGCATGACCAAACTGGCTGGATCAACGTCCCAAACGTACGTAGTGCCGGTATTGGGAAACGAATTATCGGCAGCAGCAGCAGGGGCCTCAGCTGGGATGAGGCCAGCCTCTACCGTCCATTTGTGCAGTGCAATATTGTCGTCGTTGGGGCTTCCCGAGATGGCATCTGTGCTTCTCGGTGCGGATTGTGGACCACCCGTTTGCAGAAGCCCGAGAAAGTCGATCAGCGAAACAGGGTCCGTAGCTTGGGTCTCGCCTCCGCCAAAAGCGATGTCAAATCCAAAGAACCAGAAATCCACGTGTGCCGTGCCTCCAAACTCATTCGGTCCCCAGAGCACCAGATCAGCGCCGACGTGGACGGAGACATGGATGTGAATGAAGAGAATATCAATCTCGCATTCGATGCCCACGCTTAAACTGATCGAGGCGTGGAAATGAAAAGGCTTGAAGTTGATAAAGGCGTCCATCACAACGTCGGCGTACGCAGAGACAGGTCCCACACCAAGAGAAAGATGCAACGTGCCTCCGGCCATGGCGCACCGTGGAGTCACGGCAACGTAACCGGTACCGATGATTTGGATGTTGTCGCCAACGACGAAGCTGAGCTGAATACGGTCCGGGACGGGATAATGAGGCGGCGGAGTATATGATCGGGCGTATCCACCAACGCTGACAACCCAATCACCAGCGTACGGGTTGCTGCCGAACCAAGAGTAAAAGCTTGCGGCGCCGGTCAGGTGAGCCTGGGGTACGTAGACATGAGAAGCCGGAGCCAGCGCAGCATCAGCGGCAATATATCCTTGGGCGAAGTTTAACTCGACTTTGAGGACGATCTCGATGTAAAAGAGCGTCGCTTCCGGTGGCGCCAATGGCTCCATCTGGAAGATACCGTCGGCAAGCAGTGCCATGACCACTCCCTCTGAGGCCGCGGCGGTGCTTGTGCTGTCGGCGCTCGTCGTGATCTCTAGCATGAGCACTGCGGTCAATGTCACCAGATCAAAGGCAGTAATGGTCATACCAGCGCAGAACCACATTGATCCTTCGCTGGCGGACACGAAAGGTGACGGTCCTGCAGTGATGGCGTTGAGAACAACCATCGGGTCGTTGCCAGCTCCACTAAGCCCAGTGTCGCTGATGAAAGGGAAGCTGTATAGTTCGTTCACGGTAGGCATACGAATCATGTAGTTGTACCCAAACCCAAGCCGGACGCCCGAGATGGTGGCGAACTCAAGCTCAACTAAAGGACCGTCGAGCTTGCCGTAGACGAATACAGCACGATAGGCTGTCGGCTGCTTGATGATCTTGTACTCTCCCACGGCCAGAATCTGCCAGGATTTAAATCCCACGGCCACTCCACCACGGTACACTTCCACGGCAGCGTCTCCTTCGTGCTCGAAGACACCATTGAGTGTGATCGGACCACGCTCTAAGCCGACGGCCAGGCCGTGCAGGCTGATGTGAACCTTCTCGATGGTGTCTCCGACCGCTGCTGCTGTGAGCGAACTCAGGTCGTTCAACTTGATCTTGTTGAGGTCAACGTCGATGGTGAAGCCAACGACTGACATTGAAATGGCGCCCAAGTTGAGCGAGGCGTCCAGACTAATCAAAAGATGACCAGTCTTCACTTGGAAACTAATCGCTGACACACTTAGAGGTCCAGCCTTCAGCTGGACGTCGCCCTTTGTCGGGTTCCCCTCGGTTGATGGCGCGACCTCTGAGCTGTTAGTGACAACATTTGTGGATGTTAAATCCACTTCCGTTGGCATCGGCGGTGCGGCAGCGGCACTCCCAAACACGTGATCCAAGACTACTTTACCGCTTACGATTACAACGAAATGATGCCCAACGGCCAAGACTACGTCTTCGGGATTGTCATCGTCCTTCTTCGCTTTCTTGTACTGTATGGGTGGGACAGGAGGAGAAGGCAAGTTGGCAAGATCCGCCTTGGTAATGCCCTGCTTAGCGAGTACCGTCTGATCGTCGCTCACCCAGAGGTATTGAAAGCTGTCAAATGGCTGAGGCAGTTGCTTAATAAGCGGCACATCGTTCATCATGGGAATCTTGTCGCATGTGAAGCGGAGGAGCCTCTTGATACTGGCGGGAGTCTTGTTGTCGGGACTAGCGATGGTCTTGAACTGCACGAAGTCAAACTCAAACCCAGCAATGTTGACTGAAACACACAGCGTGGACCCTGTCTCGGAATCGTGCTTGAACACAAGGTCGGCAAGGTCATGACCGCTGCCAGTGGGATCAATGGGTATACCGGAGACAAATTGTGGCAGAGCAGTGCTAGAACCTGGCACGATGCTCTCCAGGACTGACCCAATGGTCGATGCGGTGGATGTTGTGCGGAGCTTGGCCTCAAACAGAAAGTATTTGGTACCACTCGGAAGCCGTTTGCTAGCGCTGTTCTCGGGAATGTTGCTGCTACCCTGCGCTGCAGGCGGAAGGCTGCCTTTCCCATCCTTAGATCCCATAACTGTGTCGTAGGCGGTAGCTTCTTTGTCTTTAGACTCCGTGCCCACGTATTGGAAGAGGAGGTCCAGCTCCAGTTCCCCCAACAGCAGCACGCCGAACATGAAGAAAGAGCTCGCGACGCCGCTGGAATAGGCGTAGACGATGTTAAGGGAACGGAGAGTAAGCTTGTCTAGTATTGCCATGGCTCCGCCACGCACCGTAGGGTCAAAGAAATCGCTCAGCAAGCCGACAGACAGATCGTTGATGGATGACGTTAATAGCCAAGTAGAAGGGCCACTGAAGTTGTTGTAAAGCACGGTGATGAGTGCAGTGGCTGCTTCACCACCAGAAGTTGCCTTGAATTCGAAGGAAGATGAAACGTTGATGGAGTAGAGCGTGTCTTGGTTGGCAACGCTCTGCAGCACAACGTTGACGCTGGCTGTGGTCCATGAGAATCCAGTAGGAACACTGCTTCCGTATCTCTCATCGCCATCAAGACTTAGGGCAGCAGCAAAGCTGAACATGCTCGTTTTCGGCTGCTCAGTCGTTCCATCACCGAATTTCGTCAGGCTCACTTCGCAGTCTGTAAGAAAATGCGGGATTTCTTTGGGTGGTATGCTTTGCGGTGAAACAAGCGCCCAAAGATCGATACCGTCCTTGATCGCGCTCAAGTCGTGAGTGCCGAGGGCCAAGATGATGGTATTCATGACGTTATATCGGGCATCGTACAAAGGAGATCGGAGATTGACGGGGTTGTAGAGGTAATCGTGTGTTATCAATTGCCCAAAGAAGGTTTTGGAGGCCGAGTCGTAGGTCAACCCGATGATAAGCGGTCCGCCCGTTGTTTGCTTAACGATAAGGACCCCGACCGCCCAGTCGATGGATGCCGTTCTATTGTCGGTGTCTCGACTAAGTTGAAGATACCACGGATAGAACGAATTCCCAAAGAAAGCTACAAAGGGATCGTTTGTTTGGGTGTCATCTGGCATGGATGAGGTGGGAGCATCCGGCGCTGAAGCAAATGCACTGGTGACCATGGATATGACACTCATACCAGTCGTTGGTGTGAGGGTCACGGATAATGTCTGCGCTGTAAGGTCCAGGTAGAGCTGGAACTGGCCCATCGTGAACGTGAACGAGATCTGTGGAGTCGATGTCTGTTGACCCAATCCCCGTTGGGCATTGATCTGGTATCCAGTAGACGTTGTGGCGATCACCTGTGGTTTGGCTTGAGCAAGAGCAGAAGGGTTCACCGTGATAGTTAGCTCCTTTTCGATCCAGCTTACCAAGCTCTGTATTATGCTCGATTGGAAGTCAAAAGCAACGCGCTGGGTGATCTGATACGTGTCTACATCGACGACGCACCAGAGACCCGAAGTCGGGGCTGCATCAGAGACCGCTGCTTTGGGCGCGGACACTACGATTGTCAAAGCATTCGACGTGTCGATTGCGTTTACGAGGTGGGCGATCTTGCTGCCACTGCTAAGATCCACCTTAAACGTCTGCAAGACTGCTCGTAGCGTCGGCCCGGTTGCTGGATTTACTGGAGCTCTTAGGAGCAACACACCCGCTGCAATGGACACTCTTAGGACAGTTTTCCGAGAAAATCACGCCCGGTGCATCTCGGAAAGCTCGACTTACATCCACCTGAGTCACCTGCCCATGCGGCATTCCATTGCTGACCAGCGATGGACTCGGGGTATGTCTCGAGGAAGTAGTCATAGTTCAATTCGCTCGCATAGACCACCCCCGGAATGCTTCCGGAAGCCAGAGAGACATTGGCGAGTTTTGAGCCTCCCACGTCCGTTACGTTGGCATCTGTAGTTTCCGTGACCGAGAGACCCTCGTTGGCCAGGATGGTGGCCCAGTTGTTTGACGATGATATGGTGTTGACCGCAGTGCCAGGCTTGAGGAACGGGTCACCCTGGATTGCGGCCATGATGACTCCTTTGTCCGTCGTCTCTAAAGCATGATTGATTGAACAATGTCCATCCTGGCGACACTGCAAGGTCTAGAAGATGTGACATGCCTGCCACGCCCTCTTCCGAACAACCTCAAGCCCACTGCATTGCGGTCGATGCGCATGAGCACGATACCGACCTCCCTGCACGGCGTGGCGCTCGAGCTCAACTCTGTGGCAGGCTGACGTCGGAGTCAGGAGAGGCCGCAAACGATGCGGGTGCATGGCGTCGCAAGCTCCAACTGTGTGGCTGACTGAAGTGAACCAGGATGCATAACGGACGGCAGGTACGAGCTGTTATGTCTTGGTGTTACACCCCCTTAGTTCCGGTAAAGGCCTAGTCTACGGCTGTGCTTTACCGCGGCTTGAACCGACTCCGGATGTGCGACCTCCTCGCCTCGCTACACAATGAACCTTCATAAGTCCAGCCGAGCACGTTCGTTCCGCCAACAACGAAGCATGCATGTAAGCTGAACGCTACCTTGCATGTAACATGCATGACGGTGTGTGACCAATGAGTCGAGGGACGAGGCTTGCGACCGTCATGATGTACAAGCCCGTGGCTGGCGAAATGCAGTTCGTCTTTCGGCTCGGTCAACCCTGAGCGCAATGCCTTGAGTGTCGTTCCACGGATGTAAGCACACAGCTGGGATAGTGGCGAGTGAATCAAGCTCTTGATCTGTCAGAGCTTCAAAGTTGCAGTTTCCGACTGAGGGCGGCAATGGCAAGACAGTTGCTATTTGCGCGTCTCAAAGGCGCTCTGACCAGCACGTCAGCTCCCTCGCCCGTCAGCGCCGGCGACGACGAAGTGTTGTGAGTGCTGTTTGCAAGCCGCGCTCCCAGCCAGAGCTAGATGCTTGCTAACCGGTAGGGTTGGTGATATCAGACCGGACGGCCACATGCGACTGTACGCCTTTTACACTCCAGCTCTAGGTATGCTATGTAGCGTCCCGACATCTGCCCACCGTACTCATCTTCATCGTTGCTGCAGGAGGCGGCGAGTATACCGTGTCGGCATCTCAGCAAGTGACCGCGTACCGGGTCAGCGAGGCTCAGTCAGTTCCACCCATTGTCAACCACCGGCTAATCCCATCATCTGGTCATCCAAGCACTTTGGTCTCCGAGCCAACTCCGCAAGGTTTCAATGTCATTGCTCCACAGTTTTCGCTAAATCCAAAATTGATCAACAGCTACTATCCTACTGCACAAGACGAAGGCAGAGTTCTGCCTCACATTGTCTTCAACGACCCACATGTTCCATGGTTACGGGACGCTGGCCTGACAGCCTGGGCTACCAAGCCCATTGCAAACCTATCCGGCGATGGCGCGGACTGGAGTGGACGCACAAAGGTGCCTTGGATGGCTCTGATGGTGTTCGACCCAGCAGACTTGGTCGTCGATTCTACGGCGGCCGGTTTGTTAGGGCTTAGTGCGCTTGAGTGCTGGATGAAAGCCACGGGCAAGCCTCCGGTTAACTACTCGTACGACATGACCGTAGCCGAGTTTCTTGGCCTGAAAAGTCGTGTCGCTGTGGATGCGTTCGACCCAATCTCCGACGTGCAGCAGGCTACGAAGGTGATCTTTCCGAAAAAGCAGCAAGTCAAAGACGTGTTCGGGCAGGACCCTAATTCGCTCACACCGCTGAACGCGCTCCAGATGTTGTCACATGTGAGGCACGTCAACAATAAAGGTCTTCCTGATTACGACCCGACGCTCACGACATACTTCTCGGTTCTCATCTCTTCCATGTCGGGCGACATCAAGATCCAGCAACCGACCACGCACATCGTGCACCTTGTCTCAATTGAGAACCTGGACAGTACTTTCGACCCTACCAGAAGCAACGGGATCAGCGGTCCAAGCGAGCGCATGGCTCTTGTATCGCTTTTCTCTTGGGTGTATTCCTGCGTCCCCGATAGTGTGGACTTTGCCACTACCATGAACGCGCTAGCGGCTTCATCGCAACCGTTGCGGCCTCCCGACCCAGTCTTGGATGGTATGGTAAGCGCATTGCCAAAAGATGCTACGCCTGCGCAACTGTCGGCCGCCAATGCACTTTTTCAGCGACTGAAGCATGGCTACACCATTTCACGGTGGCGCAATGCAGTGGGCGAAGTCAGCATGGCTTTCAACCGAAGTCCGCTTGTACCAAAACATTTACCGAGTGTGGTGCAGCCGACTACGTCTGGTTCAGCGGTCACTCTTCCGCAACCGCCAACGGAGGACTGGCCGACCTACTCGATGTCCGGGAAAAACTACCAGATATTCGACAGGAATGTTGGGATGCTCGATGCAACATACGCCTCCGCGTGGTCACTCGGCAAGCTCACAGCCATATCTGACTCGACATTCATTGCAGCGTTGACTCGTTTTCGCAGCAGAGCTACTACGATGGCTGTGTCGCAGACGCTGTTGGCAGTCAATGGAATTAGCAACAAGAGAACCGTCCTCGCGCATGCCGCGACGTCTCTTTCAGCAGCGACTGGGCTTGCAGCGGGTGGGTTCAAAGGCGACGTGGCAAGAACCAGAGTTCCGAGTAGCACCACGAGACCACAGACGACTATTGACAGCGACGTGAGATCTAGCTTGCCAAAAGCCATTGGTGCGGCCGTCCGTATCCGAGGTCTGTCAACTGCTGGCGCTGTACATACTGGACTGGACGCTGAGAAACCAGTCGACTCGGACTGGGAGACGGTGTCCAACTGGGTGCATGATGCGTTGTATCTTGGGCACGTCCCGGGTACGTAGTAAACGACTTTGAAGTCACCACCTTTACTGACAGTACCAGCGTTTCATCTGTTCCCGGACCCTTCGTTCCTTCGCGAACATCTTGATCCTTCGACACTGCCAAAAGACATCACGAAACTTCATCCGGAAGCACTACGTTTCTTCAGTGTTGACGGGACTTGGCTGGACTGCTTCATTGACGGCGCACTAAGTTCCGCAAATCACACCGACCCTCAGCGTGATGAAGTTCGCCTCGCCATAAAGAAGGTCATCAACGAGGCGCTGCGAACAGGTGGACCCTCCGGCACCCCAATTCCAGTTCCTGTGTCTGGCTTTGTGATTCGATCGGCAGCAATCAAAGCTACGCCCGATCTACGAGTCACTGTTACAAGATGGAGTTTCTCCAACAGTCAATGGACTGAAGACGTGCAGCATGATCCTCTTCTACGTCTTACTCACCTTGACGACTTCACTATCTTTTGCTTGCTGGATTGTGGTCTGGATGAGGTGGCCAAGATCACGCTTGCTCAGCCGCCACACCATCAACGTTTCGCATTCTCCGTCAATCCCGACTTTGATCGCGACACAGGTGCCTACAAGTCGTTCACGCCGGAGTTCAAGGTTAGAGCCCTATATACAAATCCAGGTCTGGCACCGGAAGCAGCCGGAGAGGCTGGAAGCTGGCCGGAACTGTCACCGCCGTACCAATTACTACCGAATGATGAGCAAGGGTTCTACAACGATGCCACCCGATGTATCGCTGCGGACGCCATCGTCCGCAAGGTGGTCGGCAAGCTATCTGCGTGGAACCAGGCGGCTGATGCGTCCAAACGCCCGTACACGGACTCTGTACCCGACAGCGCTGTGATGGGATTCGAACTCGGCGACCCTGCCTACCAGCTCGAGATTGAAGGAGTCATTCCGGGATCAGACACAGCTTTCTCCCATCCGCCGAGACAGCTGTGGACAGGCAATGACACGACCACGAGTAGCTTGCCAGCGCCCAACAATACATCAACCAATCAAGGCCTTCTAAAGCTCATTGCCGCCGGCCAGCGCCCGGCCTTGCCCGCACGCGTTTCTCTGAATAGAAGTGCAGTCGTCCGGCACGTGCTTGCGGCAGGTGCTCCTACCAGAAAGCCCAATGTCGCACCTCCTGCTGACATGAAGGATTGCCAATTCGAGCTACTCGTACATCCCGATTACCGCCAGCCTCCACCCCGACCGAAGCCGCCATACAAGTTCGATGCGCGAGCGTTATACAGCCCACAGACACAACTTCCGGCTGCTCCGATCTCTCTTTACGACCTGATCTTCGCCGTTCGAAGACGTCCTCGTCATACAGAGGGCAAATGGCAGCTGAAAAAGATCACTATAGAGGTTCCCGTGCAAGATGGTAGCGACACAAAAAGCGCAAGCGACATCATTTGGCGCGATCCACTGCTGGCCGCTACGGACTACGCGGGCAGGGGTCTTCGAATGACGGGCAATCATCGCTTCATCCCCACTTTGCAAAGTACGCTCAGCAGCGATGATGGGAAAGAATGCCTCTGCATCACATTGGTGCCTCGCAGTGGGCAAGCGGAAGGAACGATGCTTTTGAAGGATGACGGAGCTTCCGCTGAAGGAAGTGTACGTCTGACTGACGCCCGCCTGGCGCCGATTGTCGACACGCGGAGGAAAGTGCTAATCGCGCAACCGAACAACGCGCCGGCTGTATCGACCTCGGCCGGTCTCTGCTTTGTCAAAATGACGGAGGTGTACAACAGCGGCCAACAGAACCAGCAGTCGTGGGCTGTGGTTCTCAAGACTAGCATGCGCGACAAGGATGCACGGGGCAATGAGATGTAATGCACTCCAATTGGGAAGAGGATGGTACTGTGGCGCTCGTGCTGGTTGTAGCGCCGCCGAAGCGGGAGACGCACTCTAAGTTCAGCCAGCCACGCCGGGCCGAAGAAGCCTTTGGCGCACGCATCACGCCACCACCCTGAGCCGAGACTATTGAGCGCCACCTCAGCTGTCACTTCCCGACCTTGCGTGGTCATAATGCATGTCGGCTCGAGCCCTGCATTTGAGCTATCGGTGGCTTGCGCACTCGTGAACGCCTCGGTCTCAGGGTAAGTGCTTCTAAGCGATTGAGCAGACGGCATGGTTACATCGCCGTGTACTACAAGAGCACCTACGTTAAGGTACCAAGCTTTAATGGCAACGCTGCGGCTTTGGTAGCACGGTCAGGTCCCCGTTGTTGTCCGTTGCAGTGTTGGCCCCGCCACAGGTTGAAGCTTGCTATCGTCCATCTTTTTAACGGAAAGCCCAAGTAAGAGTGATGGCTCCTGTCACAATCAATGGAAATACTGTTGAGCTAGCCCAGTCTGCTGCTTCATCGGGCTACTTTCCTTCCGATGCCTCAGAAACCAATTACATTCTCGTCCAGTTCTCGCAGCCAAGGACAACCGCAGCGTACGAAGAACTTGCAAGGCACGGAGTCCGCATTCAGCGAGTGGAGGAGAAGGACACACTGTTATGCCGATACGAGCCAAGTGACCTGGAAGTGCTGAGAAGACTGCCTTATGTGGCGCATGTATCCGTCTACCATGGCGATTTCGTCGTCCATCCTTCCGTATGGGATGCAGTGAACGCTGCGCCACTTGATCGTTCCACAGAGACCGAGGCCGGCGGCAACACTGACCCAGCCATTGCAATTGCTATCGTCTTACACGAAAGCTGTGGACAGCATGGCGAGGACGTTTGGCAGACGATCCAGTCGCAAATCGACCCAAGCGCTGAATTGATCGACGCCAGTCTGCCGCAAGTACGTGCCCGAGTCAAAGGTACCACCCTCAGTCAGATTGCGTCAATGGATAGCGTGCGCTCCATCAACCGAGTAAGGAGGTTTGAATTCCATACCGCCCAGGCGTATCCGACTATTGCCCAGCTGGGTGAGCCGTGGACGACGGAGAACAACACCGTCTTTAAGGGTAGGGGCGAAGTTGTCGCTGTTGCCGATAGTGGATGCGGTGGACACGATCCGCCATCCGTCGGGTTCGAAGACAGGGTCGTTGGACGGGTCAACCTTACTGACACCCCGGCGAGGAACCACCCATCAATGTTGTGGGACTGGGACGGTCATGGTACCCATGTTGCCGGCTGTGTGCTCGGTAAGTATACCAGACCTACCATTCCGAATGCCTTTTTGCCCTCGTACAAGAGGCGTTGCAAGACAATGAACGGTCCAGCTACTGAAGCTGGACTTTTCTCTATTAGGATTGTGGGACCACCTCCCTCCGGAAACCTCGTGCCAGACCTTGCCACACTGTTTGATACGCCGTACATGCTTGCGGATGGGACGCCCCGTCTTGCTCGGGTGCACAACAATAGCTGGGGAAGCTCGTCGGTGGCGAGCTCGATAGTCCTCGTTCAAGCGTACGGCGACAACGACGCGGGCTTGGTGGACAGAGCCATGAGCAATGAAGCTGAACTGCTGATCGTCATGTCCTCTGGTAATGACGGTTCGAAGAAGACCCAATCCGTGGCCAATAGCGGTGGACCGTACCAATATAGCCAGGTCAACGAGTCACGACTCGCCAAGAACAGTCTCATAGTGGGAGCTACCTTCAACAACAGGTCCATGACGAGATTAAATGCCGCGGGAAGAGCACGTTGGGCCGATCAGAGACTCGCTGATGCAGCAGTTCAAGAGGCAACGTGCTGCGATGGCACGTTCAATATTTCCCCTTTCGGAACGATCGGCTTTCCTCGAAGTCCTTCGCGCGTCTTGGTAGGTTGTATTGTATTCTTCGCCATACGCTTTAGGTAAGGCTAACGTTCCGTCTTGTGATGTACTGAAGGCGTTCAGCAGCAAGGGTCCGACTCCTGAAGGACGCATCAAACCCGACGTCGTGGCCCCTGGTGCCGGGATCCTCTCTGCAACCACGACCCACCCAAGCAGGACGCTCCCCAACGACGCGTACGGCGTATGCCCGTACCCCGAACTGTGCTTCTGCAGTGGTACTTCGATGGCAGCACCACTGGTTTCAGGCTTAGCCGCCTGCGTCCGTGAGGCTTTGCGCACAAAGGGTCCAGTCCATGCCATAGCGGGCCCAATCCCCAACCCGTCCGGCGCGCTGGTGAAAGCGCTCCTTATCAATGGTGCGGTCGATCTCGTTGGCTCGGCATACGAGTACGTAGACTACACTGCAGCCCCCGGTGACGAAAGAAGAACCGTGGGCTTGATGCCGCCGTCTCCAAACGGTACACAAGGCTTTGGACGAGTGAATCTTAACCGTTCGCTGGTCTCTCTGACCGAAGATGGCGGTATCTTTCTGGGTGAAGCTGCTGTGAATGCGGGAAACCCATTGCCACAGCAGACGGCTGAGCAGAGTGTCACCCTCCCCACTTCCATTGCCAGAAGCTCGCTCCGTGTCACACTGACGTGGACGGATCCACCGGGTGCGCAATTGCAGAACTCTCTGTCGTTGGCCGTGCGATGTACCGACGGGTCGGGAGCTGCACATATCTTCCCAGCGGATATACCTACTCGGTGCCCGTGGGAGATCAATCCAATCCCCTTCGCGGCGAACAGCAATACTCAGCGTGCCACGATTGGGAATGCGCACAACTACCAGCAGGGCATCAATATCACTGTAAACATCAACAGTCCAATTCAGCCTTATAATATCCCTCCCCCGCGTGGTGGCAACGGTCCAGTGGTTCATCGAGCAACCCAGCCGTTTGCTGTGGTATGGGCATTCGATGCTTCATGACCGCAAGACAGTCCGATGGCCGCTTACCAAGCCTAACTTAGGTAGGCGAATACAGCCAGTAAGAGGATTAGACTTGCTAAGAAGGTAGACTGTAGTGAGCACGGATGTCAACAAATATATCGGGCCAGCTAATTCTCAGCGGAGTTTAAGCAACTGCCGGACCTCGCCTTGTATTGCTTCACTCATGTCCTCAGTGCCGGCTTTACCACCTAGATCCCCAGTGCGCACCTCCAGACCGCCATCTTCCTTACTGTCCAGCACTTTGGCCACCGCCTTCTCCACTACATCCGCTTCATGATGCATGTTAAAGCTGTACCTCAGCATCATGGCCAGGCTCAGCACTTGCGCCACAGGATTTGCGAGGCCTTTCCCGCTAATGTCTGGCGCTGAGCCATGGACTGGTTCATACAGTCCCACAACGCCACCTGCCCGATTTCGCCCTTGTGTGGGCTCGACGCCGCGTGCTGCAGGTGGCCCAGCCAGAGAGGCTGAGGGTAGCAGACCGAGCGAGCCGGTCAGCCCACCTGCTTCATCCGAGAGAATATCGCCAAATGTATTATCGGTCAAGATTACTCCGTTGTAGGCCGTGGGCTTCGTAATCAGAAGCATGGCCAGACTGTCGGCTAGTTGATCCCGCAGTTGCACCTTTGGAAACTCATTCTGAAAGACTTCATGGACTATGCGGCGCCAGACCCGAGAGTTTGCCAGAACGTTCGCCTTGTCTACGCTCCAAACTGGGAGTGGAGGATCGTGTTGCATCGCTAAAGCACCGGCTACTCTAGCTACACGCTCAATCTCAGGGCGTCGATACTCCCACGGATCGCAGCCATAGTCCTCTTCCTCGATCTTTTGGCCGAAGTAGGCTCCTCCACAGTTCTCGCGAATTAGCATGAAGTCCACACCCGAAATAATCTCCGGCTTGATTGGTGACCTTTGAATTAGAGACTTCGAGGCAAAGTTACAAGGTCGCATGTTAGCGAATATCTGAAGCGGTAAGTACATACAACCCTGCTGTGCTACTAATGATCAGCGTACCTGCATTCGCTGCCTTATTCTAAGCAGCCCAGACTCGGGATTGGGTTGAGAATGGCCCCATTCTGGCCCGCCAGCACTCCCGAAGAAGACGGCGTCCACCTCTTCTGACTTCTTTAGAACAGCCTCCGTTACCGAGTCCTTGTGTTTGTCGAGCGAGCAGCCGCCACAAAGATCAAAACCTCGTTCGAATCTGACGCCTGAGCTTTCCTCAATAATGTCAAGCACCTTCAGCGCCTCGGTGACGACCTCAGGTCCGATATGGTCGCCGGGTAAGATGAGCAATTTGCCGCCCTTCGCAGTCGTACCAGCACCGTTGACGCTGTTGGCAGTCATTGGAGCGACGCGCAAGCGACGTGCTTGTTATATGCGGCTACTAGTAAGAGTGGGTCGAGCCCCAACAATATTATCTGTACGCTTGAGTGTTGTTGTTGGAAAAGCTGGAGAATGAAAGCATCATGGACAGAAACAGCGTGCAGCTGCACTCGACCGTTGATGTCTTGGTATATGGAGGCTGCAGTCCACTGTACTTCCCCGCAAAGGTGGAGCCGACATCGGAACGCTAGACGAGAGTTCAGTCTCGAGGCAACACGCAGCGAGATGCTCGTCTCGCGCCACTTCCAGCGCAACGACTGAAGAATGGCCGCGAGGATTGTTGCCGCTCGGTTGACTCTATTCGTGCTGTACGTTATCTGCTAGCTGTTAGCGGTCCTGTAATAGCAGACCGAGCTCCGGTGTCGTCCAGTTCTCTCGTAAAGCTGTAGACGTTTCTCCTACGCCGGATTCTACAGGAAGGCCATGATCGGTGCCCTGCGTGCGGCTGAGGTAACCATGGCGAAATGTTTACGGCCAACTCCAATAGCACCGTCTCTTGGCCACCGATCATGATGTAGTGACTACCTGCACGAAGCGGCGGCCCACCCAGGTAGCGTCAGTAAAGCCCAAAATGTGGGCTGAATGCGCTGCAGGTATAACGACTTCATTACGCACCGCCCACTCACCGAGCATGTAAGCACCGCGGGGTCATCTGTACAAACTTCAAGGTATGGAGGTCTTGATCTTTGTTCATGAAGCGATATATTGTTGTTGTTCGAAACGGTCGCATTGACGCCTCGGGACCGGGAGGTTCCGCGCCGCACTCAACGTTCCAACAAACGTGGTGTGGAATTCTACAACACATTTCCCATGGCTCGAACTCGGTGGGGGAGCGGCTCGAAACAGCACAAGGAAGCGTCCATGCCAGACTCAGTGTATCGAAGCTGCTCTAGACGGTGAGGAAACCTGCCGATGCGTCACACGTAAGCTCACCGTGAGCATATGCCACCACTACGTTGCTCACGGCACAAGAAAATCATCCATTCCTGGATCTTTGATTGGATGACTTCGAGCCAGCTCTGCTGCGGCAGTGTGTCTGCACCCGAACTACTCACTGAAAGCGTCGAAACCCCTGGGTATCATCGCCTCCTGTACGAGGCTGACCACCGTGTGAGCTGTCGAAGATGACACCAGTGCCTGATTCGCCGAGCATGGTCACGCTCTTGGAGGGCCGAACGCGCCGACCTCGCTGGACCATGAGACTACTTTGACCTGATCGCCGGCCTTTTGTCTGCGAGCGAGATCTGCGTGTCTGCGTACTGTTTAGCAAGGCGCTCATTCGTGGCATATGCCTGCCAAGTGTTTGATAATGCCCTATCCTTGATGGGAGAACGTATGCCAAAGCCATGGAACCTGCGTTCAGACGGAGCCCAGGCGGCATACCGCGTTGACGATGAGCAGCGTAAATACGAAGACAATGCAAAAATGTGCACCCAATCCATCCCCTGTCAGCGGGTTACAGCACCATAACCCGTCCCATAGCCTTCCTTCGGCCGACAAACAGTACAGCAGCGCAGCGTCAAACTTGGTGTACCGTACAGCTTGCAAGTACCCTGCTTGTGCAGCCTCACGTAACCGAAGCTAGTGTTGGTGGCTTATCGCTCCAGACCACCGCCCACACGTGCAAAGCACTGGCTGTGTTTCTCGAGTGAGCGGGAGTGTTGCCTTAAGGTATATATACGGATTCATGTTTCCATGCCATCATTACCCTCCATCCCGCCAACTCCCTGTATCTACTCCCTGTACCTTTCCCCATCGGACACCGCCCATATCGAATCGAACTACTCCAACGACAGACCATATGGCCATTCGTGACGAAGAGACGACGGTGTCCCGGTTAGCGGTTGCCATTACCGACGACAATGACATGAGGTATGGGGACAGGAAGAACGCGATAGAGGTGTCAATGATTCTCGTCGACAGCGACGACAGCGATGACGATGATGACGATGGCACGATCCATTTAGGCAGCGAGGACTTTGACAAGAACAACTGGATAGTCAGCACAACGGTCGTTGTTAATGATGACGAAGATGTCTCCTCCGACGCAGACTCTGCAGTGGCATCGACAGTAGAAACCAACTCGGCTTTAGCTTCCTGTGAAGCTCTACCGTCGATTGACAGCGATGCTCGACGAGCAGCTGCTGCCCTCAACCATTACAGGATTGGGTATCTCGACGACGATGAGGTACCTGAAGCAATCCATAAGGCCGAGAAGTACATCAAGGCTTGCATGGAGTCGGGATCATCTCTGAGCCTTGTACTGCCGGCATTCCCAGTCAAATCGCCGAACAAGTTGGTCAAGGTCCTCGGCTCGCTTCCGGATGAAGCAGAAAGATTCTCACTACTCCACCTCAACGGCTTGTGCGACACTCTCGCCGCTATCACTGGTCTACCAGCAATTTTGACGATCGTCTCGGATGGACTTGCGTACAACGGTACGTTTCATACCTCCTCTGAAGCTTGCGATGCTAACGCAGTGGCAGATATCCTTGGCGTCAGTGACGAGGACGTGTGGAGATACAGCGAAGCGCTTCGAGCTATGGCTTCTTGTAATGGCTGTGTCAACATCCGCTTCACTCGTCTTTACGACATGCTCACGGACACAGTCGAAGGTTCGACTGTCAACACTGATGCTGAACACTTCCTGAAGACTGCGGCATGGTGTCGTACAGAGATGGAGAAGCATCGTCCGAAGGACTTCGATGTGCTCGAAAGACTCGCCAACGATGCCGATACTCTTACAACCTACTGCGGATACAAGCGGTTCTTGCTCAACGAAATTCCTGAGGACGGTCTGAATCACAAGCAGCGCGACAAGAGGAACGCTCGCATTGCGAAAGAAATGCTTGTGAGAGGCAAAGTAAGTGGCAACAGGATGTCATGTGAGAAGAGAGCTAACTGCTTCACAGGCGTTTGCAGAACTAATCAAACTGCGCTTCAGCGAATGCACTCGCTTATCTGTGCATGCCTCGCTGGACGTTGGGAAAGTGTCCATCGGTATGCTGCCACAGAATAACAGCTGGCTTATGACGCCGTGGCATGGTGCCCTTGTGTGGGAAGCAGACGGCGGTTGTCGCATGACGCACAGAGCGGACATCAACGAAGCGTCACATGAGTTGGTATACAAGAATGGTGTGTCGTCGTATTTCAGGGAAAAGAACGAGCTTTTCGACTGGCCTGGCATCGACTTCGAGCACCTCTATCCGTGTGGCCTAATCGTCCGGCCCACCAACTCCGACAACTCATCGCTCAGAGATGTCGACATGGTAAGGGTTCGCAGACTGACGGAGACTCACTCACCTGTCATTCTGCGTGGCTTCAGCGATGCGAGGGACGAGCCTGTTTTTGTCGCAAAGGCCAGCGAATTCGGCAAGATCCTTCCGTGGCAGAACAATGTGATCATGAAGGTCAGGAATGAGCGCAACCCCGACCCAGCGAGCACGAGTCAGCTCAGCAACGAAGCACTGCCCATGCATTACGACGGTATCTTCAAGATGAGCGAGCGAGTCGATGAAATTACAGGCGTGAAGACGAAGGTGTCCGACCCGCCACGCTTCCAGCTATTCATGTGCCATGCCGCCTCTCCACATGGTACTGGTCAGACGCTCTTCGCTTCCTCCCGGTTGTTCTTCAAGTACTTGCCCTCCAAGTCGTGGGATGTGGAGAAGCTGTCCCAGATCCGCTGGACTTGCAATAGCCACGGATACTTCAGTCACACTATGGCGGACTTGCCACTGGTCATACAGCATCCCAGCACAGGCCTGCCGTGCCTTCGATATCAGCAGCCGTGGGCAAGCTACCAGACGAGTTACGGATACGGCAGCACAGTCATCGACAATGGCCCGCAGTCGCTCGTCCCTCTGATTGATGATCTGTTGTACGATCGTCGAGTCTGCTTGCATTTCGAGTGGGAAGAAGGCGACGTGTTGGCCTCGGACAATTTCGAAATGCACCACACACGGACAGCTTTCACATCTGACGACGCTCGAGAGCTTTGGAGGATACACATAGACTAACGTTGTATGGCTTAGCAATGTTGCTATTCAGCTTCAGAGGTTCAACTTCGTTTGGCCAATTGGTTTGCTGTGGCTACCTAATTTGCGGTGCTAAGACATGCTCTTTCTAACGCCACGCTATGTCACCTTCTACCTTTGTCATATAAAAAGCGCACCAGTCAAGGCCGTCTACTGATTCTTGATCGTATCCTGGGTATCAGCTCCAAAGAAGATGACTTGCACGGTAATGTCGTCACGCACCATTTTACTGAGAGGTGGTTGTACACTCATTATGCCGGCGAACAGGTCTCTGCGCTTGCCACCCAGTGCGTTCTTAATGAGATGTATGCCACAGTGGTTGTCCTCCACCACGAAGTGTTTCGGGCTGACACGCCACTTGAGACGCCTTTCGGCCTCATCGAAATAAGTGTCGTCGTTCTGCTCACGGTCCGGGCTTTTGGCCACCCTCGGAGCGAAGGGCCCAGCCAAGCTCTGCAACGAAGAATGGAGGTCGTAGCCTTCGAAGCCAAGCGCACCGAAGAAGGATTTCTTCTTCATCGGTTCAAGAAAGTTTGTTGGCTTGTTCCTCTCCAGCCACATCTGAACACAGCTCACGGCATCCTCCGAGCTGATGTGCTTCCAGAAACCGTCTGAAGCCATGATCAAGAAGTCGGAATGTTCACCCGCCTTGACCTCTGTCTCCGCAATCTCAGGCTCTGCGGATACATAAGGTGGCTTCGCGCCTAAGTCAATCGGCAGTGGTTCTGGACCCCAGAGGAGCTCGTGTGCTCGACGGGTCGCTTCCACCGGCCACTTCCATTTCGCATCGCCGAACGAGCGCGGCGCCGAAACTCCGTGAGACCCTCTCGTCTCAGGTACCATGGCGGACCCGGCAGGGTCCTCATTCTTCTTACGCTGACCCATATTGGTGTCAAAATCTGGCCGATCAGATGACATCAGCTGAGCGACGTAACTGCTCTCGGCTTGATTCCATCGACCCAGCACTGCCTTTGAATGCCCAGTGTTGGCCACTCGAAGAACTTGTTTGTGCGGATCATAAAGAGCCATCAGCGCGCATGATCCTGAGAAGACTGGTGCCACCAAAGAAATCGCTTCGGATCGACTCAAAATGTGATGGCGGAAGACTGGCGCTTTCGCAGAGACAGTCTCGACTGGATCAATAACTTTGTCGTGCAAAGCGTTGACGGCACGATCCAACAATTCAGTATCTGTCTGTACGAAGATCTCTTTGATCACGTCTCTGATGTATGAATCGTGCGGGACGTAGGGTCGGTCGAAGCAAGAAACCTGGCTTTCCGACGCGCTCGGGCTTCCCAAAGCTTGGCCTACCAATTCTGGTAAGAGATCTTTGAGGACCTGAGCGGTCCGTGGGCCGGAATGACCGTCGAAGATGGCCCACTCGGACCAGTCCTTCATTGGATCGTTGTAGAAGGTGAAGGTGCCGCCTGACCAGGTGTCTTCGATGGGAATGTTCGAACCCAACTGCGCGACGTGCGAGACGGCTGTGTGCGACACAGAATAGCCAGCTCTCGACTCGAGGAAGTCTTGGCACGTCTCTAGACTCATGGGAGATACACCGCTGGCTGCTGCTGCTTGGAGGGCATTACGCATAGATTCTTCCAGAGCTTCGGCATCCGCGCCAGGCGGGACCTCTTCGATGTCCTCAAGGCCGATACCGAGGAGAGGAAGTCCATACAGCCATGCATGACCGTATGCACCAAGGCCTATGCATGCTGTACCCAGCAAAAGAGTGCTGAGAATCCGTCTCGGCGGTTTAGGAGGTGGCTGAAAGTACGTTGTGTGCGGTCCATTTGCAGCCACGCGGTTGTAAGTTCGCCATAAGCGCGGACTTGGCCTCAGCGCAGACGACGGCGACCTTAGAGACCGCAAACATGTCGTTGCTAGCCGCATATTGAATCCATGTTGAATCTGCAGGAAGCAAACGTTTCTGGGAGACGCGAGAGGCGCGTTGAATGGGCCGGAACAACTTCGGCCCGGATTGCATGGTCTCTCTATGTTTACACTTATCGCATTTACTTGTACATGAGAAGCCACCATATACTCTCGCTCATGCTCAGAGGTAACGAGCACAGCCTCCCGCTCTGTAGGCCCAAGTTCCTGCATGTCCGTTGCAAGGTACACTGGGCTGTGCCATCTACCCTTTGCTGTCGCGCATGGCTGTTACGCCAGCTTTACGCATGACAGACTCCAACCTACGGTCGCTGTTCCTGGTGAGTCCGTCATGAATCGGCATGTCTCAATAGCACACAGACGCCGCTTAAAGAATCACCCAATCTTACCACCGCCGAGCACATCCGTAAGATTCGCATCGCCCGTTCCTCTCTGCATCGGTTTTGGTTGATCCGGTCCTTCCTTCCACCCAATCATATATATCGTCCTAAACGTTGCAGGCACAGTTACCGTGCCGTCTTCCTGCTGCTCGCCATAGAGTTCTCGGTAGATAGCCTCGGTAGCGAGCAACACATCCCGGTTGATACCACCCAACTCCCGCCGTACCGCAGCATTGGCCTCTCCCATAGCTTGCAGATCAGCCATCAACGCAAAGACGTTAGGGTAGTCCACGATGATGTCGTCTACATCGACGGTGAGAAGCTTAAAGCCGGCGCGAGTGAGCAGATTGCCAACGTCGCGGACATCAGCCAAGGGCGAAATGTGCGTGCCAATGCCGCCTAGACGTTCCTGTTCGGCCAGCTGTAGGGATCCGCGGAGCTCGAAGAGAGTTTCGCCGCCGGTCATGGCGGCTATGAAGGGTGCATCGGGTTTGAGACACGTGTTGATCTGTGTCAGAACAGATGGCAAATCATTGATCCAGTGCAAAGAAAGTGAGGAGATGACCAGGTCAAACGTTTCCGGTTCATACGGTAGGTACTCCGGAGTTTTCAACACCTCACGGCGGATGTTGATCTCCTGGTTGAAAGGTTCATCCTGGTCTCTGTACAGCATACTCGGACTTGAGTCCGTGCATGTAATCTCGCCTACTTTCACAGCGATTGGCTCTGTCACCTTCTGGTCTGACTCCAGGTCCGGGTCGGGTCGTGTGAGTATCCGAGCAATGTTGCACGCATTAGCCCCAAAATCTAGGACTTTGGGAAAGTTCCGCTTGATATCCAGTATCCGGTCACACAAGCGCGTTGCTACCTCATCTCGCAAATAGTCGACCTGCCGACTGTGCGCGACATGGGTAGCAGCACGTTCCTTGTGGATGTACTTCGTTCGGGGATCGAAGACTTCCACTATCGGCGCGCCACCGGCTTGTATGGCGTATCGCCGCCGTTGGATTGAGAAACGCGGTAACGGATGTAGTGACGCCACTGCCTTGCCCAGGTGCCGCACCATAAGTGAAGGCATGCTTGGGCAATTCAACTGTCTAGAATGTGGAAGAAGTCATACGGATGTCATTGTTGATGCCGCCGAATCTGTGGAGGCGGGCCGAATGCACCCCACACAACTACGGACCCACCGTCGCAGTATATATAGACACCGTCATCCAGGATACCGCCATCACCTGTACCACAACACATCGGCCTCTTACCAAAAGGCATTCGACGTGATGCGTAATTTCCGGAGCTCGACAGCACAGCTGTGGCGCTACAACGGGAAGATATGGCGTGCGAAGGGCATGCTCGAGTCTAGACTAACTTCCTTAATCCCGAGGTGGAGAGGGGTTATGTGTAGACTTCGAGGTCGGTGCCCTTGAATCAACGAGCATCGCGATGGTCGTGGGAATAAAGCAGCGATATGTAACATCGTCGCGACAAGGTCAAGCAATCACTCCATATCTGTTTCCTTCGCTTCCTCTTCCGACAGCTCCACATCTGATACTAGTTTGATACCATAACATAGCAACATTGCAGTACAAACAACATGGCACCTTCAGAAGAACCCATCCTCTTCCTCTGGTCTTTCTCACCTTGGGCCAGCAAAGTTGTAGCCTACCTGACCCTCCGCGGCATCCCGCACGCCCGCTGCGAACAACCCATCACCTTGCCTCGTCCGGACATTGCTGCCCTGGGCGTCAAATACCGGCGCATCCCTGTCCTGAGCATCGGAAGGGACATCTACTGCGATACTCTGCTCATCATCGAAAAGCTCGAGTCCCTCTATAGCGCCAACGGGCACCATGGCATCGGCGCTAGAAATAAGACCGAGCTGGCGCTGGAGAAGCTGTTGGAGAAGTGGACTGACGTGGTGGTGTTCAAGCCTGCGGCGGCTGTGATTCCGACCGACCTGGACTTGATGAAGGATCCGGGGTTCCAGAAAGACAGGGAGGAGTTGTGGGGTCGGCCGTGGTCGAAAGAGGCACAGGAGAAGCTTCGGCCGGCTGCGTTGGCTAACATGCGGGAGAACTTCGATTTCCTCGAAAGCGTGCTGGCAGATGGCAGGCAGTGGATATCCGGTGGTGAGGATGATGGGGTGAGGTTGGCAGATATTCATGGTAAGTCGCTCGAAATTGATCGCTTGATTTTGATGTCACGTGGCGCATAAAACCTGACGAGCGCCTTAGCGTGCTGGATCTTCGACTGGCTTCTGCAGTTACCTGGATCCTTCCCCGAAGACTTCTTCAACAAGCAGCGCTACCCAAAGACGTTTGCTTGGCGGGACAGGTACAATGGGGCCATCGCTGCTGCCAAAGAGAAAGGCCCCAAGCCAACGGAGCTCGAAGGTCAGGACGCCGTAGCCAAGATTTTGAAGTCGGGCTTTACCGACGACGTGAAGTTCGAGGATGACCCGTCTGGACTGAAGCAAGGCCAGGAAGTCGAGATGTATCCACTGGATACCGGGTACAATCACCGCGATTCCGGCAAATTGGTGGGGTTCAATAGCAGTGAGGCTGTAATTAGCACGCAAAGTCAGCAGGATGGAAAGGAGATACGGATTCACTATCCGAGGTGGAACTTCACTGTCGGGCCGGTGGCTGAGAAGACGAAGGCGGCGGCGAATGGTAACGCGCATCTGAACGGCCATTGAGAATGAAAATCTGTAACCTGCGGATTCCTGGTTGTCGTGACGGGTTACACGTCTGCTGCGTATGTCGCTATACTGCTTTGTGTAAGCGCTAATGACAATGCTTTTAAGCCTACTGTCGATCCAGCTCTGGATAATGCCTGAATATGCCCATACTGTACGACATCCTTCGCTTACTGCTCAGGTACTCTTTGATGCCGCTTTCTTGCTTGATGGCCTCGTAGAAATCACCCAGTAGCTGCGGGAATTCTTCCTTCCGTGCTGCCATTTCCTTGGGGAAAGCGAACATGCAACCGTCGAGTACTTGCCAGACGGTAGTGTCGGCGTAAGTCAGCTTGTCGCCAACGAGATACTTGCCCTTACCGCTACCGTGGTGCTCGTTGTGCTGTCGTGTGCGATCAAAGTAGGAGAGGAATTTGGGGATACGCTGGGTCATGTCAGGGCAGCGGTATAAGGTAGGAAGGTGCGAACGAGCCTACATTCTGTCGCACATCTTGCGCCTTCTTCAAACTCTCCTCCTTCTGGTCTTCGTAGTACTTCATCACTGCGATGGGATGGTGCGTGTCATGCATCTCATTGTTGAGATCCAACGCCGTGAGCGTAATCTGCTGTACATAGTACTTGCCCGCTTCATCCTCCGGTACCAGATCCAGCCTCTCACCCAGATACCACAGGATATTGGGAGTCTGGCCAATCACCAAAGCGGTGCCATCTTTGCCTCCTCCGGGCACACGGAGAGCTGGAGGGGAGAAGACGGGAGGATTGTTGTCGGCGGACTCGGTGGTCTTGTTCATGCAAACCTGTTGCACAATGCCGTAGCCTTCCTTCTGCTCGTTCGCTACGTCGATGTAGGGGACGCCAGCCGCCTCGAAGGCCAGGCGGATGAACTCGCCGCGGCCGGGTATGCCGGGGTGGTATAGCAGTTCATACTGCGGGTGCGTGCGTTGCTTCTTCGCTGATGGTTGAGCCATGCTGACCGTGGTGTATCTGGAGACTGAGGTACGGAACGTGAAGCTCCGTGGACAAGATCTTGCAGTACAGCTTCCTCGGAGCGCCAACGCAACAGACATGCGCGAGTGGTGCCAGTGGAGATAGACAACTTGCTGTCTTCAGTAAACTCCGGCTGCGCGTCTACGTCACACTTACCTGGCCGCCTCCACCACGTAATGAAGAGAGCTCGTCCATCGGATCCTACAGACTCGTCAACAGCGACTGTACGGTCGAGACTCGAGCGTTATGGCAGGGTTGGGGTGCAGGAAGGTGGAAAGTCCATGACAAGGAGGTTTGGTAATCGCACCGACCTGCTTCGCGAAGACACGCACTGCCTACGACGCTCCATTGGAGTTTGTTACATACATGTTAGAACAGTGAGATGAGACGGCGATAAGCTGACAGGAGCACAATCATGGGAAGCGTCCATCGACACCATTGACACGACACCGTCGCGTTGCCTGACAGTGCTGCAGCCGTCCGTTCAAGATATGTGAGCCGACCTCACGTCTCCGTTTGGCTTTTGACTCTTTCTGCAAAGACTATCGTTACATTCCTTGAGAGTTGCGGACTTGCTGAGCAGTACAGCTACCACAATAGTGTAAGACTATCAGACAGCGGCCATGGCTGAAGAGTTCCTTCACGCCCATGGCATTGATATTAACGCTGAAATGCACCGCATTCAGACCGCCGGACTGGGTGTGAAGAATGACCAACATACTACTCTGCACGGGCTACGATGCGATCGTATAAGTAACGTTAGCCTTCCCGGAACTGCTTCGGGCAGTCGGTGGGACATCACTCTGTCAGGGGACACGGTCTCAACCGTAGAGCCTTGCGAAGATAAAGTGCAACCACCAGATCCGGTCACCGAGCACAACGTCATCGATGCCAAAGGTGCTCTACTCGCACCTAGCCTGTGTCATCCGCACGTTCACTTGGACAAAGCATACCTGCTCAGTCACCCGAAGTATGCGGACCTCCAGATCGAGCGCGGCGACTTTGCCGAGGCCATGGAGCTCACAAGCAGGGCCAAAGCCCAGTTCGAACATCTGGACTTGCTTGAACGAGGGCAGAGACTCATCGACGAAAGCGTAAAAGCAGGCGTTACTCACATGCGTGCCTTCGTCGAGGTCGACGCCGGCGTAGGCACGAAGTGCTTGGATGCAGGCTTGGAGCTGAAACGGAAGGCCGAGGAGCACGGCCGCTGCTTCGTGCAACTGTGTGCGTTCGCCCAGTTACCGCTCTTCACGGCCTCCGGTGGCGATCCGGACGGCTCTGTAATCAGATGTTTACTAGAGCAAGCGGCTAAGACCGACGGGGTAGATGTGGTGGGTAGCACGCCGTACGTGGAAGCTGACAGAGACAGGATGGAGCAGAATGTAGCTTGGATGGCCGATCTGGCAATAGATCAGAATAAGCACCTTGACTTCCATCTTGACTACAACCTTGACCCGAAGGTAGAACCGTTGCTCTGGCATGTCACAGCCACACTACGCAAAAAGCACTGGACTTCATACAACGAGAATCGTAACATCGTCTTGGGACACTGCACGCGCCTGACGCTGTTCTCGTCTCAAGAGTTCGAGCGACTGCGAGAAGCGATCGGCGGCCTGCCCATCTCCTTCGTTGGCTTGCCGACCAGTGATCTTTATATGATGCGCGAGGCGAACCAGAGGAGAGGTACGCTTGATATAGTGAGCATGATACAACGCTACGGTATGAACGCATGCTTGGGTATCAACAATATCGGCAACGCTTTTACACCTCATGGAAGCTGTGATCCGTTAGCTTTGGCTTGCAACGGCATAGGGATTTACCAATCAGGAACGAAGAAAGATGTGGAGCTTCTGTACGAGTGCATTAGCACACGTGCGAGAGAGGCGATCGGGCTCGGTCGAGCGAAGCAGACGATCGAGAATGCTGATGGCGATCCAGAAGAAGTGACGGATTTCGCGTTCGAAGTTAAAGAGGGCGACACTGCGCTTCTACTCTTCGGTGCCGAAGAAGATGCTTGGAAAACGAGGAAAAGTGTCTCCGAAGCTGTGTATCTGTATGACCACTGTCAGGGCCGGCGGGTGTTCCTGAATGGTAAGCTTACCATCTAAACGCAGTCCCCACGACGTGCGTGGCGGAGAAGGCGAGGTGCCAGTCATGGGCCATGGACCGCCAATCCCAGGTTTTCTATAGGCAATACCGGCATGTGTCTCTCGCAACGAGATGATTTCGGTAAGCCACCAACACGCCTAGCCCTCCGTCTCTATCGGACGACCTCGCATCACCCAACAACTGCGTCGCCACATCGGAGCGCTCAACTACCACAAAGCACCAAACCGCACACCGGAACGATGAGCGACAGAGCAGTCCGCAACATCCTCCGCAAATCGCCCACCATGCAATGCGTCTCGAAGGCGCTGACGCTCGTCATGGTCACGCACGCGCTTGTGCTGCTAAACACAGCCTCTCAAGTCAAGGCAGAGGAGAAATACAGTAAGCGCCCATGTCGAATCTGGCTCAGCGGCTTCACAGATCGCTTACCCGTAGCAATTCAGGGCTGCGATGTGCTGTCCGCCGTCGAAAGTACGACGTCTTGAAGTTCCGTATAGGACGTGGCGGGAGGCAGATACGGAAGTTCCTGCGGAGTGCGGCGTTACTTGGTGTGAGATTCTGCGAATGGGGGATGGAGATGATACATGGATAGACAACACTTGAGAGCTGGGAAGTTGACAGGGACGGTAACGGCGGTTTGCGACTCGTTCAGCTTCCAGTACTGACAAGCTCATGCTGAGCTTGCGCTAAATATCAGTTGCGCATACGCGGCGTATGGCCAGGTCCCACCTTCCTTGGCGGACTCTGCAGTGTCGGTGACACTTTCTCAATTCCGCTTGAGCATCGTACTCTCTTTGGGATACCCAGGGAACCGCATCCATCTCCATACGCCGAACTGCCATGGATCTTACAATACTCCCAATAGCAAAGCAGATTCTCGGGTTGTAGCAAAGGACACCGTCCCACCTCCATCTGCCGGAGAAAGCGATTTCTCAATCGTATTCGAACAAGACGGAGATACTTTCTCCATGATGCACTCTGCGTATCGCCTCTGCAAAGACATTGCCCACCTCAAGAACCTCCAGCTTGTCGCAGCGTTTGACGTGCTCCTCTTGAGGCACTGAATTAGTCGTCACCACCTTGTCGAGAGCGGACGCGTTAATGCGGTCAATCGCATCGCCAGAGAAGACGCCATGCGTTACCAGGGCGTAGACAGTATGCGCGCCTTCCTTCTTCAATAGCTTTGCTGCGCGGGTGATGGTGTTGGATGTATCGGCCAGGTCGTCCACGAGGATGGCTGTGCGATTGGCGATGGCGCCTACGAGCAGCATCGTAGCGTTTTGGCCTGATGTGGGAGATTGACGACGTTCCTAGGCTCACTGTCAGAACAGATGAACGAAGGAAGACAAAACACAACCTACCTTGTGGATGAGTGCAAAATCCATGCCTAGCGAGTCCGCGATGTTCGTCACACGCTTGGCGCCTCCAGCATCCGGGCTCACAATCACGCAACCATCAGTGCCACCGTGCTTAGGCAGGATCTGATGCTGAATGTACTTGCGAAGCAAGTGTCTCCCGTAGAGGTTGTCCACCGGAATGTCAAAGAAGCCTTGATACTGAGGATCATGCAGATCCATGGTAATGATGTGATCGGCGCCGGCACACGTGAGCAGATCCGCAATTAGCGTTCCAGCCTGCGCCACCCACCACTTGTAGCCTCGCTGCGGTTTGAAGTCCGGCGGTACCATGCCAGCCGCGTGCGAAGTCGGCGCATGCGGCTCCTTGGTTTCGTCGAAATAGCTGTTGGTGGAACCTTCACTCTGAACACTATCCAGGGTGTCTTTCCGCCTTGGCGCAGTTGGGGTCTTCATGCCCATCTCGCCGTTCACAAGCTTGTGGCCGACGCTCAGGCCGTTGAGCTTCCGATTGAGCGAATGCGTACCGTTACTGTGCAGGCCTGCACTTTCCGTCTGGCCAGGGTATGGCGTGGATGGAGTGCTGTCGAACGTGTACCTCTCGCCCGTGGGTTTCGAAGGCATCCGCGCCAAAGGCGCACCGATCTTGTTGTATGGGAGATCAGACTGCCTTGAGTACGGGAAGAGCGGAAGCACAGCCGTCACTCGCCGCGCACTTGCCGTCTTGCAGGCGGAGATGGTGATAAGCAGTTCCATGAGGTTGTCGTTGACCTTACCGCCACCGGATTGGACGATGAAAACATCCTTCTCACGGACGCTCTCGCCAATTTCCACGCGAGTCTCGCCGACGGCGAACTTGGACAGATGGATCTTAGCCGGAGGGATGCCGAGGTGAGTGCAGATGGTTTCGGTAAGCTGGGGATGAGAAGAGCCAGAGAACAAGACCAGGTTGCGAACCATGATGCCGTCTGTCACGTGTATCGAATCTGCTGAAGGTAGATACGGGAGTAGAACCGAGGATATACTGCGATAATGCGAGCAAATCCGGGAGTACGGGGATTATCGTAAAGTGAGTGAATAGTCGGATCGTCTGTGAGGTGAATAGCGACTTCACTGAGGTCTGAAGCTCCACCCTTCAGCTCGCGTGCTGTCCAGCAGCTGTGGTTGATTACACGAACATATCGCAGGCTGTGTCGCGTGGGAGAAGCGTGACCTTAGCATGTTGCATATCAGGACGGAACGTTTCGTAGCACGCAACCACTCCACCGAACTTTTTTCCTTGGTCCCAGACGCTCGGGCCCAAGGTGGGGCATGACGGAATGGCTGATAACGGCGATATTGCACTTCACTTCATCTACCACTGTACAATACGTGGCAGGGAGAAGGAGAAGGCTGGACGAGACCAAGACTGTCGTGTAAATCGAGACGTGGTCGTGGCATATGCTTGCTTCAGCACCCTCTGTTCGCTCGTACATAAGCTCGCAGCTGCTCTACCATCCGGCCATGGACTCAACTCCGCCTGTTGTGCCCATATTGCTGCTTGGGGATGACGGGGTGGGTAAGTCTACATTCTTGTCGTACGTTATATATCCTCCTGCTTTCATCCCTCACCTCTCTTGCTCATACACTTCCGTTCTTCCAGCCGATTGACTCTCGGCTCCAATTCCGTCCCTGGCCAGCCTCTTCCGGTGCTTCGGGATCTGGACCAACCATTCCCTTTCAATATACGGATGTACAATCGCCCCTATCAATTTGAGTTCTACGATACCGCATCACCTACATCATACACTCTGCTTAGGCCCGCGGTAATTGTGCTTTGCTACTCCATCTCAGACCCGGAAAGTCTCCGCAGTCTCAAAACGACGTGGAAGTACACAGTTGAGACCCACTTCAACTTCGACGAGAATCTACCCGTTGTTGTACTGGGGCTAAAACGGGACGTGAGGCAGAAGGAAGACTACTCCGGAAGCGTACGCGCGAAAGCGCCAGCGGCTGATGAGAGCGACGGGGCTCCGCTGATGCCGGGTCGAACTTTCGTGTATCCGCAGGAAGCATTGAACCTGGCGCAGGAGATGAGGTGTGATCGCTATTGTGAATGCAGCGCTTTGACTGGTGAGCTGTGCAACGAAGCATTCGAAGACATTGCCAGAACAGCCGCCAAGACGACCACGGAGAAGGGTGGCAAGAGTGATGGTACCCAGTGCGTAGCGATGTGAGCAGGGTGGCCACCAAGCATGGCTGGATGGCTGGTCTGAAACTGCACTCGCCCGTTGCATCGCACTGCAAACCTCTACGAGCAGGCCGCGCGCGCCCCCAACGCTTTCACCGGTCAAACTGCACAGTGTCTAGAATTAAGCCGCTGTCGATCCATAGTTGGTGTTGAGCATTGGCACTCCGAAGAAACCAAGCATTCGCGCACTTTGCAGTATGCGAAGCCTTCAGCAGCGATCAATAGATACGCTTGCTTTGATACCGCCACCAATCTTCCCTAGTGTCAGCCTTCCGCCACACTCCGATACCGCCCTCGACACCCTTCTCATTGACACTCCAATGGCCATTCTCGACATTCTCCAGCCAGCTCTCCAGGATGCCGACAAGCTTCGGTCCGTGTCGCATCACAAACGGATTGATGTCAACCTGATACAGATCGCAATAGCTCGTTCTGATAGGATGGAAGTCTGACGTGCGAGCATATCTGTTGCCACCGAGGCGTATAGGCAGCACGAGCCTACATGCATCCTCAAAGGGGTTCTGCGCGTTCGGGAATGCGTCGAGGTAGAGGCCGCACGGTACGCTCTCGACGGTGGAGTATGGCCAGCGGAACTTGGCTTCTTTTGCCGACACTGTTCCGGGACAGCGGAGAAAGAGGAAAGGCATTTTCGTGCCTGCTGTCTCTTTCGGATACTGTTGCAGGATCTCCCGGAACGGCTGGTGCAAGAACTCTTCGATTTTGGGGAGTCGGATTCCGGGCGCAACAAACCATACCTCGGACGGTAATGCTCGCAGTAGAAGCTCATGAGCGAAGCCACGAGGCACGCCTGCAGTGCTGAGCAGGGAGTTGGTGCCGAGTGGGGCGAGGTCGTCCGGGCGTATGACGTTTGCGCGCTTCTCGATGGCGAGCACTAGGCGTTTCCAGGCATCCAGCGAAAGGCGTAAATCGTCATGAGTGTAGGGTTGTAGTATCCAAGGATGAGTGCTGCTCAACTGTGCCTGCCTCACATCTGAAACGCCATTAGTCTCTTCATCCTCAGTAATGTCGGGATCGGCGACGGCCGAGGCGATCGCCTTGTCTGCCTCAATCATGTCAATAAAGGCGCTCAGGATGGTTTCGAGTTTTTGCCACGGTAAATGAGGGTCTGTCATGTCGAACAGGTGATGGTACGTAGGCATCAGGATGGCCCGGTTGGTCTCCTGGTCGAACCTTTAGTACACTTTAGCGACTGACCGTGCGTTCCTCGACACCGTAACACTTACACGAGCCCAGCAGGAAACGTAACAAGCGCTTTCGGTGTCGTATACAGGACCACAAAGCGATACTTGTTGTCCTTGCCGGTGTCGCGGTCTTGATCTTCGAGTACGTCTCCAAGTTGTAGCATCTCTCGCGGGCGAGCGAGGCCGGAAAGGTGGTAGAAGAACCGATGGCTTGGTACCTCGAATATCTTCGAGAGATAGCGGATCAAGGACGGCTTCAGGATTTGCTGTAATGACTGGCTGCCATGATTGCTCCACCAGGAGCGTTTGACAAGCTCCTTTACTTTTCGCCCACTGCAGACCCAGCCGTAGAGCATCAAGGTATTGTGCAAGGCCGCACAGCGTTCGACATCCAGATCTTTGCCATCGCGGGCCGGATTAGTAGGAGACACGCGCTGCTTCGCAATTGGTGCGAACAAAGTGGCGGCGGCCATGCGGTTATTGGCAGAGCGGTGCAACAGAACGTTCAAGTCTAGTCATGCCTTTCATGACAATCCGATGCGAACGGTTTATGATGATATGCAAATCTTGGCTCATATGCTCGCACTCCTTGGTAGGCAGAGTGCTCGACTCAATTCCCACAATATCTCGAGTGCCAGTGTCTTCTGTTGCGGACTGTACTTGAAGGCGCTTTGTAGAGCCGACTAGCGGCGCCATCCTTTGCAGTGAAGCGTGATGTCTTCCCGGCACGATGCCGACGCCACTTCAGCCGCCAGCCAGATTAAAGCGGGGACGGCCGCAGTAGAACCGATCGTCTTGCGTTCGCCGTTGAATGAACTTCCATCTCTCCCTAACTCTTCATACGCTGTGCTGTACGTACAGGCGTTCAACGCGGCATCCAGGCAACTGCGACAAGCCCGATGAGTTCTTATCAGTGGGAACAAGTTCATACCGACCGTAGCGAACCAATACCTCCGAAGGCTACGGCCTCGGTTTACAGAAACCATGGCCTACCGAAGCTGCCAACGTGCTCGGTCTACCCTTCTAACACTCCTGCCGTTGAGGTCACTGTTCATCGTGAAGCAGTCCACTGTCACTATGCTCTGGATGTCAAGCACGACGTAGGGTATGAGCAACACATGGCGAGCAACATGCCACAGCCGTTTCTTTCGTGCCACTCTCTGCACCTTCCTTCCGTTCAAATTGTGCCTCACGGCTCCTAACAGTCCATGTCTACATCAGTAAGGCGATGCAGCATGTTCTCCTTCCGCAACTACTCGAATATCCTGTCCCATAACGATTGGCAAGTGCATGACAGCCATCCCGTCTCCTCAAACCTGCGCGACCGAAGCAGTGTTCAACTTCCCTTCATGGTGACGCGACCGCCTACTATTCATAATCCTGTCACTCGCAGCCTGCCTCAATGGGTCGACAACAGCCTCCCGAGCTCCTAGAAGAATACTTTCATAGCCCACGAGATCTCCAAAAGCACTCGAAGTGGCCCTACTTCTTGCGCTTACACGGCAGTGTCCTCCCGAAGATGGTGAGTCCAGGCCTTTGATCAGCACGGAAAGGCACCGTGATGATTTAACATCTGCACTGCAGATTGTACCGCTCCTCTTCGTCGCTGCATGGGCAACAGCCATCACCTGCATCTCTCAGCTCGTCCATAACATCAGCATCAACCCAGTTCTGGTAACCATCATGGGTTTCGTGGTCGGTCTGGCACTCTCCTTCCGCTCCACCACTGCCTACGAGCGCTACATGGAGGGACGCAAATACTGGGCTCAACTGCTACTCGCTTCTCGCAACATTGCACGTCTCGTCTGGGTGCACGTAATAGAGCGCCACGCCGAATCCGCCGAACTTGGCAAGGAGGATCTCTTGGGCAAGCTTGCTGCTCTGAACCTTCTGAACGCCTTCGCCATCTCGCTCATGCACCGGTTGCGCTTCGAGCCCTCGGTCGAGTATCCCGACCTTGCGCCTTTAGTAGCCAACCTGAAGACTCTTGCAGCTGAAGCCGATCAGGCCGCACTTCGCGTGGAGCAAGTACCCCTGTGGAAATCGCTTGGCTTGTACCTGGGCATGTCCTTCGCTGAGGACAACCCGCGCGCTCTGGTCAAGTACGCCAACCAGAACCTCGGCAACACTCCGTTAGAGATCCTGAACTACCTATCGGCGTACGTCGAGAACATTGTACAGAACAAGACTTTCGCTATCGGCGCATTGCAAGGGCAAGTCATGAACCAGCTCCACTTCATGGGCGAGGCACTAGCCGGCGTGGAGCGCGTAGTCAATACGCCACTACCAGTTGCATACTCGATCATCTACGCACAAATCACCTGGGCCTACGTCCTCGCGCTACCCTTCCAACTCGTATACCAGCTCCACTGGGTGGCGATCCCTGGTACGCTTCTAGGCGGATACATCATCCTTGGACTCGCCGCCATCGGTCGCGAGCTGGAGAACCCCTTCGGCCACGATGTCAGTGACCTACCACTCGAGTCCTTTTGCAGGGAGCTCGCGAGCGATATTGATACGTTGACGGGGCGACCGGCGCCGCTGAAGGTGGAGGATTGGATGTCCGGGGCTGGTGCGAAAGTGATGTGGCCCATGAGTGAGTTGGGTTACAAGGCGTGGGAGGCGAAGAGTGTGGATGAAATACGAGCTACACTGAAGGCGAAGGCGGAGAGTGTGGATGTCAAGCGGAAGAGGACGACTACGATGAAGATGAGTGAGAATCTGACGCCGTCGGTTTAGGTTTGGTAGACTGTGCATGCGGGAACCCGTCTGTACCTAAGATATGTACCCCATCCCCCCAAAATGCTGGGCCCATTCTCACTTGTAGGATCTAACGGACTTCGTCGGTTCTCGTATGTATTGACAACGGAATGATCGGTTCCGGACACTGCTCGGCTCCGACCGGGCCAAAGCACGTGGGAGCTGAATCCTCCACGATCGAGCTTCATTGCATCCTTCGGCCAAGTCATGAACCATGAACGCAGCAAGCATGTTGCAGTGCATAGCCATAAGTATGTTAGGTCCTTATTTCCTACTCTCTACTTAAGCCCACTCCCAGCCCATTGCGGCGGCGTCTGAACTGTAACCATAACCCTACACCCCCGTTTTCCTTACCTAGCAGGAGACTCCCCCCTCCCAAGCCATGCACATCATAGTAGTCGGCGCAGGCCTAGGTGGCCTCTCAGCCGCTCTCTGCTTCGCTCTCCACGACCACACCGTAACACTCCTCGAACAAAGACCCGACCTTTCACCTCAAGGCAACGGTATCAACATCCGCCCCGGAGCGTCACGGATCATGCATTCTTGGGGTCTTCGAAATGATCTCGAAGCAATCTCGGAGATCTGTCCGACATTCCTACTGCGAAGTACCACCACGGGAGAGATTACGATGCGGAGTATGCTTTATGAAGCGAGTGAGTATCCGGATTGGAGTACTATGCGGAGGGATGTCGTTGTTATGCTTTATCGAAAGGTCGTGGAAGCGGGAGTGAAGGTGCGATTTGGTGTAAGAGTACGCGATGTCCGCGAATCTGTAGGGCAGGCCACCTTAACTACAGAATCCGGCGAGAGACTTGACGCCGACCTGATCCTAGCAGCCGACGGCGTGCGCTCACGGATCCGCCGACACATCCTTGCCGACGTGACAGACTCCACCGAACCCATCGTAAGCGATACAACCTTCTACGGCGTCTGCGTCCCCTCCTGCGCCATCCAAACCCGCGGCACGGAGATGCACCGCGTCACAAACCATGATCACGACATCCCAGTCGATTGCTGGCTAGGCCGCAATCGCTTCGTCGTCTCACGCTGGAGTCCACGACATGGCTTCGTGGCTCTGTACGGGATCAAAGGTGAGAACGATATGAAAGGCATGTGGGACGCAGACGGAAATATCTCCTACATCCGCGAAGCCTTCTCGGGAAGTTGCGATGACCTCACCATCCCTTTATCGCTGGCAGAGACGTGCGATAGATGGAAACTAGCTGAAATGCCTGATCTGCCTCGGTGGACGAGTACAGGCGGAAGGGTGGTGTTATTGGGTGACTCAGCGCACGCGTGAGTAAGAGATTCTTCTCTTACAGACACGAGCTGACGATTCGACGTAGCATGCACCCAAATGCAGCACAAGGTTTCAGCCAAATCATTGAAGACATCGGCGTACTCGACTACCTCATCACCCGCGCCGGTCCCAACGCTACGAGGGAAATGCAGAGCATCACGCGAACATGGCAGAACATCCGCAAACCGCGCGTCGAACGGATAAAGGAATACGCCAAGTTCAACACGAACCTCTTCGTCAACGCACCCGCACCCTCCGCCGCGGAAACGGGTGAAAGTGTATCGAGCGGTGAGGTGAAGGCGAACGTGCGATCGTTAAAAGACGTGCAGCCGCGTATGGAGGCGCATTTCCAGTCCGCGGCTTTCGTGAAGTGGGCGTTGGATTATGATGCCATTGCTGCCGCGAAGGAGTATCTGGGTGGGGCGAAACTTTAGAGGAGTGAGGTTTTCGTACCTTGACGCGGTTGCAGGCTGTAATGGCGGCGGAGCGACGTCTAGACTAAGAGGGCGCGACAGTGAAGCATCGAGGAGCCTTACGATCAGCGCGTAGCGGACCGCACAGGGAGGGGACGTTGAGACACACAGCGAGGGGTTAGAATCTCACAACCCATACCGAAAAGTGATCTTCTCATCCCCTCGCCTGCCCCGCTCCAAACCAAGCCTCTCCAGCGCCACAGTCAACCCCAGCTTCTCCATCCAAACCCCAAGACTGGAAGCCTCCCCAGCCGGCGCATCCCCAAGCAACTCCTCCCGCTCCCTCTCATCCTCCGACCAACCCGCCACAACCCCCTCCCTCCACGCATTCTCCCTAACGAGCATCACCCAAAACGCCACGAATCCGGCCAAACTGGCGCCGACGCACGCAAGCGTGACGACAAAGGCGCCCAAATACCCGCTCCCCTCCTCCTCCGGCCGGAACAGCAACGCGCTGAACACCCCCGCCAGGTTACCCCATCCGTTGATCCCGAGTAAGATGGCGCGTTTACCGGGTTCGGGTGTATTCCCCGAAATCCAGGCCACGGTTAGCGGGGAGGCGATGTAAGATCCCGAGAGTAAGATGCAGAGGGCGGAGTACCGCAAGATGTAGTTTGAGCGGGGCGTGGTGACGGTGAGGGTCAGTCCGACGAGTAGGATGGCCAAGCCGACGAGGATGGGGAGGAGGCGTTGGTGCGTGCGGTCGCTCCAGTAGGTGAAGAGGAAGAGGATGGCGGCGCCGAAGAGGAAGGGTGGGGCGGAGAGGAGGTTTGAGGCGGCTGGGGATAGGTTGAGGGAGGGGGAGAGTTGTTTGAGTACTAGAGGCAGGAAGACTCCGAAGGCGGTGGCGGGGATGGCGGAGAGGATGTTGCAGAGGAGGAGGTGCCAGATTTTGTAGTTGAGGAGGGCGGAGAGGATGTCGTGGGTGCTGAGACCGCTGTCGGCTGTGACGGAGATGGCGGAGACGGTGGAGAATTTGCGGCGACGGGAGGTGTTGTCTGCGTAGTCGTTGAGTAAGCGGTGATGCGGTTCGTCTGCCACCGCTTCGTCTTCGAGCCCGCCATTCGCGGGGAGGGCGTTGTTGTCGTCGGAGTCTTGAGCCGCGGTAATGCTGTGGTGGTACGCAATGCTTTCTCGTCGCTTCTGCGCGGCGGGCATACTGTCGCGATCGAGTCTTATCCGTTGCTCCGCCCAGAGTCGTTCTTGACTTGTGAAGAACCAGGCCGTGTCGGCGCTTTTGGGCAGCCAGAAGAAGCCGATGAGGGCGACGCACATGGTGGTGCAGCCTTCGATTAAGAAGAGCACCTCCCAGCTCTTCCATCCCCCCTCCACAGCAGCGCTTACGGTGTCCACTGGTGGCAACTGAGGGGCAGAGGGCTGCTTAGGGAAATGACTGAAGACAGCCCAACTCAACACCCCGCCCAGCGCACCTGCCACAGCACTCTGTCCATAGAAGAAGCCAAGCCTGACCGCGAACTCATACCGCGTGTAAAACAGACTCAAATACGAGACCGTGGTAGGGTAAAACCCGGCCTCCAAACTCGCAATAGCAATCCTCAAACAAATCAACTGCCACCGCCGTCTCACCCAGATATGCAAGATCGTGCACAACCCCCACAACGACATGCACGCGGGCACCCACCGCGCCATCCCATACTTCCGCCCCAACGCCGCGCCGACCGGCTGCAACGCGACGAAGAAGGCGAAGAAGTAAGCCAACGACACATTCAAGTCCGAGGCGGACAATCCGGCATCGTGGGTGAAGCCGGCCGTCTCGGCATTGCCGATGTTGCTCTTGTCGAGGCTGTTGAGGAGGAAGAGGAGGGCGAGGAAGGGGAGGAGGAGGAGGTCGAGTTTGCGCACGGTGCGTCGGTTCAGGCGGGTGGAGTAGGTGCTGCTGCTCTTGAGGGGGTCCTCGTCGTTGAAGTCGGCTTGGGCTGCCGCCAGCGGTCCGCTCCTTGGGGTCGGGGGGTGGTGGTGGTGGTGGTGGTGGTGGTGGTGATGCATTCCGGCGGCGCGCGTGGGGTGGAAGGTGTCGAGCTCATGTTGTGCTTCTTCTTCTGCTTCGTGGGCTGGTGGCATCGACCAGCTCGCATACGCGATTCATGTCTGGCGAGCGTGAATAGTATATCCTACAATATCTCCATATAGACAGCCAATCCTGCCGCTACATCCTCCCGAATCGCGCCAATGCCAACCCCCGACGTCACCCCGCAGCGCAGCTACTCTTGTGTGAAGAAGGCGGCCTGAGGCATCAATGTAGCAATCACCCAGCACCCCAGTAATCTCTCCCCACGAACCCCGTGCCTCCATCCCGTATCATCTCACTTTCTCCACGCTTCCCCTTCCATCATCCATCCGCGGCCACTTGTAGCCCAATCCACCACGAGCCTGCACCACCGACCTTTCTTAGGTCTTCGTACCTACTTCTGATGGCACCAGGCCAGACACACACGTGCCCCATTACCAAAGCTAGCCAATCCCGAATCCTACTCCCTCATCCTCACTCCGTGCACCCTGATGATCTACGTCTCTATCCCATAGCCCCCTTGTGATACCATGAGCACACAACCACATCTATCCCAAACGTCATGTAATGCCAAAACGGGCTCACAGCGCGCGGTAGGATTGTCACCTTTCCCTTTCCTATTAGCAGCAAGATCTCTTGTGCGAGTTCCCGATTAGCGCCTGACACATGAAACCCTGACGCTAGCATCGAATATCAGGATCGACAGCTCCAGCAAGCAAAGATGAGCCCACGCTGATTTCCCACAAGTGGGCGCGCCGCCGATGGGGGCCTTTTCTTTCGGTGGGGGCCAAAAAGGGCCATTATGGGTCCGACATACAGCGTTGACACCTCTACTCATCTATCCTTTTCACCCGTCTCATTGTAGCCGTTAGCTTTCAACCTCGTCCTCGCTGCTCATCCCCTCCAAGCTTCCAGCACCAATGAAACAGCCGCTGGTCCCCTCCTCAGAAGCTAGCCCGTCCAATCCAGCCAGGGTCGGAGAAGCATCGTCACACACCGACCCGGAATCGGGAGGCGTCGGAGGAAAAGCGCCAGAGGGCGGCTTCCAGGCCTGGCTCCAGTGCGCAAACACCTTTTGCCTCTGGTTCGCCGCGCGCGGGCTCGTCAACAGCTTCGGTGAGTCCTCCTCCATTCATCCCTCCATCACTGCTACCACGAGACGCAAGGTCGACCACTGACAAGGACCGCCAGGCATCTACCAAGCCTACTACGAAGACCACGCCCTGCGAAACAAGCCCCCCTCCGACATTTCGTGGATTGGATCGCTGCAGGTGTGCATCTTCATCGGTGGTACCACAGTCGTAGGTCCCATCTTCGACATCGGACACCTCACACCTTTACTAGCCGTCGGCACAATTTTGACCGTACTCGGTCTCGTCTTTACCAGCCTCTGTTCGACATTCGGCGAGTTCCTTCTCGCGCAGGGATTGTGCACAGGTCTGGGAATGACATGTCTGTTCGTGCCATGTGTCGCGGTTCTGCCGTCGTACTTTGCTTCCAATCGAGCGTTGGCTATGGTGCGTACATGATAGAACAACATAAAGGCTATACATGCTGTCCACAACATCGCTAATGCTGAAACTTCTTCGCATTGTAGGGTATCGCTTCCAGCGGCAGCAGCGTCGGTGCGGAGTCGTACCCCTCGACACACCTCTGTTGCTGAGCATGAAGCTGAGACATGGCTCGCAGGTGCCGTCGTCTTCACACTCATCTTCGAGCGACTGTGGCCGCGCATCGGCTTCGGCTGGACGACTCGAGTCATAGCCTTCATCATCCTTGGCTCCCTGCTCCTCCCCCTCCTGACGATGCGTAAGTGGGTAGCACGGTCGCCGCGTCGCGCACTGATCAACACCCCAGCTCTTCGCGAACCCGCGTTTGATCTCATGCTCTGCACGATGCTGTTCATGTTCATGGGCATGTACGTGCCGTACTTCTACATCGAGGTCTTCTCCACCAAAGCGGGAGTCATCAATTCGAGCCTGGAGAAGTATCTGGTCACGTCGATGAATGTTGGATCGTTTGCTGGCAGACTTGTGAGTAGACCGAGCCGTCGTGATAATAGAGACGCGTGTTTACCAAATCGTAGCTTCCCGGCACCGTAGCCGACCGCGTAGGCGTGCTGAATACCATAGGCCCATGCGCGCTTCTCACCGCCATCGTCGCATTCAGCTGGATCGCAGTCACGACTCGAGCCAGCATTCTGGCCTTCACGATCTTCTACGGCTTCTTCTCCGGTTGGTTCCAGGCGCTTGTGCCGGTTCTGTGGGCAGTGTTGTGTCCGGATCCGGCGCGTCTAGGGACACGAATCGGCATGGCCACGGTCCCGTACGCAATTGGGGATTTGTTAGGCGGTCCGATCGGCGGCGCTTTGATTCACGGGAGCAGCTTCGTGGGGTTGCAGGTGTTTTGTGGTGGGACCTTGCTTACCGCGGCTGGGTTTTTGTTGGCGGCGAGGATGTGTGTCGCTGGGTTTCGCATAACGATCAAAGCTTGATCGAGGTGCTGCCGGCCCTTGGGTTGATTGTCCTGAGGAGCCGAGAAGAGCCATGGAGGATGATGCGGCCTTTCGAGGGCCGGTAAGGTGGACGAACCCGAGTCTCTGCCTTTGCAGATCCCCCTGACTGCCGTCGATGCCTTGTATTCTCCATGCACCGTCAGCGTTCAACGAAGGCGTGGGCTGGAGCTCAAGCCTTAAAGAGCCCTGTCCGCTGCAGAAGGTCTAGCACATCCGCGCAGATCTTGACGAACCCGTGAAAAGTGAAGCTAGTTGCAGGAACGGACTGGGACTTAAGGCCGCCCGTCCAGGAGAGAACAGCTCTGCTGGAAGCAGCATCCGGTCTACCATATATGAAGTCGCAGAAGAAGCCTAGCATCAAATCTGAAACCTTCGGTAAGCTGCATAGGCTGACCCCGAAGGCAAAAACCAGCTCCTTTTTTAGCCGGCTCTCCAGTTCCAAAGGTGCAAGAATCGGCTCACCACGGGCATTCGGCATGCGCGGGTCCCTCTGGCTGGTTCCTCATCCGTGGCTGGTGTGAGAGTCCAGCGGCCCTGTACCACCGAATGCGTCTCACAGGAGGAGCCCATGCAGGACTGGGCTGTTCCCGACGGAAGTCACCCAAATGGCATTCCTTGACCGGGTTGCATTCCGCATGCAGAACAGCTGCAGGCATCGGATCAACGAACCCTACCACTGAATGCGTTTTATGGGCTGCCATAACAGGAAGAAGCTCATCCGTCGTGGAGTGCATCCTGCTGCTACTCCCGACGAAATTGCAGCCCAGCTGAAATCTGCGTTATCCGTTTGTTCGGGTGCAGGCACCGTACCTGAGGGGCGGCTGCCCCCTTCTGATATATATAACTCTCGTATGCGTGGCCGAGGTTTTCCTCGGTGTGCTGAAAGGCGAGCTAAGCCGGTGTTGAAGTGAGAGTGAGCAGAGTTGCACGCAAAGGCTGCTTCAGCCACCAAGGCGCTGGGCTTGGCGGGGAAGGAGCGACCGACGGCGAGGGTGGCGACATCCAAAGCGAAGAAAGCACCGATCGCCCCTGAGTGGTGTGGCCCTTAACAGCAGGGTGTTGGGAACCCAACAAGGCCAAGATACTAAAGCGCGGTCTGCTGCGAGTAGAGGGCGGCGGTGGAACTCGATCATGCGGTCCAAGATTCGTTCGATGTCACGTCTTCCACTCTCATGCAGCCCGCCACATCTCCCTTGCCTCTGGCTCACGGCTCTCTCGCGCCATGATCTGCATTGGACAATGGCGTACGTTTGCACGACTGACCCCGACCCAGAAGATCTGAGTGCGAGTGGCGTCCTGATTCAGCAGCGACTGTAATTGGATCGCTTTCGTGATCTCACTTCCAGCACCAATATGGTCTCAAAATCCCTGCTTCCGCTTCTTCTTGGCCGGTCTTCCTCCAAACCTCCCACTCACCACCTGACTGGCCGTAGCAAGCCGAACACTCTGACTCTGACTCTGCTCTTGACTCCCTCCAACTCCCGGAATACTTCGCTGACTCTCTGTGCCGGCAACTCCACTATCCACAGTCCGAAGCACATCCATCGCAGTCCGCTGCAAAGGCTGACTGAAACTTACAATCTCCGGCGCGTTTCCAGTAGCCATCTGCGCCGCCTGGCTCGCTGCAGCCTCTCTCCGCTGTCTTCTGATATGCCGTTCGGCGCGTCTCTGCACCCTCGCGCGCTCCTTTGTAGTCATTTCTCCTTCCGCTTCTTCCGCCTCTTCATCACGGCGGGATATCCGGTGAGCAGTTGCGCGCCAGTCATATGTCGTTGGATCTGTGCCAACTTGCCAGTGTGAGAGGACTCGGCTAAGTGAGCGAGGCAAAGCTGGGGGCGCAGACCGAGAGAAAGTTGTGTAGCGGCTCAAGCGACTGATCGCCGGCGCAGCAAAGGAAGATGGATGGCTCGAGCCTGTGGTGATTGACGGGGTGGCGGAGGGTGATGGCGTCGGCAACGTAGACCGTTGTGAGGCGGCTGCTTGGCTGCTTGACGGCCTGCCACGTATGGTGAGACTCCGCGTCTGCAGACTCTCCTGCGTGTCATTCTGAGATGATGGCATTGGCTGCTCGGTAACGGGCTGTGGGCGATTGACGAAAGACGCAAGAGCCACTTCGGTGAAGGTGCGCTTGACACACTCTTCTCTTGCCGCCAGAGTCTCCTCCGGAATACGCCCTGGTAGTGCATCGATCCAGTCCTTAGACATGGTCTGGTAGTCCCACACAACAGCTGTAGTAAGCCGCGATGACAAGCGCTGAACGGTCCAATCTTCATCCGTTGGCGATAGTGCATCACCATCCTGCGATGGAAGAGGTTTCGGCACAGTGGCAAGGGTCATTTCCTCGAGCTTTGCTAAAAGCCTGTTTGGCCTCATTGCCGTGATGTTATCTCCAAAGTGTTGCCGCAATGTCCGCCACGGTGCGCCGTACAGAAGGCGGCCATCAGTATTCACAAGATCTGCGAACTTGTCGATTAATTCTGCCTCCTCGGCGATGCTTTTGTCCAACTTTACGGCGACCGACTCCAGACTGATGGTCCAGCCCACTCCCTTACGAGAGCCGCAGTCGGCCCGCCTCCTTCGCACATATGCGGAGAGTGGGCGTGTTCGCACTTCAGAATCCTTGGCTTCGTCATCATCAGCTACAAAAGCCTGCTTACGCGGTGCTCTATGGGCAGCCAACCTGCTGTCCCAAGTAAGCGCGCTCGGCGGGCGTGTATGCCGAGCAGGCGAAACGTAGAAGAGGGTTTGTGTCAACAAGCCATCTGCCTGGAGTAAAAACAAGGAGAGAATGTGAACGCCCTGATAGTCATCAGGGATGTGTTCGCTTGCACCGATTTCGGGGGATTCAGTGCCATACGGTGCGTCGAGGACAAACAGCGAAGCGCGTGCGTTGAGCCCCGTGCCTTGCGGGATCTTCACCTCATATGGGATCGACATAACAAGGTTGCCAGTATCCGCGAGTATCATCGAGTGCACGGTAACGACAGAGTCCATATCCGAGCGAATGAAGAAATGCACCGTTTCTTGACAGAGTGCGACATCGAGCTTCAGGGTAGTATCTTGAGGACTGCGGTGATGCCTGGTACTGGAAGCCACTTGCGTCGACAGGGTACTCCATCTGTCTTCGTGGAAGGCGAAGATCGACACATGAGTGGATGTAAGCACACAAACATGCGCTGGCTGCGATGGTACGACTTTAATGTCAAGGATCCAAGCGGGCGATTTCGTCAAGTCCGACACAGTGAACGGCTCCGAGTGAGAGTTGTCCTCGGTGATGGAGTGAAGCAAGAGCTCGCGCCTGTTGCACACAAGCACTGAGCTCGAGCTCAGGACCCAAGTAATACGAGCCCAGCCATCTTCTGTAGGCTTTGCGTTGCCAGGCTGAACGGTGCGCTCCAGACCGATGGATGAAGCGAAGACCCTCCTGGACTGTGTCTTGTGTCGCCCGTCCAGCTGCCATACCTCCCACTTTCCCGCTTGACCTACCACACCAAATTGCCGTGGAAACCAAGGGTTGAAAGCCACATCTACATGCGGTAGGCCTCCGGTTATAGACGCTTCTAGAACAAGAATGACGTTCGCTTCCAAGCGAGGGGTCGCCGGACCAGAAGCCGATACCTTTTGCAGTATCGGCCGGAAAACGACCGTACGTGTGGGTAGGCGTACAGCAAGGTAGCTGTCTGTCAGCTCAAGGGCATGTGCAAAGCACACTTGCTGAATAGGTGCGCCTTCTCCGTGCCAGGTAGTTTCCGGGCCGTGAATGACGGGTACCTCAATCCAAGCTTTGCGCTTATCATCCCATCCTCGCCGTTGTGTGCGGACTTGCACGATGCGAAGATCGCTTCCCGTAGGGCCAGTGGGGAAAGCGGCTACGCGGACAGGGTGATGATGCGGTATCGAAGGTATGGTGCCAAAGGCAAGCAGATCGCCTTTGAGCGGATCATGATGAGCAGCAGCGGCCTCTATAGCTTCTGAAGCTCGCAGAAGCGGAGGCAGAAGTGCTGTCGCTGGCTGCAGATCCGGAAAGCGCTTGACGAGACTCTGAATCTGCTTTCTGTGCCTCACGGAAGGAATATCACGATCAAAGCTTGGCGAGCTTCCAGGAGGAGGCGGCGACGGCGGTGCGATAACAACTCGTGGCTCGCCTAGCGGACGAAGTACACTAGTGAACGTCGCTTTTCGCTCATAACGCCAAGTCTGCTCGTCCGGATCATAAACCGCTCGTCCAAACTGACCATACGGCAGGTCCGACGCGCCTCGATCAGCCATCCGGCAGCCTGGGCGGTCGTTGACGGAAGTCTACCCTGGTGGCGTAACGATGCATATCCAGGCAGGTGTTCAGGAGACCATGCGATTACCAACAGCCGTAAATGAAGCGGTTGTAAGAGTTGCACTTTTCACTGTGTGCATTTGATTTGTGAAGTAGCGCAAGGCGAAGTGAAGCCACTAGCGCGCTTTTGGCGGCTTACTAACAGCGCCCGTGAGCTTGCAGAGGTAGAGATACCAGTCCATACCCATGCAATGCTACGCCTGATCGCTAAATGCTACGACTACGATTCCGGCAGCTAGAAGTCCTTCCACTCCGGCAACTGCCTAAATCCCCACTCCTTCACCGGCACATCTCCCGCCGGCGGCCCGATCCCAAGCATCATCAACACACGCGCAAGGCCCGAGTAGCATATGAAGCCAATGATGGCATGCATCATTGCTACGCCCCACCCCGTCTCTGGATTGGACCAGTAAAGTCCGCGGCCGCCGAGTGGTAACATCTGTGCTTTGGCAACGGTGGGACGCATTTCGGCTTCGTACTCGCCGAAAGCAGCTGACAGGTTGGTTGGGTTTTTCAGTATTGCGCCTGCGAGGTTATGAGCGCCGGTGAAGGCGAGGGTGGTGCCCATGCCGGAGATTGGAGAGGCGCAGTACCCGGCGTCCGCAAGTAATACCACCCGACCTTTACTCCACTCGTCCAACTTCACTTGAGCGACCATGTCGTAGTAGAAGTCATCGGTGGCGTACATCTCCTTGATGATCCTGGGACACTCCCAGCCCGCGTCTTGGAAGTACTCCGCCAACAGCGCTTTCTGTACCTCAGCGCCCTTCCTCCCATCTGCCGCTGCGCTGCGCAGTCTGTCGTCCTCGAAATTGATGGCGTACATGAACACGGTCGTCTTGTCCGGTGTGTCACTCGGCCGGAGCATGATGCCTCGCCGCCGCGAAGCGTGGAACCATCGTCGCCATTGCGTGTCCTTGTCACCTTTGGGTATACTGAAGAAGCCTGCATACATGCCCAGCCGGTTGAGATTCTGCTCATCGTCACCCCAAAGCAACTTGCGCGTCCCACTTTGCAGGCCATCCGCGCCGACCACGATGTCGTATGTCATTCGCTTGCCGCTCTTCGCGAGCGTGACCTCCACTTTCTCGTTATCCTGCTCAATTGACTGCACGTACTCGCCGAAGATGTACTCGATGCCGTGGCCACCCTGCGCTTGAACCTCCTTGCTTATCGTCAAACTGCGTCGGTAACAGAGATCTGCTAAGCGGCCCCTGAGAATCTCAATATCGCTAGTGCCAGTCTGAATCTTGCCCGTCTTGTCTGCGGCAAAGGCGCCCCAGGCGATGTTGTTGCTGTCCACCCATTGAGCACCTTCCTCGCCAGTGACAGAGGACCTAATGGCCGTCTCAAGACCAAGCTTTCGTGCGACTGTGACGCCTGCGCCGCGGACATCTACGTTTTGGCCTTGCACTCGCCGGGTTGCGGAGCGCTCGAGGACGGTGACGCGAGGTTTCTCTGCTGCGGGTAAGTCTGACAGAAGCAGGAACGACGCCAGTGTAGGACCAGCTACACCAGCGCCTATAATGAGGACGGATAGTGGTGCCATTGTTATGCGCGCCGTGCCCTGAAATACAGAGAAGGTGGACAAGGTGGAGGGTCGGTGTTTGGGAAGGGCTTGGAGGGTCTTGAACATGGCTGCACAACCTACCGTATCCTAAGCATACTATATATGTGTGTTTGAGACGATTGTGACGTCTTGGGCAGCGCACAACACATACTTCGCGGTGATGTCGTTGCGGCAGGTTATGGTTGTAAAGGAAAGGCTGGTTCGGGCGATCGTGGTCAAAGGACCGGCCGAGATATTGTGGTTGATGCCCGGCCACTCTTCCGAGCTTCCTTCAATGAAGAATAGTCCATTCGTCTATTCAGTCCGGACGACTGACATGTACCCAACATTGGCTCGGACTCTGATCTACCGAGCTGTGGTAGACAGTATCTATCTACCGCTTTCAAGCGTCTATTCGACTGCACACATCGCTCCGTCGCCAAGCTCGGTGTCCACAGCTGCGGTGCGGGACGATGGCGAACTGCCGTATCAACGTCCACGCGAGACCAGGGCGATCGTGCCGTGAACGCGGCAACCGAACCGCTCAACAGCAGACGAGAGGCTCAGAGGGGGTCCCACGCCGGGTGCTTGGGATAACACTGCATAATCAAGTGCGACAGTGAGCGTTCTCGGACGGACTAAGTGTCACACAATCTAGCATCCTTTATGATCCGTCAAGTTAACCTCTCGACCCAACTCAGTATCTCAACGATTTGATACATACCAAGGAGAAGTCACTTTGCGTGGCGACTTACGATCGTGCTTCGCCGTGCCAACGCATATGCAGGTTACCGTGCGGACTCCACCGAGTTCCCGCACGACGATAAGGGAGCCGCATAGAGCTTCGCACAACCTCACCAGGTTTTGTGGTCACCTCAACCATTCAGGAAGAAGTCAAATGCAGTACGACTGCGAACTTCAGGCCTGGTCCATGCACCTGGTGCTTGGCTGACAACCACGTTTGCCGTCTTTCGGCACTATTCTGGGGTTTGTCTGCATAATCGCACTCATTGCCTGGCTGTCCATCTGAAAGCAGCATTGTCCGGCACCTTATCTGGACGCTGTCTGCTGAACGGCCAGAGACTTCGCAATCTAGGACTCCTGCAGACGGAACGAGCATGATTCAAGCTTAACCATGAATGTGCGTGAGTTGTGTTGGCCAGCACATCTGCGTGTGAATACGTTTCACGACGCTGAGAAGTCGCTGCTGTGTGCACTGCGGAATGTAATTCGCCAGGTCAGCCGGTCATTGCTATCGAATAACCTGGTCGAACATCTCTCGCCCGCGGCCGGGCTTCTCGTCCACTGCACGCGCACCCTGCCATGCCGGACCTTGGCATGCCATACAAGTTGCTGTCAGCGACAAGCACCACCCGACATCAGCATCCCTGCTGTTCTCTCTCCATCCCGGTTATTGATCTGCTGCCGAAGTGTCGATGTTGGTTAAGCGAGCACGTTTCATACGGCGCTTCTGCACTGCTACCAGCATACATGGTGGGTCAGTTCTATTTTCACTTCTGGTAGCCTTTGTCTCCCTTGTTATAGGAAGACGCTCAAACGCCTGTATCTTGCAGGACCTGGCACTCATGGCCATGTTGATCCATCATTTAGGACCCCAGTGCCAGTCCACTAGATTGCTTGTTACTGCAAAGTGCTCTCCGTCTCTGTGCTAAACTCCAGACTCCACCCAAATCATGGGCTTCCTTTCTTACCTCAAGCCCGCAAAGCGCACGAAGCATGACGATCGCAGCGTACCCGGGTGGCGCGAGACGGCGACGACTATTGAAGTCAAGGCTTCACCGATTCAAGCATCGACCGCTATGCTCGATGGCTTCGCTACCCCGACCAAACTACGTCCTGCGTCTGTTCTCCCGGATGCGGAGCTCAAAGGCTACAATGCAAGTACGCATGAGATGAGGTGTGATATGATGGTGAACTGGCTTTATCAACAGCAAGCTGAGAGACTGTGGACTTCCGGTGGCCCGGATGAGGGTGTCATACTCAAGAAATGGGGAAGCGAATACACTGCCTGCCCTGCAGACCTGATGTCGGAGCCAGACGGGTTTGCTGCGGCAGTACAGCATCTCAACGTTCGCGTAAGTCAACGCTCTTATCGCGCTACAGTATCGTCCGACTTTGCACTGACTCCCGGGAGTGTGCTGTGACCGTCACCACTCGCGTGGTCAAACTATTCCTACACAACAATACCTACGGATTCGTACCACTCAGGGACGGCCTACGGCTACAGGTTCTGCCCGACATTTCCCAGCTCCCGCGCTGCCAGAAGCATCAGTTTGCTGCTTTCATCGCAGACCGTGGCAGTCTGGTCGTATGGGATGACGATCCTAAGCACATCCTTGACCGTGCCGCGAAGATCGAGCAAGAGCTCATGGAGATGCTCTGGAATGAGAAGCGCGAAGCTATTGACAGCATCAGCGAGATACACGAGCCAGGTGCTGTCCCTGTCGAAGATGTCGCATCCGCATCCGCATCCGCATCCGCAACCGACGTCGAAGTTGGCGCCGTGGAGAAACCTCGCAGCATTGTTATGCTGACGCCAGTAACCTGCGGTATGACCCTGGCGTTGACAGTCAGTGCGCTTGGTTCTGGCTGGGCGCGCATTGTGAAAGAGAGCTCTATCGACCATACCTACTACCGATTCGGACTTCTTCTGGTCGTCGCCCTTCAGGCCTGGCTTTGTCTCTTCTTCTTCCAATCTCTGGTACGCTTACCCACAGCCAAATGCTTCGTCAGAACCATTGCTAACCTACATCGTATCGGTCAAAGGTTGGCTGCGTTATGCAGATCGTGGGCCCAATCGCGCAGATCCATCGCAACACCAAGTACTACAGCGGTGTCAAACCGAAGCGCCTTCGCCGCGATGCCGCCGGCCCTCTGCCACATGTTACGATACAGATGCCAGTCTACAAAGAGGGCTTGCGAGCAGTCATCGAGCCTACCGTCCATTCTGTTAAGGCGGCTATCTCGACTTATGAAAAGCAAGGCGGGACTGCGAATATTTTCGTCGATGACGACGGTATGCAGCTCATCTCTGCAGAGGACTCGCAGGCCCGACAAGACTTCTACGAGGAACACAACATCGGATGGGTTGCACGCCCGAAGCATAACCCCAAGCCAAGTGACGGTGTCTCGGAGCCCTTCCTCCGCAGGGGCAAGTTCAAGAAGGCATCGAACATGAACTACGCCATGTGGGTCAGTTGCAGGGTGGAAGATCGTCTGCTGTCACTTGATGTGCAACGCGGTGAAAAATGGACTCAAGATGATGAGGCACAAGTCTACTCCGAGGCTCTTAATCAAGTCATAACCGAAGATCGAGGTCGAACATGGGCTGACGGCAACATTCGCTTTGGCGATTATATACTGATTATCGACTCCGACACCCGCGTACCAGAGGATTGCTTCCTCGACGCAGTTTCTGAGATGGAACAGAGCCCAGAAGTACGCAATTGTTAAGCACAATGCTGCCTTTGCGTCTGAGACAATGCTGACGGTCGTGGTGCACACCTTCAGGTTGCGATCCTTCAGTATTCCTCGGGTGTGATGAACGTCACGAACTCCTTCTTCGAGCGAGGTATCACGTTCTTCACAAATCTGGTGTATACCGCTATCCGCTTCGTAAGTACAACGATGGCCAGGGCCGCCATATAGATATGCATCGTTGCTAAGGGTCCTACTTGCCGTGATCAGGCCGTCGCATGCGGCGATGTTGCACCTTTCGTTGGTCATAATGCCGTTCTTCGCTGGTCAGCACTGCAAGATATTGCGTATGACTGTCCGGACGATCACCGCGAGAAGTATTGGTCAGAGAGTACGGTCTCCGAAGACTTTGACATGGCGCTTCGGTTACAGGCCGCAGGCTACTTGGTGCGTATTCCAATGAGCAGAACGAAGGTACCGCGATGGCCATTGCTGACCCTGTTGCTGCTGGCTTCAGGTCCGCCTTGGTGCTTACCAGGGTGACGGCTTCAAGGAAGGTGTCTCCCTCACGGTTTACGACGAGTTAGCACGATGGGAGAAGTATGCGTACGGTTGTTCAGAGCTTGTAGGTCAAGACATTGTTGACAGACACCGGCATGCAAGAAAACTGTTGAAAGTGACAATCATGGTTTAGGTGTTCCACCCTGTCAAGTATTGGTTGATCCGAGGACCATTCACCAAGCTTTTCAGGACCTTTCTTGGATCCCGCATGCCACTGCCTTCGAAGGTAACCATCATGGCATACATTGGAACGTATGATTTCAGATTTGGAGCCATACTTGCCCAGGTATGCTAACGTGAAACAGCTACTACGCACTGGCATCGTCCTGGATCCTTACCTTAGCGAACTACTTCCTTACCGGCTGGATGAATGGTAAGCTGGACCACTACTTCATGGACAGCTTCAAGATCTATGTCGCGGTCGTTGTGATATTCTCTGGCATGGGCAACGTAGCCCTAGGTAAGCAGAGCGATGTGTATTCCCCTGCGGCTGTCTGCAACACAGCTGACGCTTCCTACCCATCAATCTCAGGTGTCCTCCGCTATAGAACGGGTGAGAAGAGCCTCTTCTCTGCTCTACTCGAGAACTTTTGCTGGATGCCGCTACTCTACATCTTCCTCGGAGGCGTCAGCTTACACACTTCGCAAGCGATTGTAAGCCATTTGCTAGGTTTCAATATGACATGGGTACGTAAAGCAATATCTTTAGGCCCTTGCGACTGTCTGGGACATGACTGACCGTTCTACCCTACAACCTCCAGGGCGCTACCAACAAAGAAGCTGAAGATACTACCTTCTTCCAAGAGATTCCGAAGATCCTTCGAGGTTTCAAAGGGACGCTCGTGTTCTGTTTTGGAAGCGCAATAACAATGATCGTCCTTGCAACGGCTGTCCCACTGTTTTGGCGGATCAACATTTTCATCGCCGTCTTCCCGCTCAGCACGGTGGTGTGCGCTCACTTCTTGCTGCCTATTGCACTGTCTCCGGGGCTGATGCGCTTCACATGGTAGCATGCCAAATGCCGGAGCGGAGCGGAACGCACGGCAATCCTGCACGGACATGCAACGTAAGATAGACGGCCGGTCATTGCAATGCAGGAAAGAATTACACTCGCAGTCATTGTATGTTAATGTATCTACGCAATGCTATATCCCTACGAATTGGAGGATGCGCATCATGATGCGGAGACCGTGGGGGCGCCACCGGGAGGGGAGTTATTGCGGCAGCATTTGATCGATTGAGAAGTACGTACGTGGGCGTCATGGTTAGCACAACGCTGCGTTACGCGGTGAAATAGTACGCCTCCAACTGCTCCTTCGTCCTAGCACCGACATTGTGGTGTCTATTCTCCTCCCATACTTGTCCACCTTCGCCGAACTGATTCGACAGATGGCCGAGGAAGAAGTCGAGGTTCTTGTCTGTCAAAGTATTAGCATGTCACACCACCTTGGAAGTATGAGTAAGGTCATGCGCACCAGCTTGCGGAAACGCATCTTTGAACGTCTTGTACAGCTCGTCAACCGTAGGCTTCTTTTTCGCATTCGTAATCTTCTCCGCAAAGAGATCGAGGTACTTCCTCATGTACGCAAGATCCTCCTTAGCGTCCAGAGCCCAGCCCTGCTCGATGTGGCCTGGAATAACCTTCACAGGCTTGAGCGCTTCGATGAGATCTAGCGTCCGGTGCCAAGCATGCAACAGCTGCGGAGTTTCGACCTCCTCCACCCAAGCGTGCGTACTCCGCGCATAGACAGAGTCGCCACAGACAATTGTTTGCTCTGTGGGCAGCCAAAATAAGGTATGATCTACTGAGTCGCCCTGCAATGGGCCTAGCAAGATTACTGGTGAAGTTTCATTGCCCTCCAGCACGATCAAGCTGTGCTCGAAGGGTGTTGGTTTCGTCGGCTTCTCCGGCACATTCTCCTTGCCAAATACAGATGGCCAGTACCTGTGACATGACAGAAGTTAGGTCAACGCGCGCACATTCCGAAAAGACTGTGTAAATGGTTGCTCACTTGACCTTCTCATCGTACTCCCTATCAATCCCTGCGCAGACGTACGGTGCTGCGAAGAGTTGAGATCCTGGGAAGGCATCAAGGACGGGATTGGCCGAGAAATAGTGATCCGGATGGTGATGGGTTACAAATACTGCTTTCAAAGGGAGGGATGTCGTCTATTCGATAGTGTCAGCAGGCACGTTCGCTGTAATGAATGCCGTAGCCGTGCCGACCTTCTTGACCCATGAGACCACAGCATTAGCATCTGGTACCAGGAATGGAGGATCAATTAGAATGCAGAATTTCGAGCCGATAATCAACGTGCTAACGCTGGAAAGCCCTTTCTCAGATGAGGAGAGATGATGAGTCTGAAGTCCACCTGGAGCCATGATGGAAATTGAGGCGTTTGGGGAAGACGGCAGCGAGATTTTTGGGAAGGAGAAGTTTGTTACCTGGGCATTCACCTGCGGTTATGGATTTGAGCACACCAGCAAGACATGCAGTGCCAGGCCAGTGCGAGCGACCCCTCAGCGCATCGCCAGGAGCAAAGGAAGTCAGACTCCCGGGAGGCTCCTCGGTAAGGTCGGCAGTTCCATCATTCCACCGGCACCTTGCCCTACTCGTGGGAGATACCGCCTTAAGAGGAAAACACATTTGTTTACGAGCTTACCAGTGTTTATTATGACGAGATTGCCGACTCCCCTGATGTACGATGCAGTGACAAATAACACAGTTACAAATAAGATCATGTTCGCAGGACCGACCTTGATGGCGATCAATGATATATCCTTGGTGATGCAGACATCACGTGCAGTTGCTCTGCGCTAGTCAGTGCACTGCCACAACCATGGGTAGAGATTCCACCTCTTATTCCCTTTCAGCTAGCAAAGATTGGTATGCTTTCACACCACAGCACTCATTGCTGTACATAACAAATTTTGGAGGCGATGTTGGACTACAATGTCAGCAATCACCCGGTACAGGATAACGTGGTGCTGCGATCCAGCCCCTACCTAGTCGCCGTAAGGTTAAGCGCCAAGGCCGGAGATGAAGGCTCCTGGTTTGAAACGAATCCCTTTCGTGTGTATATCACCTGTCTACCATCATGAGTATTCTCCAGGTCATTGCGAAGCGAGGCGTGCGCATGAGAAGGCGGAACAGGCAGTAAAGTACTGTAAAAGCCGTTTGCATCCTTATTCCATCCTCTGACACCTGCGATGACCGCTATCCGCATCTTCAGCGGCGAATGAACATGGAACTAGCCGGGCAGTAGGCATTATCTTCTCGCTCGTTATATACTACAGAAATGGCAGATATGGAGCTGGAGCATTTGGTGTCAAAGAAACCCGTGGTGAAGGCCCAGGCTTCTACGACCACCAACCAGTGTGGCGAGGAGTACAAGATCATCACATCCATGCTCATACCGGAAGATGCCAGTTACACTTCGCTGCGCATGGCGTATGCAGCCATTGCGACCCACGCGATCTTGGTCATCTTCCTGGTGATCGTCGTCTTTGTCGACATTCCCTTTACAGTGCAAGGTTCACTTTCAACAACCCAACACACTCTCTACACCCTTGGAACAACTGTTGTAGCCACCTTGACCACTACATTCACCTCAGGGCAAATCCAGAAGCTACGCATCGCAAACCTTCTCCGAAAAGCGACATTGCACAAAAAGGCCAGATCTCGCTTCTTGCAGCGGGCTGGTACAGCCATAGGGCTGAAAATACACAGGGATGCGCTAGACATCCTACTGTCTGGGCTCATTGTTGGACTGACAACTGCAGCCTTCGTTGCAGCTATTGCACCCTCTCCAAATAATGTGCTGCAGCATGGTTCAGTCTACATACCGCTTGGCTCCCAAAACTGTCTTGCGGCTTCAGCAACACCGGAGCAAGGAGCGGACTTCTCTTGGCAGCTGGCCAATGGGACGTTCGTGAGCCCCAATGGCAGTTCGGACGCCGGGTGTCCGCTGTATGCTCTGGCTTCCACATTTCTTGACCTACAGAACCATCTTTCTACGGCATCCTTCTCCTATGTCTTGGACGGAACACCAGTGTTCAAGAACGCTATTGGCGCTGCCCAGTTATTCGGCGGGTTTGTTTTCTTGTCCTCCGATCAATACAGCTATAACGTTTTAGCGAATCCCGCTTTTCAATCACAGTCTGTTTGTCTACCCGTTGTGGCGCGAAATCCGGTCAAATGCGGACCTGCTGGTAACGTCACATTGTCTGCAAATACGGTATCAGTCACTTCTGGCAGCTGTAATATCACCACACCTGTATACGCCCTGGATCCGAACATCGAAGCAGCTGCCGCCGCTGGCGCCTGCACTCTCGGACAGGACGTTGGATCCGCAACCGTGCTTTTTGGGGGACTTAAAGAATATGCCGAGACGCTCGCCTATTCAGTTTTCGACGAGGCTTATTTCGCCCTCGACCCCCGACCTCAGACATATGCCGTGGCCTGCCACGTAGACATGCAGCCATCACTAGCAATGCGGGAGGTCACCTATAGGCGATCGACGACATTGAGCGGCGATGAACTGGCTTCAGTGACGGATGAGCAGTTTCCTGGCGGAGTCGATAGCGATGGAACAACGTGCAAAGCTGTCGTTCTTGATGACGCAGATAACATGTCGTCACCCAGATATTACGGGCTGGACTCGTTTGTTCCAACAGACGCCCTGGTAACCAGTGCTGCAGCTTCGTGGCAGTTGCTGGGTGAGGGTGCTTTCAGAGACGGCTGGCCTACAACACTCTTCCGAGTAATCACGAACCGATATGACTTGACGGACATGTCTTTCAATGCCACTAATCGGGACCGGTACTCGCGAACGTTCAACGAGTCGACTAACCCACTAGAGGACCTGCTTGGCATCCTCAGTGGCATCGCCTTCGGGGCCTATTACAGTTACATGGGTGGCGAAGATGCAGCGTCTACTAATCTAACTGAATTCGATACGGAAGTCTCTCTGATATACACCAGAGTTGGGTCCGGACGACGCTGGAATCTATTGTTCTCCCTACCCTCACTGTATGCCATCGGGACGCTGACTTGGCTCGTCAAAGAGAGGCGAAAAACACAACAACTCTCTCGGAACGAATCGTAGCTGTGGATCGCTTGATTTCGGCGGAGTAGTCCTGCCGTTCTCGGTCATTCTTGTAATCACGCATTGTCAACGTAGCAGGGGCCTGGGACGTGTCATCATGTCCATCTGCGTTGCAACGGATCGGCCGGGTCATATGAGCTCTGAAGGATGCAGCACGATTGGTTTCGCAAGACGTGCTGGGACAACAGATGAATCGTTACACAGTATCTGGAGCGACTCGAGGCAAACCTGACAGATCTGGACATCACGTTCTCCGGCATATACGGGCGGCGTATTGCTGTCATCGTAAACTTTTCGCATTGTTGAAGGAGCTGCCTCTCCCCGGCTCACGAACTTCATCGAGCACAAACATCCTCCATGCTTTAAGCAAAGAGACGGAATGTCGTCCACGGCCATAGGAACCATCTGATCAGAATGTAAGTCAGAAAGTGGGAGCCCAGGCAGACACCCACGAGCCACGGATACAGCGTGTAGTTGTTGAAATGAAATGCTGCATCATTGTTCAGCGGCACCGTGTGGGAGCTGCGTCCTGGAAACCCGTACATGTTGGCCCAAATACGGCAGGTGCTCAGCCAGCCACACGTAGTAGCCGAAAACAGTACGGCTACTGCGAGCGCCACAGCAAGGTCTTTAATGCCAGTGTACAGGCCTAAGCGCTGATAACTACGGGGCTCTTTGTCGCTGCCGGCTAGCCAATGTATGAGGATGCGGGATGTGAGGGCGTTGGCAACCCAGGCGAAGAACAAGCCGACTAAGACCCAGTGGCGGTCGTTGACGTAGGCTGGCGGGCCTGCGAGCGCAACGAACGCGGCCGCGAAGGAAAGGATGAAGTCAGTAAGCAGCAGTATGGTCGTTATTCCGAAGTACGCAGTAAGGGGCAAAGTTCCTTTGTCTGAGCGTCTTGGTTGATACCACGTCGTGCCGCTTGTGAAGACAAGACTGTCAAGATCGGCCGCGTTGATGGCGCTCGAAGTAACCAATAATGGACCCGGATGTGAGGCAGTGCATCGTTCGTCGAATTCATTCATGATTTCTTGTACTCGACGTAGTGATGCAGGCGCACCGATGGCATTGCTTAAGAGAACAACTGTGATGAGCGGTGACAGTGTGAGGGCGGCCGCGACCATGGCACCAGAGGGCGTCGAGCCGCCGACTGCTGGGACAGTGGCTATCAGAATGCTGACTGCGCAAAAGATGGTGGTGAGCACGGCTTGAAGGGTGCTGTGCGAGCGATTGTCCATCAATTTGCTTGCGATCGTGTAGACGTGACCTACAAGCCTCTTATTCGTCGCCGAACATGAAGTCTGGAGGAGGCTACGAAGGCGTTCCAGACCTGTTGTCGGACTGGAGCCAGGTTCCATCTCGACTAGCGTCAGGAGGACTAGTGCAAGGCACTCTTCGAGTGGCGGGTCCTGGCACAGCCTTAGCGATGCTTTGGCCATGTTCAGGGTTGTGTGCTGTATGGCTGACAGAGTATCTCGGAACAATTTGGTCAGCATCCGAAATAAAATGTTCACCTGACCCTCAATCGCTGAAGCTGGTTCCGCTCCATCTCCCAGTTGAGCTGCCAGTGGTTGGACAGCAAGACAGCACCTATGCGCGAGCTCAATATGATAGGCAAGCGCAAAGACAGCCGACCATGGATCAGCCACCGGTCGCAGGACGATCCAGACACGGGCCCAAGGCACCATCGGCGGCGTAATGACACTCACGACGAGGAAGAGCACGGGGAGAAACCATTGCACCAGGCGTGCGGGGCAGTCGTCTACGATTGTTCTGTTGGCCGCACAGAACATCTCGCACCCATGTAACCACAATGTTGCATTGTCTGGACCTGCGGGTATGTTGGCAAAGACCGTGTCATCGTACCCAAACACAGGGTTGGTTTGCAAAGCACTTGCAATACTCGTCCTGCAATGGGAGATGTCGCATCGGGTGAAGCCTGCTGCATGCTGTGCGAACAGTAGCGGGAGCAGCGCGAAGATCAAGCGCTGCGAATGCATCTCTCCTGACTTTGGATATGCTCCGTGTTCATTGTTCGGCGTGCTCGATGTAAGATGATGGCTACCTCAGCCATCAAGGGATGAAAGTGAGCGAGATAGCAAGATATAAACAGCTCCAGCTAGCGAAGAATGCGCCGTGTGTCGTACTAGCCAAGACCATACAGCAGCTTGGGCACGATCAAGTGTAACAAATCACATCCACTTCCGGTACATCGTGTTCTTCGTCATGCAGCATGACATGCACTGTCAAGTGACTTCCATGGTCGCTGCTTGCGTAGAGTGGCCGGATGAAGGCGCTGTCCGACTGCAGATGTGCGGTTGTGGAGGCTGTGTTAATGTGAGGTGTGTGTGTTTCACAAGGCCGTCATCCAGAGCAACCGGACAGCTGGTTTTCGCCCGTTCTCATTACCCGGACTGCAACTTCGTAGTTCCACTTCTACTACTCATCATGTATCAAGGGTCTTGCCAGCTCATTATGTTCAACATGGTCAACAAGTACCGTGGTGAGCTCGCCTACAGCTCCTATGTGATAGTGTCCAGATCAGACGCCACCCGCTACACTACGCCCACAGCCCTGCAGCTCAGCCTCCACAGGGATTGAAATGGCGAGCGTGGGCACACGAAAAGGCCACTATTCAGTGCACCACGAAGGTAGCATCCCTGTTCGGACTGTCGACCTTTCAGTGAAAGTTTCAACCATTTCTGGTAGAACTCCTATGCGACAGGTAACATTGGGCGAAACTCCACCCGAGCAGAAGAAGCACTAATCAGGGAGTAATGTGGATGTTTTGAGACCTTATCATCAAAGAGAGTATGTCGTCCAGCCAGCAATGGCTTACCTTACATTCTATATGTGCCGTCAACTGCCACACCACCACCGCCTTTCTCTTACATCTTGACAATATCTGGCCCCGCATTGCTCCTTTAGTCGTCCCGTCGTGGATTACACAGCTGTCTTGGCAGTCGTAGGCTCATGGGGCACGATGGCATCCTCCAATCCGTTCGTGATGTTACCCTTTCGAACTGGGTCAAATGCCTTCTCGTCAATGTCCTCTGACGATGAGCGGTCATTGTCGATGAGACCGTCGACATCGGAGTCAAGTCTCTCACCATAAAGGGCTGGTGGGTTGAACGCGATTGCGCCCTGTGCGTACCATGTCAGTAAATCTGCGACACCGCACTGGGACGACAGCCAACTGGCTTACCTTGGGGATGAATGTCGAGGCAATGACAACGCAAGTAAGAACGGTGAACTGTACGCCGGCAACGTTGTAGATCGCGCCATGGATGTCGCCACCTCGGGATCCACCAGTGCGATTGTAGACGCTGTCGACATAGCGTCCGAGCGTCGGAGAAGCGATAGCGTAGATGACGATGTACGTCGAGTAGAGGAAGGACATGACCGCTCCCAGAGCGCTGACATCCTTCGTATCCTTCTCAATGCGGGCAAGAGAAGCCTGGATATAGGCCGCCAGCGACACATCTCCGGCTGCCCAGCCGTAACTGACGGGCAAGAAGGTGGCCGCCACAATCCATGCTTGTTTGATCTGGTTTCTTGGTGGGTACCAGAATGGCAGGTACCAGACGATGAGGAGCATAAGGGCATCGAGACGAAGCCATGGCATCGGGGTATGCACGAGATTGGTGAAGAGGAAGACGGTAAGGGCGCCGAGCAGCTCACCGAAGTTGGAGCCTCCGACCATGATCTGCGACCAAGCGGAGTTGCCCAAGTAGCGACGTGCGATGAGCGGTGCGATACCGTTTTCCAGGTAGCGATGACCGTACAACGCGAAGGAGTAGCCGGGTAGCAACCAGATGAACTTCCGGTTTGTGAAGATGATGACCGCACCTCGCCAGATAGAGAGCAGGAAGAGGTATACCGAGCGCCAGATGATACTAAAGTAGTGCATCATGCCCTTCGGTGCACCGTCACTCTTCTCGAGCTGTTGATTCGTGAGTCGGATGAAGAACCATGCGGTTGCAGCACAAGCGAAAAGGATGGGCGTAATGATGAATGACATGTTGTTGCCGAATCTTGGGATCAGTGCGAGGGCAGTGCAGAACGCGCCGCCTGTACCCGAGATCTCTGTTGAGAACCAGTCAGTTGTGTACATGAGTCTGTCGCGCAGCATGAAGACTCACCGTAGAAGATGTGAACCATCGCATCCATACGACGGAGCTTCTGCACGTTACCGCCCACGATGTCACGAGGGATAACGCGGCGGATCAGTTCAACCATGCCATATGCAATGCCGCCTACGGATCGATGGGTGGAAGGGTTAGCATGTATTCAGACCTTCTGGATAAAGTCGTTCCGCTTACAGAAACAGTATACGGGTATCATGCCGTCTGTATCCCAGGTACCGTAGTATGAGAAGTCGTTCGACCTAGCGCCTTTTGGCTTGAAGTGTCCGCCGGTTGCGGCGTCGACGATCAGTAGTATGGCGGTAAAGACGCCGAACACAAGAACTGCGACACATAGCACATTCTTGGTAGGGTAGCGCTTGACTAGTAATCGATGAGTGGGGTTCTTAGCTGTGTCTCACTCTTCCTAGACGGGATCACGCATCGATCTGTCGCTTACTGAGAGGAGCGATGAGGATGGATCCCACGCATTGGAAAGCCTGGTTCAGAGCAGTGAGGAGACCAAGGCGCTCGAAAGTGCGGGATCTTCCACCGAAACGCTGAACTTCCCAGTCGTAGCTATCATGCGAAAGTGTGTTGTCAGCACAGAGCAGAGAAGGTCACTTGTGTACGTACCGGTTGGTTGCAAGAGCCTGAATAGAGCCGTTGAATGCCTCAAGGCCAAACTTGTACAGCATGATACCTGCCACGTAAATGGCGATGTTGCGCTTTTCCGCCGCATCGAAGAGGCGCCATGTGTCGAACACAGAGGCATTCCCCTTGCCGAACTTCATGATGAATGGAGGCTAGCAGAGCTTACCACTCTGGACGACAGATCAGGACTGGCAAGAAAACCACAGGGACGGAAGAGCTGAAGTGGAAGATGTGAGAGTTATACTCGCCCGTTCTCGCGCAACTACAGCATGGCCAATATGCTAGAAGCACCGCAGCATCGCTAAAGCGGTCGTTGGCAGAAGCAAAAGCATCTGTTGATGAGCTGCGGCTTCATCGTCCCATATCCAGGTCGTCCGCTCACACTTCGAGGCTGGCCCACGTGTGCGATAGAGGGTACTATACAAGACTTTGAGTTTGCTTGAGATGGGATGGGACGTTGCTCGGCGAGGGATTGGCAGACTTCATGGTCGCGTGTCCAAGCCCTTGGCCACACGCGCGATCTGAATGCAAACAGCGAGCCAGGGAGCGAACAGCACTGAGAACTTCGCCGTGATGGCCTCGGTGACCTCTCGTGTGTTCTTGTCCAGCCGTTATGACGCGTCTTTCGACTACACCACGGTAGATGGTAGCTTTTTCGATCGTTGCCACGACTTGGCTCTTGGGTTCCTGGGCTCCTGGGCGCGTCCCATTCATGCCGTCACACACGCACATCACTGAACCGCAAGCACCAGCGAATCACCTTCAACAACGTGCCGTCTATCTGCGAAGGTCAATAGAAATGCGGCTCCTTAAGCATACCACCAACGAAGTGAGGGGGTGTAGTAAGGTGCGTCTGTGTAGCTTGTAACACTTTCTCTACAGCGTTCCCGACCGGCAAGTTCCGTACAACGACAGAACAGCGGCCACCTCGGAGAACTAGGGCTTTCGGTCGGACAGCTACCTACATTCACATACCAGGATGAACAGCAGTGTATCTCTACAGGCTGCAGCACTCACTGATCATTTGGCGTATCAAAGTCATCGTCCGTCGTCTAGCCACCTAACATCAATTTATAACAGTTTTCGAAATTCACACATTCAAATTCTTCCCTCCATCATCAACAACATAGCATAGATGTCACTTAGGATTGTATATTCTGCCGCCTTACCTTCATACTCTTCATGGTTGACCAAGAATGCATCTGTGGACTGCTTCGCTCGGCTGTCAATTTTTCACAATTCACATCAAGCCGAGCGAATAGTTGAATTAGTCAGCTTTGTTTCTTCAACATGTCTTGGTTTGTCAATGATCTATTAACTCTAGCTATATTCTCGCCCGCCGACGGATGGAGGGTGCGACAGTCGACAACTGCGTGAAGGATGTCTCTCCGCAGAAAGTCTTGCCAGAAATGCTACGCAGGCAGACGAAAATGCGACCACAGCCAACCCATTTGCGGCAGATGCAGCCGAACGAATAAAGAATGTGTTTACATTTACGAATCATGCGAAAGCGAATCGAGAGCGGACTCGAATCGAACCGAGAACATACTTACGAACGGGTTGGCAGCCGTAGAGACCGCTACAACAGAATCTCGCACTGAGAGCTACCAAAACTTCAAGTCGTTGTCAGATACGGACAGGACGAACGTTGAACTCAGCGTAGCTTTAGCTGAACTCGACACCTTCCATACGTACTCGCCGCTCCCAGGCACACTCGGCATTCTCGGTGAACTCCCACCAATCTCGGCCCAGACTCCCGGCCGCCATTGGGTGCTCGAGCACCTCAGAGGCATTCCAAAGGCGTTCGTTGACGACACAGAGATTTCTTTTATCCACAAGGATCTCTACAGCCTGGCCTAACCCTCAGTGATCCGGGCCGCTTTTGGGCTCGCAGCATCCTATCTGCACCTTAACCCACGAAACCGCAACCTGCTCTTCACGAGTCTTGACGCGGAATCCGCAAACCTACTCACTAACTGTATCACCGGTACGTTGTTCGATGATCTCGCCCGGCTCCAAGCCCTGCTCCTCTACCAGCACATTAGGCTGTTCAGTAACGACCTTCACCAACGTATCACATTCGCAGCACAGGAGGCTCAGATGGCGAAGCACTCCCTCGCTCTTCTGCGCCGCTACGAAACCGAGTCCAGACGCTGGACACATAACGGGGCCATTTGGCTGCTCGGTGAGAGCATACGGCGCACGTGCATCGTATCTTTTACGCTGTACGGTCTGTACTCTATCTTCAACACGGGCGTTTGCGCCGATCTGCCCACCCTCGGGACTCTGCCAGTCAGTCAGAAAGCAGGCTGGTGGAGAGGTGGGTATGAGGGTCCGCAGGCCGGGCAATGGGGACGGGAGGAGGTACCCTATAGCGACTGGGTCCTTCTCTGGCATGCGGCCCCACGACCGACGGAAGATGCGTTCGAGAGGTTGCTGGTGGAGGCTTGTGAGGGTAACGTCACATTTAGCTGAGCGATAGGAAGAGTCTTGCGCTGTCGTCAAGTCGAGATTGAAGTAACTCTCCTTCGACTCTATCTATCCGGCCCTGGACGCTTTCGCTACTGGGGTGTCCTCAATACGATAGACAAGCTTCCGAGCGCTCACCACCCGCTTCCTCAAATGGTCCACGCCATCCAAGACGCCAGCCAGTCCGCCTTCCCCTACCTCGACGACATGCGGCCTGAGTTCTCTCGCCTCCAGCATCTGCTCTACAGACTCCCCTCTAGCCTTCATGAACATGAATGCGGCGGGATCGACAGGGACTGGAAGACGTGCAGGGCCGTACTCGAAGTACTCGCCCAAGCACTGCGTGGCGTCCATGAACTCTGCCCTTACCGCGTACTCGCCGGTGCGAGGGAAGTCGACGGTAAGAGGGACACGTAGTGCCCACCTTCACTGCTCATAACGCCGGCACAGAAGGCAGCTGTGGACAGTGTAGCGATGGTATCCCACAAGTACTTGAGCTTATCTGCTGTGAGTTCGCGGATGGAGGCGGCGCAATCGGGGCTTCTGTAGTCGAAGATGTGATGAGCGCCAAGGGATTCAACAAAGGACTTGTTGTGTGGAGAGCATGTTGTTATGACCGTGTAGCCCGATCTTCCACATCATCCATCAGCACTTCATCCGCGGATCAAACGCAAATGCAGGCAAGGGAAGACGTTACCGCACAGCCATCTGGATACCCATGGCCGCACTGGCCGTACTACCACCATATATCAGAATGAATTCTCCATTGCCCGCACCCGCCCCCTCTTGCAAACCGAGCTTGAGGTACAGCCCACACATCCCTGTAATCACCGCCGATCCCAGCGTCGCCGCCTCTTCGAAACCCATCGACGCCGGGATATGGAACTGGCCCACCTCCGCCTTGGCCAGCACGTACTCCGCAAACGCCCCATTTTCCGGGCTCAGATGGTCTCCCCCGAGGACGTATCCACACACGCGGTCGCCCTTGCGAAACTTAGTCGAGGTCACACCAGCGCCGACCGCTTCGATCACGCCGGAGTAATCTCGTCCCAGAAGGGCGTTGGGGGCCGGGAAGGTATCGATCTGCATCCAGTCGATCGGATTGAGGGCTACAGCCTTTGTCTTGACCAGGATGTAGCCCGGACGTGGCTGGGGGACGGGGCGGTCACGCACGAAGGCGGCTTGACCGAGGGCTGAGAGCTTGATGACCGCGTTCATCGTTACCGGCGATCTCGCCGCCACTGGGATGGAGGTGCTCATGTCAAATGGCTCGGTACGTGGAGGATCGAGATATGGGTCAAAAATCATGTGGTCGAGTAATATGTTTGATGGAGATGATTTGGTATACATGTTCTCTTGACTTGGCTAACGAGGTAAGCACGTTCTTATATGTGGCGCCAGAGGAACACGCCGCTCGCTTGGTCATCGACCTCGTGTCGTCCTCCGAACCATTACCCATCACTCGTGACTCCGGAGCGGCGTGCGGCCTTAGGTGGAGTTGTGCGCGAACATGAGACAGCCTGAGCGGCATCCTAAGATTGTCTGCAACGCGTAAGTTGCCAGACTGGGGATAAGGGTCGAACAAGCCTGCCATAGTCTGGGAACGGACAGTCCCAGGTCCCTTTGTATGATTGTCAAGGCGAATCGAGTCCTAGTGACCGTAGGAAGCCAGACCTTCTGCTGCCCTCAAACTATGTGCGGTCTAAAGTGGATCCCGCGCAGCCAATCCAGCGTGACGCGAGATGCGGTTCCAACATAGGGTGGACACAGTGAAACAGAACGAACCGATACCATCACAAATATGACGTTGTTTCTTGCTATTGCTACCAGTCTGCAATGGCGGTAGGTATACTGGAGACAGCCCTACCCCTTGCCGCCCTTGTTTCTATGACCGGAGCCAGATATCACAACATACTACATAACGTGCGAGGCTGTAAGCTCTGCATAACGCGATGCAAAGTATCCATCTCGTTCGACGAATACTTGCATTTCGGAAGACAGCAGACGTGGTCATCGCCACAGTAACGTCCGACCGTGCCGCAGAGGTGTCTGCATGCTACAATGCTTTGCAAAAACACCGCCCATTGTGGGGTCTCCTAAAAATTCGTATAGCTATTAAGGATACTATAGTGCGTAACTATATTATCTGTTCTATATAACAGATATTGATTGATTCAGTTTATTATAGCTATATAGTATATTTAGTACATTCTTATAGCTATATTCGATATATTGCTGCCTTAAAGTAGCCGGCAGTTAGGAGTTATATAATATTAGCCGAACCCTAGAGTCGTACGGCTAGTTACGTAATCTCTATCGCTCTAGCTATTAAGCGCTATATTCAGTATTCAGAATAGTTTAATTATATACTAAGTAAACAAATAACTATTATACTAATAATAGTACTATAAACAACGTTAATATAGCTAGTATCCGTTATATTACGAAGATATCTAACTTTCTTACGAATCGAGAGAGACCCCACAGATACGCGGTGTTTTTGCAAAGCATTGTAATGTTGAGTGCAACCTTCAGGCACGCAAACGGTACAATTTGCTAAGCAAGAGCTTTCAATTACGGGCGGATGCAGACTCATACTCCTTGCTCAGCCTTAACGCTTGACTGTGCTGAGCGTCGTCTGGCGGGGTCGCTTCTGCTTCTGCGCACTCCTTGGCGTAGTCTAAGCCGCCGCCACACGTGCTGTGTATGCATGGGGTGGAAAGACAACTAGCTCGTAACACCATGAAGCAAGACCGCTTGTCCGTAATGAACGTCAGTACAAGACTCCACGAGCAAGGGCAAGTCTGCCGTGGAGAGTCTGCCACATGTGCTGAAGCAGATCTCACCAGGACCAATGCGTTCATCCAGGGAAGAGTTCAAAGAGGCCTCGATCACATCACCGTCCCCACTCAAGGGCGAGCGTACCAGCGAACAGTTCGACGACGTCCCACTCGCTTCATATGATGATCTGCGTATAGACCACATCACCATCGCCGTGCCGGACAGCTTCATCCAAAGCCCTCCAGCTAGCCTCCGGAAGCACTTCACCATTGTCCCTGGCAATCAATCTCCAACGCGCAGCCTGGCAATTTACTTTCGGGATGGGACGTACCTCAACTTCGAAGGTCGCCCTGCGTTAAAGCATCCAGAGTACGTTGGGTGGGCGCTCACGACCGCTGCTGGAACACGGAACGACCACCAAGCCATGCGCAACCGACTCCCTGGTAGTTACCAAGTACCTGTTCGAGAAATACTTGTCAGCCCTGGAGGAACGGAAGTCCAATGGGAAGCCCTCAGACCCTTTTACAGCTCTGAAAACCTGCTGCCCTACTGGGTCCACGATTCCGGTCCGAGAAGCCAGCGCGTGCGCGTCAACGACGCCGGCATCACACAACATGCATGCGGCGCTCTGGGAATGGAGACGATCAAATTCTGCGTCAAAAACGAAGACGAAGAACAAACTCGGAAGAGGTTTGCTGCGGTCATAGGCGTCGAAGACGAGGAATGGGTCGCTGCTACACCCTACCCTGATAACGCCGCTCTGGCGCGCACCACGATCAGCGTTCGCGGCATCGATGAAGAATACATGCAGAGAGACCTGATGGTGGAAGTGATCTTGAAGGCTCCGGAAAATCGGGTCCGTGTTTTTGGCCGGTTGATTGGCAAGAGTGTTGCCAAGGGATTAGTGCTGTTCTAACAGGTGTCTTCCTGCGTAGTGTTTCTGTTCGGCCCGGAAGTCTCGACGAATCTACACGTTCGGTTGGAGTGCTCCGAATGTTGGATGACCTCACGATGCGGCGTCCCAGTTGGATAAATAATGTGGAGCTGCTAATCCTATTCACGAGCATTCCTGGCTGTTATCTTTCTTAGAGGACAGAGCATTCGGCCTCAACGAAACAAGACTGAGGGACCCAGCGCCGGACAGCGCTCAGTTGAGTCTACTCACAACGTACCTGTGCTCCTCCTGTCAACTTCGGCGGTGGGAGCCTTGATTTCTGCCACCAAGCTGTTGCAGACAGTGTGGCACGTTGCTTCCATTCCATTGCCACTGCCGATTGGAACGCTTGCCGTGGCCCCTCCGTCTCGAATGAAAGTGGCAGTAATCACAGCGAACGGTCTGATCGATACAGTCTAGATCAGTGTCTTTGCGGAGCTCTGATGTCGTCCACAGCAGCACCGCAACGAAGAAGGCTTCATACGGCCTTGCATCAGCCTGATCTGAGTGTCAGTGAGGTAGCAGGAATTCTCGCTGCCCACACATGCATCAGCGCTGAGAACCAGTAGATCAGGGTGAACAGCCCACTTCTTCCCATCCTAAGATCTAGCTTAGGACGCTAATGTCTGCCTACGGCAAGGTTTGCACACTTTCATGGAATGCATCTGCGAGCCTTGCCTCATCCTGTTATGTATAAGGTACATGTATTTATGTTCTTCCGCGAAGCACAAGCATCAGCCACGCTTGAATCGTGGCGTTTGCGGCCCGCTGTGCCGTGCGGCTAGCGGCGACGTTGCAGCTGATCCTGGCTCGGGCATCGAAGCGCGTTTGTTCACGTCAGTGTCCCCGTCGTCTGTTGCCCCTTCTCCATGATTCACGTACGTATGAATGCTCCAAGAGTATAACAACATCAGCTTCAGAAACCTGGCGGTTCTTGCACCGACGCCGAGGAATGCTTCGTTGCCAGCAGTGATATCATCGTCTCTTAACAGCTGCTGCACGATCGAGCCGCCCGGAACATCGGGTGTTCGCGAACAACACTTCACCGCCGCGTTCATCTCCTCGACCACGACTGTGACGGTGTATAGCTTCTGGAAGCTGTTGCACACTCTTCCGTATCTGGTTGAACCCGATCCCCGGCACCGAGGCGGCCTCGACGCTAGGCAGGCGCACGCACTTGTTCACGTGCCAAGGCCGAGCCACTGCTTCGTGCAACACCACCGCCTTCATGCTATCTTTCCTCTTCGAATACACCGCGCTGATCTGATCTGATCTGATCTGATTCTTATCTGATCTGAGCTGATCGGCGCCGAGAAAGGAAAGATGGTCAAAGCTGACATCAAGCATAGTGTGTCGCCACTGCTGTTGCTGTTGGGACAGGGAAACGAATGTGCTGACTGTGGATAGACTACTATGCTGATCTTGAGCTCCCCACGTCCGCCAGCGTTGAGGATATCAAGCGGCAGTACCGCAGTCTCTGTAGACTATATCATCCAGACAAACACCTGGTTAGTTGTTGAAGACCTCCTGCTGTCTGAGACTTGGCTGACACTCTTGCCCACCCACCCATAGGGCCAAGAAGACGAGTTCGTGCCCAAGTTCCAGGCCATACAGACGGCGCATGAAGTCCTTGGAGACCCGGCATTGAAGGCCAAGTACGATGTCGACCGTCGAAAGGCAGGTCTGTACCCTACCAACAGGCCTGGTCAGCAACCGCAGGCTACTGGCAACCCGTATCAGGCGACTTCAGCTTATCCGCCACCGCCGCGTCGAACTCAGCCCGGCACTTATGCGCGCCCACCGAGCACTGTGCCAGGAGCTGCGCCTACGGGTGCAGATCGCTTTACCAACTTTCCGAAGACCGCCCCTACTGCCCGTAAAGACCCGGTCCAAGACCGTTCGAACATGTTCCGAGCCTGGCAGAACATGAACAATGGCCAGCCGGGACAACCTAATCCTGCGCCTAGTCGTGGACCATCAAACGGGCAGCCTCCGACTGAAAGACCGGTTCCGCCACCACGCGCTGACACGAAGATGCCAAGCGAAGACGAGATTCGTGCTGGCATGAACTACCGCAAGCCTCCAACTCAATTTGACGGCAGCGGTCTGGATGCGCGACAGTCGGCTTGGGCATCCTTTCAGCAGCAGAAGACTGCCGGTGTAGGTCGTGGTGACGGCTCGAAAACGCCAAGGAAGCAAGGTTTCGATCCAAATGCTCCGGGGTCAGATGAACGCAAGGCAAATGACAGCGGCTATGCGCACCGCAACCGTTCGGAAGATTTAGGCAGGATGCCGCCTGGCGCCTTTCCACCACCTCCGCCCCCTCCTGGGCCTCCGCCTCAATCGCCTACCTCACCGTATTCGCCACCGTATTCGCCAGCCCCGCAGAAGCCGTTAGGCCGGCCCACCAAGACCGCAAGCACGAATAACAGCAGTCCACAAGTACCATTCGCAGAAGGCACTCGCACGCGCACGCCTTACAGTACATTTATCGGCGAAAAGACGCAGTTCAGGCGTGACTCTTCGGACGGTCTGCGACGATCAGCAAGCACACGCGATGCTTCGAAACTTAATGCCAATGGTAACGCGCAGGGTCGAGCACGCAGCACCAGCCCGCTTGGTCAGCATCAGAAGACTAAAGGGCACCCGCAGGATGAGGCGCAGCAACAGAACTCTGTCCCGTATAGCGATAGTGAGGCTTCTGAAGACGGTTCGGACATGTCTGACGAGTCATCGGGACCATCTAACCCAGACAATGAGCAGGAGCAACGACCAGGCACAGCGCCGCAACCGAACACAACATCTGAGCGACCGAAGAAAGTTCCTACTCCAGCTATCAGGCGATTTAACGGAACTGCGAACCCTTTCAATCCTCCTGCTGCTGATGGCGCGCAATCGGACAATGAGCGGCCAGACATGCAGCAGAAGGGCACCAGCAACATGTATGCATACCCTGATCCTTTTCAGCATAACCCCTCTCGTTCTTCTCAGTTCGAGCTGGACGGGTGGCCCGCGCAAGGGTTCGGCATCGGTTCAACATCCGAGTCCGAACCGCGCGAGGCTACCAGGCCGCATAGCAGATTCTTCGGACTAGGTCAGCAAAGTACGACGAAACCTGCGGCTGGCGATGGGCCGTACGCTGCCCCTCTCGATACGTCGGCACCCACGGGCGGGACACTGAACAAGCACGCGCTCGATACCTCCAATGCTGTAGCGCAAGGCTACGATTATTTAAAGCACCAGCTTGCAAAGTCCTTCGGCGAAGTGCCTGGGACCTTCGACATGGACGTTTTCCGCACGCTCGTTTCGACCGCCAGCAAGGGTGATACGTGCGGCAATGCTTCGCTCAATCGCATTATGGCTCACGTGCTCGAGTTGTTTCCTACTTTACCGCTTCTTCTTCATGCCAAAAGTACACGTGCTAATTGCGAGACCCGTGATGATAGCTTTTCATACCCATTTGCTAGAGACGCTTCGCCCAACAAGAGCCGTAGCGAAGAGAACATCAACATGAGCTTCTCGCCAGGGGCGTGGAGCGGCAAATTCACCGGTGCGCCAGACTACTTTGCTCCATCGGAGCCGACTACGACGCGGAAGGGTTCAAGCCCTTCGACACGGCAAAAGTCCGGCCTGCGCTCCGTCACTACGAACGTACCGCCTTCGAACAATGGCGGTAATAGTGAGACGAACGGCGTACCGATAGCCGAAGAGCAACATCCGGACCCGCAATCTGCGCCAGGTAGCGTACGCTTCAGTAAGGAGCAATGGGAGAAGACATTCCAGGACGCGTCCTGGACCTGGCCACCTCCTCCACCAGGCCCGCCAAGTCCGAAAAAAGGTGCAAGGCCGGGACGGAAGCCCAGTAAGGCAAGAGACCGGTCTGCTACTTCTGGCACCGCGCAACAGCCTCACATCGTGGAGGATGATGATGTATCTGACTTCGCGGCTCATCAGGCGGATACGGCCCAAGCTGGAAACGATGGCGATGCAATGGATATCGACGCGGCGCCGCCTGCTCAATCAGAACAAGCAGCTCCGGACCAGATATCTAATCAGGGATCATTCAAGGAGCCAAGACTTTACTCGGTGCCGCCTTCTGCGTGGCGGCAATCACAGCAGGGACAGGTCAATGGACATGTACCTACTCCAACTGTGAACGTCGATCTCAAGGCTGATTTGCATGGCCTCTCCCACGTCGAGCCAATTGCTCGTTCCACAAACGGCTTGCAAGGCCTGGCAGCAATGACTTCTGATCTGCCATTCCAGTCTCAAGCCGCTTCCACGCTCCCAACGCACCCCTTAGAGCCACAGAAGCTTCAACTACCGCCCTTGCCGAAAGCACCTGAACCACCCACGAGGCTATCGAAGCAGTCATGGCACGCTTACGCCGCAGCATTCGGCTCATACCTACAGGCCTATCACGCCTTCAACGCCAGCATGCTGCAGCACTTTACCGCTCGTGAGAGCAAGGCGCGGCTTCAGCTGTCGTCTGGGACTGCCTGGCTTGAAGCTACGGGAGATGCGGTTGGTACGCCGCATGGCGCGGGCGGCTTTGGCTCGTATCTGCAGGGGGTGAAGGAGGATGAGGAGGTAAGGGAGATGTGGAACTTGGGCAGCGAAAGGCACACGGAGGCTGTCAAGGGGTTTGAGAAGATTAGGGAGAGGGTGCGGAAGTTGGCGTCTGCTGGCACTTTGGTGGAACATTGAGAAAGCGTTCGGTTAAGGACTATCGCACGGACGACTGTCCTCGGCGGAGGTACGCTGTAGTGACTCAACACGGGAAACGGTAATGGTTGTGATATGACTTAGCATTGCACAGTAGTACGGTGTTAGGCGTTAGGTTAAGACAACAGTGAAAAGGCGGACGACCAGGGTTGTAGGGGTAGTCTACCGTGACCCCAGCACTCAACGCAGCTTTTTTTCAAGCTAGAGCGTGGCTTACGAGTGGGAACTTCGTAGCACAGATACCGTTGCGACAGCGGCGCGATTTTATGGCGCTTGCAGTTCGTTTTGACACGATGGTACATATTGCATACAAACGTGAGGATGCTCCCTCTGCCTGTCGCTCCAACTGCCGAAACGAGGGCTTCCGAAGGACTCGAACCCCCGCCGATAGTCCGCGTTCAGTGGTCGAGACGCGCTCCACAGCAAAGCGATTGCGGAGAGCAAGGGTCGCAATAAGTGTGTCCTTGTCCGAATAAAGAAGCTCCTATATCGTACTCTCGTCCCATGTTGAACCGTTTGAGTACTTTGCCGACCGCACTTCGAAGGACATTCCAGGTACAAGCTCATCTAGGTAAACAACCATATACCAACAACATGTCACCGGCAGTGAAATGGGACCGTCTAGTGCGGTATGTGTCAGCCAAAGACGGCAAAGTCAGATATGGCGATCCAATCGTGTCGGACGAGAAGCCTGATATTGATGCTTTGGCGTTGAAGGGAGGCTTAAAGGTGAAGGTACTGGAGGGTTCGCATCCAATGTCCGCGGAGGCAACAGGAGACGAGGATGAGGTGAAGCAGTTGCTTGGACCATTGGCGCCGACGGATGTACCTATCATCAGATGTATCGGACTGAACTACACGACGCACAGTAAGTGCAAAATATCTGAGACCACTGAAGCAATGCGAGCTGATGAAGTATATAGTCTTGGAGACTGGGTTCGACATACCCAAGAACCCGACACTTTTCATGAAGACCCGACAAGCCGTCGCGGACACACGACAGCCCGTGCCCATCCCCAAGCTTGGTCAACCTAAGTTAGACTACGAAGGCGAGCTCACAGTTGTCATCGGCAAAGACTGCAAGAACGTCTCCGAAGACGAGGCCCTCGATTATGTTGCCGGCTACGTCAGCAGCAACGACGTCTCCTGCCGTGACTGGCAGATGGAGAAGGAAAAGGCCGGCATGCTGCCTCAGTTCTCCTTCTCAAAGTCATTCGACAAGTACGCTCCCCTCGGACCGTGCATTGCGTCCACGAAGTTGCTCGGTGACGGCTCGAATCTCAGGATGAAGACGTACGTCAACGGCGAGCTGAGGCAAGACATCAGTACCTCTGACCTGTGCTTCGGTGTGAAGAAGTTGGTCTCGTTCCTGAGCACGGGTCAGACTCTGGAGGCTGGGAGTCTGATCATGACTGGCACCCCAGGTGGCGTCGGCATCGGCATGAAGCCACCGAAGTTCCTGCAGGATGGTGACGAGGTAGTGGTGGAGATTGAAGGGATTGGAAAGGTTGTCAATACGATGAAGTTTGAGTAGACTAGGCTGTATATGCTGAATACACATTTACAGGCAACTTCACATGGCCACGCGTTGCGACATCAGGGGATAGCCTAGCTTGGATTGTGCGAGGAAGCTGATCTAGGACAGATACCGTTCGAAACGGCCTTCACCCGGGGGCGTAATCTCGAGCGAACCTGCTTCGCGCCGTTCGAGCCATGTACGGCGTTCGTCCTGGAGACTGGGCAGGTTTGCCTCCAGCTCGTTCTCATCGCTGCGCCGTACTGTTCTATGATGTTGTACACTGCTTCCAGCATGTGCATTGCGAGCCGCAACCGCAGGGGCCGGAGTGATCACCTCGTGAAAGGGGGGAGGCTCGCTGGATTGTTGGATTGGGACTGTTGAGGGGTATGTGTTGCGCTGCACATGGCGTGATGGCGCAGACACAGTAGTCCTGTCAGAGTCTGTTCGTTTTAACGCAGTGTCAGATCGAATCCGGGTACGCCTTGTAGACCGAGTTATATCTGCAGGGGTCTGTGGCTGCGTTTGCGGTACGAGAGAGTCATCATAGACGGCCACTTTGGGAGTTGTGGTAGTCGCAGTTGCGGGCTTGCGGGGAAGGAGACTGCCAATTATACCGCGCGTCTTCCCAGGCGAGAGATCAGCAAGTGGTGATCGAGGACTGGAGATTTGGCGAACGTGCATTACCACGGGCGGCGTGCTGGGCACTGGCAGTGAAGTGCGGTGAATAGGAAGTGAGCCTGGTAGCTCGACAGGCTGTGGCAAAGAGGGCATGATCTCTGGTGCAGGAACAATGCCATGAGCTACAGGCGTGTCTGCTCGAGACGCTAACGACACATTAGAGGCTGCCATTGGCGATCGTGGTTCGGGTGTTGCGGAGTCACTGTCCTGCTGGAACGGATTGCCAGTGAGAAGCGAGACTCTTGCACGACTTCGACCAGCACCCTCCCAAGAACGGCCGAACGATCTGGGTCTGCCAGGATGCACACGACTGAGACGCTCGGTGAGATCGTCGAGCGGTGAGCCGCGCATACGCAGGAGTTCGGCCGCAGCATTGAAACCCTCTGTCGAACAATGTCGGCTGGGAGGTGCACTGCTGATTCCGCTCGCTGCGCTAACCATGCTTGGTATGCGCCGCAGGGGTGAGCTGACAGCGCTGATGCTTGCTAGCGAGCTGGATCGCGTGCTGATGGGTGGTTGTGGATGTCGTGGTCGGAACAGAGCCGACGCAGATGATGCTGCGCTTACCGAAAGTGTCGATGTAGATGTCACGCGAGTTCGCTCAGCATACGCCTGCTCCTCAGCCAGGTGAGGTACTGCCTCTCCCGCAAAAAGATTACGTGCTTGAATGTGCGCCGCATGCGCTGCAGACGGAGCTCGTAGCGCATAAGCTGACGGGGCACGAGAGGTGCGCCGTCCTGCGCTCGGCACAGGCCGATGGGAACCGCTGTTTCTTCTCGAAACCGCTAGTCGATGAGACGGGCGAAGCAAAGGGTACCGCTCAAGATTTGGTCCTGCCTGGTTTTGCTCGGTCGTTTCATCCTGCATTCGATAAGCCGAACCGTGCTGCTGATGATTACGTAGACCTGCACGGCGGCGATGCCTCATGGCAGGCTCGAGGTTCTGTTCGGACGATGAGCGAAGACGCAGATCTGTCGAGCTGCGTGTGCTGTCCACGGTACCCCAGCGAAGGTCAAGATTGGCGATTGTCCAACTATCGTCAGAGGAGGCAGTAGCTGTACCGAAGCGAGTGCGAGGCACGAAGACGGGCGCGGCTGGGTCTAAGGTGGCGTTGTCGTGCGTTTGTTCCTCAGTAATGATCAACTCAGGCACGGGGGATGATATCTCCGCGAAATTGCTGCCAGCTTCTGGCGACTCTGCAACGTTGCGTCTCTCGATCCACCGTTGGAAGAGTGGGTCCTCGGCAGGGACGTGAACATCTCGGCTATGTGCATGGCGTCGGCGAGCCCTGGCGCTAGAGAACATCGCAGGAAGTCGCCTGCGAGGTGTGCTTGCTGGAGCGGCACTGATGCAATACGCGGCCGGAGTTGGAGCTCTAGCGTCAGCGTGGACTGCTGATGAGCGCATGGCCGAACACTCCGCCGCGCCGTCAACGCACAAGTTGCTAACACTGCTGGCTTGCACTACGCCACCGTATGCATGTGTAGTGCTGCGAAGGCAGTCGTTCACCGCATTCAACAGTAACGGCGGCGTCCGCTGCAGGGCCGCGGTGTCTGGAGTGGCTGTCACTTCCAAACAGCGCCTATGCTGTACAGAGCTTGCAAGGAGCACGTTCGAAGGCGTGGATACGGTCCATGTGCCAATGGATGCCTCGGTCGCCGCTGCTACTTGAGACTCGTCAAGCGTTTCGTCCTCAGCGCTGCAGATTGTCGCACGGGAGGAAGATGAGATTGCCCTGTGACGGCCAACGTTGTGATCCTCAGAGACGACAGCCAGACGGATCTGATGACCGGGTCCAGGACTCAGGCGGATGTTGGGCCCGGCGAGAAGACGGGTTTGCTGACGAACAGCATGTCTGTATTCAAAGTCAATAATGTCGGTGGAGTCAAGTTTGACAACACTTGGAGGACAACGGAGCATAGTGACGGTGTTGCCGGCCCAGATGAGTTTGTTTGAGGGATAGGAGAAAAAGTAGCAAGCTGGAAGACATGTATGAACTGACCACCATTCTGCCACAGCAATTGCAGCTCTCTGCAGCCATACGGAAAGAGCACCATCGTTCAACCCTGCCTTGTCTGCATCGATTTGTGCTGCGAGTGCCATGTTCCCGTCAAGCTGAGGCCAGTGCGAGGTCGCCAAATTTCTCGCTCCTTCGACTCGAGGGAAGGGCATCCTTCCGCCAAAGTACTGATTACCCAACCCAAAGATGGAAGGCATGACACACCTTGTTCCAGTGTTGTATTCCCACACAATTAGACGGATACAAGCGAAGAGGACGCCGCAGTTCATTCATCGCCTCGACAGCACTCTATGATCGTCATGTGAAGCTTTCAGGCTAGTCGATATCCATCTCGTCGCCCAGTTGCAGAACGTCGTGCTCGACTTCCACCACCTTTTCGTTGCACCGCACAGTCTCCGCGTGGCGGTGACTGAAAGATCGCATGTAGAACTTCTGCGCCGCAAGCCAGTCGTCCTTCGCGAGAGCGAGGTAATGAACCGTACGCTGCGGACAAAGCTTTCTCAGTCTAGTAAGCCTTGGGCTCTTCGATCTGTACTCCGCGATGCATGCGCCCTGCTCACGGTAACTTCGCTCGAGCTTCATAAGCGCGTGCAAGCTTCGTATCGACGAGCTTAAGTTGCGGCAACAGTGTGATGTATCGGCTCAATTGCTCAATTTGGGTCGTCCTGGTACGTTCGAAGGCAGCATTAACGGCTGTGAGCGCGGGCGTTGTTTCGGGGTGGGAATAAATCGAGCGGAACAGGTCGCCAGCCTGCATACGTCTGTTATCGTCTTCGATATTCCTACGGCCGGGATTACCACATGCCGGACACTCGCAACGGAAGCCGTAATCACGTTGCAAAAGTCTGCGCCGCCCTGCGCCGCTCTGCAGCGTGGCCTGTTCACCGCCGAGATAGTCGATCTCTATATCAATGGACGACGCCATGATCACGGTCAAGGCATGCAGCGTACCTTGAGCCGTGTTTGGATTCCACGACACGACAGCGTTCGGGCGACACGAGTGGTTTGCGAAATATTGTCTTGAACACACGAGTTTGGGCGAACTCATTATCTTCGCGTACCTCGACATGCGTGAAAGCGTTCTTCCTGAGTTTCACCAGACAGTCGCGCACAACACCTCTAGTGATCTTTAAGTTCCGGTAATAGTCGTCGTCATCCGCCTGTGGAGTTGCTTCGCCATGTAATGACCTAAGATCCTCAAGGGCGGCGCTCGTGATCCGGGTCAGCTGAACGGCTACTGTGGGCTCGCCGTTCTGTAACACCCTTCCGGCAGGACTGTCAGATAGGAAGTCATTCGAGCGCATGTCGATGGTAGACTCTGGTAGTTCAAGGAGCGGATCCTCAACGACTAAAAGTGTGCCTGGACCGATAGTCTGTGAGACCCGTAGTGCTCGACCTCTGCCGTCTTCGTAGGCATGTCGATAATGAGGTTGATAGCGTCGGTCTGCCGAAGCCTGCGGATCATGACTGCGGCGTTACTGTGGTCATGCCGTACGCTGGGAGCAAACCCTTCAGCTTATATTTCTGCATGGCCACGCTCATCGAAATTTTACTGTGCGACGTCCCAGTGGGCTCCACTTGCGTCGTCGTGATTTATGAGACCATGTCAGTTGAAGACAGTGAACAGGAGTTGCAGCTCAATGTCCTGCGAGTATTTGGATGTAGCAGTCTTGGCGTCTTGCGACATGTCTGGCTATTACAAAAGACTCTCGATCTGGTACGCAAACCTTGAGTCTAGCAATCGATGTAACACACACATGCGTCGCTCCTTTAGTCCTCAGAAGGGTAAACGATTCACGAGCGGGGTCAGCCTTCGGAAGCCTCCATGGCAGAACGTCTCTGCCACGCCAGCGCCACATCAGTAAGCGGTCAGTCGGGATGTCGTGCCTGTATCGAGTCAGTGAGTCAGTTTCTGGTAGACGGTTGAGGAACGTGAGACATGATGTTGGAAATCGGCTTCTGCAGTTACATAAGCCACGATCATTTTCGGACATGGTAGCAAGGCAAGAGCGACCGAACTGTGTTGATTTGCGTCATGAACATGGCGAAAATCGAGAAGAACCTCTGCTCCGCGAATGAAGAAAGCGTGTGCAGAGTGCTGGCATCGCTGGGAGGACACAGCTTCCCTTACCATCGAGCACTTCCGGCCCATGAGCGTCATCCAAAGTCGTCAAATCTCCGGCTTGTTGGTGTGTCAAAGCACTGACAAGAGTTACATGTGGGTGTAGCACTCGTGGGTGATTGTAGTGTCGTCCAAAGCATTCATCTTGGCCCGGTCCCGTAACTGGTATAGATTCTTCTCGGCATGTGCTGTTGTTCGACCTATAACGACGTTCCCACACATTCTCCTTCTTGTAATATCCCAAAACGCCGCCGCTTTCCCATACAAATCATATACCGGCTTCCAAAGTGTCTGCGCCGCCCGCCATTCGTGCATTTATATGGTAGCCACCACGCTGCGGCTTCAGTTGACCTGACACAGCAACTCCTGCTCTAGAATATACTTCCCTTCTTTGTACTTCTCCGTGCTCTCGTACGCGCGATCGTACTTCCACCCAACAACCTCCTTGCATTGCCGACAGCAGATATCCCGCACAACGTGTCGGCCGGTGGTCATGTTGCGCTCACCGGCTTCGCCCTGCTGAATGTTGACGACGCTGTTGAAAAGGTATGCCTTGCCATGTTGGCCACGGAAGTTCTAGGTGCTGAGTGGTCAGCTGGGTGTACGAGTGGTGTAAAAGTAGGTACGCAGCTATACCCGACTGATGATCTCGTCATGGTCCGCGAGATGAGTCTTGCAGGTCTTGCAGCCGTAGATACGCTTGGAGTTGAGGTAGACGTTGTAGGCGAGGCCCATCCTGACGATGCAGTGGGCGCTCGACCCACGGTGGTGATGACAGGCCTGTTAGAGTTGGAAATTGATGGAGATCTATGGTGCTCCCGTGTTGGGGGCTATGGCAAAGTGAAGTACTGCACTACTGCACCTTGAGTCGTTGGCACTCAGCACGATAGATGGAGTTGTGGACCTGTCTCAAAGCTGCTGAGCTACTTAGATGGCCGCCTGGTGGTTGTTAGGTAACAAGTTTATCTGGAGCAAACAAGGTGGTAGCAAGCTAGGTAACAGGGCGATGGAAAGGTTGGGTCTATGCCTGGCTTCTAATAGAGCAGCCTGTATAAACCCAATGTGCAGTGTCACATGGGTACATATGCTCCACTCCTGCTTAGGTGATACAGTAGGTACAGTAGTCTCAAGCGGACCGAGGCCTCGCTACCTCGCTAGGATGCAACCCTTGCACCTGCACTCCCCCAATCATCAGCACACATCGTCGCCCTTTGACGTTGGAACATACCGAACGCATCCGCAATGCTGCCTTTAATTGGTGTCAAGCAATTGGGACGTACCGCCAGCGTGCCGGCTGCTCCTGTGTCCTTCTGGGAGGAGAGATCCGCTGCCTCACGCCGTTGACTCTTCAGAAGCTTCCCGAGCTCTTGCAATCTCTACTTGTGCGCTTGAGCCTCAGATGTCACCCTTGGCTCCCTTTGGGTCTGCGCCAGCTTACTGCGTCTCTTCTTCGGTTGTGTCCGCAAGATTACTGTGGTCGTGCCGGTGCGGTTGCGGATAGGCGTGCGCGTGCGCGCGTAGTGAGAGTGGGTGGATCGTGGCGGGGCTATGGAGCTTCATCATCCTCATTCTTCATGGCGTTGACCATAACACCTTGCTCCCTCACGACTCCACCGTATCATCCTTAACCTTAACATCTTCGCTGATCGCAGGTTTCTTCGTAGCGTTCGTGAGACCTCTGTTCTGCGCCGTCGCGACCTCGCCAGGCTCGTCCGCATCCTTTATCGTCGCATGGGTAAGACCTTAACTCTGCGCCTCTACCATAGCGCCGCCATTCTCCTCCTCAACATCTGTTGGACCTTGCTTGCGCAAATCCGTAACGTCGCCGTAACCGGACATGCTTGATGGTATGCTATCATCGACACGCACGAGCTTTCCCTGCATATTCACAATCTCCTCCTTCTATCTCAGAATGAACTGTTTCTCGCGATCATTGTCTAGAGAGACTTTTCAACATTCTCAAATGCATGATCAATTTGTGTCTCTGGATCTGATTGGTCGATGTGGGTGACCTAGTACTTGAAGCTTGCGTGGAAAAGAGGCTCCATGTCAAGGCGGAGGATCTCAATACAAAGCCTGGTGACTTCTTCCCAGCGAGCCTCACCCAGTTGCACATACATTCGGATGCTCTTCTTCAGATTGTAAAGGTACGTCTTCTCACCATCCCAGCTTCGGATTTCGGAGATAAGGTAGTCGTATAGATCTGGCTCGGTGAACTGCGATGAGACATCCGAGAGTGCCAGATCCTCTTCAATAACGAATCAGTTGCTCGGGTAAGATGCGAGTGTCGGGATGGCTTGGGATAACAAGTGCGTTTTGCACAATCAAGAGTGTATTGGACTTTTAGTTGTAGGAACTGGGCAGACCGGTTTCTGAGACAGACGAAGATTGTTTATGTTACCTTGTGAACCGTCGCTGACCACGGTACAAACGTTGATGGAGGGACTTAGTCTCCCGAACAACACCTGCTCGATCAAAATCGTCCCCAACTCTGAAGATCCAGCTAAAGTCAACACCAACAGCACGCAGGCCACGACGGCACCAAAGAAGGATAAGAGCAAAAGGAGAGCTACGGACGAGCCACCACGGTGAACTGTCCCACTACCAATCAGCCTTCAGAAGCTACTCCGGCGACCATTACTGACTCTTGCCATAATCACCTGCGAAAGAAACTGAAGCCCATGCTGCGCTTAGAAGTATCGACAAGCATAGCCCCAGACCTAACGCCGCAACTTCGTCGCGGAGCGATGAAGGTGAGCTGAGCGGACCACCAATCCCACCTCGACAGTCGGGAGATAGCTCACCACACCCTACCTATCACTATCTACGGGTAGATGAGGACGACAACGGGTCTGCAGGTAATCTTCCGCACCTTCCCTCTGCTGAAACCGGAATGTGGCCCGCCGCGGTGTCCGCTTACCGAGCAGGGCGGCGCGGGTCCCAATAACGAGCGTCTTTGTTGCAGCTGGTACAGAGGCTACAACCGCGCAAAGGACGCGGCTGGCAATGAGAAGGCTACTGGCGACGCGTTGCCGTTTCTGTATAGCAGCTCGGCGGACGCTGTCACTCCTTGATATCAGGACCCGAAGTGTAGCCCATTACCGAATTAGTTTGACAAAAGAGACGGCCTCGGTCCCATCAATCAGCACCTTTACAACGGCTGCTACCTACGCTATCTTATTGCAAGAAAAGCGGCTTGCAACGAGAAGGGATTTCGGGATGCATGGAGGACAACGAAGGGCCTACAACGACCAAACGAAGGTTGCGAGGTTTGGGGGTCCTCTCGTAACCTCGCTGACGTCCCGGAATTGAAGCAACACCAATGCCAACTGACCCAGCTCCTGAACCAACACCCATACCAATCTAAGCAGCTCTTGAAGCTGGGGGATACGTTGGCCTCCCAACCGGGCGTCGAAACGTTGGCATTTGTTGGATACGAAGCTGCATCGGCATCATTCGGAGACGTTGAGACATCGTACCCGGATACCGGGTCAACCATATCTATTCTTCGTCGCGACTGCTTGCGTCGCTGTAGCAACGAGCACACTCGCACTCTATGTAACTCAGAGATCCAGAGACAGTGTGCACCGACGTATGCCGAATTGTTCGATACTGCGACAAGGAGCTAGCCAGATCTGCGTGGACCTTCGAACAGCGAGGTTCCAACTCAGCGCGGCTGCGACTACGAAGACATGAGATCGAACCGACTCAAAGAAGACTGTGCAGCATAGCGAATCACGACGTATAGCGTACCCACACCCGTTCTGATGAGGTAGCTATAGTACGACGATGAATTCAGTAATTTGCGATTGAGGTCTCTTTCTGTCTCCTACTCGCTATATCATCGGAAGACATGAGCTGACCTCGATAGCACGGTGCGCAAACACGGACATCCCAGAAAGGAGCCGGTCCCGACATCTAGGGGGGTAGCAGACTTCATCAGCTTCTTGATCGGGTATAAGATCCTGTTGATGGAGGCTGGGACGAAACGAATCTCGCAACCGCCGTAATTTACAACAGTGCAATATGCACAACCTCACGTTGGAGGCAGCATGGCTCGTGAAGCATCGCACCCTATGCCGCCTATTGCAATATTCGAATACAATTTGAGGCTATCAAAACATGCCGGATTGCTACGATCTGCCTTTTGGTAAGAGAAGGCATGGAGGCTAAGCTAGTGCGACTAATGGATGGCGGCAGGGGTTGTTGATCGGACAGCAAGCTCCGGTACCGTGGAAAGAGTGTGTGTCGAGAAGAGATGTACTGTGGAGCTTGCAGTCATTGGAGCTGGTTACTCTCAGAGACGAAAGGGCTGCGTTGCTAACGTGAGAACAGTTCTTCTCGGAAGAAAGAGAACTAACGAATAGTCCCTACGATTTCGGCCAATCATATATCCGCGCCGACGGCGTCACCTCGCTCCGTTTCGACAAGCAGATGTCCAGCAGCATGTGGCGTAACATTTTGGCAATCCTGCAATCTCACTGGACCTGGAACGTGGTGCTAGCATCTGTAACAGCGATCGGCAAGACGTGAGCTCAATCAGTTTACTCAGCAAAACACGACGTACAGGCGCCATGGCATCCCCGATATTGACACTTGGCCGAGCATTGATGACACTAGGCAACATCTTCGTCTCAGCTGGAAGCATAGCAGCAGATTACAATAAGACACATGTTTTTAACGAGCGTTGGCCGCCTCACGGCGAGTTGAAACCACTTGTGATTGACTTGCCATCGCTGACAGACAGCCAGCTCGCTTCCACAATGGACAGACGATGACCCTCAGTGTCCTACTCAGCGGGATGAGCATGTACCTGCTGTACAGGTCCTCCTTCGCGTTCTCAAGCTCAGCAATCAACCCCAAAGACAGCGTGTTCCTAGCAGCAATCATCGGCAGCTTTTACTGTGCAGCTGGAACGTCGGCCATATTCTACCCGGGAACGGCATGGAAGGACCCTGAGTTCAACACTGGCGAGGCTCAGAAGTTCGTCTTTCCCGGCCAAGTGGCCCTGATGTGGGTTGGCTATGCTTTGGAGATGAGGCGACTGGGCAATATCTAACCTCGCGCTGAGTGATTGTACGGCGTCTCTCGGCTTGCTCTCAAGCGCTTGCCAGTCCTAGGAGTCTCTAGCTCGTTCATGGCACAGCCATGGATGGTGGAACTTCGAATATTCCATCAACATTACTCTGAACGCATACGAGGACTGTCAACACGACATGCTGTCCACGTCCTCTTTGACACAGCATGCTGTCAACACCGCCTTCACACACTACGTCTGAAGAAGAAACAGCCTCCCATATAGATACACCGTGGCCGCTATTACAACCCAAGGCACGTTGTAAGCTTATGCCGGCGTTGGGCTTGGAACGATAGCTTCAGCACCGCCATCGCCACGCTCGTGCTCGGCCGCGACATTGTTCTGTGTGAGACCGGCAGAAGGGTGCGAATTACATGTTGGTACCGGAAATGGAGACGTATTGCCATCGCAGTAGTTGGAGTCGTAACATCTGATCTATGAGTCAGCCTCCAGGCTATCGCAAGACTTCAGCAGCAAGTCACTAACCCCCCGTATCGCTGGCTGCAGGTAACAGCATCTATGCATATCGATGATGGCGTGCAAGCTGAAGCAGCGTTCGCAACAAGTGACGATAGTGATGGATGCACCAACTCTGTAAGCAGCGCTTCAGGCTCGGCGAGACGCGAGGCCGTTGGCGCGGGTGTTATGCTGTACGAGTGGCTTTCGCTGGCGAGGGATGTATGACGCCGCGTGCTTGTGGACGTGCTGGTGCTGGTCTGAGTCGCCAACGCTTTTGCCACCTTGGCACCAGGTGCTTGGATGACAGCCGCTGCCGCCAAATTCGTGGCGAGGAGAAGTATGAACAGCATATTTACCCGACGGGCTCTGACTCGGTCTCGCCGAACTGAGGCTGTTCTGGAAGCTGATTTGAAGAAGTGATTTTCGCTCCTACACTGTCTGCTTGGTGCTCTGAGGAGTGCAGATACCGACAGCAAGGATCTCCGTGCTGTGATATAGAGATCCTCGTACGCTACCACTGTTATGTACATCGCCGATCTGGCGTCAGTTGTACCTAGGCATTCGTTAGGAATGTAGATGCTACAGCCAAGTGATCGGAATGCCTCCCACCGCCGGCCTTGTCCATCGAGCTTTCGCCCCAGTATCGACCAAGGTCCTGCACGGGCACCGCTCACGCATTGACGGCCTGCCCGACCATTGGAGGATCACCTACACACAGATCTTCCAGAGATCTACCTCTTCCAGCGCGCGAAGAATGTTCGCATACTCGACTTTGCCATAGACATTTGCCATGTGAACTGCATATAAATGTCTTACCAACGAGTACCTCAGGTCTCCAGAAAGTTATTGTTCAGGTGAGTTGGCCCGACCAACGTACAGAGCCCGACAGAGACCGCCGATCAATTCATCTCTATCAGACCGATTCAGGCTGTCCATCCAGGACCCAGCAGTGTGTCGCTGGGTAGGACAACATTTGCGGCGGCATGAGCGTTGATATCGCGTCCGGGCTGAACACCGCGAAGCACTTCCTGCCCCTTACCGTACCGCATCGACTGGTAAGCTTGGCATTGAGAGATCTCCAAAGGTCGTCAGATACTCGGTGCTTGCAGCCGACGGGACGATCTGGACCCCGAAAGCTGGAGATCAACGCAAGGCGGCCTGGAGGTCTTGTTTGAGCTTTTGAAACTCATCTTTGGCTTCTTTCAATAATTCCGGCCTAGTCAGGACATCCACAGCAGTTGCCGCCAATGCTTTCCCAACTCTCATTGCTAGGCTATGCGCCTCTTCGGTTCTAGAAGCCTTCGCGAAATCTGGAGTGTCTGCGCAGGAATGAGTGAAGCGGTCAGCAATGACCAGTTGAAATAGGCAAGAGTCGATTACGCACGTGGTCCACCGAGCTGTTTCCCATCAGCGTCCTCGCTCCGGATCCAGAAATTGGGACTCAGACTCGGCATAGCATAGCTAATGTTTCCTGCGACACAGACCGTTAGCAGGGTATATGGTTAACGAACCGTCTGGCTGACCTTGATCAGTAGATGCCGTAGTAGCAGCTTCGATGATATCTACATCTCCTCTTACGATACTGCCACCCATCCTATTGAAGAAGTGCCGGTAGCTACGGCCGAGAGCACGGTTGGGCATATGGTCCGCATACGATCCGCCGAGTGTAAGCTTAAGTTCAGCGCCGGTGGCGGTGGCGCCAGCTTCAAAGCATGCAATCACTCGCTTCTTCAAGGCGTCTAGGCGAGCTTGACTAGTCGAACGCACAACAAAGCGGCCGGAGCTGTAAGCATGAATGATGTTTGGTCGTAGACCGCCATTGGTGATCTGGCCTTGAATGATATCACCAGGCTGCGTCTGCTGGCGTAGGACAGATATGGCATTGTAGGCGGTGATTAGAGCATCAAGCGCATTTATGCCATCCCACGGTCTAGCCGCTGCGTGTGCTTCGCGGCCAAAGTACTCAACCTTAAGTGAGGCATATGCTGCAGTTCGGACGAGCGCCGCGTCGCACGTAATGCCAGGGTGCGAGATAAGGGAGATGTCGACCTTATGGTCTCGGTATGCTCCGGCACTGAGGAGTTTAATCTTGCCACCACCCCCCTCTGTAAGCGTCAGCCAGAATATGCAGTACAGTGCCGTCCACTCCATTTTATATTCCAACTTCGTGGCCCAAAGCGAGTAGACGGTCAGAAGCCGCCCTGGTAAGACAACGAACAGAATTCCTGGCAGATAGATACCACACTGCAGATGCAGCATAGTGGATGTGACTCTATGTTTACCAACAGACTGGTGGGCATGTATGCTAGACAAGAGACCATCTTGAAGCCAAAGAGAGCACATGCTTACCTTCTGCAGGCGTACCGTACAGGACAACCTTCCCCCCCAACTGCTCGTCCTTCAGTAGGTTGGCTGTTGCCAGCGCACCGGCCAAGGTAGAGATTGCGATGAGATTATGGCCGCAGGCATGTCCAATGCCCGGAAGAGCGTCGTATTCTGCATTGAAAGACACCACAGGACCAGGCCTACAACCATCGTAGACGGCTACGAACGCCGTCTCTATGCCGTAGGCTGATCGTTCCACCCGCCAACCATCTTTCTGCTGGAGATAGTCCGTCAGAACTGCGTGAGCATGTTTCTCCTTATATCCAACTTCAGGGTTATCGTGTATTTCAATGCTGACCATCCGCAGCCCACCACTCATGTCATCAACGTACTTGGTAATGAGCGGCAGATGATCGGTGGAGAGATGGGTAGGCTCGTTCGCATTAACCATGATATAACCACCATCTTTCGCACACAACGTCCGCTCCATGTGTCACCTTACTGATACCGATATTGCCACAAGACAACCCCCGGCTCTTTGGTACTATTGGCTGCACCTTCCTTCGGTGTTCATCAGGCTGGGTGTGCTCCACTAATACTGCTCCAATCTCAACTGACTCTCCGACTCGAATGCAAGCATCAGATGAGTTGCCGGCAATGATGACTAGTACTTTTCATGCCAAGAGAGTCTATACTCACACACATATACAAGAATATTGATAGCAGAGTTCCTCATGTTCAGCCACTTTCCAACCCTTTGTTGGCTTCGTGTTTCCAACATGACCCCGCAAGTAAATGCGTCTTTCACGTGACTTGGAAGCCCGCCGCGGGTAACAAGGGTGGTTCCCCTTTAGTACTCCAGATCTCTTCACATGACTTTCTACAAGAGTAAATTAGACGAAAGCCTGTCATGTTGGATAGTGGTCTCAAGTGGAGGTGAAACAGTTCGACCTGACGCCTAAAGTATGAACCCGACCAGTATCCTTCAGCAGCCCTTCCCGAATATTACCTTATTCAGCCACAATAGAATCTAGGACATCCTCAACCCATCACTGGTCGCCCCCAAAGTTCAGCAGCTGTAGCTGCAGGTCCTGTGTTGACGCCGTCGTGGCGCCCATTACGGCAGCAATTACATTGCGTACCTTGTCAGTGTTTTGCTTCTGCTGCGAGGGTGTTAGCCATGGCCACTAGAATACTTGCGCCGCTTGACTCACCATCATCGTAAAGTGGTTGGCACCTTCCACCTTCTCAATGATGAAATCCGCTCCCGGCAACAATGTCTCCCATCCGTCTGGACCAAAGTTCTGTCTCTTCTGCAGCATGAAGTGAGACTTGGCCACGACAGGAGGGTTTGGACCATCCATCACGGTCTCTGTAGCCCAGACCAGGCCCACAGTCGGCATCTTTGGCGCTCGCACCGGTCGTGCCTGGTATGGAAGCATGGCCTCCATCACGCGCAGGAAATGCGGGATGAGGTAAGTTGGTGGATGGCCGGTGCCAAAGAGGCCAAGCTTACCACAGTACTCGTAGAACTCGGCGGGCAGCGTACCAAGCTTGGAGGGAATAGGCGAGTCGATAATGATCAAGCTGTCGACGGCGTGACCCTCGGAAGTGAGCATGTACGCGCAGGCAAAGGCAAAGCCACCGCCGGCGCTCCAACCGCCGACATGATAGGGACCAGTGGGTTGGCGGCGCTTGATCTCGTTGCAGAAGCTGCGGACCATGGCCGTGGGGGTACACTTGAGCTCTTCGGGGTCACGAATGTAGGGGCAGTTCAGGCCAACGACCGCAATATCGTCGCCGAGCTTTGGAATCGTAATGTAAGACGTTGCAGAGCCGCTGCCATCGGGCATGAGGAACAACGTCTTATTGGCAAGCTTTGGGATGCCCTGAAGAATGACTGAGGTTGTCGACCGACACTCATCTGAAGCCGACCAATCCGGCGTGGGACCCTCCTCCGGCGGCGTAATGACCGTGGAAGCACCAGAGTCTTCGGCGCTGTCAGATGAGTCTCCGCTAACTCCTGGTGCGCCTTCGCTCAGAAAGGCCTTGAGGTCAGCCACGGTTGGGCAGTTGACAAAGATCGAGAAGTCGGGATCGAGGTCGATGGCAAGCTCTTCACGAAGGCGACTCTGAATAACCATAGAGCAGAGAGAGTCGACACCGATGTCGGCGAACACGCTGTCGTCAGAAAGATCCTCTTTGGCGATACCGCTTTCCTGCGCAACGATGTCTAAGGCCTCATTAACGACTGGCGCAGATGTAGAAACCTGCAGCGCGTTCTTCGACTCCAAGGCTCTAGCCGGGCCAACGTTGGCAGTGACGGTAATATTGGAAGCCGGTGCGTCGGGCGTAGCATGGTGGATAATACTGTCTTGGGTGTGCGCTGCAGTTTTTGCGAGTGGGACCGATTCAGCTACTGGAGGCTCGGTAAACCTCACGGAGTTCTCTTCCACGTGCTCCGGGACTGCCGGCTCGACCAAGCCGGGTTCTTCTGCATTGGCTGCTTCGGCTTCGTCCATCTGCTCCCCGTTGAGTTCGATGAGGAACGCCTTGAGCGACCTCACAGTCGGGCAATCGACGAAAATCGAAAATTCTGCACCGAGCTCCAGGAGCAGCTCTTCCCGCAGTCGGCTGCCAATGACCATGGAGCACAAGGAGTCCACGCCCATGTCCGCGAAGTTGCTATCGTCGGTGAGCTCTTCTTTCGCTACGCCGCTCTCCTCCGAGACAATGTTCAGAACATCATCGATCGACTTCGAAGTCTTGGCGGAGAGACCAGAGGCTTTCGGGATCTTGGGTTGTGATGGCGTCTTTGGTGCTGTCCCCTGCCTGGCCACGGTTTCAGCAGCTTGAGCATTCGCCGCTGCTGCGACAGCAACTGGTTGACTAGTTTCGCTGACAGACGAAGGCGCAATTTTACCGGCAGCGTGCTTGGGCGCACCCGACTCGGTGGGTAAGTGGCCTGGATAATGGGTCTCCGGACGTACCGCTGGCTTGTTCGCTGCTGGTTTCGCTGCGTTGGCAACTGGAGCCTTGCCCTTGGAGCCTGTCGCAAACGCGTCGGTGACTGCACTGCGGAACTTGCGAGGCATGCGGTGCACGATGACCTCCTTGAAGAAAGCCACGAGCTTACCGTCGTGCAAGACCGCTGTGTCGCCCTTGAACCAGTCGGTACCGTCAGCGGACATGCGAACGTAAAGCTCATACTTGCAGTCATAGGTCAAGGGAGCGTAGAGTTCAAGGCCATTCCAGCCGTGACTGATGAAGCATTCGTTGTCAAGGTCGACACACTCGCGAGCGTTTACGCAAAAGCCGGCCAACTGAGTGAACGCGTCGACACCGCCTGGGTGAGCGGCGAAGTTGCCCTTGGTCGCAATCGTAGCGAAGTTGACGAAGCAGGTCGCTTCGATGCTGGATTCGTCGACCACCACGTCATCCAGCAGCTTGTAATCGGCGCCAAATCCGGCAATCTTGGACATCAAACGATACCCGCTACGCTTGTTGTACTGGCACAGCTCGCCCTGTTCTGCACCAAAGCGCAGGCGCTTGATGCTGTTCAGATAATCTGGCAACTTCGTAGTTACCTGTCGGTACAGTGTGCGGTCCGCAAAACGGATGACTCCGAACCCGTACCGTGTGGTGCTTCTGCCTTTGGCCTGCTTCGCCGTCAGTGGTATGCTCAGTTGAGACTCGGTGGGCTCAACGTACATCGACTGCGTTGAACACGAATTTGCCTTGAGTAATTGTCTGCGGCTGACCTCGTTCGAAGGACGCAGTGAAGGTCAAGCGCAGGTTCTGTCCTGCGCGGCCAGTCGGTACGAGGACTTTGTCTCCAGCCAAATCACCGACATTGACGATGACATCGCGGTTCGGACATAGTCTGGCAACGGTATACGTGCCAACAGTGTACGCAATATCCGCGAACCTGCATGGCTTACGTTAGTGCTGCTTTCTTTCAATGCATATTCAGTGGGCATAAGACACGAACCAGCTGGGAGTCGTGAATGGTACATCGTTGACCACATGACCACGGGCGAGCTCACGTAAATCTTCGCGTCCCAAATCTCCCTCCACCACAATGCGAATAGAGTCGGCTTCGATCGTCTCTTCACTAAGGCTGTGCACAGTACTGGTCAGAGGTGCAGGCGGGGCCGGAGGCAGCTTGAGAGCTGTCTCCTTGGAAGGTGCTTCAACTTTGACCGGCTCATGTGCAGGCGGAGGCAACGCGGCAGCCTTCTTGTTATCCGTGTTGCTCACGTTCTGCAAAGCGAACGGCTTGTGTATGCACCAATCATTCTCGTAGGCGATCCAGTAGCTCTTTAGATCCCAAGCGTAAGCGGGCAGCTCAAGCACCTTGTGCGCCGACTTGAAAGCCTGGTGATAGACGGTCCAGTCCAGCTCAGCGCCAGAGCCATACAAGCTGCCGAGCAGGTTGGTCAGGTTGGGCCAGACGTCTCTGCTGCGCTCAAGCACAGCCATCGATCTGAGGTCGGCGCCGAGCGTGTTGCGAATCATGCCGCAGACCACCGGGTGCGGCCCAATCTCAATGCTTATGCACGACTTCACGTCCACGATACCGCTCTTCAGGCCGGCTTGCAGCGCGGATACCATGTCGACGGTCTCTCGACAGTGCCTTTGCAAGTAAGTCGCACTGAACACGCCCTCTTTGTCGACCACGGCACCAGTGAGCGGGTCTAAGACGGTGATGGTCGGCTTACGGAAGGTCACACCGCTTGCAATGATGCTGAAAGGCTTCAGAATTGGATCCACTTGAGCCGAGTGGAAGGCGTACGGAACCTTCAACATTGTGCTCTTTATTCCGTTGCTCGTCAAGGCTGCCTGAGCCTTGGCAATGCAGTCGCTCTTCCCGCTGATGACCGTGTCTTGTGGTCCGTTGGCGCAGGCTATCTCGAACTGCTGACCGGTCAACTGGCTATTGACGGTGCTCTCGGAGGCTTTGATGGCGAGCATGGCATGGGTACCACGAGCGCAAGACTGCTGGAATAGCTCAGCTCGTTTACCCACAAGGTAGATCGCGTCCGATGCTGTCAATACGCCAGAGGTGTACAGCGCGGCATACATGCCAAGGCTGTGTCCGGTGACAGCAACCGGCGACATGCCGAATGATCTTAGCAGATCGGCCAGCGCCATCTGAAGCGCAGTGGTTGCGAGCTGAACTGTGACGGCCGGGCTGCTTTCGACATCTGCATTGCAATCAACCAACAAGGGTAAGAACGAAGACAGGCCCAGAGCCTGTGCCATTCGGTCGTAGGCGTATAGACTACTGCGGAAGGACGGGAAGGCGTCATGCAGCTGTTTGCCTACTGCAACCCACATTGCACCTTGTCCGGTAAAAGCGAACAGCATCTTTGGCTTCGACTTCGGCCGGTTGCTTCCATCGCCGCGCTCAATCGCAGCGCTCAGGCGATCCGAGATCTCTTGCACTGTGGCCCCGGTAATGCTTATGCGGTGAATGTGGTGCTGGCGGCGCGCAGTGAGCGTATACGAGAGTTGAGCCAACTCCAATGTGCCCGTGTGCTGCTGTAGGTATTGCAGAAGCAGCTTAGCATTGTTTTTGAGAGATGCAGCAACGTGGCCCGAGACGGTAAGTACGTGGGACGTCCGAGGGTCGTCTTCAGATGCGACCTCTCTAGGTGGCGCCTCCTCGAGCAGCAGAGCCGTGTTGCCGCCGGCGGCACTGAAATTGTTAATGAGCGCTCGTCTCGGACCTCCTCGACGCTCCCATGGTGTTGGCTTGAAGGCGATATGGACATTGCGGGCCCCCAAATCGGGGTAGGTCCGGTTGATCTTGCTGCCAGGTTTGATACCACAATGCCTAGAAAGAAGTAGACGTTAGCGGGCTTCACGCAAGCTGAGATAGAATGACTCACGGCGGAATCATGTTGTTCTTCAGCATAAGGAGAACTTTCGTCAAGCTCGTGATACCAGAAACACCTTCGCCGTGGCCAATGTTGGCTTTCACTGTGCCAACATATAGCGGGTTCTCCGGCGTGCGTTGTTGCTCGTCTGGTGCGAAGACTTTCAACACGGACTCCATTTCAACAGCGTCTCCTACCTGCGTGCCGGTTCCGTGCATCTCAACGTAGCTGACGTCCGAGGCATTGACGGTAGCACTCGCAAGAACGGACTTCATGTTGTCCGCTTGTGCTCCAACATGAGGGCGTGTCATCGAGTCTGAAAGGGAGCTATGGTTGGTCTTTGTATCGAGGATAACCCCAAGGATAGGGTCGTTCTCTGCAATAGCGTCGTCCAGACGCTTTATGATCACCGTCGCCACGGCTTCACCGCGACAGTAGCCGTCAGCTTTGTCGTCGAAAGGCTTGCAGTTGCCAGTGCGGCTCAGGAAGAAGCCCTTGTCGAGCCCTGTATGGCCATCGGGATTGATACACTTAGACGCGCTTGATTAGTCTCGCAAGATGAAGCCATTGGAAAAATCAAGATCGACAACGCACCATGTTCGTGCCGCCTGCAACGGCTGTGTCGCAGTCACCTCGCCAGAGGGAATTGCACGCCAGATGGATGGCAGCCAAGCTCGAGGAGCAAGCAGTGTCGTTGCTGTAGCTGGGCCCACAGAACTCGAAGCAAAAGTTAATACGGCCAGGCACGAAAGCTCGATTGCCCCCGGTGATGAAGTATGTATCGATGAATTGACCGCTGTTGCATTCCAAGTAGTCATTCGAAGTAATGCCGTGGAATACTCCAACACGGGTGCGCTGGGACGACGCAGTCTTGTCGGCTACGAAACCGGATTGCTCTAAAGCCTCGTAGGTCGTCATAAGCGCCATGCGCTGAGCAGGATCAATTTGCGGCGCCTGCGTTGATTAGACAAGGCTACTGCAACTTCTTAGAATCACAAAGCCTACCTCCTTGGGTGATATGCTGAAGAAACGTGGATCAAACTGGTCAGCATAGTCAAGCCAACAGCCCCATTTGCAGCCAGCGAGATTGTGTCCTGGTTCACGTTAGAAGTGTCCCGAATGCGCGAATAGCTACGACCTACCCTTTCCGTCGGCAGTCACGTGTGTCTTCCAATTCCACCGCTGGACTGGCACCTCTTTGCAAACGTCGAGTCCTTGATATAACAAGTCCCAGAAATCTGCAGGACTAGGTGCTTCCGGGAACCTACCGGACATGCCGACAATGGCAAGTTTCGCACGGCTCTGAGGCAGTTGCTGCAGCGGATGCTCATGCAAAGCTTCCAATCTCTCAACCGAGACATTTGCTATCTCTTTAAGAGCGGCAGACATGTTCTGCTCCAGGTTTGTGGCGATTGGCGATATGACTATGGTAGAGGTTCCGCTTGAGCTTACCAGCGACGAGAAGTTGGCCACTACCTTGTCCCACCGGATGGGCTCCAGCAGACATTCGCACAGTGCCTTCTCCAGCAATGCAGTAAGGCCTCCGCCCCATGCAAAGACTCCTGTTGCGCCAGAGATGACTGGCAATTTGACGTTGAAATCTTGGAATTGCGACAGGTTAGTAGACGACATGATGATGCGTACATCCTCCATGGAATAGAGGTGTGAGACATGAGCAGGCAAATATATCGGGATAGGCTTCGACTTGCAATTGCCGAAAAACACATCCTTCCGCAGAAGCTTCAGCGTTGACGGCGGACCGCTGATCGTCAAGGCCTTCCCCGAGTAGGCAGTAATGCTCGGTCTTGCTAATGGAGAAAGCGCCTATTCACGTATCAGTAGTGTGCTAAGGTAGACGTTCTGAAGTACCCACCTTCTCCCGTGAGAACTTCTCGAGAGCGGCGGCAGCGGCTGGCTCGTCGACTCCGAAGTACAGAACGGACCATGGTTCCTGCTCGCTAGAAACGCTCGAATAGATACGATCACGCACGTCAATAGCATGCAAGCCGAGGCGAAGTGCCAATTGCACAGTATGCACCGCCGCTGGAAGCAGCTCGGAGAGGGAACCGGAGGATGCAATGGCAGCTGCAGCGAGGGCACCTGTGCAAAGCCCAACGAGATAGGTAGAGCCCTGGGTTGGGTAGAGACGTCCGGGCTCATCATAAAAGCTGCTGGATTGTCAGAACAAGTGAACCGACGTTTGTGACAGCACGTGCCTGATGACTGCGCCTAGTTGGGTGAGCGAATGCAAAGCCACCTGGAACGCCGGGCTCAGATGTCCCTCTGTGTATTTCTGCAGCAAGTCTGCGAGGCTCGCGCTGCGTGCCTTCTCTGCCTTCACCGGTCCCAGCCACTGTTGTGCCTGTGCTCTGATTACATAGTGAGCTTGTTCGAAGAACGCGTTGAGCACCGGCTTCGTCTTGATGGCAAGGAGTTTACGGAGATCAGGTACGAAGTCGTACGTCTGATCTCCAAAGAGAAAGACATGTGCTGACGGGCTCATTGCAAATGCGCATCCGTCTCATGGGTAGTGACTGCAGGAGAGAATGATGATGGTGATGATGGTCAGTATAAGGCGTGCCTTACAGTTTTTCGAATGTACTAATGTCTTGCACGTGGCTGCCATACTACAGGCAAATAGCCCGGCGAGCGTGACGTCCCGGTATGCGAAGGCAGGGCATCATGGACAACAGCATGGCTGCAGTAATACATGGTGCAATCGGCCGATGCTCTGTAAGCGACAGCCAACGTCGACCGCTGAACGATAGTAGCAACTTATCCGGGAGCATGAGTGAGGCTCAGGGTGGGAATCCTTCGTTGCATTCATGCCTTCGCTGTCCGGGCTGAAGACCGCACTTACGGCTGATATGCCCAGAGCGCGTGCACGTCGGCCAGTGTGACAGTCCACTGCCGAAGAATCACTAGGGTCACAACCCGAGTTTTGGCCTTTTGATGCGAATATACGCGAAGTTGCGAAGGATGTTGCGTCTGCAACAGGCTTGAAAGTCCGCATCGGCTTAGTCACTATCACGTGCTACGCCTTGGGACACCGGAGCAAATAGGAATGCTCGACATAAGTTCTACATTGCAAGTTGTATGGTCGAAGTGCAAATCAATGAATCCTCTATCAATGCTGCAATGCCCAAGTCGTACAATCAACCCGTCATCATGCCATCCCCTCCACCAGACTCTGCAAGACCTTGCTGCCAGTAGCCGAAGCAACCTCTTCTACATACTCCCGATTTGCCGAAAAGAGCTTGCCCGTCAGGTTTGGTATCCATCTACTCTCAAGTCGCTGTAGATCAATATCGTGCTCTTTGATGTGACCCATAAGGTATTGCCGATACGTGTCGATGCCGCCACGTAGGTAGCTCGAGTGAAAGGGTACGTTGACGCCTAGCAACGGCACCGTGGCGACTCCACGCGCAATCTCAATTGGTGCATTCAGATCATGCATCGCTGGTATGAAGCGTCGCACAGCTTGTGTAAGGTCGTCATCGACTGGCCCATGCTTGGCTGGACGTCCGGCAATGGCATCGCACGCCTTCGATAAGAGCCACAATGCGCGGAGCTAGGATCATCTCAGCACGAACCCATTAAATACCTTCGCTACGATACTTACGTGGCCAGCGCAGACGTACTGCTGCTCGCGAATATTGAAGTTGACAATCTCCAGCAGTAGACCGGTCTGGTCGCCGATACAACGCACAACGGCCTCCAGTTGCGCTTGCTTGAAGCCTGCAGGTTTGTCAGTCATAGTGAGGTGCAGAGGGAGGAAATATATACCCTTGTGAACCTTGGTCGGGTTCACCGCAAGCATAGAGAAGTCTGTCGAGCCAGCATCGTTGGTGCCGATCTGATTTTGCATCACCAGTCCACGATAGAAGGTCAAGCTAAGCAGATTTTCTAGCGTCATGAAGCCGCTGCAATTCAGCAGTGCGCTGTATTCGCCGAGTGAATGACCAGCGTACATGGCATTGGTTTGCACCAAACCGCGCGCCTGCAAGGATGCCATTTCAGCGCTGTTGAGCAGACTAATAGCCGGCTGCGCGAACTGCGTACAAAACAGAACGCCGTTGGGGTCCTCGAACGTGATACATTTGGAGGCTGCTGTAAGGCCACTAACGACGGGCGCAGAGACATACTCGGTGCCAACGAGAACTTGTTTCGTCAGAGCAAGGTAGTTGTCCCGAATCGCACGTCCCCTGGCGGTGCGGAAATGAATCGTGAGCTGCTTCGGATTCCTGCGGACAATGTCGAGCAGCGAGAAACCGTAAAGCTCGAACAGATGTCGATCGCCTCGGTCCCAGGTCGAGCGTGCAGCGTCATCAGTATCGTATAGCATCATGCCCATTCCCTTGACTTGGCTGCCTTGGCCCGTGAAGATGTACGCAGTGGGCGCCTGTTCTATTTCAGCTTGCGCGTCCAAGACCTTTGTATCGGTGATGTTTATGAATGCCTGGACGTGGAGCACCATTGATCCAGATCGCATGCCAGTATGCTCGATCTTGATCCGCAAAAAGTCCCCACCTCGCACAACGTCCTCGAACGTGGTGTACCATTTACGGAAGCGCGACGGATCCCCGTCAGCTAACTTCTCCTCAACCAGCCTTCGCACGACGGCCGATGTATACATGCCATGGATTATAGGTTCAGAGAGGCCTGCAAAGCCTGCAAAGCAATGATGCACATGGATTGGGTTGAAATCTCCAGACACGGCGGCATAGTCGGCGCCGAGATCGTAGACACGCAACGTAATACCAGCAGAATCTTGCCAGCCAGCATGTTCCAATTCGCGCGGGGCTTCGTGTAGGGAGCCATGTCGGTCCAGGAAGTCAGTGACCACATTGCCGGAGCAGCCTTGTCCGTTGAAGAAGACCGTTCCGACCAGGTTGTCGGCAGACCCTGATGCCACGGTGTAAACCGACCCTGTCACCTCCAACTCAAAGTCATCTGTTGACCGGATGCAGGTCTTGTGCGACTTTATCTCGAAGCGGAGGGTGGTCCCCAACTCAAGAAGCTTGCCCGCCTCGGCTCGCCACCATTTGCGACTAACAAGAGCGGCATGGATCTTAGACGAGGATACCACAAGCTCGTAACGGACGCACGGTTCTCTTTGGAAGTCCGCCACGTCGGATATCTGAGTACCGCGTAGAAAGAAATGCGAGATAACAGTCATCACCGATTCACCATCTCGGACGAGGCTCACGGTGATCTCCACGAGCTTGCCACTGCGCTGGGTCGTGACAGACGTCGCTTCGGCACGGGCCTGGAGGATATTGCCAACAGCCAGAGGCTGTACGCCTTTAGCGTATTCGAATGAGTTGGAACGGTGCAGGAGCCTAGACAAGTCGGCCCCGAGTCGGCTCGTAACGTCTGACAGAGCGGTACACATTGCCCTCCAAGCAGCGACAATCGCCAGATCCATGGGTGCCATCGACATATAGCCCACCGCAATTTGGTGGCTTCCAAATGCTCGTGCTATCATAGCAGCGAAACTCTGGACAAGCTCAGGGCGTAGGGTAGTCGTTTCTTGTACAGACTGGAGTTCTTTCGAGATGTTATGCGACGTGTCGTTCTCGGTGTTCCAGCAGACCGCGTAACAAGTCCTTAGCGACGCCCTCTCGGATGCCGCTGAGGCGTATAGAACAGCCTGGCCGCCAGCGCGCACACAACTGATTTCCAAGCTAAGTGTCCAAGGTTCTGCGCCTGCGCGGCAAGGCCCGTTCATTGCGAAGGTTATGTGGTTGCCGTCACTCGAAGACAAAGCATAGGCATGGTAGGGCTCACCAGTCACCACATCCTGACTAACAATCAGCAACCTCGCACCGCTGTTCGGTAGGAGGCGGACAACGACCGTGTCGCCTTTGCGAGGACGAAACGCTGAGGCCATCCGATTCGGCCCTCGTCCAGTGGTATATGAGACGTACGTAGCAGTCAGGCAAGTCATTAGCCAGTGATCGTTGGGTATCTCAAGCGCCTGGAGGAGGTGCGGTCGCTGCTCAGCGGTCAAGCCTGCTTTGAGAGTGCCCCGCATCACCATACCACTGGTGGTCATCTCTGATTGAGTATCGATGGAATCAAGCTCTTGCGAGAGACAGCTCCGTTGAGTGCTCCGGGGAGATGGGGCGCAGTTCAGGCTTTGGGGCCCAGACAGGGCCACGGCAAGATCGTTGTGAATCATGTCTAAGATGTCGGCTGCTGACTCTGAGGCTGACGTTGAGTAGCGCGCGGCCACTGGACCGTGTATAATGCACACACGCTGTGGGTCCTGATCCGGTGCAGCCTCAAGCTTTTCCGCTTGCCAGAGCGAGTCCTTCTTGAACCAGCTCTCGAAGTTCTCGTCAAGGGTGAAGATGAAGTTTGGCGGTTTCTGACCCCTGCGGCGACACAGCGCGAGGAAGTAGGCGGCATCCTCAGGATACAGTAGGTCGGTGATCGCAGTCGGACATACTGTCAGAAAGTCGTTGAGCATCTCAAAGGGTGTCACCTGCCGATTCAGATCGAAATCGGCGATGCCGAATCGCTCCAACACTCGCTCAGTGAAGTCTAAGAAGAAGGTTTGATAAGAGTGATGGATCCACTCCTGCTGCTGATGCATAAACATCAAGGCTATGATGCGCTGTAGGCAAGCTGCGTATGTCATGTCCGGAACCTCTAGCACTTGGCCAGCAGGGCCCATGGCGAACCACGGCTTTGCGTAGTCCCGGTTTAGCCGTCCGATGATCTCCGGGCGACGAGCTTTAAGTGCCTGCAAGCGCTTCTCTGTGTCTTTGATGGAGAATAGGGTCTGGTCCAGATCATGCCAAAGCATTACAGCTCGGTTGGCAATCTTATGGATCGGCTGGCCCATTTCTGAGGAGACCTGGGACTCGTTAGAAGGAATTGACTCTAGTTTCATTGAGGGCAAAACACACCGTGATCACGCCACCAGCGTCACCGTCGTACGTACGGTACCACTCTGTGTCTGAGACACCTGCTGTGGAAACGATGAGCTCCTTGACTGCATGTGAGGTCTCTGCTTCTCGAGCTACCATCATACGGCTTCCCAGCAATGCGCCGTCAAACGGCATGCGAGCGTATCCCAGAGCTTCTGACCACTCGCCAGTGAAGTATGGGAGCATGCCGGCCGCGTCTCCAAATCCGCCGCCTACGACGAGGATGATATTGTCGTGGCTCCTGATAGCAGCGTATGTCTTGATAATCGCAGAATGCATGTCTTCGTATGAATGATGGCCTCCAGCGCGGCCACCTGTCCATTGAAGGATGATTGGAAAGGTGCTTGCAGCTTCCGCAATGGCTAGGACTTGCTCGATTGAAGCTCGGGACGAGGGCTTAAATGAGATGTGCTTCAGACCCATGGTTTCGATGTACTCCTTGGCAATCTCTGGAGACGGCACGCCGGCTCCTATAGTCAGACCTTCAATTGGACAGCCCTCTGATTGCATTGTGCGTAGCAAAGGCACTTGCCACGCAATCGCTTTCGGACTTGCGTAAATCAGATTGCATGTGATGCCACGAGACACCGGCAAGGTGGCAGCGAGCTGTTGTAGAGCTTTTCGGAGATCGGAGGCCTGAGAATAGCCGCCACACGCCAGTTCAACGTGGTATCCGGCGTTGAGCACACTACTCACAAAGGAGGGCGACACAGTGGTAGGGGTCATTCCAGCGCACATAACCGCAGGTAGTCCGAGCATATTGGTGAGGCGTGTTCGAATGGACATGTGGCCTTGGTCATCCTTGATTACCGTCGGACTGAATTGCGAGGCCCAGTTGGACGACACGGTCATCTGGCGGCCACTCAGTAGCTCGGAGCGATTCCCATACAAGAGGCTTAAAGGTCCAAGGTCTGCGACGGAGATAATACGGACGCCGGAGCCGTTCAAGCGATCGTACAGAAGCATGCTTGTGCGACTCGGACCAAAGTCCAGTATGTGTGAATTTTGAGACCGTGTGAGTGCACGCGGCCAATCCACAGTTTTGTGCATAATCATCTGGATGAGCGAGGGCACCAGGCTCTGTGGTTCTGAATGCCTCAGATCCTCACCATCAACGGTGCCATACACAGGTATGGCCATGATGTGGGCCTTGAAAAGAGTGGCCCCAAACGCCTGTGTGAGTGCCTCCGCGGCATCCTGAAGGTGAGCACTGTGGAATGCGGCGGAAATAGGTAGAGATTGGGTGTCAATGACTGGTCGCCGTTTTGGAAAGGGAATCTTACTTTGATCGAGGTCAACTGGTGCGCTTCGTTGTTGTAGTACGATCTCCAGTCGGTCTAGCATTGGAGTCGGCCCGGAAACGACAAAAGAGTCGTCTGAATTGTGTAGAGCGATGAAGACTTTCTCTGCGTCCGTCAGGTATTCGTTGCATTCTTTCACGATCTTGGCAAGCTCGGAATGTTTCAAGCCTCTGATGCTTAGCATGGCGCTGTTGTGCTCTCCTGCAGCCGCATCAACGGCAGAAGCACTGAACAGCTTATCGCTTCTCGGGGTGGCGCGCTCTGCATACAGGCCGATCTGACGCAGCAGTATCATAGCATCCGATACGACTGCAGATAACGAGTCCCATGACTCTGCGCCCGCAATAGCAGCGGCGACGACGATGCCTTGAGAGTGACCAGTCGCGCCACTTAGGTGATCACGTAGCTGTCCAGGATGGAGATCTGCAAGCATGCAGAGCGTAGCATACTGAGCGAAGCCGAGGAGGCCATTGAGGGGAAGGCTGAATGGTGCTGTTGCAATTATGTGGGCCTGGGGTGCTGAGGTGGCGTCCTTGAGCCATCTTAGGAGGTCAAAGCCGTCCTGGGAGAGGTGGCTGGGCTTGTTGCTTGCAGTGTTGGACAAGAGAGCCGCAGCCCCTGTTTCGATCAGGCGAGAAACTTCGCCAGATGCTGCTACATAAATTGTACGAAGCGTGTCCAGGCATGTTGCGTTATGGGTACCTTGGCCCCCAAAGACTGCCAAAAGCGAGGCCTTGTTGTCCCGAGCAGCCTTCAGAATGGCCGACTCAGCCAGTTCGATGCGACGGCCCATGATCACCTCGCAGTGGTGGAGCAGGCAGACCGTCAACACATGGACGAGCAGCCGGTATGATAAGATTATTACGAGTCATCGCACCGAGATCGTATCACTGGAGGGTCCACACAAGGCACCCTGCCGGACGCCGACAAGAGGCTGACATGGCCGTCCACCTCAGCGCCGGCTGGAACGCGTATTGGCCAGATACGTGCCGTAAGCAAGCTTCGGCCACCAGAGGGGACCTTGTTGCAGGATCAGCCGAGCAACATGGGCAACTGTTCACTCGCTCACCGATGGATACCTGCGTGTCAACTTCAACCTAAGCCTGGATACTCCATCATCTGTAAAGTCCCAGCTTCGCTTCACCTACATCGCTGTTCTTGTAAGGCCCGTGATTGAGAAAGCGGCACTCTTGTGTTCGCATTGAGAACAGCAGCAGAAGCACATGTAGGCGCACAACAGTGAGGGTGATCAAGTCGGTTCCTTCTGCGGCCAATCGCTTGCCCGACTGTGGAGTCGACACGAGTCATGGCAGAGCGGCAGCACGTCGCTTACTTGCTCCTTGTTGAGCTGCTCGCGTAGGTTATAGACATTGTACTTATCGTGCACCCTCACACCACTGACACCATGCAGACATCAATTTGCCTTTCCGGTACAATGGATCGACACGCAGGACGTACTCCTGGACCCCCGCCGGCGCGTCCAACGGATTGTCGAGCTGGGTCCTGGCTCGACGCTTGCGAACATGGCAAGGCGGACGCACAAAGCAGGCAATCAGTTTGCGGACACCCTGCTCGGCCTGAGTCGCTTGTTCATGTCCTGCGTAACTGGTACGTTACGTGCATGTTACGCCCAGTCACCACGCTAACTTTCCTCTCTAGACGTGTCACAAGTCCGGTATCATTACCAAGATGTTACCGAAGATGGGTCAAACGATACCGCTGTCGTCGCCAAAGACTCAAAAGATGTGCCATCTAATGTGGTTGTGGCAAAGATGGAACAGGCGGCACCTGTTGCAGCTCCCGCAGTGGCAGTCGCTGCCAGTAGCATCGCCGACGTGCCAATCCCTGCTCTCCACATGGTTGCTGCGTTGATCTCGTTCAAATTACGCAAATCAATGGACGAGCTCAACACGAAGCAGTCCATTAAAGAGCTTTCCTCGGGTGAGTCTTGAAGTCAACTTGTTCGTTTCCGCGCTAACATACATCGTCTTCAAGGCAAATCCACATTGCAGAATGAGCTCATCGGCGATGTTGGCGAGCAATTTGGCGCCGTGCCGGACGGGGCGGAAGACATGCCACTCGCTGCTCTTGCTGATGCTTTGGAGCCATCTAACTCCGGCCAGCTGGGTAAGAAAGGCTCTACCAACATTGGACGATGGGTCGCTGCCGTGATGCCGCCGAAGTTCGCTCTCAGTGCGATTCGCGAATACCTCCACAGCACTTACGGACTTGGCCAGTCTCGGCAAACCTCCGTGTTGCTGTTCGCTATGACGCATACTATCGCATCCGCGACTGCCCGCGCAAGCTCAGTGGACCATGCAATGTCGATTCTGGACGAGGCAGTCCAGAAATATGCCCATTTCTGTGGTCTCTCCTTGCAAAAAGCTGTAGCATCTTCGGCGTCACAATCAACTGCCGTTGTCATGGACCCGAAAGTCATTGATGATCTCACACAAACCCAGAAGCAGCTGGCTCATGCGCAGTACAAAGCACTTGCCAAGTACCTCGGCCTCGAGGGCGCGGATATGGACAATACCGACGGGACCAGCAGCTTGATGGCTAATTTTCATCAGAGGCTGGCTTTGTGGCACGCTGAGTTCGGGCCAGACTTCGAAGAAGGTCTGAAGCCAATTTTCCGACCGCTGCACTTGCGACGTTACGATTTCTGCTGGAACCAGAGCCGGAACGATATCTGTCGACTTTACTTCGATTGCTTCCAAGTTATGACATCCGCACAACTTTCTTACATCAAAACGGAAACTCTTCCCATACTTGCAAGCAAAGCAGATGCAACCACGATGAACCTACTCAGCAGATTGATATTGCACGCAAGCTTGGGTAGCTCTTCGGCGACATTCGTGACCGTTGGACGAACTCTGCAAAGCATGATAGGCGCTCGACTATCGCAAGCGTCTTGTCACGTCTTTACAACCGCACCAGTCGCGCCGCGAACACTCGTTCTGTCCGACGGTGCAGTTACGTACTCTGAGGTTCCACGTACGCTCAACGGAGCAACAGTGACTTATTCGCAGATACTACGAGCCGGCGAACATGCTGTAATCAAGACACAGGTCGAAGGTCACTGGAGCAGCAATAAGCGGCTGACCGATCAGTTCTTCAGTGTTGTTGATCAAGCACAAGGAACTGGGCTAAGCTTCGCGGGTAAGGTCGTGCTCGTCACTGGTGCCGGACGAGGGTCGATTGGTTCCGAGCTAGTGAAGACCCTCCTGGGCTCCGGTGCAAGGGTCATTGTCACCACGAGCCGTTCGATTGCAAGTGTCCAGGCCTTCTACCGGCGAATGTACAGCGACCACGCATCACGGGGAGCCGAGCTCTTCCTCTTACCATTCAACCAAGCAAGCTTGCAGGACTGTGAGGCGCTTGCACAGCACATCTACAACGCGGATGGCCTGGGACTCGACATCGATGTGATCATACCCTTTGCCGCAATGCCTGAAGGTGCTGCGGACATCGACCAACTTAGCTGGAAGTCGGAGCTAGCCCACCGTCTAATGCTGACGAATCTGCTCCGTCTCCTCGGTTTTCTTGTCCAGCAAAAGTCACGCCTGAGCGTACAAAACCAACCATCTCAGGTCCTGTTACCACTTTCACCGAATCACGGGACGTTTGGCGGCGATGGCTTGTACTCCGAGTCGAAGCTAGGCCTCGAAGGCCTACTGAATCGCTTTGCTTCCGAGTCCTGGCACGACAAGCTCTCCATCTGCGGCGTCATAATTGGGTGGACCCGAGGTACCGGCCTCATGGAAGGCAATGATCTGATTTCCGAGGCAATCGAATCTCATGGCGTCCTGACGTTTTCGCAAGCAGAGATGGCGCTCAATATCCTCGCAGTCTGTACCGGGGATGTCGCTTCCCGCTGCGAGGACGAGGCTTTGGTCGCTGACTTCTCTGGAGGCCTTGGCCGTGTTAACAACCTCAAATCGCTTACGAATGACGCGCGAACAGCCCTCAAAGAGCAACAACAGATTAGCAAGGCGATCTACGCCGAAGATGCTCGAGAATCTGGACTGACCAGCCAACCAAAGCCTGAGAATGAGAATAGTAGAAAAAGGGGTCGTCGTCGAGGGAGACTGGAGATGCAGTTCCCGGCTCTTCCGAAGAGCAACCATCACCTCCAATCACTCGGTCTTCTGGACATGGTCGATCTGCGTTCGACAGCTGTCATTGTCGGGTTTTCTGAACTGGGTCCTTGGGGATCGGCACGCACTCGTTGGGAGATGGAGTCGAAGAGGGAGTTCTCACTGAATGGATACATCGAACTTGCTTGGTTCATGGGTCTTACCCGGCACGTGGATGGACCACTCAAAGGTGGAAATCACTACGTCGGCTGGGTCGATAGCGGCAGCGGAGAACCCGTCCACGATGAGGAGATCCCACACCGTTATAGTGAGAAGATGCTTCAACACGCAGGAATTCGTATGATCGAGTCGGAATTACTTGGGGGCTATGATCCGCTGAAGAAAGAGTTTTTGCAAGAAATATCACTGGACGCTGACTCGCCAGAGTTCGAGTGCACCACGTCTGCGGCCGAGGCTCTAAAATTACGACATGGAGATAGCATCATTCTCACTACGTCAGAGGGCTCAGAGACAGCGCGATGCACGCTCAAAGCTGGATCCCGGATCTTCGTACCTAAAACCGTCCCACTAGCATACAGTGTCGTTGCTGGCTTGATACCCACCGGCTGGAGTGCCGTGCGGTACGGCGTGTCAGAGGACATCGTACGCCAGGTTGATGCGGTCACTTTGTACACCATATGCTGCGTTGCAGAGGCTTTCTATTCAGCCGGGATAGAGCATCCACAGGAGGTGTTCAAATACATCCATCTCTCGGAGCTCGGTAACATGTTGGGTACATCCCTTGGCGGCACTGACAAACTGCGCGAGATGATGCACGACGTGCGTCTTGACAAGGATATCCAAGGCGACGTGCTGCAAGAAACGAACCTTAACACACCTGCCGCTTGGGTCAACATGCTGCTTCTTGGAGCTTCAGGTCCAATCAAGACACCTGTTGGAGCCTGCGCCACAGCTTTGGAGTCTATGGACATGGCTATCGACTCGATCACGACCGGCAAGACGAAGCTGTGTCTGGTAGGTGGCTCCGATAACTTCCAAGAAGACGAGTCCTACGCTTTCTCCACAATGAAAGCTACTGTCAACGCTGCGCAGCAGTTTGCCGAAGGACGTACGCCACGCGAGTTCTCTCGACCTACCGCGGACACCAGAGCCGGCTTTCTCGAGGCGCAAGGCTGTGGCGTGCAGATTGTGTGCAATGCGGAGCTAGCAATTGAGATGGGCTTGCCGATTTATGCCGTGATTGCTGGTACAACAATGGCAGCGGACCAAATCAGCCGATCAGTACCCGCGCCGGGCAAGGGGCTCCTTACCTTCGCCAGAGAGGACGACGCGAGCTCACCAATGCTGGATCTCAAGTACAGAAGAGCGCAGATGCAAATGGCGATCTCTCGCGCTTCTTCGGACAGCGACAACACCACCGATACAGGATTCACTACGCCTGGCTCAGGGACTTCTACACCGCTGAGCATAGTGTCTGTCGACTCTTCAAGCCCCGATAAAGACGCAGCCAAGCAATCCGAGACGTTCGGTCTGGTGTCAGCTGTAAAACACAAGCAAGCGCATTTGCCACAAATAGATCCACGTCGCCTCGAGGCTACCGTCCGCCGAATCCGACGCCAGTGGGGTAATGACTTCCGTGCAGACAACCCACGCATTTCGCCAATGCGTGCGGCACTCGCTGTCTGGGGTCTTACTATTGACGACCTTGATATTGTGTCTCTGCACGGAACATCAACCAAGGCGAATGACATCAATGAACCGGAAACGATTAATACTCAGATGACACACCTGAACAGGAACAGCGTTCCGTTGCTGAGCATCTGCCAGAAAGCTGTGACTGGCCATCCGAAGGCCCCGGCTGCTGCTTGGATGCTGAACGGCTGCCTCCAGTCAATGTGTTCCGGCATCGTGCCAGGGAATCCAAATTGCGACAACATTGACCGGGTCTTGCAGAAATATCAACATCTAGCTTTTCCCACCGAGTCTCTACAACTTCCGGAGATCAAAGCCTTTCTGCTCAACTCATTTGGGTTTGGACAGAAGGGTGCTCAAATGGTCGGGGTCAATCCTAAATACCTCTTTGCCACATTGGAAGCAACAGCATTCGAAACGTATGCCTCAAAATGCCGAAACCGTCAGCGGCTCGCCAATCGTGCATTTGCAAAGGCCGTCCTGACCAACTCCATCGTCAAAGCTCAGACCTCGCCGCCTTACCGTAAGGAGGATGCCATGCACGTGCTCATGGACCCGATGGCACGAGCGGAACTTGATACCGAAGCTGGAGCCTACGTGTATAAGATACGGCCCCCGCCTATCGCCGGCGCCCTTCTCCCGGAGATGCATCAGTGGGCGGAGACCCAAGAAGAACGTATTACGGTCGAGCACGCAAAGTCTAGTAGCAAGCGTCTTCCGCCAGTGGCGACGTATGCGGCGCCCGCCGTTGATCCACTAGTCATCATTTCACCGGGTTCGGAGATGCCTACACCGTTTGGTAATGTCCAACAACGACCCTTACTCGAGTTTGCACTTGGGAAACCGGCCACTGAGCGTCCGGTGGCCTCGCCTTTGCAGAACATCGCTGCCAGCCTCGCTCTTGCTAGAGAGCCCACACCGGCCGAGCTCGAGCCCGCTGACTCAACACCGATTAGCACCTCCGCGGCGCAAGCTCTGAGCGCCTTGGTCGAGACTGTGCCTCGTGGTGCTTCAATAGGTGGTGTAGGTGTGGACTGGGAAGATCTTACGAGTTTCACTTCAGACGCAAACCCGACTTTTCTGGACCGCAACTACACAAAAGCAGAGCGAGAGCACGCAACACATGCGCGCGATCCACACGCATATTACGTGAGTCGTTGGTGTGCGAAAGAGGCTGTTTTCAAGTGCCTGGCAGTGAAGTCGCAAGGTGCTGGCTTCGCAATGGAAGCTATAGAGATTGTAAATGATGAGAAGGGAGTGCCCGGCGTCAAGGTAAGACAAGTTGCATTGCAAGCAGAATAACGCTGCTAACCAGGGCTATAGCTACATGGTGCGGCGCTTGAGCAGGCTCAGGAGGCAAAGTACAGCCACATTCTACTCAGTATCTCGTACGGCAACGATACGGTTATTGCAGTGGCGGTCTCACAACGTGCGGCGCAGTCGCAACATCGGGACAGCTCGAGTGAGAAGGTTCGAGCATCATTAGCAGAAGAAGAACTTTCAACTGCATCGAAGGACGGGGGGCCACTAAGAGGTGCTTCTCGCCGGTTGTTGCCAAGCGGGTTAATGGGCAGTAAGAAGGTGAAGGCAACGGCTATGCGTATTCTTGGTAAATAATAGACCACAGCCGGCGCTTGAATATGGTACGTGTTTGTTGTTTGTCACTTGCTGGGATCTTGTGCCATCTCTTGCTCACAGTGCTACCATTTCGTAACCCCAGTCTGCTGGTCTCGGTTCGGTCGTGATGATCATTTCCGCAGACTTTCAATACTGTTACTCTTCTCATTGCCCCGCGACCAGCACATAGAGTGCATTGTGCGAAATGTTCTGATCATCTCTCCATGTTTCTAACCCGATGCGACCGCGCGCGCGCCACGGGATTTCACAATGAGGACAACGGCAGAGTTGATGTGTGAGGCCCGAGCGCCGTTCGCTCACCGAAGCTCACTCTGCGCACCCTTGACGGGGAACGAACCCACTCAACAACATATGCCTGCCATTCGGGTCGGACTGATCGCGTTCAACCCGAGTGATAAGGTAGGTACGGAGGAAATGAAAGAAACACGACCGTTAACCATGGCTCCACTGCGCCCGTCACTCAAAAGAAGGCTTAGCTATCTTGACATCTCTTCCACATCCGTGGTACTGTACCTCCTCGTCCGTTACTTCTTGTTAGATTTGCGAAGGCTCCATGATGTCCTCCTCGCCCGTTCCTGAACGGATGATGCGTAGCGTGGACGAGCCCAAATCCGAGATGTCAGACGAGTCACCCGCAAGCTCGCAAGTGGTTGCGCACAAGAACGAAGGCAGTGACGAGTCCGGAGCACTCACTGACGAGGAAGACGCGGCAGAGAAGCTCAACATCATGCCCTTCGGCGTGAAGCTGATCTGCACAGTGGCTGCGCTGATGCTCGGAGTCTTGTGCATGGCGCTCGACAATACCATCATCGCAGTCGCCATTCCTCGAATAACAGATACCTTCGGCAACCTCAACGATGTCGGCTGGTATGCTTCAGCATATTTGCTTCCTGGCTGCGGTATGGCAATCCTCATGCACAGTCCCGATCTCGCTGACTATGGTGGCTCGGACAGCTTTCCAACTGCTGGCTGGGAAGCTGTACACTTATCTCAGCATCAAATGGGTGTTCCTGACGGCGCTTTTCATTTTCGAGGTTGGTTCTCTGGTCTGCGGTGTTGCGCCAACTTCGACGGCGCTCATTGTCGGACGAGCCATTGCCGGTCTCGGTAGCGCGGGCATTTTCAGCGGTGCGATGGTCACGATTGCGCATATCGTCGAGCTTGAGAAGCGGCCGGTCTACTTCTCTCTTATTGGCGGTGTCTACGGTCTTGCTTCAGTCATTGGACCGCTAGTGAGTAGGAAGAGTTCCAAGTAAGCACACTCGACGTCCAGCTGATTGCGGGTAGATTGGTGGCGCTTTCACCGATAAGGTGACATGGAGGCGAGTTCACGTGGACCTATGCCACCCGCTGACATTTTTAGCTGACTGATGATTAGGTGGTGCTTCTACGTCAATTTGCCGATCGGCGCAGTCACTGCTATCCTTCTAGTGGTTTTCCTTCGCCTTAAGCCGCATGACAAAAGCACTCGGATACCGCTGCGTGCCCTTTTGTGGAAACTGGACCCGATCGGCAGCACGATCTTCGTACCTTCGATCGTCTGCGTGATCCTCGCTCTACAGATGGGCGGCGTCACCTACGCCTGGTCCAATGGTCGCATCATCGCCTTGTGGGTGGTATTTGCGGTCACTCTGATCGCATTTTGTATCCTACAATGGGTTCTTCGCGAAAATGCGACGGTGCCGCTGCGTATCGCTCGGCAGCGTTCCATAGCTTTCGCCTCGTTGTTTGGTTTCTGCATTGGAGCTTCTTTCTTCATCTTCATATACTTCGTTCCTATCTGGGTAAGTAGGACCTCAAGTTTGTGGACAGAGGAAGTTACCGCTAACCGACCGCCAGTTCCAAGCCATTAAGGGCACCAGTGCGGTGCAAGCTGGTATCTACACCCTACCATTGATCCTTGCTGAGATCCTCGGAATCGGTCTGTCCGGCGGCCTTGTCACTAACCTGGGGTACTTTGCGCCTTTCTTCATTGGCAGCTCGGTGATCATGTCCATTGGCGCTGGTTTGATGATGTTGTTCGATGTCAACACGTCCACCGGCCGCTGGGTCGGGTACCAATTTCTGTACGGCTTTGGTGTTGGCCTCGGTTTCCAACAGGGCGGCGTGGCCGCACAGGCTGCGCTGCCGTTTAAAGACGTGGCCGTCGGCACGACTGTCGTACTCTTTCTACAAATCTTGGGTGGCTCACTGTTCGTATCAGTGGCGCAGAATTTATTCACAACTCACTTGATCAAGAATATGTAAGTCATCGCTCCTCAAAACGGCATTTCTCGGACTTGACTAACGTGCGGTCACAGCCTTGCTCTGGGTCTTGCCGACCTGAACCCTGCAGACATCGTGGCTGCAGGTGCGACAGGGATACGAAGTCTTGTTAGTGAGGCCGAGCTCCCAGCGGTACTAGGTGCCTACAACAAGGCTCTTGTGACCGTTTTCGAAGTTGGTACCATTACTGCCGCAATCAGCATCCTCGGTGCAGTTGGAGTGGAGTGGAGGAGCATCAAGGCGGAGAAGAAGCCGGTCATAGCAGCCGAGGAGCCGATTGTTGCATGATCGTATGCTTGGAGGGCAAGAAGTGGTTACATTAGTTCCGGTTTTGCAAGTTACCGCACATGGCCGAGATGAGAGTCTGGCAGGTTCGTAGGCAGCAACTGAAACGCGCTTTCGGACTGTATGTTGTGAAGACAATGTGGAGCGTATCCATCGGTGTTAAGATCGTCCAATCTAAGGCAGGCGTACTATAACGAGTGCTGTTATAGCTCTATCGTATCGTACCTTGAGAGCCTGGAGAGCAGCAGGACTAGGAGGGCCGAGTTTGCTGCGCAATAAAGGCTTTCGCCTCACTTTAACGTAGTCGCTTCCTCCACTCCCACAGACCTGCACCCTTATACGCTCAATCCACCAGAGTGACCAAGCTGACAATGCTGTAGTGCAGGTGGAGAATGCACTCCCGAGCAGGAGAGCAATAAGATGTGGTCTAGAGGAAGTCGCGCTGCTAATGCATCTCATATCTCTGCGAGATGCGGTGACTCCCGAACATCATAGGGTACAAGGGAACAGCGACCTCACCATTCTGAACACTAGTTCTAACCCGAACCCTAACCCTGCTACTCATGTATCACGTGTCGAAATGCTTTGCGCCCCCGATGGGCGGTTTCTTCTGACATGGAAACGGTTGCACCTTAATTCCGTAACCTGCTATTCTACGTATCGAGGTCAAAGTCAGATGGAGATCGCATTCACTTTCTATATATGAACGGCCTATGCTCTCAGATAGTTGTTAGCCGTCGGAGCACCCTACTCCTGTTCACATGTGGCAGATCTTTTCCGCGATTTCACTTACGGTGGGCTCAAGGTCGGCATGGCATTCACCGGCCGCTCGGTGATCGAACCTCAAGAGCCTCAACGAAATGCCCAGCTCCTTGTCGCGCATGATCGGCCGTGCCCAAGTGACCCTAATACGTGGGGTCGCAGTAGGTCCTTACCAATGGCGCAAAGATGTCCGCTCTTAGTCGTTCTGGCGTGTTGTCGAGGTTAATTTGGAAGAGGGCCTTCACCAGCACAGGAACACGGCTCAACCTGCCGTTGATCACGTGCATACGAGGACTCACACGACCCAGGTTGGAACGAAGAGGAAAGGTCGCGACGACGGTCGCTCCGAGGAGGCACATCGTAACCACCATGACCGCCGCATATGTGATGCAGCCCATGTTCTACGTTAGTATCCTCCTGGGAGCCTGGACCTTGAAGTGCGGTCTCATGGTCATCTTTCAAGACCGGTTGTTTTATCTCTCGTGGCTGCCGCCCGCTGCTTGGAGGGACACTGTCGACGACGTTGCAACACAGTGTCGGCCTGTAGAATGGGAGACTACTCGCATCCAAGCTGCTGATGGCGTCCATTTGGCAGTTTGCGTTGGTCGCATGCCACAAGGCTTGTCAAGCGCAAAGCATGTCTCATCTCCTCAGGCGATTGATCAAGGTATGGCGACCTCGAAGGTCCGTACGGTAATCTGCTACTTCCCAGGAAACGGAGGCTCAATGCCCGAGCGCTTGCCCGGTGTTTCGCGGGTCTTACAGGCACTCAACGAGCAGAGTCCGCCTACACATGAGTACGTCGTTGCAGCTCAAGCATACAGAGGCTACTGGCAATCTGAAGGGCGGCCCTCAAAAGCAGCTCTGGAGAAGGATGCACAGCACTTCATCGACTGGGCATTCGCAAACTTCGCCGCGCCGGACGTGAAGCTTCAGATTGTGCTTTGGGGCCACAGTCTAGGCTCTGCCGTCGCCAACACGGCAGCGGCAGGCTATGTCACTCGATCCGGCCCAAGCGGCGTGACGCCGACACTAAGCGCTGTCGTCTTGGAGACACCGTCCACCAGTACTCAAGACTTGTTAACTGCCCTTACACCACAATGGTGGCTGCCATATCGATATATGTGGCGGTACCTCTGGTGGAACAACTGGCAGACGGCGAAAGCCCTTGAGGTGATGGCGGATCACAGAGACGTTACCCAGCATGCGTTACCGCCCATCCTCTTGCTGTGTGCTGAAAAGGACGATATCATTTCTGATGGTGCACCAACACGGCTCCGAGAGATCGCAGAACGGCTTCGTATGCGAGTTAAGAAGGTTGTGGTGTCAGGTGCGAATCATGGGACTGCTTCGATTATTGGACGCAGCGCGTTAGTAGACTTCATCCTGGATGCAACGCCGTGAGCAATTGGGAGTAGAAGACATCCGGCGCATATAGCATCGCCAAGTCTGCTGCATCGACGACTTAGTAGGGCTCGAATAGACAGTCGGGCTAAGAATGCGCCACTTCCAGCGTCCAGATGCTTATTCGCACCTCCGTAGTCGTCTTGCTCGGCCGAGAGACGTGCATATACATCAAGATATTCCAAAGCTTGTCATTAAATGGGCCTTCGCAGGCAACAATGTGTATATACCTATGACCTATCCACGCCAGTATGCAGTCAAGTCACACCAGTCATCAGCATCATCGTGCAAGCATTAGCCTCACTTCCTTTGCAAGTCGAGAGAAACGTTCTCTTAGGCCAGCTTCCACTGCGTCCAGTGAGACCGCATCCTCGCACAACTTATGCCGCGGCACAATCTCTGGAGCCGTCACCGTTTGACCAAGCGCGGCACCTTCTCCACTTACGGACCCCACTCTTGACGGCGAGGCCGATGATTGAGAATCGGTACTTGACATCGCCTGTGACCGTTCGCGGAATCTCAACAAGCTCGCAAGCCCTTCTATAAGATGTAGCACTCGGTGCAGCTCGCCGAACACTCTGGTAGCCTGCGTAGCCAGGGCGACATCTCTGTCGCCACCGAGCACCATGCCATCACCGACATGCACGGGAGTCTGTGGAACTGGCTGGACATCGGTTGCTGACGCAATGGCCGAGTAACTACTCATGACGTCCTGTGCGACAGTTAGCCAATGCTTCAAGAATGGATTGTCTGCAACACCGACCAAGGCCACGCAAGCGAGCTGTTGTACAAGCTCGTCGGATTCAAGAACGCAAGTACATTCCAGCACTGCGGATGTTATCTCCAATGTGGTTCGAGTGCTGTTCAGATCATCTCTGTATTGTGGAAGGACACCAAAACCGTTGATATCCGGGACTGAGGGTAGCTTTGAAAAGAACATAATGTTAAAAAGCTGGTTGCGGCAACTGCCTCGACCCTGAGCAGCTTCTCGACAAAGCCCATGCTTTATCGTGTCACTGGCGACGTCGGCGGACACGATATCTGAATCTGGCATGGAGATGTCCGACATGCTTCTAATCTTTCCTCGCGACACGTCCGACACGTGATGTGAAGAAGGTATTTGTGCGATGACCAAGGGTGGCGACATCAGCGCTGAGCTGGTCGGAGCAAAGCTGAAGCTGTCAAGCACATCGAAATCGTTCGATGGTGCATTCATCGTCTCTGAGAACGGGTCCATTGACATGGCTGCTGAGGATTCAGAAAGCATTGGTGTCGACGGCCAGGTCGTGAAGTCATCAAACAATTGCAAGACGTTGGAATTGAGGCTGTTCAAGAAGTCGTCTGGTTGTGTAGCAGCGGTGAGGTCTGGAGATCCAAGCATGTGATTCTCAAAGCCGGCCATACTGGAGCGTGCAGTCTGCCTGGGCGTCGACTCCCTAGAGACTTGCAACGATGCGTCTGCAGAATTCGAGGTGTTCGACGTGCGGTCAGCCGTCGTGGGACGAACCTGTCGTCTTCCTGCTCGGTGCGAGAACTCGTACACGCATTGCAACGAGCGTTGCTCGCAACGGGAGCAGTCCGGCTTCTGCTTCCCACACTTGACCTTGGACGAGGAACATTCTGTGCAGCTTTCACGAAGCTTACGCTTGTTGACCTTGGCTGTTGACCGGAGAGGAGGGAACGGGTCCATGGCGAGCGGGATCTGGCAGCCACCTCACCTACCGAAGGACGAGCAAGCCGGCATATATCGTGGGGGGTTGCGTCAAGCACCGGAACGTAGAGCAGCCGCAGCGCAGGGACATCACTTGTCGAAGACGGCGGTAACCGTAATTCAACAGAGCGGTACCTTACACCCACACTCCGGCCGGGACAGCAACCAATTCCAAAAACTCTAGTCCTGTCGCCGATATGTAGCTTGCAGGGCACGAACGCTAAGCACTTAGCCGTGGTCAAGTTATGATTAAGGTCACACTAGCAGCGCCATCACAAATTCGTCAGCAAAGCCGTTGGCATAGCCCAGGCTGGTGGAGAAGTCAGCAGTAATGACCCTTTGCGCTTGCACGAGTGCACAGGATGGACGTAACTCCAGCGCCCACGCAGGCTGTATGGGAACGCTTGGAATCATGCAGCAGCCTGGAACACATGACTGAGTGGCCGGACACTAAAGCGGACGGCTCTCGCTTGGATCCACTTCCTCTGCCACGCCGCCACTCCACCCTCAATGAGTGGTGCAACACGATGCACAACACGTCTGGCATGCGGTTGATGTTCGCTAAATTCCCAGATTGGCGAAGATAGCCTGCAATGTTGGGGTGGATGGAAAGGTCGGCAAAGGAGCATGAAGGTTTGGCCGTGCCAACAGTGGGTCGTATTGGACTCACGTCAGCAGCGCCATTCCTGACGGCCAGCGCGGCGACAGGCAGTTATAGATAGCGCTGGAATCAGCTTCACGGTGTACAAGGCTGACGGATGCGTATGGAACGATTGGGTTCATTCGGTGCGCTGATCTTTAATGAGGCTGATGTTCTTTGTGTAAGCGTCAGCCGGACGTCGTGCGACCAAAAGATTCTGACTGTACTGTCAGGTAAGCTACGGTCTGAAGCCTTCCGGGTCGCGCCGTCGCCCTTTGCCATTGATAGATCCCGCTTGCACAAGCATTATCGCAGTTCTTTCATTGGCCACTCAGTGAATCCTGGTCGGGCATGCCGCTAAGGGACGGCAAGCTCGCAATCACGACCTTACCTCATGCATCGGCAGAAACGGGCCTGCATAACGGGGAGCCGAATCCTTCTCACCACTTTCGAGGTCATTGACGAGCTCACGCACTGTCGCAAGCTTCAATAGAACAGAGAAAGACAAGATGTACAGTGGTAATGCGGGCCACTGCCGCTTGCTCTTCAGATTATCGCTTGCCGAAATCTTAGGACCTCCCGTTTCCGCCGTTGACCGTGTTGGCTAGAACTCCATTGGTATGATGGCGCTGATACTTCACCTCCAAGCTGGATAATGCGCTTCCTGGCGACTTTTCTACGTTAACAATCTCCAAGTGACCTTCCGCATCGGCGATCGAACCAAGCATGGCGTGCCATTCTGGGAGCTCGCGCTCGATTGTGTTGAAGCATTGCTTCATGACGAGGTCGCGATACCTCTCTAACGCTTCATCAAGAATGCCACAGCTGCCGGGTAATGGGATCACAGTCTCGACGACGAGGATGCGCGCATTCGCGTTCGCTTTCACCGCTGGCAGCAGACAGGCAAGCACTCGCTTGACCTCAGCCGCAGGCCTCGTGTGCAAGCTCATGCGTAGTAGATAGACACTGGCGTTAGTCACAGGCTGCATTTTAAACACAGTGTGCACAGCCAATTCTATGCGGCTGCGGATGGCTCCTGTTTGTGCTCGCAGGAATGCCCGGCTGTGTTCAATCTGCTCCGCCGAATCCTGTACTAGGAAGCGAAGCTTGGGATATGCTTCAGCAAGTGCAACGCTGACGCTGCCTGGGGCGCCAGCAACCTGCATATCATGCATCAGTATGTGCGCGTTACGTTATCAAAATGCAAGTGGAATCTCTCATCTGGGGCTCAGCTTACATGGACCACCAATGCTTCCCCGAGCTTTGCCCAGTCAAAGTCGGCAATCAAATGGCGTAAAGTGGTGCCTTCGCTCTCGGCCACGCTTTTCATGTACGCTGAGAAGATCTTTGAAAGATCCGGAGAGCGCGTGATGAAGTCAAATGTTGTCAACGGCGTCGAAAAGGCTACGTTCGTCGCCGTCTCATTGGGTTTTTGCGAATCTCCATATCGCTCAGTCGTTTGGGCCATGTTCGAAGCTAGGGGCATGTAATACTCGTCCATGAACTTGATCCAGCCAAGGTAGCCAGGCTGGTCGACGAATTTTCGGGATACAGCATTATGAGCGACCTCTCCGAGCACCGGCTCGCAGAAACAACCACTTGTAATGGCCATTCGCAGGATGCTACGAAGCTGACGCTCGGGAGTAGTAACAATGCTGGCAAGGCGGTCGTACGGCACTGAGCCCTGAAGCGGGATCGCAGCGAAGACCTGAAAGTGTGCGAGCCATTTCACGCAAGCAAGATACTGGTACTGAGCAAGGAATTAGAAAGATGCTGCAGTTTGCTTGTCGCTGTAAGGCGCTCACCTGCACTGCCAGCGTTGGAAGGTACTCGGTAGGCTCGGCGGCTATTTGTTGGATTGCCTTGGCCGCAGACAGCAGACGTTGTCGCGCTTCACGAACGTACCGTGGTGCGGAACTTGGGATGGTGACGGCTGGTGCTGTTGCGTCGCCGGTGGGATGAGCTTCGTGCTCTAGCACGCAGTAACCTTCTATGATCTTTGCGGCACCACTAATATCGTTGGCAAGGAGCTCCAGTGGCGCCAGGTTTTCCGCCGACTGACCGTTTGCCATTCTGGCAGACAATTGAATGTATGATGTCCTAGAATGGTCGGCCTGTCTCTTTGGACGCAGAAGTGGTTGTAAACAACCTCCTTCGGACGTCAGACAGATCCTGCGATGCGTGCTTCAATGTCGGGATACTGTGTGTACACCGTGCCGGCCAGCGAGCATGCCGTGCATCTCGAGATCGCTACCTCGCAGGCCTAGCGTCGCGGAGCTTAAGTTAGCCGCAGCTGACTTATTGTTATGGTGGAGCTATTTGTAACATTCGCTGTCCGAGACAATTCACCTGGCTTGCATGCAAGGTGATGGACACTCTTGCTGCACCATCGCCAAACATGTCCGGAAGCGTGCATTGCAGCAGTCGTCAGCAATTCCAACTTGCATACCATCTGCTGTGCGAGCAAGTTACGTTAGGGAGCTTAGAACACGTCCCGTCAATGTGCGGTTGAATGAACAAGCTTCGCCGAACTCGAATTCGGTCTGCAGGAAGCTAGTCTGGGATCTGCATAATGCCATGGGAGCGCAGTGCAATCGTTCGTTGACCAAAGTGTAGCCGTGTGTGCGAAGGGTGCGAAGGGAGCGAAGCTGCTTTAGTGTACTCCAATGCGATTCCTCTGTCTTCATGGCTCTGGCGCAAGCGGTGCGATATTCAAATCTCAAACCGGTAAGCCCGTCGTCGTAAATTGGTACGTTCATGCGGTGCTGAACGTGGACAGCACCCTTTCGCGCAAAGCTCCCTTGCGGTGAGCATGAGTTTGACTTCATCGATGCGCCTCACTCTTCACCGGCCGGACCAGCGATCGCACCCTTTTTCGCACCGCCATATTACTCGTTCTTGAAGTCATATCAGCGAGACGACGTTCAATGGACACTTGACTGGTTGAGACGGCACATCAAGGCCCAGTCAGAGCGTTACGATGCCGCGCTTTGCTTCTCCCAGGGTTGCGCGGTACTGGCCAGCCTGATACTGAACGACAATAACGAGCGGCCAGAAGAGCCTCCGCTGTTTCGAGCCGCGATGTTCATATGCGGAGGCGCTCCGCTCCCAGTGCTCGCTGACCTTGGCTTCACGGTCTCGGCGGCGGCGTGGGAGCTGAATGATGCCACTGGAAAGGAGCTATGGCAGCGCTCCAACTCGCTGGATGAGATCGTAGCTGCCAGGCGCGCACAGAATGGTCACACGGGACTTGGTGCAGGATGGTCGAACGGCAGAACCAGCGATACCGGATCATATTCCGTCGCCGAGTGCGGTGTTTCAGAGGCTGGATGGATCACGGAAATCAACTCGCTTGAGGATGTCTTTGGGCTTGACTTGACACAGCTTCCGTCCAGTTGGCAGATCCAAGTTCCTTCGGTCCATGTGGTTGGCTCGCAAGACCCGAGACGACCAAACGGGATCCAGCTTGCTGCCCTGTCACCACCAAAGCAACGGCTTGTGTACGATCATGGCGGCGCGCATGACATACCGAGACGAACCCAAGTCTCCCAGGACCTCGCTACGGCGGTGCAATGGCTGTCCAAACATCTCGAGTAGTAATGACCCGGCGGCGAGGTGTTGCTGAGACTTAATCTCCGACCCGTACGTTTAACTGGCGCCGGTAGTCGGAGCGGTCGATAGTGAACTGTAACCACGTCGTAACGTAGTAGACAGCTTACCTTATACGGCAGTACCATCAATCTGTATGTTTCATGCCAATATCACATCCAGTATGGCATTTTGTGACAAGATCTACCTCATGCACAAGCACAAGCGTCGATGTGTGCTGGAGTGCTCGTGTCAGGCATGTGTTCGAAAGGAAAGAGCGACTGGAATCTATCATAATGGAAACCGGCAACGGATAGTTGTACTGCCGAGAGCCGAGAGCGACGCCGTAAAGTAGTCCCGGCTCTATGGCTGCTTCTTCATCCGTTGACTTGGACTGCCTCCGCTATTGTCTCGTTGCTTGTGTAAGCTTGCAGCCGGATAATGTCTTGACGGGCCTAAACATAGGTTTTAGAAGCGAGACTGGAGTGAACATTCTACCCTTTCAGATAGGCAGACGGCCAGCAACTGCTCGCTGTAGTACACATCTGGTATCCGCACGCTGTATTGCCCCCTTTCTCGGAACACAGACGAGGACTACATGTAGTACGCTGCGCCCGGATAAGATCCTCACGAACCACCATGGAGAGCTCAACGCCGACCACGATGCGAGCTTGGCAGTATACAGATATCTATGCCACAGACGGCCTTGAGAAGCATCTCAACCTGAACACAGTATCCCTACCAGAGCCGAAGCCTAACCAGCACCTCGTGAAGGTGCTATATGTGTGTCTCAACCCAGTAGATTACAAAGCGGCGGAAGTCCCATTCATGTCGCGGTTCTTCATCCCGAAACCAGGTGCATACGAGCTGCTGTGCTATAGAAATGACGACTACTGACGTGCCATCAAGCAACACCGGGTCTGGATTGGGCCGGGCGTATTGTGAAGCCAGCTGCAGGCTCTACATTTAAGGCTGGCGACCTGGTCTTTGGCGTTTCCGCCACAAGCCCCTTCGTTGGGGGCATGCTCCGGGAGTATGCAACCGCCGAACTCAATGGCACAGTAGCTGCACCGGAGGGAGTCAGTGCCAGAGACCTAGCGACGTTGGGCGTGGCTAGCATAACATCAAGCCAGTCAATCCTTCCCTACGTCAAGTCCGGGGATCGTATCTTCATCAACGGCGGCTCCGGGGGCGTGGGCACGTTAGGAATTCAGCTCGCCAAGCAGGCCGGTTGCCATGTGACGACCACTTGCTCTACGCCCAATGTTGAGCTGTGCAAGAGTCTTGGGGCGGACGTTGTGATTGATTACACGACACAGGATGTCCTAGAGCAGCTCAAAGCCGGAGGGCAGCAGTACTCGCATATTGTTGATAACGTCCGCTCGGACTGGAATCTGTATTGGAGGTCTGCTGAATACACCAAGCCTGGTGCGAAGTTTGTTTTTATTGGCGACACACCCACTCCAAGCTTAATTTGGAACGTGGCCATGGCGAACCTTCTTCCCGGATTTCTAGGCGGAGCTGGCCGAACGTTCGTGATGGTCTTCGCACAAGTGGCGAACGCCGATCTGGAAAGGGTGGCGATGTCAGTAAGGGCTGGCACCATACAGCCTGTAATAGATTCCGAGTTCGCGTTCGAAGAAATTGAGAAAGCCATAAAAAGGCAAAAGACCGGTACGCAAATTGATGACCATGAACATCACGCTATGTCGCAGACAGAACACTGACGGTCATGATTAATGCCATATAGGCAGGGCGAGGGGCAAGATCCTCATCAATGTTGCGACAGAAACGTGAACGAAGAGGCTCGGTCAGATCGACAGTGGAGGAACAGAGCAGGGTGTTATGTCTTTCATAGAGTAGTGCTGATTGGTCTATCATAAGGTCCGAAGCACGCCATCTCGATGACTTCTTCACAGACTCCGCTCCAGTACTCAAAGATGCCCGCCATGCCGAAGGTCCACGGAGTTGAAGTTGATGCTGACATTTGCTTCCTCGCCTTAAACGGTGGTTATGGGATTCGTGAATGCAGCGAGAGCCTTTGTCGACGCACGGCACTGCCACAATGGCGGTGTTGATTGCAAGAGATTTCGCAGGGTCGACTTGTTGTTTGGTTTCACAACCGATGGAGTATGTTGTGTCGTCGCGATTTGACTGCCAACTCAATCAGCGATATGCTGCGGCGATTGAAGAGGCTATACGTACTTGGGAGGTGCTTGTGGAGAGGGTCTCCTATACCTTAAATTTGTCTTGAATTTCCTGGTTCGTACTGCAGGCTTTGTCTCCGCGCGGTTCCGCTCTGATAATATGAACATAGGTTTTGTTCCACAGAAATACTTATAGCTACCAACAGAGCAGAAGACCGGCGTCAGCGTCATGGTCTCGTGCGCATTTGCTACAATACAGCATATTTGCACCGTCATTGGCGCGCTAGGCGTCTGTATAGTGCAGTCTTACTCCGCGTTCGGACCCCATCACGATCAAAACTTGCTGGGGCGCGAGGCCCCGATGCTAGCTAGAGTGCGATGGCGGCACTACGTCACAGTAAAGTGGTAGAGGCTGTTGCGAACGCAAAGTAGTCGACCAGCTAAGGTGTCAATGGTCACGCGGACATAGGGCGATCAAGACTCTAAAGTGGCGCTCCCAGCCTTGAGCAATGACGTCTGACTGGAGGCGTCGGCCGGGGCCTCGAGCTGGTATGACTGGTAAGCGAGCAGTTACCCAAAGCGGTTGTAGTCTGTCCACCTTGCAACGGCGATCGTGAGGATAATATTCGTAGTCATTGATACCTATTCACTGCCGGCAAGGCGTTGGTATGTGCATCTGTGTTGACTGGAGAGGAGCGTCGTTAAGCATTTGATGAACGATCAATCTGTCAAACTAAACGTAGAGCGTCCATGTTCTTTCCCACCTTATGGAATTGCAGCACTCTCAGTATGCTTCAGTAGCTCCTGCCTCCGCATAGTGCGTGATCTAGAGCATCTATTCTATGAGCGTTGACGAAATGTCTCTATCAACACCATGGCTGGAGAAAGGAAGCCAAGATTGAAGGTCAAAACTGGGTGCCGGACTTGCAAGTGAGTTGTATTAGTGTCAAACACTCCGTTGGTAGCACGCCGTTGAGCTCATCCGCAAAGTAGAATACGCAAGGTAAAATGTGGAGAAGAACGTCCAGCCTGCTACCGCTGCGTCAGCACTGGGCGGACATGCGATGGATACGGGATCTGGCAGGATGTGCAGCCGAAATCCATCTCGATCGTTGCACGCGCGAAGGCCACGACAGCAATGCCGAGCAATAGCGCACTCTTGCCCACAGTCCCTACGGCGAAGACGAACGAGCTTGTCTACCTCGAGTGGTTCATGAACAAGACCACGATCAAACTCCCCGGGATCTATAAGTGGCCCTTCTGGCGGACGCTTGTACTTCAAGCTGGAAGCAGCGAGCCCGCGGTACTGCATGCGCTGCTGGCACTGAGCTCAGCGCACAGAGCAGAGAGCCAGCACGAACGACTTCGAAACGCTGTAGACGAAGCCTTCAACGCTGAAGAACAGTTCAGTCTGAGCCGCTACTGTCGAGCAATCACTGAGCTGCAGCCGCATCTCGCGGCAGGAGATAAGGCATCGGTGCGGGTTGCGCTCATTACTTGTGCCATCTTCACCTGCATCGAGTTCCTGCAAGGACGCTACCAGACGGGCCTCGAGCATTTACGGAGTGGCTTGAAGCTGTTGTGTACAGTTAACCTTTATTCGCTAAGCTCGGCCTCGGACACCGTTGATGAATGGCTGCTGGAGACTTTTGCAAGACTAAGCCTGCAAGTCGCTCTTTTCGATCCTAGCTTCGAGCGTATTCCGGAGATCTTCCAGAACCTATGGACCGATCGTGCATCATTCGAGTCGGTACCACAAGCACGGCGTAATCTGGACTGCCTTCTCCAAGCGTCTCTCGGTCCGCGGAACACGATCTCTGTAAATGCCGCCGAAAGTCACGACAACTTCAGGGGGATTAGGCCTCAAAGTCGTGAACAGCTCGAAGCAGAGCTGGCATCGTGGCACGTCGCATACAGTACCTTTCACGGGAACTTGCGGTCTGAGCATGATCCGCAGGAGTTCTTTGCGTCTCTTATGCTACAGCCCTACCATGCCATGGCGGTCATTTCGGCCGGTACACATCTAGATAGCGGGTACAGCGATGAGATGGCATACGACAGGTACCTACCCCAATTCGTCAGCATGATCCGACAATCGATCAGTCTGCTTCGGGCTGTCAAGCCTATACGGCATTACACCGATCACCTGGAGGTCTGTCATTTCTCTATAGACATCGGCTGGATCCCGCAGTTGTACTTCACCGCGTTGAAGTGCAGGAATAATCGCGTCAGACTGCACGCCCTCAAGCTGTTGTCTCTGCACCGCAGTCGAGAAGGCGTTTGGGACACGCTACTGGCTTCGGCCGTTGCCCGGGAAGTGATCCAGCTTGAGGAGGGCGACTTTTACCATTACTGGTCGGCGAGTGATGGCTTCTCCATCATGGATGATCCGGGCCAGTCCGATAGTGATTCGAAAATGCCCGTTTTGCCACCGTCACGGCGCGTGCAACAGGTGCAGGTTGTCCTTCCCAATGGGCCGTCAGACACGATGAGATTGACCTGCATGCGACCTACGCGAGACGGTGGCTTAGAACTTCTCAAGCGGGAACACGACCCTCGCTCTGGACAATGGATGTCGCTGGAACGTAAGGGGACGAGTGAGTCTACCTTGTCGGTATGCAGCATACCAAGTGTCGCGTCTGCGTAGCGTAGTACGAGCTTGGCGCAGTCAACTGCGCATTCACTTCATTGCAGTCATGTAGAGGCACAAGCCTAGTCCATACCGTGAGGTTGGAAACGAAACCTTTAACAGTACTCATTCGTACCCGCCATTTGAACGTCGTACTAACCGCGATGTATTGTGCTGAACATTCCGCTCAGGCGGGCCGTATGACGCCTATTTCTTGGGGCTTGCGAGTTTGTCTATGGAGCTCGTAGCTAGCGCACCATAGTCGCGTGGACTAGTGGCTGCACCTGCAGCTTTACCTGCTGACCATCATCTCTCCAGCCGTCCCGGTGACGATATTCTCACCTCGCCGTGCCCCAGACCAGCAGAACGCATGAGTGCGATGGCGAGAGCAAAGTAGTCGACCTTGAATAACAACCATAGACCACGTGCAATAGACAATGCGCTCCTTCGCCGTCTACATCGCGTGGGCAGCCAGTCTGCTCACCATCGCCAATGCTTCGACGCTGACTCCGCCTGTGCTGCCACTCATCGTGCGCAACCCATATCTCTCCGCATGGCTGGCCAATGCACGAGATGTACCGTGGAGCAAATGGCCCATCTTCTACACCGGCCAGTCGATCGGCCTTTCGGTCTTGGCACATGTGCCGGCCACCAACACCGTCTACCCTCTCCTCGGTCGCCCGCAGGACTCGCTGGGTAGTTCCGGCGACGGCTACAACGTCTCGTTCTGTCAGTACCTTGGCGCGCAGTATGATGCCTCGACGACCAACCTCAGCTACTCCATTCCCTCCGCGCATGCCGGCGGGGCCGACGTGGAGTTGATCCTTTCTTTCCTCTCGCCTATCACGCCAACGTCTACCCTACGACAGGCCATTCCAGCTGGCTATGTTACAGTCTATGTCAAAGGTGACTTTGATTTGGACATCTACATCGATCTCAACGGACAGTGGGTAAGCGGTAACCGCGGCAGCGATATCGTTTGGTCCTTGCAAGAAACCAATTTCGAGGATGCCAAGCACCTCAAGACCTGGCAGGTGAAGAAGAAGGACGAGGAAGTGTTCGTCGAATACAACGACTTTGCCGAATGGGGCGCCCTACACTTTACGGGACCGGCGGATGCGCACCACGAGGCTGGTACCTCAGGTGTGCTGAGACAGCGCTTCAGCAAGACCGGACATCTGCACAACACAGTGGACAATGCTTTCAGGGGTATTATGGACGAGGAACCTGTGTTTGCTTTCAGTAAGCGCTTCAATCTCTCTTCGAACAGCACCTTTGGAAGCTCGAACGCGAGTAAGGAGGACAGCGCGTTGTTCACCATCTCCCACCTCCAGAATCCAGTCACGCAATACGCCTCTGCTCGAGGATTGACGCAGATGCGGCCGCTTTGGATGTCCTACTTCTCCTCTCCAACCGCGCTGATTACCTACCACTACCTGGACTTTAACTCCGCTTCGGCGCTTGCGGCCAACTACTCGCTGCAACTCTCCCGTGACGCTTATGTTTCAGGCAGCTCCAATTACGCCGACATCGTCTCTCTCTCTGCCCGCCAAGTCTTGGGTGCGACATCCTTCTCCGGCACCCCAGACAACCCGATCCTCTTCCTGAAAGAGATCTCGTCGAACGGCAACTGCCAAACAGTCGATGTCATCTTCCCTGCCTTCCCATTCTTCCTGTACACTAATCCGCGCTGGCTCGCTTATTTGCTCGAGCCGCTGATAGAGCACATGCTGAGCGGACAGTATCCGAACATGTACACGATGCATGACCTGGGCACGCACTTCCCGAACATGACGGGTCATGCAGACGGGAACGATGAGTACATGCCAGTGGAGGAGTGTGGAGACATGCTCATTATGGGCCTGGCGTTGGTGAACAGCCTTCTTCATGGCGACGGCCGGAATGCGCAGAGTCTGTGGAGCGCGGAAGGTGGCGTGCCTAGGCTGTCGCACGATCTTGATGCCGACACCGAAGACGAAAGTGTCAGTCCGTTTGCGCTGCCGACTCGGCTGGAGACGAGAGATGGCGTGTTTGGCTTAGATGATCAGTTTGGCGGCAAAGTGGTTGGTGCGAGCCAGGCCAAGAAGTGGCTGTCGAAGTCTTATAAGCTCTGGAAGCAGTGGACTTCGTACCTAGTGGAGTACTCGCTCGAACCACACAATCAGCTCTGCACGGATGACTTCGCTGGATGGTTGGCGCTGCAGACCAACCTCGCGCTAAAAGGGATCATCGGCATCAAGGCTATGAGCGAGCTGGCGGGGATAGTAGGCGAGACGGCTGACGCCAAGCACTACCGCAACATTAGCGAGGTGTACGTTAAGAAGTGGGAGAAGATGGGCATGAGCCGTGACGGCGGACGGGCCAAGCTGGCCTACGATTGGTACGGCAGCTGGACGACACTGTACTCCCTCTACGCCGACGCACTACTCTGCTTCCATCCATCAAGCGACTACAGCAAACCGCGACCTGACGATGTCCAACATGACGGGCAGCAACTGCTGCAGCCATCTGTAAGCAGATCCATCAATGACTCGGCCAACTTCATCCCCGACCACATCTACACCACCCAATCCCGCTGGTACACCACAGTCATGCAGAAGTACGGCCTACCCCTCGACAGCCGCCATCTCTACACCAAAACCGACTGGGAGTTCCAGGCTGCCGCCGTAGCGTCACGCGCCACTCGAACGGAGATTCTGGATCGGGTGGCCAAGTGGTTGAACGAGACGAATACGGATTTGCCGTTTACGGATCTGCATGAGACGGAGGGGGAGGGTGCGTTTCCGGGGCCGAACTTCTATGCGAGACCCGTCGTGGGGAGTCATTTTGCGTTCTTGACGTTGGAGAGGGCTTGTCAAGGGAGAGGGGCGGGGGCTTTTGGGTATGATGTATGAAGGCAGGCTGCTGGAGGCTTGCTGTGTGCAGTGGTATGAGATGGAAAGCCTTACGGCCGATCTGTGCAGCAATGCATGAGGGGTGGCGCTGCTCCCATGTGATGTCCGGCATTTGTATGAGCACATGAGATAGCATTACGACCTTCACGCTGTCTGAACTTGCCTGTCTAAACGCCTGACCGTACGGTGTTCTTTCTGCTCTCAAGTCCACGTAGATCGTACACCATCCGGCCATTGGCTTGGGTTCGTGCACGGACCGCCCAACTCCGATCCGCCCTCACTTCGCAGCTTGAGCTCTACACGCACTAAGTTGTCGCGGCGCCTTTCCTTGATAACTCAGGATCCTGTGCGTGTCGCAATCATGTCGTCCGGATACGGCTTGACCGGCGGTACGTCTCAGCAACTTCCGCCCAAGCAGGGAATGACCAAATTGCAAGCACTCCACCGCTGACTTGGACTGGTACAGGTCCCTCCCGCTGCTTCCCCTTCTGGCAAGAAGTCCTCGCCTGCTACGTCGTCAACACCACCATGGAGGACGACTCAGGCAAGGCCAAGTGCAAACCCGCGCTAGACGATTACTACGAGTGCTTACACCACAAGAAAGAGGTGCGCACAACCTTACCCTCCAGCTCACCCTGCCCAGAGCCCCAGGGGTCGCTATAATCTGTACTAAAGGTGTGTCTGTGTATCTAGTACCGCAAAGTCGTAGCCATGCAAGCTGCATACCGACGGCGCGAGACCGAGACGGCGCGAGATCAGGCACCGAGTGCGGGCGAGATACGGAGCTTGGGACTGCTGGATAAGAAGGATGAGGAGGTTAATATCAAGCATGGCAGGCTATTGCCGACGTATGGGAGCAATCTGAGCAAGGGGCCGATAAGTACTGTGGAGCGGGTGGCTACGCAGGGGACGTAGGTGGTGCGGCTTGTGGGAGTGGGAGTGGATGGCGTTTGGCTGGGTGTAAACACTATTGAAAGAAGACGACGAGAGGTTTATAGGGCAGCCGCCTGGTACCCACACTTGACACATGGTCATGAAACGACCACAGTGCTCCCGAGCTGATATCAGGGTGTGGCTCACAATAGGAAGATAAGGTATAAAGGACTACTTTACGTGCCAATGCACGAAGTCTACGGGTCCGCCGAAAGGGAAGGAGCTGGCAACTGATCGTCACTGCCTACCTTGCAGCACGCCTTGGCGGGTTACAAGGCTACCCATTTACAGTCGACCCCTGGGTTGTGTATCAGAGCTACTCCCCTGAAGGAGGTCGACTGTACGGAGATTTTACAATACGCTTGCAAAGACCTCGTGTATTGCAGTGTGGCTGCTATATGACTTCTACGCCGCGATTCCCGAAGAAAAGCCGACACTGTAACCGACATCAGCCATAGGCTATGTCGCATTTCCTGTGTGGTCGTACCAAATGTGTCTATCATCACCTGAAGCTGATCTCGCGCACCGCACGAACGTTCTACACCACCACTGGATCAATGGAACTTGCAGCAGACCAAGCCATATACGTGTGAAATCTCAATGGAAATCGTGACATAGCACATAGCTTGTTTTACACCTACGCTCAAACGCCTTTTGCCGGCGACGTCCAGTCAGCCTACTCATCCCATTCTTCATTCAAATCATCGATCAATCTGTTCTCCGCATCGCTGTCTCGCCCCCTCCCTCTGCCCGACCCGGACCCGCCGAGGCCGCCATTAACGCGCGTATAACCCCTTCGCGAAGGCAAGAAGCGCGCACAGGAGGATGTGAGTATGATGAAGATATCCTGAGTACTCCATTAGCAAGTCTAGTGCTCCACAGACTTGTAGCGGCGACGACTCACCCTCACAAACCCGAAACACCCAGCCCAGAGATTATAGTTTGGCATCTGCCTCCAACCCCTCTGCTGCAACACCACACGGCTGTACACACAGCCACCGACCACATACACAATCACCGCGATCAGCACAATCACTCCGAACACACCGGCGGGTGACAGACTCTGCTTCGCAACCTCAATCCCACCACAGGCTGCTGACGAGCGCGCTTCGAACATGTACGTGCATTCGTCCGGACTCGCGCCGACGAAGGACAGGGAGAGGAGCGGGTTGAGCGGCTCTCTGTCGCAGAGGAAGGAGACGATTGTGTTTTTCCGACGAGTGACTGGAGTTGGGTTTGGCTTTTTGGTGGAAGGTTTCTTGGGTTCGCGTTCGTCCGCGTCGTCGTCGTCGTCGTCGTCGTCATCATCAGGGTCATCATCGATGATTTCGCGGGGTGAGTGTAAGTCTTGGACATAGTGGGCGTTCTTCATCGTGTCGCACGGCGAGCCATCGGTGTAATTTAGCACGAGTTTGCGGCCATGGAACACTGGGGCGGTGTTCATTTGTCTGCGCGTCGACATTTATCAGCGTCCGTACACTTCCACTGTCCACTCTCGACGCATGAGTCAACTCACCCAATGCTAAACACCTTCCCGCCCAACTTATAATATGCGCTCACGTTCCGCCACGCATCCTTCCTCAACCCATCCACATCCTCCAACTCCTCCACCACCGGCCCGCAAAAGTTCATGCTGAAGTTGTACCCCAAGCCCCATCCCGTCGTGTTCCAGCTGTAGTCGCGCGGGTGCTTGGATTTGCTCAGTGTCGGGTCTTCGATGTGCAGTGGGTTGAGGTCGAAGAAGGCGTGCGAGGTCGGGCTGCGGATGGTGCAGGGTTTGGGGATGTCGGAGGATTTGGGCGTGGTGGCCGCGGAGACTAGGAGGGTGGTGGAGGTGGAGGTTAGGCCAAGGTAGACGGCGAGGGAGTAGAAGAGGAGCATTGTGGAGGTGTCGGGAGATGGATGCGCGTACGCTGCGCTGGAGTACCGCTGCTCCGGCGATGTCGATATCTGTCGTTGTCGAAGGCGGATGTTCGTGGAGATGAGAACAGGAGGAGGGTTTCTTACCTACGTAACTGTCTCGAAAGTCTCCCTTTGCTTATGCACTCTTCGGGATGGCCCGCTTGGTTTGGAACCTTCGTGCCTCCAACCAAGCCTTCCGCACCTACACCCCGTTATATACATACATATATATGTGATCTCCTAACAACCAGCAATGGCAACCAAACGCCCCCACTCCGCCATCCACCCCTCCCGCCGTGAACAAGTCCCACAAGATGAACAACCGCGCCGCAAACGCCAAAAGCCTGACCACATCCACGGCAAAAGCTTCAAAAAAGCCCACACCGTCCACGAATTGAGAACGCACATCCGCTCGCTCAAGCGCTTGCTAGAGCACAACGACGATCTCCCCGCAGATGTACGAGTGGAAAAGGAGCGAGCGCTGCAGACCGCGCAGCATGAACTGGCGGAGACGGAGCGGGCGAAGGAGCGCAGCGATATGATTGGGAAGTGGCACAAGGTGCGGTTCTTTGAGCGGCAGAAGGCATCGAAGAGGTTGAAGAGGGCGCGGAGGGCGGTGGCGGAGTGTGAGGACCTGGCGGGGAAGGTGGAGTTGGAGGCGAGGGTGGAGGAGGCGGAGGTGGATGTCAATTATGCCATGTACTTTCCGTTGGGGATGGAGTATGTGCCGCTGTTTCCGAAGCGGAGGAGGAGGAGTGAAGGCGCAGAAGGCGGAGAGGGGGATGGTGGGCAGGGAGTAGGGGGCGATGAGGAGCGGCAGGGTGATCAAAAAGTGTGGCAGCTCGTCAGGCGATGTATGGAGGATGGACAATTAGAGGCGCTGCGGAACGGCAAGCTTACGGGGAGCCGTGCTGAAGGTGATGCAGGGTCGGTGGTGACGACGCATAAGAAGAGAGCGAAAGAAAAGCGACGTGCTCCCAATGTGGTCGTTGAGGGCAACCGGCGAGAGCGTAGAAGCGCTCTAGCAGCTCACGCGGACAGTGAAGCCGAAAGCGAAGGTGGGTTCTTCGAGTGAAAACGTTGACTAGGTCTTGAAATGCTATGTTTGCTGCCGCCAGATCGTGGTTCAAACCTAGGCTCGGAGCAACAATCTACGAATACCACACCACCAGCGCACGTCCTTCGCTTCTGCCCTACAACGCAACCGTAGTAGATGGCCTACTTGAGCCCACACATGCACCTACAATCAGGTACAGCACACATATCGTACTCATCGAACCACGCCTTCGCATGATCGGCATGAAAACCATGCCCACAACTCGCGCAAAAGCACATAAGCTTCACCATTCTATTATCTTTCTGCTTCGCCAACTCCCTCACACCACCCCGAGTGCCAGGGTCAGGTATGCCCAGCCACATCAAGCAGATGGCACAACGCGGCAGATGGCGCCCGCACGTCTTGCACACGGTGCCCGCGTGCGCAGCCGGGCCCGGAATTCGCACGCCACTTGGTGTGGTTGCCGGCTTGCCTCTGCGACCAACGAGCGGCGCACTGCAATGGTTGCACCGCAGCGTCAGCTGTGGAGCAGGGGGCTCGATCAATGACCTGCGATCCCTGCCCTTTGCGAGTCGGTTATGCTGGACGGTGAACTTGGTTCGCTCATTAAAAGCCTGCCAAGCCTGCATCTGCATGAAGTACGTCTCCTTCCACATTTCCCATCGAACGTCGTCTACGTATCTCGGGTTCGTGAAGGCTGTCGCAAGGACGGCAGTCTGGAGGTCGTTGGTCTTGACGATGTACGACTGGAAGAGGTCCATGGCTCGCTCGCCAAGGCCGGTGAGAAGAATGCCTTCAAGGTCGCCATTGCGGATCGCTCGTGCCGTCTCTGTTTGCAAGAAGCCGCTCAGCTCTGTGTCGTTAAGGTACTTGAGACCCAACGCAACGCGGTAGCCGAGGTGGAGGTAGCTCGTCTTCATGACGTCTCGCCAGTCGCCTGTCGTTAAGTATGTGAGTAGAGCTTTGAGAGCAGGGTCGTCGGTGTCTGCGGCCATCCAGAGACACATCTCGCGTTGCTCATTGTTGATGGTGTCGGAGGCGAGAAGGGCGCCAAGACCAATGTTCGGTATGGTTTTACTGCGGATAAGCGTACGGAGCAGGTTGAGAGCGATGTGCTTGTAGTCGTGAAGCACGGCCTGGACGATGGCGAGATAGTGTAGGCCGCGGTCGATAAGCTGTTGGCATTCTGTGGAAACAACGTGTTAGCGGTGTCACAGATATTCCTGGGAATGGCAATTGCATACCCTCTTCCAGCGTATCCGTGGTGAACTTCCAGCCGCAGAGGGCGAGGCATAGCTGACGATGTTCTGGGAAGCTCGTTTGCTCGCCCTCAAAGTCCGGTATTTCTCTGGAGCTGTTTAGGCCAACGATCGCATCACTGACTGAAAGCTTGGACGGTAACAATGTTCGTCTTGCAACATTACCAACATCCTCAGACCACAGCCCTGACACACCAACAAAGCTCAGGTCGAGGGCGTCATACACCATGCCATCGTCGGCAGCCTGCTGTCTAAACCGACGGACAGTCTCCCACAGCCGCTCAAGCTGAAAGTTTCCGGCGACCATGTTCGCATTCTCTTGGCAATCGAAGAGATAGCCACGCTTGCATCTTTCGCGTTGCAGCGTTTCAGAAGTCAGAAGTTCTTTCACGGGCGGCGAGTTCATGTCATACCTCACACTCGCGTCGCTATTATTATGGGCTGAACTGCTGGAGTCAGGGTCGTAGTTGAGTGGACCAAAGTCCTCGGCGCTACTGAGGCAAGTCGGATGAGCCGGTGTAGTAGCGGGCACGACAGGTGCAGTCCTAGGCTCTAAGACAGAAACATCTTTGCATGTAACAGCGAGGTCTTGTCGTGCTGTAATCTCAGCATGAGTCTGACTTTTCGAAGCTTGCAACAGCTCTACCGTTCGGGAAGGTCGCAAAATGATCATCTGTTGGGTTACATCCGATTGCACAGCATCCAACCAGTCAAAGGCAATAACGCGAGATTCTTTGCCTTTCCCAAGACGTTCATCATGCCAAGGCGCCTCCAGCACTCGAGACTGGGATACATAACGGTTGGTGCGCCACAGCGTGCCTCCGTAAGGGTTGGAGGGAAGGTACTCTGACGACTGAGAAGTAGTAGTTTTACCTTCGACCATGTCGATCACTTTCAGCTCGCCAGTACTACTGCAGAGCGCCAGTCGGCCACGGCGCAGGCCGGAGTAACGAAGACTCCAAATGGTAGTTGGCACGGAAACGTCGACAGCGGGTGAGAAATTGAACACGGCACCGCTGCTCGAGCCAGACGAGGCTGCTGACGGTGACATCCACCGCTTGTCCCATACTGTGACCGAAGGATCGCCTGTTGACCCAGCCGAAGCAAAGTAATTCTCATCGAGCGGATCGATGGCAATGTTGTTGACATTGCGTGTCGATGCCTGCAGACTGCTACTATTGTTCCCACTGCCGAAGTAACCGTCCCGAAGATCGTAAAGGCGTATAAAAGACCGCTGGGTTGAGGCCACGATCTCCTGCGGCGAACCTGGGAAAAAGCGGACGCTTGACACCAGTTCTGCGGCGCAGAGTCGTCTGACAGGCTCTGGTGCGTCGGAAAGACCATTATTGATGTCGTAAATGTTCAAGCAAACGTCTGAGCGAGTCTTGTCCAGAGCCACGGCGAGTAGACTCTCGCCACTCAAGGCCACCGAGTTACACTTCCGCTGTTGCTTGACTTTGAACTCGGCCACGGTCTTGGACGTGGCCTTCTCTTCGCCCAAGCGAATGATACTGGCATGGCCGGACACATAGCCCAGTGCAACGAGAGACTCATTGACGGGAGACCAGGCGAAAGCGCCAATGTGCAGTAGGTTGGTGCATCGGGTGACGATGTGATAGGCAATGGTGGTCTCGCCACGGCTGTCAACTTCATTCAGCGTCAAGCTCGAGTCTCCGACATCGAGCAGCAAAAACCGCTGCCTATCGCCAGTCGAGTGTGGCGACCATCGCACTGCCGCTTCCATGAGATGGGCAGCCGGGCGACCTGACGGCACACATAACGCTCGTCGGAGGTTTGCACACCCTGGCCTGCCTTATCCCATACTGCCTGTGCTGGGGAGAACTCGAACGCTTGTTGGTCAAAGCAGCAACATACAGACAAATGCATTCACATCGATGGACTGGAGTTCACGTTCATGTTGGGTAGGGCGGCGCAAACGCCACCGTGGCGCGTTCTGTGGAGCGACGTCAACCCGCACATGCAGCCAACAGGTCGGGCCAACAAGGCTACATCGACAGCACACCGTTGTAGATAAGCTGGGTTTGCTCCATTTGTCAAGGCAAGTACAGCATTCATGTTCCTTACTGTCGACCAGCGATGTCTGCCAAAGCTCCGCCACCGCCTTTACCTCCACGCGAGAGCAGCAGTATGCCACAATCTCCCTTAGACGCGCCTCCTCCTTATAACCCACCGTCTCCCGCATCAACAGTCTCGGCAGGACTATGGAGCTCCCAGGACCCTCGTTCTTCATCCATGCAAAGTCTGTTACCCGAGTATACCGAACACGACGGTGGTCGTCGAAGGTTACTGCTCATCTATATCCACGGCTTTATGGGCGATGAGATGTCCTTTCGGTCTTTCCCGGCACATCTACACCATTTGCTGACTGTTTTGCTGTCGGATACGCATGTTGTGCACACCAAGGTCTACCCTCGCTATCGTTCGAAGCGCAACATCTCTTTTGCGCGAGATGACTTCAGCCGGTGGCTTGAACCTCACGAGGATTGGCAGACCGACGTTGTGCTTCTAGGCCACAGCATGGGTGGCCTTCTAGCGGCAGAGATTGCCCTTATGCCATCTCCAGATCCGGCAAGTCGGGCACTGAAGCATCGAATACTGGGCACTATCAACTTCGATGTGCCGTTCTTGGGTATGCATCCCGGAGTAGTTCGCTCAGGTCTATCGAGCATATTCATGCCCGCGGAAGAGACTCACGAGGACAAGTTCTCACCAACGCTATCACCGGTTTCGACAACCAACAGCATATCTGCTTCCGCAATGGCTTCTGCGGAACAGCTCCCTGACGCTCTATGGAGGCCAGAAGAAAACGATCCCACTTACAACCCGTCATTTCAGAACGATGTTGTTCTACCCATTCGAAAAGGGTGGAAGAGCGCTTGGCACTTCATCAACAAGCACTCATCTAACCTGACCGAGCTGGGAAATGCGACTAAGAAGTTGATTTCTTCGCATATGGAATTCGGCGGAGCGATGGCCAATTACGACGAACTTAATCGACGCTACGTGAGGATACGAGCGCTCGAGGAGGATGATGCAGCGATAAGGAAGTCTGTTGTCGCGGAAGGGCCGGCACCGCCACGGGTACGCTTCGTGAATTATTACACCGCCAGCACTGGCAGGCCGAAGAAGGTGAAGCCCATAGAGGCAAGCAAATCTCAGGAATTGGTGGCGGACGAGGGTGCTGCACACAACAATGCTACTTCGCTGGTGAGTAAGAACGCAGCGTTGACCGACGGTAACAAGCCAGCAAGTCCTCGCATATCCCTTGAGGAGTGTCGAGATGACGGCAGCATCATTGAGAAGCCAATCGCCGAAGACTCTGACACACTGGAGGAGGAGCAATGGGGCGATGCAGCGGAGACACTTACAATACAAGATCCGCGGCCAGTGTCCGATGATGAGACCGACGCGGATATAAGCAGCGAGCCAACGGCAGATTTGTCTCCCATCGCGTCCGTCGATCAAGAGTCAACATTGCCACCAATTCCGGAGTTACCACCCGCGCCTCCGCCGCTTGATGTGTCGTACATACAAGACGCATCTACGCGGAAACTGGTCGAAAAGGAACACTCCCGAGCGCTCAAAGCTCACGAACAAGCGATGAAGAATCGCGAGAAAGCTATCCGTGACCGAGCGAGGCTTGCCGAGAAGGTGCGAGCACAATCGCAGAAGGACGCACAGAAAGTGCAGAAGGATGCCAAGAAGGCGCAAAAGGATGAGCTGAAAGCCGACCAAAAGGCTCATGAGCAAAGACTCGCAGAGGAGCGAAAGCAGGGCAAGCAGCCTATGACGCAGCAGCAGAAAGAAGAATTGAGGCTGCAGCAGGAGACAGCACGTATGGAAGCAGAGGCGCGACGGCTTAGAGGCGAGCCAGAACCGAGAACTGTCGAAGACTCTAATACTGTATTGACAGCGTCAGAAACGAGCGGTGACCGAACCCTGCAAAGCAGTAAATCTGCCATGTCTGCCCGGGACACTGCCCCTTCCATTCTGAGTAGGACTACTACAGGTACATCCTCAATGCAGCCTTCTGCCGAGCATAGCCAACAGCAGCAACACGATCGCAAATTCTGCATGCTCCCGCCCAAGGACGCTTCAGGTCAGCGAGATCCTTGCTGGGTCCGCATCTTCATGGAGAACGTGGATGAAGTGGGTGCGCACTGTGGACTTTTCTTCATAGATGAGCGCTACGAAAGGCTTGTCGGAGACGTCGCGGAAAGAATCGAAGGCTGGGTGTTTGAGGCTATCAGCCAAGGCGTGGCGAGCAGCGAGAAGAGCTAAGCAGCAGTGCTCTGACGACCCGTTTGTACACGATTTCCCGGCATCATTTGTTGAGCCGACTTCTACCAAGCGACGCTCAAGCGCTGACCTCATGAGACAACCCTGTGAAATCATCGTGAACAAAACCCAGGACCTCAATGTCTTTTGGCAGTAGTGGGTCAGCTTTGATCAAGGCGACGTCTTCTCTGACACTGGCCTCAGCACTGCAAGCATGTCAGACTGACCGACCATTGTGTCCTACGATGCGGTGAACATACTCAGCAAAGCCACCAAAGTCCGTCTCATCAATTTGAGCAGCTACATCCGACCCAGCACCCAGCCTATCCTTGAGTCTGCGTTGCACTACATGATTGTCGTGGAAGTTGTTGGGTCCCAAACCGCAATCCGCGTGATGAATGACGGCGATGGCTCCTAACCCTCCAGACAAGAGAGAAGCTAGGGCCTCCATAGAGCGGAGTGCGTCCTTCGCGCGACCGCCGGCGTTACGGATGATCGCCACATTGGCGGTGAGGTTCCAGAGATCCTTTGGATCAGCGCGAGGATCGAGGCAGGAGAGGATGATGATCCCTTTCTGCTCTGGAAACTCCTTGAAGGAGAACGTGCCCTTGAAGTTCTTCTTGTATTGTCTATTTGGTTTGGCTTATCAGCCAAGTAAAGATAGCTTTTAAGTCCGGCTCGCTGGTTACGTACTCGTTGCCCTTGGCAAGTTGACGGACTAGATCAGCAGACATTCTGTCTGGGAAGTGTGTTCTTGGAGGCGCTAATTGCTAGTCGGCGTGGATTGTTCGTTTGAATCGGCGTTACCGACTGACCAGAAGACATGCCTTCCGGGATATGTACCTTTATACGCATTCATCGACTGCTTCCAAGCTGCCAACAGTGTGTCCCGGCGTTGTTGCTGACGCAGCACTGACTGTCGGCGTCACATTCAGCTGTCGGTGTCTTCTTTGAGAATCGATCAATAATCGGCACAGCTTGACTCATCAAGTTTGTTGTCTGCGTAAGCATGTTGACTGGCGTGGTTGTAGACGCAATTGTAGCGCTTCAGCAGCCTTCGGCTGCAATGCAAGGAGACGTGGGCATGGATTGCCTGAAGCTACATTCGTGTAGCGTGATACCTGCCAGGGAAGGTACAACCCATCATCGCGGATAATGTGCAGGACTTGACCAATACTATGTGGAAGGCTTGCAGTGGTTCCGAGTGAAGTGACGTCGCGAAGGCTAGTGAGTAATCAACTCGGCTGTATGTAGGGCTCATCCTTCTAGCATATCTGGCGTTGTCAGCAGCGCAGATCGAACCCTGCAGGTGGCAGACTGAATACGTATAGTTGGACAAGCAAAGATTCCGTTTGTACGTGTCCGACAGCCAGCAATGTGCATCGACTTTTGACGTGCCCGCCTACACTCTCAGCAATATTCACATCTACGATCTGGCGCTCTTGGTCGCTGAATAACATGTAACGTTGCGCTCATCATGTGTCCCAGTAACACAATCGTAGTGTCGTGCGCTCATTGTTCTGTTAACCCACTCTGAGGTGCGCGTTACCATGAAAAAGCCTCTTCAAAAAAGTCCATCTCCGTCATTTCGCACCGATCTCTCATAGCCTTCCTCACATCATCACTCAGGCTACCTGTGCCACAAACACTGATTGCCATAGCGCCGACCTGCTGCGCTTGCTCTTTGTCAATCAACGCCCCAACATCCGGCTTGCCTGGAAACATCTGCACACTTGCACTCGGCGAGTGGATCTCCCTGGTGCTCCGCGGCCGAGTAACAAATAGCAGGATCTTGAGAATATCGCGCCGTTTGCTCATGCCGAGAATCTGCGTCATCCACGGCCTGATCCATTCAAGGTGCTCTGGAGACTGAATGATCCAGACCAGGATGACTCTGCGGGTTGCACATGTGCCGTTGGCATATGCACCGACCAGATCGCGCACGTGAGGGACTTGATGGGTGATGCCAACCCCAGCAGCGAAGAGCATTACAGTGCCATACGACTGGAAGCTCTGATCGCCGTATGGACCCTCCACGAAAGCTGTCGTATTGAACCTTCCTTGCGGCGATTTCTCTGCTTTGCGGTACATGGCATCGGTAAAGCCGGTCCGGCGGCGGACAATGAGAGACATAGAGGTGGGCTTGCCAGCGGTGTATATATCGAAACGGTTCATTGGCAGGCCCTTCTCCGTATGGAATTCATCCTCGTTGCTCCAGGCAAGTGAGAACGGATGGCTAGTCCACAGACCGACGGTTGGCATATACAGGAAGATATGCTGACCGGGTCGAAATTTCCACGGCCTGGCCATGCGGAGAGTGATTCTCACAGCATCTCCTGGCAGCGCTTCCACTTCAGCTTTGGTAACGCCTCTGCCGGTGTTGTTGCGGACAAGACTGTACACCCGTAGCACTCGTTCAATGACCCAGCATGTGATGGCAACCTGCACAAAGACGTGCAGAGTGGTCAGATGCTTCGTATGGACCCAAGTTGCAGCGATAGCTACAATACCGAGCAGAATGTGGATGTGCAGAAACGTTTCGTAGAATGCGTGCCGCACGATAGACGGTGTCAGCAGGAGTATGGTCGCAAGCGTGCAGGCTCCGATTGTACCGGTCATGATAAGTTGGCTGCTAGCCATAGCCGCTTTGATCATCGCCCAGCCTTTGTGGGATCCCGACGTAGCGATCATTCCGGCCATCCAAAAACTGGCGTGCGTAACAGCCTCGAGGACTACGATGCGGCCAATCCATCGATGGAGAAGGTTGTAGGTGTCAAAGGTGATGTCGAGAAGCCAGAGTAAGGGGTTGTTGCGGCCTGCCAGTAGGATCAATGGTATCATATTTAGCACCGCAAGGACTCCGGTGCGGTTGCGGCCCTCCACGTAAAACGCATGCTTGTCATGCCAGTTGATTGTAACAGCGCAGAGGATAAAGTTGAGTGCAAGATACCCGACTACGACGATAGTCTGCAGTCGGGTCGGTAGTGTGCCAATGTTGGTCGCGGCTGAAAGTCTGAACTCCCGTGTGCCTTGTCCAGAAGAGCGGCGCATGTACCAGGTGGCGCTTCAGCTTCGCCAGTCTCTCGTTGGGAATGCTGAAGTAGCTCTGCCTGCCCTCGCTGGAGATGCTGTGGTTGAGGTTAGCAAGGCGCCGTAGATGCTTCAGTAGTGTGTTGGTCCAGCGATTGACGAAAAGAACAGCAACGATAGCGAGCCAGATGCACCCGAGGACTCTGGCAAGGCGTATGTTCTCAATGTCTGCTGCTGTGGGCTGGGCCACAGCCGCTGCATGACCGCTGGTGGTTGAAGAGCTGGCATGAGATATTGTAGTGCTATTCTGCGCGAATACGAGTGGAAGTATCACCGCAAGTAGCGCTAGTTTGATCATTATCCTGGTTATGGTGAACGTGATCCTGCGTCCTCCGTCGCTCTCAACTAAACTTTTATCAGAGTAGTCGCTGGCTGTAGTCACCGACTTGCTGAGAACCGCCAGCACGCGCCGAGTCTCTAGTTGCTGTGAATGAGTGTATGGCTGCCTGCAGCGACTGTGAAGGCGGATCGACCAGCGAAGCCTACGCAGTGAGCGTCTACCTTTTGTCAAAGGATAATGCCTCTGTGAGCCAGCTTTGTCCCGCAAATGAGCGTCAAGGACTACAAAGGCCAAGAGAGTGAGAGATTCAGATACATTGTGCGCTTCTTGCACGCGAGGGTGGAGCGTCGTCAATATGTGGCACTTCGGAATGCGGATGAACAGGGCAGGTTTCAGGAAAGGTGTAACAATCACTTCGATAGTACAATACTACCTTGTCCTTGCCATGTAGCTGCGGTCAACATCATCCCACACGTGCAGGCGCGTACATAGCCTTTGTCTCGAACTATAGTCGTCTCGTAGCACATGGGGTCGTAGGGAGTGGATAGGCGCTTGGGTGGTCGAGAGCGCGTACATGCGGGAAGTCTCCTGCAGCATAGCAGACTATCCCAGGCGGGTCACGGGAGGATATGTTGCATCAGGTTGATAGGCTCCCAGGCTACTGCTTGATCTGCGAGACAATGGTTGTCCAATAGCGCGTGTTTCAGGTACACAAGCGCTTCACATCTGTCGGAGAGCTGATACCCCACAGCAGACTCCACATTGATTGTTTGCCAACTTCAGTGGAAACACGACTTGCGACTTATCCTAGTAACCGAAGCATCTCTCAAGAAAACTGTCATCAAAGACTAGAACAACAAGATGTACGTAGGGAGAAACAGATGTACAGATGCTGCTAGCCAATTCCGTTACACTCTTACTGCCTTATATTCGAGGGTTACTACTAGCCTCTTCTATCCGTACCACATATTATAGTAAATCTATCTCACCAAATGCGACAGCGAGCGTCAAAAAGATATAGTATTTATTAGCACCCAAAAGCAAAAGAAGCTTCAAGCTGCATCGGCCGGGACTGTTTAACTGTTAATAATACTCCTATCGAGCTCAAATTGACTTAGTTAAACCTACATCGAACCCGGGGCTAGCCGAGATCACTCAAATGGCAACGGCTAATTTTACCACTAAACCACCGATGCTTGTTAGAAGGGTAAACAGCAATAGATAAATATATACCCTTCAAAAAGCATGTATCCTAAAATTCTAGAGCCGGCTGTATCCCGTGACTATAATACCTTAGTGATCGAGACTTTGCAGAGCTAAGGGTATAATAGTACAAGTCTAATACATCGACCCTAGAGAATAAATAAGTAAAATGCTTCTTAGCCTAGACGAAGGATCTTATAGAAAGCCTTCTCCGCTCTAACCGTCTCCGTACGTGCTCTGCAGCGGTTACTATAGTAGAAGTAATAAAATCAGCCGTTGCTATTTAAGTGATCTCGTCTACCCCCGGGTTCGATGTAGGTTTAACTAAGTCAATTTGAGCTCGATAGGAGTATTATTAACAGTTAAACAGTCCCGGCCGATGCAGCCTGAAGCTTCTTTTGCTTTTGGGTGTTAGTAAAGACGAATGCGAAGACGGAAAGAATGGTGGGTAGGATGATAGGTTCATTTACAGAAGCGCTGTTGCAAGAAAAATTGTCATAGTGGTTGGATCTCATAGCGGAGGCACGATGGATACTTGATGATATTGGAGATGTTTCCGTTTTGCCTTGGCTGCTTAGGTGCGAAGCACTACTAGGAAAGATGAAACATGCAGTCAGCCACGAAGCGTGGTACGCAGTTTGTCGGAGCAGAGAGACAGACGCTGGTTGCACTGGCCGGGACGGCTTGGACTGCGACTTTCCATGGATTTTCGTGAACAGAAGATTGTCCTGCTACTAAGAGTATTTGGGCATGATCACACAGCAGTGCACGCTTCTGTCGCGGCCTGGAACGAAGCGACGCACTCACAGTAAGCGCTTAAATAGGATTACCCGGATCGTTCTGAACAACGACGACCGGGTTTAGTGACTAGGTCGACTACAAAAAGCATCGTCTGCTAAGCCAAGCTGGATCTTGCAGCATACAACAAGTGACAGGAATGACCCAGCGTGGCTCAATCCGTGCTGCCAAGAAATAGAAATACTTCGATCAATGCCTGGAGCCATCGACACCACAGAACTCAGCTAATTCATGTGGAACCAGCGCCTCCTCCGCGCCCGTGCTTGCTCCTATGCCCTGTGCCCGGAGGCTTGCCGCGGCCGCGATGCGGATTGTTGCCACGCCCGCGACCAGTCTGACCTCCGCCTCCAACACCACGCCAGCTGTCGCCACTGGAGCCGGCTGGAGTGCCGGCGACACCGGTAAGCTTCACCCTGCGGGCTTCCCTCTGCTCAATCATCTCCCCACTCTCCAGGCCTGGGTACTCCTTTATGATGGCTCTCTCCAGGTCGAGCCGGTTCTTGAGCAACTCATGCGCAAGGCCGAGACGGGTTTCGAACGCGAAGGTGGCCGTGTCCGGGAAGAGGTTGTGGGGCGGGGGGTTGGAACGGCTCCAATTGATCGGCTTGGCTTCGACAGCCTTGTCGTCGACGAACTTGACGCGATACTTTGTGACGAGCCATCTCGGCGGACTGCTCTCACCGAACGGAAAGCTAGCGTCGTTGATACCTGGCGGGTAGAAGAGCCGATAGTACCAGAAGCTTCCCAGCTGTGCCGAGGCGAAGAACACCGCGCGCGCATAAGCGATGAAGTCGCGCCATTCTGCCTCGAACCTGATTGGCGACACAGAGTATAACCGAAAGTGCTTGGTGTCGGCTAACGCGACAATGATGGACTGCACGCGGGTAGCAGTGCCCGCCTTGTTAGCAGCGGTCCATTCTGCTAGCTTGGAGGCGTCGCTGAAGCGGACGCATGGGCCCGTAAGCTGAACCTCAAAGCCGAAGAGTCCATCTTCCCTCGCAAGCTGAACGACACCTGTATCGTTCGGCAGATCCTTCTTGACGAGGTCATCCTTGCCTACGCCGAACGTCAACCCCAGGCCGGGAGAGCCATCCTCGCGGACCTTCTTGAGCTGGTCAAAGAAACAAATCCAGCTGATGTTCACAGGCACGGTATCGTTAGATGCCTTGCCTGAAACATTCTTCTTCGGCACACGTGCGACAGTCACTCTTATGTCGATGAACGGCCGCTGCGTTTCGACATTGAGTATGTACCGAACGCACCTGGGATCGATGCCACCAGTCTCGATCATATCCGGGTTTGGTATTACGCTGCCGGATCCCCAGAGATGTCCGCCGTTATCATCAAGGAACGAGATGTACGCAAAGCGTGCCAGATGGCAGCTCCTTTTGGAACTAGCATCGCCGCCCTTGAGCGGGAAGCTGGCCCTGTCTTTACCGCGATACGCATGCGGACCCGAATGGACGGGCGCCAGCGAGAACTCCTTCTTCTTGTCGATGGCGAGAAACTGCGGGTAGAGCACAGCCGCGTTTGGCTCCTTGAAGTGCATCTCCTTCGGAAGCTTGTCATGGTCCATGATGCGGTATTCGACGACTGGCACCTCCGGCTGGTTGCGCTTGTACTTCGCGTCGATCGCAGCCTTGGCCCGGTTGTATGAGGCGGCGAAGCCCTTCGCTACGGCCGACAGAGTGCCTGCGACCTCATTAGGCGCACCTGTGGATGGTACGCCTGCGGTCAGCTGGCTCATCGTGTCCAAGCCATCTGCCGAAGCAGTTGGAGCTTGCTTCTCCGCAGAAGGAGAAGGAGGGGGCAAATCCGGAGAAGGGTTTGATTGAGACTATCGCATGGAGAAGTCAGCTACGGCTTCAACATTCACGGTGGAGTCTCATCATTTTACTTACCATGAAGAATAAGTACCGCCTCCGGGGAGACGAAACGGTGCCTAAAAGCACAGGTGTCAGCGCGTATCATCAGGTAAGCGGCGGTGGAGGCAAATCTTACACCGCAGTGACTAACGACAGATATCCACCAAGACCCGTTTGGCGGGAGGCTGCGCCAACCGCCTGGGTACTTGGGAGAGGAGGTTGGAGTGCTTGTAGCTCTTCTGAGAATAGCGCTGTGGCGCGGCGAACCGGCGAGAGCGTACACGATCCAACTGGGTGCCCGTCAACCGAAGTATCCGGGGCCACTACACAATCGTTAGCATGATATTCTCCATCATATGACGACGCCTCCGCATCGTATAGGTGCATACCTGAACAATAACCTGCCTGAAGGAGAAAAGGAGGAGAACGGGCGAAGATTTTGCTACAACAGGCAGCGAGCGCGACGGCGGCCGATCCCGGCTTGGCGACAGCGGCACGATGGCGACGACGACGACAACATGACGTACGTTCACGACTGCGAACCGGTAAGGTTGCCAATTCACAGATGCGAAGCGGGAGATATTCAATACGCATACAGTATCTACCTCTCAATACTTGGAGGGCTCCAGGATCGCGTTGCCGTACGTCTCTTCGTGTGAGAATGTTGGTAGAACCATGTCTATTACCTCTGAAGGGGATTAGCTAATCAGTCGGGTGACCAGCGTGAGCTTACGCCACGGGGACATACAGAACGATCGCTCCTTCCTCCCCGTTATTACAGTTTACGCCACCCGATGATTGTTAGCGAGAGTGTATCCGGCCGCAATGTCACCGACAGACTTGCGGTGCCGTTTATTTCGAACAGCAAACGCTTCTGCGACCAACATGCACCCTCCCTTGATGCCGCTATCTCAAATGCACTCTAGTTTCAATACTGCTTAACCTCTTTATCGCTGAGCGGTACTGACTATGCGGTGAATGCGTCAGTCTTTACCGCGCCATTGGCGGGTTAATGTCCTAACGGAGAGGGTATATATTGTGTCATTCGAAGCATACGGTTGTCGACAGTATTTTAACTGGAGAAAGTAAGTGAGATCCGCCAAGCCGCGGACCAATGTGCCCAACAGACTCAGAGAATCCTACCCAAGGTATTATATAGGCGTTTGATTGTGTTTAACTTCGCAGAGCATGCCATGAACCGCGCTGGTTTGGATTGGGAGTGTACATGAAGTCCGCGAACGGGTACTCACGGGTACTCCCGCCAAAACACACGCTAACACGCCTCGTGGAGGTATTGGGGTGACAATCGATTTAAAGGACAATTTCAATCAAGATTTCGTAAGGCCAAACTCGGGCAGTCCAAAGTATTGCTAACCTACTAGCGCTGAGGGATGTACAACCTGATCTCCATGCAGTCCTTGCTGCGTTTCGTCTAGTGATATGACGGGGTGACCAGCTTCTGCACCTCCGGGACATCCTTCGATAACGACGCCACGATCTCATCCCAAACCTTGCGCTGATATTCTTGACCTTTATCGCCTCGCAGCAAAACCGCCGGTCTAGGACATCGTCAGCTCCATCACGAAGAATTTTGCAATGTATTGCACTCACGGCTGAACCTCATCATCCCTCCAAAAGCGGCCGTGAGCCTTCTCCGCCTCGGCAACGCCACTAATGTACGTCCTCGCACCCTCTTCGGTCGAGCGCTGGAGCAGTGAGGCGATGGCCAGCACTGGCCGCAGCGCCCAATTCTTCTCAATCTCCCTCGACAAGGATGACTTGGTGAATCCAGGACACACGGTTACTATGTACACGTCCGGCTTTGAAGCGGAGACTGGCTTGGCAAGCTCACAGAGGCCGGCCTGAGCGTACTGCACGAAGAGCTTTGACGTGTCGTACTGCCCGCTGAATGCATACCCCTTCTCCGAGTTGTAGGCGTTCAGTATATCGCTTTCCGCTTTCAGTGACGTGAGGTATGTATGGTTCGAGGAACTGACGAGCTCCAGCACAGGTGTGGATGCATTACTCTTGCTAGCTCTGAGTTTCGGCAGGAGAAGCAAGCTCAAGAGAACGGTCGAGAGAAGATTGACTTGCAGTGTTTGCTCCCAGCCATGTTTTGACTGCTCGTACTTGGTCAGAAGAACACCAGCGTTCAACACTGCGACATCAAGATGGTTGAGCTCGGTCTCCACTCTGTTTGTGAAAGCCTTGATACTACCGTAGTCAGCCATGTCGAGCGTCCAGATGTCGACGCAGCCGCGGCGTCCCGTCCGGGCTTCGATCGCTTCCTTGGCTTGCTTGCCTTTGGCCACGGATCGAACGCCGAAGACAACACGGTCTGCTCCAAGTTGGACGAACTTTAGCGCAGCTTCGAAGCCAAGACCGGACTGTGCAAGGTTAGCAGTAGCTATGCGTTTCCGCTGGAGAGCTCGCGCACGCTTGCACCGGTAATGAGCACATTACGGCCTTTAAATGAAGGCTTGGTATCTTTGGGAGGATTGTACTTCATGCGGATAAGGTCGGATAGTGGAGACATGGCAGGGAGCAGGTGAAGGAAAGCTCGAGCAGTACGAAAGCGAGTGTTTGGTGGTGTGCAGTGGGCAACGACGACAGCTGTGTAGGATCCCAGCGAGGCTGTACCGTGAGACTATATGTAACTCACATGCCGTGAGCCCGCTCGGCATACATTCCTAACGCCGGTTTCGATCGTGGCATGGAGATGCCAGGACCTCAGAGGCGTGCATACGGTGGAACGGTGTTAATGCCAGCAATCTCCAGCTCAAGTTCGGCTTGGTCTGATGTGGTATGTGCCTTGTAAAAGAGCGCGTCGTTGGCGGGTGGTTGCTTGACGACGCGAGATCGAAACGGTTAGCGTGCAATCTGCATGCCGTATCAGGCTTAGTTCGATTTGCGTTCTTGCGTCCTATCGTACAACACCGACTTACTACCGTCCATCTGGTGCAGCCTAGGACTTTCAACATGAATGCACAAATGCCCGGACCTCACAGCTCTGCGAGACACAAACCCTGCCCATGCCAACTGTCTACCGTGGCCGGCTGAGCAAAGCATGTGCCGAGTGCAGAGCGAAGGCCACCAGGGTACACTATACCCCACACCCATCAGTGAGCGCTTCTGACTCTGTTGCGGAGCTGACATGTCTCCAGTGTGACACGGCGAGGCCATCATGCGGGCAATGCCGGAGAACTGGCCGGGTGTGCACAGGCTACCAGGACCTCGAGACACTCCGTGTGCTTGACCAGACAAAAGATGTGACGCGGAAGGGGTATGCGAAAGCTAAGCATGCACTGGTAGGGAGGACTGAAGATCCCGTCGTTGTTATGCTTCCTTCGGACTCCCTCGCCGTCAGCGCACCGAAGGTCTTCCCGCAGCCGAAGTACCTTCTACGTAACGCAGCAACAAGCGCCTTCTTCGCCGAGTATGTCAGCATTTGTCAAGGGCCCGTGAAAACAGACTTCGACTTTGTACTGTCTGTATACGACAAATCTAAACCGCATGGAATGCTCTCGAATGCTGTCGCCGCGTTGGGCACCTTGGTGGTGGCGAAGCGAAACAGCGATCCGACAATCTGGACAGCTGCTGCAGTAGAGCATGCATGCACCCTAAAGCAGATTCGAAGCTCTCTGGAGGATGCGGTTGTGGCTATTCGGGATGAAACGCTTGCGACAGTGTCTCTTCTCGCACTGCATGAGGTCTGTCATTGCTATCCCTGTGCCCAGATGCGATCAAAGCTGACTAAACATTAGGGTCTCTCAGTCGGGTTCCCCTACCACAGTCCCTGGATCGCGGTACACTTGGAGGGAGCAGCAAGACTATTGCATCTACGCGGACACAGCCAATTGCGAACCGGTAGTGGCAGGCGCCTTTTCCTAAGGTTGACGTCCATGGTCGTACGTATCAACAATGAACAAGCTCACAGGCCTGCTCTCTCTGGCTGACGTTGTTCGTAGATCTCGAGTTCTCTTCACTGCCGGAAAGCCCTGCCAAGTGTACTGTCGCAGATGCTTTCGTTCGCTCAACAGTTCTGCCGGCCGGACGAGCGTGTTGCCGTCCAGCTCTTCGAACTTGGCGGAAGACTGTGTGAGTTACTCGAACAGCATGTACCGCCCCGAGTCGAGGACGAAGCGCTGTTACTCGAATTTGCGGAGCTGGCGAAGCTGCTTGAAGCTTGGACGGACCGCCTGACGCCTAGCTATGCTGTTGAGACGGTCAGTTCGACGTGGCCTAACAGGTTTTCCTACCGGGGCCAGCATGACGAATATAGCAACCATGTGGCTGCGGCAGTGTGGTGCAAGTACCGATGCATGCTGATCCTAGCGTATGAGGAGACGCGAAGGCTTGCAAAGCACATGCAGTCACTGGAAGTTCATCATGTCGGCCATCATGATCTTCGCTACCTGAGAGTCCATGCTACTGCGCGCATCAAGGCGTCGTCGGAAGACATATGTCGTAGCGTTCAGTACGTTGTGTCGGGCAGTGACACTATGCTCTCGAAAAGCGAGCGCGAAAGGGACAGGACCGTGAGTATGTACGCTGCCACAGCTGTACTGCAACCTCTGCAAATCGCTGCCAGAGCTAGTCCGGAGATCCGACAATGGATCAGCGAGCGTGTAATGTGGATCAGAGCGGAGACTTCGGTCTAGCAGGTCAGCTCTACAATGCTTGCTCAGTGCCTGACTTACGATCGTGCCCGAATGCAAATCTTCACTGCCTTCACGTTACTGCTCTCACACTTGACCTTCCCAGCCTCACCCCTCAAGCGTACGTTACAAAGAACTTCACGCTTTTCCCAAGCCGCTCATAAATCGGACTAATTGTACCTTGCAACCCACGCCAACTGTTCTGACCAACACCTTGCTGGAACAGCCTATATGTTCCGGAAGGGGAAAAGCTGCTGCCTCCCCAGGAACCCTGTGGTCCATGTCCCCACCCAGTTGGCCCGCTAGAGCTACTAGCACCAGTACCAGTACTGTACTCAAGATGGCAATATGGCACAAAGTCCGCACCGGAGATAGCTAGCCCCAGGAGGTCGCCTTGCTGCACAGTGGCATTGGAAGTTACTGGTACGTTGGCGACGTCGAAGACGTAGGAGAGACTGGTCCGGTTGAAGGTGGCTGTGCCCATGGTTGTGTATTTGTATCTCCAATGCCATGTCAGCGGAGATTACTCATCGCTCCTTGTGTGGCAAACAACTCACTCAGGCGCAATGAGATCGCTATAACTGTCAAACCTGAAGACGGTCAAAGACAGCGGTACGGTCTGCACGCTCGCAGCAATGTTGACGGAGACACTGCTAATGGTGCCGGCCTTGGCCGCCGTCCATGTCTGGTAAAGAACAAATTGATCCGAGTCGCAGACGTAGTCATACTGAAACACGATTAGTACCGCTCATGGACAGTGGTTAGTCGTCACACGCCTGCCTACCTCAGCAGATAACGGCGTAGCTTGTCCGGCCATGGTAGCGTTGCCGGATGCAACGGTGCCATTTCCAGCCTGAAAGTCGACCGTAAATTGAGCCTTAGCGGCGCAATTCAGGTCTTGAACTGAGCCATCTCCGTTGAACTGCAACGGCTGGAAGATATGCCCGCCGAAGCCGACTCTTGGGCCTCCGGGCACGGAAGTCGAGTGCCAAATATACGTCGTCTGGCCGGTGCTAGGGTTCACAAGCGGTAGCACGCCCTCTACTTGTCCATTGCACGAGTAGCCTGCAATGATCTGTCTCATCCATGGTCCTTGTATGCTGGCTGAACGATATACCAAACCAATGGATCCGTTACAGTATCCGCAGGTGTTCGAGGCCACTATGTAGTATATCCCATTCCGCATAAAGATGTCCGGAGACTCGGCCTCCTGATCAATGAGGTCATCGGCGACGGAGACCACAGGATAGCTGATCTCTGTGGTATTCTCCAGGTTGGACGTCAGCTGGCTGGCATGCAGCGTCTGGAAGATAGGAGGCCAGAGGGATCCTGCCCGTGGATCACGGAAGTTGAGCGCCGAGAAGACTATATAACCGGTGTTGTTTAAGATCTCCACAGTGAAGTCGGCGGGCTGAAGACCATTGAATTGCGGGTCGATCGCAGCCGGCGAGCTCAAGAAAAAGAACGGTCCAGATGGGGTTGAAGAAGTAGCCACAGGATAACCACTCGAGCCAGCATTGGCCCAGAGAATATACAACTGGGTGATGGGATTGAAGACGATATGTGGACGACCGCAGCCGCCCAGGTCGTTGCAAGGTGTATTGCTGTATGGGTCGAACAGGAAGCCTTCGTATTTCCTGAATGAACATCAATTGACGACAAATCGAATAGGGATCCGCATATAGTACCAATTAATCAGATCCACCGAGCTATAGGACTTGATACCGAATGCCACACCCTCGATCGCGAAGCTGTTGCCATAAAGATAGTAAACGCCATTAAAATTGCTGATCTTGCTGCCATAGGCGTCAATCTGATTACCGTCTACATCGAAGAGCAGGCGAATGTTGTTGGTAAACTTGACCTGAGCTGCATCGCAGACAGCGGCGAGGGATGCTAAAAGTACGCTCAATCTCATGATGGCTCGCGTACAGTTTCAAGGAAGACGGACGGCAGAGTAGGCATGGAAGAGGGGCAGTGGTTTTATATGACAGTTGCACCAGTGCTGTCAGACTGGTCCGTCGCTTGTGTATACCATCCGATCCTTTGAGACTCGGAAGCGACGTCAAGGCGTATGAGGCGCCGTCTGCGGAGCACTGCAGTAATGGGAGGCGGTCACGAACCTTAAGAGCATGCTCGGTGGATCTCACACCGGTGCCTGCAGCGCATGAAGCTGTGGAGAATGCTAGATGGCGCACACGAGAAGGTGAGGCAGATCTTTGCGGCACTTAGGGCTTCTCGGTTGTTTCGGAGATAGTATCGACAACGATCACGTTTTCACGTGTCGCATCCGAGCTCGACTAGAAGAGAGAGGGGCGTCCGTGCTCAAGTTCTGTTTCTCGAGTCGCGACGTGACGGCAGCCGATGTTTCAATACGTTCATCGGTTGGCTGCAGCAATGGGAACAACCAAGGACAGCAACACCGCCTTCGTCAGACCAGCACAGATGGACCGACACCATTCTCATGGACGATCCGTGCTCGGCGAGGTGTCGCCAAACGTGAAGACGGCTATGGCGCCCACAAGCATGCTGCAGGGAAACAAACCATCGATGGGCAGCCCGCTGAAGCGCACGTTCAATGCCATGGCGGAGAATGACGCTGGCTTCACGTACCTCAAGAAGCGGAAGATGTCGGACGACACGGCTCTAAGCCCCATAGACGGAATACACGCCCCTACGCGTTCTATCTTCGACGCAAAGACGAAGCCTGCAGTGGACATAGTAGGCTTTCCGCAGCAGGAACCGTCGCTTGCAAATCTAACAGTATGGCGCCATGTTCACCGTATCATCATTTTAAGGTCTGGTCACTGACATCGTACAGGGTCTTGTACCGGTACCAACCATTGAGGAGCCATGTCTCACTGAGCCAAATACACCGTCTGATGGCGGAGACGGCACGCAGGACTCATCGGTCGAGAGGCGGTCCTTTTCCTCACTGATCAATTACGACCCGTCTTCGCAGCCTTCCAAAACCCTCCTCGAGTCTGTCTCCCGAGCGGAGATGCTTAAGCTGCGCCTGCGGGTAGCACTGTACAAAGTCCGGACGAACCAAGTGGATATACCTTTCGAGAAACTACGTGCCGACACGCCAGAGAGTCTGGCAAGTCGAGCAGTGGAAGAAGCGGTGGCTGAGCTGCGGAGAGAAGCTCAAGAAAGACTGTCGCTTCAGCGCCCGCCCGTGTCAAAGCTGCTCCCTGGGCCTGTACTTTTGCCGACGGCGTACAGCAGCCGCACCATCTTCGAGCCGTTGCTTGCTGCGGAATTGCAGCATGATGCAGGATCTCGATCACCACTGCGAGGCACGCAGCCGCACGGCAGCCAGCAAAGTCGGACGCCGCAGACTGCAGGGAGGCGGATGCTGTATGATGAAGCAGAACTTACGAGCAGTGGCATCAAGGGGAGGGTTGCGGAGGGTCTTCTGGGTCTGCGCAACGCTGTTTGAGGTGCGATCAGTGCTGTGCATCAAATGTCCGTGACATCTTCGCTGTCTGCCCGACTAGCCGCTAGACTTCTCTGCTGTCATGGTGAGCTGTTGTATAGCTAGGAAGTAGACTTGCCCGAGGGGACATAGCTGCTATGCAAATGTTTACTCGCTTTCCAACATTATTTTCTCGGCGTCTGCTGCCAATACCGATAGGACGGCCTTTAGCCGAAGGCTCGGCTCCCAGCTCCGGAAAGGGAAGGTGCACAGGGCCCTTTCTAATCGCAGCTGTCGCAGCTTTTGGCCGAACCACCCAAATTGAGAAAGCGTCAACAGCTACCATGTTAGACTTAACATTCTCTATGCACACTTTGGCCGTGATTGACTCAGTGTTTGCTGCGAAAACCTAAGTAACACTGCAGGGAGGGAACTAAGTCCGATCAGTCCTTGACCGTAGTCAGTCCAACTTAATGCAACTCTGCTTCTACACTTTGCGTGCATTCCTAAGCCAGACTCATTACCAGTGTCATAGAGCGATTGATCAATCTGCAGCCCGTCCTTCTACTCCACCACGATGCCGGTAAAGATCCTCGAGGCCGAAGATGCGGACATGAAACGAGTTTTCGAATGCGCGGCATTGGCTTTCGACCGAAATGAGCCGTTCTTTGACATAATCTACCCCAAGCACTGGCTCGACACCGGACGAACGCAAGGTGGGGAGCGGATGTGTCAAATCAAGAACAGCGACCCACATACGACATTTCTGAAGGCTGTAGATGAGGAGAGTGGCGTGATCATGGTGAGTTTCTCCGTTCAGGAGCTCAGCGACTCGCGAGCATCCACCCTTGTAAACATGATCTTGGCCACTATACTTCAGATCAATGTAATACGACGGTACGTGTCAGACTGAGACCGTACGTTCATAGGGTATGGCCAAATGGAACGTCTACGCTCACAACACCTTACCGGACCTCTCAGCAGTCCAATACCGTGAGAACCTCTGGGACAGCGACGACGGAATGGCCTACGCGAGCACGTTGGTTAACGTCTTCCTCAAGGAGCGCAACGCGGCGATACGACAGTCGGGCGGTAACCTAGTAAGCCTGGATATCCTTGCCATCGACCCGAAGTATCAGAGGCGAGGCGTCGGCGATGCCTTGGTCAAATGGGGCACTGGTAAGGCGGACGAACTCGGAGTGCAGGCTGTCGTTGAGAGCAGCGTGTTTGGCAAAGGGTTGTATGAGAAGAACGGTTTCGTTTTCATTAAAGATGTGAAGGTGGAAGCACCTGAGCCGTGGCTAGGAAGGGATGCTGGGCAATTTGCTTGGCTGATCAGACCTAAGAAGTCATAGCATAGCCGAGCACCGTACGAATTGCACACCGCACAGCTGCACTGTTCGATCGACGTACGGAAGAGTGAAAGATAGCAAGAGATCGAAATGATGTACGCTATGCTATATCATCGTTTCGTTCGTCACAATGCCAAAAGGTCCAAGTGCTAGTGCTGGTACTAGACGGCAGCTTTTACCGCCCCGTCCACCTTAGCGTGACCGACACAGGCTGATTGCTCGCGGCATACAACTGTCCATGCGTAGTACCGGTCGGTACTGCAGCAGCGCCAAAAATGTCACTGCCGGCATACTGGAGAAGGTTGCCGTCAGCGTAGAAGGCCGAGCCTGTTGTGACAGTGGAAGCGCAAGTAAGATTGCCACCAGTCACAACAGCGCACAGACCCTTGCTCGTTTTGAGCGTGAAAGGGCCAGTGCCCGTGGTAGTGTTTGAGTTGTAAGTGGCAGGGGTACCGCCGCTGTTGTACCAAGTACCATCCGAGATCAGGTTGCCCGTCTGCGTGCCATCGCTCGTGATGACGTATATGTACCCAGGGCCAACGAAGGGTACAGCGGAGGCGCTGGCGCTGGCACTGGCGCTTGTCGAGGCAGGAGACACCGTGGCTGTCGCGGCAGTCGAGCTTGCGGAAGTCCTAAGGCCATTCACGTTAGCTCGTACTTCTGAAGCTCTGACAAGCATGATTACGACTTACGTGGTAGATGTGGCTGGGCAGCCAGCCTTCGGCAGATACTTCACGCCGGTGGCGGCACAACTGTTCGAGCCGGTTTGGTCGGTTGGGTAGAAGGTGCCAGTCTGGATAGAACCTTGAACATTGAAGTAGTACCAAACCTCGTCAAGCGCACCACCTGAGCATCCAAGGTAGACTGAATGACCACCGAAGTTGGCGGCGAGAGCGCTTGAAATCTGCGCGCTAGTGTAAGTTGTGGTGCAGCTTGGGGTGATGCCAGCGGCTGCAAGCCAGTCGTAGGTCGGTAGAGTCTGGTAGAGACCGACAGTTCGGTTGAAGAAGTCGGGGATCTCCTCGCCCGGTGTATAGCTGCTGTAGCAGTCCGTGTCGAAGGTCGACATGCAGGTACCGTGCTTACCCCATTCGTGCTCCCAGAAGCTCTCCGCAGTTCCACTGTTGCTGACCCAGTAGGTGTTCATGTAGTCGAGTAGATCCTGACGGCCGTAAGACTGAATGATCTGACTAATGTTGGTGTACTGACGAGACTCGTCGCAGTACTGAGCGTAGCTGCCATCACAGTTGTCCGGCCAGAGACCATGAATGGTCCATGAGGTGTTAGGTCCAGCAGCAGCCGGTGGAGTGTCCCAGAATTGTGTCTGAAGAATCAGACCACCCGGAGCTTCGAAGCAGCACGTGTTGTCAATCGCCGTGGTGTTCTGGCAAGACAGCGGGAGGCCGGCCGGGCAGCTGAAGGCGTTGTAGGTGGCGGCAGGAGAAGTGCTAGAGGTGGAAGATGTGGCGGGTACGGCCGAGCTGCTGACGACTGGCGAAGAGCTGCTGACAACTGGCGAGGAGCTGACAACCGGTGACGAGCTGACAACCAGTGACGAGCTGACAACCAGTGACGAGCTGACAACCAGTGACGAGCTGACAACCGGTGACGAACTGACAACCGGTGACGAACTGATGACGGGCGAGCTGCTGACGATGGGCGAGCTGCTGGCGACGGGCGAGCTGCTGGCGACGGGCGAGCTGCTGACAATTGCCGAAGAGGTGACGGTCGGCAATGAGCTGCTCACAACTGGTGAAGAGCTGACGACCACCGGCGTCGAGCTGACAACCACCGGCGATGAGCTGCTGACCGGCGACGAGCTGCTGACGACGGCCGACGAGCTGCTTACGACTGGCGACGAGCTGCTGGCTGCCGGTGAGGAGCTGGTGACAACGATTGACGAGCTGCTCACGACTGGCGATGAACTGCTGGCAACTGATGAAGAACTGCTGCTTATAGACAAAGAGCTGCTTGTACTTCTGCTAGTGCTAGTCGTTAATGTTGGCGTCGGGCTCGAGGAAACAGACGTGCTCGAGCTGCTCGAGAAACGAGTTGATGTCGCAGTGGGTGTGCTGCTTGATGCTATCACAACGGTGGAGCTTGATCCCAGCGAGATAGTCGCAGTGGCGGAGCCTGTTACCGAAGCGGAGGTCGATCGAGACGAAGTACTGGTTGATGCCGGACAGAGTGCCGTTAGCGGGTGGTTGCCAGGGAGGATGACAAGGACGCCATTGATGATGCAAGTGATCTCACGGATGAGAGAAGCAATGGCAGGCATCTTGGCGGTGTTCAAATAGGTGAAAGAGAAACTGCCTGATTGATAGGCAAAGTTTGGGAGAGCGAAGTTACCACTTCTTGTATAGAAATGTCTTGCCTGCCAAGCAGCATGCAGAGCAAAAACGTGGGTGAAGAACCTTCTTCATTATTGCGTCGAGACCACAAGCGAAGAATAAAGGTACAAGTCCGCTTGCTTGGCTTGCAGCAGCAAGGTCGCATACGCGTTTTGGCGTCGCTCCAAATGAGAACACGACGATCCGCTGTGCTTCCTTGGGATGTTTGACCCTGATCGAAGGGTGTCGTCCGGATAGAGACTTTGCTTCTTTGGTGACGAAGATCCCAACATCCCGGAGTGATCGACTGACGGTTTAGATTGATTCTACAGAGAGCGACGAATGGCGTACAGCATCCCACCAGGCACGGCATAGTGTCCTGTTCCGGGGCTCGAGTATCCGGACCTGACGTCTCTTCGGTGGCGATGCCAAGTCCATGTTCTTCAGCTGCCGTCAGAAGGCAAGGGTCCAGCCGCAAAGGTCGACGGCGCTATATGTCAGTGCCTGCATTAGCAGTAGCCCTATAAGCTGTTCGAAGATGTTAGGACCAAGCCTTATGCAAAGCACTCCCACAGTCTTGGCGGCATGCACATATGGTTGGCTGAGAGAAGCTTGGAAAGCGGATCGAAAAGCGGGAGAAGAAAGACGGAAGAAGGCGTAGCTCTTGCCAAGCGGGCCGAGATAGCAGATGTTGAGTACTAGGACGCATCTTGTGGCGTATGGCTGCTTTGAGTGGCCGCTAATGGCAAATTGATGTGCTGCTGGAGGCTCTCAGCTTGGAAGACGCCATTGGCGGCGCGGACTTCCATGAAGATTCTCAAATTTCGGAGCGCTTCCACGTCGTGCTCCCGGCGCAGGAGATGATGGAATGCATGGACCGTCATCTCATCCAGCACTCCATAGATGGCAGAATGTACGATGGACGGCGTGGGTGGCGACGGATGTTGTGTCAAGATGCACGGAATTGGCAACGTACTAAAGTACCCAGCGTTCATGCGGGTCCGAGTGGTCTCCCGGTCTGCGGTTGGATACTTCCGTTCTCCACCATACAGTAACACTGGATCTTACCTATAGGTTAAGACGTGAAGCATCATCGGAACGAGCAAAAGAGCAATCTGAGCCGTGACGCTCGGCATGCACTTGCAGCGACAGTTACCAGGAATTGCACTGTGCCGTTACCTATGCGAAGAAGTGTGATGCTCTCTCTCAACGCCTTCTTGTACAATGAGCGCAAGCCCTTGGACTGACTTGACCGGGAGGCATTAAACAGCCACTTACGTTTGCTTCGAGACGTGCTGTTTGATGGCCCGGAAGCACGAGTTAAATGCCAGTTGACTCGTCTCTTCACATACTTACAGCAAAAGGGTTGATAATGCTAACCATATCTCAAGCCTCACTCTGTACGAGAGTCGCGCAATCTGCAGGTACCCTCGCACGGTAGTACTACTTCCCACTTCTTCCTCCAGAGTCGGATGTTGACGCGATGGCACAGGTCGATCAAGCGCAGCGCTCCGAGATGCTCTACTTCGGAGAGCCAGCAGGCAGAATCGCATTCGAGAAGTTCGCCAAGAAGTTCACCGGGTTGCCTACTGACGAAGCGGCGGTTGTGGATGCACTGAATTCAGTTGAGAAATTCTTCGAGGTTGCAGAATGACTGTTGCAGAATCGATCTTACATGGCTGGGAATCAGTTCACTCTTGTGGATATCTATTACATCCCGTTAATCCAGAGCCTCTTCGCTTGCGGGTATGAAGATGTCGTTATCAGTCGCAAAGCCGTGAAGGCTTGGTGGGTTCGTATCATGGACCGGCCAGCCATACAGAAGTTGTTTGCTGCTGACAAGGAGGCGATGGCGACTGCTGCGGGCAGAAAAGAGTAAACAGTGACGGATTCGGCGACTATGTGATTGAAATCAGGGGACATTGAACAAAACCTTGCTGTCATGTGGCTTGCGGACTATAGCTGGCAGCATCATTACCATACTCTCTTCCATAGACTACGGGAAACTCAAGCATGTCCGAGTATGTCCGATGGATGTGAGTATAAAGTAAATGTATCTGTCCTCGACCTTATCGAAAATGCGATTAGGCTTACGACGGCAATTCCCGCCGCCCACGCCAATTCCGAGGCTGTGATTGCTCCAGCTTACGAGGAATGACAGCATCTCTCACTCCGAGTCCACAAGCACACACGACCATGCGGTAGCCATCACCAGCCGATTGACGGGAAGTTCTTGCAAACGGCTCGTTGACCATGCGCGACCCATTCCCCATCCCCCCTCCGCCCGCGCTGGTCAGCGCCGTCAAGCCTCTCGCCGACTCGCTATCCTTATCCACCCTCCCCATCCACGCACACGAGGTCATCTTCGCGTTCGCCTTCTACACCTTCATCTGCACCGTCGTCTCCCCTTTGCTAGCCCGGACCTTCTGCAAGCAACGCTACGAGTCCTTCACCAAGCGCACGAGGGTGAACTGGGACGTGCATACCGTCTCCTTCTTCCAGGCATGCATCATCGACGCCTTCTCGCTGTACATCATCCTGAGCGACGGGGAGAGGAAGGCATGGCGCGATCCGGAGCGGTACGAGGATCGGATCTGGAGTTACAGCGGCATGGCGGGACTATGTCAGTCTTTCGCGCTGGGGTACTTCTTGTGGGACTTGGTGATCTGCGCATGGCGGATTGACATCTTCGGGTGGGGCATGCTGGCGCACGCGATCAGTGCCGTGTCGGTCTTCGCGTTGGGCTATGTTAGTACTGCCGCGCGACCATTGGTTTGCGTGATTGTGCCCGACTAACGTTGCATAGCGACCATTCCTCTGCTTCTACTGCCCAGTGTTCCTTCTCTACGAGCTCTCATCGCCATTCCTCAACATTCACTGGTTCTGCGACAAGCTTGAACTCACTGGGTCAATCTACCAAGCGATCAATGGCGTCTTCCTTGTGGGCACTTTCTTCTCCAGCCGGCTGGTGTGGGGTCTGTACAACTCGTACAACGTGTTCCACGACTTTTGGATCGCCTACCAGGCCGGCCACAGCTCCGGTGTTGGCCTGATGGGTGACGATGCTGCTATCCGGAACAGCATGTCTGGAGATATGAGCATCTACTACGAAGAGGCACGGCAGCAGCGAGCTTTCATGGGCGAGAAGGTTCTACCGCTGTGGCTACCTATAGTTTATCTCCTCTCTAACCTTACGCTGAACCTACTCAATGTGCGTATGCCAATTGCTTTGTAACCTCTGCCAGCGCTCACGATCAGCAGGTCTACTGGTTCGGCAAGATGATCGAAACGATCCGAAAGCGCTTCGACCCGCCTTTCGGCACCAAAGGGATCGGTCCGGACTTTGTGCACTACGAGCCGCAGGAGAAGATCGACCAGCTGCACAAGGAAGGTAAGGGTTCCGTTACGGCGGGCAGGCAGAAAGCCGAAGAAGCGTTGGGTCAACCGATCCAGATGGACGAGTCGATCGAGTTGCAGAGAGGTGTCTATGCCGACGGGCATAAGTCGGTTGAGGTATCAGGAACTACGAGGCGGAGCGCGCGGACGAGGAGAAAGGCTTGATGGAGAGGACTTACTTATTCGTACGGGCAGATGCAGTACACTGCGACATGATCGAAAATATAAAGTTCCAAGCGATCGAAACTCGGCCCGCGAACTCAGCGAATCTTATCCGGGGAAGGCGAGCAAGACTCTTCGCTCTCACAGCTGATGAAACAGAACTGAGCTAAACCCAGAGGCGCCTTCCGGCAACACGACAAAGTCCGTCACGTACTCAACGTCGACACAGTCACTGATACTCCCTCGTCACCCGCTCACACCACTCCCACAACCTCACCGCCTTCCCCTCCCCATGCTTCCCCATCTCTACCTCCGCCTGCACATCCGCCCTCGCCCCTCCCAACCTTCCCCACGGCCACACATACCCACCATTCGCCTCCGGTCGTCCAGCTTCCTCGCTCCAGCCCGCCCAGAGCTCCGTATACGCCCCAAAGATGGGCGGGTACAGCAACACGATGATGATAATGTACCAGAACAAGTTCATCCTAAGATGACGCCCGAGATCCGTATGCAGGTTACCCGGGTTGAAGGAATTAAAGATCACACCTGTATTGGAATGACGGACAGCGAATTGAGAGCCGAGGAAGAGATTCGCGACTTTCGTCTGTCCGTACGTCTGCTGCGGGTCGTGAGCGTCTTCGATCGGTGCGCCGTCTTCGGTCAGATCAATGCCGCCGGCTGGTCGTGCAGCGACATCGATGCCGATGGAGCCGGCGAAGGAGACGCGCACAGTACCGGGTGGCGACGTTCGGGCGGTTTCTTGCAGGATGGGTAGGAGCAACTTTGTCAGGAGGTAGGCGCCGAGGATGTTGGTTGCGGCTTGCAGTTCGTGCCCTTGGGCTGATTTGGAGCCGATTGGTGTGCTCATCACGCCGGCTAGCGGAGTCAGTAGGTAGAGAGAGCAAGATTGGTTGTGGGATGGCGACGTTACCATTGTTGATGAGGACATCGAGCCTTTTCTCCCTGTCCAAGAACGTCTGGACGGCGCCTTTGATGGTCGTCAGGTCGCTGAGGTCTAGCTTCATGAATTCGAGCCTGCCCTGGACGGAGGGTACTTCGGCCTTCATGTCGGTAATGGCTTTGGCCGCTTTAGCGTCACTCCGTCCGGCTATGTATACCGTGCCATTACGCTGGTACAAAATCCTGACTAATGCCAAACCGACGCCATTGTAGCCACCGGTGACGATGAACACGCGTCCAGTCTGATCTGGTAAGCTGTGCTCGGTCAAGGGTGGTTTGGGGATGAAGAAGGACTGTTGGAGGAAATGGGAGAAGGGAGACATTTTGTTGCAGAGGACAGGGCATACAGTGGCGGTATTGGAGATGTGTACCCGGTGCGGAAGTCCACTCATCTATCACCTCACATCGAGCAGCGGTACAGATGAATAATACGGCGCTTAGAATGGCATGAAGCAGCGCGGGATACTCACGCCCTTCCGTGTAAGCACTATTGGCGTGCAGTAGCAAGACTTGCATATCAGACTTGAACCAGTGTCAATCAGCGAACAAGATTAGCTGTGATGATGTGAGGTGAAGCCACTGGAGGGACAGCAAGACCGAGTCAGCCAATCGCGATGCTATGCGAACGGGAGGATGAAAACATGATTTGGCCGCACTTCGCAACGTTGCTGCAGTCAGCAAAGCTCCACGTTTGCACCCTAGAATTAGCTGGGGCAGGTACGACGCGGTCATGCCTTAGGCCCCCGATTTAGTCAGTTGAGCTTGGTCCAATGACGCCGGAAAAGCTAGTAAATTTTGGAGCTTCGATGGTGCACAGTGTAAACTGCTGTCGCTCACTCGATCCATCAATGCAACAATAACAGCAATGGCACGCGGTCGTTTCAGAGGCCGCGGAGGCGGCGGCGGTGGCGGACGTGGGCGGGGTCGTGGTAGAGGCGGTGGTGGTGGTGGCGGGGGACGGCAGTATGTCGATAACCGACAGTCGTTCGAAGACGTGAACAAGCACAATGAGAAGATGGAGCGCTTCTACAACACCATCGACATTGTACCGTCTGGAGCTGATCGGGATGCTTTCTGGGCCGCATTACGAACAGAATTGCCAAACTCGTTTCGCTTCACGGGCTCCAAGGGTCACGCACTCAGCGTTCGTCGGAACCTCGTCGAGCGCTTTTTTCCTGTCATCTCACAGATCAAGCATGAAGGGAAACCAGTCGCACTACCGCAGGTCATGCCATGGTATCCGGAGGGTCTGGCGTACAGTATGACGACGCCAAAGAATGTTATCAGGAAGTATGAGCCTTTCAAGGAGTTTCAGAAGTTTCTGGTCAGCGAGACTGGCGTTGGGAACATCAGTAGACAGGAGGCTGTCAGCATGATCCCACCGCTACTGCTGGATGTGCGGCCTGAACATACTGTGCTCGATCTTTGTGCGGCACCAGGCAGCAAGAGCGCCCAGCTGGTCGAGGCTGTGCATGCTGGCGAAGAGGAGCGAGTGGAGAAGGCTATCAAGAGAGCCAAAGGTGGCGAGAGCGTGGAAGGTGATGGTCTGGGACTGTTTGAGGAAGAGCAAGGCCGCTCTACAGGCTTGTTGATTGCGAACGACGTCAATTATCAACGCGCGCAGATGCTGGTTCACCAGGTCAAGCGGCTTAACTCGCCGAACTTGATCGTCATGAACCATGATGCGACGATGTTTCCTTCGATTGAGCTGCCGTCGACCTCAACGTCCGGCCAGCAGAAGAAGGGACGGTATCTGAAGTTCGATCGAATCCTAGCAGACGTACCATGCTCCGGTGACGGCACATGTCGCAAGAACCCATCCATTTGGAAGGAGTGGTCCCCGCAGAATGGCTTAGGTCTTTACATCACCCAAGTGCGCATCCTCACGCGAGCATTGCAGATGCTGAAGGTCGGTGGCCGTGTCGTCTACAGCACTTGTAGCATGAACCCGGTCGAAGACGAAGCGGTCGTTGCATCCGCGATTGAGCGCTGCGGCGGTGTGGCCAAGGTTAAGCTACTCGATTGCAGCAACGAGCTACCAGAGCTTGTGCGTTCCCGTGGACTTACAGACTGGTCCATTATGAGCCGTACCGGCCAGATCTACGAGTCATGGGCCGAGGCTGAGCAATATGAGCCGGATGGCAGCAAAGTTGCGCCGGGCATGTTTGCTCCGGAGGAAGCCGAGAACATCCCACTCCAGCACTGCATGCGAGTCTATCCGCATCAGCAAAACACAGGAGGCTTCTTCATTGCGGCACTGGAGAAGCTAAGCGAGATCCGGGCGAAGCCGGAGGCGGACAGCAAGTGCATGAACAAGCAGTGGGCCTTCAGTATCCCATCCGCCGACGGCGAGGGTGCAACGAACACTGCGTTTGGCGAGCTGATGGCTGACGTCAGGAGTGAACCTGTCGATGAGCATGGCCACCTCCACAAAGCTAACGGTGAGCCGGTGCATGGCGATGGCAATGTTTCTGCTGCACAGCGGCAGAACTCGCCAGACACTAACGGCGTGAAGCGGAAGGCGGAAGATGTGGAAGACGAGATCGACACCAAGAAGGTGAAGCTTGGTGATGAGCCTGACGATTCTACCGCTACAGCGGATACGTCACGTCGTGAACGCTGGCCCTTGCCACCCTCGGTCGCCATGGCCGTGAAAGCTGAAGGCGGCGAGCCAGGCTCGGATGTCGTGAAGCCCGAAGTCTCTTCTGACGACGCGCACATACAGCGTGAAGTCCAGGACGCAGCCGCCAATGCTCCCTTCGACTCATCGCTCCCCCGCCAAGCTCACCCTCTGCCAGCCAAGCCACCACTCACAGAACAGCAGTCGAAGCTGCAACAGCAACAGCAGCAGATCAAGCAAGAACAACCCTCACAACCAACCCACAACCCGCGTAAGCGCGGAGGCGACAACCAAGCCGCACTCGAAGCCTTCAAATACCTAACCCCCGACCACCCAGAACTACAAGGCATTTATGCTTTCTACCAACTCCACCCCTCGTTCCCCCGCACGCGCTTCCTCGTGCGCAACCCTGCCGGCGACCCAGTGAAGGGGATCTACTACTCGTCCGCCCTGGTCAAGGACATACTGACCCTGAACTCCGAAGGCAAAGGCATGAAGTTCGTGCACGCCGGCGTGAAGATGTTTATGAAGCAGGACGCGCAAGGGCAGGAGGGGGTGTGTCGATGGCGCATCCAGACGGAGGGGCTACCTATCATTGAGGGATGGGTGGGCGATGATCGCGTGGTAAGGTTGAGGCGGAAGAAGACATTGAGGAAGTTGTTGGTGGAGATGTTCCCCCGTGTCGGGAGGGTGAAGGGGGAAGGAGGGGCGGGGAAGGAGGGTTGGGAGGAGTTGGGCGAGATTGGGACGCAGGTGCGGGATATGGGGATGGGGTGTTGTGTGCTGCGGGTTGAGGCGAGTGGGGAGGAGGATGGGTTCAAGGAGGGAGAGGAGATGGCGTTGCCGGTTTGGAGGAGTTTGAATTCGGTCAACCTCATGTTGCCGAAGGAGGAGCGGAAGGCGATGTTGTTGCGGATTTTCGATGAGGATCCCGAGTTGATCAATCATTCTGAGCAGGGGAAGCAAGGGGGCCAGAGGAACTTGTCTGGGGAGCAGCCAAGCGCCAAAAGGCAGGAGGGAGTCAAGCGTGAAGATCAGGCTTCGGCAGTTAAGGAGGAGGATGCGGAGCGGAAGCCTGTCAAGAACGAGGGTGGGCAGACAGCCGGGTCTTCGTCGGCAGAGGGACTGACTAAGGAGTTCGAAGCGAGGCTGGAGCAGGCGGATGACTCTATGCCGGCCGATGACTTTACGTCTGGAGTTGGTACTGCGGAAGCGGTCACGGAGGCGGAACTTGACGGTTCCGCGCGTGCTTTGGAGGCGAGTGCGTTAGCGGAGAGGGATCGGATGGAAGCGGAGCGGTTGGAGGAGATGGAGGATGAGAATACGAAGATTGTGAATGCGATGCCGGAGAGGGATGGTGAGGGGGATGAGGCGAACACGACGGTTTGAAATTGAGTGTAGCAGTATGACAGTGACTCGGTGGGCCACGGCTGCAACGGTCTTAAGCGATTGTGTCTGCCAAGTCTGGCCTGAGTTTCCTTCTACTTCTTCCCTCGACCAACCACAGCAGGCGTAATGCGCTGACTGGCTTTAGACCGAACGCGGACGATGTTTACTATGCCAAACGCTACTCTGCTGAGGTATAAGTATGGCTCCACGTCCTGTTTTCCCTTCTCACCTTTTCTATCATACCACCGACCAAGCGTCTACGAACTGTTCATCGCGTTGCAATCACTTGCATCCACGGATCTTGTATCCCTCTCCCTCGCAAGGTCAGCAAGCCACTAGCAGACCATTCCGCAAGCATACCCACAACATGAACTCACACATTAAAACCAGATGCCTAATCCTCTCCGACACCCACGGCGAGGACGTGGACATACCCGCCTCCGAACGCTTCGACGTCGTGGTACACTGTGGCGACCTTACTGAAGAGTCCAAACTAGCGGAGTTTCGAGTAGCACTCAATACGCTTCGAGCAATTAACGCGCCTCTCAAACTAGTCATACCAGGCAATCATGACTTCACCCTGGACACGCCCAAGTTCAAACAGAAACTCGCCGACGCTGGTCTTGCCGCAGACGATGAACGTGTGAAGCGGGCGTATGGCGTGGAGGGAGAAGCGAAGGCGTTCTTCGAAACGGACGAAGCTCAAGCCGCTGGCATCAACCTACTAAATGAAGGTAGCAGCCGATTTATCCTGGCAAACGGGGGCGAACTGACCGTCTTCTCAAGTCCGTACACCCAGTCTTTGCACGCAGATTGGGGCTTCCAGTACCGTGTCGGCGAGGAACACGAGTGGGATATCGAACCGGGCACGGATATCGTTATGACGCATGGTCCGCCTCGGGGCGTACTGGACTATACCGACTCGCGGCAACGAGCTGGCGCTGCGGATCTTTTCGCCGCGATCGCCCGGGCGAGACCGAGGGTTCATTGTTTCGGGCATATTCACGAGGGCTGGGGTGCGAAGAAAGTGACTTGGCGCGATGGGGTGGCGGAGGAGAAGGTGTCGCATTTCACTGCCATCGATAATGACGGGTCTGGGGTTGTTGAGAATTTAGCTGGGATTAGGCCGAGGAGTTTCGATACGGTGGAGGAGGGTAAAGAGAAGGAAGGGAAGCTTGAGGGGTATAGGCGGAGGGGTTATTGCGTGGCGACTGCACCGGGGATGAATGGGAGAGAGACGCTGTTTGTTAATGCGGCGATTGAGGGGAGTGAGGGGTATCCGCGTCAGTTGCCGTGGCTGGTGGAAATGGATTTGCCGGTGCGGTGAGGTGAGGTGAGGTGAGGTGGATGGTTAGGGGAGGCGAACGGCGGCCAAGTTATGAGGAGGACATGCTGGAAACAGTGATCGGGTGAACGTGCAGCAGGACAGTATGCAAGAGCAATGAGCGCATTCCCAACCCCATTCAGTGCGGATGTGCTCCTGTTATCAGAACACATGCCTGTTACATAAGACATGCATTTGGGGATGCTTGTTGCGAGGCAACTCCACTCGCGCCTTCCCAGTTCACCAGAATGGTAGTCGCACCTGTATCCGCCACCTTCCCTGCAACAGAAGTGGAGGGGGGGTGGAAGCCTGGTTTCTGCTGCCTACAGCTTCGACTCCTTCACTCGTGCCACATCATCTCACATTACTCCACCGCATCGCTCACTCGCACGTCATCTGCCCAGCATGCCCTTCGACTTCGGACGTGGGGAAGCGCTGCCGCCCGCTCGTGGTGCCAAGTGCGAGGTATGCCAGCCATGAGCGGTAGACGCCGAATAGTGGTGCTGGGAAGAGTAGCTCACTCTCCACACTTCTAGTCACCCTTCCGCAGCTTCGCCCGTGATGCGGGTGCGGGTTTACTCGGATACCTCATCCAGCGCAGAGTGGCGCCCAGCTTCCTCCACGAGATCGACCACTTCCTCCGCGCTCACCCGGAGATCGCTGCGTACAACCCGGCGTTTGCGCGACTAATCAACCAGGTCCCGGTGCTGGCCGGGTACCGGTTCTTCATGAAGGGTTACACCAAGCCGGCGCGGTATTGCGATCAGGTCCGTACCTGCCCTGCTTGACAGACGGCGAGAGTAGAAGATGCTCTTTCATCGCAGACGCTGCTGACGACGTTAATTAATGCAGGCGCTGCCCAACATCAGCAATCTTCCACGAGATATGCCGCAATCGCAATGCGCTGTCCGCTTCGATTCTGAGATGAGGGACTTCTTTGAAGGCCACCAGTTCGCTCGTTCCCCATCCACTCCCACGGTGGAGCGATACACCGCTGATACTCTCACAGATACCGGACCGACATCCTCGCAATGATCGACAACCATGTCAATGCTCTTATTGCCGCGCATAGCCAAGGGCAGCATCTCACCTTTGATCAGCGGAAGCTCATGGTGTATGCCTGCTTCGGCAATGTCGCTGACGCGTACCGTTTCTACGAGTGTCAGTTCTTGTTAAAGCAGTAGTCCGAGTGATTGAGCTAAGTCATTTGCCAGATAATTACCAAACAGAGTGGCTGGAGCACCGCTACTTGCCCGAGCATGGTGTGTTCGCCAATCATATTCTTTTGCGAGGATGAACGTTAACGTTTCGCAGTCGTGCTCTCCGAAATCCCAAAAGAGCACGGCAGACTAATGCCATACCCCCATCAAATGTCCGGCCCCGACGAGCACTGCCCCGAAAACCGCCGCTCCTTCCCCGCCACTCGCGCCCGCATGGCACGAGCAAACGACGAAGGCGTCGACGTCCTCGAAGTCTTGCTCAAAGACTTCACTGCCCAACTCTGCCGTAATGGTCTCAACCGTACCGAAATCGAGCGTATGCGCGTCGAAGCGGTCCGGAATATCAACCATCAGCGTGAAATGGGCGGAGGCCGTGGTTTGGTGAATATGGTGATGAACCGCGCTACCATGACCCAACCGGCGACTTTCGGGCGACAGCAGAGGAAGAAAGTCCGGACCCGACTTTCTCAAATTGAGACATTGAAGAAGAGTTTGAGGCGGCTCAATGACCAAGAGGCTTCGCTCACTAGGGACTTGCAGAGGGCGGGGAGACTTGCCGCAGTAGTGGCCAAGAGACAGCGCGTGGAGAGTGAGCTGGTGGTCGAGGTGACGTCTCTTGCTATGAGTGCGGGAGAGATGGTGCCGAAGGAGGCGGGCCATTGGGTGAGGCTGTTTGGTAAGAAGCAGCAGGAGAAGCGGGAGCGGGCGGGCTGGCGGCTGGATGTGTTCTACGAGCTGGCGCGGTTTATGTGATGGTATTAGCGTTGCGTTGGCTGGCACGTGAGGTACTGGTGATGCGATGGTGGCACGAGAGGCGTTAGCGTACTGTGTGTGTGGCGCATCGTCTTGTTCCAAGAGCTATAGCGGGTTGTGTAAGTTCATCGGCGTCGTGTGGGCTAACGTACGGAGTTTGGCGCGAGAAGCCTGGAAGTGTTAGTGGACGCTTGATTGTACTTCCAGAGCGGCGCGCTTCATGTGAGCCGGCCAGTCCTTTTGTAAGCTAGTAGTTTCAGTAGGGAGGATGGGATGCTGTCAAGTCTATACAAACGGTATCTCACTGATTGGTATCCGCACACGTGAGATCAGCTACCCAACACGCTTACTTGATCAATGTAGCTCCGCAACGCCGACCGCTCAGAATGCCCCTCTGTCAATTTAGAACACGCTGATGTCTAGAACGATCGTCAGTCAAGAATACTTCCGATGATAGGAATGGCACTTACAATTGTTTATCCGGTCCTTCTGGTTCTGCGCGATGCACTCGGCGATCCACGTGATATTCCGGATCTCCTGCAAAGCACACCAATATCAGCAACACGAACACACGACTCAGCTCGGGTAGACAAGAGTCGTCGAAAGGGGAGGTACTCACCTGCTCCCTCAACTTCACCCACGCATACACAATGGCATGCGTGAACTGATACGTAAACGCCAACTTGGCAATCTCCATCTCCCGCTCATAAAACAAATCCTCCAAACTCTTCCCCTCATCCCCGGCCCCGATCCCGCCACTCTGATTCCCCAGTCCACCCCCACCCCCACCACTTCCACCACCCATGCCGGTCTGATCCATCATAGTCTTGTAATCGTACACCCCGTCCACCGCTATCCGCACGCCCTCGACATCCTCCGCGCGACTCAGCATCAGTGTTCCCTCTGGGTGCAAGCGGCCGAAGTTGGGGTACAATTTCTTGCGGTCTTGCTTGCTGAGTTCCGTGCCGAAGGAGTTCAGGGTGATATTGATGCTTCGGCGGTCCGCTTCGAACATGAGCGCCTCGCTCATCACTTCTTGCGTGGGTGTGCCCTTCAACCCGGGCTCTTCGTTCACGAAGCGGTAGAAATCCTCCAGGTAGTTCTTGTAGAGCGTATTCCGCACGATCTCGATGTTGAGTTCATCCAGGTCCTGGTGGCTTAGACTTCCTTTAAAGTACGGCGCGAGCGGGGTTTCGATCAACACGGAGTTGTACAACTCCTCCACGTTCGTCGCCACGCAGAGCACCGGCATCGTCTCGAACCAGCCCAACGGATGACACCGCTCCAACAACTCCCTCGTGTCGCGCTCATGCAACGTCCCCGTGATCAAGAGCGCGACATTGTCGATCATGTACGCATACGTCAGGTAGTCCATGAATTTCGCCAAGCTGCCCGTCGAGTTGGCCTGGACGTACCGGAACTCGGCGACGAGTTTGTCGAGGGTTTTGTCGGCGAGGGAGGAGGTGGAGGGGTTGGGGGGGAGGGTGGAGAGGAAGTCGCCGTAGGAGGGGCCGAGTTGGAGTTTGACGTCGTCGATGGACTCGCATTGGATGAGGTTGTTGTAGGAGGTCGAGGTGAGGAGTTGGTTGCGGTAGCCGCGGACGATGCCCTCGACGTAGCCGCCGCTGACGTTGTAGAAGCTGTGGCGTTGTGTTAGTTGGGTGTGGTGGGGTTGGAGGAGGTGGTGGTGGTGGTGTTACGTACAGGCCTTCCGCCATGGTCAGGAGGGAAGAGTGGAGGACGGAGGATGATGGAGAAGTGTGCGTATCGATGTCACCTGCGCATGCACTTGGTGAGCTTGAAGAGTGGCCAGGGTCCGTGCGCAGATATTGCTTTCGGTGGCGTCACGCCCTGACTCCATGTTCTTTCCTCTATTCATCTACTCATCGCCTCATCGCTAAGATACGACATAGCCCAAAGTAGACTTGTGATTCAAGGACTTAGAAAACTACTGGAAGGATAACGGCAATTGTGAGTAATGAAAACCGGCTAAGTATCACATGAACTTCTTACGCTTTTGCATCTCTCCCCTTTGCTGCATTGTAAGGCCTCAAACCCAAAAAGACCAGCATCTTCATTGAACTCGGAAACAGTCACTGATTCGGTCATGATAATACCGAGGCGCACATCGAGTGCAAGCCGCATCGCCCAACTACCCAGCGCCGATGCCGTGAACAGAAAAGGCCCATGACTGCGCCGTGACAAGTATGGTGGATACCCCTTAGCTGCGCCATAACCTTGTGTTCGTCGAAATAACTAACGCTAGTCGAGCTCCATAGCATGCGCAGAGCAGCCCGCATCCGTTTTCAGTGCTGCACTTTCCTGCGCGTGATACGCACTCTCCGGCATACTATGCGAAGATTCTATCACCCCATTCCCCTGCCACACTTGCTCACCGTTCGTCTCACCCAGGCCCGCCAGCACTGGATCTAACTCCGCAGAAAGATGGCCACCTGGAGCCGCAAGATGTAGCGCAGGCAGGAGTTTCAGGCGGGGAACCAGCTGCGCGGGTTCAGTTGTCACAAGTCTCGCTTCGTGGAGATCATGCGAGAAGATATAGTAGACCTGCTGCCCGCTGTACACATTCCGAGCTTCGACCAGATAGCCAGGCAACGCGCTGTTTTCGAACCAAACGACAACATCCTGTAAGCTTGGGTAGTGGTTCTGGATCCATTTGGAATAGGCTGCTTGGACAATCTGCGACGCTTCGTTGGCATCCATGCGCTTCCAGCTGATACCCAGAGTACGCGTGGCTTCGTCGATCAGTGGCTCGGTCGTCGCCTCCCGGATTTGCGGTGGCAGGACAAGCTGCGCTAAGTCGTCTGGACCGCTGGCGATCATGCTTTTGCGCTGCGATTTGCGACTTGATATTGATGGTCGCTTGTTGTGCGAGAACTGAAATTGCTTGCGCTCCGCGCGCTCTTCGACCCACGTACCAGATTGCGACTCCGCTGCTTGTTGGTAGCCTGGCTCATCTGGATACATGAGAGTCATGCCAGGTCCGTACACCGGTTTGCCACGCGGTTGAGGCATCTCACCGTTGATTGGAGTTACTATTGAGCCATCCTCGAGCGGTCCGTCCTCGTCCTCATCGAATATGTTGCCTCTGGACCGCTTACGGCCGGCAATCGAGCCTGGCGTTGCGGGGACGGAGTTAGACGTGGACGCGCTCGGTACTGGATTCATGCCATGGTCGGTGTTGATGTATTGCGCAAAGTAGTTGTTCGGGAAGTACCCGTTGGCCTGCATTGGCGGCATACCAGCGGACGACGGAGTGAATGTCCCATCCTGGATCGACATGGCGGTGAAGCGGAACGTGCCACTGAAGAAAGGGTCTGCCGGCAAGCACCATTCGCCTGAAGGCCAGTGATAGCTCGCTCAGAGCCTGCGACCCTCTATGCTTGCAGGACGATGCTGCGTGCTCTGTCTGCAATCCTCGGCGCAAAGTTGATCAGTCGCAACTACATGCGATGGAGGAATGTGCCGTATGTGAACGTTCAGCGCAAGCAAAAACGGTCCCCGGACTTGTGCTACGCTTTTAGAGAAGAATATACATGACGCGGAGTCTGTAGGTATGAAGTGCAGTTTCACTTCAACATCATGGAAGTTGTAGGAAGCCAAGGTGAAAGTGATGGAAGCCGCGACTCTTCACTTGCTCGCGCAGCCAATGGGATCTCGACCTGCAGCAAGCGTCAGTGTCAGGATTCGTTGCCGCCTCGCTTACAGACTGCGACTCCACAAGGACTCTGCGAGCGGTCGCCGCCCACGTGACACGCCTGTGCTGCGGTCATATGGTTATTATACCCTCCAGGCCTGTATACCGTGGTAGAGCATGCTCAAGACACACCTTCGTACGATCCTTGTGTGCAGAGGATGTGGACGGCAACGTTCGAAGTCACTGATCTTGCTTGCAGACCCCGCAATACAGAATAGGGCCGTCCCATCAATCCCGTAATGGCGTCAGGGCGCGTTTAACGATTGACGAATGCCGGACCTTCTCGCTCGCCATTGGAGCGCAATGCATCAGCTCCGACGGAAGCGCTGCAGATACACCGTGACATGCCTGTGGGGATGAAAATCATGTGATTGAAGTTGGACAGTCGAGGCTAGCGAGAATAGATGGCTGGGGTTTGAAGGCAGCAGCACGGGTCAGACGTTGTGCATAGAGAGCTGCAACGACTTGTGACAGCATTGTCACAGAACACACACGTGCGCTACATTTCGTCCGAGGGTATCGACTCGCAATATGAGTGAGCAAACAACGCTCAGTCCCCGGTATCAAGCTCCAAATCCAGCTGCACCCCATTACTCACTCCATAATCCTCCAACGTCAATTGATCCTTGAACGGCCGCTCTCCCTGCCGCTTCAGCATTATCTCATGGGGCTGTCTTCCAATATGCATCGCAACCATCGCCTTGAACGCCTTTACCGAGTCGGAAGCCAGACAAGGTATAGCAGCCTTGGTACCCAAGCGGTCATTAACATTCACAACAATCATCGGTTCATTGGATGGAGGCGGCGCCTTTGATTTGGGTGGCTTGCTAGGCTTGTCTGCAGCCTTCGGTCGGTCGCGCTTGTCACTGCTGGGTCGATCGTGAGGCCCTTCATCGCGGACTCTGTCGCTAGTTCTTTGAGGGCGATAGCTGTCGCTTTCGCGCTGTCGTGACGGGCGATCAGCTGACCTCTCCCCGTCTTCGTTTGCGTCCCGTCGCTCTCGCTTGTGCTCGTGCTCCCGGTAGTTGTCTCTTTTTGGCGATCGGTTACGATAGCCTCGATCTAGGTAGTCTGGTTCTCGACTGTCGCTATCCTCACGCGGTTTTTTCTCCTTCCATTTGAAGCCACCCATTTTCTGCTTCTTTACTTTAGGCTCTCGGGCTGGTGATGCCGAGCGATTGCGTTCTGCCATAACCCTGATGTGGCTTTGCGACTCACTGAGCGAACAATGAAGGCTACTGTTGGCCTGGTGGTGGGCTCGAATACAAAGTTGGCCTGAGGCGTCATTCGCCGAGGGGGCGAGGCGAGAGTCGGTGCAGAATAAGGCCAGCAATTCCCACTGGCACAAAACCCTTCGTGAAAAGTTGTCGGCGGTCTAAACAGCTTATGCTTTCGAACCTTCATACAATGCGATCGTCTGAATTCTACATCATCTCGAGGACAGGGTCACGCTAACTGTATGCTGCCTCACTGCGAATGTTGGATATGAAGGCTAGCAAGTGACCACTCCGACACAATAAGCCCAGCCACAGGAGGCATTGAGTCAAACCAAGACAGTGAAGAGTGAAGGTTTAGAGGTCTGTTCATACGGTTCAATCGCTGTCTTGTGCTATCCACGATGTTACAAATCGCCATTGGGGTATCATCTCACTCAAGCAGTACCTTATACACCCTTCCGTATTCGACCGCGGTCACTGCGATACACCGCGATTCCGTCGACTACCCTCGTGATTGTGAGCCATACTTCTCGCGCGAGAGTAGCGGCGGATCATTACGATGGAGTCTTTGTCAAACATCGGCGGCGGACGGTACGGCATCGTCCGTGTTCGCAAAGACTCCGTAGCCCAGTAGGCTCGTGGGTGAGCTCTGATAGTAGGTCTTGCGCACCTTCTTTGGTGGCATTCACTGGTCAGGCCGCACCTCGCTCACACTGACAGTCGGCTCATCTTTGGCTGCATCGCCCATTCTCCGCTCCTCCACCATCCTTCTAAGCATCTCATTTTTCCACTGCTCCTCCTCCTTCTTCAACCTCATCAACCTCCGCGCCATCTTACTGCGCTTGACTTTCAAGCGTGGCGTATCTGATGAATCACCCATCGCAGCTAATAAGGGACTTAGCACTGCTTCAGACTCCGAGTCCGAAGTCAAAGGCGACGATGGCTGGCTTGACACCCTATCCAGGTCCATACATTGCCGTATCAGGTCTTCGATCCCATTCCGTGTAGCAACGGCTTTCGGCTGCATAAGCTCGTAGAAGTCGTCATTGTATAATGGATCTTGCTCGAGTGCACGCTCTAATGACTCCAAGAAGAAGATGAAACTCGGCAGAGTCGGGCCGTCAAGAGTGAAAGGGTAGTGCACGTCGCTTAGTAGACATGCGGCGTAAAGAAGGCGGACGGTGAACTCGCTGTCCAAGCTATGGTCAACAACACACGCCGGGCACCCTCTGGTGTAACACCACTCGCGCTCCCGTTCCGAAGACAGAAAGCATTGGAGCCAGACAAAGGCACTTCGAGCCTGTTCGGTGAAGGCGTACTCCAGATCTTCAAGCTTGCTGGCACGGGTAACCTGGGCTGCCACGGAGCATGCTTTGTCGAAGAGTTCCACTATCGGTACTAGAAGGGCATGGAGCACGTCGCGGATAATGAGCCACTCATCTGGATCTTCCGACTCCGCAGGAGTATGTGACTCGCAAAGCCTGTAAGATCGGTCAGGGAACGGTGAAATACAATGATACGCTGTTAGACTTACTCAAATGTGTATTGCTGCGCAAGATGTTGTTGAAGAATGTTGAAACCCTGTGATTGGCCCAACGCTTCCACGTCGCTTACTCTCAGCAAGAACGGTGAGGCAATTGGCGGCGACGAATACACGGCTGCAGGCATGATGTCGTCAATATGTTGCTCTTCTCCCGATGTCGCAGGCATTAAAATGGTCACAGTCGTCGTATGCAAAAGTTCGTCAGATATCTTGTCATGATCTGCGTAGGCGCATCGTCCTTCTTATTGCGCGGTGCCACACTAGACTTCTTAGCGAGAAATAGTGGTATGGAGATGGCCCGGTGGTGGCGGTATTATGGAGATGGCAGGATCCACAACGGTCAAGACACTGGGTAAACGCTTGGGAAGGTGTTGGAGCCGAGGATAGAGGATGGCAGGAGTCTGCCGGTCGGCGAGTCGGCTACGGTTGCAGCGAACTGCAATCGCCGTGGCAGGAGGGACAACCTGAGCTTACCCAGCTAATCCGGCTGATTACCGATGCATGGAACTAGGGTAGCGCAACAGACGCAGGAACCGCAGTAGGAGAGTGTATACTGCAGCCGGGCGTTGCCGGAGAGGCCTAGATGGCAGGTGAACGCGTCAGGTGGCCATCAATCCTAGCGGCTACAAATTCTTATCCACACAGAGTGGAGAGCACCAGGGCACATTGGGTCGCCTTGCGGACAGCTGGAACCATGGCGAGTGGCCAGCGAGCTATGTGCGCAAGACGAGCACTATTGCTGCACTTCTGATGCGCCTTGAGAAGTACGAGGGACAATGTCGGCTAATAACCTACCGATCAGCTGCCATGATCCACAGTAAAGACTGGTTAGTGGGTTTCTAGCGCTGCTCTTAGATGCAGTCTGCTCGGCCCAAACCGAAGATGCGCCGGACCTAGCTCGCTAATATGCCGGCAAATTGTGCCACGCGCAGGCTCCTCGTATCATTCTCGCTGCAGGAGCGCCACAGTTGTTCGCTGTAGATGTCGAATGTACATGTACATGTACATGTACCCTCAACGAACCGAATATTTGAAACAAACAGATCTGACTAAGCGTTCGATAAAGAAGTCGTTTCAGCGCACCCTTGCAAACCGCCTGAGCTCAGGAAATTGCCTTTAGGCAAGGTCTTGTGGTGCAACTTCTCTCGTGACCACCACTCGAGTCATTTCGAAGCGGCTGTAGACCTCTGACGACGGCCATTGGCACCCTCAGACCGCAAGGCTAGGACACTTGTCTCTTGGCCAGACGCCTTTAGGCACTCATTGATCCCGAGACAAGCTGCCAGCGAGTCAGGGGTTGTGGAGCAGGGTCTAGATCTTGCGGCCCCAGAGATGGCATCGCATGATCGCATCCACTTTCCATCTGTCACCCTCGTGATCCCTCCACTTGCCCTCATGTTCGCGGGTACTGATTACACGATGTGCGGAGACGGCTGATCTTGACAGACTATGTGCAGCACAGCGAGCACCTGCCAGCCGGACTAACTCCGATGAGGCTCCCACAGCTCCTCTCTTCTCTAATGCCGCAGCTGCGTTGAGCCACCCACAACCCTTCCCTTCCCGCAGTAAAGCATGACGAGCTGCTTTTCCAGCCTGGATCGTATCAAGTCGTCCCAAATGCTGTCTCCGCTGGAGCTCGCAGTCATGGGCCGCTCTGCCCTAGCGAGTCGGACATGACGCTGGTGTGAGGGTATCCGCAGGATATATGATCGCCACAGGCTGCACAGTCGTGGCGTCTCAAGGATCCTTTGAATGAGATCACCAGACTGGCCTACCTTTCCTTGCGTCCGCAGTGTGGGAACCTTTTTCCCGATCACGAGAGCGGCGCGGTCCACATGCTCGAGCTCTTAAGAGCATTTCAGGCGCTTAGCCGGGTCTTGGATCTCATCATAGGTTGTGTATACGCCGCTGGCATCAATGGGGTAGCTCTACCCATTTCAAGGCTGATGGGGCGCGAAGGTAGTAAACTGAGCCAGAAAGTCTGGACACGAACTTTTTCCGATCATGTTGCTCGCCGTAGAATAGATTCGCTGGTGTTCCACACGCGCTTGAGACCGCGTCCAGCGGTTATGATGAGGATCATAAGACTCATCGCTGCGTTTCGTCCGCGCTTGCGATCCTGAATCATACAGCTGTGACCAGAGGGTTTTTGCAACACAATTTTTGTTGCAGGCATTTCCTTCTGCAACCTATGAACAGGTCTTGCAATGGCTGTTTGATACCGTCTCAAGCTCGATGGCAGGATGAGCTAAACCAGAGTACAGAGGCCCCGACTTATTGTTCGCCCAGACGTAGCCGCGGCGCTGTCGCAGCAGATGTTCTACCTTACGGAAAGAAGAGTTCCCACGGTTCGGTAACTGGAAGATGCAGGGTCTTGGCAACAGACACGTGGACAGGCGGGGATCTCACCAGAACTACATGTATGTACTGTATGAGCATGAACGTTGCCATTTGGTCTCGACACTGATGCTCGTTCACTGGCTCAAATGGCTCGGAGGAAATGTCCAGGAGGCAGGATATCTCGACCACAACAATGCAGGTCATTCACCAGCTAATTCATGGATCGAAGTCGGACTGTCGGACGCATGCCAAATCCTTCTCGCGTGGCGCGCGCCAACGACGCCACAACTGCAAGCGCGCTTTTTGGCTCTCGGCTCGATGTGTAGGATCCGGAGAAGACGTTACCCAAGTGGAATGGCAGGTAACTGTCAAAACGAGAGCTGACGGTTGGAGCAGATGGGAATCCTCCTCGTCAGTGGTGTTATAAAACGCCACATCTTGTTCTGTACAATAGTATGGCTTGCAAGCGATGCGACGGTAAGGCTATCGAGGACTCCTTTCCTTATCATTCTCGGCATCGGAAACGCAAATCACAAGATGCCAATTGCGGACTCTTGTTATCTCGCAATGGGCGCCCACTGCACTTCGCCTCTTTTTGCGACCCCTGCATTTTCACTTCCTTCTCACTTTCTCTGCTTTGCGCGCAGCTCTGACACGGTCGCTGTATGGCGTGCCCGTGAGGTGCCGAAGATGCCGGCGCCGCGATCGTCTCCATTACGACGTCGAAGACGCTTCGGCCATCTCGGACAACGACCTAGCGCGTGAGGAGTGTTGTCAGTACAGAAAGACTGCCTGCTGCAAGCGCCATTCTTGGTGATGCCGCCATGGAGCACTGTGGCGCCGGAACCGCGAAGCAGACTCGAGAACTGGCCGACTCTGCTCTTCTCTTGGTGGTAGGTACAATGCCAGATGACGCAGGCTCCAAGACAGTCGCTGATATAGCCAGGTGTACCGGTTTCGCTGCAGTCATCATCCTTGTCCGCCTCAATGGACGTAAGACTCGAAGCAATGTACTCTTCCGAGAAGACTGGCTTATTATGGCCGCTCTCATACCGTTGTTCGTACGGATGGCGTTTATACATGTGGTGTTGCAATATGGAACGAACAACATTCAGACAGTGGGGCATACCTTTACCAGCAAACAGCTTGAGCATCGTAGCGTTGGTGCACGGCTGGTGCTCTGCGCAAGGATATTCTACGCCATGTTCATTTGGACCAGCAAGCTCACCGTGAGCGAGTTTTTAAAACGCATTACAGTTAGAACTTGGCGGAAGAGCTACGAGTTGACCCTGCAAGGCATCCGCGTCTTCTTGTTCGTCACCTTCTTCGCTGTCGTCATTGCAACGCTTGCGGAGTGTCACCCTTTCGACCATTATTGGCAAATCATACCGGACCCTGGGCCTCAATGTCGACTCGGATATGCACACCTCTTCACCATGGGTATTTGCGATATCATCACAGACATCCTGTTGATCGCGTTTCCGATTCCTATCGTTATCAGGAGTGGGCAAAACTGGAGGCGCAAGACACAGCTCGCGATACTGTTCTCGCTTTCTGCGATCATGATCGCGGTCACGGCCACCAGGATACCAATGGTCATAGCCAAGGATGGCCGTCAGCAATATCGGACTGTGTGGGCATCGTGCGAGATTCTGGCGTCGACAGCGGTCTCCAATGGAATCATTATCGGCTCCTTTCTCCGCGACAAAGGCACGAAGAAGAACAAGTACAGATCACAAAGTGTGACCGACAGCATTGACGGAGCGTCAGGTCGACGACCGACTGTGGTTGCGCTTCAACAATGCGGAAGCGATGAAGATCTGTTCCGCGCAATCGGCTGTCGAGTACCCGACCATCTCCGAGACGAGCCAGATGCAATCGTAAGACCAGCCCCTGCTGCACTTCCCGCGAAGCCAACGAAAAGAAGAGATGGTCGGTCACATTCCGAAACGCCAAGGCACGAGATGCAGCAGCAACCAACCCGCATTCTGAAGGATAGCGACGAGTCGCTGCAAAGTCAAACCAACCGAGCCGGCTCGCTACCCTCGCCAGCGCCATCGACGAAGCGGAGTGTAAGCTTCTTCGATGTAGGCGGCCTGTTGGATGACGGCGCACCATCTTGGGACACGCGCTCACGTTCAACCACATTGGTGAGCTCTGAGGCTTCGGGAACCATGGCCCAGGATTTCGCCCCGACACCAGAGCAATCGCGGCGAGGCTCTCGTGCCCTTGTGCAGGACATTGGTGGCGTTCTCTCTCCGACCGCAAGTCGTAACGGTACTATCACCAATGGCTTCCACCGAAGGCATTCGCATGCACAACAGACTCTACAGCGCCATCGACAGGGCCATAGTCCGATGTCCGAGCGACAGGAGACGTTGCAAAGTTTGCAGGACCTCCTCGCAGGAGATGGCGGGATCACGGCACCAAACCACTTAGCCCCTGAAGCCGTGCGTATGCGGCCACATATGGCACGATCACCAACCGAGCAGAGCCTGCAAGATGTTGGCGGACTGCTATCTGAGGGGCATGAACCTGACGCAAGTGCTGCTTCCCTTGAAAGAGCCGCTGAAGGACAGCAAGAGCGACCATACACCGGTACAGCGCCAAGACCTCGGCGACATCGAGCGGACGAGCTGACCTTGCACGACCCCGGCGGTCTCTTAAGCTGATACCTTGTAATTTGCACATACGGAGGCTTCACATGATGTTTAGCGTGACTTTGAGCGCTTCAGCGGATACCCCAAATGCATATGGGTCGGAGTCAAGGGCAATGGGAACGTTGTGGGTGAACTGCGTTATCTAACGGCGGCATGTGTTAACATGCGCTAGCTTAGCGATATCAGTATTGGAACGCGTTGGCGCTGTCGCCAAACCAGAACTCGTCTAATAGGCCTCCACCATTGCTATCGTGCCCTGTCCCACTGGCGCCGAAATTGAAGTCGAAGTCGGTGTTGTTGTTAAAATACTCATTCGTCTCCGAGTATGGCAAGGTGTCAAGGAAGCTCAAATCATCGAAAGCGTTGAATGTTAGAGGCTGCTGCTGCTGCTGCGATGTGCCCAATAATTGGTAGGGCGGGTTATCGGCCAGCTGATTAGCGAAGACTCCATTCGGCACTTGCTGGGGCCTGCTGCTACCTTGCGTGTCAAGAAGATTGGGTGGCGAGAACTCCTGCTTAATCTCAAGCGGAGCGATGGACGCATGCTGTGTCGTAGACACACCGCCACCAGTATTACCGTACTCGAAGCTCTGGGTCTTCGGCTGGAACGTCAAAGGTCGGCTTGCTAGTTCGTCGTCGGAGAACAGGCCCTTGAGATTCATGTCGAAGGCGGGAAGCGGCAAATTGCGCTTCCTGGGTTGCGACTGTCCGTTAGCGGCCATACTGACTATCTGGTCATTGCTGAAGTATCCACCAGGGCTGTTGAGAGGTTGCGAGCTCAGGGTGGACGTGTTCCCGAAACCTGTCGTTCGCATCACCATGGATATGGTGGCCTTGCTCATGCGTAAGAAGGCGTCCTTGCAGGCTTCTGCTGGCGGGCAATTATCAATCAGGTCCGTTAACACTGATGTCGCTATGAACACAGTGAAGTCCACGTCGTCCAAGTTCAATTGCTGCCGTACTGTGGGTGATTGCCAGATCGCGTAGAGAAAGGACGTGCCTATCTCCTGGTTAGCCTGATGACTGCCGGACATTCCGTCAGAAGAACTGCTTACCGCTCATAAAGATATGGTGCGTAGCCTGTATAGGAAGGAGAGCTGTCAGTAAGGCTATCGCGCATTGCTCGATCATAACTGAGGCGTACCAGAAACGTGTAGTTGACCAACTTCAATCGATTCAGACTGCGATAGATCTTGAGCACCATCTGTCCCGCCTGGGCTACCTTCATGAAGACCATCTCCTCATCCTCTTTGGCTTCCAGACTCGCCGCACTCGGGCTTTGAACCTCGCCAGTGGAAGGGCTCAACTCGCCGGCAAGAGCCTCTGGTATCGACAGTGACTGCTTGTAAAGCAGAATCACGGCCTGGTAATAGTTCAGCTCGAAGTAGAGCGGCGTGAAGGCGACGCCAATGTCAGCTTGCTGAGGCGCAGATGCTTGCCACTCCCATAACCTGCGGTCTACGTCCAGCCGCCACTCCTGAAATGACTCGAAGCGACTCAGGTATGGCGACGGCAGCTCATTCGGCATGAAGCTACTACAGCGCCCAGCACTAAGTGAGCGTGTATACTCTGCCATTCGCTCCTGCTGAACCTGCAATATCTCTGACTGCAGAAGACGGAGCCGGAAGTAATGATGCGCCACAAGCTTATACGCTGGCAGGACGAGATCGGACGGTGCTTGTGTGAAACCATTGGCTGTGATGCTTTCGTCGCCCTGCAGGCTTGGAAACGGTGTGGTGATGACTTGGTCATTTATGCCGAAGGGCCGACCCACGCAGGTTGATACCAGTCGATCAAAAGCATAGGTGGACCACCAGAGCCTCCGCCGCAGATCACGAAGGTACTGTTTTCGACCCTTCTTAACGTCGAGCCCAGCATACGCGGTGGTTTCCAGCTCGGCGTCAGGCTCTTCGGAATGTATACCGAGATCTATCGCCAACCGCACGGCGACTCCGACAATGTACCAAAGACCAGGCGCGATCGGTCGGAGTAGCGCTAAGCTCGCGAGAAGCAGGACAGCTTGAAGCTCCTCAAGACCACCAAGGGCTGTTTCCATGCTCGGAGTAGAAAGAAAGCTATCCAAATGCTCGATAGCAGCGGCATGATACTCTTCAGGCTGGATTCGTCGCCCGATGACTCTTTGCCGCTTTGCGTCTGGTGGTGTATCGGCGCTCTTCGTTTCGTGCACTGCGGTAACAGTACGCTCATCGTCTCCCGCGTCCATGATGATTCCGGAGCCCACAGCGAATACAATATTCAGCAGATAGAGCTCCCTAGATTTACGTTTCTCGGGAGTAGTCGCATACACCCGTTCCATTAGTGACATGAACTCCCCTCGGTGTCTACACGACTAAGGTCAGCCGGTGACACTAGAGATGGATCGAGGACACTTACAAAATGGGTATCTGAGGATTACTATACTCGAAGTAAAGCTTGACAAGCTCGGTGGCTTCCGACTGGTCCGGGAATGAAGCCGGGTCGACATGTGGCCTAACATTTAGACCGAAGAAGGAATCTGACCCTCCGCCTCCAGAGGCTGTAGAGCTTGGGAGGTGCTTCGAAACCTTTGCTTTAACAGTCTCTGAGGAGGGTGTCGAAGTGACAGAGCTCTTGACTGCCGCGTATACGACCTTAGAGAATGGGATACCGGAAGTGTGCAACGACTGGCGTGCTTTCTTCGCGGTCGTCACACCAGCATTTTTCATCGCGTGGCCCCGGCCATGCTCCGTCCCGCCTTGCAATGCCGGATCAATCAGCGACGCTTCATCCCGATCCTGGTCAACGAACAGAGCACCTTTACCGTCCTCTTCGGCCGGGGGGTAAGGGACATCGACACCTGGTCGGATGGCCTCATTAATTGCGAAGTCATTCTCCGGTGGCGGGCACGGTACGCCGTTGGCCTCAAGCAAAGTCTCCAAGCTCACTACTCTGGATTCTAGATAGGCGACATAGTTCCTGGGAATAGCGCGCTTGCTTACAGGGTCGAAACCAACGCATTTGACGTTTGCTTTCTCGCAGCCGGAACACTTGGGAAGTCGTTGATCGCCTACATCTCGACAATTGCGTGAGTCAGCTTTGTTCCAGAAGATGAGATGTGGCTAGACGTCTCGTGACGCACATCGGTTCTTCCGACTACGACATCTGAAACAGGCTGATACATTCCGAAAGTTGGACGTTGAATTTACGGCACTTGAGGCTTGTTCCAGGCCGGTTTCGGCGCCTGAAGATCAAAAGAAAGTCAGTCAGCCATGCTGGCAGACATTTGTGAGGGATATTCTTACCGGTGATATTTGGCGATGTGTCGTCCTCGCGCTCCCTCTTCTTCGTATTGGAGGACTGCATCAGACAGGGTCCTCGCCGGGAGCGGCACCGAGCCCTTACTCTCAGAACCTGGCGACGGCGAGATGCGACATGCGAATCAAGCCTGCCCCTGCCTGCCTGCTTCAGAAGTAACTTTGCTTAATTACGCACATGGTGACATTGTCATTGTTAATTATACAGTGCACGTTCCTAGTGGCAGGCTTTGCTCGTTGACGATTCTCGCATCGAATGAGAGGCCGCTGGCTTATCGCGAGCCGCGCCACTTGCTTCAGACGGGCTCTGGTATAGTAGCGTATGTCACGAGAGTAGTCAGCACTTTGTAGGTGAGAATGTTAATCCAGCTTAAACAACAGCAGTTCGGACCATAGCCGCTTGTTTCTATCGTACACTGTGCAGCAGCACTAACCTATCGTTATCTATCTTGTCATGATCAAAGCAGGGTATCATAGGGCGCCGTATGCTATGCCATTCAAAGTGCACTTGAACCCCCTTAAAGCAGAAAACAAAGGCCATGTCCAATGGTCAGCGGTGCGTGAGCACGTCGTGTCCTTTCACGACGCCGTATAGATGCTGCGAAACAATGTAAACAAGGCGTCGCCCAAAAGACCTTCCCAAATGTCGTAGGCAAATCGTTAGATCAGCAAACCGTTCGATCGCGCAGATGTCGCAGCTATGATCTGCTTTCACGGCGAGCGTTGCGCCGAATGTCCAGACTCATCCTCGTGAGTAGGGGAGAGCCAGGTGTTTGAAGGTGGCTCTCGGACGACACGTTCAGACTCTCGGCTGCAACCAGTGCGGCGTCCAGCTCGTCCGCCTCGAGTGCTGAAGGTAATGGGACCGAGTCATCCGTGTCTTGCTGCTTCTCTGATAGGAAGGTTCGACGCCTCTCTTCAACCATAAAGAGACTGAGTACTGCGCCAGAGCAAGCGATCAGTGCATTGACCCACCATGGAAGGCCCAGAGCGCCGATTGTGAGGCCTGCAGATTGCAGAAGGCCTGATATTGTCGGGCCGAACGCTCTCATGCCACTGGCGGCTGACGAAGCGACACCGTTGAGCGTGCCGAGCACCTTCGTTGATGGCGCTGAATTGGCGAGCATGATATTGGTCGACGGAAACGCAAAAGCCTGAGCGGTCACCTTCCAGACAATGACAGCCCAGACCGCCGGCATCCTCCAGTTGATTGGCACCAATGTCAGATAAGGTACAACCAGGTAGAGAAGAGGGTAGGATATCACCACCATACGGTAAGTCGCAAGGCTGCCTAATCTGCGACTCACGATGGGGAAGATGACCATAGTGGCCACCATCTGGATGAAGCCTTGGGCAGCAAGGATGCCACCGATAAATTTCGTCGACAATGCGAAGCCGCCGGTGAACATGAAGGGCAGTGAGGGCGTTGAGTCGGATTCTGGCATGCTAAACAACACTGGGAGAAGCTGCTCTGCGGAGATGGTATGACTAACACAGAATTAGCTCGTATGTTCTTCATAGAAGATATGGATAAACTCACTATGCAAGGATGCCGAAGCCGATGATGTTGAAGATGACTTGCTTCGTGAAAGCATTGGATGCGCTTGCAGAGCGCTTGGCATCTCGTTCTGCGCCACGCAAGGCGGCTTCCACCTCTGCGGAGAACGCATCATTCGTATCCAAGGCATCGGAACTGCGCGGCGAGCCTTCTATGGAGCGATATGCTGGTGGCGGGAGCTCGCTCGACGTGGGAGGTAGCATGGGTGACGAAGCTGTACTGCTGTAATCTGGAGGCAGCTCGTCATCTGTGACGAGGAACAGAGCTTCTTCATCATGCCCATCCTTGTAACTGAGCGATGGAGTCGTGGCTACCTTCCCAAGGCGGCCCAGTATCCAATTGCCAAGGTCGCGTCCGAGGTCTTTGCGGTCCCTCTTATCCTCATGAGTCTCTTCTAGAAACAATAGTCCAATCACCAAGCTGAAAATCACCACTGCCGCGCAAACCAGATTGGTGAGCAGGTAAGGATAGGCTTCGAAGATTGTTCCGTGGCCGAACATGCTTGGGTAGTTGCGCACAGGGTCCGCAAGCGCACCACCCATTGCAGATCCGACTATGCTGCCCAAACACCAGACGAAGGGCATAATGGCGTATGCACGAGCCTGGTGAGCTTCCACGGTGACAACCTCAGCCACCGTAGTCTGCAGCACACCAATGTTGCCATTCAAGATGCCGCCAAGAGCTCGTCCAACAAGCGCAGTCGGTAGATCTTTTGCGAAGCCAAACACAAGCATGCTGAGACCGGTGCCAGCAATACCGGTGAGCAATATCGGTTTCCGTCCGTACTTGTCGCTCAAGCGTCCCCAGAACGGCCCGGCCAAGCATTCCGCAAATGCAAATGCCGATGTGACCAGGCCTGCGTACAAGGCGATTTGCTTGCCGTCAGTGGTGATATTGAACGACTCGATCATATAGTAGATGTATGGGAAGATCGACATGAACGCAATTGGCTCGCATATCCGGCATAAGCCTGAGCAAACAGTGAGTTTCATCCTGTGGCACCGCATGCAGATCATACATACCGAGCACGACCATTTGCTTGACAGGAAACGCTTGCGCATCGTGCCGTTTCCCGCCGTCGTTCTTGTTCATTGTGTGAATGATGCAGGCAATTGATTGTCGAAGGCGTCCTTATAGACCAGAAATGGGAAGAGGTGAACAAAGGAAGAAGGTGCGCCCAGATTCGCTTCGCATCCACGTCTCGGATAGTGAACCCTCTTTAAGGTTCTTTATAATCGCCTCTGGTGGTGCTAGGTTAATGTGGTGACGCAGGGTGGTAGAGATGCGGCGGTGAGACAGTGAGTATGTGACTAGCGCCAGGCATGTAGGACGAGTTTATTGAACGGAATGAGGCAGGATGCAGTGGGATGGGGAGAGAAGAAAGAAAGCGTGTGACACAAACCTAGCTTACTATAGGCGGATATGTCTCCCTGACGGTGGGTGGGCAGGGCATCACTGATTCAAGGGCAGCGTTGCAATTGCGGTCAAGGCGACAGGCCACGAAGTCTGTGACACCGCAGCGCCCCGTTGCCCATACTCCAAACTTCCGGGGCGAGTGGAAGCACCAGAAGCAAAGTACCGGCAACCAGGGATCCTGGAGCGAGGAGGCGACGGAGAGCGATCCCATTGGGACAGGATGGAGTCAGATGGTCAGGAGCCGCTCGAAAGTGTGCAAACGATGGCACTCGGCAGACGAGCAGCGCCGCCGGCGATGTCATCAATCTCTACCCCTGTCGACGCACGCTAAGCCTCGGCAGCGCGACCCACGGTCCCGGGACAGATCCAGCACAGAAGTAGACCCTCCCATTCGTGCGGAACAACATCCCGAGACACGATTAGACCAAGCCCGCCGTTAGGCGAGGCAAGCTGGGCTTGACTTTCGGCCAGCATCATCAGCCCTGTCAGAGACACGCTACAAGCCGTCAAAGCTGAACAAGACCGCCACAGCCAGCCAGGCAAATTGTGGCATCACTCCGCTTCATCTGCCATGCCGCGTCCACTTCTGCAACGACGTGTCAACCACGCAGGCAAGAGTCGAGCCACGTCAAACAGTGTGCAAAGCGAGGGCGAAGTAGCGGTGAATCGAAAAGCGACTCCTGAATCTGCAAGGGTGTGCCTACTATGAGTTGGACTAAGGTTCACGTCCCCTTTGTGATGGCCGGAGACGGATGCGCGGAAGCAGGATGCCGTTCCGCAAGCACCGCATTGCTTGATATTCGCCACTGTTGAGCGTATAGGGGTAGCAATACTGATTGCGACATGTCCCATCAAAGCTGCATGCTGCATGGCGCCGTTCGTCCGGAATAACCCACTCGACATGTCGCCTGCATTGAGAGCCGCAGACCCCAAGCCTTACCGATTCCTAACATGCAGGACGCACTGGGAGTCTGCCACGCGAGATGTGCAGTGCCGGCGAAGCCTTCAGCATTTGGTCAAAGCCCCCGGCACTGAAAGGCATAGCCGTGATTCGTTCGGACCGGCTCTAGCGTGGTTTCGCCCTGAAGCCATTGCTTCTAGCGGCATTCGATGCCAAACCAATGCACTCATACGATCACGATCAACGCCGACGGAACGGTAGCAGCTGGTTGGTTCTCAGATTCTCAGGAGAGCGGACGTCACCACACGCATTGAGAAATGGCATCTGCAAGTCACCCGTGCATTGCGGGGGCTCATTCAACGCTGGAAATGCATAAGAGTGTCGCGAAAGGGTACGGAATTTTTCCATGTCACCTTAGCATTGTGGATGTGATGCGGTTCCTTGCGCAGCGAGATGCGTTTGGAGCGCGAACATTGTGCATTTGCCTTCTCGCACCTTTCGTAATCCACAGGAGCCGCGGCACCGCCTGCTGGCGGCTTATCGTGCCTCAACTCCTTGCTGTGGGTCAGCGAGCCCGGCGGCAATCCCAAACCTGCATCGGGGAGATGTCCCGGTGCCACCATTGCCGAGCGTGGGGTGCACGTCAGTGAAGACAACGACAACCCGTCCGCACGATGAGATCTGGACTTTTCGGTGTTACTCTCTCGATTATACGTGCTTTTCAACCTTCCGACGGTTGATGCACATCGCTCCGAGCTGCATACGCGGAGGATGTGCCGGTCATGCCATCCGCGCAAGGCCGGGAAGCCTTCTGTGCCTGCCCGTTTTGTCTATCGCGTCGTCGCTGTCAACCGCACGGAACGGATGCTTATTGACACGATGCTAACTTTTTTTGATCATCTGACAGGCCTGGTGCCAACGTGGATGATATGCATGATTTACTGGGCTACGCAGGAGACCTCCCGTTGCCAGGAAGACAGAAGCAAAGCTGTCCATCCTCTAAGATCCAGCTAACGGTTTTCCGTGCTTGGCTTCGGCGACCTGAGCCAACAATGCGGTCAAGCGTAGGGTTACACCGTCATGCTGAAGTTCCGAGCCAACAGTGCTATCTGCACAGCCAGGCACATCTCGGCATAACGGCATAAAAAGTTCGTGGCCGAAGCGTTGATCAAGACTCACTCGCGTGACGCTAGCTGCCAACTCATCGCCGAGTTGTCTGTTCACCTGGAACGGACCGCTGAATTGCCGCGTAACATGGTCTGGGCCATCGACTGTATGTCAGACATCCATGCGGAACGACGTACTCGACAAGTGGCCCTAAAATGGTCCGTATGCCGTACGCACACTCGGTCCTCACATTGAGGCTGTTGAGAGACGGCGGTGGCACTCTAGGTTCATCCGCTATGAGCGCGAGTCGACTCGCCTTACCATCCAGCATGGTAACGACCCTGAAGGATGGCGTACTAACCCGGATCGTGACTGGACTGGCGAGTAGCTGCCAACGCCTCGACATCTTTCACCGCTAAGCGGACCGTTCTGACTTACTCGGAAACTGTACCTAGGCTCAGCAAGAGCAATGTAACCGTAGGTCATGCGGACATATGCTGACGCCCTTGCGTAGCTTTGCACTAACCGCGGACTGGATGCGTCAGATATCCATGTGTGTGCTCAACTTCGATGGGCCGTCATGTTGGTCTGTCCGTCTAGCCAGCTAGCCATCGTCGACACTCTCCACCAATCCAACTGCCGTAGTCACATGGTCCGCGAGTGATGCTCACAAAGCAGCAAACTAGCTCAACATCTCCTAGCGGTGTTCTCCACGGTTCCGCGAAAAGTAGCCGCATTATACATCCCTGCCCGCAGCAAGCCAACGACGTTGACACGTCGCTGACAGGGCCCTGTCACCGCTGCTCCATCGTCGATCCATATCCCTTGCTCTGCGGTCAGAGTTGTGGAGTATCTTGATGCTATCTTCGGGGGCACTCGTGATAGCGCGGTAAGTGCGGATGGACAACACTAATAAGGTAATGCCAGCCTTATGTCTCTAATCGACACACCGAGATATAACCTGGACGCCATTTGGACTCGACATAGGAGACGAGCGTGCACCCATTGTGGAGGGAACGTGCTCCGGTATGACGGAAACGATTGAAATGCACCCGTAAACTTCCCAGTGGGCCGGTGCGTCCTTTGAAGCCCTGGTATGATGTATGTTGCGCACACAGTAGGCTGTGTCTACAGGATATGTTAGACAGAGTAATCCGTCTTCGAATGCGTCCATAGTTCTTCAAACCTGACACCAGCACTTGCTGCCACGCCTGGTACTGACCATCCGAGCCTGACGGTTTTTTCAGAGAATCGACCTCCGTTAGGAAGAATTGGCTGCTATAGGCATCGTTATGGGTGGCTGTTCCGGCTTCGCAGAATCTACCTTGGGTTACGACAACAACTTCGTGATAGAACAAGCCATCATACCGACGCTTCTAGCCGTACACTCGAGAGCTCTGGTAATACGATGTTTCGATTATATATCGCCAGTTTAACGTTTGGTCGTGTATGCTTTGGTTGGTCATACTCGGGTAGACTTTCCCCCTTGAGAAAGCATAAGACTTTCAAGAGACGGCTTCCATGACCTTTGTCGTCCTACACATCACAGGTGGAGAGAGATGTCGTCTGTTACGCTTGCACATAACAGACTCTGTGTAGACTTGTATGTGTGCGTACGGGAGCAAGCGAGTATTGGTAGCTGATGGGTGCAGTGCAGCACTGAAGTATGCTTGCCCGAACGGTGTCTATGTCGCTCCTGTCCACGACCATCCACTTACCTGGGAAGGCGTGTTATTCCCACGAAAAGGCATGTAACGTGATCACGACGAGACTTCGTTCCATACCTAAGGGTTAATCTAATGGTACTAGGACCGTACGTGAATGCGACGTTACGATTCCGCATTGACTTCACGGCGGACTATCCCCAACGGCCACCAGTAATTACATTCCTTAGTGAAGTGTTCCATCCCTTGGTCACGCCTGCCACTACATACACGCACAGTGTCCGCGACACCGGGACCGACACCATCAGTGCGGCAGATGAAGAGCGATTACCGCCCGGCGGCGTAGTGTTACGCCACGCCTTCCCGGAATGGTTCTTTTCCAAAACGCCAGTCACATCTGGACCTGGTGCAAGCAGAGGGCGGAGTGGAGTGCAGCCTCTAGACGCGACCTTCCGCACGGATCGCGAGCAGGAACAGACGGAGCGATTGCCGCACATTGTCGAGGTCTTGCAGTATCTCCGGGTAGCTTTCGACACGGAAGCTGTGATCGACGCCATCCCGCTGGATGTTGCTGCTAACAGCGGAGCATGGCACGCGTGGAGAAGCTTCCGCACGAAAACCCTTCCACGGACGTCACCGCCTGCAAACACCGATCATGCTTCGGAGGGAGGAGTAACTTCCAAACGCAGCACATCGCCAAGACAACAGCCTGGAGGCGCTAGGCGACCTGGCGACTGGAACTGGGCTGGCGTGTGGGAGGACCGGGTTAGGAAGAGCGTTCAGGTAAGTACCGCGGACCATACATTGTATAGGAAGGACACATCAGACGAGGTATTTACATTTCTTTACCTTCGCAGATGTGCAGTTCCTGACATGGCGTAGATTCAATTCTTGCAGCTAGATGAGGAGACGTTGAAGCACGCAATGCAAGAGCTTCACTGCGCGGTGCCTGCCTGAGCTCGTAGGGAAGAATGACCGCTTGCTGCTGTAATGGTAGTCACTATGATGATGGGGGATGACAGCCGCAGCACCTAGCTCTTGTTCTCGGTCGTCCTATCCAGTTCATAGGTTGCAGGTGTTCTTAGGACCCATCTGGTGGGCCTTCTCCTTGCACGACCATCTACGGACGGTGGACAACATTAACGTGCGATCCGAACATCAGGAAGCGGTGCAACGAAGTACACTCGGCAACGAATTACATTCGGCAACGACATCAACCGATCAGTTTGATCAACGCTTTTGGCTGCATCCACGTATCTGCGCGCGCACAAGGCACATCATGAACGAGGCAGGGTACGCTGCCTGGGCTGCGACGTGGTTTTCGCTTGTTGGCGTTGTCCTATTCGCTTGGTACCTGGTGTCTGGGCCGCAAGACCGCAGGGTCGTGCGCGACCTGATCTTTGCCAAACGTCTCGGAGAACAGTAAGCTTATGGCTTACAAAGAGGTGCTATAATCTCTCGGCTCACTTACCTTGTCGTACGCAGCACTGACAGTGACATGCCCAGAACCTCCCGCCTCCGACTCCGTTGCGGTCCGGCGTGTTCAAGTCCGGCGACCAGCAAACGCCCCCTACTAACGTATCGTTTGCGCTCGGTTTGCGCCCGTGGCAAAGTTCGCCTTTTGCCTCGCCGCAGTTTCGTGCCCTTTCGCCCGGTAGCAGACCTGCACTGAGCCAGCAGCGAGACCATTCAGCCTGTCGACGCCCAGAGACTCCATTAAAGATTCGCCAAACGCGTGAGAACCTTAGAGACGCTTTCCCAGACATACCGCCGCCTTGCCACCATGCACTTGGCGAGACAGAGAGTACATGCACAGAGCTTACACTTCCGCCTTACCATACTCACGAACACTCCACAGCGCCACCTAGCCCAGAACCGGACGTACCATCTTCGAAGATGCAGCGTCACCGCTCCTTAAGCCGGCGCATGCTGTTTAGAGTCAAAGATGGTATCTCGAACCGCTCTAAAGCTTTGCCTTCAGTCAAACAGGCTGGGTCAGAAACGAGTCTGGTTCGAAGACTATCAAGCCGCCGCAAGCAGAGTTGTGAGCAAAATCGACGCGGCCCCAGTTTCGAGCATAGCGATAACAGAGCTGCTAGCGGCGTTAGTCACACCACAAAAACACCGGATCCGTCACCTCGCACAGATACAAGAACCCTTAGCGAGTCATCGATGTCTACTGGGGACCTCATGAGCGACGGTCTTTCTACACTACCTCATGTCGAAAGCGTTGTGACTCTGCGAAATGGAATTGAAGAACACCCATTAACGTCACAGTGCGAACTGTCAGAGCCAACGCCCCGAGCCTCACGCAGCACGCCGAACACAGTATGCGCGCCCTGCGGAGCTGTTGCAGTTCCCTTCGTAGACCTGGCCCTTAGTCTCGACCGTGACATCGTTGACGCTGGCACAGAGCAAGATATCTGGATTGCAGCCGAAGCATCTGTTCACGCCGCGCTCTACAACGCAGAAACTCTTGGCCATTGCACCATATACGGGAGTCTGAGGGTACTTGCTAGGCCGGAAGAAGTGGACAACACTCCTTGCCCCGGGACAATCACTGGTCTACGCCTATGCTTCAAGCCGATGAATGACTGCAAAGTCCTGAAAGCGGTTGGTCAAACAGCTACCAAAGACATTTGCATAGGCCAGAGGCGCTCGCTCTTCCTCAAAGTCCGCGTTCCCAAGCTATCATCTGCTTTTGAGGCAGGGTGTTCCAACCAGGACTCTTTGTTCGCCGAGCTTGAAAGTATGATCGGTACATTTGAGACCGATCTGCTGCATGTCGAAGCACGGTATAGAACTTCATTTTTGCCGCACGAAAATGTGGTGACCGTACGCAAGGCGGCGTCTGTCAGACGGCCAAACACCGATTCGCGCTGGAGTATGGTCGGCGTTGGTGACCATGTCGAAGCATCGGAGCAGTTGCACACCAAGCTAGCGATCTATCTGGCGGACACCTATGCGCCTGAAAAGGCACTTAGGTACATCAAGCGGTACCTTGCAGAGGAAGCTCAAGCAGAAGAGCCAGTCCGTCAGATCAAGCAGAAAATTCTTGATGAGCTAAGTAGTCGCACCACACCAGCTGACGAACATGATTTTGCACGTGTGAAAGCTGGACCCAAGCCAGCGGTGCTCATTACCGACACCGGCGACAGTGATAGCTTGACCTCGCTGCCAGCCCCAGATGCTGCGTTGAAGACCAGAGGCTCTCAACAGCGACTGCACGTGAGGACTCGTTCGATCTCGCTTTCAGCTATCAAGCTCTCAACGCCATCTTCGCCGCTCCTGCCATGTTCACCTCGCGCGGTATCTGCATCCAAGACTCGAATTGCTGCAACACATATACATGCAGACACTGAAATTCATGACGAAGCCCGAAAGCTCTGGCACCACATACGTTGCTCATCTCAATCAAGCCGCCAGCTCAGTGGGACAGCGCCAGCCCAACTAGAGCAGCTCGAAGCGACTGACGAGAATTTGAAGGCGCTCAGGAGCCAGGCGCTAGCGAACAAGCGGTCGATCGGCGCGGAGACGCTGAAGGGCTGGAGATGGGATCGCACTGTTTTGCGTAGCGGGGAGGCACCCTGGCTTTAGAAGAGCATCACTGACCTTGCGACTCTGGTATGAAGGATATTGATGAGTCTGTTAGGCACGCAGACTGCCGTATGCACCCTTACGCAGCCATCATAATACGGCAGACGTTAACTTGGATAAACACTGTCGTAGATAGAAGGTACACGAGCATGGCTACGCGGTTGCCGCGATTAGCCGCGCTCAATGACACAACATCCGCGGCACAATCTTTCACGGCCGGTGGTTAACAGCACGGCAGCAATTTGTGCCATCATACACCGCATACGGCATGATTTATACCCACTACCGCGCGGTGGGCTTCCAGTAGCACGAGCTCCACTGTGACGGCTGCTTCAGTAAAGGTTTCTGTGACCGGAGTGCCACAGCGGTGACACTGCAGTAGCGGTGAGGAGAGTGGGTGGAGCGGGCAGGTCAGTCTCGACGCTGAGTCACCGGGCACCCTTGTGGTTGCCTATGTCCATGCGTTGGTCATCTGACACCACACGGACGCCACACAGGTAATGTGGTCCACGACAACCATGGCCTGAGTCATCCATCATCACAACGTTGCACCTTCACTTATCTTTCCGCCAAGTAGGTCGACTCCCTTGTTGAACCTGTTTCTCGGATCGAACCTCTTCTTCAACTCCCTCAGCCTTTCGTAGTTCTCACCATACACTTGCTTCAAATCATTCCATTCGTGAAGGAAGCCAGCGTGATACTCGCCGGTCTTTTTGGAGCCAGCCAGCTCGTCTTCCGCTACTTGGAAGCGTTTCATGACAATTTCCTTGAGGTTGGATGGGGCACCTTCAGGCGAGCAGCCGAGTGCCAATTGCATGACATGCCGGCGTCCTGAGTGCGGCCAAGCGGTAGATGTGCGAGAAGGCGAAGAGTTGAAGGCGTTCTAACAATGGTAAGTGTCTGACTTACTGGGTCAGATGAAGCAAATGGGACGTACCAATTGCATATACTCGATCAGAACGATTGAGCCACTGCCCAGGCCAGCGTACTCCTTCACACTGTCCTCATACCACTTCCACGCCCTCAACATGAACTCCTCGTCCAAATCAGATACCAGTGGAGCACAGAGCCAGAAGAGATTGTTGCCTTGCCAATCGCGGAATGTCTCTGCGACGGCATGCATCTGCTGCAGCGTGCAGGTCGCACAGGATATCTCCTGCGCTCCCGGGAGCTCGAACACCCAAGCAAAGCCATCTTCCGATCGTGCGTGCTCCTCGCCACGGGCATCGTAGAGCATGAATGCGATCCCGGGCTTGCCACCCTGCTCCGGCATCCCCATCGACGGTCCCTGATTGATAACGTGCATTGCGACCTTCGGGTCCGAAGTCCGGGCAGCCATTGCCGAGACACCTTTCGAGCACTGCTGCAACGACGAATATGGCACCGTAAGCACACCGCCGAAAACCTTCTCAGGGTACGGGTATGCTTGGAACTTCAGCGCAGTAAGCACACCATAGTTCCCGCCTCCACCTCGGCAAGCCCACATCAAGTCCGGGTCATCTTGCGCAGCCCAGACAACTTTGCCATTGTGAAGCACGACTTGAGCGTCGAGGAAGTTCTGCGGGTCACTGATCATACCGAACTCGTGGCTGAGCCAGCTGAGACCGCCAACGAGGGCTGATCCAGCTACGCCGACCCAAGGACAGCGCGCACCTACCACGGCGTAACCGGGAGCGTGTTCTTCCATGAGCTTGTCAATCTCGCCCCAGTCGAAGCCGGATCCGAGGGTAACGGTTTGAGTGGCCCTGTCGAAGTTGAAGGATTTGAACCCATGTGTGCTGAGTATGACCTGTAGAGCGTACAAAGTCAGCGCGGTTCAGTGCGCACTTCCTTTGGATAAGAACGTGTGCGCTCAGCGTCGAGCTGAGAGGCATCTCTATCGGGTACATGTTGGGCGGTAAGGTTCCTTACATCCTTCGCTGAGACTGATCCCGTGCCCGTGTTTCGCACTGCAAAGTCGAGATCGGAGTTGTAAAGGTACTTCACGACCTTCTGCATGCCCTCCAACGTTGTCGGCTGAACGACAACCTTGGGGTGCTGGTTGGCGTGGACAGACCATGGTTCGGATTGCTTCTTGTACTCGGGCTGGTGCTGTTCGAAGACTTCGGAGGCCGGCAGAAGAGAGCGCAGCTTGTCGACAGACGAAGGCATAGCGATCGAGCCCATTTGGTATGTGAGCTAAAGTGGTGGCAACGCTTGAGCAGTTATACAAAGTTTGGAGCAATCCGATTCCAAGGCCAGGTGGTGTTTCGGAGGGTCTGCATGCAGCGCTTGCAAGAATATTCGAGGCGCAGACATGAGTTGGGGTATATGAACGGTTTAGTACATAGTTCATAGTAAGCCGGGGATTTGCGCTTTCAGCCCAGAATCCATCCTGCAATCCTTCAGCCCTAAAGCGGATTAGATTATGGCAGAGACAACTTGGAATTGGTAACGGAGGCCCACACAAACTTGAACTTACTCCGTGCTTGCGAGCATACTGCGCATTCTGCTTCCAAGCAGGTTCTCCTTCAGTAACTCCTTGGCAAGCCGAGTACCTTTTCTCCGACGAAGTTCATAATCATCTCCTGCAATCTTTAGTCAGCACAGCTCCGTGTAGACCTACGCCACACTTACTCTGCTAACAGGCGCGATGCGTGGGACGAAGCATTCACGCAGATATCTCTCGACATGATACTCTTGCCTGCAAGTTCGAAGGTGCGACCGTCAGCGAAGCTCGAAAGCGCGCGTAGAGATTTGACATACGCATAACCCATACCGCCCATACACATAACACTCCGCTCGCACGCCGTAAACGCAGCTTCGGCAGCGAGGTATTTCGCACTATTACACGCTACGCCGACCTGGTGTTGCGTGATACTAGGATCGTAGTCCTTGTTATCTGGAGTGCTGCGGTCATACAGCCGCGCCGCATGGTACGTCGCCAGCTTGGCCGCCTCGAGATGCATGTACGCCGACGCCAGCGGATGTTGTATCGCTTGGTTTTGACCAATAGGTCGACCAAAGACGACGCGCTCTTTCGCGTACTCGGAGGACTTCTTGAGCGCCGCATAACCTAGCCCCAAGGCTTCGCCGGCGAGTAAAGCGCGTTCGGCGTTCATGCCGTGGAGGATGATTTTGAAGCCTTGGCCTTCCTTTCCTATTAGGCTGTCTTTGGGAATGAAATAGTTGTCGAAGAAGACTTGGTTGGCGTCTACGGCGCGACCGCCCATCTTCTTGATACGTTTGGCCTCTAGGCCTGGTTGCGAAAGATCGAAGTCGATGTAGAACATGGAGAGGCCTTCACTTGGCTTCTTGACCTCTTCTATAGGTGTGGTTCGTGCGAGGAGTACCATCTTCGTCGCTACTTGCGCGCTTGAGATCCAGATCTTTTGCCCAGAGACGTTGTAGCCAGACCCGTCAGAGGTTGGTAGGGCGGTGGTCCTCAGCTTCAGCGTCTCCAGACCTGTGTTGGGCTCCGTAACGCCAAAGCATGTCCGCCACTCGCCGGAGATGATTTTGCGGAGAAAGCGATCCCTCTGCTCCGGCGTGGCGAATTTACTTACGGGCTGGGTGGCATAGACGTTCGCATGGATACTTTGTGCACCCGCCAGTCCAGCTCCGCTTTCTGCGATCGTTTGCAGCATCATCGTTGCCTCTTGGATGCCTAGACCCGAACCGCCCAATTCTTCGGGCAGAGCAATGCCTAACCAGCCATCCTTGGCCAGGGCGGCGTGAAGCTCGTGCGGATACGTCTCTGTTTGGTCATGCTCCATCCAGTAGTCATCGGAGAAGTTGGCGCAGACTTTGAATATTGCGTCTCGCACTGTCATCTGTTCTTCCGTAAAACCAGACGTCTCCATGAGCCGTCTCCTGGTCGTCATGGAGAAGGCTCGCCGTGAGCATCTCGATACTATACATTGTGGTCGATGGGCGATATAAGATGGTGACGATCCCAAACGGGAAGTAGTACGCAGAGATGAAAGCAGGTTCTTAGCCATGGCGGCAATGCAAAGGTGCCGACTCGCCAGGCGTGATGCGGAAAAGGGGGCAGCACTGGTAGTGACAGAAAGGGAAATGATCCTACTGGTGTATTGTCCTACCTGTCGCGGATGGCAAACAGCACTGAACGTTGCCAATGCATATCGCGGGAATAGTGTTGACTTGGAAGAGGAGAAGAAGGATTATCTCCGCCGCCCGTTGTTCGGCTCTCGTCCCGTGACGGCGCGAATTGAGCGTGCCTCGGCGGGCAATAAGCCGAAACCATTCGGCACAAAGCTCTGTAGACACTCGAGTGGGATACAGTCAATGCCATCCACCTTCGTCTGTCCCTCCTGTCGACGGGCCTTGCTCGAGCAGGCGAAGACTGCATATAGACAGCATGGCGCCGTCAAGAGGCCCTACACCCGACCGAGCTTCGCTCCCAAGCCCACACCCAACCTGAAGCACATCCGGCAGAATCCAGGCTTATACGAGCAGAACAGCGTGGACCGAAACTACGCACCGTACGCCAAGAACGGTTGGAAGATACTCGAGCTGCATGAAAAGCTGGTTACGCTTCAGCATGAGGCTGTACGATCACGACAGACAATCAATGGGCTTGAGAAGCAGCTGCAAGCCAAGCGGGCAGGCGGTCGGGAAGATGGTAGCAGCACCAGTACTACAGATACCCTGATTGCAGAAGCCAAGGCTTTGAAGTCGGCCTTGGAATCTCGAATCGACGAAGAGCAGAGATGGCGCGAGGAGATGGACCGCCTTGCGCTCGAGTTGCCGAACTTGAGCAGCCTGCAGACACCTGTGGGCGATCAGCCAAAGCTGCTAGGCCACATCAACGGCGAAGCTCTGCCCACGCCCAATCACAACAGAAGTCACGTGGACATCGGTCGTGAGCTAGATCTGCTGGACTTTGAGGCAAGCGCAGTGACAAGCGGCTGGGGCTGGTACTTCCTCAAGAATGAAGCAGCCCTGCTAGAACAGGCATTAATCCAGTACGCCTTGTCTGTCGCACTGAAACGAGGCTGGCAAATCAGGACGCCACCTTCGCTAGTCTACAGTCATATCGCGAGTGCCTGCGGTTTCATGCCTCGAGATCAGCACGGCGAAACCCAAATCTACTCCATCACGCAAGACGCCGATGCGGCGAAGTCAAGCTTAGTGCTGGCGGGAACGGCAGAAATCCCTTTCGCAGGCTCGCAAGCGAACAATGTCCTCTCAGAGCATGACCTACCTCTGAAAATCATCGGACCGTCACGCAGCTACCGCGCCGAAGCCGGCGCAAGAGGCGTCGACACCAAAGGTCTCTACCGCGTCCACGAATTCACCAAAGTAGAAATGTTCGCCTGGACCGCACCGCCTCCTTCCTTGTCCTCCTCGGACGACGGCGGTTTCGGCGGCGAAGAAGACACCCAAACCCAAGCGGAAGTCATTTTCAACGAAATGATCTCCATCCAAATCGAGATCCTCACCTCCCTAGGCCTACACGCCCGCGTCCTGGAAATGCCAACAACCGACCTCGGCGCGAGCGCGGCACGGAAGATCGACATCGAAGCCTTCTTCCCTTCTCGCACGGGCATTGATGATGGATACGGCGAGGTGACGTCCGCGAGTATATGCACCGATTATCAAGCGCGGAGGTTGAATACCAAAGTCCGGTATGCGAAGGGTGACGTGAGACAGGCGTTTGCGCATACGGTTAATGGAACTGCGTTGGCTGTGCCGCGGATTTTGGCGTGTTTGTTGGAGAATGGGTGGGATGAAGAATCGAGGAGCGTAAAGGTTCCGGAGTGCTTGCGGAGGTGGATGCCGGGTGAGATTGCTACCATTCGGGCGAGAAGCTAGCATGCCACCCACCTGTGTATCACCCAGCGAGACGCAAGAAGTGTGTCGCCAACAACAACATCACTATCAAGTCGCAGGACGTTCTCAAAAGACCAACAGCCTCGACGCTATGGCGCAGCCAACCGCTACCGAGATTGTCACGGTCAGCGGACGGGTCGCAAACTCCCTAGACTCCATGAGAAAGCTCCGACCGGTTTCCCACCCCAAAGCCAGGTGCGTGAACACCTTGACAATGAGAGCCAGCGGATAGCACAGCACAGCACAGTAATATCCCATCGCGGCCTCCTCCCAATGTGCACCAGTAAACCCGCCTTTCTGCCCGCATACACACTCTCTCTCAGTTACTTACTCCTCTTTACTCCACCACTTACTCGAAAGGCTGGCCCAGAATAGCTACTGCGCCAGTCGCTGGTACGTGAAAGTCAGTCAGTCAGTCAGTGTGCCAGTCGGACATCAACATCCGCGCACAGACTGGGGAGTAGGGAGTGGGAATAGTCCAGTGCTGAAAACAAGCAAACTCGCAAGTGATCAAATTCGCTGCAGCGCACGCGGTGCGATATCCCCTTCGGTTCTTGGGGTAATGACATTTTCTGGTCGACCAGACGTGTAAATACACAGTCATGCATCTACGTTACCAAGCCGCCAGGTCAATTCAATCAAAAGCACGATTCTTCATGACTGAGGCGAGGGTAACAGTCACAGGAGAGTACTGTTTCCTTTTTCTCGCGATACTCGCGATACTCGCATACGACTGCCACTACCACTACCACTGAGAAGACCCAGCCCAGCTTTCACACCGAGCATACACGAAAGTCAAGCAAGCACAAGGCTTTCCCCTTTCCGCCATGCCTCTCCATTGCTAGAGAAGAAAGGACAGAAGGTATCTTTCCTTCATAAGCGCTCGCCCTCCCCTCTAAGTCTTTTCCGCGCGAACAAAGTAGCCAGCCGCAGGAACACTCCACCGAAGCGTATCTCGAACCGAAAGGGTAGGTGGCGTCAGAACAGCATCTACCACGTCGTCTCCGGCTGCGCCTCGGCACCGGCCTGCTCCGCCCACCCCTGATTTCCCGTCTGCACCGGCGCCTCAGCAGCGGCCCAGTCCGCGCCCTCATTGTCCCACGTGCTCGCCGCCGCGGCCCCGGCAGTCCCGGACGCCGCAGCGAAAGCACCAGCCCCGGCACCGGAGACCTCCCATTCGTTGTTGAACCCGCTCTCGACCGCGCCGGGACCGACCTCGTCAACACCAGGAACTTTCTCCTCGTCCTGACCGGCGGAGTCTTTGTTCTCCTCCGCCTCGGGGTCACGGTAGAAGTACAGATCCGTCATGACGTCCCACTCCGCCTCACGGCTGGCGAGGGTGCCGCGGAGACGCAGGACCTCGCGGGCAAGCATCCACCAGATCAGACCGATGGCGTGACGGCCCTTGTTGTTGGTCGGGATGGCCACATCCACATACTCGGTCGGGGAGTCGGTATCGCACAGCGCAATGACGGGGATGTTGACGTACGAGGCTTCCTTGATGGCCTGGGCGTCGGTGCGCGGGTCGGTGACGACGATGATGCGCGGTTCCTTGAAGGAGCGGGTGATGTAGTTTGTGAAGTTGCCGGGGGTGAAGCGGCCGGCGATGGGGGAGGCGCCGGTGTGGGCGGCGAATTTGAGGACGGCGCGTTGGCCGTAGGGGCGGGCGGAGATGACGGCGATGTCGGCCGGGTTGTCGATGGAGACGAGGATACGGGCGGCGAGGATGATCTTTTCCCTGTCATAGTCCTGATGTCAGCAATGTGTATATGTGTTGTGTAGTGTGGTGTGGATTGCTGACCAAGTCTTGCCAATGTTGATGATGTTGATGCCGTCGGCGCGCGTCTTCCACAGGTACGGCTCCATGTGCGTCTGCAGGTTCTTGGCGCCGATGTGGCATTGGGCGCTGAGGAGCATTTCAATGTCGGTTGATGTTGCGTTGAACATCGGGGGCAGGTTCTTGGCGGCCATCTTCGCGGGTGGTGGTGTTTGCGAAGGGGTGGTGAGGGGGTGTGTGTGTGGTTGGAGTGAGTGTGTCGAAGTTGGGAGCTTCGATTGTATGTGTGGGAGGGCGGAATTCGCGTGTCGGAGTTTGTGAAATTAGACGCCGATGTGTGTGCGCTTGACTCGTGCCGGGTTCGCGGAAGACGGATGCATGAGTCTGCGGGCTTGGCGTGAATGTATCTGAAGATGGAGATGCGAGCAGCTGTCAATCAACTAAGTGATACTACAACAGACAAGATGCCGCCACGAATCCCACTCTTCCAATGCCTGAGGGTTCAAGCAAACACCCAACAAGCCAAGACACGAGCAGAACGGTTGGCGACCCGTCAACACACGCCCTCGCGAACCTTCACCTCCTCATCCCCCGTCAATGCCTCCACCGTCACGCAGCGAAGACGGAAGCATGACCCCTACGCCATCGCACAAGCCAAAGCGCGCAAAGCAGCGAACCTCAGTCGGCAGGAAGTGCTCAAAAAAGAACGAGCGGCAAGCCTCGGCGATCCCATCCGTGGCATAACAACTCCCTTCGTCCAGTCCTTCGACACAGCACTTCCCCCCGAACCCGCAGTGCAGTCGCAATCAACGCAGACGCGGGTCTCATCCCCGCCATCTCCCTCTTCATCCGGTGTACAATCCGAAACAGACGCACACCTAAACTTCTACCTCAGCAAGACCGAATTACAAAACAGCATAACCCACAGCGTCCACCTCTCCACCCCCACAAGCCCAACCCCCGACTTCCAACAAGACGACCCGACTTCCCCAATCTCCCCCGAACAACGACAAGCCATCCTCGACCAAAACCACCGCACGGCAGAAGAAGCAATCACCCGCATCGCCTCCCTCTCCCTCGGCAGCTCCAAGGACCGCTTGCGCGTCAACATCCAACGCTGCATCTCCACCTTTGGACGTCGCCACACCGACACAACCCTACCCCATTCAACCCCAATGAATCCCGAGTCAAGCACCCCCCGCATAGGTCCAGACACAGGCAGCCCCGAAGTCCAAATCGCCATCCTGACCGCCAAAATCCGCACCCTCGCCGACTTCCTCGGCACGAGGGGCAGGCAGGATAAAGTGAACAAGCGCAATTTACGCGTGCTGGTGCACAAGCGGCAGAAATTGTTGCAGTATTTGCGCCGGCAGGATCGCGGCGGGGGGAGGTGGAGGCATTGTGTGGAGACACTGGGGTTGGGGGAGGGGTGTTGGAGGGGGGAGATTAGCTTGTAAGACTAACCGCATAGCTAGTGATTGAACGGGGGTCCCTGGGTTTTGGCGAGTCGAACGTGTTATGCATAGCGCGGCGGGGTCGTCTCTGTCGCGCGATGGAGGGCGACTTGGATTGGATTGGGTACGGGAATGTACGATGGATATTACTGACGACTCTACATAGCCAGTGATATGCTTTCCCCGCAGAGCTTGAGATTCATTCACGACCAGATCGCTCGTGCAAGTCCACATAGACACCATAACACTACGGTCTTCCCCACATCAAGCTATCTGACAGTGCCGGGTCTTGTGGCAAGAGCGGGTCCGTGCGCAAGCACCCTTTCCCTCGAAGTTTAGCCGAACCCGAGTAGACGATGAGTAGGTGAAACAGCCAGCAAGTAGGCACGGTAGGCACGGGCAGTGCACTTACGCGGCCCTCACTGCAACCCCGGTCCTTATCGTTATAGCACGCGCTGCACGCGCCCGCATGGGCGACTTGGTTACTCATGCGCACCTTCCCATCTAGGACTGTATTGCGAAGTCCAATGCTTTGCCAAGCCATGAATGCGAGCTTTAGCGTGGTCTGGTCCGGATGAGTCGAGGCGCTTTGATGCGGTGGGTTGTTGCTATAGAGGGTTATGGCGGGTCGCTCGCTCGCTCGCCCTGCTTACACATCGATGGCGGTGGACTTGCTTCTCATATGATAAAATGCTGTGCCGTGTCATCGTTTGTGTGTGGGTGTAGAGTCGTCGATAATTTCACACACGCTCGCTTGTTCGTTTCGATCACCGGCCACCTGAGTACCTGAGTACCTGAGTACCTTTCCGGTCGTGAGCGCAGAGCCTCTCTAGAGCGACTTCGGAACGTTCGTCAATCCAACTTTTACCCTTCCTTCCCATCCGTCTCTGCGATTCAGCAGGCTCTTCCACGTTTTGCACCCTAACTCCCCGCAACGAATTGCGGCAGATAATGGCAACAAACTACACCCTCATCACGCTGGCCATCATCGCCGGCTGCGGCGTCTGCGTCTTGCTCGGCTGGGCAGTGGCACATCAGTTCTTCCCCGACACCACCACGTCGAGTCGGCATCAGCACGAAGGCGGGATGGAGTTCGACCAGCAGCAGTATATGCGTGAGGTGCGGTTGCGGCATCATGAGGATTTGGCTGCTATGTTTGGGGGACGACGGGTTCTGGTGAGTACCATTTCATTGAGTTTGTCGTAAGCGGGGCGGGCATGGTTGCTGATGTGTGAGCGGGTTGCAGGATAACGCTCGGCGGGATGCGAAGTCGTGGTATGGTCGGGGTGCGGGACGGGGGTCTGAGGTCTCTGGTTGAGAGGCTCTGGGATGAGGGGTGCGTGTCCTTTGCTGTTGTTGCGGCGGGGTTGTGCATACGGTAGACTCGTCCAGGCGGGCGGTATGGTGGAAGGGCTATGGTTCATTAATGAAAGGACGACCGAGGTAATATGGTGCAAGTAACGTAGTGACGAGCATCCCGACGGGCTTTAAGGAGGTGGAGGTGAAGGTCGATCGGCGGGTTAAACAGCGCTCAGGCAACGTCGGTTCGATGGTAGCAGTGTAAAGCGCGCTCATATCGGATAATCCTGCACAACCTTCCTCAAACCACCTCTTTGCAGTCGATAGCGCGTCACCCGGACTTCAAACACACCCGTCACCTTATTAGCCAGAATCTCCACATTGTGCACTCGATTCGCCTCGGGGGGAAGTCGCGAATCGTCAACATCACATGCCGTGGTGCCCTCGCAGCTTTGGACAACATTAAGCTCCGGCTCCGGCAGGTCCAGGCCTTCCTCCTCGATCGCAACAATCCTCGCAGCCATCTGCCTCGTCGAATTAGCACCCCACATACACTCCTTCTTCGGCGCCCTTGCAAGCAGCCGCAACGCTTGTCGGCGTAGACTTGGGATGCGGCATTTAGTCGCGACGAAGTAAAGAGGCGGCACGATACCGACTTCGAAGGTGAAGACTGGTGGATCATCGTCGGGTCTAGATCCGAGTAATGTTTCGGCATGGTGCAGGATTTGCTGGAAGTGGTGGGTGTATTCGTCGAAGACCGTTTGGTTCAAGACGAGACGGGTCGTGAGCCAGATTTGGGAGATGTGGTAGTACATGAGGAGGTTGCTGGCTGCTTCTGTGTCTTGAGGGGTCGCGGAGGTGCGGGTCCAGTGGAGGGCGTCGTACCATTGGCCTAGGCGGTTTTCGAAGTATCTTTGTTTGTCTAGAAGAGCTGAGGGAGGTGCAGTAGGCATTGATAGAGGAGGAGATGAACCACTCAGTAATGGTGTGCTGGTGAATGCGAGATTCGGCGAAGTCGCTTGTTCAGGAGCGCTGACGGTGTCAACAATGACGCTTGCTTTACCGTGTAGGGGTAGCCACATCGAGGGCTGCTCATCTTTGCCATGGTGCTGAGCAGCGAGGCATGGTTCCTCTTCGCAGTCGCAGAACTGCGAGACAGACTCGTACATCAGCACATCTTTCGGCCCAAACAGCCGCGTGCGCCCCTTGTGACCCTTCTTTGACGGGCACGTTTCACCACCAAGGCCAGTCTCATTGTTATCCTTCGTAGCGCCATCTCCCGTCCGAAGGTTGACCGTAGCCGGCAGGACAGCCGCCCCAGTCTCCGACATCAAATCGCACATGACGCACTCACTCTCGGCATAAAGCTGTCCATCCAGTATCGAGGCCTTGTATACCGCAGCCGCTTTGATAAAGTCATGACTTTCCGCCATGAGACCGTAGATTGCAGTCCTCGCATCCATGGTGCTGGAAAAGACTCTGTGTTGGCCAATGACCACGAACTCGGCTGGAACTTCGACTGGATGTGGGATGCCGAATGCGCCGGCCAGGACATCAATGCGCGCCAACATGGGCTTGATGTGTCGGAAGATGGTATGCTCGTCGCCTATCAAAGTCATGTTCGCGAATTGCTTTAGCAGTTGGTTGCCCTTCGAGAGCAGGGCTAGGGCCGAGAAGATGTTGTCCCGGATTAGCTCAATACAGACGAAAAGCACGCAGCTCAGCAAGACAATCAGGGGCGATGCTGAAGCATCCTCTACTCTTCGTCGAACTTCGCTGATCGCGCGGTTGTACACTTGCAGAGCTTTGGCGTGATGCTCGTCCAGGTCGGAAGCGCTCTCGGTTGAGGTGATGGCACCCTTTTCCGGCTTGGCCGTGTGCTGTCGCACGCGGTGGAAGGATGTCAGATACTGTGGGTGCTCGTACAACGTCGAGATGGCCAGAACGCAGTCCAAGACCAGAGGTTCTGAGTGTGAGAGCTGCAGTAGGTAGCCGCACCAAAATGTCTTGTCGAAGCAGCCCGCCATACGTGGTGCGGAGAAGGAGACGAAGAAGTCGAACGTCCTGGTGTCATTCTCCCGCCCAGCCAGGAATTGCGTAGCTGTTGGACTGGCGACCAAGGCATTGCCAGAGCTCGATGATCTAGAGATGCGTTCGACGTAGCCTTCACATTTCCGACCTACGCTTGTACAGCGTCGGCATAGCGGTCGCTGCTCATCGCATTTCACGCGCCTCGCTTTACACGTAATGCAGCCTCCTCGACTCTTCCTGCTGCCCAGACGTCCATTACGCTGTCTCGCGTCCAGGAGATGGGCAGATGTAGCAGTATGCCAGTGGGGTAGTGCAGGCCTGCCGTCAGCCATGCTCGCACGCTACGTGGCCGTGCAAAGGCATACCGGCTAAGCTCCGCACGGCTACGGGAGGTCACAGGAGCACTTGCAGTCGGCGGTCTGCTCGGCAGGAGATCAACGACGCTGACTGTTCTGTACGAAGACTACATGTCCTCCGGGAACAGTAGTCCGAGACGAACGTTTTCAAAATTAGATACTGTAAGCAACTCTTCGGGACTGACAGCCAATACACGTTTCTAGCGGTACATCGTCAACCCCTCAACTATGCTCTCCTCCTGTCATTGCGAGATGGAAGTGTTTCTTCCCACCGTCCTGCTAGCTGCGTCCTCTACTATGCTGGAATCTGTTCCGCTTGTTGTCCTCGCCTCAGCTCATGTGGGTCCTCGGCAATCTAAGCGATGTCGATGCACGTCAGTCCTTGCTCCAGCTCGGAGATCTCACCGCTGGCGATAAATGTCCTGGAAGTCCGTAATGTTTATTGGTGACGGAGGTTACTGTGGCACAACAGTCCAGCAGTCTAGCAGTGCGGTTCCAGGTGGTGCTCCACGGACGGCGCCATCTATCGGCAGTCGACAGGACAGATACTGTGCCAATTCAGCCGTGTCAGATGTGCGCTAACGAACGATGAAGACGTCAGGCAAACGCAAGAGCCTGGAAAAACTGCAGGGGCGGCGGCAGAGCATGGCATTGCACATGTACTGGCACTTGCCGTATTGGAGCTATTGCGGATTACGAGAGTAGTAGTTGCGGATAGCTCCAATCAAGATGGCGGACCTTAGCGACCTCATGCTTGACCCGTCTGTATCTGTGTCAGTCCCCTTCCCGCTCACTGCCTCCTCTTCTCTTCCAAAGCAAGCGCTGTCGCCTTGTTCGCACCGGCATGATGACGACGACCAATCGACTACCGGCTGACACCCATATCCACAACCGCGAGGATGAGTGGAAGATTGAGCAAGGCCTACATGGTGCCGCACTGCCCATCCTAGACCAGTCCGGGCCCGAGAGCTACTTCATCAAGCCACTCGAGTATGTGCCGTTCAAGGATGAGAACGCGATCGCGTCGGTTGGCGACCGTGATATGCTGTTTCAAGATGAACCAAACTGGAAGGGCCATATCGAGTGGGAGAACTATCCGGAGAAGAAGGAGAAGGCGCACAAGATCTTAAGCTCGCAGAACGTGGGTTGACCAGCGTGTAGCCGGCTGAGTGACACGTCTAATCCCATATGTCTCACAGTTCCCACCGCCACCAGAGTACCAAATGGGCCCTATCCCAGGCGAGTAAACTAGCTTTAACCACGTGGGAGGCTCTACTGACAAGCACGCAAGGTACCAATCCCGTGCTCGAAGGCGTTCGCTGGAAACAGTGGCATTACGCAATCGGCGGCGCCCTTAAGACAGTACCCGAAGAGTCATGGGAAATCGTTCTGAAGGAAAAGCACCCGGAGATGCTCCACCTCCTCCAGTTTCCCTACAACGGCGAGTGTGAGTGCAATTGATCACGGCCGACCATATACAAGTCTGATGTTGTTCGGTCAGCGCCCAAACGCCTCACGACAGCGAAAGACATCACGCCGAACTCGCTTCACTTCGTCCGCAACCACGGTGGCATCCCGTACATTTCGCGCGACAAGTACAAACTGCAGCTCGACGGTCTTGTCAAGAACCCACGCACTTTCACACTGGATGAGCTAATGAACCCGGATGTCTTCCCGCGTATGGAGAAACTTGTTACCATCCAATGCTCTGGTACACGGCGTATCGAGCAGATTGTGTACAACGCAGGCGAGGGTGATGAGATGATTAATGCTCCATGGGCTGAGGGTAAGTTGCCAACCTACTCTACCGCTCTCCCACCACGTCGATCTAACATTCATCTAGGTGCCATCGGTACCGCCAAGTACGTCGGTATCAGCCTAAAAAAAGTCATCAAAGCCTGCGGCGGCCTTATCGAAGACGGCAAGCATCTGGAATTCTACGGCGCCGAAACCTACTTCAAGAAGAACAGCGCCATGAACTACGTAGTCAGCGTGCCCTGGTCGAAGGTGAAAGCCAATGAAGTCATGCTCGCGTGGGAGATGAACGGCGAGCCGCTCCCCAAGATCCACGGCTACCCTCTCCGCGTCGTCGTCATGGGCTACATCGGCGCCCGATCGGTCAAATGGCTCTACCGCATCAAAGCCATCAGCAACCCGTCTCTCGCTCCCGTCCAGTCACAAGAGTACCTCTACTTCAATCAACAAACCGGCAAGCACAACCAACGCATGACGGACGGTATTCAAATCCAAGAAATGCCCGTCAGCTCCGCCATCATGATGCCCTGGAACAAGCAGGTCATCATCCACAACGGCAGCATCCACTGCAAAGGCTGGGCCTACTCGGGCGGCGGCCGCTGGCCTGAACGCGTGGAAGTCTCCGCCGACGGCGGCTTCAACTGGTACGCCGTGCCCATGGACACTATGTCGCCGAAAGCACGCTTCGCCTGGCGAACCTGGGAGTTGGATCTCCCGTGTGAGGCAGAAGGCTGGATCGAGATTCTATGTCGATGCTGGGACAACGCGCTCAACACTCAGCCGCTTAATGTCCGTGCGGCGTGGAATTGGGGCTTGCATGTCACTTCTTCGGCGCACAGGATTAGTGTGTATAGTGTTAATAAGAAGAGGGAAGTTACGAGGAAACGGCTGGAGGAGTTTGAGTCGAGGGGTGTGCCGTTTGGCCCGCTTACGGTGCCGACGGAGTGGCAGGTGCAGAGTTGGGACGATTATCATGCGTACTGGAATAAGGCTGATCCGAGGGATGTGGATACCGAGTACCATGCGGAGGATCTGGAGGGTTGAGTGTGGTCTGCGACTCTGCTGGGCTGTTGGCGAGGATGTATATACGAGTCAGCGAGGTTTACGTCAAAGTCAAGTTGTATATGACTGTTGATTGTGTACGAGTTGAAAGGGCACATCTTCCTACTTCATGCCTAAGGCGCCAATCCATCGCGACGGCACCTCGGGGCGACGTCAGCGCGATGCCTCGACGCAACTGCTCGTGTGCTCTGGTCAACCATGTACAGATGACAGTCTAAAGCTCCGCGGACATGGCGGACGTCGCACTTTCGCAGCCTTCAGTGCAACCGGTGCGCCAATTGAACCTCATTCCCGTCGGCCTCAAAGAAGCAGCGCTCGACTCGCCCACTTTCCGCGCAACAGCCCTGCATTTCTCCGACCAGATCGACATTATCGAACGATGGCTCGACGGCTACGTCAAGGCGGCTTCCAAGCTGGTGGCGGAAGTCAGCAGTCTGGAGAGTCTGGTCAACACTTTTCTCAGCCAGAGCATGCCGCCCGCGCAGGTCAGCGAGGCCGCGCTGGATCATGACTACACTCTTCTGGCTATGCAACGCTACGGCGAGGGCGCGAGAGAGTTCTGGCAGACCACTTTGCGCGGCATCAAGCGGTATGATACCGCTGTTGTGGAGCCAATCAAGAGCTTCCTGAGTTCGGAGTTGAAGAACTTCAAGGATGCCAGACGAGCTTTGCAAGCCACGCAGAAGGAGTTCGATCATGTGGTTACGCGGTACCTGTCGCAGAGCAAGACGAAGGAGGCGAGTAGTCTGCGGGAGGATGCTTTTCAACTGCATGAAGCGCGGAAAGCATATCTGAAGGCTAGCATGGACTTCTGCATCGCCGCGCCGAATCTGCGCGCGAGCTTGGATAAGCTCATTGTCCGCATCTTCTCGGATCAGTGGCGGGAGATGCGTTCGAGCAGAGAAGCGAATGCCACGCTGTTCAACAAGTGGAGTGGAGAAATGGAGAGGGTGCGTGGTTGGAGTCGCGAGATGGAGAACAGTGAACGGGCGTTCAAGCGCGAACTGCTCGTTGCGCGAAAGCAGATCGAAGACACTGCGGAGTCCGTGAAGAGGCCAAGCAGAGAGCTCGATGATTACTCTGCATCTACCGTACCTTATCTAGGCACGGGCGCAAGCTCAGGTGCAACGCCGTCAACTCCGGCACGGCCTTCCTCGGGTATGACTGAGAAGCAAGGATGGCTTGTTATCAAGACCAGCATTGGCAAGCCCGCAAGGACCATGTGGAGCCGGAGATGGTTCTTCGTGAAGAATGGTATCTTCGGCTGGTTGATCCAAGGGTCGCGCTCTGGCGGGGTTGAGGAAAGCGAGCGCATAGGTGTGCTGCTTTGTTCCGTTCGACCTGCCGTACTCGAAGAACGCCGCTTCTGCTTTGAAGTTAAAACAAAGGACAGTAGTATCATATTACAAGCGGAGACGCAACAGGAGCTCACGGAGTGGATTAGTGCCTTCGAAGTAGCGAAGCGGAAGGCGCTCGAGGATCCCGCGAGTACCGATGCTAGCCCACAGGCGCCTGGCATTGACCCAGCATTTGCCATTACGCCACCCATTGCGCCCGAGTTCGCAGCCAAGCCTGGCGATGTGCACGCTGAAGACGCCGCAAGCGTCTCTGCGGCCGAGCGCGAGAATGCGTTAGCTCCCGTATCTACGCGTGCTAGCTTCGACGTGGGCGCCCCGTCCGGCGGTCGACGAGTGATGAGCGTGGACAAGGAAACCGAAGACAGAAGTGGCAAAGACCACGCAGCACGCATCATTCAGAAACTTGACCTTCATAAACGCGGAGGTAACACAAGCGCCCAACCCAGTTCAGGATCGTCGGCTGGCGGTATTGCCAGCCTCATCTCCGCGAGCCATAACATCCTACCCGTGGCCGGTGCGCCTCCGCTAGCTGGCGAAGCCAAGCAGCAACGAACGTTCAGCATGCCAGTATCGACGTTAGCACCGAGCACATTGGCGAACCCTCCAGCACCTACCAACCTTAGCCACACTGCTGTTGTAGTCAGTGGTGAGCGGGGTGTGAGTCTCAGTGGCAGAGGCGCAGACGGGAGTGGCATGCCGTCCGGCATCATGGCCAATCTCTGGGGCAGTAGCAACTGGGGCTATGTTAACCGACTTGGCGACGCCCCGAAAAGAGAGCCACAGCCCGCGGACAGCAGTGTGACACCTCGAGCTGTTTCTGTGTCTCAGGATGACTTAAGTATTATGGATGGCAGTAGCGACGTTGCCTCGTCTTCCAGCGTAATGTCGCCAGACGTGGAAGGCATCAGACACCGAAAGACACTCAGCACCGATTTTGCAGGCCTCACGAAGCCTACCAGAGCGGCTGAGAATGCTGACGAGTATCCGAATTACTACCCTCTTCCGCTCAAAGCGCAGCAAGCGCAGTTTAGGATGCTTTTCCCTTCCGTGCCAAGGTCGGAGAAGGTTGTGCTCGTGTTCAGGGCGACATGGAATCCGAACGACCAGCAGGAATTTCCTGGACGGGTGTACGTAACCACGAGGGAGGTATACTTCTACAGCAATCACCTCGGTCTGGTCTTGATCACTGGCGTAAGCTTGACAAGTATATCAGACGTTACCGCTGCACCGGGCCGCGACTGCGACTTCCTGTATCTGCACATGCAGGAGGGTAGCCAGCGAAATGCCGACGGGCCGAGTCGCGTAACCGTCAAGGTTTTCCTAGAGCCGCTCAAGTTGCTGCAGAGACGGCTCAATTGGTTGGTACATAATGCTAATTCTGACAAGCCAGTGGGTCTAGAGGAAGCGCTTAAGACGCTCCTGAAGATGGAGGTTGATGAGCCGCAGCGGAGTTCAAGCGTCGAGAGCTGGGAAGATGTCACGTATGACGCCGAAGAAGGCGCAACAGGTGGCGAAAGCCGTGGTGCCGGTCGCCGTGAGCGTAATGTCAAGGCTAGCTTGCGCATTGATGGCTCGCTCTACGGCGGTGGTGCAGCTGCCGCAAGGACGGGCAGGGAGATCCAGAAGTTCAAACTCCCTGGCCAACCCGTGATGTACGCTCCGCAGGGCATGCAAGCCAGCATCGCCCGAGACTTCAACGTTAGCGCCAAGGCGCTGTTTCACGTCATGTTTGGCGACAAAAGTGCGGTCTTCCAGCTGCTGTACTGCAACAGATGGGCGGACAGAATCACGCAGACGCCGTGGGTGAAGACACCCGGCGCAGGTGGACACTGGACCCGACAGTTCACGAGCCAGGAGACGCCGATGCAGGATACGCAATCTATTGACATCCTCAACGACCACTTATGCTACGTTGTTACGAACACGAAACGGCCGTTTAAACTACCGTATGCCTCACGATCGGTACCTATCACGAAGATTGTCATCACACACACCGCCAAGTCGCGATCCAAACTTGCTATCTTCCAGGCGATCAATTGGAGCAAGCCGCCGCGGTGGCAGTACGTCCGCGGGCTCATAGAGAAGCAGGCTCTTAACAGTCTGGAAGCAGACGCCTTGGACTTGATAACCGTCGCCATGGATCAGACGGCCAAGTTGGGCAACCACAGCAAGACGAATCGGGCTATTGAGATCTTCGGTGGGATTGGCGGTCAAACTACCGTGCCTCAACTAGACACGGCCGCTATATCTAACCTCGGCGGCACAGTCGTGACGGGACGAATCAAGCAGCAAAAGCCAATGTCGATGATGGGGATGGTGTTTGATGATGCCCTACATCGCCTCTTTCGGATGCTGGGCTGGGTTGTGGATGTTGTCATCGCGGTATCCAAGGCCGCGCTGAGTCTGTGCACCGCGCATTCGCTGCTTGTGGCGTTGTTGGCACTGAGTGCAGTCTACAACCTATTCTTCGGTTATCGTGACTCGACGGTTTGGTGGCGTGAGCGCAGTGCCGGTCACTTTATGGCGAGGTTGGGCGTGCGACCCGAGCCTACTATCAGTCGAGCGATCTACCTGCACGACATCGATCAGCTAGTCGCACCCCCAGCTGTTGAGAATCTGACAATGGCGTCTCTCACGCCTGTGGAGCTGAGAGGCGACGTGAAGACGTGCAGGACGACGTTCTCGGAGCAGCTCACCACTTCCACCTCGGTGGCATCGACCGGCTTGAACACCGGCGCTAGGCTCCAGCGCACTCGCGACTCTTTGGCGAAGTACCGCTACGACCTGCTTGTTGCCCTCAAGATGGTCAACAGGATCGAGCGGGATGCCGTGAGTGCGGAATGGGAGGATTGGGTCCGAGGTGAGGAGCTAAAGTGCTCGAGAGTGGAACGCATGCTGCAACGAAAGAAAGGTCGTAAAGACCAGAAGGGAGATGATAGTGGCGCCGGTGAGCTGGGCGATGACTTCGCCAGTTATTGTAGCAGCTGTCGGAATGAGTTGGCAGGGTTGGGCAATGGGATGGCGAGTTTTATTTAAATCATTGCTGAGCGTGACCTTAGATACCCAGCTTGCAATAACATGACTATATCAAGGAACAGCGGGCCTTGACAATGTCCTCTACTTCACTCTCACCGAAGGCCTGGACTCCCAGCAACGCATTGTCGTTGATCTCGCTGAAGTTGTTGCCAACGTCTTTGCCGAAGGCTGCGCGCCTGATCATTGGGATCGCCCAGGCCATGAAGTTCGTAGGATCTTCATTCAAAGCTCGGTAAGCCTGGTCTTCGACTTCCTCACCATTGACCGTGCGTATTTTCCACTCCGCAGCACCAGCGCCTGCGTGCTTCTGCGCCATGCCCAAGAGCTGCTCCATCGTTACACCTGCACCGTGGATTCTGACGCCGCGGTTCTTCGTTTGGTCTGGGTTGCGAAGGACTCCAAGTACACCCTGCCCGACAACATCTAAGGGAGTGACGGTGAAGACGGTGTTGCCGCCGTCGAAGAGGTCAGCAGATTCATTCTTGACATCCAGTATAAACCCCGTCTCCAGGCCCCAGTCGAGGAAAGCGTTGTTGTTGACAAACGTATAGCTGGTTTGTGTACCTTGGCTTACCTTCTGAAGATGGTTTCGCACGTCGACTTTAACCTTATATGCAGGCAGAGTGTTGTTGTATGGATAGTCAGTATCACAGCCAAACTCGCTAGGAATGATACGCTGAACGCCGGCCGCAATCGCTGCATCAATGAGAGTGATCTGGGAGCTCAGTGCTGCCGAGCCGAGGGTAGAGACAACAGCGTCTTGGCCAGACAGAGCATTGCGGAGGGAGTGTACACTTCCACAATCCACCTGCGCTACCTTGACGTTGGACGGCAGGATGGGGGAGGCGTTGCGACTGCGGGCAGTGACGGTGAAGCCGGCGGCGAAGAGTTGTTTGACTACCGGTGCTCCACGGGATCCGGTGGCGCCTGCTACAGCGAATTTGGTGAATGGGGAGGTCATGTCTGCGAGTGACTCTTGGCTCAACGGTCACCGACGACAGAACGTGAACGGAACGATTCGGAGACGGTTGGTATCCTACACTGAGCTGTGGTGTTCCAACTCATTGAGACGGCGATGGGACTCTTATAGTCTCTCACATTTTGGTACCGGCACATCTTCATGGCCTAAACACGGGAGCGGATTCTGTTTCGTTGGCGTAGTAGAGTGCAGCGCCTCTGAAGTCAGTTTGCACCTCATTAAGGATTACTAAAGTCACTAATGGAGCTCGTTATGGTTTAGTTTACGTCGCGAATGCCATAAGCGCGCCGTCTATGTTGTTTCGGTAGAGCACTTCTTACGTGACACACTGTCCATTCCTTGTCAACAGTAACGCTATGTTACATTGTCATACAGCTGCTCCTTGGGCCTTTTGTTGAGACCAATGATTCTGGAAGTCGGCGGACTACGTCGCCCTAACGCCATAGCTCAGGCGTGACTACTGATTTTGAACACGAGAACCAACTCTGCTCGACCGACGGAATGAGATAGAACTTGCATTGCGAACCGAACCTTTCGGACTCATTTCGTCGGATTCTGCGTAACCCCGTGAATCTGAGTGCGACCTCCACCATGAATCACCACAACGCGACCACGCTAACCATTCAACCTCTCTTCTTCGGCATAGCCAAAGCGTTCAGCCTCGCCTGGCTGATCGTAGCTGGCTTCTTATCCTTAGGAGGCGCCAAGGTCTTAGCGCCCTTCGGCTTCACCCCCAGTGTAGTCCGACGGGCAACACTAGACTTGGTGGGTGACGGCGTCGGCTCAGCTGGGTTCGCCTTTGTACGCTTCGTAGGCCGCTCCTCAACTTCGGTCGACGTGCCTACTGGCTCAGCGTTCTCTTTGCCTACTTCGGGGATAGCAGTAGCAGACTGAACTGCTGCTTCCTCATTCTCGAATTCGAACTTGCGCTTCTTGCTGCCTTGGACGGGCTGCGAGGTGAGGTTGACGAAGTCAGAGGAGACGTGACGAATAGTCGACGGCCGCTTGCCCTTGGCTAACTCTGACGGAGCACCTGGACCAAAGACAACGCCGTGGTCATCCGCGCGGAATGTGAACTCGCCAGGTGCAATGGTCTGACGACGCTTTTGCGGAGAGGGCGAGACAGGGTCGAGACTGTTTGGTAGAGATGGGTAGTTAACCTGCATCTTGTCCTTATCTGCGATCTTGGCGCTGTCGGCAGGCGAAGGCGATGGAGTTTTAGAAGGTGTGCTAGAAGCTTCCTGCTGGGCCTTTTGGCCCGCTTCCCAGCGCTCTTTAGTGGAAGAGGTGAAGTCAACGCGCTTATGCCCTGTAGCAGTAGTTACAGCGTGGCTGTCATGGACTGTGCTTTCAATAACTTTGCTTTTTGGTGGCGTTGCGAAATGCGTGCCTGCCGCTACCTTCGCCGGATCATCGGAGTAAAGGCGATGCGGGGAGCGCAAGATGGACTTCATCGGAGAAGCGCGAAGAAGGTTGAAGCGACCCATGATGCCCATGCCAAGCGACTTGCCTGGCGAAGTAGAGACTTGAGTGGTAGTCGGGTTTGTCGGCAAAGCAATCTTAGATGGAGACCGTGCGAGCAACAGGACCGATGGTTGTTGCTCGCTCTCAGCGTCTACGTTGACGCTCTTAGCTGTCGATGACTTGAGCGGTAAACGTGCTAGAAGCGGCGTTTCTGAGCTCCGTGATGCCAATGATTCGTCAGTCAACTCAGCCTGCTGCTTCCGCGGCGAAGGCTTGAGCGGAGACCATCTGAAGAACGGCGCCTGATCCGTAGTAGCCTTCTCCACATTGGCTTCTGCGAAGAGTGTAGCCTTGGACGGCGACCGAGCAAGCAGTGGAACAGAGCTGTCGACTTCCTTCAGCTTCTGTGTTGCTGGCGTAGATGGCTTTGGAGGAGAAGCGACCAACGCCGAAGCCGGTATCTTCGAGGTCGACTTGACACTTACAGCACGACTCAGCAATGCTTGTGTTGGAGTGGTGACAGTCGAAACATGCGGGTTGCTTCTTTGGCAATGCAGCGCCTGTGGTTGCTTCGGCGTGGCCGGATCAGGCTCCTTGTCTTCGCTAGAGTGCTGACGTGCCGCTGAAACATAATCATCGACTGCTGTTCGCTTGTGACGCTTTGATGGTGAGGACGGTTCGGTATCCGTGCCGGACGTGAGGATATGGGATGACGCAGGACGAGGGAGACCGCTCGTTGATGGAATGAGTGCAGCTTTCGAGGGGCTTTGCTGCGCTGCCGTGGAGACCTTCGAGATCGGCTCGTCCAGACGTGCCTTCGATGGGCTACGCTTGAGTGACTTGGTGACCGCACCTCCACGGCTAAGCTGCGGTTTCGGCGTGGGGATAGTTGTGGCCGGAGCTGCGGTGGCCCTGAGTGCTGAAGCGTGGCTTGCGATAGAATCCATCTTTTCAAACTCAGCATTATGGGCCTCGCTGAACCTGCCCTTCTTGCCCTTCGCTGCTGCAATCTTGCGATCTGATGCTTCCACATCCTTCTCCGCGGCTTCCTTGCCGGCCAGCATCTGTTGCCTGATGCGGGCGGCTTCCTCACGCTTCTCCTCCATGAGCTGCTTTGCTTCTGGACTAAGCTCTAGCGAGTGCTCTCGACGGAAGGTGAACTGGAACGTTGGCGTCTGAGCCTCATTCGCACTCTGAACGTTGGTCCTGGACGGTGTCGCTTGTAGCGTGGCGATACGGCTGTGTTGTTGCTTCGGAGGCGCGGTGTGCGGAGCCATATGCATGAATCCGAGATGGCGTGCTTCGTCCAGCACTTTAGCAGTTGTGTTATGATGCTTTTGTGGGTGCATCTCCTCGTCGCTTGGCTTGACTGGGGTTACATCCTTCGGTGTGACTGCAACTCTGGTCGCGAGCCGCTTCGCTGGCCTTGTTGGAGTGCCATCTGCGGGCGGCGAGAGAGAACGCGGGAAGGCGCCAGGCATCTCATCATGCTCCTCAACAGAGGTGAGCTTAGTTGGGACAGTGCGCGGAGTATGAGCGGTAGTCGCATCATGAGATAGTGACACTCGCTTCGGGGTGGAAGAGTTTCTGCTGCGCAAGCGAGCAGACGACCGCCTTGCCATAGTGGCCTTGACGGTCTGAGACTGACGGTGCCGGTAAGACGTAGACGATATGTGGTTGGACCGGGATGTCCGCGATTGGGTACGTGAAGAATGCACGTTTGCTGGCAAATGTGGTTCGTGCTGATGCGAAGCTCAACTTGAGGGCGTGACGCAACACAACAACAATCGGTTGTCAAGGGATACCGGCTACCGGCTCCGACTCGACTCTTTGACTCGGCCACCAAGACTCGCTTGCGTGTCATGTATTGAGGTGATATCGCGCAATGTCAGGGGAGCGGTAGGATACTCTTTTTAATTTCCTCTCGCCTCGAACCCTCTAACCACGCGTTTCTTTGCGTTTTGTAGAGTGATCCTGCCCTTACCTCTACATCGCTGCCAGACCAGGATTTTAAATCATGAACGGCGACATTCGCCAGCGAGGCGCCAATGGCTCCCTTCCAGAGATAGCCAACGGCGCGATCGAGAAGCATGCCAGTGGTCCAACCTTAGCTGGGAAGAACGACATTGCCACGACGAACCATGAGGAAGCAAAGTCATCCTCGAACTTTGTCAACCTCTTAATATGTGCCGGTGGAATTTATGCTTCGTTGTACGTCTGAGTACTTACTCCTTATGGGTTCCGCTAGACTGACATGACAATTGAAGTCTCACTTGGGGCGTTCTTCAAGAACGGATAACAACCACCAACTACGGCACCGAGACCAGCCGTGAAGTGTTCAAGTACCCCGTGGTGATGAATACCGTGCAGTCTGCTTTTGCCGCTACGCTTGGGTATATCTACGTTCTCTTGACCAGGAAGCATCCCGGCGACTTACCTGTCTACCCTTCCCGAGCGATTGTGTACCCGCTGGCGCTGGTCGCCTGTATGTCTGCGATCTCATCACCCCTGGGATACGCCAGCCTCCAGCATGTCGATTATATCACATTCATCCTTGCCAAATCATGCAAGCTCCTACCGATCATGCTCCTACACGTAACGCTGTACGGAAGACGATACCCATTCTACAAGTACGCCGTGGTAGCGCTGGTCACGACCGGCGTCGCAATCTTCACTCTGCATCAGTCTTCCAGGAGCAAGAAGAAGCGTGGCGCAGGAGGCAACTCGAGCTACGGTTTGTTGTTACTATGCGTCAACCTCCTTTTCGACGGGCTGGTGAATAGCACGCAAGACGACATCAATGTGCGCTTCAAAGGGTACAAGGGCCAACAGATGATGTGTGCTCTTAACATCATGTCGACATCCATTACCGCCACCTACCTGTTGCTCAGCCCGTATATAGCACAGACTGGCATCGGACATTACGTTGGCATGGACCTTGCAAAATCCGCTGGCGAGCTGCAGGATGCTCTTGCGTTTATCCAGCGGCATCCAACTGTTGGCTGGGATATCCTGGGCTTCGCTTTCTGCGGAGCTATGGGACAGCTTTTCATCTGTGAGTCCAGCTTCTAGAAGCTTCATGAAGCATGATTGCTGACCGTGATATTAGTCCGCACACTTTCCATCTTTGGCAGTCTCCTCCTCGTCACGGTGACTGTTACGCGGAAGATGCTTACCATGATCATTTCCGTCCTATGGTTCGGGCACAGTCTGAGCGGTATGCAATGGCTCGGAGTGGCTCTGGTGTTCGGCGGCATTGGTATTGAGGCGCAGCTTAACAAGCGCGAGAAGCAAGCGAAAGAGAAAGCGAAGCTGAATAACGCGAAAAGGCAGACCTAGTTTGCTAGGAGCGTCATGTACAGATACGCAACTCAATAACTAAGCTAGAAGCTACTAGAAGTTTCTCGCTACAAGTGTCAATAGTGTCCTAACTATCGGCCGTAACGATGTTTGTATGATATGTCCGAGATACTAATTCGTGGTCGTAAATAGTCTGCGTTTCCGCCTTCGCTCCACCACCAGTCTCTGCCTCAGGGACTGGGCGAATCACTTCTGGTACTTCTCAAGGTACGACGGCAGGAAGTCTTCAGTGCCGTCCTCATATGCGCGCTTGGCAGGCTCCCGTACGGTAACGTCAGCAATTGCAGCGCCAATATATGCAGCGAGGTCCATGACTTACCAAGTCCATGCTATGCGTGTCACTGAAACGGCAATGGTCGAGCCTGCAGCCACTTCCAAACTTGCAATGGTGTCCCTGAAGGCAGTTAATGTCGCGGCAAGCATACTGATTCGGACACTTCAGGCTTCTCGCCTTATGCCTGAGTATCAAAAGCTCGCCTGGCGACAGGCGATCGCCATGCGCGTGCTTGCAGTTCTCGCCTGACTTGCATTTGCCGGTTAGATGGTAACTATTACAGCAATTGCCTTGAGCGTTCACGCGATCTGCAAAGCGTTTGAACGCAGCAGGGTCTTTCTCCGGCAAAGGTGGATCAAGTCGCTCGCCGTGAACATTGAGCGTCATGTGCTTCTTGGCCGGCGTCTTCCTTGGCGCTATGCTGATGTTCTTCGCCGCTGGCTCGGCGTTGCCGATGACCGCCCAAGTATTGGAGGCACCTGGGTCAACGGATGGACTCGGGCTAGGCATTGGCGCGGTGGTCTTCGCCGTGCTTTGCGGAACAAAAGATGCGGTTGCAGCACTCATTGACTGCTGGGAGCGGATGGGAACGTTTGCCGTGATGGTCGGAGATGGCGAGGCGAAACTATTTGGCATTATAACAGGTTTGGCGGGAAGATTCTCGCCACGGAAGACACGCGGGCAACGCAGTTGCTTTAGCCCAAGCTGCGTGAAGCCAGGCGCTGCCGGTAAAGTTTCTAATAAAGTGAGTTTCGACGCCGTGTTCGAATCCAGTCTATATGGCTCCAAGACGGGCAGATACCCATTGTCGTGACAAGGTCCAAAGAAGACGTGCTTGCACTGCGCATTCGGCAAGAACAGGCGGAGCGTCTCCCGGACCTTGTGGTCTGCGCGCTCCTTGCCACTACCCACGTCGATAAACGTGAAGAGCGGCTGCGCAAGACTGAAGGCTCGTCCGAAGCCTGTAAGTTCGTTGGGATTTGCAATGATGCCGCAGGCTTGAAGCTTGGTGCCAAGGCCTTGGATGTTAAGGACGATATAAACTACGATCGACCAGTCGGATACATTAGCTTCTGGATAAAGGCTCAAAAGGTTGTTACGCAGAGCGGTGTAGAGTTGGTGAGCTGCATCTGCGCCCCCCTCTTTGCCTTGAGCATAAAGATAATCATTGAACTGGCAGAGTGGTCAGCCAACAATGTTTACGGTGTCCTGCGGGGATGTACGTACGACAGCGCCGTCTCCGTCCAGTATAGCGACGGCAAAATTATTAGAACCCTTTGGGCTTGTTAGCCAGAACTTCCGGCCATGAGGGTGTGGAAAGACGTACAGAAGCTTGCTTCTGCTCATTAAACGCCGCTTCAGTCGACCTAGCCTTGCTCTGCCACATACGGCGCGACTCGATCTCATTATTGTAATCGTCACACTTCTCATTGTACTTTAGCTGTAACTCCTCGTAGTTGCGTAAGATTTCGGCAATCATGGAATCGCGCTCTTCGTCCGACTTGCGAAAGGCCTTCAGGCGGTCAGCGTACGGCATGATCGCAGTACTGTGTCCGTTCATGTTAGCAATATAGGCCGTAGCTCGCGAGCAGAGCTCCAAATGTGGCCTTATAAAGGTCTCTATAGCTTGCTGCAGCAGTGCAGCACAAGAGTAAATGCTCGCTTGTAGGAGCAATCAGACATTGTGAGACAAACGCACATCCAGATGCAACTCTTAAGCGCTGGTGGCGGAGGCGCGGCGAGAACGCGCCGTAGCCAGCGCGATATCGCGTGTCGACCATACGAAATCATGGGCCTGCGTTTTACATTGCATGACTGTAACAGGTTCCGTACGTACACACAGTGCGAAGTAGCATATCTGGCCTTTCTACAGGTGATCCTGCTGCAGTTTGAAGACTACATGAAGTGTCTCTTAGCGTGACTACTAGCCGACCTTGTGACAACGATGAGCATGCTGTAACAGCTCCTAACGCCCGCTCGAACCAACCTTGCGTACTACTCCACGGTGAGTTTGAGACGTCCCGACATGGCAGTGCTAGAAGGAGGGCTCCTAGTACTCCGGTGCACCAGCCGCGGGCTGCCCATTCTCATCCGCGCCGCCCTGGTCCTCCGTCGCAGCCTGCTGTTGGTCCTGCATTTGACGGTAAGCCTGAGCCTGTGCCGCCTTCTGGCCGTAGTCCTCAGATCGTGGTGCCATGATGGGTTGCTCCTCCTTCGGCTCGATGATGGTGACGGAGTCGGGCAGACCCTTGCCGCCAGCCTTCTCGCCAGCGGGGTCTGAAGGGGACGAAGACGCACGCATGATCTTGACCTTGATGCCGAGCACACCTTGACGGAGAAGCACGTGGCGAGTAGCGTGGTCAATGAAGTCGACCGCAGGTTGGCCGGAGTGGATCATGAAGCCGTCGGTGAACTTCATGGACTTGGCACGGGCGGCGCGAAGCTTGCCGGATACGACGACTTCGCAGCCCTTGGCGCCGGACTCCATGATGAAGCGCAGCACACCGTAGCAGGCACGACGAACGGCGAGACCGTTGAGAAGCTTGTAGCGAAGAGATTCGCACTGGGCGACAGCGGAGAGACCACGGGACTGAACCTTTGCAGCGTAGAGAGAGACTGACTCCGGGGGAAAGCGGAAACGGTGGGTGATAAGGCTTGTGAGCTGTAATGGTCAGTCAGAGCTGCGAGGTTCGTCATGAGGCTGTAACGTACCTCACGGATTCTTCTCCCCTGCTCGCCCAAGACTTCCTGAGTGTGCGTAGCGCGGATGATGATGTCGGTGACAGTGGGCGTGACGCGGACTTCGACACCAGAGTAGCCCTCCTCAGCAAGCTCGCGCTGGAAGAACTCGTTGAGCTCGGCGTAGAAGACACCGTCGGCAACGAACTTGCGGCGCTTGGAGACGTTCACGCCGCTCATTGCCTGAGCAGGAGCCTCAGCTTTCTGCATGATTGCGATATCTCTTGACTCTCCGAGGGGCTGAAAAGAATCCTGTATATGACAGCGTTAGTGACTGGACGTTACGTGGATGCGCTGTAACAGAGCTGCCAATTCCGTTGTTGCCAGTATCGTTGCTCGCCCATTCTACTATGTGTGCTCGTTGCTGTCACTCGCAACGCCTCTTTAGTGCTCGCACCCTCACGTCGGAACGCTTAAATGCTTCGAGTGTTGTCGGCGCCGCTGTATGCTACAAGTCTGCATCGATACGGCAAGCATCGCCTGAAGCTAGAATATGCGCTTCTACACGCGCGAAGGAGAGTCTTACCTGGACTGTTGGTTCGGTGCAGGTTGTGTTTGCGAGGTCAGTGTACGCTTGAGGCGCACACTCAATGCAGTCGTCGTTAGGTGTGCTAAGGTTCAAGTCTTGGCATAGCATTTGTGGGCGTGCGAGCGGACGCTTTCCGCGCAATGCTTGGCGCCAAACTGTCTGCTTCGTGTAAAGCAACATTTACACTTAGTTGGCTTCCCGACAGTACATGCGCCATGAAATAAACGCTCAGCCGTACTTCATTCGACCATTCCAGTGGACTCAGCGAAATTCAGCGCGAGCCCATCCGCAAGGCGAAGAGGTCTTCAGCGTACAGCTAGTCTTTTGCGTGGAATGGAAGGTGCAAGGCAGTGTGAGACAACGCTGGCAAAGAATCCGAATACCATGAATTCTCTCATTCATGATCGAGTATCATTGCTCTAACCAAAGAGGTTGTCGCTCTTACTAGCGCAGCCCCACGCTGGTCGCTCCGCAGGTCCTCACTCATCGCACACTCACTTCCCATCCATCCACTTCCACACACTCCGCTCTCCCTCCGCCAGCGCAGCACCCGCCTTGTTCATCCACCCCTTCGCCGCATCCAAGACTCCGCCCACCCCATCGCTCGCATCTGGGTCTCCAACGCGGCTCGGCGTACCCGCACCAAAACCCGAATGCCCTGTAAGGCCCAACTGTGCAGCCAAACCTTCCCTCTTCGTCTCTTGATCCAGACTTGCCCGTTGCGCGGAACTCATCTCCTGCGCATACGCGTTCTGCACGTAGCCGGGCGGGTGCTCGGCGCTGATTCGTCGCTCATCCTGCTGCACGGGACCAAGATTGAGAGTGGTGGGTCCACTCCGTGATGGTGTAGTCGCCTGCCCAGGTACAATACCTGCAGTTGATGTCGAGTGCGTAGGGGCGTAGTTATGCTGGAAGGCCTGCGCTGCTGGCGGCGTGTACATCTGGTTCAAGTGGCCAGTGAACGCAGTACCCTGATGTTGCGCGCTGTCGCCCCCTCTAGGTGGAGGAGGAACTATGCCAGCATTGCTCGGTGTCCGGGGCGCGTACTGCGAAGGTGGCACAGGCACAGCTCCTGGTTGAGGCGGAGCTGGGCGGTCTTCCTCTTCCCACACTGCCTGCGTCTGAGTGGGCTGTTGGTGCGGTCTAGGCACATATGATGTTGGCGCAGGTACCGCGGCTGCACCAGGTCTCGCGGCCGGATAGCTTGAGGGTGCTGCAGCTGGTGCGGTGGTCGTCGCTACGTTGCTAGCCGGGCCACTGAACGGCTGTGCTGGAGGCTCTGCAGCTGCCGTCTGCGGCTCGACGGCTTGCGGTTTTTGCGGCGTGATCGGGTCGTCGATGTGCAGCGGTATGGGCGGCATGGTGGCAGTACTTCCGATGTGTTGGATGTCTTTCGGTTATTCGATGCTATCGGATTGGACTGTGGTAGGAGAAATGGCAAGTAAGTGCTGCCATGGATTGCTGCCTCAGCATGCAACTGACACGTTCATTGATTGCTCCTCCTTGCTTGAAAGTGCGACAACAGATGACGTACACGTTGCGGATCTATGTCACGTGATGTAATTCGCGGCTGCTACGTATGTTGCGAGGACTGGCAGCAGGAACGACATCATGGAGATAGGCGCAGGGACGTGAAGCTGTGAGGTTAAGAGAAAGCCAGTCTATTACGCCCGTGCAATGAATAACTCGCAACCAATTGTAGTACACGCGGAAGAGGCGATACCGCAGGAATACAGGTACACATTGCAGGCTCAGAAGAAAGACCACCATGCACGTCCATCAGCACAGCAGTCTCACCTCATCGCCATGTCCACCACCAATCCAGCGCACCTGCAGCATCAGCCCCAGTCCAGCCTAGAGCCTTGCTGCCCCCCACGCTACACCCTCGCCATAATGCACAACCCCATTTTATGCCGTCTGCAATCTTCACAGGCATGCAGACTCCCATGCTCCTTCCACCGCCGTTTAGACCATGAGTTGATTGATCTTCTTGTTGGGTAGGTTGAGGCGCTTAACCTGAGCCACCCTTGAAGGCCTTGCCGAACATGAGCAGCTGAGCCTGGTCGTAGATGGAGAGCACACCGGCACCAGCGACACCACGGAGGATGTTGGCACCCGCACCCTTGAAGAGCGAGGCGACACCCTCCTTGGCGACGATCTGCTGCGCGGCGTCGAGGGAGGACTTGTACTTGACGGCCTGTGATCCACAATATCAGTCACATGTCACGTGTGTAAAAATTGGAGGTTGCTGCTACTCACCTCACCAGACGTCATCATCATGCGACGACGGATGGTGTCAAGCGGGTACGAGGCAACACCAGCGGCAGTCGTGACACCCCAGCCGAGCAAGAAGGAGGCGAGGAAGTTGCCCTCGAGCGGGCCGACGAGGATGACGGGCTTGAGCGAGTCGTACATGCCGAAGTAGAGACCACGGTAGACGATGATACCAGTGACGGAGGGCATGAAACCACGGTAGAGACCGGCGACACCGTCGGTGGCGAGGGTCTTCTTGTAGACATCAACCAGGCCGTTGAATTGACGCTCACCGCCCTTCTTTGCGTTCTTGGCGTCGTTGGCCAGACGGGTACGGGCGTAGTCGAGAGAGTAGACGAAGAGGAGGGAGGTGGCACCGGCAGCCTAAGCATGTTAGTAGGGCCTATGGGTTGAAGGTGAGATTGTCAAGACGTACACCACCAGATGCAAGGTTACCGAACATCCACCACCAGTAGCCATCACGTTCCTTCTTGTAGCCGAACATTGACTTGTAGGTGTCACGGAACGCGAAGTTCAGGGCCTGGGTTGGGAAGTAACGGATAACGTTGGCAGTGTTGCCACGCCACAGCGCCGCAACACCTTCGTCACCCATCGTCCTGCGGAAGCAGTCGATGATGCCATTGTACTTGCGGTCGAGACGGCCACTCTTCAACATCTCATCCTGTTAAGAGCATGGCGTGGTTAGCATGCTTGAAGCTCCTCCGCGGGTAAGTCTTGGCAGGCTTCATGCAGAATGGTGTCACAATGCGCCGGTCGCGCTGCCAATGCTCAAGGAGGCATACCTGGTTCTGAATGAGGAGCTTAACACGCTCGATAGGTGCAGCGGCGGTCTTGGAGACGGCGGCGGAGACACCACCCACTGCGAAACATTGTCAGTTCTGTTCCGCCGTTGTTCGAGCTCCCGTCCAGCTCTTATCGCCAGCTGCTGGAGAGCTTCGGCCATCACCACGACCACTTGTGGTGCCGCTCATGACTTGCTAAGTGAAGTGAAACGTACTCAAGAAGTCGACGACGAAACCGGGCATGCCCATGAAGGACTTCTTGCCCTCTGCGCATCACCGTTAGCTGCCAATGCCCGGAAGCGCCAATGGCTTGCTCTACGACTCACGATCCACATCGCCCTTGGACATTGTGACGGTATTGCTCAAGCTCAATGGAAGAAGGAAGGTCGAAGTGAGTGGAGATGGTGTAGTTGGAGATGGTGCAGGTGGATGTGCAGTGGATTGTGATGGTTTTGAGCGCAACAGCTTCACACTGAAAAATCAGGGGATGCACGGTCCACGCGCATCTCATTAGCCGTTTGCCGCACGTTGGGCGGCCGGAAAAACTCGGGAGACAGTTCCACGACTTGTCGAGATCGTCTCTTCTCACTCATGCCTGTTAACATCTCATCTTCGAGCATTGCGTATGCTTAATGTCATAGCAGCTGGACCTCACCAATTCAATACCAGCACGATATTCAGTTAATGCCAACTCCAAGCCATATGTAGCCTTCCGTCCGAAACATCATGCTTACAACTCCACTCCCGGGCTTTCCCTCGATGCGGTATGGACGTTTCTAAGTACTATCCCTTCGTTTTCACACGAATTCGCGATCTTACCTCCGTAACCACACCAGTTTCACAGAGTGTTGAAACGGCGCTTAGTAACAACAAGGACCATGCACCTTCCGGTGGTCCTACGCCTACTCGTCGTTGCTCTCGTGATCGTGCCTTCTGCTTCTTTAGCATCCATGATGATACGAGGTGACCGCGAGGCTGTTCCCGAGACGATCCGCGGTCTGAATATGCACAACGCAAGCAATGTTCCACTGCCCACACACGAGTACTGGATACGGCAGGCCATGCAAACCCTTCATGAGAACATATCGCCCTGCCCGTTCGAGTACTTCGGCGCAGTCGTTGTGAACCATACAGCTTCTAGCAGCTTAGGCGATCTTGTTTGCACTGGCATCAACACTGTCTCTTCCACCGGCAATCCCATCCTGCATGGCGAGACGGCAGCTCTGAACAACTGTACAGCCATCTTAACCGACCCAGAGGGTCACTTCAAGCTGTCTCCGGCCGAAGCGTTACTGGCATATCGAGATCTCACGCTCTATACAACGTCCGAGCCGTGCCCGATGTGCGCCTCCGCTATCAGGTTCGCCGGCTTTAAGGAGTGCGTCTACGCCACGAACATTACGGCGAGGATGGCGCATGGCTGGCCTCATCCGAACCTACTCTGTCATGAAGTATTTGAGCGAGTTGGCACCTTGCCGACGCGGACGAGCCTAATACGCAATGTCTTGACGAACGAGACCGATCCATATTTGCTCTGGCAGTTTGATCAGAGCTATCCATGTCCGGATCAGTGTGAGCGAAATGGCAGTAACGGCCATTGCGTGCCCATGGGTTCATTGGAATATGTTCAGGAGCTGAAGAGCGAGCTGTGATAACGTAATCGCAGTCGAGACCTAGCTGAGTCTGCTTTTTAGATGTCAGAGCCACTAATTGCATTTATATCCTGACGTCTCCACTGTAGGTATCGATGTCCTATATCACACTGCTTACGAAAGGCAACAGATCTGGTGCTACTATTAGGCTTCGGCATCTGTCAAGCGAACAGTCATGGTTTGTCCCGATCTTTGTACGTGCACAATGAGTATCCTTCACAAACACATGTACGCGGACGACGCTGAAAAGGGCACCGTGCATCCGAAGAAGCTTTCATTAACAAACCCGTACGGCAGCGGTGCGTGCTCATGCAACTCCCAAGCAAACGGACCAGACTTCATATGCCTATGGTGTTTCCGCCGGCGAACGCAATCATACTAACGTGCAGCCATGAGTGAATTAAACGAGCAACATGCGTCGACCAAATCACGGCGAGGTAGACGCAAAGGGAGGACGACACAGATTCACACCTCTACGGCTACCCAGCAATCGCGGCATGGAAAGCATCAGCATCACAGCATCCAGCACCCAGAGACACAAGGTCTGCCCCATACTGCACGGCCAGACGTCCAAAGCCGTGCGTCCCCAGGCCCGATCACTCCAACTGGCAGTCCCAAGGTAGCGTTCTCAGCAGGGTTGCCAAATCGATTACCGTCAAACGAATTGACAGGTCTGTTCAATCTCCATAACGATACTGGGATCAGCGAAGGAGAGCGAGTCATAGCTCGCGATATTGACATCCAGCGCATCCAGCGGTCCATGCAGATTCTAGGCTACGACCTTGACCGCGGGAACGAGGCAATGACGGAGTATCTTGTTCCGTTTTGGTCGACAAAGGTTGACCCAATCAAACGGTTCGAGGCGTTGACGAAGCTTTTCCATGAGGAAATGGACAGGCTGTTGCCGTTTATGGAGGAGAGGGCCGACAATGCCGCCGGTCATATACTTTGCTGCGCAGGCGCGAGCAAGTCATCCCACGTCTAGCGGTGGGGGTTGTGCCTGAGCTAGAAGCACTGGTAAAAAGGGTGAGGACGGAGGTTGTGAGATTAGTGGAGGACGGGCTTTCCTACAGAATGTAGACGGGATGCAACTATGTCCGATTGGCAGAGATATGAAGTGAGGATCAAGTCGTGTTGGTTTACCCGCGTTTCCGTGGACGTGCCACCAGACGAATTCTTTCGCCCATTGACAGAGTGTTTGGGTGCAATAAAACAGATCTGATAGCGAGTGGCGGACAACAAGCTTCTACCGAAGCGATGGTGTGTTGGTAACCTGAAGCTGAATGCAACACCATTGAGGTTGATTCATTCCCCACGCTTACAGTTCTCCGCTTCGCAAAGCATCCACACTAGTCCTCAGCAACAAGGTCACGCTTCGGCGGGCCTTGAGCCTCCAAACGAACGCATTCACTCCTTGCGCGTAGATGAGAATGCGAGAAGACGTACGAGAAGGTGCAAATGGGCTGATCTGGCGATGTGCCTCCAAATATACAGGTCTTGAAAGGCTCCGACGTTGCCAGCCACATTGGTTATGCAGTGGGGCAACACGCAGAAACTGTACTGTGTATCTAGAGCTTATGGAGCATGTGCCTAGCGAGATTAGAGAGGTATCATACTTCGATATCTCCACATCATCAATCCTCCTCTCCGCCACCGCCCCCAATCCCACCGCCCGCACTCTTCGCACTCTTCGCCCCCACTATATCATCCACCCTCAACAACAAACACGCACTTTCCACAGCCGTCTTAACACTCTGCAGCTTAATCGCCTGCGGCTCCCACACGCCCAGATCCTTCATATCCACCACCTTGCCCGCCTCGCCATCAATGCCCCAGCTGCACACGCCACTCTGCTGCTCCACGTGCTTCGCCCGCAGCTGGGTGAGTAGCCTGATCGGGCTTGTGCCGGCGTTTTGTATCAGCGTGCGAGGAATGACTTCCATAGATTCCGCAATCGCGCGGTATGGCCATTGCTGCACGCCTTCTATCGACTTGGATTTGGCGGCTAGACGGACAGAGACGGCCATTTCGGTCGCGCCGCCGCCGGGGGAGAGGTAAGGGTGGAAGATGACGTTGCGGGCTACGCTCATGGCGTCGAGCAAGTTCCGGTCGATTTCGTTGAGGATGTCTTTTGAAGGTCCGCGGAGAAGAATGGTGCATGCTTTGGGTGTCTTGCATTTAGTGAGGAAGGTGAAGTACTCGTCTCCGATCTTGTTGATGTCGAAGAGGCCGCATTGCGTGCCCACGTCTCGTTCTGTGAGGTCGTGGACGGAGTTGACGATGGTGGCGCCGACGGCACGGGCGATGCGGTTATTGTCTGTTTTCCGGACACGCCGTAGTGCGGTGATGTTGGCTTTGAGGAGGAAGTGCTGCGCTAGATCTGAGACGCCTTTTTCGGTGATGACGAGGTCCGGTTTCACGGCGATGATGGCGTCGCACATGGAGCGCACTTGCTCTTCTTCGATCTGCAGGATGCGATTCCAGTCTTCTTCTTTCGTGATTTCGATGTTGGTTTGCGATTCGCCCTTCTTGTACTCGAGCGTGCAGTCAAGTAATACGATGCGCGGATTCTCTATTCGTCGCCGCATCTTGGGGTGGGTGATGTCTTTGTTTAACATAACACCATCCAGCACACAACTATCTTCGATCTCGCCACCGGGGATCTTCTCGACGCGAGCATAACGCTTGATGTCGACTTCTTTCTTGCCGCCTCCGGCATCGTGGCTGACTGTCCGCACGGCTGTGAGTGCGAGATCGCACATGAGGTCCGAATATCGCGATGTGAACTTTGTGCCGATGGATGTTGATATAAGGTCCCGCATGACCTGGTTGTCGTTGACGTCCACAGGTATTGATGTGTCTTGGATCACTTGCAGCGCATCCGCTAATGCCTTCTTGAATGCCTGGATGATAACCACTGGGTGTATGTTCCTCTCTAGTTGGGGTAGCGATAGGGCCAAGATCTCGCCGGCTAAGATTATGACGGTCGTGGTGCCATCGCCCACCTCCTCGTCCTGCGTCCGCGCCAATTCGATCATGCTCTTCGCTGCTGGATGTGCGACTTCAATCTCCCTCAGAATGGCATGTCCGTCGTTGGTCAGCACAATACCGCCCATGGGATCGAGCAGCATCTTCAGCATCGCCTTCGGACCAAGACATGATCGGATAATGTCCGCGACTGTCTTCGCAGCGGTGATGTTGGAAAGTTGTGCTTGTCGGCCCGTTTTGCGCTCGCCAGATTGCGTGTCTGCCGCATTATTAGCTTGTAATCACGTCACATGAGGAATAGTACGTACTCATAACAACCACAGGGGCCTGCATGTTGGGCAATTCGTATTTCGTTCGTTATACACAATGCTGCGTTTTCTCGTCGCTTCACAAAGTCAATCTGTCGCGTGAAGCTCTCGATCTCGCGTGCGCATGGCCCGTGCGCTGATGTAAGGTATGCCGTATGCGCCGCCTTGTGCATGGTAGAGCAAGACTGGTAAAGAGATACAACTATATCCATTGACAGGCGCCCACTATACAGTCTTCAATGATAATAATGGAGCGTGAAACAGGATGATGCACAGATGTCTACATGAATGCGTTACACGATCGATATATGTACCAACATTATTGCCATTATCAGCAAAGCCGATGCTGTATGGACATAATCGTACCGCAGGGAACCAGCCGCCGCGGACTTCGTGGACGTCGTGGAACGCGCTGACGTCGAAGCACCTGCTCCCACACTCCCACTCAGAGCCGAGCTCCCGGTGGTGAGAGTTGGACTGCTCGTACTGATCGCAGACAAAGACACAAGCGTTCCATCTTCAACAATGCCGTTCGACGCTGCACTCAGCGTTAACCCGGAGATTGTCTGCGCGGGTCCACCAACCGTAAGAGTGATGGAGCCGTCAACGATCTCAAGGCTGGTCTGAGTCGGATTGCGAACGGCGGTAAAGACCTGTGAGGTACCAGCTGTAAACACGGCGCCAGAAAGCGTTGAGGTCGGGCTGGGCAGAGTCGAGAATGCGATCGTGTTGCCGTTCTCAACGATGCCATTCGATGCAGCGCTGAGCGTGACGCCTGATAAGGTTTGCGCCGACCCGCCAATGGTAAGCGTGATCGAACCGTCGACGATATCGATACCGGTCTGGCTTGGGTCACGAGTGACGGTAAAGACCGCCGATGAGCTATCACTCCCAGCGGTAAAGATGGCCCCTGTGACAGGCGCGGCGGTAATGGTTGGCAAGCTCGAAAAGAGGATCGTGGTGCCGTCTTCCACCACACCGTTGGGAACAGCGCTCAGCGTGACGCCAGAGACGGTCTTCGCGCTTCCTCCGACCGTCAGCGTGATCGAGCCGGCTACCACGACCACTCCACTACCGCCACTGGCCTGTGCAGCGACCGCTGTGATGGTGTTCGAGGCTTGAGTGAATACAGCGCCAGATGTCACCATAACTCCATCCGGCGTCAACGCTGACAACGACCTGAGCGTTCCATCCACCACAATACCACTCGTAGCCGCAGTGAACGTCACTCCAGAGACAGTCCGAGCAGCTCCCCCAACAGTCAAGCTCACTGAGCTATCCACCACTTTCACAGCGGTATTGCTTGGATTCTGCACTACCTGGAATGTCTGCGATCCAGCGGTGAAGAGGGCGCCAGTGGCTACCGCTCCGGCAGCGGTAGTGGGTAGAGCAGAAAGTGATCGTAGCGAGGAATCCACGACGACTCCGTTTGCGGCGGCGCTGAAAACTACACCAGAGACCGTCGCTGCTGCCCCTCCGACAGTCAGAAAGATCGAGCCTCCCACGACGTCGACCTTCGTTTGACTCGGGTTTGGAGCAACAGTAAAGACGTTCGAGCCTGCAGTGATGACGGCACCTGTCGGCGTGGCCGCTGAAGGTAGGTAAATCGTGCTGCTTCCTACTACAACACCTGATGCTCCGAACGAGACCTGCTGGCCGTTGACGCTTGTGGCCGCATTTCCAGCGGTGATTGTGGCGCCGTTTACGACAACATTGCCATTGCTCGCTGTCGAGATTGTGTATGTTTGCCCGGCGACGGTGGCCACTGTTTGCGGCGCAGCTGGGTTTATTGAGGCTAGGCCGACCGTAGTGCTTCCGATAACCACTCCCTTTGCATTTGCCGAGATTGTTTGTCCAGCGATCACTGTCGCTCCGCCTGGGGTAACGGTGGCGCTGTTCACAATGACGTTGCCATTGCTCGCTTGTGAAATGGAGAAGATCTGCCCAGACACAGTGGCAACTGCTGCAGGTGCGGCTGCGTTCGTCGAGACGAGAGCGATTGTACTGCCACCAACAATCACGCCGTTAAAGTCAGCCGACAATGTCTGGCCGGTAATGATTGTTGTTTGTGAAGGTGTCAGCGTGACGCTGTTTATGACGACATTACCGTTGCTCGCTTGAACCGAAAAGACTTGGTTGGATATCGTAGCAACCGCTGTGGGACCGCTGGGCGAGGTTGTTGCTGCCTGGTTCAGTTGAACCGTGCTGCTTCCAACGACGACAGCGTTCGATGCCACAACTAGGACCTGGCCTGCAGTCGTGATGGTGGCGCCCGCTGACAGCGTCGCCCCGTTTACGACAGCGCTTCCTTGGCTATCTTGGGATATGGAAAATGTGCTGCCTGCCACTGTCGCAACTACCGCAGCTGCAGTAATAGTTGCGGGCTGGCCAGCATCAGCGGTTGGCAAAGTACCTGCAAGGTACTGTACTGTCTGGCCGCTCACGGACGTAGCTGAGCTGCCTTGTGTGATAGTGACCCCATTGACGGCCACAGCACCGGTGCTGTCAGCGGACACTGTATAACTTTGCCCACCAATCACCGCAATCGTCGTTGTTCCGCCTTGCTGAGTCGCTGCAGCGGGGGCTGATATGGTGCTAGTGCCAATCACCACCGCAGACCCAGTGTTGGCTATCGTCTGCCCTCCAATGACGATGTCAGTGGCGCCTGACGTGACGGATACGCCGTTTACCACGGGAGTGCTGTTTGCGTCGTAGGACACGGTGAAGGAAGTGCCTGCCACGACTGCAGTAGTCGCAGGAGCTGTAGTAGGATTCGCTCCTAGTGCGATAGTACTAGTTCCTATGACTAAGGCAGCTGCGCTCGGCCTTGTGGAGGTCTGTCCTTGTGCGTTAACGGTGGCAGATTGAGTGGTCGGGCTGTTGGCAACGGTTGTCTCCGCAAGTAGCGTACTGGGAGACACTTCGTTCGATGAGACTGAGGCGGCTGCCTGACCACCGGCTTGTGCTTGGCTTTGTGCGTTAGCTGATATCACGGCGCCTCCGGCGGTTGGATCGCTGTCACTAGCTGCTTGCGCAATGCTGGCCTGTGCGGGGCTGGCACTTTGTTGCCCAGATGAGGCAGCAGCGGTGGCCAGTCCCCCCTGACTTTCAGTAGTCGTGGCAGCTGTAACCGCACTGGTATGAGAAGAGTCTCCACTAGTCAAAGCAGACGCGAGAACGGAAAGTGCGTTGATGGACGCGGCTGTGCTCTCGGAGCCAGAGGACTGCTGAGTGGACGCTGGAGGGTTAGCGCTGGCAGCCTGTCCAGTCTGCGATGGCTGGGTTGTTTGCGTCCCTTGACTTGGTGAAGGATCAACTGCTACCGTATTAGGCGCCTCTCCTGCGCCGGCGGTAGACAATATTACTATATTTGCAGCAATGGGTGAAGTTTGCGTAGGAGTCGGAGAAGACAACGGCGTAGCGGGTGAGGCCGGCGTCTGTGTCGTCAATGTTTGGTCTGATGTCGTGGTTTCCGACAAACGGGAAACACCCGCTATGGTTGAGGCTTGCGACAGGGCGGAGGGTGGATCGTAGACGCCGTAAAGGGCAGGGAGGCAGCTGCCCCACTCGGGGCGTATGGACAGGATTTCGGCGGGCAAGGACAGGATCGCACGGTATTGCCCTTCGAAGACGGTGCTGCACTCTGGATTGGGATACATGGCGTCGCACGCACCCCCATGAAGCGCTAAATAATAGTCCGTCGGTTGCGGTCGAGCCAACGAGTTGAGGTCCAGAGGCTGTGCGTAAATCTCATCATTGGGCGGATTCTGAATGACAGCCTGGAGATGGTAGTAAGGTGGTCAGTCTCGTCTCAAACAACCACGAAGGGTCTGCACATCGCTCTGCTTACCGCCACTGACGCGAAGTCCGCGAGGCCATGGGCGAGAACGTTAGCAGCACTGAAGGCTTGGGCACCGCTGTAAGGGGCGAGCAAAGTGGAGAGAGCAGTAGGATGTAAGGCTGGTTCCAAATTGTGAGCATGAGATCGTAGGTGCAGGTAGGACGTACCCACCAACGACGGTATTCGTTATCAGTGTTCCAAGTGTTGCGCCCCAGTTTGCGCGGAAATTGTCCGAACAGCCTCCTTGGTAATCACAACCTGTACAACTCGAGAAAACTGAAGCTCCGTTTGAAACCTCCTGAAGTAGGTCGAAAGAGAGATAAATGGACGGTGACGTGAAGGTGGTGCCTGGAGCATACTCGTACACCACTGCGGGGGCGGTGGTGTTGTTCGCGTAGACGCCGGTGATGTTGGCGGCGGTTTGGGGTGGAAAGTAATAGAGTTGAACGTTTTCTCCGTAGACGCTACCTGGTTGTAAGAGGCATCACGTCAGTAAAAATTGACTCGGGCCATTGCTCGAGCTTACAATCGCCTGGGTTGGAAGTAATGTTCGTGCAGCTGCTCCAGGCCTGGTACCACTGCACCGGACATGGTGGAGAGTTGGTCGGTGCGGGGGTGATACTAGGAACGGTCTAAGTGGTTGACGACAACAGTCAGCATCGTCTCGAACATCATTGCGAATTGTGCTCTAGAACCTGCGTACTGCGTTTGGTGTCAATCCAAGACTGGATATGTACGACACATACAGAGAGCTGCAATCATAACCATTAATGGCATTGTAGCAGCTGGGTGCCGGTGGCAGGGACGATATCGTAGCGTATTTGTAAATCGTCGTGGAATTTGTCAAGGTGAGATTAGTTGTCACCGTCGTTGTCGGTGTGAAGTTCCCGCTCGCAATCGGTATGCCATCAATCGTGGTGTAGACGTCGCCGATACCGTAACTCAGCTCCACCTCAGTTGTCGTGTAACGGGTAGTCACAGAGCGCGGCGTCTGAGTAATTGCGTAATACCGCGAGAGGTTGTAAACCGAGGATAGGGAGCTACAGGAGAAATACGACGACAGGAGGGATGATCCATCGAAGGTACTGTTGCTGGTTGAATTCGTGCTTGACAATGTTGTGGCGTTTCGGGTAGGTGTGGAGGTAATGCTTGCAGATGCGCCGGTAAGGCCGCCCGAGCCATTGGTCGTTCGTGTGGTAGCAAGGCTCGCAGATGCACCGATCAGACGACTTGTGCTGTTGACTGTAATTGAAGATGATTGGCTAGTCGCTGATGATACCTCCAGGGTGTCGGATTCGGACGAGTGGTTCGTCGAAGCAAGCACAGTCGTCGTAGAGATGACGCCGACGGAGTCTAGAACGAATATGGAAGAGCTTGACACGAAGCCTGATGAGCCTGCAGCGGCACTCAACGAGCTCCCGGCGGTTGTCGACGAGCTCACTGCGAGTGTTGATGAGTTCGAGACAAAGCTCGAAGATCTGTCGGCGGAAACTGGTATGGAAGTGTCCGAGATGATGTCCGCCGAATCAGAAGTCCCAGACACGGGATTAGTTGTTGTGGTCGTATATATGCTTGATAATGCGTCGGGAGTAGTGGAAGTCGCGACACTCAATGTGCTTGACATTTCACTGGATATGCTAGAGGAGGTCCCTGTAGAGGAGAAGGTGGTATTAGGGTACAGCACAGATGTTTGATCTGTTGTGGTTGAACCTATTCCAGCAAGAATATAGGTTCCTAAATCGGCCACGCAGAAGGTAGGCCCTGCGTAAAACTTCAGCAATTGTCGAACATGTCGCGTCTGGACGCCTTACCAAGTGCTAGAGCGGCCCATGTCAGCGGCACCATCTCGTCGGCCAGAAAGGGATTGAGAGCGCGAGCAATGAACGATGCATTCTGAGCAGAGAACGAAGACCCATGAGTACACTACTTGCACTTCCGTTCTATTTGCATGGCCCCCAACGCAACCGTGTCAGGGCTGGACATGTTCGTCGGGCCCGAGCATAGGCATGCGAATGCAGCCTAGTATGCTACGTCGGAGCCGCACATAGGGTCTAGAGCTAACGCTATAGAATGTGTTTGTCAGCCATAGCAAGGACTGTATGGACGTTGCTCATGCCCTAGCGCGGCTGAAACGACGCGGTGCGAGAGATGGCGTGGCGCTTCTGCAGGCATTGGTACTTCCTTCGCATGCCATTTCGGGCATGCAGAACGTCTGTCTTATGGTCACTCACACACTGTTGCTTAGAACATCGTCTGTCCTGTAAATTCTACCTAGCCGGCCTCTGACGACGATCTGCCAGTAGCAAGCGCATTGTGTGGATTGATGGCTGGAGGGTGAGATTGTGGTCGGAATGACGGGTGCAGAATACCGAAGGATCAGGATCAAGATCCTAGAGCACCGTGCGGCGCGGCAGGAACCACTATGGCGAGGAACAGAGTACATGCAGGGTAAAACCGACTACGGTGAGAGAGGGTAAATCACGTGGTGTCAAAGATGGTTGCCGTGCAGGTCCCAAGCTTGTAGAGCGAGAATGGTCCAACAGTTACAGAGGCTGCACATCGACCTAATCGCTTCTGCAATCCCACCCACAATCTGAAGCGGCATGAGGCGGTCAACAGCGTCTAGCACTTCGTACAGACTGTGTATGCATTCAAGGTAGACCATATTCACGTCATTGGTGAACCTTGGAGTATTGCATCAATTGATTTTGTCATCAGTAGCAACGGGCTCCTGGAGAGTTCCGTCTTCGCCGTTCCGAAGCTCCGCGCTAAAGTGCACAGACACAGATCCTTCTGTCCCGACCGCAACCACTACTCTGCCGTCTTCTTCCCAGACGACCTTTGGAATGGTTTCTTAATCAACGCAGCAACTTTGCCCAAACCCCCAAACAAATATCCGAAACCAAAGCTCCACCCCTTGACCCGGACACTGTAGATGAAGAAGTACACTAAGAAGTAGTTGGTGAAAACGAAGATGAGGAATATGCCGAAATCGCGCCACTTGTCCGCCGCATTAATGTTGAGTGAGCTCAGATACTGATCCCCAGAGCTGTACTGGCAGTACTGGCAGTCCGCAGTCGCAGTAGGGTTGAGCAAGTTGCCACCAGCCGAAGCGGCAAAAGCGCCCGCGTAGGAGCCGCAGGTCTGGCCTGGAGGAGGATTGAAGTGGGCCGTCTCGTCTGACGTGCATTGCACGGGGATGTTATGTAGTGTTGCTGCGAGCACGCCTCCGATCCACCACGTGGATGGGTTGATCCAGTACATCCAGTATCGCCAGAAAACGGGCAGCATGCTGTATGGGCGCACCACGCCGTTGAACCTGCACCAAGTCATTAGCAAACTTTCCAAAACCAACGTATGGTAGGATACACTTACAGGGAGAACATGACGAAGAAGAAAGGCAGCACGTTGCTGATGACAGTAAAGGACGGTGCAAATGCGCAAATCCACTGGCCCCAGCTGGCCTGGAACAGGAAGAACAGTATCGTCATGAGGAAAACGTAGCCCGATACTGAGCCCTCTGTAGGCAAGCCAGTTGGCCAGTACCAGAAAGCCCTGGAAAGCGAGAGCTTGTCAGCGAGGTGGAAACATTAGACAAGTATCACAGCTTTCAATCACTCACCAGTAGAGCACTCCTCCCACGATTGCAGGAGGGATCTCGGCAACCACCTGCGCCGTTGTGAACGCGAACCAGCCGTAAATGCGGGACGGATACTCTCGAGCCTGCCAAAGTGCCATGTTCGTGAAGAACTTCGGCACGACGGCATTGACAATGGTTGGCGGGATCGTCAAAATTAAGAACGAAGTAAACAGCCGGTCCTGCATGTCTTGCGTGCTGTAACCCAGCTTCCAGAAAGTGAATCCGTTGAAGATGCCAACAATAACGGACACGAAGAACTTGCCGTAGAGGTACGATGGGTCGCGCCAATACTGCTTGAAGGTACGCTTGAGTAGCTCAGAGGTTTGCAGCCAGATGCCAGCAGCAAACTCCCTCTGCTGCTCTTTGCGCACCTTCTCCGGGATGGTTCTGCTACGGGTCAACTTGAGGCCTTCAATCTCCTCGATGACTTGCTTGGCTTCCTCGCTGTTCTTCCACTCCTCATTCCAGTCGATGCGAGTGCCATCCGCACGCTTGTGAGGTTTCGCAGCGGTCTCGAGAATGAACTCCGCCACGTTCTTCTGAGGCGGACAGACTGTGCCACGCTGAGCAAAGTACTCAATGACGTCCTTGCCGTTCTCGCCTACGGGGCCGAAATAGAAGCAGTTACCGCCAGGGTTGAGCGCGAGAATCATGTCGAATTGCTGGATAAGTACAGATGATGGCTGATGGATTGTGCAGACAATAGCCTGTCCGGCATGCGCCAACTTCTTCAAGAAGCGCACAATCGAGTAGGCTGACTGCGAGTCCAGGCCAGACGTCGGCTCGTCCAAGAAGAGGAGCAAAGAAGGCTTGGCCGCCAACTCGACGCCGATGGTGAGACGCTTGCGCTGCTCGACGCCCAGGCTGCTAATAATGGCATCCTGCAAATCGTTAAGCTCGAGCAGATCGATGATCTGATCGACGTATGCGATCTTCTCCGCACGTGGAGTTGAGGCTGGCTGTCTCAGAATGGCCGAGAACTCGAAAGCTTCGCGAATGGTAGCTGTGCCATCGTGCAAGTCGCCCTGTAAGCAGAATCCCGTATTACGCTGGAACTCGGGTCCTAACGGTCTGCCGTCCACGAACATCTCGCCACTGACGACACCCATGGACTGGCGCTGCGAGAGGGTATTTAAGAGCGTGGTCTTCCCAGCACCAGAAGCGCCCATAAGTGCAACCATTACGCCTGGCTTAGCATAGCCATTGACGTTGTTGAGTAGCTTCCGCTCTCCACCTAGGTAGGGTACGGTGTACTCGACGTTTCGCCAGGTGAAGATCGACTCGCTCTTCACAATTTGTTGAAGGGCCTCATCTTCCTTTTCCTCATCTTCGCCCAGATCCGTCTCCTTCTTCTCTGAGCTCGAACTTTCACCGCTGCCCGCGGCGGCCTTTTCTTCGTCATTAGGCGCAGCAATCTTCTGAGCTTGCTTCTTCGCCCGTTTGGACTTCTTGAAGACGAGAGCGCCGCCACCGGACTTGGCGAAGTTGAAGGACTCCGCTGCGAAGACAGTAACGAGAATATAGAGCACGATGAATGCGATCACTACGCCGAAGTTGCGCCATAAATGACTCCGGGAGTAGTTGTACGTTTGAGCAAGGTAGTAGCTTCCGGGTACCGAGTTCGAGTTCACCTCGGCGCCGCTGAGTGCGCAACCTTGGTAAGCCGGGTCGACACCAGGACCTTGCGGGACCAGCTGAGCGGCTGCGCACTGCATGGTTCGACCGGAGAACTCATTAGCGAGTACAGCCTCGAAAGAGTACGAAAGCGGATTAACCCAGTACAGCCAACCGAACCAGATATACCGGCTGAGTAGTTGCGTCTTAGGGATCACGTAGCCAGTGTAGATAACAAGCAAGTTGAGCGCGATGCCAGAGAAGCGAACGGCTGTATCGATCTCTGGACTCAGGGCGGCGAACATGCGGTACAGCGATGTAAGCAAGATGGTCGTGAGGTAGACGAAAAGCATGTAGATCCAGAATTTGCCAGCGTTGACATCCAGGTTGCACATGAAGTACATGATAACGCCAAAGACGGCGACTTGTGGCGCAATGATCGGAAAGTCGGTGATTACGCGAGCAATGCTTACGGCTGACGGACGGTAGAAAGCATAGTCGTGATGGCGAGCGACAACTGCTCGACCGCTCACCGCCTTCATGAGCTCGGAAAGTTGCAGCCAACCCAGGAAGAGGATGGAGAAGAACACGGCACCACCCCGAGAGAAGGCTCCCTCGGTGCTCAACGGCTCGCCATAGAAGAGAGAGCCTACAATCAGGCCGTTGGAGACGATGATGAAAGCCTTGGTGTACAGTGTTGTCCTGTCGCCAGCGAGCAGCCAGAGCTCGCGCTTGACGCAGGCCATAACTTGACGTGGGAAGCTGACCGTATATGGCGACTTCTTCGAAACGCGCTTCGACTTGCCTTCTTGGACTGCGCTTTCAAAGCGTTGTGCGTCTTCGTAGTCTGTACGCTGAAGATGCGTTTCATAGTCCTTCACATCGTCAATGACCTTCTGATATTGCGGAGACTGGCGGAATGCGCGCTCGAGCTCTTCCGGCGTCTTTGGTGTGCTGTTCTCACAGCCGGGCCTAAACCGGCGCTCGACAGGATCCGTCACAGCGGTTAAGAAGTCAGCTGTGGTCTGTCTTTCCGGTGCCTCGAATCCTAGGTCAATGAAGTACTGTCGCGCTTCTTCTTTACGGCCCATGAAGATCTCGCGACCTTGGTCTATCACGAGAACCTTATCCATAAGGTCATAGATACCTTCACCAGCTTGGTAAAGGGTAACTAGAGTGGTACGGTTAGAGATATCGGTCATGATGCGGAGCGAGCGAGCGTAGTCGAGCGCAGTCGAGGCGTCGAGACCTCTCGTTGAGTTGTCCCAACAGACCACGGTGGACTTCGAGGCAAGTGTCTCTGCAATCGAAACACGCTTTCTTTCGCCACCGGAAACACCGCGAGTATATTCGTCGCCGACAAGGGTGTACTTCGTGTGGGCGATGCCGAACATCTTCAGCAAGGCGTCGGCGATAATAGGAATCTGTTCTCGAGCCTTCTTCTTCGTCTTGGTCATCAGCGCGAATGTGAACGACTGCCAGACTGTCAAACTCGCAAAGTGGATATCATCCTCTTGATTGTAGTTGACCTCGCCTCGGTACATCTTCTTCTGTTTGTCTGCGGGTATACCGCCATACGACACGTCACCCGACACTTTGGCAAAGGATTCTCGGTTGTTGCTGATGGCCTTCAGGAAGGTCGAACAACCAGCGCCAGGTCGACCAAGGACCAGCATCATCTCTCCATCCCTTACGCAGCCAGTAAAGTCGTTAATGAGGGTGCGCAGTTCCTTCTTCGGTGCCAAGGCTGGGATGTAGCTACATATGATATGATAAAGATCCGGGCCGAATGTGCCAATAATAGCATCGGGCAGTGTCCGTACAAACGAGGTGGCAGAGCCGACGCCCTGGACTGTGAGGTGCTTGTAGATGACACCGACTTTCTTCGCTGACGAGCCATCTGTGCGCTTCTCGAAGTGACCTTCTCGCATGAATTGGTCGAGCTCAAACGCATCTTCAGGGTCATTCTGTGCGGGTCCGGCTTCGACATCGCCAAGCTCGGATTCGCCAGGTTGTGATGTTGTCGTTTGACGAGTGGCTTGCCGTGACAGCTGCTTACTTCTTCTGCTGGCGCCTGAGACGCTTCTCTTCAAGCCAGGGGTTTGCGACTCCTTCGACCGCGTACGTGCCAGTTCCGTAAGGTGCCTTCTAAGCTCCTGGAAGTTCTCGCGCGCTTCGGTTTCGTCAAAGCCGCCAACATCTCGCTCGCCCCAGGTTCCGGACTGGTTCCGAGTGGTATCGAACGGGCCCTCCTCTACCTCTTCAGTCGGGTGGTGCGGCGCATGCTGGCGTTCCGCATCAGGTGCCCGGTCTCCCACGGTATGCCATTGGTTTGAGGGTTGAGTGCTAGGATTACGGCGAAGCCTGTTCTCGTCGACGTTCGATCCCCACATGATGAGTGACAGTCTGAACGGCTCTTGGTCGAAGACGGTAGAGTGGAGTGGAATAAGGAGCCTTATACGGCTCGAAAAAAGTCGATTACACACTCCCAGAGCGCGTTTGAACGATCACGTCAGCCAACGTCCGCGGTGACACACGCGTAACAGTTAAGAGAGTAGTGAGAGACAACGGTGGAAACGAAAGAGAAGTCCTCGTATGCGCAAGAGCAGTTACCTAGGTGAAGTGTCCGAGCCTTCCGTACAGACTTCGGAGTTAACAGGCCTTTACGGTGACATCGTGTTGAGGCCATGAATAATCGAGCACAGCATTGTGGATCGCGACGTCGTGACGCCATGGCAAACTCAGGTCGCCAAGCCGTTACCCCGGCAGAAAGCGCGCTGGGCGCGAGAGGCTAAACACTGTGGATCGACACATCGACATCTGTCTTGAATCATTGCCTGCACGATCAGACGAAGATACATAACGGCTTGACTCGCGCTGTGAGATTTGTACATGAAGCATACCATCTCATTTAATGGTCACCCAGGTCGACAGACTCTCCCAGCAAAAATCAAACTGAAACGTGATCGACCAAGGTTAACTGCACGCAACGTTTCTCATCGTATTCAAACAACGATCATGAACCGGCTATGCCATGCTCGATAAGTATGCTCCGCTGTCAATTGATCCTGTGTGGTCATTACTCGAGAGAGCCACGGTTTTATTCCAAGTCCTTTCGCTTTCGCTGTCGTTCTCTGTGCGCTCAATGCTCGTATCTATGCCCACCTAAACGATGATTATTGCGTACCAAGGCAAGATCGTGCAGAGAGCTTGTTATGGATACACGGCCCAAGTGATTTGCTGAGCACATAGTTAGGGCGTACCGCTTTGCAAGGAAAGAGTAATGGCACCGCGGCCACGACAAATGTGAACGTGGCAGCTGAGTAATTGTCCTGTTGAAGTGGGTATGCCCACTTTTTCGGCGTCCATGGTGCCGGAAGCGGATCAGTGGCCTTCCGGACTCGTACCAATAGCATAATGTTGGTGTCAATAAGCCTTGTCGTGGAAGGCTGATCGCGCAGGCCGTATCGCAGCTGTTTGCGCTCTCTCTGTGGTGGCAGCCCAGGTTTAAGAATTCCAGCAGACACAATGCAGGACTCTTCATCACCACTGATCCGGGTCTTGACAACCGCCTGGCGAACGGTGAGTTTATCAAGACCAACCGGTTCATCATTCCGATACGGTGTTCGCTTCAAGTTCTCCTCCGGGCGGCTCGCTGCGGTGGTGTCAGCAAAATATGGGAGATCTAATCCATGTCACTGACCAAGTAGCAGTCTTTGAGCGCCATAAATTCTCTCACGCACATGTCCTTGCTCACGTTCTGGTAATTAGCCGCTATACATTTCCCGTACACTGCTCCCTTACAAATACGTCAGTTTGATCGCTGTTTCAAACACTTGAAGCGTGCCTTACTTCAGCTGTGCACTTGGACACCGTCTCGGCGAACTTCTCGATGGGTCTGACGCGGCCTGGCATGATGGCGGCTGGTTCTGTGCCGTAGCGCAACTGGTTGCTTGGGACTTTTGACGACAGAAATCGTGTTTGCAACAGCTTGGTAAGCGAGCGCAGTCGAGCTCTGGAGTCGTTGCCTCTTAATTTCAGACAGTCATGCGGAAGGGAAAGGTTCTGTATAGATCTTAACACAGCATACCGGAATTGTCAGTACGGCAGGGGAGACGGAATGCAGCCCATCTGATGAGGTTTGCCAAGCTGCATCGATACGTCTTGGCTCTTTCGCAACATTGAGTAGCCGCCGCTTATCTCCGAACCAATCAAGTGACATGCTCTGTCACCCCACCGATCAACAACGCGTGAACTTCGCGCTTACCTCAAGTCCTACTTCACAGATGAATATTCTCCGCGACGTGCACACATAGCGCTGTAGCGATTAAGGTCGCAGTATATCATATGCAGCGGCGCACCAGATGACCCGGCCGTACTCCAAGCGCGTGCGGCGAAAAGCAAACATTGACCCGCTCACATGCTCGACGATGCCGCGCTGCAAGATGATTTGCCAGAGTTGAGTGATGAGGGTAAGATACCATTAGAGAATGTATATTGCGCAGTCAGTAACGGGTACATTAGACGTCGCTATCACTCACGAAGTCTGTACACGAGCCAACAGTCAGCATGCGCCGCCCTTCAAGGCCCTCTTCGCCGCTTACGACCGCGTTCTCGCGGAGCAAGGTATTGAGTCGGAGCATGATAGTGTTGTGTTTCGCCTGCTACTGCGTGTGGGAGAAGCCGCGCGCGAGAGAAGAGGTGCGTCAGGGCGAGTGGATTTGGTTGGATGTCTGAAGAGTGTACTGCAAGCGCAGGGCATCACCGTCATCGAAGACGAGGGTGAAGACGGAGTCAGTGAGGTTACCCGAGATGTGGGTGCTGACGAGGTTGATGGAGTTACTGCGCCTGCACCGGCAAGCAACAAGAAGGCCGGCAGGAGAGTTAGCTTCGATGATGCACGCTTGGAGGAGACGTGGCTGAGCAATCATTCTAATCATGTCTACGATCTACCGGGGAGACAGCAAGGTCAGCGCAGTCTGCTGGCCTTACCCGCGCGACGAGGAAGGCTGGCAGGTGCGATAGAGAGACAGCGCGCAAGGTCAACTAGCTCCCCACGAGAAAATGCCAACGTTCAGCGGCACCCAGCTTCGAAGCATCTTCAACAAGCGCCCAGTTCGGCAGCTTACGCATCAGGATACGACGGACGGGCGCATACGGCTCTAATGTTTCAAATGTCACAGACTCAGCTGGAACAGAATGCTGAAGCATTCGCCACCACTTCGATGGTTCGTATCGCAAGGAGGTGTCTTCATATCATGCACGACCGGGCGCTGCGCTTGCATTGGCATCAGCAACACGCATACGCTACAGCTGCGGCGCATGACAGGCGGACGCTTGTGAAGCAAGCGTTCGATCAGTGGCGTACAACCTTCGAGGCACGCAAACAGGCGCACTTGGAAGAGGCGCGGCTCAAGCAGCTTGACCAGAAAGCCATGAAGCACTACAACTCCAACATACTCTGGAAAGCCTTCGGGCACTGGGCCGCATCAACGAAACACCAACAGGTTCAGATCCGTTGGGCACAGCAGCATATCCTTCGCATACGCTATTTTCGGCGGTGGCGCACCGTTGCTGTAGAGAATGCAACGAAGTCACGCAGTATCCTGGCACGGAAATACTTGGGCTTGTGGCGCGACCGGTCAATTAGGCGTCGACTTCGCGAAGAGCAAGCTCTAGCAGTGCGCGAAGAAAGTGTTTTGAAACGATGTTGGCGGAGTTGGTTTTGGCACTTCTGCTCAAGGAGAGTAGAAATCTGGCGAGAGGAGCGCCTTAAGGGCCGAGCGTTGACTGCTTGGACTGCACGATTCCGTCAGCTGCGCACGAGAGAACAAGCTACGACACGACAATGCAATGCGAATGCAGCCAGACGAACCATGAACATCCTTCGTGAGCGAATGGCGCACCGTCATCAAGCCTCACAGCAAGCCGAAATCACCCGCAACCGCAGAATCACAGCTAAGTGCTTACACGTTCTCTCCATTAGGCTAAGATTGGAACCTATCGGCCGCGCTTTGGCGATCACAGTGAATCTGCACCTCTTGCGGAAAGCTTTCCATGTCTGGCACGTCCACGTCAGCATCTCCCGCGAAGCCGCCGATGTCGACCGGAAGCGCATTCTTCAATCTGCCTGGACGAGCTGGAACGATGCACTTCGGTGCCAAGCGCTAGCGCAGAAAACCAACGAGCGAGTCCTGCTTGAGAACCTATATCGATGGGTGTTGGCTGAGCGCTTGAGACTGTTCCAGAGGACACTTGACGGCAGGTTGTTGAGGCGGGCCATGAGTGCGTGGAGTCGCAAGTTGTTCGATATTCGGACCAGAGTTGCAGACGCCGAGAGCGCATTTGTTGAAGCGCAGGCAAGGCGAAGGATGCTGTTCGGCATGACAAAGCTGCACCTAGCTGTACGCCGCTGCGAAGATGCTGAGCGTGCTGCTGTGGAGTTCAGCTGTGCGAAGGTGGGCCCAACCGCATTCACCGCCCTCACGCAGAAGTTCCGGCATGTCCAGCAGCTTGGGAAGTGGTCGCAGGATGCACGTTTCTACACCATCTGCACGCGCACTCTGTCCGTGTGGCGAGAGCGGACGACACAGCATCAACAGAACCGGAAACGAGACGCTTACGCAAGGATACGTGCCCGTCTGAAGGTCCGCTTGGTTAGCGAATGCTTAGCGCGATGGCGGACGAAGACTGCAAATATGCAGGCGAGGATGCAAGAAGCTGACCAGCGCTTGCGAGATCGAGTCTTTGAAGCGAGTATTCGAGGCTTCGATTGCTGGCGTGAGAAGACTGTACAGGTGCAGCAAGCCGCCGAACAGGCGGCAGCCTTGGACATCCAGAAGCTCATGATTTCAGCTTTGTCAGCTATGGTCACTCGGAACGCGGAACTAGCAGCACTCGAAATACGTGCTTCTTCTTTCCGGCGTGACACTGAGCTGGCCATCCTGGCTGCGGCATTGAAGAGAGTGCAGTGGGCTCAGTTCACCGCGGCGAGACGTGCAGAAAGCGCCGAGGCGCTGTGGGCCCGGAATCGCGATCTTCATATCCGCAACATGATCAGAACTTGGGTGGCGCAAACAGCAGCCAGACGAGCCCTCAAGCAACCCGCAGTTGTTCCTGGAGGCGAAGACGAAGAGCCCGAAAGTCCAAGTTTGAGGCCTGCATCTCGCGCTGCGTCTAGGTCTCGGCAACCAAGCTCGCCTCCAGCGCCAGCTACCATGAGTGAAAGTGCTATACCTGCATACATGCGCACGCCTTCTCGCTCAAGGCGGGCAGGTCGCTTCAGGCCTATACCCACGCCGGCCGTCGGTACACCTTTCGCTTTCGAGGAGAGCTACCTTGCTACAACGCCGGCCCCGCTCGTTGGCTTGTCGGCTGGCATACCGCCGCAGACCACTTATGAAGGCGATATGACCGCTCTCACGCCACAGGTCACACCGTTCGCTCGCAAATTGAGGGCTGGTGGGTTCGGCGGCCCGCGCAATCCTGGAGATACCGGCCGTGGAGACGGTGCGCTTACCACGCCAGCACCAGCCTTGAAAGATACTGCTCTGGGACGCTCGGTGCACGGTGCTGGTGGTGGAACGGTGAAGAGTGTGCGGTTTGCTAGGTCCAGCAGGTTTGGTTCTGTTGGACATGAGACGAGTAGCTGATTGTTGCGCCGGCGAGAACTTGGTTAAAGTGGAAAATGGAGGCTGGTTGATGAGCGTTAACACCGTAGGTGCCCATTATGATGATTGTATGTCCGAAAATTCTTTCCACTTCAAAGCTACTCATGTGATCGCAGGCTTTCACTTTCCAATCGACGAACGTGCACCTCTGGCATTGCGTTCAGCAAACAACAGCTACCTTCATAGGGAGCTTGGCCGGCTAGATTCGGGGTTATACTGTAGGGATGAGGCTGCCGGGCGCTACCATGAGAAGCTAGCGTTGCGTCGCAATGGATCAGAAGGATTCCATGCAAGCCCAGAATGGACATGGACTCGCTCTCAGTCCACCGACTTCGTCCCGTCAGGTCATCCCATTCTCGCACCTCGATGCCGCCATCCGACGATCTCTATGTACGCAGATGAAGGATGCGCGCTGTGTCGAGTACCGCCCCTTCAGCTGAGCCCAGCGTGACCCGAGAGGGAGAAGGATAAGTCTGACACCCACCATGTTCAAATTAGGTACAAGATCACAGACCGAACTTCTCGGTGCAGAAGGCGCAGTTAAGTACTTTGACCCTTACTCTTCTTCTTGATTCCGACACTGCCTCTCCGACGCCCCGCGAGTTGATCGTTACGCACATGAACCGCACAATGGCAGCAACCAATTTCGCCATCCCCAAGGAATTAAGTCACAGATACGCTTCCGACCGGGCCAGGACACTCGCTCAGACGCCGATATCGTCCAATCGCTCTATGAATACCGGCCTGTCACCGACGAGAAGAACATCTGGACTTTCTGGGACAAAGGCCTCTTGGTCATGCCAGGCTGGTGCAACGCAACGTCATCAACTGGGTCCGGGTCAACGGCCCTCATGGATGGACTGTCCGTCTCCTTGATGCCATGCCAGACTCTCCAAATTACGCACTTCAATACGTGCCGTGGGAAATGCTGCCGCAAGCGTTCGTTGAGGGTACAATGGATGGACCGTACGTCGGTCCCCACTCCGCCGACTTCCTTCGCGGTGCTTGCCTCTTCCAGCACGGTGGCGTATACCTTGATGTCGGCATCATCCTAATCCGAGAAGTGGACCGCATTTGCTGGCACCAACTCGAAGACCCTTCCTCCCCTTCCGCGTCAGCGTGCCATGGATGTACGGGACAACGATGGCGAACCACTTCGTTGCCGCCCGCAAAGGCGATCTCTTCATCAAGCGCTGGCATGCCCTCTTCGTGCACCTCTGGCAAGGCCACAATAACAACGTCGGCATTGCCCAGACGCCCCTCCTCGGCCCGCTGATGGAAGGTACATCCTTCGACGATAATCGTGCAAGCAACTTCCACTGGGACTTCAGCGTCGATGCGATGACCGTCTTTGAATACGTCACCCAAATCTTTTGCTGGCAGCGCCTTTGCATGCTGGAAGCCGTCGACTCCGACGCGGAAGGATCTTTCAGCGGTGTCAACTACTGGACCAAGCACGTCCTGCTCTTCGACGTGCTGCAAGAATGTTGGCGTGGAGAAGCTACGCTCGGCTTTAAAGGTTTCGGGGAGAAGATGTACCACGCCTTAAAAATGCCCATAGATGGCGGGACTGCGGGTGCAGAGAGCGAAGAATACAAAGAAGCTTACAAACTAATCTGGGAGTTGTTGACGCAAGCTTCATTGCAGAAGATCACGCATGGGAAAGGCCTCACCACTGACGTTCAGCTTGGCTCTCTGTTGGATGAGGATCCGGACAAGGATTGTGTGCCCGGCACATTTGGTGAGCTGCTGCGGTACGGGCAAGACAACTTTCAGCAGACGCGGGAGAGCATTCGGTACGTTGATGCGCCGCGTCCGCCGAAGACGTTGAAGAAAGGTCTGCTGGAGGCGTCAGAACGGAGGTGCGCTTAACGTTAACCACTGTATCTGTTGATGTCGCCGGAATAACGCGCTGCAGTGCTTAGCGTGAGCTGCCTGTTGCCGCGTAAGAGTCAGTATGCTTGCTCTTGAACAAGCTTCGCAACGCCAAAGCTTGACAGTGGAATGGCGTAGCACAGCCCCACTTCTACATTGTATGTAAACGGCAGGCACACAGTCACGAGCATGCCTTATTATAGGTTGCAAAGCTACCTTACCTTCGCTTGTCATTCCAACTTAACCCTTTGGACGTATATGTTGAAGCGGTGCCGTAGGTCGGCTTGCTTCGACATTCTAATGCGCTTGCCTGTACGGCACTTACATCATCTTCCCTCGCTGCGCCTTGGTGGGGAGTCTTCCGGATTGAGCGGCATCATTTGTCCGGCACCTTGCGACATGTACTCATGGAAGGACAGAAGCTTGACAACATGATAAGCGGATTGTAGTTCTCCCCACCCGCCACCTCCCTCACCTACATTGACTCCTTCGAGTGATTCGCATAAGCTTCCAGCATGGCCGACCTCCACAATGCACTCAAGTCGCTAGGTCCCGTGCAATGGTCCGACGTACCTCTCGACAACCTACCGCAGTATATGCGAGACCATTTCACAACTGGCGAGCTAATCTGCAACTCCGTCCCACCTCTTCCTCAGGGTGAACCATTCCACTCCGCCCAACCGCACCACAACCGTCCCAATGCTGCCAAGTCTGCCGCGGAACTCCATGTCTCTACCGTGCAAGCATATCCTCCTTGCAAGGAGCATAAGGACCTGCAGAGCCAATGGGGCAAACCCATGAAGTTCAGCGCCGACAAGAATCCACTCGCTGTCAACCTGTACAAGATGGCAGGGCATGACCGGCACGGAGCATGGTTTGCGCGGCGCAGTGTGCACGAGGGTATAGGGTTTGACAAGTTCCGCAAAGCGATGATCCGCGAGTTCCCGCATACCATGACCGTGCAAGGCGGACCGGGAGCGGGCGCAGTCAGAGGGTTGGCTGGAGACAGGAGGATAGAGATGCGGAACGTGGACGGAGTGGGTACGCTGCAGGTGTATCAGCTCAGTGGACAGATGCCTCCGCCCGTCACACCGAGGGACTTTGTGCCGTTGCTCATGACGACTGAGTCTGGGCTGTCGGAGAAGAGTGGATTGGAGGTTGAGCAGGGCAAGAAGCATGTGCCGAGGAGCTTCATGATAGTATCGAAGCCGCTCGAGCACCCGGATGCGCCGGAACGGTCGAGCTTTGTGCGAGGACAGTACGAGTCCGTGGAGCTGATCAGGGAGATACCGCTGCATCGAAGAAAGAATGTGCAGTCTACGCCTAACCTATTGAACACTCATGATGCGGAAGCCACCCATGGCCGAGATCGAGGGGCAACGATCAGCTTTGCAGAGTCTCGCGGTGACGACGCCAAAGGAGAGCAGCGAGACTTGCATGGCGGCGCAGACGCAGCGTCTTCAGACGAGGCAGAGCTGAACCCGGTGGAATGGATTATGATCACGCGAAGTGACCCCGGCGGTGGGATACCGCGCTTCCTTGTCGAACGAGGCACGCCAGAAGCCATGCTGGGCGACGTAAAGAAGTTCCTAAACTGGGCCTGCTCACTGGACGAAGCACAGCTGGCACGTATGCCTACGACTGAAGATCTGGACGATGAAGGCAATACGGTGACACCAAGTACCGGAGCGCAACCGCCACGGCAAGAGACTTCGCTATCCGTGGACAATTTACCTAATGGTCACACAGCTCCCCAATCCAAGCCACCCATGGAGCCGCCCCATCGCCCCGCCAGCGCTCCACTTCCAGAGAAGGAGGGGGGCCAAGGAGGCATGTTCGCCAACTTGCAGCAGGTTGTGGAGCAAGGCTTGGCGGCGTATGCGCCACAATCAATATCGCAACAACTGCATGACTACCTGCACCCTACACACGCACCAGGTGCCGCTGCTCGCGGAGGTGCCGAAGAGGATGATGATGATGACGAGGACGAGGACGATTCGGATGACGACAGTTCATCCGCGGGTAGCTTTATCTCTGCGACGGAGACGCATCGACACTCGATGGCGATGGAAGAGCAATCTCGTCACCCAACCGGATCCGGGGAGGACCTTAGCATGGCCTCGAACTCATCGCGAGAGATCGCTGCAGCGGCCGATGGTGGCAAGAAGCTCGACCGTCATGACAAGGAAGTTCTCAAACTAATGAAAGAGCGGCAAAAGCTCGACCGTAAACTCGCCAAGAAGCGCGCAGAGGAAGAGAAGAAGCTCCAGTCCGTCCGCGAAAAGGAAGTCTCGGAGCAAGACAAAGCGCGCGGTAAGCACGAGAAAGAAATGCAAAAGGCGGAGGAGAAGCACCGGAAGGAGATGGAGAAGCTGATGAAGAAGCAAGAATCCGAGGCGCGGAAAGCGGAGGAGAAGCGTCGGAAGAAGGAGGAGCAGAATAAGCTCAACCTTGTGACGCGGGAGAGGGATGAGTGCAGGACTCAGCTAGATAGCTTTAAGCGCGAGAATAAGTTGTTGTTGGAGCGGGTGGAGGAGTTGCAGAGGGAGAATACGGTTATGGCTAACAGGCTTGGCAAGATGGCGCCTGATGTGCTGAAAGGCGTGCGGGAGGAGGTGGAAGGAGGGAGAAAGAGGGCGGATAGTGCGGGAAAGAGGAGCATGGAGAGTGCGGCGAGCAGCACCAGGTCGTGAGTGAGCTGGGCGGCTGTTCAGATGGCTAGCTAACTGGCGGACCGTGTGCGGTGCACATCTATATAGAGCATGACTGCAAGAAAGCTGTTTTGTAGCCTCAGGCCTGAGACTCGCGCGTTGCTGCCGCCCGTAGCACGGCTACTTTGTGGAGCCGACTACATGTACGGAGCGTAAGATCGCGGTTGCGGATACTGTCCGCTAACAAGCGCCATGAGGGAGCTACAGCGGTATGTGTAAAGTAAATCTTTACCGCTTCGTACCTTGATGCATCCGGCTTTTTCACCGTTTTGCAGGAGCATTGATGCTACGTTTGAGCCGCCGAGCGTGAGAGCGGCTTCAAGCGGCTAATGGGGGGTGGCGTGCGTGCCGCCGGAAGTCGCTGGCGCTGCTGGCTGGCAGAGCTGGTTTGCGCAGTACTGTAGCCACGGTACGGTGGACGCTCCGCGTGACAGCACACTCACTCGTACTTCCACTGCTGCGGCCTGCGAACCTTTCATGGTTTTTGGCGGAGCGGACTATGCCTTGGTTGCAGTGGCATTGGTCTTGTCTTGACGTGCATCGCATGGGTTCAAAAGGCTGATTGACGCCGCAGCGTTTGCTGGTGGTAGGCTGTAGACGAACGGATCATGGAAGCTGATGCCAAGCAAGTTGTCGGAGAAGGGCGAGCATGACCGAAACCTGGACCTGCCTGGTGACCCACTGCTGCCGCTGCAAGCCGCCCTTTACTGAACCGGAAGCTGAAAAGGATCTCGGGCCTACTCAACCAAGCAGTGATCACACGCTTGAGATGTGCAAACGAGGCTGCAGCTGACATGCGCTCGTACTGGATGCCGAGAGCAAGCGCCGTAGCCAACGTTGTGCCACAAGTTCACCCACCATCCCTCTCCCTCCGCCTCTTCTCCTTAATCTCCTTCTTTCTCGCCTGCTCCTCCGCCAACTTCTCGTGCACCCTCATCTCCATCTTATGCTCATCCATCAACGTCTTCAACTCCCTCTCCACCCGCTCATTCGTCTCCCGTGCCTCCTCCCGCCGCCTCAAGCGCTGCCTCAACAACTCCGTAGCTTTCTCTACCTCCTCGTGAATCGCGCGGTGCAGATCAACAGATGTGTGGATGTGCGGGCGGTTTGCGATAAAATCGTCCGGAAACGTGTCCATTTCTGGATCCAACCCTGGTCCGCCCTCTAGATATCCGCCGGGGTGCGTGAGGTTAATGCCAGAAAGTGGCGAGGCAAAGATACGCCTCGTGTCGGTCAGCGGCAAGGGAAGGTCGTGTTCTGGGATGAATGGGAGGCTTTGGAGCGAGACATCGCTGGCGCGGATGGAGACACCCTGTTCCGCCATCTCCATGCTGTTGCCGGGTAACACACGTATGCCAGGGGTTCGGCCGCCTGTCTCTCCGTGCAACACGGTCGTTATAAGGCTGTCTTCGAAATCCGCATTGTATGTAAGGTCGTTCGGGACATAGTTCGCGTAGAGGCTGCGTGAGGGCTCCTCGCTGGGAGGTGTAGGGTTGCCGGCAGGGCTTGCGACGGCCATCGGCCTCTTGTGGAGGATTCTGTTGGTCTTCTCGCCGTAACAACAATAAGAATCTGGAGTGTTAGTGGGACTCGACCGCAGAGGACAGACCTAGCCCGTTGTGGAAGGCACGCTGTGGGGTAAGACCGAGTCGTACTCTATCTATTCGACGGCAGAGGCGGTAACATGATCGCGAGACTTCGTGATCGTCGCCAAGGCTTAATCACTATCATAGTTCTAGGCACATCCGCCGCAACGTCTATTGAAACCGCGTACCGTAAGGATTTATGCCTTTTCCTGAACTGAGCACTGATGAGGTGTTATCACGCTGTCCGCAGGTATCACAAGACAGCAGACTGTACATTTTGTATCGCATGGAAGCGAAAGACACCCAGAATTCAGGGTTCATGGCAATGCAATGCAATTCGTTTGGGCTACTTGCACGCATGGTTTCATCCATCGATTCATCACATACGTGTTGATGAGTGGAAACCTCCACCGTAGCCTCGTAGTCATTACCAACAAATTCCGTTCGATCTTGCAAAGACTTCACAAGACACTGAGAAAGTGATAGGAGCCTTTGAAGCATCACTGATATATAGACTGAAACTGGCCCTGGCAATTTGTACACTACTGAACTTCAGAAGCCACCGCGCCCGGGTAACGAAGCATTCTGGCTCGCTGGCGGACAAACAGCATCATACACGGTCGGGTCCACAAAATTCAGTATAGCCTGGTTCTCGTACCCCAATCTTGCCAGACTTGTCGTGTTCGCTTTGTACCTCGGCCAACCTACGATGTTCAGACCATGTGTTGGGCTCCGGCCAAACGCAGCCCAAGCGGTCATGAAGTATCGCGTCGTGAGCTCCTCTTCTAACGAGTTATTGTGGCCGCTGACATCGTAGCCAGTGCCAAAGATCATCTCCATGTCACTGCCATGATAGGCGCCGGAGTCTGGGTAGCCTGCTGACGCATTATAGAGGCGGAGATTGTCCCAGTCGGCCATGTAACGGTAACGCCACGTCGGCACGCCGTACTTTACGCGGGCATCGAGCGAGTACTTGGTGGGGCAGGTGAAGCCACGCTGCACGAATAGCTCCCAGGCAGCTTGGGACAGGGTGAGATTAGCAGCGTAGGCGCTAATGCGGTACCATCCAGCTTCGTAGTCAGCGTTGCCGGCCAAATATGGCACCTTGGCGAAGGCCCCTGCACTCGCTAGTGGTGCGTAGTCTGCGAATACCGTTACATTATCCACGGTCGGGTGGAAGGTTGCTTGAGCAAGGGCTTCGGTCGGCAGAGCGGTAACATTTCGCGCCGCAGCGTTCAAGACGGCTGTGAAGTTCTTGCTACGCACGCATGACACAGCCTCCGCTGGGTCGGTACCAACGTTACCACAACCTAGTGCGTTGCTGACATTGTAGAAGAGCGTCTGCGAGTAGTTGACGCTGTTCGGCACGAAACTAAATGCCGTGCCGGAATGGGAGATCAAGCCTGCCACAATCGGGTCATGCCGGTAGGCAAACGGCCAGTAGTCGACCGAGGAGCCTCCGGCGGACTGCCCGAAGATGACGATGCGGCACGGGTCACCACCAAAGCCAGCAATATTGTCGCGTACCCAAACAACGGCAGACCGCTGGTCGAGCAACGCCGTATTCTGCACGAGACCGGGAGCGCCTGAGAAGCCGAAGATGCCCAAACGGTAGTTGACGGTGACGACTACAACATCCTCAGTATCTGCGAAGTATTGGCCGTTATAGAACGGACTATGAGGGCCGGGAATCGTATACCGCCCGCCGTGAAAGAAGACGAAGACGGGCTTGCTTGAGGAGCCGATACTCGATGGTGACTTGGTCCAAATATTGAGCGCTAGGCAGTCTTCATCCTGGATATTGTTAAGATGAGCGGCGAATTCATTCCAAATTCGCAGACCATTGCCCGTGAAGTTCGGAAACGTAGTTTGTGGTGGAATATTTGCAGGGCAATCAGCGTTCTATCATTGTCAATGTATATGCGACGAGTCCTGATGCCCTTCATGATTTATCTCACCCAGTTTGAAGCATTGTATACCGTGCTCGATGGCGCAGTATATCGTTGTGGCGGCGCGAATCGAAGGCTGCCGACCGGAGCCTTCCCGTACTTGACTCCCAAGAACTCGAAAGTATTTGTCCGGTTGGGAGCGCGATGTCCGATAATCAGTCCGCTTGTGGATTTCACAGATAGGTGCTCGCTATAAGCGGCGGACAAGATTGGTAACAGTGTGAGCACGATTGCTGCCACGACAGCGATGAATCTCATCCTTGCAGCACATATGGCGTGGTAGGAAGCTCTGCAGATGTAGTGCGAAAGCCTCGCAGGACCAAACGAGATAAAGCACTAGTAGCCTCTTTCAAGGGACAGCGGTAACAAGAGATCTACACTCTTGCTAGACCCTAACAAACCTGCATTCTGGGCATCACCGGAATGGCCTCGAGCATTTCCTCGTCCGGTCGTTGCGCAGCTTTGAAAGCGAATCTACATCATTGGCAAGGATGCAGCAGCTAATGGCCCGGTTTAGCAAGATCGAGGCGTTCGCTTATGCGGTACATGAATGCCTTGGCGGTGCGGCGATAGAGAGGTTGCTTGTGGAAGGATTCACAGTCAAAGTCCGTGCGCCGCAAACCCCGATCAGTAGGTGCGTGCCGTGCATGTAGGCACGATATTGTAGGTTCAGTCCTGTCTTTGTGAAAGCAAGACGAGGCAGCGATGGCTTCAATTCGTTTGTTCCACGTCAGTTCACACTGTTATTACACTGGACTATAAACTACATGTCATTACCGGCAGCGTCCCCGCCTACCTCGCGCCTCCGAGTGGGTATCCGTAAACTGATCCATGACATCCGGTGCAACATCTCTCAGCCTCAGCACGACCACCCCTGTCATAAGTCAGGGCTACTCATTACCAGTCCATGCAAACGCAAGACCTGTCAAAACCGCCGCTACACCCCAGACGCTCGCCCAACCGAGCGAGCCCACTGGCTCTGATCCAGCAATCGTAAGCACCGTCCTGACAAACGTATTGATCACGCTAGCTGCCACAAGCACCATCGTGCGCTTCCCCAATACCTCTGCTCTCTTCGAGAAGCCATTCGTGCCGAAGCCGAGATTGAACGCCAGCGTATCCGTGAACGTCGCAGTCTCTGGGTCAAAGTCAACTTTCTCCGGGTAAATATCTGGATCGGTGAGGCCTGGGTTTCCGCGTGAGCCGATCGCGGCCATGAAGAGGAATCGAGATGTCGACCAGCCGATAGGCAGGAAGTACAGAAGTAGCATAAGCACGTTGGCGTCGTGTGCGCGCTCCAAGCTCACAATGCCGTCAAAGTTCTGGACGAGGTAGACGGGTAGCCAGGTGTAGAGACTGCCGTAGATGACCAATGCATAGACCGTGGCACCGAGGATTGCGACCAGAGTGTTCAGATAGCGGTCTTTGGCGACTTGCTGGTTGGGTGAGTGGCCTTCTGGGTCGTGGGCGTGGATGAGTGGTCGAAGCAGAGAGAACGGGATTGCGATGGCGCTGATGTCGATCAAAAGTGCGATGCTCGACGAAAAGACGGAGATGTTGTAGAAGGTTGTCAGGAGGTAGTAATACGGGAGGTTGCAAAGGATGGCCAAAGCCGCTATATCTTGCCCTGCGATGGTATCCCCACGTTAGCGTATCGTGTGTATGAGCGCGATAGGCTTACACTCACAGTCGTATCCAGCATACCATGCCGCTGACAGCGTGGCAAATTTCCAGCCGAGAGTCACGTATATCTGGCCTTCCTCTCTGACCTCCCGACTCACAGCAGCCAACTCATACCCAGCAAAGTCGGCAATCATGCTGTTGAATAGCATGCTCAAGCTGAAGCTCATTAGGCACAGTAAGACGAAGCGCAGCGAAGAAGGTAGCCGCGAAGCCGGCGGCACTCTCGTAGTGATGATGGGTGCTTCTGGCGCATCCAGGACTGCTGCCATTCTCGCGCTTGCTCGGATATTGCGCGACATGGTGGATGTTGACGCGAGCGGCCCGTTGGCAGTAGTGAAGTCTTGACTCTTCACTTCAGTACTATACTGCTCGTCCGGTCGCACGGCGAGGAAAGGTACGTGTGAGGCCATTGTGATACGCAAACGGTATGTTGACGTGGTTGTTTGGAAGACTTGCATGAGCTACGTTGGCTGGGAGCATTGACCGCGTGACGCATATATGCCTAAGGCTGCTGATCAGAGTGCGGGGCGGCACGAACGTTCAATCCTTGCTTCATGGTTTGCAGACCGCCAGCGCAAGCCAGCGCACACTTTTCAGCTGGGGAGGCAACGCCTTTAGCAGCGCCTCGCTTCTAGCCATGTCCCTTCTCGCATATAGGGACCGTATGGGGCATGGGGTTGGTCGAGATGGCTTGCTCGACCAACAACAGTTAGTTCTGCTACAAGGGTTCACTTCCATAAAGATGCAATCTCGCAATGTTTCTCCTTTTGCTACCTTTCCGATCACCTCACTCTCGTGCTGAACGCGTATTTGTGACTTTTCGGTAACATCGATCCAGCATGCGCATCATTCTCGCGTTCTTAGCTGCTGCGGCTTTCGCCCATGCTGGTCTTTTCGAACAGGAGGTCTTCGCCGACCGGAAGCCACATGCTGATTCGGCGGAGGACGTTATTAATGTTGTGAATCTAGAGATCGCAGCACTCGGCGCAGCGATCAGCCTTATCAGTCCGATTCCTGGCTACCCAGAAGACCAGGATGGCTCGTCCGCGAACTTTACGATCGCCGGAGCTATAGAGTCAGAGATGTGTTCGTCCTTAGAGCAGGACAAATACGAGGGGTGGAAAAAAATCCCACCGAGAATACATGGTTGGCTGCTTTGTTATGCTGGCTGGTACATTCCATCTCGGGCTAACCAGCGAGTAGCATCCGACTATGAACGGGTCCAAAACGCCACGGGAAAGGCACGTCGTACATCATCCGCTATAACTCCATTCTTCTGGGCATTTTGGGAATATATTTGTCAGAGCCTGCAGCCTTGTGCCGGCATCTTCAATAAATACCCGCAATGCCTGACAGCGGCATATTCAGATGTCGAGGGTGTATTACTAACACTCTGATTCTTAGTTGTGTCAGAGCATCCAGCTCTTCCATACCACACTGAGCTCGAAGAAGGACTGGATCGACAGGCTCGGCCAACTGTCGCGGTATCGGCAGCTCATGATAATTTGGCAGAACTCCTTCATGGTAAGCAATGCATGACCGCGGTATCGAAATGGTCTCTCGCTGACAGCTCCCTCTCTCACGTGTAGTACTATGGCAGGAAGCTTGTAGAAGTGGGCGGCATGACACCACAACAAACCGTGAACATGGACCTCAGCTTCTTCGAAGTGATTCAGGCTCTGCGTTAGATGCACGACTAGGCCGAGCGTAGGCTGCTCTCCATGTCTGTTTCGCGATGGCTTGACGTTTGTGCCGCTTGAAAAGATTACCGTACCCTAAGCCAGCGCGATTTGGGTCCAAAATTGTGAGAGAAGCCAAGTTAGCGAAAACACGGCATTGGTAGGTGCGAACGCTTCCCAAGCAGTATGTAACACGGCTCCTATCTATCAGTCCCATATAGCAAATTTAGTCGGTAGCATCTCCTACACAACATCAGATAACTATGAAAACACGTATACCCTGCGTGCTCTATGCCGTCGAGGGAGCATTTCCGCCTGAACATCTATATGATGCCTAAGGCACGAGATTGATTGCCTTCACGGCGAAAGATGCCTCACCTCCGGGTAGACCGAACACCTATCGACAGAACTTGACACTGATAACCGCCTGAGAAGCACGATTTCTCGGCTTTCACGTTAAAGACCGTTACGACCCCTTCGATTGCTTACACTGCGCCGAGTCCTTGCACTTCAAGATGGCTACCGTCCTGGCAGTCGGCGTCGGCGTCGCCGCAGCAGCCTTTTTCGTATGTCTTGCGTCACACAGTCAAACTGGTTAAAACGATTGCTGACATGGTGCTACAGGGTCGCGCAGGTCTAGTAGCCCTCCGACGATACCGTGGCGGCACCAACTCCCTTGGGCGAGCATTCTACAAGGGCGGCTTCGAAAAGCAGATGAACAGACGGGAAGCGGCCTTGATACTGGAGACACCGTATGCGCCATAGTACACGTTAAATGGAACCACACACCAGATTGCTGATTACGTTGGTAGTGAACGGGGCGTAACAAAGGAAATACTACGGAAGAAGCACCGACAGATGATGCTTCTCAACCACCCGGATCGAGGCGGCAGCCCTTACCTGGCGACGAAGATCAATGAAGCGAAAGAGTTTCTCGAAAAGGGGGCGCAATAATCTTGGCCTCTTGTTTTTGCATTGGTGCACAGCGGCCGAGACTCGTGGTTGAGACTCTGGGTTTAGCGTGGCGTTGGTGACATTTGGCATTAATTGATATCCACTCCATATGGGAGAGGCAGACATTCCACTCCGGCCGCATGAGGTTCGATGTCATTCACGAACCACCGCATTCTCGTTCGAGCCAACGGGCCTTTCATCTGTCTCAAATACCTGAGCTGGCTAGAGCCACTAGACTGAGCGAAGGGCCGGTCATCAATACCGACCCACATCATAGTTGTGCAGTCCCAAAATCCAACAGCGTAGCACGCTGCGGTACTAAGGCGAACAGCGGCCGTGATCCACCAGTATCGGCTCAGCACCGTCAAAATGGCCGGTGTTGGAGCTGGGGTGTGATGAAAGCTGGTTGCCTTGCACACTCGGCTTTTGGTCGCAACCTGAAGTTGGTCTACCGGCAATGCTCGGTTGCGGACAAGGATTTGAGTCAGGTATGGGATCTGTACTTCTCAGGCTCGCTCCGAATTGGACGGCCGGATATGGATCGGGCCAGTAATTTGATTGTCTAACTTCAGCGTGACCGAGAGCACGAGAAACTTTTCGGAGAACCTTCCCAGAAGCTACCGTTAAGTCATGGTGGCTGTTCCTGGCTATGTCTTAACCTTCCTTGGCGAGCTTGGTTGCAAGCCGAGCCCGAGAAGGAAGCATGTCCGCATGGTTGCGCCGAGGTAGACAAAACCTAGGTTTCCTGTACTCTAAATGTAAGTGGCCGATGCTGAATAGAAAGTGATGCTGTTGCTTTACCCCAATACATGCTATTCCATGCCCACGCGCTCCAGTAGATGCCCACACCTACGGAATGCACGCTGTACAGATGTCCGAGATCTGCGATCAGCAGACCCAACAGAAAGATGCGCCAGACACGCAGATCATTCGTTGCTCGCAGGACCAAGGCTTCATTAAACGCAAAGATGAAGTACATGTTGCCCAGCTGATTCAATATGATGCTTTCGCGCTTGCTCGCGCCCAGTAGTCCAGCAGATGTTGGGTACGTCAGCTGCATGTATTCGTGCTGAAGCCCGAAAACGTCCAAGGCATAGATCGCGCCTATAGCCGTGAAGACTGGCTCGATGTACAGGAAGAAGAGCCGGTAAATTAGAGGAATGACCGGCACCGCCGCGCTGCCACTGACGGTTCTTGCTTGCTGTGCCATAGGATGACTCGAGTTTACTCAAAGGGCAGCCTGATGCCTGTCGAGATAGCGCCGAGTGAGACCACTTCCCGTCTGATGTTGTATGCTGTGCTTGGCAGCTGATTGTACTGGCCGGCTGACGAACACGGAGACGTTACGCTTGCAAGAAACGCGGGCGGTGCTACTACGCGTTCTTGGGGCGGGGAACGCCGAGTGTCTCAGCTGGCAAAAGACAATGGACAGCGCTATCTGCCTTCTAGCACGTCCAATACGGTGGTTCGTACGGCTTCGAGAACGCATCCCCTTACCATGATAGCCAATGTAACAGGCCCGCCGTCGAATGCTCACAGCTGGACCTTACTATCGTTCGGTTTTGATGACGTTCCTTTCGGCGAGACAGGGGGGCAAATCCATCCCGTTCGGGAGTGGCTCAATCCGGTGGACGTCCGCTTCACCGCCAAACAAAACTCTTACTTGCTTCGCGAGAGCCGAAGTCAACGCGAATACGCCGCCGGTCATTCGCACGCAGTCAGCACAACGTTCGTCTTTGACCCAAGCGAGGCTGCACTGGCGGACGTTTGAGGCAAACAGCGCGGACAAGCCACTGTGGATATATTAGGGTGGGAAGCATTCACCGAAAGCGAACGGGCTGCTTGCACCGCTGACCCTTCATTTCCGCGTTGCGAGCGTCATTCGTTCCCTGCCAACTTTAGCTTGGCTCGTTATTGCTGGCTTTGATGCTCTTCCCATCCCGAAGCACCACCCGCCGCTCATAGCATCCAAGTGTTGGGCACACACGCCACTGCATACCACCGCATTGCAAAGCGTGGTCGACATTCTCTTACAAATTTGGGCATTTGATATATATAGCGCTCTCGCCCAAACCGGCGGCTTCCACTCTGCCACGAGGCAATAGCGTTCGCGTCTGCGTGCTTACCATTCACGTACACCAGAACCCGGCTCGAGTCTACGTACACAAAGCGTCCCAAAAGCAAAGCCTGAGGCGTGTGTTGGGGAGCGATTGTACTGGCGAGAGGTCAGCAGAGTGGTTACCCGAGGAAGGATGCAAAGACCGTTCTTTCCCACCTATCCGCACACCGCAAACGCGCAGCAACGACCGCGCTTGGCCGAGACAAGACCGCACACAGTACCCGCCGGAGGTTCAGACCGGAGTGCGATAACTTCTGGGCACGTGGCGGGAGATGAGTCCGTTAGCGAGCGGGCAGAGGAGCAGACGACGCCAAGAGCATCATCAGCCGGTATCAGTCTGCTCGCCGTGGCGGCGGCGGAGCGGAGGCTTTCACGCGACGACACCGCGGTGAGCGTTTCGCAGCTTGTGCTGCCTTATGCCGGTAGCAGCTCGTCACGAGCCAAGGCCAACAGCATTGACGACGTGGCACCCGAGGTACCAGTGTCCGCGTGCTCCAGGAGGCCATCTTTCGCACAAACATTTTCTGACGCACCAGCATCTTATACATCTAACCCTGCGCAGTCGAGGCAACCCAGATCTCTTGGCCGCAGATTCTCACGAGGATACAAAGACAAGTTTCAAGATCTTCGTGAAAGCCTAGGCAAGCATGCTCCACGCATGAGACGAGCAAGCACACCTCACAACGGCGAGGTAGGCTCTTCGTCTTTCAAGGCTGGCACTACCGACTCGACTGCACCACCACTCTCGCCATCCAAGAGGAACGCCAAAAGCATTGACCCTCGTCAGAGGAAGTTCCGTACGTTCGGCCTTTCCGGCGATCGCAGGGATACACCTGCACCGCTTGCACCGACCGCAGCAGTCAAACCCGCTTCGCGGCCTGCAACTGCCCACATGGCCCAACCGTGGCTGCAAATGGCAGGTGGTGAAGGCGCGCGCAAAGCCGCTGCCGCATTCCGCGAGCAACCGCATCACCTCGCAGAAGGGTGGTCTCCGTATGCATACGATGAAGATCTAGCTACTCGCAGAGGACGTGTCGGTTCGCTTAGCAGTGCAGCAGACAGTGGAGCAGACTTATCTCGTATCGACGATCAATCGTGTAAAGATTCTTTCAGCGACATGTCAGACAGCAAAGATCAAGACGCGGACGTCGTAATGCAGGATCGCGAGCCCTCGCGAATTGATTTCGTGGAAGAGTACAAACTGCCGACGGAGATTTGTCTCCAGATTTTCGAGCACCTGGATGCTCGTGATCTCGAGCTCGTGAGACGCTTTGGTGGCGACTGGGCCAACTTCGCCAACAGAGCTTCGGTATGGCGTCAAGCTTACCTCCGTAAGTACGGCAGAGAGATCTTCACTGATCCAGCGCCCATCCAAGTTGGTGGTGCTGGTGTTGGTCGGCCCGACCTACCAAACCAGGAGTGGGAGAAGATGTACAATGCACGCGAGGAGCTTGAACGCAACTGGCGCCGTGGTCCGGCAGAGGCTGGTAAAGCCATCTACCTCTCTGGCCATACCGACAGCGTCTACTGCGTCCAGTTCGATGAAGAGAAGATCATCACCGGCTCTCGCGACCGCACCATCCGCGTTTGGGACATAAATACCTTCCAGTGCATTCGTGTCATCGGCGGCCCCAACGTACGTCCCGCACTTGGTCCAAAATGTCTGCGCACCGTCGACTATCCTTCGTTTCATCTTGCTACTGCCAGTGTCAATGGCACGAATTACGGCAACAACATTTACCACACGCCCAGCCAATGGCATGATGCCAGCATCCTGTGCCTGCAATACGACGAGGAGATCCTCGTTACAGGATCCTCCGACTCCGACTTACTTGTCTGGGACATCAAGACTTACGAGCCTATCCGGCGCCTCAAGCGGCACTCCGGGGGTGTGCTTGACGTTGCCCTAGACGCCAAGCACATCATCTCGTGCTCCAAGGACTCGAAGATCATCGTCTGGGACCGAAAGACCTACACCGTGAAGGGCGAGCTTGTTGGGCACAGAGGTCCGGTCAACGCCGTTCAGCTCCGTGGCAAGCTTCTTGTGAGTGCGAGCGGTGATGGCATCGCCCGATTATGGGACATTGAACAGCTCAAGCTTGTCAAAGAGTTCAGCGCCAAAGAGCGTGGGCTTGCCGCCGTAGAGTTCTCCGAGGACATGAAGTATGTGCTCGCGGGCGGCAACGACCACATCACTTACAAGTTCGACGTCGAGACCGGGCAAGAGATTTTGCAATACACCGGTCACTCACAGCTTGTACGCTCGCTTTGGCTCGACAGCGCTAGCAACCGTGTCGTCTCGGGCTCGTACGATCTCGATCTTCGCGTCTATGACTTCACGACCGGCGAAGAAGTCTGGCGTGCCGAGGAGTGGACGACTAGCTGGATGCTGGCCGCCAAGTCTGACTACCGCCGCATTGTGGCCACGAGCCAAGATGGACGGATCTTAATTGTCGACTTTGGTTTGAAGAAGGGCGGTACGGAGGACGGCACCCCTATCGACAATGTGGACTTGCTGCGCGGGCTTGAGAATACCTCAGCCATTACCTTCCGGCCTGTGCAGTGGCGGTAGAAGCTCTGCTGCAGTCGAGGAGGTGACCTTTGGGGAAGCGGAATTCATGTCCCCGATATGCGCGGTTCTTTTTACTACGCCGAGCCAAATGGCTACTCCGGAGTACCCTGTCAACCATGATGGTCGGCCTACGACCCTTTGTTCGGACTAAGACCGTGCGCAAGTGGCTGTCTTAGGCTTTGCGTGGCATGCGATTCTCTTCAAGCTGTGGAGCGATTGTGAAGCGGAGTGAATGGATGCATGTCTGTCTTTTGGACATGGAGGACTTGTTGCAGTGACTCTTGAGCGTTGGCGTTCATTCTTTGTATATGGCTAACGGTATTATTTTGGCCGTCTGCGGAGACTACTAGGATACTATATACCTCACAAAGACATCACTCCACAACGCAGCTTCGCACCAGTTTTGCGGCCCTGAACCAAAGAATGAGGCTGACTCGAATCCTATTGTTGATATCAACCCGCCGAGCGTGGAAGATTGTATTGAATCCAGCCTGTTTGAACTTCTAAGAACACTACTCGCTTGCATGCTCTGGGGTAATATCAATGCAACGACTGCTGCAAACGGGACCAACCTTTCACAAAAGGTGTCCATGTCTCAAAGCATGGTACCAGCTGTATTCGGCTAGACATGAATGGTGAGCCTGTCCTGGGTTGACAGTGGAGCTGACGCACCCACCACCTACATTGCCATGCCGTAGCTGCATTCGTGCAATCTACTAGTGAGCTGAACGGATAAAGACCCTCGGTATCGCAAGCTGCAAGGTTCTTTTCCGCTAGTTGAGGCTGAAGTTGAGTCTAGTAGACTTTCGACTGTGGCCCTGCTTAATGAGCCAATCAGACCCGTGCGGGAAATCGCGAGTCGTGCTTCAAGAATGTTCAAGCTTCCAGGCTGTGGGTCGAAGCCGGCTGGGCAAGGAACCACTGCGCTCTTCACCGTCGTTAATTCAGTGTGCGGCGACGTGGAATTCAATGGCGCAGTCTGTCACCATGGGCAAGGACAGACTTCTGTTTGATTGTCGGCTTCCATTGCGGGTTATATCGTCTTTACATAGAAAGAGCTTTCCGCCAGCAGTATGCGCCTTCAGCTCTTCGTTGTAGCGTTGTTAAATAGTAGGGTACTCTACAGCAGCCACGCACCATTTGGGACGGTGGAGACTGGCTGAGCCGAGGACTGTGATCGTGCAAGCAATGTCCTTGGCTCTTACGGTTACCCACGCCCTATAGCGGTAATTATGATGGCTGTTGCACCGCGGTATCGAAGGGCTAGAACCAACGGCAGGTTCGGGTAGCCTGCGCTTTACAAGACAATGTCTTTGTACATCGCTTTCTGATGTTCTTTAAGGCACTTATCGTAAGTCAAGCTTCACTTGCTGAATAGTCCTCATATCCTTCTACATTGCGCTCGAGCTTACGACTCTCTTACGTTGGGTCTGCACATCCGTCTGCGGTCTGACTCTACGAGCGATGGCAAGCGGATCAGAAGATAAATCCGTGGCAATATCACCCACGCGTTCGCATATATCACTGGCTCAGGCTCGGGAGAGATTCGCATACCACAAGCGCATATGTGCATATGACTTCGCCGCCTGCACCGGTTGCTTACCTACACGACGTGACCACAGACTGCCAGAGACAGAGTCCAGCCTGGAGACTCTGCCAGATCCCGCTTCCAGCGATGCGGAAACACCAAAGGATATCTCATCAGTCTCCGAACCCAAGTCGCCACCATGGCTGACAGCGATCGATAAAACCTCCAGTCCGGCGTCCTTACAAAGCGCACAAAGCATTCGATTTCAGCTTCTGGAAGAATTTTGCCACAGTTATTTCCCCCTCCGCGACCAAGATACAGACCACATGTACACCAAGTTGCTGTCTCGAGATAGTCTTCAGCCGATAACCGTAGGAATGCAAGTAGCAGTCGATGCACTCTGCCTTCTCCAGATGGGCACGAACTACCGGGATTCTTACTTACTGCATCAGGCCGTAGCTCAATACGACAAAGCCCTTGTGAATCTGCAGTACGATCTTTCCAGGGTGAGTGATGTGACAAGCAACGAGGGAATCTTAGGGACCATATACGTACTGGGATTCTGTGAAATGTTTCGTGCCGTCTCCAGCAACGGCCACGGCGAGAGAACACACCACTTAGGCCTGCAAGGGATGCTAATCGCTCGAGGACCGGACAAGCAGTACTCTGCATTCGCGCAGCTCCTGCTTTACAACTTGCGCCATCTCACCGCCATATATGGTGCGATTGATTGCAAGCGGGTTCCCCTTCGCGATGCAGCATGGAAGCGATGCGCAGCGATGACCTCTAGGTTGACGACTGAGCTTAGCGATCTTGTGCTGGAGGTGACAGACCGACTAGCGGCGCACAAGCCAAGAGACAGACATACACTGACCAACGCGTTGCTTCCCTGGTCGATGCTTGAAAGCAGGCTGCAGTCGTGGCTAGTGAGGTGGATGCGGTCATTCGAGCATTTACCATACAGGACCGTTAAGGCAACAGCATTCACACACTTTACATTGCATACTATCGGATGCCCGAATGTTTTCCCGCGTGCCTACGAGTTTCCCTCCTTCGCTATCAGCTCGGCACAAACCACCTACTGGATCATGTCACTGCAGGTCAAGCAGAAGATCCTAGAGATTGACTCGATATGCGATGATCGCCCTTTGCGCAGCCGCCTGCAGGCTCTAACGGACGAGGCTACAGAGTGCGCAACCCATCTCTGCCAGAGTGTAGCGTGGATGACCTTACCGCAGCATGGATCGTGTGGCATCATGCGCGCCTCGGGGCCTCTCCACTACGCTGTTCGGTGGTTCGACAAGTTGAAGGACTGGCGTCGGGTGGCATGGTGTGGGAAGGTCAAGTCAAGCATTGAAAGCTGTGGAATGGTGTCGCCTTATTCGGGTAATTTCGTGAGCGATAATGAGCTGAGCGTGCAGGGAGTGGATGATGGGCCAGGTCCACGGTGGGAAGGGTAAAGAACGAGTTCTTAAGGTATGTGTCTCTGGTCAAATGGGCATGTGAAAGTTGATGAGAGCTATCGTCCGCGGCCGGACAACCTTCACTGTATGACTAAGGAGGCTTCCCACGATCGTGATCCAAAATAGGCGCGGTGGTTATCACGCGGGACCCAGAGCAGACAGTACTCTCGACCTCGCCTGCGCTTGATGGGGATCACCGCCGCCTTGAGTAGAAATGGATCAGCATGCCAAATAGCCGTACGTCAACAACATGAAGCAAGTGCAGGAGTGACGAACGTTGCGCCAACTTGCATGCGTTACTGCGCCACTAAGGTCGAACGCACATTGCACGGCGGGTATCGAGTTTCCATATTCTTGGTGCATCGACCAAATACGGGCGTTCTTCGATATGCGAGAGTAATAACACGTTCACTCGCGACGGATCGACATTGGATGAAGAAGGGTTCCCGAGCCCGGGTTGGATACCGCTCAAGTGCGCCTTCAGCGCCGCCGTATTGTTAACCCTGAAAAGGCAAATGCCGCGATCAAAGGCCCAAGATACAGTCATGAAGATAACCCGGTAACTGCACCACTAATGAAACAGTCAGTAAGACTTGCCGCAGAGATTTCTCATCTTGACTAGTGTCACTGGGAACTGAACGCACGTTAGGCTGGCGTACGTTTGTATCTGGCTGATTACGACAAAACGAGTTGCGAGAGATCCGGGGGATGGCGGCATCCGTAACTACACGGCGAGTCATGTCTCGGGCTATGGGCCGCGCATCGTATCGCGTTATTGTCGAGGTCGGGACTCATCAAGCTCACGAATGAGTTGTGCAGTGTTGTACGCCACAAGGCAGATGGTACAACCTGCGCTGTTGTCGGTAGTAACTCTTCGCTTCGCAGACCATACGCCCGTGGAGAGTAACGGCCATTGCGACGCTGTATTTCTGGTTCAAGCTGTGTCATGGAAAGTTCGTCTCCACGGCCCGTTTGTGGCGCTTGCAGGGTTGCGTGTGTCAAATGACGAGAGTATTGGATATAGACATGGTAGCGAGGGGAGTCCGAAAGCATAACGGGATGTTGTGCAGAGGTCACGCTCATTCATGTCGTCGTACTTCATGGACATCGGATAGCGTGCCCATATGCATGCATTTGTCTACGATATGGCGAGTGACGACGAAAGGAGTGAAGCGCAATTCTACGACGCGCAAGACGCGCTAGTGACCCTAAATGCGGGACATCCATCAACCTTGCCGGAGTCGCGTGGTGAGAATGTTGCGACAACCGCAGATTCACCAACGACGACCAGACTGAATGCCTTGAGAGTACAACATCACCGACACTCTCTGCAGGACGTTCCCGCATTGCCTGCCATACCTGCAAAGTACTTAGAGAACGGTCGACCGGCGAGCATATCAGTGCCGGCACTGCATTCTATACCTCGAGCAAGCGGTCGGGCGCGTGATATCGAAGACGGCGGAGCGCAAAGAGGACGCGCGCGAAGGGCAAAGGACGCAGGCCCGCTGTCGCGTTCTAAAAATGGCGTAGATACAGTGACGCTTACGGTCTCAGCCGGCCATTGCGACGACAACCTTGTAACGAAGAAGGCGCGGCAGAGATCGCTGCCAGCGTTGGCACCAAGACCTCAGAGGCAGCTGTCTGACCCTGAAAGGACATCTGACTTAGGCGCGCCGGAAACGATGGCGCGACGTGGGAAAGACGGCGATCTGTTCCTGGAGCTTGCGCATGATGACGCACAAGATGAAGTGCGACCATTGACTCGTGCTGCAAGTCGTCTGTCTCAATTCAACAGTCGGCGCTCACTACCGCCGGAAGGTCTCTTGAGCTCAGCTGCGGACCGCAGACCAAGGTCTAGTGGTAGCTTATTGCAACAACGGCCTGTGTCGCGGTTCAGCGGCTACCCTACCGAGGGTATACGGTCTGCCGAAAAGTGTCGGGAACCCTTCGGCCGCAGTTCATTAGAAGGCGAGGACAACGCTAGCGTTTCTGGGAGATCTACATCAAGTCGCGCTCGTCCCTATATAATCGCTCCTGAGCGACCCGATGTATCCGCTCGTATGAGAGACAGAGCGCGTTCGCCTGAGGTGCACTCCTTCAGCAGGCGGCGACCTTCCTACGGCCAGACCTCTCCACAGCTATACAAAGGACGGCAATCGCAGCTCGCCAGCAAAGCTAACGACTCGCAAGATGATTCGCCGGCTGGTAGCTCGGAGCCGAAAGCGGACTCAGCCTCAGTGGAGTCGCAGACTGACACGGTATGGGACGAGCTTGACGACCTCAAATCGCGCATCAAAAAGCTGGAGCTTACAGGCAAGCATCCGCCAACTTCTGGTGTAGCCGTCTCAGGATCGTCGAGTGAACGACCACGGACGGCAACCACCGCACCCACGACAATCGACTTGTCACCCAAGCACGAGCAGAAGTCTGACGGTCGACCAACTACCCAGTCGGATTCTGGCGCTCAAGCGGTTGGTGCTCTTGGGGCGACCAACATCCACCCGACGCTGCATACCGCGCTTGCGAAAGCGAAACCGTTACTCAACCCTACGCTGTATAGGACGCTTGAGGCAACAGCAGCTGACGCGCTACAGCTTGCCGCAATGACCGGCAGCAACACTGGACCACATGGCACAACATTCTCCGCGGCATCCATCATTAATGGTGGATCTGAGCGACACGTACGGCGCAAAGCAGATACAATGTGCCGCAATCTTACTGACTTGTGCCTTGCGCTATGCGAGGGTAAGCACGAGGCTTCCAGCGTGGCCACAACGCCGATCAATCTGGAGCCAGTACGGAGTTCGCCTACCATAAGGTATTCCAGAAGTAGTATTGGTGGGCATGGCGACACCGCGGTTCCGGTCAGTCGCCCTATGAGCCGACTCGAAGCACGAAGGACGAGCATTCTTGGAGTTCTGCCCAACGGCAGCGTTAGTGGCAACAGCCGACGCGAGAGTGCCGATGATGTCTCCGCTTCTGAACAGGAGGGTACGCCGTCACAAGCGGATGGACCGCAGCGGGAGCTTCGCCACGTCGGGCGAGCAAGCAGTCGCCTCCTCAGCGCACGATTGTCTCGACAAGAGGACGTCAGTGGCGATGAAGATCCCACTACACGGCCAGCCTCGCGGGCCATGACGGACGCTGGCGGGTCACGCAACAGGCCTTCCGCATCTAGTGACTATGCTCGATCACCCAGGACTGCGGAGTCGCCCCGTTTTCGGGAGACGCTTACAGCTCGCAGAACTAATGGTAGCGCTTTCGAAGCCAACAAGGAGCACTCTCGAGTGGCATCGCTGAGCTCTGATGTGGGTCGGAAGCGCTGGACGAGAGAGTCGACACCGCCCGTGTTAGAGGAGGAACTGAACGAAGCGGGCGAGTATCAGCCTTCTTCACAACCGAAACGCAGACTCACGTCGCTAGGCCAGTTCAGCGCGAGAAGGGCGGCGGAGATGCCGAGTCGGGCTGCTAGTCTCAGTTCGAGGAGGCATGTGGTTGAAGGCTGAGGCCCGCTGCAGGAGTGCTACATGCGATGCGTAAGACGTCTGCTTATCACATTCAGACTTCTACTCCATGAGGTGTCAAAACGACCAGATACGGGGCGCACTCCCCTGACCAACACTTCGCCATGCCTTGCCTTATTGCACACTTAATGGCTGCCATTAGCGCCATTGACACCATTGACAACACCCCCAGTCATTTGGTTGACCAGACCCACTTCGTTGTACTTATACCTCTCTTCCCGCTCCCAATACTTGTTAAAGCCAACACCTTCACACACTTCCGAGTAGCTTAGGATCTCGGGCGGTGCGCCTACCGTCATACTTTCTTTCAGTGACTCGAGCGCTTCACGCATTGCCTTCAACTTGGCAGCCACCAAGCGCCACGGGTAAGCGACAGCGCACATCCCGAGCTCAGCCAGTTCTTTGGCAGACAGGTTCTGGGTCAAGCCGCCTTCGATGATGTTGGCGAACGTCGGGATACCGATCTCTTGTACGGCTCTCTTCATCGAGTCCCGGTCGGGCAAGGCTTCTACGAAGACCGCATCGACGCCGATGCGCCGGAACTCCTTGGCGCGGGTCATTGCTTCGTCCCAGCCAAGAATGAGGCTGTCGGTACGGGCAAGGACGAAGATGTCCAGACCTTCGTTGCGGGCATCTACTGCGGCTTGGATTCGTGCGTATGCTTCCCCACGACTGACAACAGCTTTACCTTTCGTATGGCCGCATCCTGGTACAAGTGTTAGCTTCGACACTCGGAGTCCCAAAGACCACGACACCTACGTTTGGGCCAGGTCTGGTCCTCGATCATGATGCCTGCGGCACCTGCTAGTGCATAGCACTCCACTGTCCGCTTGACGTTCATTGGGCTGCCGTAGCCGGTGTCCCCATCAGCCATGACCGGCACGCTGACCTGCCGAACCGACTCCTGGATCTTGTCGCACATCTCCTGCATTGCAATATAACCAGTGTCTGGGAGGCTGCATTCAGCGTCAGCATACCATGACCGCTCCGTACCTGGGATTTGACTTGCCCGTAACTGCTCGCGCAAGGATAACCCGCAAGAAATACCATAGGGAAGCCTGCCTCCTCTACCAAACGTGACGAAAGACCGTCCATAGAGCAGCAATGCGCAAGGATCTTGGTGGGGTCACGATGGGCCTCGAGCATCATTGTCCGCAGCCGCGATGCCTGGATCGAAGGGATGCGGCCGCGCACATTGGGGAGATTGAGCGTCACATCTCGTCCGAGATCCGACTTGCCCTGCTTGCCTACAGAGACTGGGTCTTCGAATTGGAAAGGGTATGGATGGGTGTTGACAATGGCCTTAGACATGATGGCAGTTCGCTGTTGCTAATTGCTGACTGTTCCGGGAAAGTGGCGGAAGCGAGCTGAATGAAGGTATACGCAACCAGAGTTGTAGCGCAGGTCCGAGCGATGTTATACTGCCGTACGCGTGCTCGAGACGTGCAATGTCGGTCAACGCGGCCCAAAAACTGTAGAGGGAGTTGCGATCCGCAGACTCCATCCGATGGTATCCGGCAATATCCGAAACCACTCGGCTTCGAGATGCCGTACACGCCTAGTTCAGGCAAGGTTGGTGGGCACCGGAGGGCCGTATCTCTCTATACCTCTGGATGTCTTGACGAACCCAAGAACAAATGTAGCATATTAACAAACATCTTGCGTGGGGTGCGAGCGCCGTTCTCGCCCAAACACTGCCTTTACAGAATCCGTCCCGTGTCAACATGCCAGTCACCCACTTTGCGACGCCCGATCCATACGCGTATCACAATGGCTTCTGCTGCCATCACGAGTCCGAGGCACTGCAGGGAGCCCTACCACTCGCTCAGAATTCGCCACAAAAACCTCCCTACGGACTCTACGCTGAGAAGCTGTCGGGCACTGCATTCACAGCACCCCGAAAGGAGAACCAACAGTCCTGGATGTATCGCATCTTACCGTCAGCTGTGCACCGCGCATGGGAACCGGTGCCAACCCAGGAGTATGACGCTACAAGCCTGAGCGGCGCCGATGTACAACAGATTCCGAATCAGCTACGCTGGGACCCCTTCGACTTCGATGATGCAGTGGATTGGCTGGGTGGGCTTCATCTAGTCGCCGAAGCTGGAGATCCAGTGATGAAGACTGGCCTGGCGATCTACGTCTTTGCGGCAGGTCAGAGTATGAAGGCGAACGAGGCGTTCTACTCAGCCGACGGCGATATGCTTGTAGTTCTTCAGCATGGTGTACTCGACCTGACCACAGAGTTCGGACGCATCGCGCTTAGAGCCAATGAAATCGCCGTAATCCCACGTGGTATCAGATACCGCGTAGACATGCCAAACGGTTCTGCCCGAGGGTACATCTGCGAGCTCTATCAGGGCCACTATCAACTACCCGAGTTAGGGCCGATTGGCAGTAATGGTTTAGCTAACGTGCGTGACTTCCAAGTTCCGCGAGCCTTCTACGAGGAGGATTTCAATACCTGGACGCTCGTTTCCAAGTTCAACAAGGTGCTGTACCGGACGAGTCAAGACCACACGCCGTTTGACGTTGTGGCTTGGCATGGTACCTACTACCCTTACAAATATGACTTGGGTCGCTTTAACACCATCGGCTCCATCTCCTATGACCATCCAGACCCCAGCATCTTCACAGTCTTAACCGGACCAAGCTATCAAGAAGGGACCGCGATCGCCGACTTCGTCATCTTTCCGCCCCGCTGGCTGGTGCAGGAGGACACCTTCCGACCGCCCTGGTACCACCGCAACACCATGTCTGAGTTCATGGGTTTGATCGCAGGGGATTACGATGCCAAAGCCGGAGGGCCGGGCGGCTTTCGCCCCGCAGGTGCTAGTCTCCACAACATCATGAGCGGCCATGGTCCGGATGCGGTAACGCATCGTGCAGCAACGTGTACCGACCTCAAGCCACAGAAGGTGGGAAGTGGGTCGATGGCGTTCATGTTCGAGAGCTGCCTGATGGTAGGAGTGACTGCGTGGGGATTACAACACTGTCAGAAGGTGCAACCGAAGTACAATGAGGAGAGCTGGGAGCCGTTGGTGTCTCACTTCGACAAGTCGAACGTGGGAGCAGGTGCGGCGAACCAGAATGGTCATTGAACCCTTCGAGCAAGATACTGTAACCAGCTTGCATTATCTCAGCGTACGTAGGTGCGGCACAGGATGTGGTGGTCCTTCAATTCTGCACTGTCGGTAAAGTCGCGCTACGTAGAGAGACAAGGACGGCTGAAAGCAATTCTAAGACACATGCTTGAGTCACAAAAGGTGAGTGCAGGCAATGACGGGTAGAAGTCTGATTACAACATGCACCGTTGTGGAGGATGGACAATTACGCAGTGAGAACACTGTAACTAAGACGTCTTTTCAACATCCATGCGGATCATCAAACACTTCCGCTCATCTCTCTCTGCATCGCCTGCTTAACCATCTCGCCGCACAACTTAGCATACGGATTCGTCATGACAGCCATCTGCTTCGCAACGCCATGACCGTACCTCCCGCCCTCCGCGAAGTCCAAGCTCGCCAATTCCTGCAAGCTGTCTGCATCCAAGTCGGCGTATCGCTCGATCGAGGCTAGAAGGTGGTGCGTAGTCCGGCGCTTCGATCCTTCGTACAACAAAGAGGCACGATGTGTGTGTGCCGCTGAGAGAACGGTCGCTTGATCCGCAGTCACACCGCCGCTGTGAGGGTGTGAGGGTGAAGCGAGCTGGATAGCTGTGTCAAGGTCGCCGAAAAGCTGACGGACAACCTCCGGCCGCGCGGCGAGCTCGTCCAGGCTGTACATAAGACGTCTTGTTTGCGCCCGGTTGTTGTACGCTGACGCATAGGCAGGGTGCTGAGCAATGAGCTGGTCCAGTGCAATGACAGTTGACTCTAGGCTTGAGCGGTCGGGGTTGTCGTTGCTAAGAGCTAGAAGCAGTTGCCGCTCGTGCCGTTGTAGCTTCTGTGTGAGCTGGTCCCTTATCGGTATTGACGTAGGTTGTGGCGGCGTATTACTCATGCCTCCTTCCGCATCGAAGAGCACTCCAAGAACAGTTTGATCATTCTGGCTAAGGTATGTTGCGGTAGCCATCAGCGCGGTCGTAGGTGAACACTTGGGGCCGGAAGCTCGCGGGACGTTATGAATGCCAGGCGGCGTCGTGTCAATAAACCTGAGCGGATGTGGTTAATAGAAGGGTACTGACTGATAGCATTAGGCGCAGGCAGAACGCAAGAACGATTAGATCTTGGCCCTGCGACTTCGATGCAGGTCGGTTATCGTCGGAAAGCGTCGTTCCGGATCCGGACAGGAGGACTATCCAGGGGTAAGCAATCCTCGGCCTATGGTCTGGATCCAGTCGGCCTTACCTCTCATGACGGCAATCTACGGCTCAAGCAGTGAAAGATCGGTATGTGCAGATGCACGCATAACTGACCCACCGATGGTTTGCTTTAAGGCACAATGTCTGCCCTTATAGCCGAGCCTTCTTCGAACATTCGTGATTCAGTACAGCCTTTTGAATACCAGAACCTCACTGAAGCAACCGTCGGGATTCGGGGAGACGCACTATGTCAACGACCACCATCACCAAGGCCGCAGAAGCCTTGCAAGCGACATTGCCAATCGTAGCAGAACCAGCAAAGCCGAAGCAGCAGCTCAGCACCTACCAAGGCTATGACAACGTCCACTGGTATGTCGGCAATGCCAAGCAGGCTGCCGCGTATTATACCACTCGTATGGGGTTCAAGAAGATCGCATATCGCGGCCTAGAGACGGGCTCGCGAGTTGTTGCTTCACATGTCATCAGGAATGGCGACGTAACGTTCGTCTTCACCTCGCCTCTCCACGCACCGAAGACCAATAGCACCGGCTGGTCGGAGGAAGAGAAGCAGCTCGTCAATGAGATTCACGATCATCTAGCGCAGCACGGCGACGCCGTCCGAGACGTCGCCTTCCAGGTTGATGATGTACACGCCGTCTACGAGGCTGCGGTGAGGAATGGCGCCAAGGCTGTATATCCGCCCAAGGAGCTGTCGGATCAGTTCGGTACTGCGAAGTACGCTCGCATCCGTACATATGGTGACACCACTCATACGCTCATTGAGAGGAGGGACTACCATGGTGCCTTTCTTCCCGGCTTCAGAGCGGTTGAGGAAGAGGAGAAAACAGCCAGATACCTGCCGCCGGTGCAGTTGGAGAATATCGACCATTGCGTTGGCAACCAGCCCTGGGATGAGATGGACGCAGCCTGCGACTAGTAAGCCTTCCCCTCTGCTTGTTATATTCGTCCCCACAAGCTGATGGAGGTACAGCTATGAGAAGGCGCTGGGCTTCCATCGCTTTTGGTCCGTCGACGATAAAGACATATGCACAGAATATTCCGCGCTGAAGTCCGTGGTGATGGCGTCTCCCGACGAGAAGATCAAGATGCCCATCAACGAGCCTGCCAAAGGGCTGCGGAAATCGCAGATCGAGGAGTATGTTGATTTTTACAATGGCGCTGGCGTGCAGCACATCGCCCTAAGTTCGTAACACCTCGTATTGCTGCGTGAGACACTGCTGACGCGGTCACTCTTTCATTAGGGACAGATGACATCGTGAGCGCCGTCTCCAACCTCGCTGAGCGCGGCGTTGAGTTCATCAGGGTGCCGGACTCGTATTACGAGCTGATGGCGAAGAGACTCTCAGCCGCCGGGTTAGAGCTGTCGCAGGATTTCGCCAAGTTGAAGGAGCTTGGCATCCTCATTGACTTCGACGAGAATGGCTACTTGCTTCAGCTTTTCACGAAACATTTGATGGATCGACCGACCGTCTTCATAGAGATCATCTACCGCAATAACTTCAGCGGATTTGGTGCTGGCAACTTTAAGAGTCTATTCGAGGCCATTGAGCGGGAGCAGATGGCTCGTGGCAACCTCTAGGTACGGTGTCGTAGATGCAACCTTTTGCCGTGCACAAAAAGACCAGGAGTAGGTAGATAGGAGGGTGCAGTGCATCGTAAGGAGGCGGCTACGTTCAGTGTATTCATACAAGACCCGATTAGGATTTTTGACACTGAGCCTCACGCTTCCGTTGACTTGGCATATCCAGATCCTCTCACCTCCAGATCCTCTCATCTCCAGATCTTCTCATCTCCAGATCTTATGCAGTGCGTGCTGGTTGATTGCCTGCAGGGCAGCCGAAGCGACTTCGTTCTTAGAGCTCCTACGATTGGTAGGACGTAGTCCGTCCGTGTCCTACATGTGACCCTTCCGGCGTGTGCTCCAGCTTGGACGGGACTGGCACATGGCTCAGACCAAGAGGGGCGCAAGATCTCTGTGATTTCGACCCGGTGACGGCCGGTCCAGCAGGATTACAGCGATACCGTTCCGGACTCGGATCATGGCACGGTTCGCTCCACGCAGGAAATGATGGAACAGTTTATGCTCTCCATGCGGAAGTCCCCGGCTCGGAAAGCGCAGGACATGGGGAATCGAGAAAGCATCTCCACTCGCCTCAACCGCTCCACGCGGAGAAGCCCCACGGGGTTTGATCCTGGCACCCGGACTGTACCTCGAACCAGACTCTTATACTATTTGTCGTTCGTGATTGTCACTTCTCCTGCTGTTGTCCGTTGTTGCACAATCAGACCTGTTGCTATTCACCAAAGCCTGTCAGCACTCGTTAGGCTTACTTGCCTAGGCTTCTCTATGCTGTAATGGCAGAAGACAAGTCCTCCGTTGAGATGAAGGAAGAGGCAAGGGTTGCCGAGGAGCATACGCAGCCGATCTCCGTGACGCCTGAGCAGGAGAGAGTAATTCGCAGACATGTCTGATTCCGCATGTGCCAGGACGTTAAGGACCCTATACTGACAAGGACACCAGTTTGACCGCCGCATCGTTCCCATCGTCTGCATCGCCTACGTCCTGTCCTACCTTGACCGTGGCAACATCGGTAACGCAAAGACCGCTGGTGCGCAAAAGGATCTCCATCTGTCTTCCTCACAATGGACATGGGTATTGAATGCGTTCTACATTGCTTATGTTCTAATGGATTGGGTGAGCCACCCAGTAGACGTCCTGTTGGTGTGTTGATACTGACGCAATACGAGACTCAAATTCTCTGGAAGATCTTCCCTGCACACATCTTCGTGGCGTCGCTTTGCGTCCTCTGGGGCATCTGCGCGATGTCTGCCGGCGCGGTACACGGCCTGTCATCGCTCGTTGTCGTGCGAGTCTTCTTAGGCATCTTTGAGGCTAGTTTCGGAGCCGGCGCGTAAGTGGTTCAGGCACTGTCTGTCGCCATTACGGCGCTCAGTCTCCGGCAAGGCAGTCACTAACGTCAGCCCTCCGTAGTCCTTACTTCCTCTCGCTATTCTATCAGCGACAGGAGCTAGCATTCAGGACTTCGCTGCTCTTGGGAATGTCGCCATTGGCCAACTGCTTCGCGAGCGCTCTTGCATACGGCATCTCTCAGATACGAGGATCACTGCAGCCTTGGCGGTTCATCTTCATCATAGAGGGAGCCCCAACAATCCTGTTTGCTCCCGTCGTGTTCTTCCTCTTGCCGGATTCACCTGGCACGGCCAAATTCCTCGACGAGCGGGAGCAGACACACGCTTTGGAGCGTATGCAGACACGCGACCACACCAAAAAGAGCGGCATCCACTGGAAGGCGTTCCTTGCCGGACTGGTAGACTATCGCAACTTCATCCATATGGCCATCCACTTCATGTGCAATTACTCCTTCGCTGGGCTATCGAACTTCCTGCCCACTATCGTGCAAAATATGGGTTACACTAGCATCAACGCACAAGGTCTAACAGCGCCAATATACTTCTTGAGTTTCCTTTGCTGCGTCGCTGCAGCCCTGATAAGCGACAAATGGGGCAACCGAGGACTTATCATCATGACCTCAGCAACAGTTGGTACCGTTGGTTATATTCTATTAGCTATCCTCGAAGAAAAGAAATACAACAGCGTTCGCTACTTCGCCGTCTGGCTTGCGGTCTGTGGCATTTACCCTGCCCTTGCAATTAACGTGAGTCAGCGAAACCAGCATTCCACCCTATTGCCATAGCCAGCAGGCTGACCTGATGCAGATAACATGGCTCTTGAATAACAATGTCAACGAGTCCAAGCGGGGCGCAGGCCTGGCCGTGCTTGCAGTCTTCGGACAGTGCAGCTCGTTTCTTAGCTCAGCGATGTTTCCGAATGCCGATGCGTATGTCACATCCGTCATCATCCGTACAAGATCTCACTGACAGACCGATGACAGACCGTTCTTTCAGCGAGGTTGCGCCATCGGCGCAGCATTCACTGGCTGCATTGTACTCTTGGCCGCTGCACTCTTCATCCGCTTGCGAACAAGCAACGCCCACAAGGACAGACTCCACGGCCGTCCGCAAGCAAACGAGCAGCTTGATATTACAGATCTTGGCGAAGCGCACCCATCATTTAGATACTTCTTATGATCTTAAGAAACATGAACAGATCGCCTGATTTCAGGAAGCTTGGCATTGTTGCAGACGCACCACACTGCAACCTGGTGTAACATGGGCTTAAAGCTGACCGTTGATGAGCGAGCAAGTGGTCAATAAGCTAAATCGTGTCCGGGTTTGGGAAAGGGATCGAAAAGCGGCAAGGCGGTACGAGCGGCTTGTTTCGTACTGAGAGTGTGCAATGCTTGATGTATGCTGTTATTAGTGTATGCCGGTTTCAGCTACGTCTCAATGAGGCAATACTTTCAAAATGTTAGCTGCGATTCAGCAGGTCACCTTCCGAGATGACCATGAGTCATCCAAAACCGCATTATCAACTCTGTCTACGGTTTGTATTGAGACTTGAAATACACCAGTCAAAGTGTTGCATAGTCTCCATGGCACGAAGAAATAGCTGGTACTTCAAGTTACTGGAATGCGAATCACAAGCCCTCTGACAACTGCGGCATATTCCACAGGAAGTCAAGAGATTCGCTTGTCAAGCTTGCATTCGGCTCAAACATCTCGACGTCGAACGGCGCAATGGAAACGTTGAAAGGCTGTGCCAACCAACCATCCCACATAGCGTCTGCTTCGCTTCCGGCTGGGAAGAAAGATATGTCTGGATGACCGGTAGCTGAGGACTGTCCCTCATCACGACTACTCGCTCCGTAGTACCGCTGTCCTGTCTGCACCGCCCCGTCGGCATTGTCGAGCGACGGTTGACCCTGGGTAGCATCCTGCCACGGCCGGCGATCAAACCGTTTCGGAACGGTCAGACGATCATTAGAGCTCAGCCGTAAGTTCCGCTGTATTTTGCGAAGATGGCGAGCCATTAGCTCAGCGTATCGGCTCGAAAGGTGTACATCATCGGCACGGTTCTTAGCGAGCGCTTCAACACACGCTTCGAGTTGCCTCAGCGAATTAGTGGCGTCAGCCTCCCGCGTTCCCAGGCTAAGCGTCTTCACAAGATAGATCGATGCGGCTACCAAGCGGAGGAAGAACCGTACGGGTGAGTACTGTAGCACACCCTCGTCTGACAGCTTCTTCGCGGTTACTAGAATGTGTCCGCTGGACTCCCGGACATCATTGATAAAGCGAAAATCTTGTTTGTACTCTTTGCGGAACAGGTCCTGGTCGAGCCAGCTGCTGCCAGACATCCCACCGCTCGTGCGTTCGATCAAAGCTTGTAGTGCAAGCGAGTTGACGTACACACGTGTGAAGTAGTACTCGACCAGGACGATATCTTTGGCGGCGGAGGCGACCACTGAAAAAGTCATTGTCAGCAATGCGTTATACAGCACTCGAATCAGGAGGAGCAGTACTGACTCGGTAGCTCCACACTCATGAAATCGCTATGCCACTTCGCCAGTAATGGTTGGTAATGCTCCAGCAGGTTGACATACTGGCCGCTGCGAAGCATCCTTTTCGTAGTCGGTTTGGAAGATATCATCTGGGTAGCAGTGCTCAGTAGTCGAGTAATGTCTATCCAGCTTGCAAGGAGTCTTTCCCGGTCATACGCAGCTTGCTCTTGCACCGATGATGTGGTGGGCGGACTGGAGGAGAAGCTAGAGTGATCGCCTTGTGGATACACGTTGGTGCATCCCAGCCGAAGTGATAACTGGGTAGAATAGAAGTACAGCAGTTTGCGAATTCGACGCTTCTGTCGATGGATCTCAATCTGTGTCGAAGTTGAGGGTGGATCATCTGACGAATCGAACACTCCAAGCTCGTGTGCGAGTGTGATTGCCAGTCCGACTAGCATCCAGCTCAAGCGATCAGAACGCTTGGCGGGCTCGAAGACTTCCTCTCGCCACCTCCGCGACGCATCGCTCCTTCGGTCTTGCGGTTCGAAGGAGTCATCCATATCAGGAGCCAAGCCAGCGTCCCAGCCATCATTCTCGGGAGGGAAGTGCAGTAACCGTGGATGCCATTCGATGATGAGCAGCAGTGCTTGTATGCTGCCGAGTGTGCGGGTCTTTGCAGTGCTATACTTCTCTGAGCCGAAAGTTATTCGTTGCACAAGGTGCTCGATATGCCGCCAAAGCCGAGCGTGAATGAAGGTCGAGCGGGTTGCGCCTGCAGAGCCTGGCAGATCGCATTGACGAGAAGCGATCATGAGGATCGTACAGCAAAGCAGTGGCTCATGGAGGATGAGAAGCTTGTGCGTGTCCTGATCGGCAGAGAGGGTATCCGTGATTGGAGTCAATGGTGCAAGATGCTTGAAGAAGCTGAATCTCCTGTCAATTAGAAGTACGACATCGCGGAACGAAGGACGTACAACTCTAAATACGACACCGCCTCCGGTGCCGTGAACCAGCCCTGACGAACGAAGCGGAGTTTCTCCCACAATAACAGCGTATCCGGTTGAAGATGGCCGGGTAGATGCAGCTCGGAGTTTGCTTGGGTGGATGTATCTTCTGAGCGTTGCTGGCGTGTGTGCCTTTCCGGCTGCCCATCGTCCTCCGGATCTGAGGAGTCCGGATGTACAGCTGCACTGAACAAGAGGCCTACAGCGTCGCTCGAAGAGGTTACCAGTGTCGTGCGAACCACGTCGTTGTGTAAACTAGAAGATGGATCCGATGGCACGGCGCAGGCTGTGGAAGGAGCACGGGGCAGGTATGACGCTGATTCTCTCTCTGCCGCTGATTGATCTGGGAAGGTCGCGGCAAGATTATCGTTGGAAGCGTCATTAACGCCTCGATTATACCGGTCGATGGTTAAGTTTGGCAGTATGGCATTCGTGGCGGCTGCTTTTTCGGATGCATGATGGTCATGCAGATAACGTGGTGACGGTGCCTTTCCAGCCAACGGTCGACCTGAAAATGCCTCAAAAGACGTACTTTCCGCCGTAGACCGTGTTGAGGCTGTTCCCTCACGTTGCTCGCCATCCGTAGTCTTGACTCTCTTGTTCGATCTCTCCAGTGGAAACACACACGGGCGGCGCTCTCGGCGGCAGCGAGTACACTCCGAAGCATCTGAAGTGGTCTCACACCTCGCTTTGTGCTTGCGACAAGCTTCGCAAGCCTTGTAGGCACGCTTGTAGCCCGCTTCATCATCTCCAGTAGCGCGGTGACTCAATGATGCATTGGCCACGTTAGTAGCTGTCGTAGAACGTGAGGCGCTGGCATGCTGCGCCATGGAGCGACAGCCTGCAAATGGCAGGAACCGGTTCGGCTACACACTGCAATGAGGAGTGGTCGGAACGGAGAAGTGAGGATAAAAGTCGCATCCATGTAAGCGGAGAGAGATCTGAATTCCGACCCGATTACTGTAACCGAGGCTTTCCGGCCTTCCGACCTTCTCGTCTTGTCTTCACCATCGGTCCGCTTCCATCTGAAGATCAGCATTACGTCTTAACAGTGGCTATAGAGTGTGAAATGCATGGGAAGGACCAGATCTCACTAGCCAATAACAACCTCAATGCGTATGAAATGCTACTCGCAAACCCGTGAGCTTCCGCTGTACGGTGAAGTACTCATTGCTCTCTGAGTTCTCTCGGCGTATCCGGCTGCATTCTCCAAGACCCTGCACGGAAAGCTTCAAGCCGTTGCAGTTCCGCATAGATCGACTTGATGCGTGGGAAGCGGTCAATTTCGACACCGAAACGCAGAGCTCCGTCAACAGCTGGCGCAAGCACGACATCCGCCATTGAGACAAAATCGCCCATTGAATATCGCGCGCTGACCTGGTGTTGGCGAACAAGTAACTGCTCGTATGCGTCTAGGCCAGCAGACATGAAGTCTCGCTGCCACGATGCACCATCTTGTCCGAGGGCGCGGACCCTTTGCAACACTTTCAGGTTGGTCACCGGCTGCACGTCGCAGGCGATGATATGCACGAGAGCTCGGACTTGCGCACGTTCGATGCGGTCAATTGGTAGTAGCGCGGGAAGCTCGGGTCGACTGTCTTCGAGATATTCCAGAATTGCGATGGACTGCTGAATGATGTTGGTGACGGTGTTGTCTTTCACCACAAGAGTCGGGACCGTCTCTGAGGTGTTGACGCTCTTGTACCCTTCAGCCTTCTGTTCATTCTCCAGTAAGTTGACGTACTGATAGTGGAGTGTTATGCCTTTGTATGCGGCGGCGATCCGCACTCGTGCTGAACAAGAGGAGCGAAAGTAGGTGTGCAGCGTGTATTCGGGCGCCATCACACTGACTGGCTATGTCTGATCACTCAAGGGCGGTATACTGCTACAGATTGTGAGCTGTCATATCATCCTACCCATACCGCTGAGCTTGTAAATGTCGTACCTGGATTCGCCGTATCAGGGTTTTACCGTCTTCCGTGAAATAGTGCGCTAGACGCCTGCATCGCAGGCTTCCGTTCCGTCGCTGCCCGAGCCTGAAGTCATATGTTAGTGTTGATACGCCCGGATGCTTTCAGTGCTGAGGCTCATCCAGTTGATGATGGCATCCAGCAGCTCCTGGCTGGACATTGACGAAGCCAGCGAATTCTCCCTAGCGAATCTGCCATTCGGCATTGTCTCACGAGCTGGATGTTGGGAAGAGCCGAGACCTGCCATCGCCTTAGGGACTTATGTCGTTTCCCTTCGAGACTTAGCGGAACGGAATGGCTTCGCTGAGTGCCCGGATGCCATTCCTCACTTGGCTGTATTCACCGCCGGTTCACTGAATAACATGGCAGCGATCGGTCGTCCGTTCTCTCAAACGCTTCGGACCTACATCCGGGATCTGCTGGTCACGGACACGCCATATCCGCATCTGTTGCGTGACAATCATGAGCTCCGATCGAGCGCGATCCAGCCGCGTAAAGAGTGCCAGATGCATATGCCAATGGAAATCGGAGACTACACAGACTTCTACGTGGGACTGAACCATGCGTACAACGTCGGGGTGCTGTTTCGCGGACCGCAGAATGCCCTGCAACCAAACTACACACATCTTCCTGTCGGCTACCATGGGAGAGCATCAACGGTGCGTATCTCTGGAGCGCCTGTGCGACGTCCGCGAGGCCAGATCCTGCCGATGCCGGGAGCCACCGAGCCAATCTTTGCTGCGAGCCGGAAGTTGGATGTTGAGTTGGAACTTGCGGCATTTGTATGCAGAACGAATGGGACTGATGGCAGGCCAATTCCGATTGCCGAAGCAGAGCAGTACATTTTCGGCTTCGTCTTGATGAATGACTGGTCTGCACGAGACATCCAGGCATTCGAATACGTTCCTTTAGGTCCGTTCAACTCGAAGAACTTCTGCACGACAATATCTCCGTGGGTTGTCACGGTGGATGCTCTTGAGCCATTCCGCTGCGACAGCCGGATCGATGCAGCCAGGACCCAGAAGTTACTCCCGTATCTCGACGAGCGGAGGGCGACGGGCCGACGGTCGTTCTATGACATTCGGCTCGAAATGGTTCTCACGCCGGCGCAGCAAGGCAATTCAGGACTACGTAAAGCTCATGTTGTCACTAACACGAACGCGGCGAACTTGCTGTTCTCTTTCCCGCAGATGCTCGCTCATCATAGTGTCGGAGGATGTGAGATGAGGGTGGGCGACTTGCTCGGCAGTGGCACTATCTCTGGGCCGGACACTGGGTCCATGGGTAGCCTATTGGAAATAACTGAAAATGGCAAAACGCCCTTGACGCTTGGGGAGGGGATAAGTAGATGCTTCCTCGAGGATGGGGATGAAGTCAACATCAAAGGAGTTGCGGGACAGCTGGGGGCCTATGTTGGGTTCGGAGATTGCAGCGGTATTATTTTAGCGGCCAACAATGAGTAGATTAGTACAGTACTGTTACTTTTACCTCTGCAACATTATGCACTGCTCCACGCTGCGGTCAACGAGTCGACGATGCAGCTTGCAGGATGATCGCTGTAAGGTGCACCGGTTCTGCAAAGGAAGGGACATTGTTGGCAAGGGCGAAGCATGTTCAATGGGAAGTACCTGATATCTTTGTGTTTTTGCGGTACTCGGCCGCTGCTCAGCAGCCGAGCCCGAACGCCAATAAGCGCTGTCACAGCGGCTCTTCCACCCTCTTCCCAACATCCGAGATGGTATGACGCCTCGTGGAAGCAAGGTACTACGAGCAATATGTATATTAAAGGCCCGTCAACATAGTAGGTTTGTCGAAGTTCTAAGTGTCCTCGTCTGTCCTTTCTTATACTTACGTCACGATGTCTAACCTGAAAGTGTTAATTGTAGGAGCCAGCATTGCTGGACCCATGGCAGCATATTGGTTCGCAAAAGGGGGAGCAGATGTCACGATAATCGAGCGCTTCCCAGAGCTACGCAAAGGCGGACACAATATCGACATCCGAACCATTGGCGTCACCGTCATGCGGAGGATTCCCGGCATGGAGGCGGCAGTCCGAGCAAACCTTGCCCCAGTTGATGGCATCAGCTTCCTTAGAGATGATGGTAAACCTTATGCTACCATCAAGGCCTCTGGCGATACCGATCAACAATCTCTCGTGTCGGAGTACGAAATCTTCCGTGGCGATCTGGCGCAGATACTGTACGACTTGACCAAAGACAAGGTTCGGTATGTGTTCGGGGAGCAAATCGCCTCCATGCAGCATACGGATCTTGGACCCATTGTCGTCGAGTTCGCAAACGGGATGCCGGCTCAACAGTACGATCTCGTAGTCGCCGCAGACGGAGCGACATCGAGAACACGAGCTATGGGCTTTGGCTGCGGTGTACGAGACCATGTTAAGAGGCTGAACTGCTGGGCGGCTTATTACTCGATGAAGCAAGATCTGCTCGGTGGCAGCAGGATCGCGCAGTCTTGTAGTGCTGTTGGTGGCCGCTGGCTGGCGGTCGGACCAGATCCCAAAAAGGGTATCAATAGAGTGGGACTGATGCTTATCAAGCCTCAAGACGCCACCGATAGGACGGCATCCTTCCGCGCAGCATTAAAGCAGGGCGATGAAGAGTTGAAGCGTTTCGTCTCGCAAGCGTTCAGAGGTGCTGGTTGGAAGACCGATGAGCTTCTTAAGGTATGGAATCGTGTCCCGCCGAGCTGAGATATCATCTGCTGACGATTGCATTGTCTCGGCAGGCCATGATGGAAGCCGATGATTTCTATGCTTCGGAGATTGTGCAGGTCAAGACGCCCACGCTGTCCAAAGGACGTTTCGTTCTGGTTGGGGATGCAGGCTACGGTCCCAGTAACTTCAGCGGCGCTGGCACGAGTCTCGCTATTGGCGGCGCGTACGTCCTAGCAGGCGAAATCAGCAAGCATCAAAGCGATCTTGACCTGGGTCTCAAAGCCTACGAAGAGCGGATGAGACCTATCATCAACGACATGCAGTTCATCCCGCCATTCGTTACCACCATTCTTGCCCCGCAAAGCGCTTGGGCTATCTGGCTACGCAACACTCTCATCGCCTTCGTGTCCTGGGCTATGGGCTTCAGCGTATACTTCTTATGGCTTGGCAAGCTTTTTGGCGGACTCTACGCCAGCTCGCTCGGCAAAGACAAGTACGGACTTCCGGAGTACGAGTTCAAGAGTGGACCTTGTAGCATTACATGAACTCTACCCCGCAGGCAACTCATCAACCGCCGCCGTGCAAGCGCTAAGGCTGTTCAAACACTCCACTCATGGATCGTGCCACAATCGGCACCGAGCTCTTTCTCCCGTTTTACCTCACCTGGCACCAAGGCGGTCTCATTCGGATCTCAGTGGGCTGCGTTGTTGGAGACGGCATTGCGCTGAAGGAAACTGGGTGTGACTCTGGGTAAATGTGCCTCGTGCTCTCACTCACTGCGCTCAACGAGCAACGAATCGTCGTGTCCATGCGGCGGATACAGCAGTTTGTTGACGTTCTTGCAAAAGCTTCTAGCAGCTGAGCCCATGCATCCTGGCGTGCACCTCAGTATGATTTGAATATTTGGAAACGGCTGGCAAAAGCTTGGACTCTGCTTTCGCTCGAGAAGCGAAGAGTTGGCTGGTGTATACAGTCCGCAGGTTTGCGCGGACCCAAGAGCTAGTAGCTGGAGCGATCACCTTGTACCGAATGTAGAACTTGCGACCTGTACGTCGCCAGGCAGAAAGAGCTGGAGTACGTTCTCTTCAGGTACGCGAGGCTGCTCGTAGACGCATTGCTCTCCGTTATCTACCTGTTACCTTAGCTTAACTCCTTTTCTTGGTAAGCGGGGCCGTCGCTGCCTAGGTGGCGTCCTGTAGCGCAGAGACAGAGTCAAAGTCCTATTTGCACCGAGAGATTGTACAAGTAGTCTCGCTGCACGCCCCTCCAGAATAACATATTAGAAAGCACAACCTTCACGAACCCTTCGATAGACGCGCATCGGCCTCGACGACCCCAGCCGCATCATATCTGCAATGGCGGCCCCACAGCAAGCCCAGCAAAGCATAACATGTCACTGCAAAACCATCCGTATCACCTTCCCATCCCTCCGCGAACCCGCCAACGAGTGCCTGTGCTCCATCTGCCGTCGCTACGGCGCGCTCTGGGCGTACTACAAACCAGATGAAGTCCGCATTGAAGGCAGCGATGCAGTGGAGGGGTACGCGTGGGGCAAGAAGACGCTAAGCTTCAATCGTTGCAGGAAATGCGGCTGCATGACACACTACACAGTGCTACGCAATACGGAGCCACGAGTGGCTGTCAATTGCAGGATGCTCGAGAGGGAGGAGTATGATAGGCTTGAAAGCGAGCAGTCTGACGGGGACGAGTAGTGGTGGTGGAGTGGCGGGCAAAGTGGAAGTCGGCAAGATAGTTCATTCAATCATGGTGGCAGCTGCTTGTGCTGTACGCAAGTGTTAGTTACGCTACGCGCGATGCCTGACTGCGTGCTAATGATCGCTAGGTTATCAGGAGGACTTACGACTGCACGCTCAAACACTGGCTGGCGAAGAGGCATTCAGAGCCGGATGAGGGGATTTTAGAGCACCCTCAATTGTGCCGGCCATCGTATGGTTGCAAGTAACGCTGTTATTATGACAAGCAACAACTTTGTCTTGATCCGGGGTCCCTAAGAAGTGAACCACTAATACCGTTAAACGGAAGTGAGACCAATTCCCTGTTCGGTTGTAAAGGATCATATCAATGCAGCGGTATGGCAAATCATCTTCAAGAACGTAGTATTCCGTATAACAATTGACTGCAAGCCTGCCAGGGTGTCGTCGTAATCGGAATATCCATCTTTACCCAAGAGCTTATCGGGATGAGTCCAGAGTCAGCTTGGTGCGAGCTGCCTTTGCCCTCTTACAGCAATCTCGCTCTTTCGTTCAAGGGCAGATATGCCTCGAGAGTTGCCATCTCCACGCCGTTGGTATGAGGTTATATGGAGTGCTTAAAAATTACCGACATGTCATGATTGATGTTGACGGCAAAATCTATCCCTCCACGCAGGCTCATCAGCCTCTTTACATTCAGGCCGTTGCTGAATACTGCCGTCCCGCGGATGACAACGTGCGGTAAAGTGCAAACAGGTGATGAAATTGACAATTGCACAACTTGCCGAGATTTTAGTGGAGTCGGAGAAGCAGGCAGAGTAAGCGACGTCATTCTGTAGAAGCTGCTCGCGTGACCAACTTGCCCCGTGCGATAGCTTCATTATCATTTCAGGCTGCAGCATATGTCTTCGACTCTCACTTAACCACTGTCAACAGCACCAAGTCACAATCAACAGCGGAGCCGTCATGTATCGGCCCAATATCCAAGCCCTGCTTCAGCTCTGCCTGACTGCAGTCGCCTTGGCTGCACCGATTGCGGACGAGTCAATGAAGACGAACGGAATGAGCAACGCACAGCAGTTCGGAACTGGTGGTGGCATCTTCGGCTTCATTGTCCTGATTCTGGACATCATTGTCTGGGGTACGCGCTACACCCACACCGAGCGCTCATCATCCGCAGCCTTCGCCTTCCTACCTCAGTCGCATGCATGCTGACCAGATGTTCACAGTCGAGGTTCTCAAGTCCAGCCGCCCACCCAGCTACAAGCTGCTATGGTGCGTCCTCGTCTTCATCTTCCCGGTTGTCGGCATCATCCTGTACTGGCTTTTCTCGGACCGGGCCAAGTGGAACGCTGAGGGAGGCTACGAGCCGATTACGCAATGAGTCATATAATGCAAAGACCGTGGCACTTGAAATACTGTACGACATCATGACATTATTACTATCGACCCGGCGCGGTAGACAAACGTGTTTGTGAGTGCATGGTATCGACACATAACATGCCAGTGTCGCTGCAGGGTTACCGCCGTACTCGTTCATGTGTTGAGACGTGGTGGAGTCGCTCGTGAGCAAACGGAGCATTCCACGCTATGCATGAGTATTCAGGCATCGAAGTCACTAGTAACCCCTTCTAATTATGTCAAGCAAGTCAAGGCATTCCGTGCAGCGACCCAGTGTCAACGAAGATACATAACACGATACAAACGGTAAGCCCTTGCTTCGCGCGGGCAGTGTGCCCTTTTAACCCGAAACATTATAGGCACAGTTTGGCTGTGCTTGGTGACAGACTTATGCGGGCCTTACAGGCACTGAATCCTCGTTTCGAAAAGCCTTGGTGAGCTTCTGTTTCGAGCTTTCATTGGTGCCCGTACAATCAGCGGTTGGCTGACCCGCCCATCTTGCTTGCACTCAGCGAAGCCTTTGTTCAAGCTCCTTCCGCTTCGCTTTCTTCGCCTTTGCGTCTTATCTTGAGTACAAACATAGGCCTTACCCAACTTGGTCAACGGGAGTGGCCGGACGAGCCCGCCGAGTGCTGGTTCTCCGGAGACCCCACTTCCTCACGAACCTCACTTCGTCGACCTCACCCATGCCCAAAACACTACTATACTGAATCTGGGTTCGGGACAGTGTCGATCACATTCACCGAGATAAGAGTAAGCTTGAAATCAAACTCTATTTGGAGGTTACCGGTTTGCCGCTCAGCGCCAGCTTCTATCAGCATCCTGCGACCGGTGACGAATGGGAGAGCTTGTCACTATCTTGAGTGCCTGTTTCACGTGAAGCGGCCTTCAAAGCTGCCCCAAAATGGACGGCGCATACGGGATCTTCGACATTACTGTAACGCCTTGCATGCGCTACAAATGATCTTCGGCTTGGTTATTTACCACGTACCTGGCGGAACTACGCCGCTAGGGTTGCAAGGCCCTGATCGTCAGGACCGCTTGTCTACAGCCGACTTCACGCTTGCTATACAGAGGCCGCTGGAACAAACACCATCGCTGAGCAGCGTGAAAGCAACTTCGAGCGTGAATTTGTTTCGACCTGCAGCCCAAGACCGCCAGTTCGCTAACGCCTGCGAATATATGGTTCACATAATTCGCGCGCGCTGGCAGCTGGTTACGAAAGTCAGCTGCCGTTATGCCGTAGGATCTCCATTGATCCAGAATGCATGAATCGCGCTTTGTACTTTATCCGCTTCGGTCTATGGCATCTTCGCCGATCTCTCTGGAGACTACATCCACTTCAACCCCAGTCACCGTTACAGCCGCCACATCAGTTAAGCTGCCGTGCTACGTGCTGCCTAATCCACTCGAGCCGGGTGCCATGGGGGCATACCGCCTTACTGTTAGCTCAGTATATGTCGCACTACTGGCGCTGGTGTCTATGGCTACTGTGTGTTTCCAATATTGTCGATCCACCACGAAACAGAGCTTCAGCAGAGTTGGAAGGTTGACGTGAAGATCATACTGCACCTTTCTCCGTCGCTGTATCCTCTGCTGAAACTTGGTATGTCTGCAGAACGGAAAGAACGGCTGCAGTAGACAGAGCACACACGCGACGAAAGTGCTTGCGAAGTCCAACCGCCGAAGGCAGGTATAAAGATGTCCCATCTCTTCCACCTCGATGCTTCAGCACTCAGCTTCATCACATCTCCTTCCCCTCGACCACCATCCTTAGCCTCCATCATCTTCCATCATGGGACCCACACTCATCAAGTTCTTTTCCCTTCTTGCCATTGCCAGCACCACCCTTGCCTCACCATGCCCTTACGGTGAGATGGCTGAGCGTGGCCTCCTACCCAAGAGCGAAGCCGACAAGTTTTTCGCCGCTCGTGCCAAGCGGGAGGTTGCCGTCGAAGCTCAGATGGAGGTCCAGATGAAAGCCAAGCGCGATGCGGAGCATGCTTCCCAGGAACAGTTCTACAAGAGACAACTGCTGGGTGGTCTTCTAAGCCTGGGAGGCGGGCTGCTCAACGGTGCTCTTCAGCCATTCACTGGACAACTAGAGAAGCTTGGTGTGCCAACGTAAGTCGTCGATCCCCCTTGGTGTGTTGTATGCCCTGCTAATCGTATCGTCCAGCCCTCAACCGGTCGGCTTGGCCGAAGTACCTGACTCAGACCATCCCTTTCAAGCACCTGGTCCCACCGATATCCGTGGCATGTGCCCGACGTTGAACACCATGGCGGTACGTATGGGCCCGCGGACACCCATCGGCAGCCACAGGACCTTCGCTGACTCTCAAATCTTCCTTTTAGAACCATGGCTACATCTCTCGTAACGGTATTACTACCTTCGCTGAAGCGGCAAATGCTTGCCAAATCACGCTCGGCTTCGGCTACGACACCTGTGTCTTCTTGTCAGCCCTCGGCCTGCTCGCCGGCGGTGACTTGCCCAGTGGCATGTACAGCATTGGTGGTGCCGACTCTCGTGTGCCAAACACACTTGGTCCATCACTGGGTATCAGCAAGCATGGCTTCTTCGAGGTTGACAACTCAATCTCCCGAGAAGACGCTTACTTTGGTGCGCAGCGCCTGTGCCGCTCTTCTAGCTTGATGCAAATGCTAACGTTAATGCACAGGCAACCAGGCTGACTTCCGTCTCGACCGCTTCGAGCGTCTTGTCAACATTACGGACAAGTACGACGGCCAGTTCGGAAACTCTGCTTTTGCCGAAGAGCGTGTCTTGCTGTATAACGAAGCGAAGAACAACAACCCAAACTTCGACGCCGGCGTCCGATGGCTCGCTGTCACGACTGCGGAGCGTGTATTCATCTTCCGCGCCCTGCCGAACGGCACAGATGAGACTAATGCAAATTACGCCAACGTGGCGCCATTCTACCTCAACGAGACCTTTCCGCATGAATGGTTTCGTCGCTCGACAGCCTACGGTCTTGCGGACACCGGCGCAGACATCGCCAACCTGCTCGCTAGCAGCCCGCAGGTAACCATTCCGGGTCAAAATGAGGGCATCGACAACTTCGTCCCGCTCGGCATTGATCTCGCATCAGTAACACCAACAGAGGTATAGCTCTTCACCCTTCCCACAGCTTCTCTTAACAAGCATGCTGACACTTTGCCGCAGGCTACTTGCTTCCTCGCCAGCGCCGTCTTCGATGAGACGCCTGGCTTCCTGTCGCCAGCCCTTGTCGACAACTACGATCTCGTAGAGGCCTTCTTGAACGGAGCCGTTGCGCCTTTCTTCGCACCGTACGGATGCAACACTACCGTTTCGAAGCCGGGTCCGAATGCCGGAGACAGTACGGCTGGTGTGAGCACTGATTGCAACGATTTGGTCAATGGTGTGTACCAATGTTGAGAGGCGAGGGATTTGACGAGAAGATGGCATGCTGGGTCGGTAATGCAATCGGGCGGAAAGGGAGCGCTGCCTGATGCATGACGGTTCTTTGGTTCATGACTGCAGTCCCCAACCAGATTGGCGGGATTTCAGAGTCGGGCGAAGGCGCAGTGGACGGGCGTCAATAGCGCCGGTCATCTTGCATTGCGGATTACTTGTGTTTTCGTATGCTTCAGATACCCAGACTCTACCTCGAGACACTGATACATCACTGCAATTGTCAGTCGAACAAATCAACCTCGTAATGCAATCAATGTATCATAACGTGGAGGACGGGAGGATGAGGCATTTGATCGGCGAACCGCCAGCTGTTCCGTTGTAAACCAGCTACGTCGGGATAAGGTCGAGAAATTTAGTGCCTGCAGGTTTCCGAGGATGCTGTCCGCTATGGCGCCTATGACACAGTCGTCTACAAGCACGAATCTTCATTCTCTACGGACTCTGGGTGAACTCAAATACACCCTTGGCAAGCATGCGAGTTCTTCAAGACGGATGCCATCAATTATAGATCATCGGCATCCACCATCTGCACGACCATACCAGTCGTTGCGCCGCCACCATTGCATATCGCAGCGCAACCATATTCGCCCTTGTTCAGCTGATGTAGCAGAGTGACCAATATCCGCGAACCAGAGCTACCCAGCGCATGGCCGAGAGCAATGGCACCGCCACGTGGGTTGACATTGTCGATGCCAAGACCAAGGATCTGTGTCATTGTTAGGCATGACATTCAACCATGTAAGACGGACAAACAGCTGAGCTTACCTTTGCATTAGCCTTGATGACAGCCGCGAACGCTTCGTTGAACTCCCAGATCTTGACCTGCTCAGCCGTAATGCCTGCTCTTTTGAGCACAATAGGCACGACCTTGGCAGGCGCAACGGGAAAGTCGATCGGATCCACAGCAGCATCCGCATAGGCACATATTCTTGCAAGGACTTTCTTGCCCTTGCCGTATTGCTTCGCCGTCGCTCGATCTACCACAACCAGCGCCGAAGCTCCGTCATTAAAGCTCGAGCTGTTGGCCGCCGTCACGGTGCCCTTGCCAGACCGGTCAAATGCAGGCTTCAGCGTCGGTACCTTCTCCAGCTTAAGCCGGTTGTAGCCTTCGTCTTCGGCGACCACCTGCTCGCCCTTCTTCGTCTTCACGGTCACCGGCACCACCTCCTCCTTGAAGAGGCCTTGCTTCCAAGCTTCCTGTGTACGCTTGTAGCTCAGAATAGCAAATTCGTCCTGTTCTTCTCGGCTGATTTCGTACTTCTTCGCCGTGTTCTCGGCGCAATTGCCCATGTGTACCTGGTTATACACATCCCACAACCCATCCTTGATCAAGCCATCCTCCAGCTTCATTTCGCCGAACGGCGGTTGCTGGCTCGCACGCGGCAAGTAGTACGGCACGCGCGACATGTTCTCCATGCCACCTGCTACGAGGGCGGTCTCCTGACCCAACTCGATCTGCTGCGCTGCGATGCTGACGGCCTTCATCCCTGAGGCACACACCTTGTTGATCGTTGTTGACTCAACGCTCGGGTCCAGACCAGCGAAGATAGTAGCCTGCCGCGCCGGCGCCTGCCCTACGGATGCTTGCAACACATTGCCCATGTAGACGTGCGTTATCTGGTCCTTGGGGACATCGGAGCGGGCAATGGCCTCCTTGATGGCGGCTGCGCCCAGCTCGGGTGCAGAGACGGTGGTGAAAGAGCCGTTGAAGACGGCGCAAGGTGTACGGACGGCGGAGAGGATGTACGCCTCCGCGATCTCCTTCCTGCGAGGCGGTGTCGTTGCGAAGTGGCGCTGCATGGCCGCCGCTCTTTGCGTGGCTCGGGCGGTATTACTATTGGCAGTGGTGGCAGACATGGCTTTGCACGCGGCGCACACCGGCCGGCCGAGACTGCGAGAGACCATTCTGAAGCACAGCAACAACGAGATGTGTACTTACACCTTTTGGAGTCCGAGCATGTCGAAGCTGCAATGGCAGACGAAATAATACCGGATGGAGAGGTAGGTGGAGAATGAGCTGCTGCTTGAGCCGAGGCAGCATATGAAGCCGAGCACTCCATGATTACCCGACCTGACCTTACACATGCAGTGGCAGAAAGTCGTTTTCCACAGTCAAACATATGAGTTACAGCTACGGAAGATGCAGCTAAATGGGGTATAAGCATCTCATGTTATCCCAACCCTCCTGCCCATCATGTAAGTATCCCACCATCAACACCTCATGCCTTGCGACGCCAACGCTAGAATGGATGTTACCCTCACGCCCATCGAGTGAATACGATTAGCCAGGGTACGACGCCTGCTGCTATAGTGAGGAACGCAAAGAAAGTGGTTGCCCAGCCTGCTCCGATAGCCCCGTACATTGGCAGGGCGAACAGAACGAACACGAAGCTCAGCAGATATCTCGTGGATATGCTGGACTCCAATGCACTCACGCCGTTCGTGTCTCCGAAGCGATCTGTGAGATATTGCTGCGTTGATACGAACGTCAACAGCAGCGAGCAGGCGAACACTGCCATGGCGAAGCAGGGGGCACCCCAGTGGACACCCGGCGTAGTAGTCCAGCCGAACAGCAACAACGATACTGGTGTCAGTATGGAAGCAGGCAGCGCCATGAAGAGTCGCCATTCCGCAGGTGGGGGCGAAACATGTATGGATGTCGAGACGACCGACTGCGGTATGGGTGGTATAGGCGGAGCTGGCGTATCTAGAACCGCTGCCGCAGCTGCACGATGCAGGCTTTTCGATCTTAGAAGTGCCACGCGTGGCTCCGTTATCCGTTGTGTCTCCGCGACGCCGTCTGGGCCATCCCTGGTTGTGGGCCGCACTGGCAGGGCATCAACGAGCACTTTCGCCAGCTGAACATGATCGAAGCGGACGTGGTAACCCTCCAACGCTTTGCAGAGGTCGCCGTATGCTGGGTTCATGTTCAGTATCAGTAGGACGCGCTCAGGTAGGATTTTTCGCTTGGCGTTCGCCTCGAGGCTGTTGAGGTAGTTCGCCGCTGCGATGGAGAGCATGATGTTCCTCTGTTCTTCAATCGAGTTTGGCAGTGGTGGCCTTTGTGTCACTATGGGGGCAGTGCTCGTGCTGGCGCGCCCGATCGAGACCGCTGCACTGCTCCTGCTGTCCGCCGTGAGTCTCAAGTTACGTCGCGAGAAGTTGCTCACAGTGCTCGCAGTACTTTTCTTGCTTGCGTATGTGGCGCGACTGCTTTGAGATGTTGAGCAACGACGCGCTTTCTCCAGTTCTGCGGCCCTGATTGCTTGCCAGTGCTCTACCCGCGGCACGTAGAAGGAAGTGTGATAGATGGTGAGTGCGCAGATTCCCACAACCAAGCCAATGATCATGCTCATGAAAGTGACGCCTTGAGTGCCATGCACGAAACCGTAGGCTCGGAAGAACGCTGAAGGGAAAGCAACGAAGCCCGCGTACAAGATGGCAAAGCTGAGCCCAGCCTGAACGCATAAGAGTGCGAACGGTACGTCTGAGAGCAATAGTTGCAAGGATGCAAACAGACCCTGGTCCGCGCTCGGTTGGGTGTTGAGTCCTTGCTGAGGTTGTGCGACGCCTCTCGTCTGCAGCAAGATGCCAGCTTTTGATGTTTCCGAAAGGAGGGCCATTGGAATTAGGCACGCAATGAATGCGAACAGGACAATATACTGCGTCCATGCCGCACCCTCTGTCCACGCCAAGTATCCGCCTAGAACCACACCAAAGCATGGACCAAGCAAGAGCGATGCGTTGTAGAACATGAATGGCAAACTCCGTTCGTTCGGCGCCCAGAGGTGAAGCAGGACTGTGTCTCCCAAGGCTAGGGCAGGCGATGCGGCTAAACCAGCCAGCAAGCGGCACACAACACTGCCGCCGAAGTTTCTGGCCAATCCTGCCACAAGTGTGAACAAAGCGAATATTGACATGGACACTAGGTATGTGATCCGCTGAGTGAGCGCCATGCCGCAGGCTCTGCTGATCTGCGGGCCGAAAGCGAGACTGAAAACGAAGAATCCAACGGACAGGGAAACACTTCCTAAGGACGTGTGGTCTTCCTTCGCAAGTTCCATGCTTGCAGATGCAATGGTCGTCGACGCAAACATGATCGAGAAGCTTACGGCACCGGCAGTAGCCGTCTGCGCCCATCGCTTCCGGCGAGACCACTTTCGAGGGTTCAGTTCGTCCAGTTCCCATGGCGTTCCGGCCAATTCATACGTTAACTGGTCACCGTAGCCCGTTCTGCGGCCCGTGAGCCGTTCGAAGTTTGATGGATTGGCTGGTAAGGCGGTGAGGGGGCTCGAGGTGCCGTACGCATGCTTGCCACTCTGCCGAGCCCTCGTTCCCTGCAGCAGAGGAACTTCGCTAGTAGGTCGTGTCTGAGACTCAACAGTGGCCGTTCCGAACGTCATTTGGGACGTATACGACTGGCGTCTGGACGACCGCCGTCGCCATGCGTCCTCCTGCTGGTATGAGGGTATGGGAGGTATGGGCGGGACATATGGAATAGCCGCTGCTTGCGAGGTCATCTTTTCGGTCTCCCGGACTTCGGGCTCCTTATCAGACTCTGGGTTCGGTGAAGCGGGCGAGACGATAGAGGTCTTCCAGACTTTCTTCTCCGTTTCCGGTGTCGTTGGCCGTAAGCTCTTGACTTCTTCCACAACCTCTTTAGACAGAATGCTCCCAGCCGGAGCGATCCATGCTTTCTTCTCAAGCTCCGGCGTCATGCATGGTGAAGTCCCGGGCGACCAATGAAATGACGCTTTTTCGGACATCGGCGAGATGGCGGCAAGGTGTTCAACGCTGCTATTCCTCATGGCGGCAAGGAATCTTCGAAGGTCGAATCTTCTGTCACTGCGGAACCGGTGCTGTAGAATAGCAGGCTTAAGATGATCGCACAGACGGCGCCATAATGATGGCTTGGCTTAAAGAACTGAAGGAAAGAACGCAGAGTATACAAAGAGAGTAAACAGTCTCAGTGCTTACACGTTAGACTTTGGTGCATGCCCGTTGTGCCCTCATCACAGACTGCGGAGCAACCACATGCTACAGTACGGTCATACCGCGGCTCCACCCACTCGTCACTGCAAGGCAATCGGATCGTCGCCAAAAGCGACAGAAAACGAATGTATACTAACCGCCTTGAAGATTAGTCTGGGTTGAGTGCACATGCCGATGTTGGAAGGGATTGGATGCATTGAACGTGAACAGCATAGCGTATTGCGGAGTACGAAGGCTGATGATAGCGATCAGCGCACCGTTTGCAATGTGAATTGTGCCCTTCCACCGGGTTGCGGAAAGTAGGCATAGTGTCAACGCCCATGAGAAAGGGAGCGCTATTCTTGGGAGACAGGAGTGAAGTCAAAAGCCAAGCTTGGGGGCACTCTCGCGCTGGTAAGATTAGCGCACCGGCAGCGCATCCTGCAGAGTGATGGCGCAAGAGAAGCACGAGATCTTCCGAGACGGCGATGCTTGGTGTTCCAGGTTTTGCCGCCATTATATGCCACAGTCGACATACCTTTGCTTATTTAGTCGCATTCCTTGGAAGTTGCGTTTAGGAAACGTACACGCTGCTGATGAAGCTGAGAAGAATGTGGGCTTGATAACGCTTACAGAAGGCAAAATGCCACTCTTGGTTTGAGCACCAAAATAGCCGAAGCCACGCCGAGGAGCCGAGAGTATCAGAACATTGTAATAAGATTGTTTGGTCCAACGGCGACCGTTATCGACCTGCAGATTACACTCGGTCACCGGAAACGAAGAAGCTCTACTTCTTGGTCAACGTTGATCATGCCGCACGGTCCGATCATTGTAGGCTACTAGGGAAGCATTCGAATTTTCGCATAGGTACTACATCCAAAGTAGCACTTTGCCGATCGTGTCTCTAAGACTCTCGGGGCCAGCATGACGCCCTGCGCAGTGGTTTTGCTTCTTGCTGCTCGCTCCAGACCAGGACATCAGTAGCGGATAAGATATTCGCAGCGCTACCAGACAGCCTCGAGGCGCCAGCCTTGGACGCATACCCAACGTATCGTACATGTGCCTGCTGGTTAGATTCACAGCCACAGACAAACAATATCTCGCGTACGTAACCATCACAAGCGCCATCCCAGCATAGAGCCACTGGTGTCCGGTAGAGATCGGTACACAGCGAGACAAGGCTCCTAACCCAAGTCAAACCGAGCAAGACAACCGCACCCGACAGCGACCATGTCGAGATGAGGACTTGTTCGTCCAACTAAGACAAAGTATAGACGGGAAACGCCGGCGCAGCAAACATTGCGGACCAGACACGACGCTTAACCGGCCGAGACATTGATCCAGTACAGAATGGAGGTAACGATGCGTATCATGAGGCTTTTTATCGTGAGGTTCCAATAGCGTAGATTCGGCGGGGCGTTCGAGCCTTCACAGCCTACAGGTATGATATTGCACAGGTGAAGGTGCGGACTCCAATTTACTTAGGACAGATGCTGCTATGCTGCTTGTTATTTGGCTAGCTTACAAATACACTGTGACGGTTGACTCCGCCGTTTGATGTGCTACCACTATCCACTTGGATTTTCGTAGTGGCACATGTTTGACGATACTGTGAGAAAGCTTGCGTACCAAGTGGCTGGTACTCGAACGCATGGTTAGTCCAGAGTCCGTCCTTCGCATAAAGTGTAAGACACGCGAGCAGTTTAGAAAGCGATCTGGCAAGTGACAAGCACTACACGAAGGGCGACTTATCTGCAAATCGTTTCGCCTTTCATGCCTTAGGACGAATGCCTCTGCGTGGAAGACCGAGCATGTAAGGGTTTATGGTCCACTTTATCGGTTTAGACCGGCCAGAGACATTGTCTACAGTTTGCACGGGTAGTTATGCCAGCGTCCGTTCGATACCAGCAGGTTGAGTGCATTGCTGCGTTTCACCGGACCGCCTCCTCTCGCTTAGTATCTTTTATGTAAGGCAAGACAAGTGAAGGACAACTTGAAATGATCGGTGCGACAGCTCCATGCTGCAGAACATGCAAGCTCGTAGGGAGAATCTGCTACAGAAGTGGGAAGGCGAAAGTGAAATTAGCATAGGGGTACAGCCATTAGTGCTGCCGCTTCGTACACCAATGACGAAGGTGTAGCCGTACCACAGCAGCACAAATCATCCACTGTCTGCTGTGTCTGATCATGAATACATCTACTGCAACATTGAAGCTGCTGTGCGGGAGCCTGACGCCCTTCCTCTACCCTTGCCTCGATGCTGCATGGGTAACAAGGGGTTTAACCTGCAATGAACCGCAGCGCCGGAGACGGCATGTGGCTCTTAGTAGACGATGCTCCAGCACCGTCACAGCGGCACGGTCAGAGTTATCGAGTAATGACAGTATCGATGTCGCGCAATACGACCATCTTGATCCGTCCCCGCACAATTACAGCTCGCAACCCTTCGTCGATGCTTGCTCCCTGACCGTGTCCGCTGGAGCTGGAGGGCACGGTTGCATTTCGTTCCTGCGAGAGAAGTACATCGCAAATGGTCCCCCAAACGGGGGTGATGGCGGGACGGGGGGCAATGTGTACATACAAGCTGTCAGGGGCGAAACGAGTCTGCATAAGCTGGCAAGGCGAGGCGCTTTGAAAGCAGGGCGCGGCAAGAACGGACAGGGCAGCTTAAAGGGAGGTGCGAGAGGCGAAGATGTTCTCTTGGTCGTGCCGGTGGGTACCATCGTTAGGGAGCTTACCAGGCATGATCCTCTGGCTGAGGATGAGGCTGTGCAGTCCAAAGGCTTCGGACGGGACTCGGAGGATGACGATGGGAGTGTTGAAGGCACTGATCAGAGCAAAAAGTGGCGTAGAGACCGATGGTTACTCTACCCTGGCACGCTGCCTAAGAACTTCACCTCCGCTTCCTTTCCTGCATTACCACGCCCTCGCCGCAATAATTTAGTTGCCACCGAGCCCCAGGCTCCCATACGTCTCGACCTGGACAAGCCGATGAATCACCCTATGCTACTGGCTGCAGGAGCTATGGGAGGACTTGGCAATCCGCACTTTGTGACAAAGTCCGTCACTCGCCCGAAGTATGCTACAAAGGGCGAAGACGCCACGCGGATCCATTTTCAACTCGAGCTGAAGCTTCTGGCGGATGTCGGCCTGGTTGGCTTGCCCAATGCGGGAAAGAGTACGCTCCTGCGTGCTTTGACGCGAAGCAGGACGCGAGTGGGTGATTGGGCTTTCACCACTCTCGCACCTAGCGTCGGGACGGTGGTACTAGACAATAACCAAGGAAGACCGAGCATTGACACGAAGGGCAGATCGTCAGAGGCTCGCAGGAGTTTCACCATTGCAGACATTCCTGGCTTGATTGAGGACGCCCATCTAGATCGAGGGCTCGGGCTCGGCTTTCTACGACACGTTGAGCGTGCAGCTCTACTAGCCTTTGTCATTGACCTTTCGGCTGGTGATGCGGTCGATGCATTGAAGGCTCTTTGGAAGGAGGTTGGGGAGTATGAGCAGATGCGCGAGCGTGAGCTCAATGCCGACACGCAACGAACGCAGCCGGATGAAGAAGGGATGGTCACATTTAGGCCCTTCGAGAGCAGCATTTCACCAGGTTTCGATCCCGAGCCGCACACTCAGTTTGCAGGCGATGCTGACGAGAACATGGTGCTCGATCCTCCAGCTGGCCGCAAGCTCCCTCCACTGTCCCTGCCACCCATCAGCAGCAAGCCATGGTTTGTTGTGGCTACGAAAGCGGACTTAGCGGAGACGCAGCACAACTTTGAGCGTCTGCAAAGCTATATTGCAAGCGTCCAAGCCGGCGAGGAAGCGCACCCCAATCCTGCGAAGAATGCTTGGCGCAGAAAACTGCACGCTGTTCCTGTCTCTGCTATCAACAAAGAAGGAATAGAGAGCATACCACACCTCATCCTCGAACTCCTCAACGGGTGACGCTGCGTTAGAAATTCTGCATACAGCCGAAGTTGCGAACCTACGCAAGTATTTCCGCGTTATCGCTTTGTATCTCTCTAGCTCGGAATGTTCATCCAGGGCGCGTACGACCCAGCAGCATATCATGCCTACGAGCGTCCCATCGCCGCCGATAGTGTCTCGTAGGCTGCAGAGTTGTGGTTGTATTTGACTTCGTTCATCCCCGCATGTTCCACGATTGAGTTTGTTCCAACAATACGGCACCTTGCAACCTGCGCGCTGCCTACAGGATCATAAGCACTACCTCTTCCCTAATCTCAAATTTAGCCACGCCGCTGATGCTGCCGTGTGGTCGCACGTCCGGCGGACTTGGGAGTATTCGCCAACACAATAACGCCGAGAGCGCTGGTGCATAGCGGCTGCGCCTGCAAAGTCAAAACCTGCTGAAACTGATCACAGTCTGGAGACACCAAGCCTTTGCATGATGCAACGATGCATGGCCGGAGCACTGTAATTGCGAACATCCTCTAACCACACTCCACGTGCCCTCAAGTCCGGGTCCAATCGTCTTGCTTGATCGCTTCATGACAATACCAATGGCGTCCACCGCCAACAACGACAATGGCGGACTCGTGAAGTCTTTGAGTCCCAGGCCGACGAAACATGCCCTTCCCGAACCAGTCGACGGTGAGGACTGCAACTACCCGGACGAAGGCAGCGGCTTTGGCGCGTTTCTGACAATGTTTCGCGGTGGCCTGATCGCTCCCACCGGGACCACATACGACTCGATTAGACTCCTGCTTACGGCAGAGTCCGTAGACGAGCGAGACCAACTGACCCGGCAATGGCGAGATCACAAGCTGCAGGAGCTCAACTTCATTGGTATCGTCGGCGCGCTACTTGCGGGCTGCATGACCAGCACCGGCTCTTGGCCCACTGTTCTGCCGAACGGCGAGGAGGCTCCGTGGCCGGTTCGGACATGCTGGTATGCTGGGATTGTGTTCTCGCTGTTCGCCGTGCTTACGGCAGCGCAGCAGTCTATCCGACTGCACCGACTATCCGGCCACAAGGATGCGATGAAGACTATCCGTCACTACATGGGTTGCCGCAAGCGGGACGAGGAAGGCGTACTGCGAATCAAACCAAGACGATTCCAGGTCTATGGATGGCAGGCTAGCATAATGTTCTTGACGCTAAGTGTGGCTGCTCTGTGCGTGATCGAAGGCCCCTGCGGCTTTCGTGCTGTCGCTAATGGTTATGCCGCTGGGATTGTAGGCTTGTCGGCATGTGCATACTTATATGGAGTTCCACACAGTTTGGTCCCTACAAAACTGTTGAAGAAGGATGGTGGGACAACAACGCAAAGGTACATCAGAAACGTGATCAAGCGGAGCAGATCAGCTGACTTTCAGGGTAGCTTGCAGTCACGTGGAGTATCATTACCCTCGTTACTGTTATTGCCTTCCTCGCCGCCCAGATCAGTTTGGCAATGCGCAAGGACGATGCGTGAGACCAGGAGGTCTGCTGCCCGTGCCTGCTTGGCCGATGGCCACTCTCTCGCCGGTGCACATCGCGGAGGAAAGGCATGCCAGAGACGCATGTCAGAGACGCATGCCAGAAACGCGATGCAATTAGTATACACTCCATGGGACCCTACACGAAGCTCTTCACAGGTACCTGCAGACCGCATCGACTCATATAGCGATGCCAACCCGGAATCACTTGTTATTCGACTGTGTCCGACACGGTGAGCAGTAGCAGTGAAACACTACTTTCATATGGAGAGAAGCGGAAGAAGCCGGCAATGGTCACTTCATTGATGCTGCATTGAGAGTTCGTTGAACGCATCATTCCAGTGCTCCGTCGGTCCGCATACGCAGCGAGTGAAGTCCGCGCTGCTTGTCGCTAGCAAGAGAAGCATTAACGCAACCCCAATATAATGCCCAGCAGCATCAGCTACTCGGCGCCGCAACAGCGTATCTTTCAGACTTTAACCTCCCATACGCCGCGCTAACCCACACAGAAATGCTTTCCGTTCGTCCTTCATGCCTTCTTCCTCAGCTGCCACCCTACTTTATTCACTCTTGCTGCACCCAGCAGGACAAACGCTATTAGCGTCGACGTTGCCGCCCATATCGATGCACCTGTGTAGCTACCATGCATAGCGCTCTGCAGCGCACCACCTATCGGTGGGCCGGTCAACGCCGCAAATGATAGCGAGCTGAACGCCATGCCAAGCCTTGTGCCGACCATATTCAAATCCGGCGTGATGCTCGCAACCGTGGAAGGAACCAGACATTGCATTGCGGCGCTGATGAGACCATAAAACATGGTGAAGACATAGAGGCCCGCTACGTTCTCCACTGCAAGCCAGCAGTATGCTACGATAGTCAGGAAGAGGACGGTCGGGACCACCATGTTGAGCTGTCCCACTTTATCTGCGAAGTAAGGCGGTATTACTCGTGCCGGTACGCCAACACCGTTGACAATGATGATCAGAGATGCTGAGGAGGCGAAATCAAGCCCAACCTTCTGGACGCCGTACGATGCGAGCTACATAGGAGGTAAGTGGAAAGTGTGTAGAAAGTGAGGCCGACCAACTTACAAAGTAGAAAGTGTAGTAAATCGCCTACGGATCAATGGATGAATGGGTCAGCCGTATTCCACTCCATCACGATGGAACGTATCCAATGCTCTGCTTACCCAGATAATGAAAAACAGGCCAGCGACGAAGCAAGCGTAAACTGGATCGAGCCACGCCGCCCAGTCGATGATCGGTCCGGATTGCCGTGGTGGAAGCCGCGGACGCATGAACGCCAACACGACGGCCAGAAGACCAAGATTCAGGAAGCCAAGCACGCGAGTAGTCCAGGCGAAGCCGATCTTGGGAAGCAATTCCCTTACGATGATAGGGTAGATCATACCGCCGACCGCATTGCCGGTCGTCGCTATGCCGATAGCAAACGATCGTCTACTGGAGAAGTACGTAGCCACCAGACCCAATGACGGCGTGAAGAAGATGCCGCCACCTAGGCCAGTGAGCAGACCTTGTGTGAGCATAAGATGCCAGAATTTGGTCGAGATGCTCATTAGAAACATGCCGAGTAGCTGCAAAACGGATCCTACGATGACAGTAGGGATATAGAGGCCAGCATCCAGTAATCTGCCGCTCAAAGCGCCGATGAAGAAGGTCAACCAATTCTGCACGGTCCCGATCCAGGATATGGTTGATGGTGACTCTTGCAGGGTAATCGAGTAGTATGTTTGAAAGGTTCCATATGAATTAACCCAGCCCCAAGTGGTGAAAATGACAAGCCAGCCGCAGGCGACCATCGTCCACGCCCTGACGCCGCCGTCAGGCGGTGGTCCCGGGTCGACGATACTGCAGGTGGTGAAGGTTCTCTCCAATACATTGCTGGCTCGGCTCACTGTTCGTTTGAGTTCCAGCGATACCCGGGGAGCTGCTTTCTCGGTGCTGTGCTCAAGATCTTCCGCTTCGTGGGCGGAACTTCGCTCGATGTCGTCCACCTCATCTCGAGACGAGATACTGCAGTCACTGTGAACCATATTCTCGGCCTGCGCTTCCTTTTCCTTGGACATTGTGGGAAAGAACCAGCAAGTCAAGTGGTCCTAAACCCAGAATAGGGAATTGAAAAGAAAGTAGAGTAGCGGAAAGTACTACCAAGGTTGCATAATGGAAGAAACACTTGGGCAGGTGCGCCCTTCTACATCGGCGTAATGCTCACCGTCTTCGGACGCGCTGGCCGACCTGATGAAGGTTGATCAAAGAGCCAGTGTTGCAGTAGCGGCGCGGGCAACTGCATGACCGCAGTTTGACGGCTACCTCGTGCCGAGTCTCCATGGCAGAAGCTTCGAAGAGCACTCATCAACTTGACCATCATCGCCCGCGTCTTGTCGCAACACATCGGGTAGCTAGAGCAGACTGAGACTTACGATCAATGTGGTTGAGCTTCTCTCAGAGTCCGTAGGATTCAGGCTCGACAACAATGTCCCTCACGTTTGGTGTCCGAGGACTCAAGGAGCGTTTGTGTGGCCGGGAATAGCGGCTCCATTGAAAAGTCGGCTTGTGATTTGGTCCCCCGCTCTCATAGGTGGCAGCGGTTCAGAGGCTAACGGCTGTACAAAACACGTACTCTCCCTAGCAATAATCATGGCTCTCTGCATACGGGAGGCCTTGGGTATCAAAAAGCGCCGCAGGGAACATTGGCGGACATTCAAAACCTTCCCAAGCGCAAAATACGCTTCTAAGTCCAAGGGAGCCAGAACGCTACTGCTAGGTACGATCCGATACGAATCAGCCAAACCGCGTTACCCAGCCGTCGAGGAACGTCCAATGCCAATATACAGGGGTATCGTAAGGGGCATCCAGCATTCCCAACCACACCAGTCCCCCTCCTCACGGCCCCCATCGTCATAAGCGCACCGACCGCACTTCAAGTCCGCTGATTAAAGAACCAACTGCCCCTCTTCCCACCCGGATTTCCCTCGGGCGGCATCATTCCAGCGTGCTGTTGCGCCTGCAAGCCCGCGAACGTCGGCACCATGGGCGCCTCCGTACCGCCACCGCCTCCACGCAGCGGCTTCGCAATGCGACCGAATTGATTCCCGCCCGCGAAGGACCCATTAATGCCTGCCGTGTTGGCATTGGTTAGACCGCGTGTCGAGCCGGACTTGGCCGCTTCGAGCCGTTCTTTGACGGCCATGAGCTGGCTTTCAAATCTAAGTTCACAGTCAGCATTACTGAACGTGCGCAGAAACGGCGAGCGTGCGTACTTATGATTCGCCACCATCAACTTCTCCTGACTCTCCGCCACCAATGCCTCCAACCCGCGTATCCGCTCGCCGCGCGCTACCAACTTGCGCTCCGCAATCGCCACTTCCTTCTTCAACTGCGCGTTCTGCTCCACCAACTGCCGTTGCACAAGCGTAAGCTGTTCCAGATTCCGCTCCAGGAACGCGAGTTTCTTCGCCTGCTGCTTGCTGTTCGAGCTGCGCAGGATGCTGTTGTACTGTTCCCGCGTGCTATCGAGGCTGATCTCGAGCTCGACGACGCGCTCGCAGCGGTTCTGCAGGTCGCGCATGAGCGATTTCTTGATCGTGTCAAAGTCTGTGAGCTGTTTGCTGAGAGTGTGTGAGCCGTTTGGTGAAGTGCCGTTGATGGCTCGTTTGCGCAGGGCTTCGAGCTCGCTGCGTAGACGGGCATTCTCTTCCTGTTGCCGTGTCAGTGCGGCGCCGAGGTCTGAGCCGTCGGGTTGGGCGGCGTGGTGTGCGGCGAGGGAATCGTAGAGTTTCCGTTTCAGCTCTTCCGTGTCGGCTTCGGAAAGATTTCGCTCGAGCACGGCTTGGTAGTCCTGCTGCGCTTGAGCCAGCTTTTGCTCCAGCATCGCAGTGTCCGCTCCGCTTCCATGCTCGTTCACGCCACCGTTGATCTCGGATTGCCGCACAAAGCCTTGTACTTCCACCAAACGCTCCTTCAGCAGATGTAACTCATCCGGCGCAATGGCATCACCGCTATCTGCGATCTCCAGCAGACTGTCGACCTGCTGCAGCGTACTGCGCATATGCGCTTCATATGGGCTTATGAGCCCGTCGCCGAGATCAAAGCCAGCCATCATTTGCGCCATGCGCTCTTTCTTGAGCCGCTCCTTCTCGTCGAGCTGCGCGGAAGACTCTTTAGCGGACATCTTGGCGTCGAGAAGCTGATGCTTCACATCATCCAGCTCCGCCGTCAGCTCCGCATTAGCCTCTTTGAGCGAGTCCATAGTAATGCTGGCCTCCTTCGTCTCAAAGTTGATCTTCTCAACCTGCATCCGGAGACCCTCGGTCTCGCCCTGCAACTGCTCGTTTGTGCGCACTGTGGCCGTCTGACTTTCTCGCAGATCCTGAAGCTCCGCTCTGGCTTGCTGCAAGGCCTGCTCGGCAGCGGCCAGACTGCTCTCCTTCTCGGCCAACTGATCCTGAAGCTCGTTCTCCCGCCTCAGGAACTCTTCCTTCTCGTCCTTCTCCATCGCCAAGCTCGGCGTGCCTGCTCGCTCCAGCTCAAGTCTGCTTTCTGGTCTCGGCGTACCAGCATTGTCCTGTCCGGCCTTCAGTCTGCTGCTGGGCGTAGCAGGTCTGGGCGGCGCTTGCGCAACTGCGCGACTTATATCCTTCATGGCCGGCGTCCACTGTTCTCTTGGTACTTGCTCACCCTTACGCCAATTGCCAACCTCGCCCTCCAAAGATTGGACATACGATTCGAATGAGGTGACCTGCGATTGCGCCTTCTTGAGCAGAGCCTTGAGCTGCGCGGGCGAAAGCTCCTCATTAATTTTCGCCTTCTGCTTGATAGTCTTAGCGCGTTCGCCAAAACGCAACGTTGACATTGTTTCGGCGTCGTTGTAACTGCTAGGCGAGCAATTGATAATGAGCGTTGTCCGTGAGTTACCGCCGAGAGATTCTTGCAAAATGCGAGTGAGCTTGCTGTCGCGGTAAGGGATGTGAGAGCTCTTGCCATCCGACAGAGCATTGATGACCATGCCAAGAGCGGATAAAGACTTATTGATCTTCTTCGCTTCCTCCAGTGTCTGCCCGGAGGCGCCAGTCTTGCCAACCTTTTCCGAACCAGCCAGATCAACCAAGTACAATCGACCGGATCGCATCGAACCGGTCTCGGTGTTCTTCTGCGCAATCTCAATGACGAAGATCGAATGCGACCGTGACGATTCCTGATTCATGTTCGTCGCAGCAACGACTCGCGACTGCCCGCCGATCTGGAGCACACGATACACCTCCTCCACCGACCCCAGATACACCTCCGTCAACCCCTTCACATACACCCCCTTCTTCTGATCCTCATGTATCGGCAAGTTGTCATTCTGCGGCTGCAGCAGGTCGCGGATCTTCTCCATATAAATCTCCATATAGCTCACCCTGACGGTGAACTCCAGACTATCATCGCTACGCAAAATGCTGCTGAAGATCTGCTCCACAATCCGTGGGATAATCCCCTTGGACGCCTCATCCCCGATGTCCGCGCCCATCATGGTATACGTCTTGCCGGAACCCGTCTGCCCGTAGGCGAAGACGGTGCCATTGTAGCCGGCCAAGACATCGTCGACAGTGCTGCGGATGGAGTAGTCGAAGACGTCGTGCTGGGCGGTGTTGGTGGGGAAGACACGGTCGAAGGTGAAGGCGCCCGTATTCTCGCGCGAGGTGATGGTGCAGCTGTCATCGCTGGTGAAGTCGACGACTTGTTCGCTGCCGGCGGCCACTTCGATTTTGTTCTGGGGGCGGAAGCGGGCGACGACTTTGATGGTGTTGGCGGTGGACATGGCGGCGAGCGTGAGGAGGTGGGAGGTCTCTCCACTTGCCCTCGCACGCTGTACCACAGAGTCGTGCTCTAAAGAATCCAAGTGGAGGTGATCGGGGATTGAGACTCACGAGTGTTTACATCATGTGCTTAAGCAACGCCAGGGGACGCTTGTGCGGCACTACCCGATCTTAGTGCCACGGTCTTGCTCGCGCTGTCACATGCACTTGAGACACTTTGCACTGAAAGCATGGAGTTATTGGGAAGGAATTTGTGATTGAATCTTGGATGTGCCTAATGAGTAGTGTTCTGGGGTATAGTATTGTATTACAATGGAGTTAATGATACATGGTAGACACAAGCTAGCAACCCCCACGCTCAAGCTCAGAAGACGCCGCAACTCCATCTTGACATATTGGTACTCTTTCCAGCTCAGCCTCAAGCTGCAGAACTTATGATATCAAAATCCATCGCCCTCCCACGTAATCCAAAGTCCAACTGTCCGTATGACGAGTGTAGTCGATCGTAGATTGAATACCGTAGCCAGATAGAGCCAGGCCAGGAAGCAATCACATTAACACTCGCAGTTCTACTGCGACACCGAAGCCTCCACGGCCTGCTGGTGTGCCTCAATAGCCATCAGCTTGACTTGGGCCGCCGCGCTCTTGAAGAAGATGACGAGACGCTCGCCGCCCATGAGGTAGAGCTCAGCGACCATCAAGTGCAGGCCGATGACAGCGACAGTCGCTTGGGCGAGCACCATCTTCGCGTAGAGCTTGATCACCCGCAGACGAGCAGAGCGATCGAACGATCTCCAGGCCTGGACGAACAGCACACGGCTGCTGCCACAGACAGTCATGTCAATGTCGCCGATGATGGCTTGCTTGTCGAAGGGAACGATGGTCTCCTGGTCTTCCGGCAGGAGGGTGGCTTCAATGCGTGTCAGGGTGGCAGCGGCGGGGAGCAGGACTGCAACAGCGACGAAGAGAGCGGTAGCCGGGACCGCGAGGAAGCGGAGCGCCAAAGAAATGTTCTCCCCACACTCGCCATGCTTCATCTGGTGCATGGCAGCCGCATGATCGAAGTCGCGCGGGAGGAGTACAAAGGCAACAGCGACTGGGAGGAGGAAGGTTGCCTGTTGCGCCACAGCCAAGCACAGAGTCGGCAGGAAGAGGACCCTGCATTGCTTACGAGGCACAACGCGTTGCCACCAGGACTTCGTAGTAGGGCCAGAGATCATCGTGTGCGTCCAGACCATGTGGACGCGCATAAGGCCGATGGAGACGATGATGTAGGCGGGGATGTGGGCAGCGAAGCCGCCGAACATCGCGGCCAGGAAGTTCGAAAGAGCAGCGTGGAGGAAGTGGTAGAAGATGCTAAGTCCCAGACCTCTCCATCGTGCTGAAAAGCCGCCGACGCGCTGGAGCAAGCCGATGGTGTTGGTGATCTTGCTTGTGATGGGCTTGTGGCTAATGACGGTGACCTCGACGTCCACGTCCTCGTCGAGCGGCTTCTTCTCCAACGGTGCATCTGCCTCTTCGGCATAGGCTGGAGGCTGTTCGTCGGAGTACGCTGGCGGCTTCGGCTCGATGATGGCGGTGGAAGAGGGAGACTCGATCATGGCGAGGCTGGCCATGACCTCGCCGACGGTGTAGCGGATCGATGCGATCAGGAGGAGGGTCACAATGACCGTGATGACGACCGGGAGAAACTCCATCGGAGAGACTTCCTGGCCCGTTTGCTCGTACAGTTCGGCATCGTGCTGTAGCTGCGCCATTTGCTCGTGGCTTGGCTGGGTGAAGTGGCGATGTGCGGCTTCAACGCCACGGCGGACGACATGGTGGACGATGGCAGACATGGCGACGATGTCTGTGAGAAGGGACTGGAAAGTGGATGTAAGGAGAAGATGAAGTGGAGGTGGCAGAGGAGAGATGGTGTTGGAGGCAGCAGCTTTGTTCATCCACGCAACAAGCGCTGCTGCTCAGCCACTCCCGATAAAGCATGACGAGGCAGTCCAAAGTAGCTTAGCTTACACTCTACCGAAGGATCCGGGGTCACGTGAAAGCATCGGAGTCCTCGAGCTCGTTTACGCCGACTGGGCCCCACGCAACTGTTTGCTAAGCCCGCCCAAACTCTCCTCCGTGACGCAGGCCACCACCTACCGAAGTCCAGACAAACAGACACACATGTACCAGCCTAAGGAACAATACTCTATTCGATCCCACCCACACCCTGAGTCGACCAACTTGGGAATACATGGACAGTCAGCAATAGCTACAACGAGACCACTCAGCGGTAAGATAGAGTTTGTTTGGCAGGCAAGCGGGCAGGCACGAGGGAAAGCGCACCGTTGGAACCTTCTTCGCGATACCGATACCTCCGCTGGGTGTGAGGGCGGTATTAAGGTTGCAAGGGGGCGTCGCATAACGTTCACACAATCTTCCGCGAACGAACACACGTCGGCGTAGTTAAGCAACAAACAGTGAACTTGCGCGAATCACCAGTACAGGGCTGTGGCAGCCTCGACCGCTCACTGCCAGCTTCTCCCGCTTAGTAGTCTACCTCCACATCCTCCAAACGCGGCGGCAGCGAGATCAATACAATGTCGCGATCACGCCGCCTCCAACGCGCGGAAAGCGTGTCCAGCACATCCTCCTCCTCGACCTCGCCTGAGCGGGACCCGGACGACGACGACAATGACTCCTTCATGCTGCAGGCCAACGACTCGGCTTCTTCCCTCGGCGTCGAGATGGCTTCGGACGACTCGCACGATGCCGCCGCGCGTCAGGCGTATGAAGAGCGATGTCGTGTGTCGCCCGTCGCAAGGCTGCCGGCGGAGCTGCTCATCAGCATCTTCGCACGCCTGAGCGCGAGCAGTGACCTCATGTCATGTATGCTGGTAAGCAAGGAGTGGGCTCGGAATAGTGTAGGGTTGCTGTGGCACAGGCCGGCGATGAACAAGTGGGACTGCATTCAGTCGGTGGTGCGGTCGATACGGAAGGCGGACAAGTTCTTCGCGTACCAAGACCTGGTGAAGAGGTTGAATATGTCGACGTTAGCCTCGCAAGTCAGTGATGGTTGTCTCATCGGCATGGTGGACTGCAAGCGAGTCGAGCGTTTGACCTTGACCAATTGCAGCAAGTTGACGGACATCTCCATCCAACCGCTGGTCGAAGGCAACAGGAGTCTGCTAGCTTTGGACGTGACCGGGCTGGATCAGCTCACGGACAGGACTATGATGACTGTGGCAGATCATTGCCTACGCTTGCAAGGACTCAACGTAACTGGTTGCAAAAAGCTCACAGACGCCTCGATTGCGCAGGTTGCGAAAAGCTGCCGGCACGTCAAGCGGTTGAAGTTCAATGGGTGCGCACAGCTTACCGACACCGCTCTCATGACCGTCGCAGCACATAGTACACATCTATTGGAGATCGATCTTCACGCGCTGCACAACATTGAGAGTCCCGCAATCACTGCCTTGTTGACCTCCTGTCAGCATCTCAGAGAGGTCAGACTCGCACACTGCATGCGCATCAACGACCGCGCATTCTTAGACATCCCAAGCAACCCCGACAACCCTACTACTCTTGAGGCACTCCGGATACTGGATCTAACAGACTGCAGCGAGCTCGGTGACAAGGGTGTCGAAAGAATAATTGAGACGTGCCCGCGGCTGCGCAACCTCATTCTCGCCAAGTGCCGCCACATTACCGATCGCGCTGTGCTCGCCATCGCGAAGCTTGGCAAGAATCTGCACTACATTCACCTCGGCCACTGCCAGCGCATAACAGACTTCAGCGTGGAGGCGCTTGCGAAGTCATGCAATCGCATCCGCTACATCGACCTGGCGTGCTGCAGCAACCTCACGGACCACAGTATCACGAAGTTGGCGGGTTTGCCGAAGCTGAAGCGCATCGGTCTAGTGAAGTGCGCGGGGATCACGGATTTGAGCATCCATGCGCTTGCGATGGGAGAGGTGAGGAACGGCAAACGCACGAATGGACCCAGTGGGAGCGTGTTGGAGCGTGTGCATCTGAGCTATTGCACGCTGCTCACTCTGGACGTAAGTTAGGGCCGCTTTTGGCATGTATGCCGCACTCCGCTAACAAGGCTCGCAGGGCATCTATGTCTTGCTCAACAACTGCCCGAAGCTCACACACCTTTCTTTGACCGGTGTGCAAGCCTTCCTGCGCGACGAGTTACTGATCTTCTGCCGCGAAGCACCGCCGGAGTTTAACGACCATCAGCGGGAACTATTCTGCGTCTTCTCCGGCAGCGGCGTGGGCCGGCTGCGCGAATACCTCAACCAGGAGAAGAACCACGCCTTGAACGCACTCGCGAGCCGAGGCGACAACGATAGCATGACACCCAGCATGGCGGGCGAGGGTGAAGACGTCGACGTCATCGACGTGTACGGCGGCGACGCAGGCGACGGGATCGACGGCGATGGCACGGGCGCGGATAGCGATGGTAGTAACACGCCCGTCATCGCCCTCGACGTGCATGGTGACCACCGTCCCGGCGCCACGCCCATCATGGGCGGTCCGCCTCTCATGGGCGCCGCGGGATCAAGCGCATCTGGCATGCTCTTCCCCGGCTCGCACTACCCTCCTTGGCCGCCTCTGCACCACCACCACCACCACCATGATCATCACTCCAGCCACGTATCGCAAGCTTTCGGCGGTCCATCATCGTCAGCCTCGGCTGCGCATCTCAGTCAGAGCGCGCCAGCATCTACGTCGGGCCTTCACGGCCATTGGGGGAGTCTGCCGCCGATGTTTTTCAACTCGCCAGTGGCGGCCCACACGGGTCAGGGTGTTGTGGCGGCCCAGCATGTTACGAGTATGATGGGCGCGACGATGTTGGATGATGTTGATGAGGGGGATGAGGCGTTTGGGGAGGGGAGCGAGATGATGGGGGATTAGAGCGATGCTTCGTTTCGCTGCCGTTTATACCTGGGTGCAAGCACGGACTTACTTGACTTGCTAGACTCGCTGTGGGCGGGGAGAGTGGTTTGATGCGATTCGCGACGATTTATCTCGCTTGCGGTGGGATGCAAACACTGGGCGTTTATTCCTGTCATTGCTGGCGACGCGTGAACCTTGCGGCCGGCTAAGATATGGTGGGTCACTTGGCGTTTCTTGACAAAGGGAGATGGGCAGCTCTACGAGCGTTCAGAGCGGTTTAATGAGTTATGCTAGCGACGATATCCAATTCAACTCGGTTTACCTTAAACGTTCATCGCGCGTCCACGGTATGTATGTCATTGCTGAGCCAAGAAGCCAGCCACACCTCATACTGCGTTAGAGTGAACCTTGTGACACCAACAACCTGGTTCGCTGGCCGACCGCGCTCCGATCTGCGTATGATGTGGACAGCCGGTTCTGGACCACGTGTGGCTACCGCTACGTCACAGGCGACCATTGTTGATCGCCAACCGCGGGACTGGTTGGAGGTCATAAACAGGGCGCGTTTCCTTCTTTCGGACAGTAGTTATAGCTATCTACTCGTACATTGCGTTGTGAGTCTTGAAACGATCCATTTCCTTTCCATTCGTACACAGTCCGGAAAAACACACCACAACTATGGCCGAACTGCAGAAGACGGTCCAAGACACCACCAACAAGGCGCAGCAGGGCGCTAGTGAAGGGACGAAGAAATGGGAGGCCATGAGCGAGGAGCAGAAGAAGCACACCTTTGACAACCTCCCAGCGGAGCAGAAGAAGGGGAAGACGTATGTGGAATGGATCCAGGAGGGGTACCACCACCAGTACGAGAACTGGATGCCGTGGATCGAGGATCTGTACCTCAAGTGGTTCACGAAGGACAATAAGGCGAGTTATGCTACGAAAGGTATGATCCGACACCTCGTTGACGATAGTACCGTGTATGTTACTGTGGTACTGACAGCGAACGACAGATTCCCTCGACAAGACCAAAGTCACCGGCATCGAACAAGTAGACACGCTGCAAGACGGCGTCAACAACCTCGTTGGCGGCCAAGTCGGTAAGGGTGGGCTTTTACAACCCGTAGGCGACGTCATGTCGACCGAGGGCATCAACCGGGCCGAGCGCGGTGGCAAGGACGAGAAGGGCACGTACACCGGCCCCGCATCGTCGTACACCGACCCCGTGGTCAGGAACGCTCAGTCTGCGAGCGAGGGTGTTGCGAGTGGTGCTCAGAGCGCTGGCAACACGGCGTGGAGCGGCGTGCAGAGTGCGGGTGGCGCGATCGGTGGGATGTTTGGGGGTGGGAAGAAGTAGGACGGCGGATTCCAGCCACGAATGCCTCTTTAGAGGCACACGGCCGTACTCCAGACTGGTGGTGTAAGGGTGGACGTCTTGACTTTAGCGCCTAATGATACCTATGCTTCGTCCAACGTATGCAGTTGAGTCATGTTTGAGTAGTCATTTCCATCACAAGACCATAACGATATACAGTGTTTGGCCACCATAACACCAAAGCACGGCAAAGGTCTATTGTGGCAAGCTTGAGCGCGGTGCTGGAGCGTCTTCCATGTCAATAAGGTTCTCGTACACACGAGATGTAACATCCAATCCCGATCGCCATGCAATAACCGACTGTTAGCCGCACGATGCATGCTAGTTGCGCACAAGTGGGTATCAATGATGAAGCCGCACACATACTCCTTGACTTTTCCTTAGCCGCTGGGACGCCGTACGCACATAATAACAACAGAAATCGCTCATCCGCTTCATAACACGTCTAGTATATTCCATGTGATTGGAGACACGCCCACCTGTGCCGGACTTCTCGGGTCGGAATCAGGAGTGCTTAGCCCGCCATCCTGGCTTGCCTCTGTCTGTTGCTTGGGCACTGATAACGACAGAGCAAAAGGGTTCTTGGTGAACTCCTCCGCTCGAGGCGACATGAGCGCCTCGTCCACGCGCAGCGGTAAGCTCGATTGAATCTGTGACCGCAAGCTGTGCAGTTGCTGCTGTTCACGTAGACTTGGCGACGAGATCTTGCCGCGCAGCCTGGGCTCTGGGCTTGGCGCTAAACCGGCTGGCTGCGACGTTCGCTCATCGCTCGTAGGCTTCGATCGAGTGCGGAGAGACACTGCACGACGTGGTGCGTCTGCGTAACCCATCGATCCCATTCCCACAGATGCCAGCATAGCTGAGCGATCGAAGGTCGAAGGGGAAAAGTCGCTTGACGTAGGCGACAACAGTCCGAAAGCGTTAACAGGGTGTGCTTCCTTGCCGGGCCGTAAGGGAGTCATTGCAAATTCGGTCAATTTGGGAGAGGGTAGAGACTCCGTAGGTGTCGCAGCGTCCGACTCATCGTGCATGGGTACTGAAGACCCATGGGATTGCCCGGGTGTCATGCCGTCCGTGCCAGTCTCAACAAGCTGCAGTACCGGGACAATATGCCCAGACGGGTCCACGTAAGCCGAAGCACGCTTGACGGCGCTGAGAGCTCTCGTGCGCCGCACTGGTAACGGAGCCATGGTCTCGCTGGTGGGCCACTTCACATCAGAAGGCGCAGAAGACGGACCAGGAGTTAACGCGGGCAGCTCGTGCTGCATACCTTGGTTGGCTGGCGCAGGAGCAGCAGAAAGCGGTACGCTGTCCATGCTAGGATCTGAAGGCTGTGTAGAGAATGGACCCCGCCACTCCGTGTATGCAGAGTTGGGGGTGATGGGTGTAAGACCCCGGTTGCCGGACAATATCCCTCCGCGGGTCAAGCTTGTCCGGTACTCCTGCAACTGCATGATGAGATTCATGTTCGGCCCGATCCACCTGCTCCGGGCCTTGATTGCGTCGTACGCCTCTTGTACGCTCAGGGTGGGATCTTTATACAAGCCGTAGGCGACAACCAGGCTTGCTGACCTGCTGACACCGCACTGGCAGTGTACGAGGACACGCTTCTTTTGTTGCACTTTGTCATCGATGAGTTTGCAAAGGCGTAGGAGATCTGGCACAATGTCGCTGTTGTGCTCCCATTTGATATGAACGTACTCCGGATCTTTCTGTCTGGAAGGATAGGCTTCTGCCGGAAAGAGCCCGCTGAGTGGCGTAGCCTTTGGCGTTGTAGGTGATTGCTCGTTGTGTTCCGACTCTTGTACGGCTCTCCGCACACTGAGCTGAGCCCGCCTAGGTGCATACTGTATGCCTCCGCCTCCATCGATACGTATGTCTGGCTCCGCAGTGGTGTCACTCTCGGCTCGCTCGCCCAACGGGTTCCGGACTTCACTCGCTACGTTCATCACGACATCATACTGCCTACATTGCTCAGCCGTGGGCTCAAGGTAGAGGTCAACATATGGGTCGTAGACGCAAATCGGGCCGTCAGGGTACGCTTCCGGCTTCTCCTCGCGCGACAACGGTACGTCGAAATTCTGCTCTTCCTCCTCCTGTAGCTCCGAGCTCTTGGGCGACACAATCGGCGATAGAATGGTTTCCAATGCCAATGGGCGGCGGCTTGATCGACCGACGCCAGTCTGCGAGGCCAAGCCTGGAATTAGTGGCAGAGACGGAGAGGATTGGAAGTGCCGTAAGGTGCCGGGTCTGCTGAATGACGGTGTAGGCGGGATCGCAAGCCTGATTTCTTGCGGTGCTGGTTTGCTGCTTCCGGGAGTAAGCAATGTAAGGCCAAGGTTGCCAGGCTTCCGTTTGGGAGGTGAACGAGGCTTCACAAAGCCAGGGGAGGCAAGAGAAGCTACAGGCTCCATGCTGGGTGCTTGTAATGGTATGCTAGTAGTTGACTGCGCTCGAGGCGTATGTCTTGATGTGTTTACAGCTAAATTCTTCAGATTTCGGCCTTTGCGTGGTGGGGGTTGTTTCTGCATTTCGAAGAAAGGTGAGCCCATCTCATCCGACGTTCGCGGACGGAGCATTGATCCCGCGAAGCCGGAAGGAGGTGGTGACTCTGGCGACGATCCGGGTGAGCCCTCGGTAGCACTCGAATCGTCCACTGTTGACATTGTAGTCGTAGGTGATGAGTTGGTAGATCCAGAAACTGCTGAATCGCTGACGGTGTGCTGATGATATGTGTAGAATGTTTTATCCGCAAAACCTGCCAGGGGCATACGGCTATGCCCGTTTGACAAACTCAAGGATGGACCATCCGTTGTTTGTGCATTGGGAATAGACATCGTCATATCAGGCGTGGGATGGGCTGAGTTTGGTGGTGAAGGATGCAATCTGGCGTCCGCCGGGTAGCCGTTCATATTCTGCTGTTCCCAGAAGTCTGCATAAGATGTATAGTGAAGTTCAGCTTCGCCGGTATCGTTGGATCGCCAAGATGCAAAAAAAGAACTGGATGAGGCCATGTTAGCACGCGAAGATCAACAATCACAACTGTTCGATGCGTGCTTCGTCAAGGTGTACCATAGCAGCTTCGCCAGCCTACTGGGAGATGAGAAGCACAACATGACCATGACCTTGAACATGTACCACGCCGCAACTCCAATAGCGCTTGCGGTGGGGTTCGAGAGCAACGAGGGCGAGTACGAGCCAACCGTGGAGGTAACGATGGTACGCACTCATGCATAACATCCTCCGCAGCACGAAGTGAAAACGTACGTACCGGAATGCCCTCTCCAGGAAGGCCCGTGAGTGGGAGGATCCCTGGTTTCAATGGCGCCAACTGACACGAAGGAGGGGCGATGCGCCTATGGCGTTCTGTGGTAATGGTAAGGAACGTCGAGGAAAGCGCGCTCCAAGTATGGGTGCTTTTCTTAGCACATAGTCGCCCAGGTGGTGCAAGAAAGATCAATCGAAGTCCGGCAATGGGAGTTCAGCGGGCGGCTACTGGGGCTATGACATGCAGATTGACGCCGCACGTCTCGGCAAGGCGAAGAGCGGACCAGTTAGGAAGAGTCGAAGGTCTTTAAGAGCAAGGCGATCTGCTTTATGGCTTGCGAAGTGGTCGGGGCCGCTTGAACCAATCACGGCCGGCGCTGAAGCGCTGCAAGAAGGCGGTCACCAATCAGCGCTCTTTTTCGCCATGGGCCACTATAACAGTGCTGTGCCGCATCCATAAAGGCGGGTAAGTGCGAGATATAGTATGACATTTCAAGCTCAATTAAGGATGTGTGTCTTGAAGGGGTTGGTGGCGTAGCGGCGAGTGTTCTAAGCAGGAAAGTACACTTACTTCTCTCTCCAGTAGGCAACCCAAGCTACCTACCACACTCTCTTGCTGTCCGATTCCTGGCGAATGCCGCGCGGTGTCTCTCCGCGATCAAGAGCGTCAATCCTGGATCCGCAGGACGAGTCGTATCAGCCTCTCGAAGATGTCGACTTCTTCTTACAGCTGTGGACGAAGTGTTCGCGAAAGAGCAAACTCCAAGAACCGTGGTCCTGTCCAAACTCTCCCAGTACCAAGGGGGTCCGTATGATAGTCCTATATGCTGCTCGCCTCCCTTCCCTTGCTACTGCTCGCGTCGCCGTCTACACAAAGAGCTCAGAGCAGGTGCGTGGGCGGGGTATGTCGCTGTCAGTCTTCGCCGCGAGCTGCTGCTCAGACACTCCGGAGTCTTGCAGCGGGGTGTTAGGCCAGCCGGACGTTCTGGAAGAAGGGCAATTGTATGTGAGAGTATTCGTTGCCCGCTGCAACAAGGTTGTTGTGCGCGAAAGAGCGCAGAGATCCCAAGTCCAGCGCCAGCGCCAGCGCCGGCACGTACCGGAGACAAAGCGAACAAACTCCGCAGTCTCATCCTAAAGATAGACCTGTTTTAAAACAGAGGTGTCCGTGCGCGTTTGTCACTGGTTCCTGCAGCTGAATGGCTGTAGCAAACGGCAGCGGATTACTGCAAACGACTCGTGGCATAGTGGCACAATGCGCTCTTCAAGCAATGCAGTCAACGGTACACCTCGTACCTCGATAAACGCAGACTGCGTATCAACAATTCACGTTTGTAGGACTGACGCCACGTTACGTGCTGCGGGCTGTACCATGGGCACAGACGGTATGACAGTCCGGGCGGCCTATTTTCGAACACGCTCAGGCTAGCAATGTCGCGCCTTCAGACTAGCTAGAGCAACGACTACCAATGAGCGTCGAGCTGCATCACGTGCATCATCGGCAAATATAAGCCTGGACGAACGACGGCAATACCACGGTACTTTTGAAAACGATACATTTCCATGCGAGAGGGACGGAGGGACGGCCGTTCATGGGAGGCGCCGCGGTGCGGCCAGAACTCAGCATATCCGCAGGACCGCCCATGTTCCGTTGGACGCGTCGTAGTGGTGGCTGGTAAGGACGACGCACTCCAGCCACTGTCAGTTACTAGGTACGCCAGGCCATTTCGACTACTTTCATCGGTCGCCGTAACGGTCCAGAACTAGATTGGATCAGCACTGTTCCGTATCTAACTCATCAGTAGTCAGGTGATGTAGGACTGCCATGCCAGCTGCAACCGTCGTGGTTGCCATACCAAATGTGCTGGTAAAGACTCGGATGAGCGTACGTTGCCGTTGAGTGTCTGCACAAGCTCTCGGTATGCCTTGACAGTGTGTCTCACGCACCAAGCGACCCATCGCGTTCATTCTGTCGTCCGTAGATCGGCATGAAGTGATCGTGATCTGAGCTGTGCCTGTTTGTACATTGCGAGGGGTATAGGCCGCGGCGACTTACAAGTAAAAATGGACTAAGATGCGCAGCTGGCAGTATGTATGTGCATCATAAATGCCATCAGTTGTTCTCCATGGAATGCCGCGTCTGGGTTCAGGAGACGCCCAGACGCGCGTAAATCATGCTCAACCCGAGAAGACCCAACCACCCTTCGGATCACAGTCCGATTGCAGGCGGTCTTCCTCCGTGGTGAAGGACTGGCTGTGATGCTGGAAAGGCTGGGGCCTTGCATCTCACCGCGTTTCTCGCTGTCCAGCCGTGTCAATTGACGTTCCGAAATTATCACATGTCTTGTGTTAGAAGAGATTGGAGAGCATTGCTTGTCTTCGCAACAAGGACGTGCTGCCAAGATCTGGCCGTCCTACTGACTTCATGATAATGAACAGTTGGTGCTAGCGCATGCTGGGCGATGTTTACCCCTTACTTCCAAAAATCCATATGCAGTCGCGCCGCCTTGGCATTGTGTTACATTACGGCCTTTTCGAGGTGCAGCAGCGCCTGCCAAAAGACGACTGCAGAATTCAAGGCTTCTCGCGAGAATGTACGCCGTCCACGGTGTAGGGGTTGGTTGTCCGGAGCCCAGCTTCAACGTTGGCGTATAATGCCGAGACCGAGGGCGCCTACGGAACGCCAACGATCTCCCTGTCCGGCGCCAGTCGATGTGGCGCAACGGGTAGGAATGATCGACCAACACCGGCTCCCAGCCGTCATTTAGGAACTCAGTTCTCACGCATACAGCATGCCAGACAACATCGCTTGGGTGCTGTCAATGCTGTCAACTTGGAATTCGAGACGGAAGCAAGAATGGCCATCTCGAGGAGTGAGGTAGCACACGCAGTGTTGAATCATAGGGGGAAGATCTCCTGCAGTTTGCCATCTATGGAACCCTGCATATACACTATATGACTGTATCCACTACACTCCGGCCACTGCGGAATCTAAGACAGGCCAAGCAGAGTGTAATCTCTCAGTCAACCAAGATATTCTCCGTAGCACAACCTTCCCTTACCTCACGTTTCATCAAACCGTTTCCGTTTATGTTTCCTGTAGTCCTCACCGACCGATTGACTCGGTCGTCCTGTCGCTACCAATGCAAACATAATCATCTCACACTCTTTCAGACAATCCGTTCTCTCGTTGAAACACCAGCCCTCCACCCGCAACAAACCGTCTTCACAACATCTGAGTCGCAAAGATGCGTTGGACACTCGCTGTCGCAAGCTTGGTCATGGGAGCCTTCGCAACACCAGCACCTCTAGGCGTCGTTTTGCCTGCGGCTCCGAAGCGCTTCCAGGCCGCCTTCACCGACACACTCTGGGTCGTGCAGATGCATACCGTCTTCGCCTGCGGACCTGGCGTCTCAGGCTGCCCAGCAACAATGCCGACCCCCACCGCTTCCGGCTCCGCTAGCGACTGCGACGATGCTACACCTTCATTGAGCTCGACACTCGGCCCGCTCGTCACCATGATGGGTGTTGGCTCGGGCACCGCAATGTCATTGGTACCAATGATGACTGCATTTTCGGGCTCTGCTACGTCGTTGGTACCGGTCCCGACTTCCTTGGTTTCGACTCCCCTTGCCGCGATTTCTCCGGCATCGACTCCTCTAGCCTCGACTCCTCTAGCCTCGACTCCCCTTGTTTCGACATCCCCGGTTTCGACCCCTCTGGTCTCGATTGGGTCATCTTCCTTGCAAGCTACAAGCGTCTCCAGCTCAACGTAAGTCTCGGTCTGGGCCCCTACTAGTCGTACCAATGCTGACCGCCCAGACGCACATTACCCGCAAGCTCTTCAACCCCTACCAGGGCAGTCTCTGGCGCGGCTGCTTCGCTCAAGGTCGCCGGCTCACTTGTGGGTGCGGGTGCCCTTGTGGCCTTGTTGCTCTAGGCAAAAGTACGGCGGATTGGTCCGAAGAGCGCAATACCCAGAACCTAGTGCAGGAGGGTTAATGATAATGTACACAGCAGGCTATGGCGTCCAGGTGTTGGCAGCTAGAATATCATACTCGGACAAGCATGTATACACCATTGCCGACACGTCCGGTAAGGAAGTGCAGTCTTTCTACTATACGACCCACTGCCCGTGTTACCGCACGTTGATGCTTTTGAAAGTCTTCGTGATTCCAGTGATGGCTTCCTCGACCGGCAAGCGCTCCATGCTTGACGCTCCGAAGAATCCATGCACGCCCTGGCATCGTTCGAGCACGTACTTCGCATCCTCTGGCGCTGCTATTGGTCCTCCGTGACAGAGCACGATGATGTCCGACTTGACCTTTGTGGCCGCATCGCGGATAGCTTGGATATCTCTCACGCAGTCATCGAGGCTTTTGCCGGTCTTGGCTCCTATGGACCCGCTTGATGTCAGTCCCATGTGCGCGACAATAATGTCTGCGCCAGCTTCAGCCATTCTGGTTGCCTCGTCTGGGTTGAAAACGTAGGGGGTGGTAAGCATGTCCATCTCATGCGCCATACGCACAACGTCGACTTCGAGCTGGTAGCTCATACCACTGTCCTTACGTTAGCCTCCAGATAGCGCGCGGGTGCATCAACTCACGTCTCTTCCAGATTCGACCGGAACGTTCCATCGATGAGGCCTACAGTTGGGAAGTTCTGAACGCCAGCGAACCCAAGGTCTTTTAGCTGGCGCAGAAACCGCGACATGTCCCGGAATGGATCGGAAGCGCAGACACCAGCAATGACTGGCGTGTGCTTGACGACTGGAAGGACTTCGGCAGCCATCTCCACGACGACATCGTTCGCATTCCCATACGGCATGAGGCCGGCTAGTGAACCTCTGCCGGCCATTCGAAAGCGACCAGAGTTGTAGATTATGATGAGGTCGCCGCCTCCAGCCTCGACGAACTTCGCTGACAAACCAATGCCTAGATCCTATCAGTACACGAGCGGTCTCGGGCTTGTGAGTATTCCATACCCGCACCAGCACCAACAATGGCGTGGCCATCTTTGATCTGTTGATGGAATCCCTGCAGGATTTGCTTCCGGTCCGTTGGTGGAGACATGGGAGATTGTCAGTGAAGGGGGTGCGAACAACGTTGGTCAAGATCAATGAGCAACACTCTCGTACAGATTTAAAAAGACGTCAGAATTGTTCCGGAGGCGCTGATGGACGTTGACGCAGCCGAACCCCCGCCTCTAGGGTGGAGAGCCCCTCGCGAGCAGCATTAGAGTATGTAGCGCACCTTTATGTCAACCGAGCAGAAGTCGTTGACGAAGGTTGTACGATGCACTATGCCGCAATTTGTACTACTAGGAACATGCGACAGCAAACTCGACGAGTTACTATACTTGCGCTCTCAAATCCTGGCGAGCGGCGGCGAAAGATGTGAAGTAACATTCGTTGACGTCGGACGTTCTCCGGTCGATCACGAGCACATCACGGTCCGACAAGATATACTGACTACGAAGTATGCCCCTGGTGCTGGTGCAAAGGATGTCCAAAACTTGTCTCGTGGAGATGTGATCAAGTACATGATTGAGTGCGCTTCGAAGTGGCTAGCGGAAGCGTACCAGTTAGGCCTCAAGGATCCCAAGCAAGCCATTCATGGCATAATCAATGCTGGTGGAACCGGCGGCACTAGTCTGGCATCAGGAGTGATGCGCAACGTCCTGCCAATAGGTCTGCCAAAGCTCATCGTCTCCACCAACGCGTCAGGCGACATGCGACCAGTCGTCGGCGAGACGGACATCACTATGATGTACTCAGTGTGCGACGTAGCGGGCCTGAACTACCTTTTACGGCGGATCTTGTCGAACGCGGCAGGCGCGATCGTAGGCATGGCAAAAGCGTACGAGGGGTCTCTCGCTGCGGAGCCGAAAGGTGAAAGTCATTCGCACCAAAAACGCGTTGGACTGACCATGTTCGGCGTGACTACCCCATGTGTCGACAAGGTTCGCGAGTATCTGGAAAGCAACTACCCCATCGAGTGCTTCGTCTTCCACTGCACCGGTGCAGGCGGCAGAGCATTGGAGCGTCTCGTCTCTGAGGGCGTCTTAGAAGCAGTCCTGGACATCACCACGACCGAGATTTGCGATCAATTGTGCGGCGGCGTAATGGATGCGGGTCCTCACCGGTTAGAGGCACCACTAGAGGCCGGCATCCCGTATATCATATCGTTAGGCGCAACGGATATGGTCAATTTCGGTCCGAAGCCCACCGTTCCCGAGAAGTACAAGTCCCGCAAGCTGTTCGAACACAACCCAACTGTTACGCTGATGCGTACCACTCCGGAGGAGTGTGCTGCCATCGGCGCGTTCATTGTGGACAAAGTAAAGCAATTCGCAACCGACAAAGCGAAGGTAGAGTTAGTCCTGCCACTCGGCGGTGTCAGCATGATCGCAACCCCAGACGGGCCGTTCTATGATGCCGCAGCGGACGATGCCATCTTTTCGTCCGTCAGGAATGGTTTGAAGGGCTTCGACGTACAGCTCGTTGAAGACGCACGAACCATCAACGACGAAGGGTTTGCGGTTGATATTGCCAAACGGCTCGTTCGTTTGATGGGTCTGGACTGATGGCGCGACAATGCGACTGTGCCACTACCAACTGGCAGTACGAGGCGCGCACGTACCGTTTCGATGAATGGCGTATCACGACATCCCCTCATTGATACCGCGCTGAATCTTCACGCTGCTGGCTGTCCCCGACCGCTGACGTGGTCACTTCGCCGTCAGGAACGCTTTAGCTTCCTCCGCCGAAACCCCGTTTGTGGCGTCCTGGTCTTGGAGCAAGCCCAGCTTGTTGACACGGACCATGTACCACATCTCGCTCCGGCCATCTCCGAGTTCGCCACCGAGCAGCTTCGCCTTGATGTCTCTTAGAACTTCGTTGAAGAAACCGGCTTCATCAATCTCGGCCATGTTCTCTCGCATGACTCGAATACCTTCAATAGCCCGCCCGTACCCAGAGTTTCCGACAGAATGCTTGATCCAGTCACATATGATGTCTTTGAACTGCTTACATGCGTCGTGAACAACGTCCAGAGCCTCTTCGGTATCCTGCGCGTCGATTAGCTGCTTGAATTCCGGAATCGCGTTATCGGGATCGATCCGTCTCCGCTTGCGCTTCATATCTTTTGCTAAGAGCGCACCGACATCGAGGTCTGAAAGCGGCTTTGGAGCTTCCTTTCCACGACCGAATCGACGGCCGCGGGCCTTGGGCGGCACCTTCTTGACATCTGCGGCCTTGACCACGCGCGAGAGCGCCGACTTTGATTGCTGTACTAGTTCGGCCGGAGAGTGCGAGTACCGAACAAGGACGTCAGCAGGTGGAGGTGGTTCGCTCTCTGGGAAGACGGCACGGTGCTTAATCACTTGCTGGATGCGATGTAGCATCGGGGAGAAGGTCTCGTCCATTGGCATGTACTCTGTCGGCTCTCCTTCATCGTTTGTGCCAAAGGTGGCAAGGTCCATACTGTCGACGTAGTCGCTCATAGCAGCTTGCAGGTCTTCGTTGGGCAGATTGCGGTGAACCTTAAGCTCCTTGCCGCTCACGGTGATGATTCGGTCAAGGGGCGGAAACTTGTAGCTGCGGAGGTCCTCCGTAAAGGGCAGCTCGACATCGTAGAGGCATTCCAAGTCTGGCTCAATGCAGGGAGCCACAAGCACGATACGAGGCTCGTTGTTCTCCTTCTTCACTAAGCGGGCAACAGCGTATGACTCGAGCTCATAGAGTGCATGAATGAAGGAAGAAAGAGCCATGATCGCTTTGTCATTGCCCCTTTGCGCGATAGTAAGGGCGGCACGGGTCATGTCCATCCAGCGTTCATACTGGCTCTTGTCGACAAAGCCAATGATGTCGAAAGAAGGCACGGTCTCATACGTTGTTACATTTCGATCGCTCTCTGAAATATGCACGGCAGTACGACCGTACTCATAACCCTTGGCTAGCTCATCACGATCAATGTCGCGCTTGCCGCCAGGAGCATTCTCATCGTCGACCTGATAGCTCAATGCATTCTTGACCGCCGATAGACCCTCACTGTAACCGTTGGGCGCTGCTTCACCGTCGAGAGTTTGCGTGGCCTGCATTACTTCACTCGGTGCTAGATCGCTTCTGACGACGAACCTCGACGCAGACTGCGCAGGTGCAGTCATCGTCTTTGGATAACGCTCGACGTCGATAGAAAGCGCGGTATCGAATTCCTGAGGATTGCCAAGCGTAAGAGAGCCTTTGTATGACGGCGTCGGTCTCACAGACTTGACACGCGGAACACTAAGCTCATCGACAGCTTGAGCCAGCGTACCAAAAGTGCCGCCACAATCTTGGCATAGCTGCTTGAGGATAGCCTCGTTTTCGGCTTTGCTGGTAGGTTTATCTTCCTCCTTGAAGCCGTACTCCGGATCGTCGAAGTCAACGCCAAGGACAACAAGCTGGGTGGCGTCTTCTTTGAGTTTCTCGACAACTGCTTCCAGATCATCGGCCTGCATTGATCCCCGGGCATCGGTGATAAGTACGATCTTCCGCTCATACTTGAGCTTCTTACACGTGTTAACAATCATCTGGATTGCGATGATCAGTGCAGACATGGCATCGCCAGCATCCGTTGATGACACGACCAGCTCGCCTCGCAGTCTCCGAACCTGAGCCATAAACACTTGCCCAATGTCTTGGAAGACGGTAATGTTGGCGTACTCACTTTCACTCTCCAGGAAGTTGGAGGTACCGTCGGTCCGCAGTCCCACGACGCCGGCCATGGCAGTCTTCCGACCAGTGGCAATAGTAGCCGTAATTCGGTCCCAGACATACTCCAAGGCCCAGTCAAGGTTGGTTTGAGCCCGGCCGTGGCTTGTCTCGCCCATTGTCATGCCACAGTCCACTATGTAGACCGTCGCTTCTTTTGACGCCATGCTGTGTTTTAGTAACAGCGCCTCTGGCTGTTAATGGTGCTGCAACTACATCGTACCCACGTAGCCGGGTAAGTAGAGATTAGTTGTATGTAAGCAGCCATGGCAGGCAGCAAGCGCGTTTTAAGGCGCGGATAGCCTTAGGCCGCAATAAGCTGGACCGAGCGCCCGGCTACAGCAGTAGCGCCCCTTCGCGCCGAGGCCTGCCGTCGACCCGCACTTGGGACAGCCTTGGGGAACTCTTCCATCCCCAAAACTTCCCTCCGTCACTCATGCAACCCTCGAGCATTCGGTTACCCCGGAGTACGCCAAACGCTTCCCATAAGCACACAATACACGCCCGGAGGCCTATGGGACCAGCTCCGTAATTAATCCGAACATCATCAGCGTTAGCCTGGCCTTCCATCTTTGAAGGATGCGACGGGCGCATTGCGGGCCACGGTATGACCGATAGTATAGCACCACAGCCGCCACTCGAGCAAACAGAAGCAGATGTGTCCGAGCATGCGTCTGCTTCCATTGTCGCCAACGGACACGTGCCGACGGATAGGATATCAGCATTAACGGCGAATGCTGCACCGATCGGCTCTATCGATCCCGATAGCCGCGAGGATGGATCGCACGCTACAGTACTAGAGTCCGACAACGCTGTCACTCACAACGGCGGGAATGACGATGCTGCGTCTGAAGCGGAGACGCTTATCCAGACGCCGGTTAAAAAACGAGTAGCGGAGAGGCATGCTGGTGCGACGATGGCTGAGAAGCCGGCGAAGAGTCGCATAGGTGGCCTGCCTGTACCTGGTGATGATGACGAGGAAAGCGAGTCTGTGGCAACGCCAATGCAGAGTACCGAGCTTGGGGACGCCAAGGCCAGCAGGGACGCCAAGGACGAGCTGCCCGACGAGATGGACATGGCCAGTGATCAAGGCGAAGATGACAGTGGATCTCTGAGCTCGCCACAATCTCCTGCTTTGACTGGCGTCTCGATGGCATCTGGTCGATCGCGTGCCTTATCTGAAGAACCTGATCTTGATCGTGGGATAGAGACATCGGATAATCCTCGTAAAAGGAAGTTCCGCGCTTCGTCCGTGTCGCTGCCTAACAAACGTCAGAGCATGGATCCACCAAAGCGTCGCTTACGCGGCATGCAGTCTGATGATAATCGAACCATGCCGGAAAGGTCACCGTCTCCGAAGCCACGAAGTCACCGCCGAGCTGTATCTACGCAGTCAGCATTCATGGACGGCTCCGCCGAGATCGCTGGGAAGAAGCGCCAAACACTAGCGCACTTTCCAGTACGAGATCCGAAAGTGAAGGCTGCGTGGGAAGAGTCTGATGCTTCTTCCGAAACTACGTCCCATGGACAAGTCGATGTGAGAAGGCCGCAGCGTGGCGTTGGCAGATCAACGTCTACCCCTGGCCGTCCTACCGGACCGCACAAGCGCCACGTCAACAAATATGGCTTTACTAAGCTGGCTGAAGCATGCGAGAGTGCCGATATGGATGCCATCAAAGAATGGATGGAGAAGGATCCAGATCAATTAGAACTTGCAGAATTTGCAGGCAACAAGCCGCTGCAGATCGCAGCCTTGAACGGAAACGTGGAGGTGGTTGACTATTTGATCAAACAAGGCTGCAAAATCGACTGCGCCAACGTCGACAAAGACACTCCGCTCATTGATGCTGCCGAGAACGGCCATCTGGCAGTGGTCGAGAAGCTCTTGGACGCGGGCGTTGATCCGCTGCGTCAGAATTTGAAGGGACAGCAGGCGCTTGACGTGGTGACCGATGAGACTGAGGACGCCGATGAGATCCGAACAGCACTGCGTGAAGCTATAGAGCTTTGGAATAGTGAAGATGCGAAGCAGAAGCGTGAAGAAGAGGAGGAGCAGCGCTACAATGCTGGACCATCCAAAGAGCTTCACTTCATGGCGCGGACGTATGAAAATCTTCTCCGCCTGGTCACGATTAACGATCGTAACGGAGTCCGAGAGTTTCTCGACGCTCGCGTGCCGGTCGACAACAACATTATCGCAGCAGCGGCGAAGACTGGCGACCAGTACCTTGTGAACATGCTGTTGGCCGAGATGACTGAAAAGAAGGCTTACCAAAAGGCCGAAAAGCCGATGCTTGCCGTTCTCGGTACCAGCCATTTTGAGATGGTGCAAATGCTGACCGCGTTGGATCCATTCAACCCGATATGGAGGAGCAGATCTGGGAAGTCCTGGCCCGAGCTCGCCGATGAGAAGAATGGCCCGAACAGGGCTCGTGAGCGGGAGCTGCTGCAGAAACTGTACGACGGTCACACTCGAGCTTTAGGCCGCCGCAGCTCAAGTCCAGTCACTAAGCGTGAATATGGGAAGCGCCGGCCTATCAAGCATAACGGTAGTGAAGACGATGAGGAGGAAGATGGGGGCCACGCTATGCCTGTACGCAAGAACGGTCGAAGACTGATGTCACGAAGAGACATGCGGAAAGCACACTCCGATTACGAGTCCGAGGATGACGACTCCGCGTCTGATACTGCGGTGGCCACGGCAGATGCTCATGTTCGTCGGCATTCCATGAAACCACCCGATAGTCCGAATCAACAACACAGGATCGGTCAGCCTCGCAGGAAAAGCATGTCCTCGCAGCCGAGCGATCCTTCGCCACGAAATCGGCGACGGTCCTCTTCGCTACGTGGCCCTCAGGATCCAGCTCTCCCGACTGTGCTCGAGCGTGTCGAGGGCGTGGAACGTGTTCGTGTAATGAGGGCAGATAGAGAGATGCATGTGAAGAGACCTGAGGAGCAGCGCAATGACGAAGGTACCGCTCATGCCGAAGCAAAGCGCATTGAGGCCGAAGCAAAGAGGATAGTGGAGGAGGGTGAAGCAGAAGAAATGCGAAGGCAAGAAGAACATGAGCGCAAACAGGCCGAAGAGGCTCGCAAGGTGGCCGAAGCGGAGGAGGCGCGCAAAGCTGAAGAGGAAGCAAAGGTCGAAGCGGAGCGCCTGCGCATGGAGCTTGAGATGGAAGGTGCTAGGTCCAGCTTCCGTCGAGATGTACTTGCAACGTTGCCTGAAGAGATGTCAAGAGTGCTGGATCCGACAGCGACAATCAGACTGGAAGGACCGCAGGCGCGTCAGCACGTTTGGCGTTTGTGTACGCCGATTTACGTAGTCTCCGAGACCGATGGCGCTACCGCGGAAGATTGCTGGATCCTGAATCTGCAAGCAGCGCTTCTTCTTGGCAAGCGCGGTCTGGAGTTGCTTCTCCCGCAAGATAATCTTGGCTTTGAGCGGACTTTCTCCAGGGGCTGGGCGACAAGAAGCAATCTCTCGCAACAAGAGCAGAAGAACGTGGAATATGTGCTGAACCGTCTTGCTGTCACGAGCCGGATGCTGCGAGAAGCACAAGCGGTGGATCGCGATGGCGACAGCGGGATGACCAACGCCCAAAGCTTCCAAGCCGAGCTTGAGCAGGCGGCAGAGCGTTTGCGGGCCACCGCTTATGCCGAAAGAACCCTCAACAATGGCTTGGTGAGATTGGAGGTCGTCAGGTTGTTGGACGTCCTCGGTTCGATGGATCCACTGCTGAAGCACTGCACCTTCCAACTTCGGCTCTTGAGTCCCAGCAAACCGTCACCAGCCGTTCGCACAAGCCCTGGCGAGCCGTATCCCAGCCGACTGGATGCGTGGCGGCAACCCTTTCCCATCATCAGGGAGGTCAGAGCTGGACGGTTGGTTGAAGCACCCGAGCCAATGGCGGGCAAGACGCAGCTGTATGTTGCTCATGAGAAATGAAGAACAATTGTACCTCAGACGGATGCTGTATGTAGACTGGTCGACAAATATCAATGTACAACTCGATGCCACAGTGTTCGCAGTCTGTCGCGCTGTCGTGCAAACAGATGTTTTAAATTAGCGGCGCCATCGTGGCGTTCATGCAAGCTACGGCGGTGATGCGAGAGCAGATCTGCCTGATACAACACCCTCAGCGAGACTTGTCGACTGAGGAGGTAACACTACACCAAAATCAACCGGCATGGCACTCATACATGTATTCAGCCTTTAGCCTGTCTTACCTCTCCACGGGGTAGTGGAACTTAGAAACCTTGCAAACATGTGACTGAGGACGGCTCGGCTAGGCAGATTCGAAGATCCGTAGCCCCACTGGCTCCAACAGATCTAGATCCCCATCAAATGCTGTCTTTCCTGCCCCAGCATACCCAGCGCCGTCGCGGTCGTCGTTCGGTGTCCCAAGTGCATTGTGTGATATACCATACAGCATAGACTAGAGAATTGGGCAGCGTATCTGTTGTAGAGTCCTATGAGACTTCCGCACTCATATTGAGCTCAGGCCTGACAGCTACCCTCGTCCCAACCCACGCCTCCTCCCCCTCCGCCTCGAACTGCTGGCGGTGCATACTGTGATCCGCCGAGTCCTACACGAAGGCGTGGTGGCTAAGAAAGAGCATGACTTCGTTTGGCCCGCAAGATGGTATGTCACGTTGCAGCGCGAAGGGAAGCTGCCCTTCGCCCATGCAGGCACCCGGCAACCTCAAGTCATCTGAGACACTCACGGCATGACTGAATGCACGCATGCATGCACATACACCCGCGCATGACCGATAACTGACAGCTATATGTTGCGCACACAGGAGACAAACAAACACTTCAGCCTTCTTCTCCAGCATTCGCTGCCGCAGAGCAAACCACTCCCACCGCGAAGAGGCCGCCAATCCTTGCGATCCCGAAGATCAGATCAGCTCTCAACCTGTCTACCGGTGCAGGGAGTAGCCTACGCGCCGATGCGCCGCCTCCGAGAGCGAGGTATTCGATCGATGCGGGAACGGGTGCGGAGGCCTTTGATAGCTTGAGGTGCGTATGCGGCAATCATTGCGTTGTGGACTGAGTGGAGAAGAGTGGAGTGAAGTGAACTGGCATCGCAGCGAACCACACTCGGACATTGCTTTCACATGCGACGCGCATATATCTGTGCTGACTATCCGCTCAGATCGCCCCTTCTTTCGGCAGAGCGCGATACGGGTCTCAATCGCATACGACAGCCTCCGCCATTGTGGCAACCCTCATCTCCTAACTTGCATGCTTCCGTGCTGCCTTCATTTCCGGGAGATCCAACGGTGAGGAAACTATCGCTTACTACACTGGACACTGCACCCGCTTCACCAGATCTGCGATTTAGCGAAGACCTGACTCGCTTCCCTACCGAGTCTCTACACTCCTTCTCATTCGCTCACCAAAGTAGTGACTCGCTACACAATCGTCAGAATGTGCTGAAACGCAGCATCGAGTTCATGCGGGAAAAGCTCTCCTGGGCAGCTTCGTCGCCGCGCATTGCGAGCGCTCAAGCTCGTTTAGCCGGTGACGAGGAGCTTCTCAGCATGATGGAGCTATTGCAGAAGGCTAATGTGAGGGGCACTGGGACTCTTGACTCCGTAGGCCTAGACGCAGATGGGGGCCTAGGGCCTCTAACTGGACCTGCGCACATGGCCAGCGAGAACGTCTTCGACCGCAGCTTCTTACCCGGCACCCAGGAGCGAAGTGAGAGCCCTACACAGGTAGAGAGCGGCGAGAACGTAAGGCCAGGACAGAACCATGGAGCGCCGCTCGAGCTGGCCGTCTCTCCAATGCTGCTTGAGCCGGAGATCAAGCCTCGCCAGAGCATGGACGCTAGTATTACGAGCGATCCTGAAGCTTTGTCACTCTCGCGCATGAACACTCATGACGATGTTCCTGGTCTGTCGCCGCCGAGATCACAACGGGCTTCGCTCAAGCGGACGTACACCGATGTGGCAGGATATTCGCTGCAGCACAAGCTTACCGAAGCCATGGCTCAGCCGTACCGGACAAACTCACGCAACTCTGCCATCACGCCCACTCACGCCCCCACTTTTCCTGTGGCGCCGATTCGGGGCGCTACTCTCAATGAGCGCGCGCCTCACGGTCACCGCAACAACCAGGCACAGGCGATCTTCACCACCGAGGCCAAGTCACCATGGACTATCACCGCCGCGAATGATCTTGCGTGCCTGGTCTTTGGCGTTACACGTGCAGAGGTGCGGAAGCTCGGCATCATGGAGGTTATTAAGCCAGAGAGACGGAAATGGCTCGAAGATAAGCTGCGCAACCCTGAAGTGGGTTCAGCAGCGAGACCGAAGCCGACGCCTTATCAGAAGCCCAGTCCGACCAGCAGTCTCGCGAGCATGGGTAACGGCGTCACTGCGAAGCTGTTGAGCAAGCCGCCTGCAAGGCAGACTTACCAAAGCCGCCGAAGCAAGACAGAAAACGGTGTGCTCACGCCAACCCCTCCCACTGCAGGTATCAATCACAACAACAATAAAAGCCGAGGTGTACTATTGTGCGGTGACGTTGTCCCAATCCAGAAGCTAAACGGCAGTACCGGAAGTGCTTCGTTGTGGGTGAAAGAAAAGGGCGGCAACCTCATCTGGGTACTTGAAGAGATCGCCGAGGATGTAGCGTATGTTACCGTTGACGAGATCGGTTCAATTATCAGAGGCTCTGGCGATGTCGAGGTCATATGGGGCCTCGATCGTTTACGCCCCGGCATGGATGTGACGAGATTGATCCCTGCTTTTCCGAAACTCGCAGGCACGAATACTGGCGCTCTAGACTACGATGAAGTCGCTCGGTTACGGAGGTTCACGGCACGAACGAGCAACTCGATCTCGATCCCAATCACGATTGATCAGCTCTCAGGCCAAAGCACGTTCCGTGTATCCAGCTTCCCGCATATTGCCGGGATTATTGTGGTAAATCCCAACACTATGCGCGTAAGCAGTTCGAACAACGTCTTCTCGGCTGCGCTCTTCGGATACGCCAGCCCAGATGGCATGCTTATCACGGAACTCATACCTGGCTTTGACAAGATACTCCACCTCATGACAGATGAGGACAAGATTGCCTTGGTAGACGGCATCGTCATACCCGAGCACAGCTTTCGTAGAGCGAGAAGCTTGCTTGCCCTCAGAGAAGGTAGTGCAGACGCAGCCGCCATCTTTCTCCGACCGTCAGGCCTGCCTGCCCGGCACCGTGACGGGCAAGAGATCATGATTGACGTCCAGATGCGGGTTGTCAAGTCTGACCGTGACCCGATCTACAATGAGCATGTGATTGAGGAAGAGAACGCAGGTTCTTACCTCAGTGTCGGTAGTGAGGCGGTGTATGCGCTTTGGATTACGTACAGCCGGCAATTGCACGCCGTTAATCACGGAATTGGGCCTGTGACACCACTTGTGAGCCGACCAGGCACGCCACCCCATCAGCCGCCCCCCGGAGGCACTCATGCTGTGGACGAGGCGATGCCGACTCCGATGGTCGTCACCGAGCATGGAGACGATGAGATGAGGATACAGATGCTGACGCGGCAATTGGAAGAGGCCAAGGCTGCAGAGGCTGTGAACTCGAGCGAAGGCGAACCATTTGAGCATCCAGCACCGGATATGCTCGAGACCGGCGTCAAGCTCATCAAGAAAAAGCGCATCGACGACTTCGCCATCCTTGAGGAGATGGGCCAGGGCGCGTATGGGCAGGTAAAGTTGGCGAGATACAAGAAAATCGCAGCCAAGAAGATGGTGATAAAGTACGTCACGAAACGACGTATCCTCGTCGACACCTGGCACCGCGATCGTCGACTCGGTACTGTGCCGCTCGAGATCCACGTCTTGGACTATCTCCGCCGTGAAGGAATGGTGCATCCCAATATTGTTGAGATGGCAGATTTCTTCGAGGATGACATCAACTACTACATCGAGATGGTCCCGCATGGACTGCCGGGTATGGATCTGTTTGACTATATCGAGCTACGTGTGACAATGGATGAGCGGGAGTGCCGAAAGATCTTCAAGCAAGTCGCCGAGGCGATCCGACATCTGCACGTCAAGGCCAAGGTCGTACACCGTGATATCAAGGACGAGAACGTGGTCCTTGACGGTGAGGGAAAGGTCAAACTCGTAGACTTCGGGAGCGCAGCGTACATCAAAAGCGGACCCTTTGACGTGTTCGTAGGCACGATCGGTACGCTTTGCACCGTGTTGACTGTGTTTTGAGGGTCTCTTACTGATGCTTCGCAGATTACGCAGCGCCCGAAGTACTACGTGGGGCCCCTTACCGCGGCAAAGAGCAGGATGTCTGGGCTCTTGGCATCCTACTCTACACGTTGGTCTACAAGGAGAATCCTTTCTACTCGATTGACGAGATAATGGATCACGACCTGCGAGTGCCATACGTGATGAGCGAGGAGTGCATTGACCTTATCCGCAAGATGCTGGATCGTGATGTGGAAAGACGAATTGGCATACAAGCCGTGCTTGAACATGACTGGTTTCTGGTGGCCGACGAAGAGGCAGTCGATGACTGACGGGCCACAGTGAAGGAGCGCTTAAAGAGCCAGTACGTCCGCTCTGGTGGGCTCGTGTCCGTCTCTCGAGATGCATTACGATGGAGGGAAAATGTCGTTGTGATACCCATGCGCAGTGAGAGCACGAGGGCAAAAGCATTGTTATCATTGACCGCTGGAGTCGAAACCAGCGCCAGCTAGCACGTTTGCTTGCCTCTCTGCGCCCGCAAGTGAAGCGTCTTGGCCTGCTTTTGTACATACTGCGTTCAATCACGCACTCCAGGTGCCCCAATCCATTGCTGTGAATTGTATCACGAGCTGAAGCGTTGCCGTGACCTCGATGCCCGACATTTGAGTATATCTGGAAGCGACCATCATCCAGCGTCTCTGGTGGCTTCCCGTCTTTGTAGGATCAGAGTGACGATCGTCTGACCGGTCTGTCCGCCAAAGGTATACGTAGGATAGCGTGCTTCGGCATAGTACGACAACTCACCTTCTGCCGGCGCAAGCCATTCAAGCAGCTCTGGTTTGGTCCAGTTGCAAGAAGTGATTGCTAAGAAGCCACCAGGCTTGACGAGCTGCTCAACGTTCCTACGATATTGATCGCAAGGATGCATCGGTCCGCCTGTTTCAGTCATCAACGAGATCGCATCGAATGTGCCCTTGTCAAGCACAACGTCAAAGCCGTGTTCCAACCAGTCTCCGGAATCGTCGTTCAGTAAGTCCCAGACTTCGAAGCGTATATTTTCACAGTGCTTCTGAGTGGCAAGCTTGGAGGCAAGCTCGATGCTCGTTTCGCTGTAGTCAATACCCACCATCTCGCCGGACCAAAACTGGCCATCGTCATCCTCCTCGCGGAGAGTGAAGAGTAGGTGACCGTTGCCAGTGCCTAGGTCCAAGAATCTCGAGGCAGCAAGGTCCCCAGTAGGATGATGTCGGAGCATTCCATCTGTCTCGAGGCGGTTCAGCTGCCTCAGAATAGCTTCTTCAGCACCGCTTTCGCTGAACCATACAGTTCCTTCATCGTCCTCGTCCGCGTCGTGGTTGCGAATTTCATCGGAATACGCCTTGTCCCAGCTGTATAAGCGGTCAGCCACATCGAGGACCTCCGATGTCAGGCTTTGAGCTTGAGGCTGTGTGCTGTCTTACATACTACTCCTTCGTGCCCAGCTCGCTAGGGTCGAGCAGCTTGCGCCTCACTGCAGTCGGCGGTGGCGGTAACGGCTCGCTCGTTGGGGAAGCCAACTGCCTGGCAGACGACTTCATGACCCATACGAGGATTAAACTGGAAACGCATAGAGCTCACAGCGAGAGTAAAACAGATTTCATTGAACTAGCTGTTGTCTGCAGAGATTGGGATGCTAGTTGAACAGTAGCGATCGGACCTCCTTCCGAAGTTGAGCCACTCGATCCCGTTACCTGCGCGAGCTACCACTATTAACCTCAGTATATCTTTGCAATTCTCTATCCAGTCCTTACGATGCAGGTCATGACCATCTATGAGCACAAACTTCGGAATGATCATACGGCAAGAGCATCGTTCTCATACCCTGACTTCTACAGTGACACAGGCGAACTCTTCATCAACGACCAGCCAGATCGAGTTGTGGAGAGTTGCCTGTCTTACTTGCTCCAGCACATCTCAAACAGTATAAGCACTCTAGCAGTGCGGATGAAGAAGGAACAATAGTTACTCGCACCGCCTCGAAACAAGCACATCGGTTCGCCTGCGTGGAAGGCTAGCGAATCTGTGACACAGCAGGTCTAGCCAGGGACGGCAATTGCTCACTTTTGCGCTGCCCATCTAGGCGTTGCGTCAAACCGTTCAAGAACGTCATCTTGTTGCGTCGAAGCGCAGATCCACCGCTACCTTAATCTATGAGCTGACCGCGACATCTTCGCCATGCGCAATACACAATTGGCACGAGCCAGGCGCCGACTGCGGCGGATGTCATCCAAGAATACTCGGTCGCGGGTGATGTAGCCCACAGCAATCGACGGTCTGGTCAAGCTGTTCGAGCACGCAATGGTAGAGTGACGGTATCGCTTACCTTCGGAAGTGTATATGGGTTCGGTAGCATCCTGCCTCGAGGATGACGCATACTGGATCCTTGGATGGCCTGGCCTTACGTGTTCGACATTGACGCAGCGACTCTGGATCCTAGTGCCTTTCGACCTCGATCTGAACGGCCAACTCTTATGCTCGTGCATGAAGCCTTCCACACACCAGCACATCTAAACAAGCTCACCGAGGAGTTGAGAGCCATGAGCCTGAAAGTCCTGTGCCCGCAATTACCTTCTTCGATGGATGCACAAGAGCCGCAGGGATTGGAATCAGATGCTGCAGCATTGTTCGACTGTGCTCGATCGGAGATCGAGACCAGTACCAACGTTGTAGTGGTGATGTTCGGCTACGGCGCAATTCCGGGCGTTGTAGCAGCCCAGCGGCTGAACCAGCATTCTCTGGACGTACCGTATGCGGGCGAGGTGACAAAGCTGGTCTACGTATCTGGCATGGTGCTGCAGCAGGCAGAGTCGTTCATGACTACCTTGCGACCGCCTTGGGTGATGCCAGCAGTACGTTTGCGGCAGCAGCCAAATAAGATGTCTTGCTGATAAACGTAGGATGACGATACGTGTTCTGTATCGATGCCTGGGCAGATCTTCTATCAGGATTGCTCTTTGGAGAGTGCACGTGAAGCTGCAGAATGCCTGCGTCCGCAGAGCATGTCGAGTCTACAAAGCGTCGCGAGCGATACTGGTCAGCCAGACGTACCTTCACTATACATTTTGTGCGAGCTCGACCGCGCAATACCCGCAGGTATACAGCGGGGTTTCGTTAGGGTGCTTCAGGAGCAAAAAGAACAAGCCGACGTCATGTCACTACAAACAGGACACTCCCCATTCCTGTCCAGGCCTCGGGAGACGGCAAGAATCATCACGAACTTCTCACTCGCCTGAGCAAGCACCGCTTTTCGGGCTCTTGGTGTCAGCCGCCAGAGATTTGGCTAGGGTTTCCACGGATTCAGCATTCTCGTTGCCTTCCGTATCGGACGTGTAGCATGGGAGCCAGTTGATAGACACTAACACCACCCGAAATAGTGAGCTAATAAACTCTTAGCAACCCAGGACATGAGCTTCTGCAAACATGGTGTGACTTCGCGCCCATGGACGTTTGGTGGTAGACGGGGTCGGTGATGGAAGCGTGCACCTGTGGATATCGTCCCTTTCCCAGTGCACTACCTTCCGTCTCGCAAGAGCTGAGATACGGGCCTACGCATGCGGCGTCGAGGTCCAAGGTAGAACGGCCATTGCGGGTGCCGCGCATGGTCGACGTGTTAAGGTTCCGATCTCAGCCTGTACTCTAGGCCTCCCCGACGCGTCTCTTGGCGCACCACCCAATGAAGAGCCCAACGTCTTTGATAACCGCACCCGGCACGCCCATCTTCTGCGCCCACATTGGCAGTATGCCCTTGGCATCGCTTGCGGTCGCCATCTGCCATTTGACCTTTGCACCACCATCGATGAGTTGACCATGCTCAATGCTGACATAAATGCCGCTCTGCAGTTTGCTGCTTTTGGTGTTATACTTTGCGCCTGCCATGCCCGCAGTATCCACGGGTATTTGCACGACGATTATCTCTTCGGCCTGCTTGGCCGTCACAACGAGGACAGAAAACACACGATCGTTAAGTGGAGGTGGGATATGATGTACCATCTCCATGATGCTCATGCTTACATCTGCCCAAGCGTCCACTTTGCGATTGGATCGCTCAATCGCACTATCCCAATCGAGCACTTTGTGTGCGTCTTGAACGTCAGGTGTATATTCCATCTCGTGCTTGCTGTGATCTGCTCGTAGGCCCTGATCGAACTCTTCCCAGCTTGCCGTGCCTTCTTTGGCAGCGCTCTCATGGATGCTAACTCTGGCGAACCAACTTTCTGCCGTCGCACCTGAACCGGCGGATCGTACCTCCTTTGGGATGTCGGCAGCATTGATTTCGTGTGAGAGTAGCTCTACCGGCGCTATTGACGGTAGAGACTGCTTGTCAGTGCTTTTCGTCTTGAATCTTGCCGGCAGGTAGGCGGTCATGAAGCTCTCGGCTTCATTGAGGACAGCCAACAGGAAAGAGCCAAGCTCAGGAGGCGTCCCTGAGCTCTGCTGAGGTGCAATATCGGCGTGAGTAGGTAGCTCTGAAGCGTTCAACACCCTCAGGCGCACAAGCGTCCCTAGAGCTTGAGGAGATTGCGCATGCGGTTGAGCGGCGGTCGCACTAGGAGCAGCCATCGTCGCTAGACTCTCTTAGACGCTCCGGACTGTACCATCAGATGTGGCATGGTAGAGGAAGCTTCGCTCGACATTCGTGCAATGCACTGCAGCACTACGTCATTTCCATCAATCCGACCTCGGAAGACATGGACACCAGTCCATGCCCGCTGTTGGTCAGGCAAAGTGCCCAGCATCGTGCGCCATACATCTCACCTTCGTGCATAGGATGTAGCGCATTCAGCCTTTGAGAAAAGTCATGGCTAGAGCAATCACCAAGATCACCAACAAGGCCGAGCACGATGCCGTGGTAGCTGAGGCTGAAAGAACGACTCCAACAGTCATCGCTGTCATAAACAGCGCAACCCCACGCTGCAAGGCTTTTCTTCCGGCCTTCGAAGGCGTCGCAGCGGACCATGGCCACCGACGACTCAAGTTTGCGACCATGGACTTCAACAACGACACATCGTACATGTTCAAATTCGCGCCGAACCAGCTTCCAGTGGTCGTGTTTCTGCGTTCGAAATGGTGTCGATCGATTATGGGTGCGAGCTCACAGGAACTGAGTGAAGGTATGCAAGAGCTTTTGGCGGGCACTGATGAAATGGCGCCGTCAGAACTGGGTCCGCGCGGTGAAGTGTCTGTTGCGCTGCGGGAGAAGCGCGATCTTCAGCTAGCCACGTAGCCACGCTGGCCAATGTTGCAAAACGGTGATTGCGAGCTGAGTGTCGGCGTAAGGGCCAATATAATTGAACCTTGCCGCTTCATCCCATACCGCGTACTCGAAGTAGCCGTTCGTCGGAGTTGGCGGCCGGTGGTTGATAGCCTAGGAGCTCAGAAAGCGCCGCATGCATGGGTACAGCTGCCGACGCCATCAAGAAGGTTTGATGGCTCCTTGAGTGCAAACGCACTTCGGATGCATAGCGGCAGGTCTGACGATGAAGCCTTGCAGTGTTGAATGATGCTAGGTGTCAACATACCCTCTCTACTTCCGGCCTTCGACCATGACGATGTGGTAGCCCTCGCTAGTCTTGCACTCCGCCCATTTGGGGTTCGCCGTTGTTGAAGGCTGCAGGTCGAACGCTACTGCCTCGAACTCTGGCATTAGGGCTCCTTTGGTTTTCCAGCCTAGTAATCCGCCTTCATGATGGTCGGTTAGGTAAGGTCGCATAATTACTACCGAGTCCAGCACGTACCTTGACGAGCCTTGTCCTCGGAAAATTCCCTCGCTATCTCGTCAAACTTTGCTCCGCCTAAAGCTCGAGTGGTCGAAAGTTAGCTATTCCTGATACAAGTGAAACAGTACAGACTTAGCTCTACTCACCATTGAGCTTTGCGAGTGCCTCTTCTTTCTTCGCGTGCTTCTCGCAGAGGATGTGCCGGACATTGATGGTCTGAGCACCCTTCTGCTTGCCTCCGGCTTGCTCTGCGCCAGCATCCTTACTCTTTCCGCCCTTATCGGCGCTCTTACCCTTGGGTGGCATGGTTATATCTTACTGGGCAAGTGGATGGTTCCCGAGCGTGGCAAGCTACATCATTTCAAATTTGATGCTTAGGCTGAAAGCACAATAGGATAACACAGCCTGCGGCAGTGACTTTCGACACTGACCCTCGCCCCTCGCCATCACGTCGCTTGTGAACGTCCCAGCTTGTTCGGTCCTCAACAGTACATGTATGCTCTATGCTGTACGTAGTCCTTCTGCGGAATCTGGACCCCAAAGTACAGCAAACATGCTTGAGAACAGGTTGATTTCTGGCAACAAATGCCCAGCAGTGTCAGCAGCTACATGATCGTCAAGCAATGCATGCACACACGCATATCATTGGCCACAGTCGCACGGCGCAGCCTTGCGACTGTGGCAACATGCATACTAAGGTAGGTTCACAAATCCCTAACGCCCATCGGCTCTGTACGTGTACAAAGCAAGATGCTCCACTTAACGCCGGAGCCATATCAATGAACTTGTCGTATGCTGGACCACCTCCGCTCGGCACATTCTCTGATATAGTCGCAAATGGACATTGGTTCCAGAGTACTATCTCTTCGATTCGGGGCACAATACGATGACGAGTCATTCGACGACAGTAGCGAGAGTAATGTCGGTGACAAAACTGGGAAGATTCATGCCGCCAGCCAAGAGTCTCCCTCTGGTGGCAAGATTGTGACCGACCTTGACTTCCTGTGCAACCGCGAAAACATGTACAGATATCCTCGCATCGATGCAGAACGCCAGGTGCGCCTTGTACGGATTCTGCCCAACAGCTTGGACTCCGGCGAGACTCAGGCAGAGTATCATGTCATCGATACCGAACGACTAGCCGAGACGAGCTTCGCTGCATTATCTTACACATAGGGTCTCGCATCCTGTGAAGCTGATGTCCAGCGCGTACGACTGGACGGGCAGGCTTTCTGCGTCCGTAACAATCTCGGCGACTTCCTGCGAGCGTTCTCAGTATGCGACGACTTTGGACTGCTGTACATTGACGCAATCTGCATTAACCAGGGAGACCTCGCTGAGAAGAGCAGCCAGGTACGTCTGCAGTCAACGATATACTCTCAAGCGACGCGCGTCCTGTGCTGGCTAGGAGTACCTACAGATACGAGTGAGATTGTGGAAGAGGGACTTCATAGGCTTGCGCGGAGTAAAGACTGGTCTAGCGATGACACTGGAGATGACGCTTCGGTCAGTGCCGCATTGGAGTACATCGCGGGAAGACCGTACTGGAGAAGGACGTGGATTGTTCAGGAGTTTCTTCTTGCTCGGTCGGCACAGCTCCTCTGTGGCAAGCATAGCTTCACCTGGCCTCAAATTGCCGCATTGAAGCCCCAGACGCTGCCCTACCATCAACTAGCGCTGATTGACGACGAAACTGGCTTCAATCTTCGGAATGTCTTCATTCGCGGTCGGCATGTTGTCAGACCCGCATCAACCTTCTTACGACTCGTCGAACACAAAAGCAATCTTCATATGCCACGACAGCGTTGGGAGACCGACGCAGGTTTTCTCAGGCCTACGAGTGACACGTTTCCACCCTTGGCGTTCATTCCTGCATACGTTGCGCTCAGCGCGTTCAACGATCAGTTGTGCCTCAATCCCCGCGACAAGCTGTATGGTCTGCTGGGGGTCATCGAGGCAGACATACGCGCTTCAATCCTACCAGAATACACTTTACCCACGACCGAGACGTACAGATCCGCGTTCAAAGCGTGTATCAAATCTCTACAGACGCATTACCACAGCAGGATTGGAACGCACGAAATCAAAGCTTTTGGTCTAATAGCCGCCAGACTCCATTTAGCCTTTGGTCCCGACGAGAAAGATATTAGCAGCATACGCAAAGAAACTGTCACAGATGAGAGGCTACTAAGATGGGTAGAGCAAAGACCACTAGGAGCTGCATGCCCCAGCAACGGCGAGTGTCCTCTTCCGGCGATGGCTCACGAGTGTGCTGTCCACCGCCAAGGGCTCGAGGAGTTCCGGGCGATGTGGACAGAGATTCTGGGGGCCTGCGAATCTTCCAAAGCACTTGAGGATAGACTAGAGCTTGTCCCGGATTTCCCCGAGCCTGAGTTTGACAGCGCCGACCTCCCCTTCCGCTACAGGCATAACGAGCGCGACACACGATTTGCATACGGGGTCTACAAACACAAGCTCGCAACCTCTGGTTTTCTACGTGAGACGGAGCTACTTGGGCTGCGGAATGATCACTTGCTAACAAGTCATGACATATGCTTCTGCCTGACTTTCACGACCGTGATCTGCGAATGGGCAGATGAGTCTCCAATACTCGGCCGGGCACAAGGTCCTTACGGAAGCTACTATGTTGACTTGGCCAGTGACTCTAAACCTTGTTTAAAAGTGCATGATGCTTTACCACATCCCCACGAAGCATCCTGCGATAATTGTCGAAAGAGGATTGTTGCAGTCCGCTGGCGCTGCATCGACTGCGCAGACTTCGACCTCTGTCATCAATGCTACAAATCTTCAGCTGCTTCACACCCTGACACTCACAGTTTGGAGCCAATATACCATGCAGCTTCCATCACAGATGGCTCTGTCGGACTCGCTGAGCAACTTATGCTGCATTTCCGCAGAATCGCATACCGACCGACGCAAGAGCTGATTGATCCTCTGTTGTCCGACCCGGACCAAGCAGCAGCCGTTACGGGCCCACAGCAACTAGTAGGCGGTCTCATGTTCCCTGGGTGTCCACGCAAAGAAGTCGACCCGCCGTACTGGACCGGCAATTTGAACTCTACCCAAGCCACTGCTGCGCCAGGCGTGCCGCATGTGCGCTGCATGGGTTTGCGATTGAAGCAAACAGATCCTCTCGATGCGCCGCCGAACCCGATCCCGGCTGGATACAGATATTACGGCCAATCACTAGTCGAGGTGCTAGCAGCATTCCGAGACCAAGTCTTGGCGGAGTTCGGGAAGGACACGCTGCTTATGCCTCTGACCAGCTCGTGGCCGGTCATGCACCGCGTGCCGACTGAAACAGCGTTACTAAAAGCGCAGTTTCCACCGCCATATGACAGTGGCACTCATATCGCTGACCAGAAAGCGATCCATAATATACGTGGAACGTCGGGCACTGGCGTTTCTGGTCGTTTTCTGGACTTGGTCTTTCCGCTTTCGATGGCCGAAAACGATAAGCCGTTGCCACCTGTGCTCTTCTTGGTGACAGCGACGGCGGAGCAGCTCGATGGATTCGGACGAGGGACCAACGAACCTAATTCGGCGACTAAGCTGGCGGCTGTCGAGGAAAGGTGGACTACTCTTGATGCAGGGTTTTTCTGTCTTGGTCGAGGTGTAAACGACGTGCTGATGCTCGAAAACACATATGCTTCACTAGACGCCACCACGAGGAACCGCGCTTAACAACGTGGTCAAAGCTTTGAGCTTCACACGTCTTATGGCTAGGCTGCAGGCCTTTGAACAGCTTTCGCATCTCTCAGCGCCGCCATCTTCGATGTAAGCTACAACAACATCGCAGGGCGCTACGTCCCATCAGCTCTGCGTGTCAAGTCATGTGCGGCTACGGACGGCAACAATGAACCTAAGCCAACGAAAGGCTCGCTTCCCAACAGTGACACTCTCGGAAGCCCGGAAGAGATCAAGCGCTACTTCTGGCGATCAGCAATCATCGCACAGCATGACCCTACATGACTCTGAAGAGACACCGGGCAAGTTGAGCTACCTGTTTCTCTTCCATGAAGCCAACCCTAGGTGCGATAGCGATGGGATCATCTACACGAAGTTCAACCTTGAGCTGCTGCCACCTGCAACTACTAAAACGTCTTTTGAGCCAATCAAGGAAGGAACCAATCTAGCAGCCATCTCTACCTCGGAGGTTGCCACTCAAGACGAACGACGGCCAATGAATCATGTAAGCAAAAGGGCTGAGAGGGAAATGTGCACGGGCTTGAATATTCTAGAGCATGTTATCAGCACAAACACAGAGCGCCGACATGATGCACCCTACGCAGCCAAACCTGAGCCTGTACACAACTGCGACATGACCAACCCAGTTGCGGTGTTCAAGGCAGCGAAAGGCCGCCGCTCAGGTGCTCGAAACTTCGCTTCTCGAGGGCTGGTACCGTGTTGAGAGAAGGTTGCCTACCTAGAACCACGCACTCCCGACCTTGTGCGCATGCTCGAACAGAAGTGGTCGCGGACTGATCGCTACGGTCGACTTGTCAAGCGAGAGCGAGACCATGCTTCGTGGCAGAGCAGCCTAAGCATGCGCTGGGCGGTGCTGAAGCTGATGAAGGACGACGTTTCCGCGTCTGAGGAGGGTGAGCCGGTCATTGAGAAGCTCCCGGAGATTGACGGGGCTGGCGATTGGGAGAAGTGGCCGAGGCAAAGCGTCAATGAGATGCTTGCGGAACTTCGTGTGGGCGAAAGCCGGGCGGAGGAGAAGGCAGGAGGTGTGGCAAAAGGGGTCACCAGCGATCAGACAGCTGAGCGAGTCGGTGAATAGAGCCAAGCTGAACCCAGTGAAACTTGGAGTGGGATTTGTTGCGATGCGCTAAAAGTTGCCGGCTCTACACGCCGGGCATGCCAACGACCTGCCTCCAAACTGGCAGCGCCCTTGGCAAGAAGTAAACGATGTAGATAGCACCGAATGCCACCAAGAGGCCAGTGAACTTCTCAAACCAGGTGTGGAAGTATGCCGCCGTCATCAACAGCATCCACCAGCTCATGCTTGCAACGACTAGCGCCACCCTCAGACCAACAGCGGCCTCTTTGGGCTTTTCGTCGCTTGCACCTCCTTCCTTCGCGTCTGTCTCCACCGCTGCACTCCTGACGAGTCCGTCCGGCGTCAAGATCCGCCTCGCCTCCCTCAAGCCCTCCATCTTCAGAACGGCTGGCAGCAGTTCCAGCCACAGCATGGCGCTGCCGAGAATGAGGATGAACACGTGTCCGCTAATGTCGTGTCCGCCTCTCCACTGTCCACCAATTGCTTTACAGGCTGCGTGGGTGAACGCTCGCTCGACCTCACCCATGTCGGCCTTCTCCGCCTGTGATGCTGCGCTGTCACTCAAAATCGTCTCGCACTTTCCGCCCGTCCACCTGAAGCTGCGATCGACGATGGGTGGGCCGAAGAACCATTGCGTGACCGCGACCCACACCGCTGTGATACACACATACCGCACGGCTGCTTGCAACCTCCGCCTTGTGAGCGCTGGCTTCAGTGGTGGACCGAGACTCGGGTGAGTTAGAATCAATGCGACAAACGCAAGAGTTGTCCAGAACCAGCCTATCTTGACAAAGTAGACATTGAAGAAGTTGCCCTTCTTTGCAAAGTAGCTGGGTGCCTCCGCTGGATCGTAGGCCTGATAGTGTGCGATGTAGGTCGCGTTGCGGGTCGAGGGGTGGAGTACGTTAAACAACGAGCCTAGCAGGAGCGTGCCTGGGTAGATGGCAAGGAGGACAATCTCGAGAACGGTCGGTAGGAATGGTGAGTTGCCAGGCGGTGGTGAATCCAGCTTGTCTGGTACTTTAACGGTAGCACTGTTTGTGCCGTTTGCAATGGACGGGATGGGGACCTCGATTTTGGTGGTCTGTCTTCGGGTCGCCATAAGATAGTTGGCAAGACCGTGTAGCACAAGCACAAGCTCACCCACGAAAAGAACCGGATGTTTGCGTCGTGCACTTTGTTGATGGTTGCGGGGAGAAAGTGCGATTGGCAATATATAACTGTGACGTAGTAGTGTGGCTGATGCCTTGAGTCAGTGGCGCTATTGACCAAGTGTCGAGTCGAAATTCCTAAACACCAACATGGCAGCAACTTCACCCTGCAAGAACGCCGAACAAGGTTCCTTGATACACATTTGTGAGCCTAACAATGTCACATTGCTGAAGGACACAACGCGCAGAGGAGCCACGGCTGCGTCTGGCCAATGGCGCAAGTTACGAAGAAGCAGTAGGTACATCATCGTCTAGTCACGACTGCGAATGCTGTACAACGGTTTGTCAGACATGTCTCGTCCATCTGCTCCGGGAAAGCACTGGAAAATGGCAGCCGTCAATTCCTTCTGACACCACAAAGAGCTACAGCTGAACTGGGGCGAGTACTTAAGGGTTTCCAATGAATCTAATAAGGTGCAGACTGTGTCGCCCGTAGGCTCTCTTTGCTCGGCTTAGTCATGTTAAACCAAAAACCTCAGATGGGGAGTGACTGTGCAAAGTGCACACCTAACGTAGAATCCTCAATCGATGACTCTGTCTTGTCGCGTGGACGTTATTAATGCATTATATTTAGCAACCTTTGACCACATTCCGACAAGCCATCCATCAGCGAGCTCAAGAGCCTCAAGATTCCGCGCGCTTCATTCGTCAATGTGGACAGCGTGCAGTCGCGTAACTACCGCTTTGTCGACTCTGTGGCCAGTAGGACCGAATACGTCTCGCTTTCGATATTGTTGGGCCCGGTCGGCCTGGCTTCGATGATCGAATCTGACTCGTGCTGATTGATCTTGGTATTCACGGGGTCAATCTGCCAAGCTTGGCTATCTCCCTCATCCTTCAATGCATATCCCTGCAGACCTTCCAACTCACACCTCCTTTATAGTGTTCGCATAGGACTCCTCCAGTAACACCTACCGCTGGCGACGCACGATCACCCGGGGATTCGAGACTCTGACACCAACACGGCTCGCCCGTACGAAATGATAGAAACTTGACTGGAATGCAAGTCTGACCAACGCCGTATCGTGACGAATGGTTACCATTACAACGGATCAGACATGGAGTGGAGGGTTCTTCACATACCGCCCTTACTTCACCGCAGGACTTGGCTGTTGCCGCAACCGTCATGCTTGGGACAACGATGCATACCCAAGTAAGGAAACCGCACCCTGTGAGCACCTGGTCCTCGGAAGACTAAGCCACAATCCCTTGTCTCCGCTCAGGGTTCGCATATTGCATCAAACATTGTTTTTGTGATTGCGACAGCATCTCCATATGCGAAGCGCACCCTGTTCTCATCTTGGCAAGCGAGGATACCTTCCAATGCCGTAGAACAGCTACCGAGCGCGCGCTTTGTATATTGTGCGTTTGAGGTCTGCGAGCCTTTTCGCTTCGCCATGAGACCGCATATGGGCGCTTGGGGAGAGCTCAATCGACAGTAAACAGCCTCAAGTTGGTACCTCCCTTTCTTGTCTGCTCATCAACCGTTCTTTCCCAATCACTCCCTCCCCGGTCACCGCACCTCGTGGCCATTCTCACTACCTCATTGGGCGTTGACGCTCGTGATGGCATCATCTCACCACCTGTCAAGCGAACCATCTACGCCCACCTCAAGCATATATACCCTGAGTACCGTGGCGGAGATGAAAGTGCCTCACCACGTAGCCGCACTCCTAAACGACAAAGGCTTCGTCGTGGACGACGATGGCGTAGTAACCTGGGCCCCCAACAGCCGCTCTCACCCCAGAAACTGGCCGCTCATCCGCAAAACCTACGACACATGCCTTATCTGCTTCTTGGAGTTCTTCATGACGCTCGTGAGCAACACGGGCTCAGCCGCGGCAGAAAGTGCGACGCATGATGGACTCGATGTTAGCAAGGAAACGGCCATCATCTCGTTCGTTTTTGTCTACTTGATGGCGCAAGGTGTCGGCGGCCTCGTGTTCCCTCCTATTGCAGAATGGTTCGGTGGGAGGTTGATCTACCTTACCGCCACCTTTGTCTTCGCTCTGAGCAATCTAATGATTTGCATCTGGCCCGTCCTGCCTGTCGTGGTGGTTATGCGGACTATATCCGGCTTCTTCTCCGCTATCCTAGCTGTCGTAGCATGCGGCAGCCTAGAGAACATGTGGGATTCGCAAGGCCGCATCTTCGTTATCCATGCGTGGATCAGCAGTGCCGTTCTGGGCCTATCCCTAGGACCCACCATAGCGACGTACATCAGCACGTCGAGATGGGGTTGGTAAGTTGAGATCGGCTTAGAAGCCATGGACGGCGACGCTGACTGATCTCCTCGCAGGCCATTCATCTACGGCTTCGCGTCGATCATTGCATTCTTCTGCGCTATGCTCTGCCTGATCATGCAGGAGTCTCGACCTTCACGCGTGTTGCATATGTATGCATCATCCTGGAGTCTGAGGCTCGGGAAAGATCGCTGACCAGTGCT